TATAATCCTAACTTCTAAGTCTAAGCCTTAGATAAAGTATTTAAGAAAGAAGCCCTAAATACTAAAGAGTAGATAATTTATCTTTAAAATATTTATAAAAAGACTATAAGAAAGCTTTAAATTATACAGAAAGTATAGTAGAAGTTATATAATAAGATCTATAAGCTAAAGAACTTTAAAGTTAGAAACCTTATATTTTTTTTAATAAAAAATCTCTACTTTAAAGCTAAAGAAAAGAAATTATCTCCCTAATAAATTAGATCCTTCTATATCCTTATAAAGATTAGTACTTAGGTATACTATATTATATTATTAGAAAAATATTTAAGACTATATAATATTTTCTCTATTTTTCTTCTTAAGCTATAGAATAGCTAAAATAAAGATAATTTAATAATACTAATACTAAAACTTAAAGATAAAGAGAAATAGAAAGTTAAGAAGATTTAAGGTAAAAGAATCTTTAATAAAGTACTATACTACTATATAAAATAAACTAGATAGTCCTTAGAATATAACTAATAGGAACCTATAGAATATTTAGAAAATATAAAAAATATAAAATTTTTATTTAGAAAGAAATAAACTTAAAAAACTATATTCTAATAATAATAAAGTATTACTAAAATTTCTTTAAACTATATCTAAATTAATACTAAAAAGAAAAACTATTAGACTTCTACTAAATAAGGCTGTTTAACTATAAAAAGGAAAGAATAAGTAAAATAAAGAATAAAGACTACTATAGAAGCTTATATAAATCTAAAAGTACCTTAATCTAATTAATAATCTATACTATAGCTAGAGTTAAAATAATACTATTTAGAGTTATATTATACTTAAACCCTACTATAATCTCTAAAAAAAAGAATTAAATAATACTCTACTAAAGATTAAAATTAGTATTACTAATTTATAGCTATAGAAGATTATTAGAATAATTAGGAGGCTAAGCAGAAGATAAGCTAGCCTTAGTATTTAACTTTTTTTATTATTTAATAATAAATATAGTATATCTCTCTATAGCTTAATCTATATTCTATATATTAAAATAGAGCTTATACTAAAAGAAATAGATAGAGATTATCTTCTAAAATAATACTAAAAGATAAATAGATTCTTTAATAGCTATAGTCTTACTTTCTATATTCTAGATAAATATAGTATTATTAGTAATAATAATAGTAGTACTACTATCCTAAACTTTATATACTTAGTTAAAGATTAACTAGAGCTAGTATAAATTACTATAGATCCTATAGAATATCTAAGATAAATTAGTATTAAATTAAATATAAATTAGAAGAATCTTATATCTAAAAGTAAGTCTTCCTATCTTTCTTATATAGAGTATAAGTAATTAAGTTAGAATAATCCTAGTTATATTAGATTATAGAAATAGTACTAGCTAGAGAATAAAGGGCTACTTTAGCTATATACTTAATATAGAAAATAAATAAAGAATAGATAATTTAATTATAGAGAGAAAAAGACTAAAGATAGTATTAGCTATACTTCTAAGGCTATTATTATTATTATCTCTATTTATAGCTCTAGTATAATCTTTATCTTTAGCAATATAATAACTACCCTAATAACTACTAGAAGGATAAATAATACCTATAGAAGGAGAACTACTAAATTTAGCAGTAGTAGGACTAACAGTAGCAGATATAGTAAAGGATTATAATTTAACGATAAAAGAAAAGAATAAGGTAAGGTAAAGATAAGAGAAAAGTAAAAGTTAAGAACAAAAAGATAGAAGCTTTTATCTTAAAGATATTAAAGAGATTATATTGCTTTATTTATATCTATATATAAATATACCTAAAGTAGTACCTACCCTAGGCCTTTATATAAGATAATATTATTTAGCTCAGATCACCTAACCTAACTCTAATCTTTATTAATAGTTAAGTTAACTATCTCTAAGAGAAAAGGATAAATTATTATAGGATTTAAAGTATACAATACCCCAGACTCTTATAACGGGCCCAGGCCCGGGGATATATCATGTAGCGTCACATAACCTTTTCCCTGCAGGAAAACAAGGTGGAAGCCATATAGATAACTCTTCTTCAAGATTATTGTAAACAGCATACAGGCCTAGCCCTAATTGAACAGTTGTCGCTACAGCCCTTCACAACTCTTAAGGCTGATTTATAGACAAATCCTCTTTAAGTTACCTATATATTAATATCTACCTAAACCCTAATATATTTAAGATCCTATAAATATTCTGGATTCTTAATCTTCTTAAGAATCAGTCTCTGTATTGACTGCCTAATCTGATCTCTACTGTCTGATATCCTTGCCTAGTTATAGGTCTCTAGTCTGATAACTTAGTAACCATTATATATACCTTACTAGTACTAAAAGATATATATAAGACAGAGTATCTAGTAAAATAGTAGAAAGATATCTAGTCTTATAGATTTATTAGAGATAGCTTTATCTTAGATATTAAACCTTTTATATAGAGGAAGGAGGATAAAAAAATATATAGTATCTAATAGATAATAGAGATTTATAGTATTAGTAATATATAACTATCTCTTCCTATACTATCTTATAGATTAATAGGCCCTACTATATAGATATACTAAACTAGACTTCTATAGTATATAGCTATCTAGGATAACTATAAAACTTTAGACTATATAGAATTAAATATCTAGGAAGAACTAGCAGATACTTATTATATACTAATATCTATATCTAAAATACTCTTTAGTTATTCTTCTTCTTAGTATAGTATAATCCTATTTTTCTTTACTACTAGAGTATATTTCTAGATAGCCTAATATAGGATTCTAAATTATTTAGTAGGCTAACAGAGATAGCATAGTCTCTATATATATAGAATTAGATAATTTTTTTTAGAAAAGACCCTAAGGTTATAAGAGTAATAGTTTATAACTGGTAAGAGAAAGCTTAGTATAAGTACCTATACTGCTTTAAACTAACTAAGTATTTAGAGAAAAAAGGATACAGTAAAAACTTATTTTTCTACTATATTAAGAAGGGTATACTTATTAATAACTAAGAACTAGATCTGTTACCTAATAAGCCTATTTATACTTCTGCTAAATTTTAATTACTGTTTAATATATAGCAACCTACTTATAAGGCAGAGATTAGCCTTTCTTATAGTAGCTAGGTACTGATTAATAGATAAAGTATAGAGTAACTATCAGAGGTACTATCTAAAATAATATAGATATTGTTTCTTTTATTTCTTTTATTTCTTTTATTTCTTTTATTTTAAATTAACTTAGGAACAGTTAATTTTTTAGGAAGGGTAGTATATAATAGGGGATTCTGCTCTTAATACTAGTATTCTATAGTTAGGTAATTAGGGCTTTAGTAACAAGGTCGCTATTTAGTTTTATAAGAATAAGTAGCGTTTGTTCTATAGTATTAATAATAATAGGTATGTTCTCCCTTATAAATTATTCTTTAGGTTTTACTAAGGTTAAAGTTGTGGTATTGGTATATCGTATGTTTATAAAGACTTAAATGTCTTATTAATTGTATCTTGATAGTGTTATACTTTGTCTACTGCTACTCTCTCCTGCACTCTGTGAGTATAGTGGTTTTGTTCTCTTATAATCAACCTGTCTGCTTGACAGACTGCCAGCGAGCATTCCCATCTTATAATAGGTTTTAAAATTATATATAGTTTTATAGAGTATCTAATTAATAGTGTTATATAAATATTACTACTTTTTATAAAGCTAGTAATACTTTTAAACTATTTCTTAATATTCTTTAGTAAAAGATAAGTTTATCTAATCAGATAGTTCTGTCTAAGATATTAATTAATTGATAGCTAATTATTAGGCAGTATAGCCCTATAATAGAGATTCCTCTAGCTCTAAGTACTTTAAATTCTCTATATTCTCTCTTCTCTTAAAGTAGTCCTAGATAATTATATCCTTTTTATTAAGTATCTCTATAGTATAATCCCTAAGGATAGTTAGAAGCTACTCTAATTAGAAGTTATTACTAGCTTATATAATGCCCTAGACCTAGTAATAGAGGTTAAAATTACTGACTATAATATATTTAGTATTAGGTCATTTCTTAATTTTAAAGTAGAGTATACTTAGTATTATAGTATCTAACAAATAATAATATATATTATAGAGAAAAAGGTTAGTCTAATTACCCCTAGAGTAGTTATAGTATAGCTTTAATAACTAATAATTCTTATTGATTATACTATAGGACTATATTATAGGATTAATTTACTTTAAGATATAAAGATAGATATATAGGTATATACTTTTAGCTAAGGCCTTTAGGGAATAATAGTTAATAGATCATAGTAATAAGTTTATAGGTAGTATTACTCTGTTTATTCTACTAGGGCTCTTAAATAATAATTATACTAGCTTGAGAATGCTTCTAGGAGTGTAATTATCTAATATCTATCTTCATTAAATACATCCTGCTTACAAAAAGAATTATCGCCAACCCAGCGGCGAATTTTACAACATCTAATCTTTGTTGATGGGATAGGAGGTGTTAACTGAGAGAAGAAAGTTGCACAGGGGTCGGGCTAGTACATCATATTTCATGACCTGTAGTGAAAAGTGGTAATATGGTGAGCACTTACGGCGCTCCATAAGCGCAGGGTGGTCAGTAGTTGTATATAGGGGTATTTTACAGTGGCGTTGCAAAAGTTTGAAATCTCTTGTTGCCCACTATTGATGACTGCCTTCTAATGGCAAACAAGTAGCTACCTGAGAGGGAATATATTGCTACTAGTCCACCTTAGTAGGCGGAGACCAGGCCGGTCAACAAGAGCTTGGGAACTTTTGCGCTGCCACTGTAAAATACCACTATACTAATATACAACTACTGATCACCCTGCGCTTATGGAGCGCCGTAAGCACTTAAGCCAAGGGGAAGTCCCCAGATTTCCCAGACAAAATAGGGAATATCATTGAATATGGAGCAAGATAATTTATCTGCCATTCATTGAATGGCCCGGTTCAGAACTCCAATCCCTGCTCAAATTCAGTCCGATCAGATCCTCCGGGCCTTTTAGCCAGACCGTACAACATAAAGATGGAATTACTCCATTTGCTTTGTCCATCCGCGGGGAGGGCGGCTCGGAAACCGGCAATGTGCCTAAAAAATAAGAGTTGGAGTTTAGTGTGGGATCTCCGGGGCCCGGGGCCTGCAGCATGATTCAAGAAGCCCACATACATCTTCCCAGTAGATTTATCATAGACCAACTTTGACATGCCCGGGGACGGCTGAATTTTGCACTTGACAAGCTTCATTATCGACCAGTTAGCCTTTGAGATTAGTGGTTAAGAGGGTACATACTTACCCGAAAACGCGACGAAATTCTTGACGGACATGATCTCGCCGGAATTTATCCAGATCCCAAAAGAATTTTATTGAAAGTGGAATACCTGCAGATGATCGTTGTCATAAACCCCCAAGGGAAGATGCCATTGCTAGCCTGTTGTCCCTCTTAGTATCTCAGGTACCGGGGCACGGCGTCACATTCATGCTTCAGAAGAGTTTTTGCCGCGTCCAATTCCCTCAATGCAGCCGATGAGACAGCTTGAGCGGCTCTCACTTCGGTGGATGAGTATTCGGTGCCCATAGTAGGGATCCGCTTGTAAATTCTCATGAATGCAGGTACTTTCTTAGGATCACCTTTTTCGTGACATAGGAATTTCCCAGTGGCCCACCCGGGCCCAAGTCCATCGATTTTCATGTAATATGATGGGCTGGTTACTTCCTCCAGTCCCTCTGCTATGATCCATGTTCATGTTGACAGCTGGAGGTCTGGTTTCGCCTCAGTTGTGATTTCAGTGCCGGCGAGGCCAAGAAAGAAGGGAGTTCTGGGGATGGACATCTCGAAGCAGGGGAACTTGACCGATGATATTGCCGTTAAGTGTAGCTGTGGGGACATGTGAGATAGGAGAGACAAATAAGGAAGTAAGTCGTTCCAGAAGTTGACGAGATTGTGACGACCTCTTGATGCTTTGCACATAGACATTCTATGCCTGCAGAACCAGGCACCCAGCTAGCCCTAGTCAGCGCGCCTCAAATCTGGCGAGAAATCAAGCAGAGGAACTACCAATATGTCCATAGTACGTTTTACATTCTAGTACCTACTACAGTACATACCGTTGAAGGTAATGCCTCTCTACTATCGAAACCCTCGGCTGGGGGTACTTCCGCCGCGTCCACCATATAGAGATTTGTATATCAAAACAGCGCTACATCGATGAGCTAGTTGGAAAGATCATCTCGTCCAAGAAAGATTTCGAAATTGGGTCATTGTAATAAAAATACAAGAGGAAATAGTTAGCGCCTGTGATGGTCCAAAGAAACAGAACAAACAAATCCATCAATCCATTTATCACCGCTTGCCCTTTCGTTCTTCGTCCTTCCGTAATCGCTTGCGGCTCTCTTGTGCAATCATGTCGCTGAGATCCTCTTGGAACCCCCATTGGGGTTGATTCTGTTGTTGCCTCTCCGACTCGTAGAGATTTTGAAGATTATCCTTGTTCAGACCGTCCCCGGATTGAAGTGCATCCAAATCAACAGATACCTCAACATCGCCGGGCTTCTTGCGCTTGCGATTTTGATCGTCCGCGCCGAGTAAAGGTGGGTTGCCGGACGGTTGGCTGAGATCGTATGTTCTGTCACCGCCGAAGAAACCTTGGACATTGGCTTGTCTTTCAGGAATGACTTGGTAAGCACTCCGCGGGTGGACGGACTCCTCGGTCTCCGTTCCACGGTGGTGTTTGCGGACATCGAATTCTCCTGAGATATTCTCGGTTGTTCCAATCTCCGATGGAACAGCGGAGGCCATGCCACCAGGGGTTTCCAGGCCACTCGGAGAATGTGTTCCATTCTCCTGTGCCTCATCTTCATCTTCCTCATCCTCGTCCTCGTCTCCCTCCTCGTCACTTTCTTCTTCGGATTCTTCCGACTCTTGCAATTCTCCCCAGAGATCTTTCTCGACTGGCTCTCCTTGCTGGACATTTTGTTGAGGCTGTAGAACACCGAAGATATCACCGCCATACAGCGGCCTGTTATGTTCGTCCACGGGAGGTTTTCCATATCCTCCCGGATGGTAGCCCCACATTGCACCCGGTGGAGGTGGTGCATTGAGACCTGGAATCTTCAAGGAAGGGTAAGAAGGCGGAGGTCCATATCGTTGTTGGTTGATGAGCCACGGCGGGGGAGCGCCGGGGGGCATGTTGAGGGCCTCCTTCAACTCATCACTCAAATCGCCGGGATGAAGATGTTTGAGGTTGGTTTCATACTCCTTGCCTTCGTAATAGATTTCACCGTAACGTGTCAATTCTGGCTTGGTCTGGAAGCGAAAAAACGCCTCGTAGAGCTTTTGATAATCGATATCCAATTTTCCCATTTTCGGCGCCACCCTCTCGCGTTGTTTTTGTTTGAGAGAAGACGCATCTTGCTTGTCTAATGCGGCGTCGCGCATTTCGGATATTCCCGTTTCTTGAATGAATTTCGGAAGCGCGAAGGGTGCCTTTTCAACACCGCGCTTGGACGAAAGGTACTCGCGCTTGAGGGACCAGTGGGAGGGGACCGGGACCACGTTTCGATGCGCCTTGAGATGAATTAAGAGTCGAGGGTCTGAGGCGGAAGTATCTGTCCATTCTACAATTTCCGGCTTGTGTACCATGGCCTTCAATTCGGCGACGGATAGTTTGTTTAACTCCTTTCGCTTCTTCTTGGAGATCTTGGGCTCGTCGGTTTCCTCCTCGTCAGGGATTTCGTCCTCATCGTCGAAAAAGACCTCCGGCTTTTCGCTCTCCTTTGTAGGGGCATTGTCTCCCGTCTCGTCGAATTTAGTGATGAGACCCTTGTACATCTCCCATAGTGGGTCATCGTCCGCTGGGGCGGCTGCAACCGGTGCGACAGACGATACATCTTCTGTAATCGGGGCGCTGGGTGGTAATGATGATGATGAATCTGGTTCCTGGGACTTCTCGACCGGCGCGTTGACAGCCTGAAGGAAAATGAAAGGTTAGTGACGAATCATGCGCCGGGGACGAGGACAGAACTCACCTCGGCCTTCTGGGCCTTTTTCCGAGCTCTTCGAAGCTGGTTCTTGTTTCCCGCCATGGCCGCTGACTTGTCAACCCACAATAGCCTGTGGGGTGGTTCGGCTGTGGAAGAGAGCTGTAGGAGGTTGATAAAGTCAAATGGAGTCGCGCCGTGAAGCAGTTTCCGCGAATGCCAAGCTACCCTCCGGTCCAACAATATCATTGGCTATCGGGTTCACCGCCCGCTACATTTTCGCAAACTACGATAACCCGCGACGACATGGCTGATGGATCTATTCAATGGATCGTTTATTGAGTGTTGAAGGTTTTGGCAGGGCCGTAGGGCCCTTCAATTCAATTCTGGTCTAGTGTACATGTGATTTAGGGGATATGCTAATAAAGAAAAGCATGCTTGTGAGCATGTGAAGTGAAAAGAACCAAAATCACAACAGCCTCAGATCTAAACCATGGCAAAGTCCTGTTAAGAGATCCAGAGACAGCAAGCTAGATGCACGAGGGCCAGATGGGCAATCGAAGTTCTTGTAAAATGTAGGAGTATTTGCCGTGGGGAAGCGGGTCTATTTCTTCTTCTTCGCGGATTTCGATTCTGGTGGATTGTTAGTGAGCCACTCAGCTGGGTTTTGAGATGGGAGGGCAAACTTACCGGCTGCGGTCCTCTTCTTCTTAGGTCGTCCTTTACCTCTCAATTTGGCACTGTAGAATAAAGTCAACGGGCGAACCTTTCGACAAAGGAATATGGCACACATACATTTGAATGGCTTCCTCTCGATCGTCCTCAGCCTCGTCAAAAGTCGTCAAGCCGAGTGGCTTGTATGTGTTCTGTAGGTCCCTGAATGAGACGTCCTTCTTGGGATACCATGCCGCGAGTGCTGGACCACGCAGCCGTTGTCTGAGGACCTTGTTTCCGAGCCGGAGTCGTTCAGGGTTGAAATTGAGGGAGAAGATGCGACATTGAGTCTAGAGAGAGCGGAACGGTCAGCGGAACGGCTATCTTTGCTGGGTAGTGCAATGGGAATATACCTTCACCAACTCGAGGATCCGAGGTTGTGACATCTTCGCACGGCTTCGAGGGTGGTGTTGACCGTCGAAGTGAAGATGAGGGTGGAATGGATCCAATCGGCCTAGGTCGGCCTTGGGGCGCGCCTCCGATAGAGTCACGTGATTGTATTTTTTTGGAGGTGGGCCCGCCGCGATGCTCTTCCTCCGCTCAACCCGCATCAAAATGAGCTCCAAAAGGTTGCGCGATGCCTCCGGTGGCAGGCATAACAGTGAGTCTGACAAGCGCATCAAGGTAAGAGTCTAATTTTTCTTCCCGTCGGCTCGTGCGTCCATAATCAGGCATCTCCCTCACGAATCTGTCTACATAGTCCATTGAGTTGAACTGACAAGACTTTGAAGACAATCCATTCGACTGCAAATTTGCCAGTCGATTCAAGTACAAGCAAATATGACTCCGCCCAGCAATCTCAATCAATATCCCATCTCTCAACCCTAAAACAACTCATTCGGGAGGTCAAGAAGGATACCGATTTGCTTAGAGCCGAACCCAACATCGCAACCACAATTTCCACACTTGACACTTTATTGTACCAAAGGGACGCAAAGGAGGAAAACTTGCAAGTCAACAAGGGGCAAAATGCCAGCCAGTCTACCTCTGATTCGAGGGGAAATGAAAACGGCTCATGGCATCCCGATTTGCCGCCCATTCTAGATGATCGCCTGGAAAAGGCCGTCTTCACCCACCCCGCTTGCGCCAACGATTCCAATGCAAATTACGACCGCCTGGAGCTACTGGGCGATGCTTACATCGAGTTGATTGCGACTAAGCTGATCTGGAAAACATTTCCAGATCTTGCGTCCGGCAGAATATCCCAAATTCGAGAATTGCTGGTCAAAAACGAAACCCTCTCGGCTTTCGCTGATTCATATGGCTTCTCTCGTAGGGCTATTGTGCCACAGGATTACGACACCCAGTTAAAACGATGGGTCAAGATAAGGGGTGATATTTTCGAGGCTTATGTGGCTGCAATCATACTTTCTGATCCTGTCGGCGGGTATGAGATTGCAGATCAATGGTTGACGAGCTTATGGTTACCAAAGCTCGTCAATTTGGGGCCACAAAACTCAAAGTTGAACTCAAAGGATGAACTATCTACAAAAGTCATGGGCCATGGCACCAAGCTCAAGTACATTGAAGAAAAACCTTCGGTACACCCAAAGGGCACCGGCAGTCAAACATACTTCATTGGGGTGTATTTTACTGGCTGGGGGTGGGAAAATCAGCACCTTGGCTCTGGTCAGGGTCTAAAGAAGAATGCGGCTGGTGATGAGGCTGCCAGGAATGCTCTTGCAAACCCTCTGGTTACAGAAATTAATTTAAAGAAAAAGGCATTACTAGGTAATAAATGAAATCAATCAAGGCTAAGTATTCCCCATCTCACCACATAATCTCTCTTGATTTGTAAATACTGGACACGAAGCAGAACCATGCTCGTACGAGTGTGGAGTGTCGTTTTATGCAATTTCTGGATAAAAAGATCACTTGTCAATTCCCACGTGGCTTCGCCACTAGTCAGAGACTAGCTACACAAAATTGCTGCCTCTCGGCATTCGAAATCTAGATTTGACCAGTCCGCACCCGCCGAGACAGTTTTCTTTTCAGCTAGGCGAGGGTAGGCGAGGGTTCTTGCCTCTAGCACAAATTGTCAACGATCTAAGTGGGTCTGCGGCCTTTGGGACAGATGCAGGGCGAAAACTAGCCACTTCCAATCATGAAAGTGATGGTAGTAGTATTTACATGCGGTTTCTCTGTGTGCTCGAACGAGAACTCAGATTGTCAAAATGACAATGGTTATGCCAGAAGTACTGATTCTGTAGAATATTTAAGTGCTGTAAGAAATAAAGTCATGCTTGTTTGTTTAAATCCACACTTGCACTCTAGGTCTCTCATGTAGTTGATAGTCTGTTCGAGTAATATTCGAAGCTTCGTTTCTTTGTCGTAGTGCTCCGGAATAAGAGCTTTCCAGGCTTGCCAAGTCAGCAAATATACGGCCGGCTGATGAGTTTTGAAGACATGGCATTTGTTTTGGTGTGATGCACTCTGACTAGGAGAGACGCAATGAAATGGAGGGGTTTGCTATTGTTATGTTTATTCACGGCAATGCCTGGCTATTTAAGAAGAAGGACAGATACAAGGTAGCACCTGCCTAAGTAGGTACCGTCGTGCCTGCCGTAGTAGATGAATGTAGTGAATGGAAATATGGAAATATGGAAAGTAGGGCTGTCGTGCCTGCCAATGTGTAATTTATACTTCCTAAGTATCTGATTGGCTACCGCCTTGAAAAGCGCTTTGTCATCCATATATTTCTGCCTCTATAGACCGCCCAATCTTTCCCTTTCATCCGCATTTGCGCGACTGAGTTCTTGCGATATCGAATTCGCATAATTCTTGGGGATGGATCGTGATCGCAGAAGGTTTGTCGCGCCCAATTCTATGCAAGCCATATAACTAACAATTCTCAGCAGATTTGACGACCGGCGAGGAGGGGAAAGCTACCGACCCTCAGACCGGTCCGCTAGATCACCATCTCGAGGCTACGAGGGCCGACGACGTTCTCCCCCACGAAATCGCTCTCGCCCTCGCGCTGACACCTGGGTGCCGTCAAATCGAGGATTTGCACGACCCCGAAGTCGTTCGCCTCCTGACTACCGCCGGCGCTCACGAACACCCCCCTTCCAACCACGAGCCTATGGTCAAGCCCCATACGGTCGCCGTCGAACGCCACCTCCTCGAAGATTCTCTCCCAGAAGAGACGAAAGGACTAGATCGCCGCCTCCTCCGTCGTGGAGACCCCGGTCTCCGTACAATGATGGAAAACCGCGCGATGCTTCACGGGGTCGGAGCAGCCCGCGCCGTGCCCGCGACGTATCTCCAGGAAATCAAGAAGTCCGGCCAGCTAGGCGAAGTACTCCCACCGTTCCCAATAACGACAGGAACAGTCGTGTGCTGTCTCCAAGAGCTCCGGTCCCGGCCCCGGCCCCGGCCCCTCGGCCGCCTACAATTCGCTCGCAAAGTCCCTCTCAGCCTTACCGCCGCGAACAGCATGCCGATATGAACAGAGATCGCCCTTCATCACGATCCAGACAAGCATCGCCTACACACGCCCTGGCAAGTGAATCGAATACTACATCAAGACGATCATCTCCCTTCAACCACGCCGAACGTAGTGGTCTACCCCTTCTCCAAAGCCGCAGCCGCTCACCTGCACGCCATTCTCCTCTTTACCGGTCTTCTGGGGCGGGTGCAGGTCCACCAGGACGATCCCCTCGTCGGGATCAACCCCAAGAAACGGCCGCGAACCATACGAAAGGACCAGACAACGCGGAACGTTTACCTAGAAAAGACTTTTCCGAGCAAGGACCCCCAGGAGCGCCCCGCTTAAACAGAAACATCCCAACCCAACCTCGAAACCTCGCTCTGAGCCAAACCCCACCACTCGGACCATCAAGGGGTCCACCACCCCACAATCGCGGCCCTCACAACGCTCCCGCTTTAGCAGCACCAACCCGGCCCCGTCACGCATCCGGTCCACGAGACGGACCATGGATGGGATCGCCCTCAATGGGCCCGCGTCGCCCATCATCCATAATGCCCTCGCACGGTGCTCCATCCGGTCCTCGAGCATCCTTCTCATCCCCAGTCCCCAGTGGCCCAGGATACCGGGGCCACCCAGGTTCTTCTCGCCAGGGTAGTTCGGTAGGGGCCGTTTCTCCTTTGACGCCCAAACCTCCCAATTATCTCGCGGGCTTGGGCTCGATTGTCCCAGGGGGCAGGGCTCTACCCTCAGCGCTGGATGTTACGACTGAGAGACGGCTTGCTCAACTTGATGCGGATAAGGAAAAGTTACTTGAGCAGATGGCGGCGACGCAGAAGCCTAGGAGAGCGGGTCTTCGTGATTGGGACCGATTGGATCGTGAAAGTTCAATATGTGCGTTGAAGAGTGAGTTGGCTGAGGGCCATCTCCAACGCATGGCGGATGAAAGTATTGGCGGGGGAGTCTTGTACTGATCTGATCTGACCTGATCTGAGCTGGCTTGGCTTGGGGTGGTTTTGGATGGCGTTGTGGTTCTTTGTTTTACATATCCTTCCTATGGTTATTTAGTAACCTTTGTTATCACCTTTGCGTGGTAAGGAGTTCTCGGAAGAGCAGGGCCAAATACTGGAAGCATTTTGGCGCAACTGTACTATTAGTTATGATCCCTCACACTCTTACTCTTACGCCTTTCAATTCAATTGATAGTAATCATGACCATATACATATTCTCATATTCCCACATTGTGGAGTGGGCTTATGTATTTGCCAACCACTGTTTTATACTTCATACTAAACATCCCTGGACTGCATCCGTCATGGATGATACTACAATAGGTAGAGAAAATCAAAAAGAATCATCAATTCTGAAAATATGTACTCGAAAGAAGATCTATGTATAGAGTTAAAATTTGCCTTTGCAGTAAGCATGTGGTGAAAATGAGGCATAAATCGGCGACATCAATAGCAGACATCAATCAATAGCAAGGGCAAAAAAAAAAAACCACCACCCGAAAAAGGGGAAAAGACGCAACACCAACGCTACCAGGCCACCCAAACCAAACCAAACCAAACCCCGAACCGAAGAAAAAATTCATCACGCGTTTGCGGAAAAGCACGAGATATAGTCGTTTAGAAATCCGACTTAAAAAGAATCCAGTTGCCGCTTGAATCTTGAGCTTGAACCTTAAACCCCGTCCGTAAAATATAGAAACAAACATTCAAAAGGGAAAAGAAAGGAAGAGTGAGAGTAGGGAAAAGGTAAAGACTAAGCCATAAGCTGAACCGAATTCCCCATCCCATTTTAGCGTACATTCACATTCCCATTCAGGTTGACAAAGAACCATTCGTTTCCGAGACTGAACCAGCAACATTCGTTGACTTGCCTACCGGGGTGGTAGTACCATCCGAAGAGATCTCATTGGCATTGCAATTACCATTGACGGGAGAAGCACTGCTAGCCAACCTTGCTTCGGCCGCAACCAGCTTCGTGGTGGTTTGCTCAAGGGTAAGTTTCAAAGCCTTGATATAATCAATGGCCATTTCCACGGCGCTGGCTTTGCTGATGGCTTGATTGGCAGGCTTTTCCTTCTCCTTGTCACTAGGCTTGATGCCAGTTAAATCAGCCTCTTTGGCCTGTTTGGCTTGGACGAATTCGGGTGGAATTAATGCCTCGATTTCCTTTAAAGCATTGTTGATTCGGTTTCGACGCCCCTGTTCTGCTAGTTTGTGGTTCGTGCGCTTGGAGCTCAAGTTCTCTGCGAGTGTTTCTGGGTATGAGACGCCAGATGGCAATGTTCCGTCTAAAATGTGCTGGTAATTTGACTTGGAAGCCAGGTAAATTGCGTCTTGTGTCAGACCTGTAACCGGGGAGAGAGAACTGTTAGTGTCAAGATTTAAAGGCGTGACTGGACTGGTTTCACTTACTCTCGCTACCACGCATCATCGGCTGGATGCTGGGACTAATCTTCGGCCGCAATTGAGGGCTTGCCTGTGTGGAGCTCACGCTGGGGCGTTTCCGACTGGAGATCGACGATCGGGATGGGTCTGAGCGTTTCGGTACTGGACCACTGGGGGATGGCATGGCCATGGTACGTGGACTCAGAGTAATAGATCCCGTTCGGTCTGTTGCGGCAGACCGGGGATCCAAGGAAGGGGTCAAATTGGCAGAGATTGCCGGGCTGGGTGCATTCGTGCGGATACTCGTGTCGATGCGGTTGACCTGAGGGCGTGGCTGCAAGGCCGGCGCGGCAGCCTCCGGAAGAGAAATATCCTCCATGAGTTCGTCATGGCTTTCCAATTGCGCTCCGCCGAACTGTCCCGAGGATTCTAGAGCATGCTGCGAGCGTTGAATGCGCATCAAGGTTGCTGGAGTGGCAGCGGTTCCGGGAGACTGGGGTGGTTCCGCTGTGATAACAGGGGATATTCGAGGCGCTGGCAGAGCTGGTGGGGGCATCAGAGGTTCGGACAAGGGCTCTGGCGAAACGGAATCCTGACCCGAACCTTCAGTGCTGCTTACTTGTAGAGAGCGCACATCGTGATTTTGCGGCTTGGCCAATTCATGTGTCAGGCTGTTGTAGAACTCCTCCGAGGTTGGTGTCGACTTCCCCTTGGTGCGCTGATTCTGTGCACGGAGTGAAGGCGATTGTTTGACCTTACTCCTACCACCAGGAATCCGCGAGGAAGCAGCTGTCGACCCCCGCCGGCGGTTGGTCTTGCGGATGATACTAGGGGATGGTGGCATAGAGGTTCCCGGGAGGAAGTTGACTTCGGCGCTTGACGGGACAAATCCCACGTCTGATACCTGGCGAGCATGGTATGCGTAGGCATTATTAGAACTGCTGGAATTTTGTGCCTCGAGAGCAGGTGAGGTGAGGGGAGTGAAGTATTCTCCGGGTATCGTATATTCGGGCAGGCGGAATTGGTTCTCCAGCGGAGTCATCGCGGGAGATACTAGCGGGGTGTAAAGTGCCTGTTGAAAGGTTAGGATGAGATCGGAGGCGAAAAGAAGGGTCAATTGTTCAGGGGTTTAACACATACCTGTTCCTCATTGATACGCGAGTAACGATCGTACATATCCGAATGGTCGTCCTGATGGGAGTACCGGGCGGCATTGCCGTGTAACTCCATGCTGTTGGGGGTCGGAGGGATGCCTTGTTGTCCCTGCATATAGGAGTGATTTGCCGAAGAGTGTGAGGCATCCTGGGCACAGAATCCCGGGGTCATGCTGGGGGTCGAGTAAGGAATCGGGCCGGGGTGTGCGTGCGACTGTGACTGCTGCGGCTGCGACATGGCGGGATGGCCGGTGAAATCCATAGCCAGTCCTTCCATTGTTGTAAATGGATGCGATCGTGGGTCGGAGGTCATCTCGGGAGCGGTGGTGGTGGGAGGGACAAGGACATGTTGCTGCTGCAACTGAGAATGTGAGTGTTCCTGTGCTGGTCCTGGTCCTGGCCCGTGCCCCTCAAGATCGGGGAAGTGCATATTGAACTCCAGGAAATTGGAGAACTCATCGTCTCCTGGCGGGGCAATGAGGGGATTTTCCTGCAACTGTTCAGGCCAAGACATGGCGGGTTGCTGCTCCATAATGGCGTCTCTTGTGTGTCTTTTTCTGGCCCCAGAATGGTCTCTTGCACACTTTTTATTTATCGAGGCCAATCGGAGAGGGGCGGGCGGGGGTATCACTTCAAGATGAAGAGATAAGCAGGTGAGATTGAGAGTCCCCAATACCAGGCAGAAAAAAGAAAAGAGAGAGTCACAGCGATGTCAGGGGAGACAAGGGGAGAGGGAGAGGAGTGAACCAGGGAGTGAACCAGAGGAACCGAGAACTCTGGGCTAGAGAAGACTAGAGAGAAGGTGGAGAGGTGCTCGCTCGGGCGGAGACGGTTGAAGTTACCGGCCTTTGGCTTTTTGGGTCCTTAACGCGCTAGAGGCGCGTATGCGAGGAAGACTGGGAGTGCATCATGAGATCGCCCAGTCATTTTACGATCTCTAGGCAACTTTATATTGATTAATCTATTATGATAGTATCATTGACCCTGTAAAAAGTACCAAGTACCGGGTACCCCCCCATTGTTAATCCCCAAGATCTCAACATAAACCCACACAGTCCACTTGTCCTCCACCCACTCTTTTTCCCACAGTGGAGAGTGAAATGCTTTTTCCCGAACAAATCTGGGTGGGTCTGGTCTTGGCATCGTCAGATGCAAGTCACGTGCCAGTCAGGTGCAGGTCAGGTGTCCCATCTAAACCACACCCATCGACCTGAACCCCACTATACTGCACCCTTTGACCTCAGCTGCCATTTACCATTGGCCTTGGCCTTGCTATATTGCCAGCATCGGCTTCACTTCCCAGTTAACACCCCCCACCACCGTTGTTGTACACTCCCCACCACCATCACAATGCTGGTCCTCATCTTCGCACTGCTCTTCCAGCTCGCAGCTGCATCCCTCACAATCAGCATTCCCCCCCTCAACAAACCTCCCAAACCCTCATGTCCTCCCCGCAACTACTCATGCCACCCTCACCACCCTCCCCCAAGAGGACCGACATGACCATATCCTAACAACATCTCTCACCCGCTCTTCAACCCTGGTCTTCCGAAACATTCCCTCCGGCAAACCCGAGTCTTATATCTTGGATATTCGCTCCGCCGGATTCGTCTTCGCCCCCTACCGCGTCGATGTCGCGGCCGACGGGTCTATCTTGGGTATCTGGGAGACTTTCCGCGGTAACCCCTGGGATAATCGTGGTGCGGAGAAATATGTCGTCGACGTTGCCAATAAGAGAACCACCAATGTGGTCGTTGAGGCGAAGGTTCTGGGTCGGAAGGGTTTCTATGAGGAGCGTGCTAAATGTGAGTTTATGCGTGACTGGAAAACAGAATACAGTTCCTTTCCCCCCCCGCCCGGCCGTGAGGGTACCAAGTACTGTACTGTACTGTATACTGACATATAAATCATCTAGTCTCACCCCTCAGCCTCGTCAAGAACCCAATGATCCTCCTCGCCATCGTCGCCCTCGTTTTCACCCTCGGCATGCCGAAGCTCATGGAGAACAGTATGTGCCATCGTTCTTCTATATCTCTATAATTAGATCTATTCAGAACCTCCTTCTAACATATCATCAGTGGACCCCGAAATGCGCGCCGAATTCGAAGAGCAGCAACGCTCTTCGCCCATCTCCGGCGCCAGTAGCGCCATGGCCGGCGGCGGCTTTGATCTGGCCGGTTGGATGGCTGGTACCACGTCCAAGCCCAGTCCCGCTGCCAATGCGGAGGGTAGCGGTGCTGGTGCTGGTGCTGGTGCTACGGGTCGGGAATCTGGCGGTTCTGCGCGGCGACGTGCTTAGAGGGGTCGTAGATATTGACCAGACACTGTACTGGTTTGGTTTGATTTGGGGGTTCAAAGCCTATCAAATTCGAAACTACTGCTTGATAATGTACAGTTAAGTTACTCGGTATACAATAAGGTCCAGAGTGACTCGATTGGAAAATTTTGCCTCATATCCCATAAACATAAATCATGATACGTCGATGCGCGGCTTGAAACAACGAAAAAGAGCAAAATAGCAGGACAAAAATAAAACGCAGGAAATTCCACAGTTAACCTCCACCCGAGCTGATACCCGGTACCATATACCATATGTACGCCGAACCCATAAGAACTCGACTCAACTTTAACTCAACTGGAGCAATAGCAATCCAAAAGCAAAGCCATGCGACGAAATGCGGTATGGAGCGAATCGTCTAGAAATCACCACCACCATCGAAATCACCACCACCGCCATCATCGTAGCCACCACCACCACCATTATCATAATTGTCATGATCCTCATGATCATCAATTGCATCCGCAATCAACATTCCACCCAACAACCCACCACCAACACCAAGGGCCGCCGCACCAGCCGTCCCCATTCCACCACCACCCGTTCTCCGCTGTGGCTGCTGCTGATAGTAGCCCTGCTGCGGGGGATATCCACCACCATATCCCTGCTGCGGGTATCCCCCATATCCTCCCTGCTGGGGGTATCCGCCGTATCCCATAGGCGGGCCTTGCTGGGGATAACCACCACCATAACCACCGCCACCGCCACCGCCATATCCACCCTGCTGCTGCGGATAATATTGCTGCTGTTGCTGGTATGGTCGTGATGAACTTGAGCCCGAGCTACCAGAAGCCTTGCCCATCAATTTACTCAAAAACCCACCCTTGCTGCGCTTCTGCTCCGGCATCGGACTTTGACTTTGCGATCCGCCAGCGTAGGGGGGGAGTGTTTGACTGCGGCTGGGCATTGTTGTTATTGTAATAGTCCGACGAAGAACCGGGCCCTCCGACGTCTCGGGTCCCCGCGCGGGCATCTTCCTCGGCTTGGAGCTTGGCAGCTAGTCTAGCGTCTTCATCCATGTTGGAACTGCCGTGGGGTCCCGAGGGCCCGTTTGCGGGGTTGTAGGGGTTATTTGAGGACATGGCGCTTTTCTTTTCTCCTGCGCTGGCGCTTGCTAGGGCGGATGGGTCGCCGGGACCGCTGTGTTCGTATGGTGGGAGCTCTGAGGAGGCGGGCGGGGGAGGGCCTGGAGGGGCGGAGGCTGATTGTGGGTTATCCCATTGGGATTTTCCGGTTGCGAGGTCCACGAAGAACCTGGGGGGTTTGTTATTTCGGATTTTCCTTGCAGGGGGGAGGGAGAAGTTGGACGTACCAGGCCTTGTAGCGATCGTCGTATTGTGCTTTCCAACCGTCCGGGACGGAGGGTGGGGGGAGGCCCGGGGGGCGGGGCAAAGGACGACATAAAGTGTCACTGACGATGGATGGAATGATATAAAGAAAGGGTTCTCTGTAGAGAAGAGAGAGAAAAGCAAGGAGGGATTGAAAAGGTGGGAGGAGAGAGAGGTGGAATGGAACGGGACTATAAACGACCGGGGACTAGTTGGTTCTTGGCCCTTGGCTATATGGAGTAATCAGTACGGAGTAAACGGGCACATTCCCGCAGGCAACGCAATTGGTGGCTGTGCCCCCGTCGCCATTGTGGCAGTGCGACGTCATTCTTGGTGGATTTGGAATGTTCTACGCAGTACCCTTGAACTAAAACACCTGCCTACGGAGGATTAGTTCCAGGGTTCTAATTGTGGCTTTCAAGTCGTTTCTTTGCCGTTCTTTGCCGCTTTCTATGATGGGGTTGGATATGTTTTAGGACTCTGAGCGCCCTCATAAAAGCGGCGGCAACTAAGATAAAAAAGCCCCACCCGGCAAAAGAAAGATGGTACAGTCTATACATACATGGCGCCCTCAACAAGCTGATCGTTTACCCTGATACATAAACTACTTAGACTATTTGATCTTGTTCTGGATACTTTTATGTTTTATACTAGATTGATTTCGTTATCATCCCTTGCCTCGTGGGATTTCTACCTGCCCGAGGCTGATTCTCGCGAAACAATCACTCACTGGCCGAACCAATCATATAGAGGGGTATATGCAATGATGCCTAGTTTTCAAGCGCTCAGGGGGCTTAAAGATGAACGGACGCCCCAAGTATCTTTCAGACCAGAACAAAGCTGATCATCTCATCCTCATAGGAGAATGTCCATGGCTTCTCAAGTCGCACCCCGTCTGGCTGGCGCATTCCAGAACGCCAAACAAGACTTTTTGGCTTCACTCAAAGACCCAGATCTGTTCAACAGTGTATCCAACATCAAATCAATCGATGAAGTTTACACTTTCACTTATCAGTTTCAGAATGACCAGAATAAACGCCAAGGTATGCGGAATCTTTCCAAGATCAAGCCATACTTAGATCGATTAAAGGAATTTGCTGGCGTCATCGAAGTTTTCGTTCAAGTTAAGCCCGATATTCTGGCGCTCATATGGGGGCCCATCAAGTTCCTTCTGCAAATGTCGGATAATTCGACGCAGTCCTTCGATGCTATCGTGGAAGCGATGACTGGAATTGGTAACAAGCTGCCTCTTTTTCAAGCTTATACCAATATTTTTGAGACTAGCGTTCGAGTTCTTGATGTACTTGTACTGTTTTACAAGGACATCTTGGACTTTTACGAGATCGTGTTGAATTTCTTTTCAGCAAAACGTCTGGAATTCATGCCCCCCTGATTGCTTCATGTTACTAAGTTTTCTCTAGGTTGGGTCATTGTTTTCGATTCAGTGTGGCCACGATACAAAGCAAAGATCAACCTTGTCGCCAGCAGTATCGAAAGACATTCGGTATTGATGACAGAGGAGGTCACTTTGGCGAACATCACCGAAGCGCATGCGGCTCGAGTTACCGATATGAATAACTGGCAACGGACTTTCAACTTTCAGGAAACGCGAGATTTTGACAGCGTGTATTCCTACATCTCACCGAATTTGTACGATGATGAGCTTGACAAGTTTCAAAGAAGAACATGCGAGAGGACCGGTAGATGGCTTCAACGAGAACAGGCCTCGAAAGACTGGATGGATGCGAGTAATACCTCCACGAAAATTCTCTGGATGCAAGGTATCCCTGGAGCGGGAAAAACCTACATCGCCTCTATGATGGTGGAAAAGCTAAGGCAATCCTCGAAGACCGTACTTTTTGCATTCTTGAGTTACACAAAAAGCGATGTGACACCAGTCTCGATCATACATTCTCTCATTTTCCAACTAGCCATTGGGGACGACCATTTTGATGACCTACTCAAGCGAGATCTACGTGCCAAGATTTCCAATACATTTCGCTCGAGCCAGCGAAATTTGAAGAGCAATACTCGATTTGCTCGCGAAACGTTAACAGAGTTACTCAAATGCGTCGGTCCAGTTTACATTATTCTCGATGGTCTCGATGAGGTCTCCAAAAATGAAAAAAATGAACACATGGTGGACATTCTAAATGAGCTTCTGAAGGTACTAAACGACTGCACTGAAGTGAAGCTCTTCATAAGCAGCAGAGCACAAGATGAAATTGGTAGCACGCTGAATAAAGCGTCTGCCAAAGAGATCCGCGTCGACGAGAAAAACAGCGGATGCATCCACGCATACGTTATGGTCACAACCGATGAGTGGCTCAACAAGGCAGGATTCGATCAAAAGGATTGTGACGAGATCAGGGCTTTACTGAAACCACTTTCAACCAAGGCAAGAGGTATTCCTGATCATCAGAAATATCCATGTCTGCGATTGCCGGCTAACGCTTTTAGGCATGTTTCTTTATGCGAGAGTCGTCATGGCTAATGTCGTTGATATGTACACTTTCGACATGGTCAAAAATGAGCTCAGAGTTCTCCCCGAAGATCTAGATGAAGCGTAGGTCCTAATTTTCTGAACAAACATACTGAGCCCTAATCATAGTCTTCGTCAAAGATATTCTAGAGTTCTCAACCGCCTGAACAGTTTGAAACCATCATTGGATACAATTTGTCGACGTGCTTTGGGATGGATAGGATGCACGCCAGTCTCAATTACCGTGGAAGAGCTAAGTTTTGCTCTTAGTATCGATCCAGATGGGAAGAGAGATTTGCCCCGATCGGAGGCTGTTCTGAACGTTGTCAGGCTCTGTGGGCCTATCGTTGAAATAACCAACGGTTATGTCAACTTTGTTCACTTCACAGTCAAGGAGTAAGCTCGTTCGTTGTTATCACGTTGTAACCATTACTGAACTCGGAGTAATTCAGGTACCTCTTTGAAAAGAAGAAGGATGCATTCCTGAACGCGTTGGAACCGACCATCGAGATGACTAAAACCTGTCTTCACTACTTATCATCTAACGTCTTCGACATTGGAAATGAGCCTGAAATTATTGACAGAAACATCTTAAGGGGCCTATATCGATTACATTGGTTCGCGACAACTCAATGGATTGTATTGCTTCAAGAGTGCGACAGACTTCTGGGTAGTTGCGACTTCCCAGAGTCCCTGGTCCTTGCACTAAAACAATTTGCTCACGAATGCGAAAACGGAAACTTTGAGGGTACAGTGGACTTGACAAATCAACCAAATTTCTCTGCTCTCAAGCAGAAGGAACCGGCACTTCATGAGCTTCTCGTTCAAGAGCTTTACTTCCGCCGCATGGATGTTGGCGACTGGAAGTTAGAGGATAACGATGAAGGTATCTCAAATCAATTAATGTGTATATTTATAGAATTAAGGGAACATTACTGACCACCTTTTCTCTGGAAGATGACTCATGGACCAACTTGGATCCGTTCTACCTATCCTTTGTCGCAATGCTCATACATGAAAGTTTCGAGGGCCTCCTCTGTCCCAAAGGACCCCACAAGGCAAGCTGCGATTGCACAAGATTGAAGAAGCTGTATGGTGAACGTCTCTTCAGATGCCATTATGCAATCTGCCAACCTCTTCAAACGTCGTTCGCATCTAGAGCGGATCGCGATGCACATTGTCGAGATCACGGCCGTGTTTACAAGTGCCCACACCCATCTTGTGATTTCTCAACAATGGGGTTCTCATCTGCGAGTCAACTTGAAAAACATAAGGGCATGTGTCATGTGAATGCGCCTCTGAAAGCTATCCAGACGATGAAGACTCCAGAAAAGGACGAGATTGTGCCTCTGATCTCCGATATCATCGCGATGGGAATGACTGACGAATTGAAGGTACTACTGCCAAGATTCAATCTAATTGACAGATATATGCAGGATGCGCTTGTCAGAGAATCCGCATTCTGCGGAAAACTAGAAATTTTTCAGCATCTATGGGAGCAACGCAAATCCAGATTCGAAGCAACACAAGATTTTGTTCGCGAGTGTGCTAGTGAGTCAATCAGTGGAGAAAATGTCGAAGTGTTAGAATACCTAGCTCCAATGATCGAAATTATCGAAGAATATAATTCGATTAGCGAATGGGATACCCTAGCGCATTACATGAAAAGCGGTGCAAATTCAGAGTCCCCGCGAATATTCGAAATATGGAAGAAGCAGACAAGTGAATGCAATGTTCGCACTTTGATCTCTGAAAATATGCTCCAAAGTCTCACAACCCCTGAAAAGCAAGAGCGGTTTGCAGCTATATTGGATGAAAGAGCATCTTGTGGTCATCTCTCGAGGGATCAAATAAACACTGGATTGAAAAGGCTAGCCTCAACGTCTTGCGCTCCTTCGATAGCACGCGTGTTACTCAAACATGGCGCAGTTGTGGATTTCAGGTCCAAGAATACTAGGGGGACAGAGCTTATCAGGACTCCGTTGTTAGCAGCGGCAGGCAGGAACTCGAAAGACGCAGCCGAGCTGATGAAACTTCTGCTTCTCGCGGGTGCAGATCCAAATGCATACTATTGTCCGAAGAAGGGCGGTGAGCCTAAGTTTGTAAGTATGCAAACCGGAGCAAGAAGAATTTCGGAGTGGCTACGATTTGACTGGACTGAACTTGTTGAATGGACAACAGCAGAGCGATCAAAAAATGAGAAGCCGAGGACACCTGTCCTGTCGACTGATAATCTATCGGATTGAAGCTGATCAGACTACCTTGCATTGCTCAATGTCTTGCGACCACTCTTGTTTTTACACAGCGAAGTTTCGCTCTGATCCTGGCTCACTCATATAGTAAATTTTCTTCAAATACATTCATGCTAGCAGTAGAGATAATTTCTGGAGATATATTAGTGTCCTGCTACTTCCTGGAGCTTCAGGGGCATTCTGGTCAGAATACTCACTTGTAGACGGGCTTCTCTAAACTTTTCCTGGTCCGTTTTGGTATCACCAAACGATTGTTGAGCCAGTCTCAGTTTGCTTTGTTGAATCCCTTGGACGTACTGTACAATATGAATGTCAATACGAAAAGACAGAGAATTTGAGTAATCGAAATCAGCAAAATAGTGGGTGTCTCACATTCTCAATAGACTCTTTCACGACATAGCGATTGATTGTTACACTGCGATTTTGGCCAATGCGATGTACTCGATCGACAGCCTGGGCTTCGACCATAGGATTCCATTGGGGTTCAACGAGGTGTACACTGCTTGCGCTGGTAAGATCAACACTGAAAATACCAATGCCGTTAGTTTTGGCTGCCGTCACGCGGATTTGTTTATTGACAACGCACCCTTCAGCAACCGCTCCAATGCTGGCAAGTAAGACTGTGCATTCCATGTCTTCTTTGAACCTCTTCAGTGCAAGAGATCGATGTCCAACCGATGTTTTCCCATCAATCCTTTGAAAGGATATGCCATTTTCTCCCAAAGCAATTTCAATGAGATCAAGCATCTTTGTCCAGACGCTGAATATAACACTGGAAATCCACATATCAGTCAGACAATGTCCAATGGTTAATCAACAATGGCGTTACCTCTTTACAGGTATTCTATCAAAAGTTGACAGATTCCCGAGTTGTTCATTCTGGACGTTTTGTATCAATGCGTTAATTTTTGATGAAGGCTGGTATCCAGTCCGCCCCAATTTATCAAGGTCCATTGCTGATCCTGGAGAGCCAGGTACGAGATCAATCGATAGTCCAGAAGGAGCTGTCGATACATCGGATTGCGTTTTAGTTTTCAATGGTGAGGCGACAGTGGAGATATTCTGCTTGTTGTACATTTCTATAGCGGCTGGCGGTAGAAGTTGTCTTCCGTGGTTGCAAATTGACCTCAGAAATCCAATTATGGACAACATCGATTTCCAGGATGTTTTATCCATCTGCGACTTCTGACTCGACCTCCCCACAAGAGAAGACGCCCGAGACTTAAAGAAGTCATAGATTTTTCGCTCTTCGTCAGAGAGATCAATTTGATGCACTTTTTCAATGCGTGATGGTAGCTGTAGTTGATCTTGTAAGTGGTCCTTCGTATGTCGTAAACAAGTTGCAGCAATAAGGTTCCTGAAACGTCGAATTCCGATCTCATGTTTATCATGAGAATTCAACGGGGAATTGATCCAATGAGCAAACGCGAGTTTTCCACTGGAGCCGGCAAATGGAAACACCCTGATGAATGCTAACAGGGCTGCGTAGTCGTCCACTGTGTTGTGAATTGGCGTTCCGGTAAGACACCAACGATATCTAGCCCGGAGGTCGCATGTCGCTTGAAAGATCTGCGAGGACCGATTCCGAATATGATGGGCTATTTTCAGTAGTCAGTCAATTGAACAGAATATTACTCGCTCATCAAGGGATGAGATACCTTCGTCAAGAACTATACGCGCCCAACCACCGTGATTTTGATATAAAACACTGTTTGCTAGATCAGTCGACCATTCACTACGCAAAGTCTCATAGGTCGTCAAAACGATGTCGTTGGTCATCAAGTTTGGCGCCAGTTTATGCCTGTTTGGTCCATGGAAAACAGCTACTTTGACTTGTCCCTGCTGCAAATGCCTAGCGTCTGCTTTAGTCTTAGGTTGACAAGTCGTTCAAGCCATGCTTCTTTACCTCGAGATTTGTTGTTCCCATCCCGGGATAGCTTGTAACATGTTAGTTAAGTACATCCACAGAGCAATAAAAAATACTCACTCGATGTGGTGGCGACGACAAGAGTTGTGCGAGGCGCAATGGCGTCCAGAGCTAGGCTATCAAGGTACCAAGCAATGAGGGCGAGTATACTCAGTGTTTTTCCGAGGCCCATAACCTATTTCATATAAGAGAATATTCGGTAGACTGAGACCCCTTTGGAGAAGACTCACATCAGCTAATATGCCTCCAAGAAGGGGCGGGGGTTGAACTTCCGATGCCATTCTAGTAATGGCGTGACGATATCTGAGGAAGAAAGGCAGTGAGTGGGATTTTGTCCAAATCCGTCGATATACATGCAGTAGGTATCATACTCAACATTACCGCCCTGACCTCGCGAGACCTCCCAGAGAGGAGGGAAATGTGCGCCTTCAACGATACCGCGCTCCTTCTCGACCATCATGGAAAGTGCTTTGATTTGATGTCTGCAACATATCAGCACAGAATTCAAATACATGGTACCAAACTTACTCTTTGAGCTTCGTCTGCAAGCGCGGGCTTTGCTCAACGGCCGCGAACGTGGAAGGGCCATCAACATTGTCAAATGCCTGGAAGACTTCACGAGCCCGTGGATTATCCAAGAGTTGATCAATGTCTTCTGGTTGCAACAGGTTTCCAGCATCTATCTCTTCAATAAGAGGCATCTCTGTTCCTGGGCCTAGCAAGAACTGAGGATTCTGATACGGGACAGAGGTATCGCCTTGTGTCGGGTGTTGAAGAAACAAATCACCATCTGAAAGAATGCTATCCACCAAGTCAACCTCACTAGAAAAACCATAAATCACGATTTCAACTTTCGTATCTTTATGGCCTAGTGTCACCCTCGAAGCTTTCTCCTTTTTTGGCCGCTCGCATCTGGCAGATAATGTGACTTTACAATCCTGAACAAGCTTGCCCAGGGCTTCCGAATACAAAATACCGACATTGTGCTTTGGAGAGCCAGCGGAAAGCTTTAAGAGATTATCCACCACGTGTACGTCAACAGGGACAGAATCCTCGGCTCCCATCGGTAGATTATGACAAGATGCTTGGAGTACGACCTGCACGAATATGTGAGAATTGATGGCAGTTCTGTTTTCCCAAAGCACCGGAAATATGACTTACCATCCCAAAGCAGACATCATAGAAACCGTTGGAAATTGTCTGAGAATCTTGAAAATCGCCTTCTAAACAAACTGTTGTAGTAGGAGTCTTCTCATTTTGTAGACACGAACCACTGTACCCCGAAACAGGTGTGAGAAAGGCATTATCAACACCCCCAATGTCTGGCAATAGAGGCCAGAGACTTGCGGAATCCTCGATGGGGTTCAACGAAGGCTCCGCTTGCATTTCATTCATGAGTAACTCAGTAGAAAGCATAGAGTCAACGCCTCCAATGGACTGCAGCTGGAGGTCCTCAGACATATCTCCACCAATGTCTGGAGGTAAGTCCCAATAGGTATCACCAATCTGATTACTTGATGGAGAGACCCCCGGGTCATCCATGGATTCTCTATGCACCGTCGCTTGGGTTCGGGATTCATGTCTCCAATGGTAGATGGAGAATCGAGCTGTTCGCATGCTCGTTTTGCCAGGTACATCTCGCCGTAGCCCACCAACTGATCCATTGTAAGCAGAGCTCCCAGTGTAGATGATTCGGATCGGTCTTTGACTGAGATTTTCTAGGTACAAAGGTCCCAACGTGTTAGGCACCCTCGAGTTGCCCAGCCACGGGGCTGAGCACGAGGCTCAACCCGGCTGCAGCCAATAATTGCCACGGCCTCATGTTTCACCGCAAGATTCGACAGGGATATTCAACTCTGCGCCTGGCTACTGGTCGCTCGGTCACGCGGTGAAGCGACACGTCGAGGAACGATTGATGTCATGTATCTTCCGCAGAACGCCTAGGAGAATAGTTGCCGAGTCTAGACCTGAAAGATAACCTTGCCAATCTAGGACTATGGCTGTAATTAAAGCGAGAAACAATGGCCTTAACCATTGTCAAAGCTGATATTTGTAGATCACAAGAAATACGACCGACTGGAATCTGACTTCAAAACACTAAATACACACGAACTGACTTTTCAACGTAATGACTTGATAAGAATTTGCTGACATGAGAACTGATCTGTCAACAACTTTCAGTCTGCGATCAACCTTCCGAGTGGGCGCGAGAAGCCCTATTCTGCACCCATACACCGCCTTTGAAACCAGGAACTCGGTGTTCCAGCAAAGAACCAAATGTAGGCTTCAGTAGATTTACCGTCTTGTGATCTAGTGATAGATTGATACGCAGTTAAGTATAACTAAGATTTTGGTAAAATGAACCCTTAAACTGACGTCGAGTGTAGCCGTTTTGGGCGTTCGATTTACTGTCACTTAGCGTTGGATGTATAATAGCAGCCCGAGTGCAAGCACCGTCAATCTGGCGACTCAGCTACTAGTACTACTAGTGAAGTTGTTGTATGTTAAATATGGGTTTCTAGCGGCCATGCTCGGGACTTGGTCGCTAACCTGTCCACCATGGTTGACAAGAGACTGCGTTGGATACCCTACATGCATTTCGAGGATGCTTAGGTGCAAAAGTATTAGACGAATGTAATAGCTTAAGGAGAAGAAGAAGAAGAGACAGTACAGTGGAATATCTTAATCGAAGCCATCTGCATATGGTAACCAACAATAGTAACAGCCCTGGTTTGTTACATACATTGGGAATTGCAGTGGATTAGAACGTCAAGTTGCGATGTTAGAACTGCCTTAGCCCATCCATACGAAAGAAATTGTCGAGTACGAGGGTAGTTATCCGAATATAGCCCTTGATATCGGGGGTTCAAGTTGACAAGCGATTTTCACCTCTCATGAAAGGCTTTCCCTCATCGCTCGGTAAAAGGTGCATTCATTGTTCTAGCAAAGGAGTTGTTCACCTACATGACTGGAGCATAAAATAAGAGATAATAAAAAAACCGCAATTCCACCCACAGTGTGTCCCTTCCCACATAAACACTCGCCATACACAGGCCTCACGCACGCGCATTTCCCGATCATTCCCATACCTCAAGTCGTCGAGGAATATTAGCATCAACGAATTTGTTCTCCGGCCACCAGTAATCTTCTTCCATATCTTCGCTGCTGCATTTACATGCCGATAAAATCAGACACGGATCAATACACGAGGATGACCCTTCTGCTTCGGAGGTCAAATCAATAACAGGGGCATCGATTGTTAAATCGATAATTGTGCCGTTGGAATTCGAGGAAATCGTCAGATCAATGATTCCTTCGCCGATTCTAGTGATGACAGCGTTCAATCTTTTTTTGCTTTCGCGTTTTGCCTTCTGTCCTGATTTGGGGGGTTTTTTTGCTTTTGTCTTCGACTTTGGCTTTGACCTCTTTGAAGCCAATGAAGGGCAGCTCGAGGCAGAGCTCGAGGTGCCACTTTTGTTGATGCCGTCTCCATTGCGATCTTTCCCACGCTCACGCTGAATGTGGTTGACCAGCTGGGAACGAGCCTTCGCAATATCAAAAAACCCTTGGACATTCGCTTTTGCTTCATTGTCAAGGTTGTGTCGATCCTTGACAGGTGGTCCGTCGAATTGACGTAGTCGGTACTTCTCGAGTAGTGGGATATCTCTTGAATTCTGTCCTTGCTTAAGGCCTCGAGCCCAGCCAGCATAAGGTCCAGAATATTGTGGTCCCTGAATTGGACCATACACTGGGTGTAATGAAAGTTCACCAGATTGCAGAAGCTCGTTTGCATGGGAAATGAACGGTGATGATCGATGCTCGCAGTACGCAGATGCAGGAGCGTGGAAGAATTCCATCTTGGCCGGTTCAGGATCTGAGCAGGGTCCCGATGAGAGAACGTGAATTCCTCCACCAGCTTCGCCGATGAGAAGATGAGATTTATCGTCCGAGAAGAGTCCTCTCGTTATCCCGGCGCTGAAACTTGCAGTGTTCCCCACTAAGACATCCTCCGGGGAGCGTCGAATGTCCCACTGTTTCAGAACACTATCTGAGCTACCAGTATAGAACTGGTCAATAGTCGTACCCCACAAAGCAGCTCCAACACCATAATCATCATTTTCAAGCTGGTATTCCAGGCTCACTGGGAGCACCGAGGGGCCGTGTGACAATTTGTGGAGCATCTTGTCGGGATTTCGCTCATCCCACACATATGTACTTCCATCGGTACAACTGGCAGTTATATAGAAGCCCCTCGGGCAAAATGTCACCTGATTGATGTCATATGCTGGGCAAGGGAATCTGCTGGTGACTACGGAGCTGTGGCTCGATAGGTCATAAACCTGTACCACCGTGCGAGTGTCGCGAGGAAGCGGCAATCCTAAGGTTGAGCTTGCTGTCGCAAATTGCACCTCAGTGGGGCTCCAGGCGATATGAAATATGTGCTGTGAGTTTGGTACTACTCTCCGAGTGGATATAGACGATTCTTCGATGCCCCAGACCTGAAGATGACCTCCAAGAGGCTCTTGAATTTCATCAGGTCTTTCTGCCACACCCATACCCCCTACTAACAAACGTCCCGTGACAGATTCTTGACCCCAGGCGATGTCCGTGGCAGCTAGATTCGTCTTTTGACGAGGTGGTCTCTGGATAGGGAGCGAGATGCGGCGAGTCCTGTCTCGAAGATCCCACAGATCAAACGACTTAGAAGCAGTTGCCAGAAGTTTTGGCGCATGGGTTGAGTACGCCATTCCTATAACCTCGGAATCATGCCTCAGGGTTTCGACACAGGTGGCACTTTGATCGATATCCCAGATCTTGACGGTTTTGTCGTAACTCGCCGTAAACAGCTGGCGCTCAATCCATTCCGAGTGAGACACTGTCGTCCATCGGTAATCATCATCGAATTGAGGAATGCTCTGGGCTGTGTAAGGTGTCATACAATGACCAGGGATCTCAGTCAAGGAATTGCGGGTGAGATCGCCGAGAACCAGATTGTTTTTACGATTGTATTGATCCTGTGAGATGGCGCCCGCAGCAAACTTCGTTCCATCTTCTGACCATGCAAGGCTCACGACATCGTCCGAGGCGCCTTTCCACCATCTCCAAGATGTGAGTTTTGAAGTCATTGTAGAATAGACCGGAATATCGAGTCTCCCATGGATTTCTTGAAAAAGATTTCGAACACGCTTCCGAGCCCGGGAGTTCAGGCTTATGAGACGAGGGTATGTGATAGATGATGGCAGTTTGGAGGGTATCTTGGAAGAGGAACGTATCCTACTCGGGGAGTGAGCGAGTAGCCTGGAGTTTCGAGTACTTTGTCGAGACACTCGTCGATATGTAGACTCTCCAGAGACCGGAGAGCTGTTTCCCCATGCGCTGCAAGTTGAGAAGCCATAATGATCTATAAAAAGTTAGACAACCAGGATATAACTCGAGATATCAGGATGGGTGTTCTCTTACCGGGAGGACCTAGTATCGCAAAGCTAATTCGAAGGTATGAGACTCAAGCCTCCGAGCTTGTGGTATGGCACATGCGGACCGGAGGAACTAGTATCGCAAAGGTCAACCGAAGGTGTGATGCTCCAGTTCCCAAGAATGAGATATGGTGCATAGTAGGAGTGTTGAGGAGGTTGGGATCTCCCGGGTGCTGTTAGCAAAGTGAAGTGTGGGAAGTGAATGAGGAAGGAAGAGCGGAAAGGAACCGCATCGCATCTGCCCTGTACATAAAGTAGTAAATAATTAATCGTAAATAGTAAGTAATAAGAGTACACATTTTGGAAACATTATAGAATTCGAATTGACAAGAAAAAGAAAGATAGAGAGGTATATCAAAAAATAAATATATTTACAATCCGGCAACAAAGGCATCGTCGGTCTGGCCCTAGCTCGTAAGCTTCTGGGTTCTGAGCTTCCCACAATGAGAGGAGAAAAGAAAAGGGACAGTCAGTTCCTTAAGATTGTTGTCTAGTCGAGTCGAGGGACAAGAATAGCGTGTTCGGACGAGCATGTCGTGATGTTTTATGTTTGGCGATCCTTGACGGCCAAATTTATGCGCATGCACGGCTTCAGGTTCTCTGTTGGCATCCCACTTACTTACCAATAGCCCTACGCTTGCGCATCGAGATCATTGTATCATAGAGAACATCCTTGAAGGCGAAGAGGAATGCGGCAGTAATAGCACTCTGGGTAACCTTGGGGCCAATTCCTGCGTAGAAAAAAAAAATAATATTAGCAAGGGCTTTTTCCCACAGCACATCACTCCGGCCTCTTAAAGAACTCAACAACTCACCCTTGTAAAGACCTTTCCACCCCTCCTCATTAATAATCCGCTTCAGACTGCCATTCAAGCTCTCCTTAGGCCCATCCTTACTAGCCACATGCGCACGACTCTTAATAGTAATGTAAGGGTACGTGATACTAGTAGCCAGGATCTTACCCAGCGCACCCAGATAAAACGCATCCTTGGGCGTCATTCGTCGTCGCCGCTCAACCATATTCTTCAACTGTTCGAAAATAGTATACTGAAGAATCGGATTGATGACAAGGACCAAGGCAGGCAGTACACCCGCGAACAGCGCCTTAGGCCCTTCCTCACGAAGGAGCTGCATCAAGGTATTGAAAGTCGAGGCCTTAGCCTTCTTCGGCGCACCAGGAAGACCCTGTTCCTCAGGCTCCGACTTGCGCGCCGTCATGCGGGTATTGATGACCCAGATAGGGTTGGTGATTAGGACCGTCGCGCTACCGGCGATGGCGCCGGCAATCATGGACTCGATTGTTGTGAGCTTTTTCGCGCGGCCGGCTGTGATAGCTGCTTTTTCGAAGGTGGAGCGCGTCCATTCGTACCAGTAGTAGTAGACGAAGTTTGTGACGCTTATTCCGAAGAGTGCGGACTCTAGACCCGAGTAGAGGCCAGCGATGCCTTCGCGCTGGACGATGCGGCGGACGGCATCCAGGGCTGTGGAGTGTGCTCGCTTGGACTCGACTTGGGCTCGTGTCGAGAGGGTGATTAATGGATATCTGCCGGGGAAGAGTGGATCTCAGTATGTGTGTGTCCCATGGGGAAGGGAGATGGAGTAATGCGGGGTGGTAGCGTACGTCAAAACCATTGAGAGAATTCCACCTCCAGCGCCGGCCAGCGCGTGTGCGATATTATCGCTCTGCTGGATGGCTGTAGAGGGCGCCGGAGCTGGCGCGGGCTTTTGGTCACGCTGTTGAGACATGATGGCTTGATGGTCTTCCGGAATGGATTTCCGAGAGGATGGCGGAAGTGTTGCGGGCTTGAGGGATCAAAGATCACGGAAAGGTATTAGGTCGAAAGACAATAAGGAGCGGATGGGTATGTTAAGGAGGTAAAATCAAAAGAACCCCTAATGTCTTATGTTCAGGAGAAAAGGGCGCGATAATGATTCGGCTTGGGGGGAAAGAGGGAGTTCATGACGTTTTGCCGAGTGTTGTGCCTCGGCTGCCGGCCAACTCCACAGTGCATTCCGAAACGGCCGTGACAGTCCGTGTACGAGTATATTTGTCGATTCGATTGTATGTCCCCCTTCCACATGGAGAATTAGCGTGAAGCTGAGGCGCGCAAGTCCCCACTGAACATCCAACTGGCAGTTTGACGCTAGGAGAGTTGTCGAGTTATGAAGCCCGGGGCCCCGAGTCTTGCATGTGATCAGATCAGATCAGATCCCTGGGGCACGCTCCTGGCTCCACGGCCTTGCTTTACAGGGGACATTGTCATATGGTCATATGGTCATATGGAAAATGGTCGAGCCTCTCTAGAATACAGCGATTGACTACAAGTCCCGGGGAACAGATTTACAACCGGCTGATACACTGAAACGATATAGCAAAAAGAAGAATTCCTAGAGAGAAACACAACAGTCGTCGCCATTAATTCATTCAGAAGAGATGAATCCAACCTACAAGACAAAAGAAAATAAAAAGAGAATAAAAGTAAAAGGAGGTCAAGGAGATAAAGGGGGTGGAGAACAGGGGATGAAGGGCCAAAACAGATCAGATGCGGCCAGGGAAGAGAAAACACCGGCGGTAATCACGAAGCAAATCGAAGAACGATAGAACGCAGGGCCGTCTAAAGCACAGGAAGAGAGGAAGAAAGGAAGAGCCTTCCCGGAGGGGGTGGCACTCGCGCAAAACGAATGGCAAGCCTCGCCTCGTCCTGTCCTGTCCTGTCTTCGGTATTCCCACTGGAAATACCGACTGTCGTAGGGTGTGACATGGGGAAGCCTGGCTAGCCGATGAGATACCACGCCCGCTTGGAAAAACCCTCATTCATGATGTAACATTACGCCAAATGAAAACACCGCAACTGGACAGGGTCAGGTCAGGTCATATCGTCTAGCAGCAGCCGCCAGCGGATCCGGACTGGACGCCTTGGCCTTGGCCAACCTGCACAGTAGGCTTGTTGTTGACAGTGGCTGTTCCCATGCGCTCCTTGATCTGTCGGGCCATTGTCAAGAAAGCCTGCTCAACGTTGGAAGCGTTCTTGGCAGAGGTCTCGAGGAAGGGGATTCCCAGGCTGTCAGCAAACTCCTATAGGCAAAGAAAAGAAAACAAGTTAGTAAATGTAAGTTGGCCAGAAGGTTTATCCCGAACCGATGCGGGGTGAAACAAAGAAAACGGAAAGAGATGCAGGTGCAGGTGCATACCTTCGCGACAGTGTACTCCACGACCTTCTTGTCCTCCATATCGCTCTTGTTGCCGACAAGCAGCTTGTTGACGCCCTCGGTGGCGTATCGGTCAATCTCTTGAAGCCACTGCTTGACGTTGTTGAAAGAGTCCATGTCGGTCACATCGTACACGACACAGATACCGTGGGCACCACGGTAGTACGACGATGTGATGGTACGGAAACGCTCCTGGCCAGCAGTGTCCCACTAGAATGCGCGCGTTAGCTAGATCGCTCACATATCCATATCCCATCTGAAGATAAAATTCTCATACAATCTGAAGTTTCACGGTCTTGCCATCGAGTTCGATAGTGCGGATTTTCTGCGACGTGCGTTAGCATTGCATTGTTATTTCACCGATAGCCCCGCGGGGACGGGACCAAGAGTCAGCTCAACGTACGAAGTCAACACCGATAGTCGAGATGTAGCTCTCAGTGTAGGTATCGTCGGCGAAACGAAGCAGCAAGCAAGACTTTCCAACACCGGAGTCTCCGATGAGGAGGAGCTTGAAGAGGTAGTCGTATCTATTTCGGTGAGGTTAGGTAAGGCTGATCTGATCGGCGAGATGGGATGGGGTTGCGATGATGGTGGGACAGCAGGATCGAGATACTCTGTAAAGTAAAGCACACGTTAGTTGGTTCAACCGCAAAGAATAGTCTCAACCCCAAACCCAAACCCAACCAGGCGCGGGCGATGCCAAAGAACGAGTTTGGGTGGCGGAGCCCGGTCTGGACACGGAGAGGGAGGTTTCAAAATAAACGGAGCAGTGGGACTTACCACTCGGGGTTCATGATGATTTGGTGTGTTGAGGAATCGAGTAGAAAGTCCAAAGCACCAGATCAGGACGGATATAGCCAAGAGACGAGAGATGAAAGATGGGGGTTGGTGGAGGGGACTGAATGATGAACGCCTGAAATGATAGGAGGTGCAGGAGGCCAGGCGCACCTGATGCGCAGCTTTGTTTCAGCGGCCACCGCCTTTGCTTGTGCTTGTGCCTGTGCTTGTGCTTTGATCCCCTGCACACTGCGGAGCAGGAGTAATACAATTTAATTTAATTTTATGTGAAAATTGCTATGAGAATGCTGATCATATGAAAACTGTCAAACTGATTATACGAAAGCTGTTTCGTCTTTGGCTGGCTTGAGACCAACTACATGGCCCAGGTACTTCTATGGAGTACTCAGATCCCATGCACCACAGCCTCGTGGGATCCTCACTTGCTCGTGGCAGGTGATCGTAAGCCCATATTACTCACACTCTTGCCACTCCCTGTTCACGCGTATCCGTGAGCTCGCAGCCATTCCAGAGCCAGAGCTTGATCGCGTTCCTTGTAGGAAGCGTTGGTCCGGATATTATCCGACACAATAACAAGGGCCCGAGCATAAGCACTAGTGTTCTTATTCTTGAAGAATGCAGCGATGTCATCGCCGATCTGGTGATCAGCAAACTTGGACAGACCCATGCGAATGAATCGCTCAAAGACAACGTTGTTGGACGACAAACGCGTCTCCACCATGTCCCAGTTCGTCTTGACGTACTCCCAGAGCAGATGACGCATCTTGGCATTCGCGGCTAGGGAAACTGCGCCGTTATGGATATCTTGAATCGCCACCTTGTCGGAAAAGACGAAGTTCAGGTAATCTTGCACCAGTGCGGCGTCCTTTGTACGGCCCATGGCGGACAGGCAGATCTCCTTACCATCGACGGAGTCCGTTCGGAGATATTCCTCCTTCACGGCGTCGTATTCCTTACGACCGCCCTCTGAGACGTTGAGGCTGAAAATTGCTGATCGGAGGTTGGTGTGGATGGCGGTCTTGTCTTGGCCGGTGGCCCAGAGGTCGAAACGGCGTTTGGCCTCGGCGACGGTGCTGCGGGGACGAAGAGCTCGTCAGCAATTATGGAAAGGGTAATATGGAAGCAAAGAAAGACTTACCTAGCGTTGCCACTGTTGCCGGTCATGGAAATCAGGAGCTTGCGAAGTTGAATGACGAGATAGTCCTCATTGGGCTTGAATTCCCAACCGACTTTCTCAGCAGTTGGGGTGGCCAGCTTCTGAGTGAACTGCTTCAAACCAGCAGCGACCTGCTCGTTCTGGGCGAAAACGGAGCGCAGGTTCCCCAAAGAAGAAGACACCTGAGACCAGACGCTAATGAGTGAAAAGTAAAGTTAGTGACTGCGCATTGCAAAAGATCTCCTGTAGATCTTATCTCGGCGTCGCTTACAGGTAGTTCGATTCGTCCTTGAATCCCTCGAGCAGGGCCAGCAGAGCTGGCGTGGTGCCCTCGCCAGAGACCGCAAGAGCAGCAGCATCTCCGAGCAATCCAATCTTGTCCTCGGTGCTCAGAAGACCAAGAGACTTGCCCAGCTTCTCAAGGCGTGCAGGCGGGTAGTTTGTACGGTAGAATCCAGACAGATCCTTGTTGATCTTGTAGAACCCGTCACTGCCGGCACCTGCGATGTTTTCAGACTTCGCGGTAAGGGCACGAGTGTCCACGTTAGCCAGCTTATCGCCAGACTTAATGCCGAGGGGAATCCACCAGGTGGTTTCGTCCTCCTCGGGCTTCGCATCGCCAGTAGACAAGAATCGGTTCTGGCGGACGCTAATCTGACCAGGTTCTTCCGCGACTGTGACGACAGGGAATCCAATCTTGCGAATCCAGGGGTCCTAGATTGTGTCAGCTTTAACGCTTCTTTGAGCTGGGGCGTGTCGCTCAAGTTACCATAAATCCGTGAACATCCTGTCCCGAAGCCTTGCTCAGAGCGGACCACAGATCATTTGTGGTAGCATTTCCTTGAGGCGAGGACATCAACTGTTAGTCAAAAGCCAAGCTAATATGAATCGTCGTATAAAAACACATACCGTATGCGTGGGACTTCAGATAATCGGCGACGCCACGAAGGAATCTCTCCTGACCGAGATGAACACTCAGCATGCGGATGACAGAGCTTCCCTTCAGGTAGCTGATGTGATCGAAAATCTGGTCGACTTCGAGGGCGTTTCGAACGGGCACCTCGATGGGGTGAGATGCTCGCAGCGAGTCGAGATGGAATGCTTGTTGAACACCTTCAGCCTGTGGTACAATGTCAATAATGATCTTAGGGCAAGCGGGAGATACCTCGGTTATTGCGTACAACAAACTGAGACCAAACGTTCCATTCTATGCATATATGTTAGAGACCACCTTTGACGTTTTGCGCTTCATATTATGATGCTTACCCGGATAGAAATGATCAACGGCCAGCCAGCCAACCCAGGTGGCAAAGCCTTCGTTGAGCCAAAGCTCATTCCACCAATCCATGGTGACAAGGTTACCGAACCATTGGTGGGCCAGTTCTATGACAGATGTATTAGACAAAGAATGTAATGCATTTCAAGAGGAAGTTCGGCTGGGGCATACCGTGTGCAACCACGTAGGCGATGCGGTTCTTGTAGCGATTGTCGGATTTGCCTTCGTCGAAGAGGACAGCCGTTGTCCGATATGTGACGAGACCCCAGTTCTCCATGGCGCCCATGGCCTAGAAATTGGTCAAGATTAGCTTGGATGCGTTGAATAATATCGAATCGAGACCACGTACAAACTCGTGCACAGCCAGAAGATCCGCCTTGGGCAAAGGATACTCGATCTCAAAAATTTCCGAGAAATAGTCAACTGTGCGGTGGGCACATTCCAGAGCAAAGCGAGCCTGGTCCTTCAAGCCGCGAGTTGTGTAGACCCGAACAGGGATGCTCTTGCCCTTGTACTTGCGCTCGGTCATAGCCTCAACATATTCGAAGTCTCCCACTGCCCAGGCGAGCAGCTATATGGTTCATGTATTAGTGAAATATCCAATGGCTTGCTTGTTCTCTACCTCGGTACTCACGTATGTACTCATCACCGGGGTCTTTTCGAAAGTAACAAACTTCAAATCGGCATTGCTTCCATCTCTTTCCGATTTGACAGGCATGTTGCTAAGTGCAGTCTGACCCTTGGGGATTTCGATCTCGAAATCGAAAGTGGCCTTAAGATTCGGTTCGTCAAAGCAAGGGAAGGCCCTCCGAGCATCGCAGGACTCAAATTGAGTGCTAAGCATGTAATAGAAATCTCCCTCCTTGGGAGTGCCAGGGCCTGCTTCCCCTACAGGTGTGTACTTGGAGCGGTAAAAGCCCGCCATAACGTTATTCATGGTTCCGGTGAAGTTGATGGAAAGCACAACGTCCGATGGCGCAAGATCCTTGGAGAACTTGAGAGAAACACGTTCCGAGGTCTTGTCGTATGTAATATCGGTTGCTTTTGCCAGTTGAGCTCCTGAATTGATGTGAATCTCAAGTATCAGCCATCTGCACAAGTTGACCAAACGAGGTACTTCTTCGCTTGCACATACCATCTTGACCGAAAACTTCCGCACTTTGCACGGTGATATCCTTCGAGTTCAGAACAATTTCCTTAGTGGCCCGAGTAATTTTGGTATCGACTTTGATAATGCCCTTGTACTCCCAGGATCCACCAAGTTGCAGGTCGAAGAGAGAAACGTGGTAGTTGACAGGCTTGGCCCTATAGAAGTATCACATCAGTACGGACTCAGGCAAGATCAAAGTGACCATGAACTGGATATATGCAAGATTCGGCGCAATGCCACAAGTGGATCAAATAACATTGAAGATGGTCCACTGCCAGATGATCTTCCTAGATAAAGCTCCATACTTGACAAGAGAGCAAGCCTCCAGAAGCAGAAAATATTGGATATGGTTCCACCGGATCGACTGAAAGACATGACCAGTATAGCCTCCTGGGTATTTCCACCGCTTCTAAGGAAAGAAAAAAGGTGCGGGGTTGATTTCCATATGTCACCATCACTTACACGTCGGGGAGGGTATCTCGATCGGAGGACGCCATCATGCGAACTTCGGCGGAGCAATGTCGAACAGGAGTGATTGCGAAAGGAGGTCTTGAGGCAGGTAATGGAATTCTGGGACGGGTACGCTGTCGAGGAACTGACGGCAAAGAAGAAAAGAAAGAGGGGGAGGGGGAGGGGCGGAGAGCGACTCGGTGACGGACCTCGAGTGCAGCGCGTCTCGACGCCGCAATGGATCTTCTCCCCCACATCGCGGCGTTAGCAACACGGTTACCCTCGGTCTGTTACTTCCCGGGTAATTGCAACCCTTTGACCTTGGAATACCTTTGAGTGGCCGTCTCAATTACCAATTTCTCAAGGGGCGTTTAATTCGAAGAGGTTGTGGTGTCTGGTGTTTCGTGTCTAACGGAGTCCCGTCGGGAGCTTGGACCCTCCTCTCGCCGCTAAACTAAGAGTTAACTAGCAGCGATTATCTCCCCAAGCTTTCCAATCCACCCTTCACTCCGAACTCCGATCCGGCACAACCCCCCGCCACCATGGCCGACTCCGACGAGGAATATGTGGGAGATGTGACTGAAGACGAGGATGATCTTCAGGTCTCCCGGAATGATCGGACACGATCTGGGAAGAGGAAGCAGCGCGGTGCGGCGGAGTGGGAGCTCTCCAGGACTTGGGAGACCTTGGTCGAGGGCGCAGATGGCACCATCAGCTCGACGGTAGAAGGACTATTGGAGGCAGGCAAGCGGAAAAGGTAAGCCAGATTCAGATCCCCGGTCTTCGTTTTTGTTATACCATTCTCCGCAGATTGCTAATGACTTTGACTTTGGCGCAGGCTGTTGAAAGATACGACTCCTCTGCAACGCGGCATCATACGACACCTCATCTTGATCCTAGACCTCTCACAGTCGATGTCGGAAAAGGATCTCCGCCCAACCCGATACCTCTTGTCCCTACGATATGCGCAGGAATTTGTTCGAGAGTTCTTTGAACAGAATCCCATCTCTCAGCTCGGCGTTCTGGGCCTGAGGGATGGCTTGGCTTTTCGCGTCAGTGATATAAGTGGAAATCCGACAGAACACATTACATCTATTCAGAATCTCAGAACACAGGATCCCAAGGGTCTTCCGAGTTTACAAAATGGCCTCGAGATGGCCCGAGGCGCTCTCTTGTACGCTTCCTTCCCTTTCCTTCCCTTCCCCGACTTTACTCCACTACCCTGCAGGGAAACCTAGCCATACCACTTGAGCAGAAAAGCTGACTCTTAAATTATAGCCACACACCTAGTCACGGTACCCGAGAGATATTGGTCATCTTCGGTTCTCTACTTTCATCAGACCCCGGGGATATCCATCAAACCATCAACACCCTGATCACCGACAAAGTACGAGTAAGAATCGTCGGCCTAGCCGCGCAAGTTGCCATCTGCCGTGAACTCTGCACAAGAACCAATGGAGGTGACGAGACGGCGTACGGCGTCGCTCTGAACGAACAGCACTTCCGGGAATTAATGATGGAAGTGACAACGCCTCCAGCAACGTATTCCGAAAAACGAAACGCCAGTTCCTTACTAATGATGGGGTTCCCATCGCGTACTGTGGAAGCTCACCCTTCCCTCTGTGCCTGCCACTCAAAGCCGTCTCGGGGTGGATACCTATGCTCTCGCTGCGGCAGCAAGGTCTGCAGCCTACCGGCCGAATGTCCAGCTTGCGGTCTGACTTTAATTCTGTCTACCCATCTTGCGCGCTCTTATCATCATCTCTTCCCCTTGATCAATTGGGTCGAAGTTCCGTGGAGTCGTGCTTCGATAAGCTCGGCTTGCTTTGCTTGTGGGCTTCAATTCCCGCCAGTACCGCCAAAAGAACAGTGGCATACGGCTGAGCATCACGCCAAGGGGATGAGTGCTAGCAGTCGGTATGAATGCACCGCTTGTCGGAACCATTTCTGCATTGATTGCGATCTCTTCGCCCATGAAGTTGTTCACAACTGTCCTGGGTGTCAAAGTAAAAGCATGCGTGTTCCCGACGATGTGCCAATCACGTCTGATGGGATGGACACGACGGCGTGAATAGTCAACTTGAAAGTTGCTTTGCGGAGGGTTGCATATTTTGGCGTCGTTAAAAGGATTTTGTGGAATGGGTTAGGGTTGGGGGTGGAGTTCAATATTGTACATACATTGGGGTGCCAGAAGTCTTTAAAACAAGACACCCTGTAATATTCAGCATCAAGAGGCTATTTAGGCTACCAAATCTCGGTGAATTGATATGGTTCAAGACTTGCTATATCTATAAGATCCATAATCGGTAGTCTTGTGGAGCAAAAATGGCGTGTAATTAGACGATATACTTCCTGCTTTCAAAAAGCACAACGATAAATTTTGGCTCAAAAGTCAGGCGGAGACGAAGTTTGGCATGTCGACGCTACAGAATGAAATGCTTTGCCGGTCTTGATCAACGGAGATGAGACTGAATGGGTCTACATAACTAAGCAGGACTATTCCCACAAATCAGACTCATCGTCCAATGGAGGTTGAAATTCAGCAATTGAGGAGGATTAGCAGAGTAAAAGTGAGACTTATTAGGACACATACAGTGAGCTGGAGGAGTCCAATGCAATTGATGATGTATATAAGTATCTGAAGGGCGACTGGTGACTGGCTCATAAAGAACAAGCAATGAAGAAGAATAGGAATGTTTACAACACTGGTGAATTTGGAACCTGGGGACTGTTCATACTAGTATAAATATGGTATCCTCTTTGTTCATAAGATTTGATATTCTAGAACTGTCCCCTAACGATGTGTATTCTAGGCTGTCTCAAGACTATCTTATATGTAGTAGCATAAAGTAAGGTTGTGCATATGCGAGCATCTTATCTTATCGCATGAACCTCGGCACTGTCTCGCCCATCCCCGATTAACATGACCCTTCTCCGACCTGCCCCACGTAACCTCCGCATCTCAGACCACACACTCCAACAACCTCAAACCAAACACCATGACAACAGAACTCTTCAAGCGATTGCAATCCTATAATTTCCAAGATGACGCCGAATTCGCAACCGGCCTCGCCATAATCCTTGGTCATCCCGAAACACCCGCCAGCGAGGCGGAGATGAATAGGGAAGATGATCTTGTCTTGCAGGCAAAATGCTTTTTCTTCTCACGGTACACTTCGTTTCGTTCATCTCTATGTAAAGACAAAGATAAATGCTAATCTACTTGTTGTCACACCTTAGGAAGGAAAACCTTTCGCCGCCGATTAGCTTTGCGGCCTATAAAGCTTGGTTAGCTTCCCCGACTGCGACAGAGCAAGAATCAGAATCGAATTCAAATACAGCGCTGTCACAGCCACAATCACAAGAATCAGCCGAGTCGTCATTGGAGTCAGGTACTACCGCACCCGCTTCCTCGGAGCCTGCATATCCGACTTCTTTCGCGCATATCGTGGAATTGATCACGACCGGGCAACCGATTCCGGGAATAGAAGAGATTCCGGATACTGTTTTAGAGGGCCACGACCTTGCCACTGAGAAACCTCGGCGGCGAAAGCCCTGGGAAAAGGACGATGTGGCCCCGGCCTCGGCCCCGGCGGATGAAACTGAAACTACAACTGGTGCTGTTTGAAATGGAATTGCCTCTGTATAATTCGGCTCTCTGGTGATACGATACAAATTTGTTTCTTTTTCATTTCTTCATAGAGGCAGAAGGGAAAGATGAATAGAACTGTCATTATAAAAATATTGATCCGCAGCCACTGACGTAACAAGCAAAGACCAATCTCAATCTCCCATCGCTGGATGGATAGAATATACTAATAGACAACAAGAGTCGAATCTTTTTTGGAAATCAATAGGCAGAGGCAACTCCAGGGGATCCCAATAATAGTAGTGTCCACTGGAGACAAATAATATGTATGGATGAATAATACCTCAACCATGCTGGTCAACCAAAGTTCCGGTAGGATAGACACCGAGTAGTTAGTTGCTTCGTATGCAGAGGAGATAAAAGTCACCATGATAGGCAGATCATTGATCGTTGAACTGAAAGGGAGAGGACTGGTATTTCAGACGACGCTCGTTGAGATGCCCTCCTATAAAAGACCCTGGAGTGACGAAGACAGGCGAAGAAGCAAGCCAAATGAATAGATCGGCAGGCAGGTTTAGTTATCAAGATTGAATTGGATGAAATAAACAGGCGAATAACACAATCACAAATCTTTGATTGGAGCATGTGGTTGTTGCTGGCGATTCTGTAGGAAACTGGATGGCGGTGTGAAAAGCGAAGAGGTTTGAGAAATAATGAATAAGTAAGATGGGTTGTGGTGTACTACCATCCGTTCTGTGGTAGTGTCTTCTTTCGTCTTTCTTTTTTCGGGTGTTTCTTTTCGTTCTCCGAGAAGCTGCGGCGGGGATACCTTCAAGGTAGTCCTATCGTCAAGCTAGCGGAATGGCACATAGCCTGGACTCCACTGGTTCCCGCGGTTATACCGGCCTCCATTCTGCTGCGATGATGAAAATCGCTCTTCGTTGAATTGATTGAAGCGCCCGATCTGCATGCCAGTCCCAGGACCGGGCCGAGTGGTGTGTGATGGGTTGCAGCATAACATCGCGACCCGAGATCCAAACTTGGATCCCCGAAGGGAGACCATGTGTTTTCTATGGGAAGGTGTCAGCTGTCCATCGAGAGAGTGGAAATGAAATGGAAATGAACCATACCGAATATGACCTGCAACAATCTCACGCTGGCAGGGTGCGGCATTCATTAGAATCCATTGGATCAAGTAATTGCCGTATTGGTCACCGGCAACTGTTTATCTATCAGTATAGTCCAAGCAACAGTTGAATAAGCGGAAGATGAACTTACTGTCGATTAACGGCATGCGAGGCCTATTAGTACGACCCGTGCATACTCGAGAAAGGTAGTGATCCAGAAAGTCTGAGCCTCCGATCTTCAGGCATTTCTCGACAATCTTGGATGCAAACTGGTCCATGCTGTAATCAACAGCACAGTGAAGCACATGGTCGGTAGCTCGACTTTTATCGAGCGGAGCACCGTGCTCGCAAATATGTTGAATACACCAGTTTCCGAACTGACCGTGAGAGAGTACGTCTATCTTTACCAGTACCTCTTCAATTGCCGGCCGCTACTAATCGTCAGCTCTTCTCTAGCCTCATTCCGTCAATGGAATGGGGGTTTCAAGGGTAGTACTAATTACCTTCTCTTCCTCAACACAGTTCTCGAATATGTTCTGCACCACCAAACTCCCTGTTTCGCCCAGTGCAACCTCGTGCCACATTCCACGGAGAGCCTCATTCACTTTGGCCATGATTTGAGGGGGGGCTACTACTCCAGCGGAGCTCGAAGAGCTTTTGCCAAACATGGCAAGCGTAGCGGTGGATTACCGTCTCGGGAATCCGGCGGAGAAGTTCGTGCACCATCAATGCTTTGTTTTCCTCCGGCACGCAGTCGAAGGCTTTCTGGATAACATGGCAACCAAATGGATCCATGCTCAAGGTGAGAGTGTTGCCCCTGATGGCGTTGGCAATGGACACGACTTGCTCGGAGGTACCATGTTCAAAGCAGCGCTGGATGAGGAAATTGCCGAACCGATTTACCATTAGCGGATATGCCTGGCTAGCAATCGCCTCGATGATATCATATTTCTGTTCAGTTGTGCCGACTTTGAGCTTCTGCTGGAGGAAAATGGATGCTTGTTGGTCATTACTGCAGACGATCTTGTCAACGATGTATTTCCAATCACAAGAGACGTTCTTGTCGAGGAGACGCCTGTAGTTCAGGGGCTCGAGGGGCGATATGTATGTATGAGTCGAGCTCCCGGCAATCTAAATAAAATCTGTTAGTACTATACGGTTGCTCTCGGTTTGAGACCAGCAAGAAACTGACCGATTGGGGTGGAAGTGGCCATGGACTTGCCTCGGGGCTGCTAGTTGTGAACTCCGTGGCTGTTGGAGATAGTGTCGTTCCAGCTTGTCGGGCGTGATAAGCAAATGGATACATTCCAACTGCCTGTATTACGCTGGAAGATCTAGTAGTCGAAGACGTGGGAGACTTTGGAGTCGAGTCTCCGGTCGTCGCCTCGGAAGTGAAGCCGGTCCAGGGATTACTTGGGGGTGGAAACAGAGTCCCAGCAACGTTTGTCGGAGCAAAAGAACGGCGGGGAATGGGGTTTTGCACTTGCAATGGACCTTGAGAATACCGGGGCTGTTCGATTGGAGAGCGCGCACAAAATCCGTATACACTAGTAGAGGGGTTGGAAGGTATCCTCTGTGTTTGCAAAGCCGGAGACGTATAAAAGGAGCTCGGATTTGAGCCATTCCAGAGCTGGTGAAACTGTCCTGCGGTGTTTGCCCCATGGCGAGAGTCTCCGTAGACCTTTTCGAACGGAAGCTCGCTGCCTGCAACACTGTATGCGGGCTGACTACCCTGGGTCCAAATCCCACGAGCGCGATTGTAAGTGCCAGCGGATAAAGTATCTGAGACATCAGACTGCGAGTCATCCTGCGGATTCCAAGTATCCTGGAGCTGACCAAATCCGGGATGTGAGGCATTGAAAGCACTCTGCAAATGACATATGGTCTGATCCGTGATATCACGAGCACCAAAGTCCGCCTCAGAGGGAGGGCCGAGGGCTTGGTCCAGTGTATGCTTGATAACGCGTGTCTGAGCCAGCTCCTGTTCCTGCAGAGCAATCTTAGAATTGGCAGCAAGCAGTTCCTGCTTAAGTCGTAGAAGCTCTGTCGTTTTCTCATCCGATGTGTATGCTCCTGCAACCTCCGTCGATGTCGTAGCAGGTAATGACTCCTTCGTTGAGACGATTTGCGGCGAGCTAGCAGATCCACCTGCCTCCGACACCATCCCGGAGCGGCCTTGAGGGGAGAGCTTTGCCAGAATTTGCTCCAACGGGGAAGGTTTGCTAGCCAAGGACCCTACCTTTGGATGCCCTAGCTTCTGCTTCTAGGATTGTCAGATCTCCCAATTTTCATAACCAGCATCTGGGGAAGACGAACCTTGTTTGAAGAGGTTTCGATGTCTTCTCCGCTAGAAGCTTGGCCGAAGACCGGCCTCGGTCCTTGGGGCAGCTCCGATGAGCTATGGTGACTGGACGAATGTTGATGACCCTTCAAGATCGAGTCAGAATGAGTAGCAACACGCAGGTCCAAGATTTCCGCGCCAAGGTACTCACCGAGGGCTCGCATCTGTTGGTCATGCCTCGCATTTCAACATCACTGGGAGGAGAATACCCTTCTCTGTTCATGCGGCCAAGCTTGGAGGGACCGCTCAGTGTAGACACCATGGTAATCGGCGGCCAGGGCACTAGTAGCAACGAAATGGGGAAATGAGAGTGAGAACCACACAAATCCAAAGAGGCTTTGAGTACAGGGAGATCACTAAATTTGAGACGACTCTGGGTGTGAGAGAAAAATGGTGAGTGAGGTATAGGAGAAGAAAGAAAACGGGCGGACGAGAGTGGAAGAGGCAGCGGGAGAGACGGCAGCAACGAGCAGCGAGTGTTCATACCGGGCAAGTGCGCTGGAACGACTCATACTTAGCATCATGAGGGGATCATGAATTGTGTTTTAAGGAAATAGAAACTATGACCGGCCACAGTGTCAAAAATTATATAGAGGGAACTGTTTACATTTAGTACTACAACCTGTATCGAGTTTGAGATCTCGAGACGCCGGGTAGATGATATAATTTCGGGGTATTGTATACTTGCGATCTGTTGAACTTTATTTAAATAAAAGGAGGAGGCTATGATATAGTAATTATTAATGAGGGTAAATCTCAATTTTTTACTACATTTTACATTATGGTAGTACTAGATCACATATACTAACTACGAACTACTATTACCAAGATCCATGGATAGGTATATATACTACCTAGGTATGCATGTCATGGTAAGTAGTATCACTGCATTCATACCTACGTACTAGTACTATCGAATAATGTCTGGCAGCTTGAATGCTTCAAGCTGGCTTTCTCTTTCTGTTTAAGTGCTCATTTCCTCGCCGCTTTTACTCACTGGGCCTGCCATGAGTACTGCCTATTGCCCAGGTGCTAACTCAGGTCTAGCAAGTCGGGGTGATCTAAGCAGGCTCAATAAAACGCGACGCGCTAGTCCGCCGGCTGTACAAGACTCGGAGCTGGGGTTGTAAAGTTGGGTCTAATCTGGCGATCTTTCCCTGTGCAAAAAAAACTTGCCTTGTTCAATCCGGCTCATTGGTCGATTAAACCTATCGCAGACTTCACGATACTAGGGGCACGCTGTATTCTCCTTGTGAATCGGCCGGATTTTGAAAACTATGTAGGTAGATGTGTAACCTCCATTGAATATTGGGCAGATAATCTCTCAACTGTCACCCTCTAATTGACTAAAATTGTGGTCTCTAGTATTTTGCCTCTCTAAAAATTACGGTGGAAAGAAACAAAAGAATAAAATTTTCTATCTGCAATTTAGTCAACGCTCCTAGGAGCGCCTGCACGTTCCCGAGAATTCTCCAAAGGTCAGAATGTGCGGGCATTTCGATCATTAACTCGCATGCTCTGATGGAAAAGACCTTCCGAGTCCCCAGGCATTTTTCATGTCCAGGGGAAAATCTGCCTTGAGGCTCTACCGTTCCCTAGCCCTCGCAGGAAGAAAACCTGCCTTGACTGTAAATGTTTCCCACATGAAAGAACCAGTCTCACATTCGGATAATAGCATACTCCGCGCCTAATATGGACTAAGAGATTCTAAATGTTGACCTGAGCTAGATCCTGTATACTTCTGCATATATCCAGTAGGCGTATATATGTAGGATGCTATCTGGCGTTGGATATATCATTTGATCACCCCATTGGTTAATGAGTCTGATAAAAAGGGTGAATGGTTCTATCTCGAAACACTAGGGTCTTCGAGGTAGGACCCGACCGCATAAGCAGGGGAAGCATGGCGGGTGGCCTGAGGGGGCCAGAATGACAGAACATTTGGGGCGGAATTTTTTAGCAGAAAAGAGCACCTGGTTCTAACGAATAAGAAACGACCTATGCATCGCTGGAAAGACTTGGCACGGCTTGGCATGATTGGGCGCAACATGCATCTAACTTGGTCAATATACATACTCTATTTGAGATATATTATATTCATATCTAAAATTAGATATATCGATCCTCCTGCTCAGCAATAAATATTCTTGGTCTGGGGGGTACTATAAGAGAGATGGGAGATCCAAACTTGCCTCACTTAATCTATAAAGTCCTCAAAGTCATCCCGCTATTATCCAACCTTGATTGAAGATATCTCGACCTTGTGTCTACTTTCATTTTTCTTGGAACATTTTTACTAGTGCGCCAATATTGCCATTCTCACCATGCATTTTTGGCCTATTCTAGTTTTGGGACTACTATCTTGCATAGTAAACGCTAGTCCTTTTCCGACAACCGACGAGAAGCGAGACGAAGATTCCTATAATGAGATATATGAGACGGCCGAGAACATGCTGCCCGGAGTGTGGTGGTATTCGGCAAAGCGGACCTGCAGCGAAGATCAATTCAGCGCCTTATACGATGCGACGTCTGCCGTTGTAGGTTTGATTAATGGCATAAACGAGAAAGTCTATGGCGATGAGGATCTCGGTTTATCCCCGGGATGGAATAAATTCTTCATGGACGGGAGAATTTGGCAAGCAGTAAGATGTCCTGAAACCCAGTCACCGACCATTCTGACAGTAGGCAATTAGCAATATCCAGAGGAGTTCTCGTCTATGCTTGGTATGAAGCGAATCTGTGGTTACCATACTTTGCATCATGAAGCCGAATGCGCTAACATTTCTGTTCAGGCCTCTACAACCAGACCAACTTCTTTCTCCAGAATGGACGCACCGAGCTAAAAGAAAAGAAGACCAAACGACAAAACAGACTTGCCTATGTCTGTGGAGATGAAACTGACTACAGCAAATGCAAAAAGGATTCCAAATTGTAGGTCACCTTTTACTGCTCATTCACTACTACTACTAAACACATACATAGACAAGCCTATGTCCCCACTATTCCAACAAAGCTAGAAAATTGTCCAAATTGCTTTTCAGTCGCGTTCTGTGACCCATTTTTTAAATTGAAAACTATTGTGGAATTGGTTGATGGAAGCCATTGGGAAGAAAAACAGCTGAATGATCCCAAGCTCGTCTCCCAGGAACACGCTCTCTTCCATGAATTTATGCACGTTGACTTGATGGGACAAGACTGGCACAGTAAGTTCCCTTCATTTACATCGTGCCAATTACTTATTCTTTGTTTAGTTACGGACCTGAAAGATAGAGATATCTACAATGATGGGCTCAAGAAGTCTGTCTATGGCGCTGAGCTCTGTTCCGACTATGCGTGGAAATATGCCGACGAGAGAAAGGTGAACTATGAAATCCGAGAGAATGGTAAGTCCTAAAGTCACTCAATCCACTACTTTGGCTATAATGTGCACAATTGGCTGATGTAATGCGTTTCGGCAATTTTCACTATAGCCGACAATTATGCATGGGTGCTAAGCTATACTTATTTTAACGCAAACTTTGGATGGGGGATTCAAAACATGGTAGATCAAAGATTTAATGTGGCAGGTAAAGGACCCAGCTCAGCCGACGGTTCTTAGGTCAATATGACCGGGAGGATCACGCTCTAAGGAGGGAAGTCTGGGAGAGGGCAAATGGAGCGTCAATCTTAGAGGAGCTTCAAGATCTCTTGCACAAGAATTATCGATTAAGCTTCAGGCTGACAGGGACGAGTTACTACGCAAGAGACGAAGGGAGAGAAATGGATAGATGATTGATCCAGAAAGATTTGAAAATCCCCATATACTTCGATGCTGAGCGTTCCTGGCTCCACCAGCGAGTAAATTACCCGTCTTAGTCAGTACCTGTATTCACATGACCCCATTGCGAATCCAGGTCCAATCGATACCTATATTTAGATCGAGCCAAGTCGCGATCTTTACAGTTTACAGTGCTTTGAGTAAAAAGCCAAACAAGTTTCCATTAGCTGTAATGAGAATTAAGTAATTTGCAAAGATTTCACCAATCTTACTTCACCAGAATCGCCTCATTAGATATATCTTGATCTCTATTCGGCCGTCTCCATGGTATTGAGATGGTACTACTCGGTACTAGTTTCTTGTAATGTAACCGTCGGTGGCGGTAGCACCGCAAATCACCCATGGACCGCACACCCTCATCGGGCCAGTCGTCGTCGTGTTTCCTCCCCCACCCCTTTTCCTTCTTGTCCTCTCCTTCTGTGGACGAGGAAAGCCATCTCAATTGTCGATGCGAAAGCCTTGAATGACTCGCCATCATAACCCGAGTGCCCCCTATCCCTCCACGTCCATTTGCAGGAGATTCGTCATCGCCGGATTAGTTGCGCTCACTTCGCTCCATCGGGCCAACGTCACCTCAGCAAAAGATTCCCTGCGACTCCCTTCAACACTCCTATCTCTCCATTGCTAGATTCATCGATTCGGGTGAGTAGCACTGCATATACGAACGCGTTTACGTGCTAGAGATCTGATCTTGGACATGATAATAGAACTCCGGATCTGGACTAAACAGAGCAACGATGGCCACCACGACAGTCACCGGCCATGGACGCCGGGCGTCTATGCGACAACCGGAATTACAAGTGCCAAACAAAACATCGACCGCGCAGCCGGTCAGCAGCCCGATAGACCAATTCCCTCCCTACGAAGAAACCCTTGACAGCGCCATTGGGTCCAGCCGACCCAGCACCACCAACTCCACCCCCTCAGTGAAATACGCGCCGAGCGAGACGTGGGAACCGCGAAAAACAGCCTTTTACTCCAGAGAGCATCCCAATGGAACACTGAGGAATCCTAAACACCGGCCGCGGAAGAGCATCAGCGAGGCCATCTCCACCATTCGAACACGTAACGGCAGCGTGAGTGCCAACGCGCAAGAGCTGGCGGAGGCACTACGGGCTCCCGTATCGTATAGGCTAGTGGTATGTCCTCTCTTCCCCCAAGGGTTATAATGACCCGCACACCGTCGGAGAGATTATAGCTGCCGAACGATGGCTGATTCATATCCCAGACCCTATGCGTTATTTGGTACTTTACCTCAGCCCTCACGAACACATCCTCGAAATCCATCTTGAACGCCCTGCCGATGCCAATCACGTTGACTATTATTCAATTCGCATTCGTTTCGATATGGTGTTTGTTACTGGTGTGGTTATCTTCGATGTTCCCGAAACTGCGGCAAAGCATCCCGGTTCTCAAGCACGGCATCCGTTACCCGTCGCGTGAAGTGATCTCGACTGCTTTACCCCTCGCTGTCTTCCAGCTTCTTGGCCATATTCTCAGTTCGATGGCCACAGCCAAGATCCCTGTCTCCTTGGTCCACACCATCAAGGGACTCTCACCCTTATTCACTGTTCTCGCCTACCGGATATTATTTCGAATTCGTTATGCTAGAGCCACCTACCTGTCCTTAATCCCTCTTACAGCCGGTGTCATGCTCGCCTGTTCCACCGGATCGTCCACGAATTTCTTCGGGATTATCTGCGCTTTCGGCGCCGCGATCATTTTTGTCTCGCAAAATATCTTCTCCAAAAAGCTGTTCAACGAGGCGGAGCGTGCCGAAAACGACCCACAGACCCCAGCACGACGCAAGTTAGACAAGCTGAATCTGCTTTGCTACTGCTCGGGGTTGGCTTTTTTCCTCACCTTGCCTATCTGGTTTGTCAGTGAGGGGTATCCTTTGGTATCCGACTTTATAAAGGACGGTGCGATTGACCTGTCAGAAAAGAAGGGATCATTGGATCACGGCGCCCTCATGATCGAATTCGTATTCAACGGTGTCTCGCATTTTGCGCAGAACATTTTGGCCTTCGTGCTCTTGTCCATGGTCTCCCCAGTGTCCTATTCCGTTGCCTCTTTGGTTAAACGCGTGTTTGTTATCGTTGTGGCAGTCATATGGTTTGGTAACTCCACCACTCCAATCCAAGCAGTTGGCATCGGCCTCACCTTTTTGGGACTTTACCTGTACGATCGCAACAGCCACGACGACGTGGCCGATCAGCGAGCGAATGCTGATCATTTCCGCGCACGGGAGGCTATTCTTCCCATGAATGTTCGACACTCGAGCAGGCCATGGGATTCAAATGGCTACGCCTTCCCCGCCGGACGCTCGTTCGAGAGCTCTGCCAACAACTTGAAGAAGGAAGATGGCCCAGGGCGGGTGCGGGCCCGTGGCGCCAGTGTGTCCCGGAATTGGCTACCTGGGACCAAACAAGAATCGACGTGGCAGGCCACGGACACTCCGGTGGCCACCTAGCATAGAATCTCTCGTTTCTTACTTCTGACGAATGTAAAGACGGAGAAAATGATGATGTATTATATATATATATTTATATATCATGGCGTTGTGGGATCTTTTATTTAAACAATTCTTTTTGGGTTGTGTTGAATCTCCGCTGGCGACAGCATAGACGAGAAGAGCTAGGGTGGTTGTAGGAATGTAAATGATATCAATCAATGACTTAAGTCATAAAGTTTTTCATATTGTTTTTATTATCGTAGATGTATTCGGTGATCTCCAATTGCGTCCTGCTTCCGGTGTCCTACGTATCAATTGCCCGCGGGGATAAATCAGCGTGAGATGTCGCGACCGTCGGTAAAGAACATGTCATAATCGGGCTAGGCCCTTGACTGCCCCATTACGGCGCCAATTCTGTTCTGGGGACTATCTGTAGAGGAAACAGGGACGGTGAGACGCCTGTTTCCCACAATAAATCAAGCCCGTGAATGAGATGATTTTTGAAAAAGGATTCTAAGGGGCCGCGGGTTTTTGTTCTGTTGCCCGGAGGTGAGGTTTATCCGGGTAACCGAGTGGCTCAACCAATCAGCAATCGCGCATTTGTGAAATCAGCTGAGTCATCTGGGCAATGGTCAGCAAAGCCCAGCAGGCATTAGGTAACCCAGCAGAATCCGACTCTGAACAACAGCTCCTTCTTCCCCGTTCCCCCTCGTCGTCCACCCCATCTCCCAAACCCCTCCACCCCCCTCCTCCTCTCATAACTCCTCACAATTATGCGGCCGCAGCTGTTCCGTGCGGCCGCCCGGTCTCTCCGGGTCCCCCGGGCCAGGACCTTCGCGATGACCGCCCCTCGCGCGGCCGAGGTGGAACTGACCATTGGTATGTCTCTCAGCATCAATTGATAGTCAAGATAAGCTAACAATGTTGTGCAGATGGAAAGAAGGTGTCCGTTGAAGGTAAGAGTTACTCGAGCGATCCCCATTGAACCATTACTCAGACCCATTATAGCCGGCTCGGCTCTTATCCAGGCTTGCGAAAAGGCAGGCGCAACGATTCCCAGGTATGGATCTAATCCTCTCTCTCGATCAAATACAATATCTATCACAATTACTGACCCTTGAACTTAGATACTGCTACCACGAGTACGCTTCCCCGAGCCCTTCCCTCCGATGATACTCTTTTACTAACGTTACCTGACATAAAGGAAACTGCTAGTCGCAGGAAATTGTACGTTCCGGCCTCTTCCACTCCATGAAAACAATCACAGGTGCTAATAAAACATATATAGGCCGTATGTGTCTCGTCGAAGTCGAAAAAGCCCCCAAGCCTGTTGCATCATGTGCCTGGCCCGTTCAGCCCGGAATGGTTGTTAAGACAAGTTCGCCATTGGTTCATAAGGCCCGTGAGGGTGTTATGGAATTCCTCCTCGCCAACCACCCCCTCGACTGCCCCATTTGCGATCAGGGTGGAGAGTGTGATCTTCAGGACCAGTCTATGCGTTATGGTGCTGATCGCGGTCGATTCCACGAGGAGGGCGGCAAGCGTGCTGTGGAGGACAAGAACATTGGCCCCTTGGTCAAGACCTCAATGAACCGTTGTATTCACTGCACCCGTTGCGTCCGATTTATGAACGATGTTGCCGGCGCACCCGAACTGGGAACCTCCGGCCGCGGAAACGATATGCAGATTGGAACCTACTTGGAGCAAAATCTCAACTCGGAACTGTCTGGCAACGTCATTGACCTCTGCCCCGTTGGTGCTCTGACCTCCAAGCCATATGCCTTCCGTGCTCGTCCTTGGGAGCTGAAGCACACTGAGTCAATTGATGTTCTCGACGCCCTGGGATCTAACATTCGGATCGACAGCCGTGGTATGGAGGTGATGCGTGTTACCCCGCGCTTGAACGATGACATTAACGAGGAATGGATCAACGACAAATCTCGCTTTGCTTGTGATGGCTTGAAGACTCAACGCCTCACCACTCCCCTGATCCGCCGCGAGGGCAAGTTTGTCCCCGCCACCTGGGAACAGGCTCTTGTGGAGATCTCTTCCGCCCAGCAGAAGCTGCAGCTGCAACCTAATGAATTCAAGGCAGTTGCTGGACACCTGGTTGATGCTGAGTCTCTCGTTGCTATGAAGGATATGGCTAACAAGCTTGGCTCTGACAACCTTGCCCTCGACCAACCCGGTGGTGGTGCTCCCATTGCCCACGGTATTGATGTCCGCTCTAACTACCTTTTCAACTCTAAGATCTACGGTATCGAGGAGGCTGACGCCCTCCTTCTTGTCGGCACCAACCCCCGTCACGAAGCCTCAGTTCTGAACGCCCGTATCCGCAAGCAATACCTGCGCTCTGATCTAGAGATCGGTCTTGTCGGTGAGGAGTTCGAGAGCACCTTCGACTACGAGAACCTTGGCGTCGATGTTTCTGCCCTGAAGACTGCTCTGGCTGGCGAGTTCGGCAAGAAGCTTGCCGGTGCTCAGCGCCCTATGATTGTGGTCGGCTCCGCAGCTGCCGAGCACCCCGACTCGAAGGCCATCTTCGAGGCGGTTGGCAGCTTCGTCGAGAAGCACGCTAGCAACTTCACTACTCCCGAGTGGCAAGGCTTCAACGTCCTGCAGCGTGCCGCTTCTCGCGCCGGTGCCTACGAAGTGGGCTTCACTGCTCCCGGTCCCGAAGTTGCCCAGACTACCCCCAAGATGGTCTGGCTGCTGGGCGCCGATGAGATCGCCGCCAGCGAAATCCCCAAGGATGCCTTCGTCGTCTACCAGGGTCACCACGGAGACAAGGGTGCCCAGCTTGCCGATGTTGTCCTCCCCGGTGCCGCATACACTGAGAAGTCTGGCACCTATATCAACACCGAGGGTCGTGTTCAGGTTACCCGTGCAGCTACCTCGCTCCCCGGTGCTGCCCGTGATGACTGGAAGATTATTCGTGCCACCAGCGAGTTCCTTGGCGTTCCTCTTCCTTATGATGATATTGAGGCTCTCCGTGACCGTATGGAGGAGATCAGTCCCGTCATGCGCCGTTACGATGTCGTCGAGCCTACCTCCATTGCTGCCCTGAGCAAGGTGCAGCTTTCTGACCAGAACAAGGGAGCCTCAACAACCGGTTCTCCCTTCAAGAAGGTCATTGAGGACTTCTACTTCACCGATTCAATTTCCAGAAGGTTAGTGACCGATTCAAGCTTCGTCTTCAGAATTATCCTTTATGTCTGCTCAATGCTAACTTTAAATCTTCTAGCTCCCCCACCATGGCCCGTTGCTCAGCTGCCAAGGCCACTGGCAACCCTGAGACCAACTTCATGGCCGCCGGAGAGATGTCTCCCCAGGCCCTCTACGGCGCAACCCAGTGATTGAATTCTGTGCTTTCTCTCTAATGGTTGCAGGCGTTGTCATTTGTATCACCCTATACTTCCCTTTGATGTACCCGTTTCCTTTTCCTTTTCCATCTTCATCTTCTGTTTTCTTTTCATCGACTTGAAGGCCGTTACATCCGGTTTTTGGGGTTGACCTCCTTTCTCGAAAATTCTCCCGTTTCCCGGTGTTACAACAGGGAATAATCGGTCGGGGTTGACTTGTACATAAAAAGATTGAGGCCAACAAAATCTCTAGTTCCGTTACGGAAGTCAGTGATAGCTTTCCTTAAGTAGTATCTTCCAAGTTAAGGTTGTGAGTAAGCATTCTACCGGTCAGTAGTAGAATTGACAGATGAAAAAAAGTGGTAGCTAGGGAGCAAGATGATATCATGCCATAGGTAGTATTCGTTTCTTATCATGTCTAAAACCAAGGATCTACCACCAAATGACATGTAATTCAGTAATTCATCAAGTCTACGGATAACCGGACCGTAAATCGCCCCCACGTTTCAAACCACCATGGTCCCTTCCCTGATTTTAAACTAAAGCTCATCATCATCAGTCTCTCCCCCCGTCCCATCACCAGCCGCAGCCGGAGGTGTGGCAGCTTTTGGCGTCGTGACTGCACCCCGTCGAGTAAAAGGTAATTCACGTCGAGGCGGGGGTGCAGCTTCTTTCGCCTTTGGAGCCGAAGGGCGCTTCTGCTTCAGGTCTGGTTCCTGTTCCTGTTCCTCTCCAGACTCGTCATCTGTAGTTGTGTTTCCATCATTTCCAGGTGGTGGGGTTGATTGACCTCCCTCGTCAGTATCTTGATCATGAGAGTCTGCCTCTGTCGCCGCTGCCAATTTGCCGGCCTTCTTCTCCCGATCGATATCCATTGGCTCAAAGTCATCCGAATCTTCATCGGTAGTATTACCATGGCCGCGCTTTGTGAGACGTGGGGATTCTGGGCTCCGGTTGAATTGCATTGCTGAGGCTTGCATCTCGGAAACTGGGGTTTGCGGTTGTGAATTATTAGCCTTTACAAAATCATACCAGATAGTTAAAAGTCGGGTAGGATCGTATCGTATGTATATAGTATATACCTTTATCAGGATCGGCAGTAGCGGAAGCCAAAAGACGCTGCTGATTCCGAATCTTCAATTTCTTCTCATTCAAGAGCTGGGTGAAATTGGCCATTAATTGGTTCTCGTGTTGGGCTTTTGCTTGGACGAGATCGTCGAGTTGTTGGGTTAGTTTTTGGACGGTGCTTGCTGCCTCTTGGTAACGAGCGTTCAGAGTGGAGGTCTCCTGTTCCAAGGCCCTGTTTCTAGCGGCTGCTGTGCCTGCCCATTCGAAGAGTTCGATTTCTGCTTCGCTTTGCTTTAAAGTGATTGTTCCAAGTCTTTGCTGAGAGGGTGTCAGAATATATGTATCTGATATGAGTGTCCGATAGGGCAGGGCTCAGGACTATAACGTACTGTGATGTCTTGAACTCTTTTGCGTATGGTGATGACGATCTCATTTTCATCATTTGATTCTGTGATGCTGGCTGTGGCTTCGAGTTTGAAAGAGGATGTCGTCTCATTCTCATCTTTGGTCGATTGGCCTAGAACGCGGCGAATCACCTGGGTCCACTCATCGTCTGAACCTTGGTAGCTTTTGGATCTGAGATCTTTTAAGCTTGATTCTTTGACTATACCGCTGTCAATATGAATTGTTTGTTTGTGTTTGTAAGGAGTGTAGTACCTGAGGCAGTATATGCACCTTCACCCTCTGTCGCAGTCAAGGTGAGGTTGAGAGAGGATGATCCATTGGGGACCAAGTGGACTAAAACAAAGGAGCCTTGCTCGTCTGATCTATCGAAGCGGAGGACATGGGAAGGTGACATATTGGTGGTATGTAGGAGGAATAGTGGATGACAGAGGGTAAACGGAGTAACTAAAGTACAAATGGAAGTCCAGGCAGCCGGCGGTCCGGGCCCACCGTAGTCACGGTCAGCCTAGCATCCATCCTCCACCTAATAACAATAATTAAATCCACCGATTCCACCACATTATTGAATCTCGTGACTCCCCTATTCGTTGAGAGAAAACTAAAAAGATCCCTATTGCCTCCAGCCTTCCTGGTTGTCAAGGAAATCTCTCTCACCTAGTGTTGTCTAGTGTTGTCTAGTGTTGTCCCCACTGTTGTGTACGCTAAGCACGTTCCTCCTTCTCCCACGAGGGATTCCACTTCATCCAGCCACCATTCACCATTCTCCATTCGCCGGCCACCACACCTCCTCCACCCTCTATACCCCCTTTCTTCTCCCTACTCCCTAAGGACAGAGACGACATGTGCGTGTGAGAGGTCGAGACACTCACGACTTGAGCTGTATCCTGCTCTCCTCTCTCTCGGCCCCGTATATCTTCGCACCAGCTCCAACAGCCCCCCCCCCCCCATCTGATCTGCCCACTTTAGGGTGGTCGCACTGACAGCCTCCCACCTCCCTGATCGAACTCTCTCGCAAAACGAAAACGAAACGACACGGCATGACGTTCTACTCTCGACCTTCTCGCCTATTATCAGCGTCGCAAAGCTCCAGATCTACCTCCTGATCACCAACTTGGGAACCCTCCAAACTATTTTATGAACGCCGCGTCTCCCCCGTTCCCTTCTCCAACACGCTCCTCCCACCATGGCCATGGAGTCATTGGGACACCAGCCACGGCTCGATATAGAAGAAACCATTGAGTGCTGGGATGATGATGGGGATCTTCAATTCAACGAGGGTATCCAGTTTCGGGCCACATCCAGCGCCGGTTCCATAACCAATTCCTCATTTCGACCTTCCGGACACCGCGACTCAATCTCCTCCCGCCGCTCCGCGCGCTCAGACCTGAGACTCCAATGCCGGTGACGAAGACTGGCAGGTCTTTCTACAGGATAACGACGAGTTCTCGAAAGAAGAAGCGCTTGCATCCGCGAAACATGCCGGTATCCCCATTCCAGCTGATATCCCCAGCTCGGCTCTCATTGGGGGTGCTATTAAACGTCTATCTACTCGAAAGCAAAAGCGAACCTTTGTCGACGATTGGTCCGAAGATGTGGAGCTTCCAGATCCAGATACTGTTCTCGAACTCAGGACTCCGCAAGATACCACCTTCCCGGAAAGTTTACGGCAAGTAAGCTCGGCCGCTACGAGTCCGATCAAAACAACGGCCTCGCCAATCTGGCACGAAGATATTTCCACTCGCCTCCAATCGGCTTTTACGGGTCTGGAACAATATCAGGATGAGAATGACAGCCCTGTTAATCATAACCATAATCAGGCCGTGCCGACCATAAGATCTCCGGTTCCTCGGTCGCCGCAGAAGAAGTCCATGAGCGGAGCCAGGGCAAACAATTTTCAGGAACCAGAGGCCGATGATTTCGATCTTGAGTTTGAACTTCCTCCTGACCACCAGCCTCTTCAGCTATCCCATCGGAAACAGCACACAGGCGTTTCTAGTCCAACGCTTGAGGATTTCGATTTAGAATGGTCTGAAGGCAGCATCGGTGTACGGGTTGGTGGTACTACGAGAGATGGTCGGTCTGCTCCAAGCTCATCCATATCCATCGCAAGTCCCAGTGTTTCAAGTTGCATAACAGGGGGGAGTGAAGATGACGGACTTGATGGCATTGTATTCCCAGAAGGGCCACTCGATTTCACGGCCTCTCTCAAGAAACGACAGGAGGTACAAGCCGCCGATGACTTGGTTCAGCCCAAAGAGACACCAAAGCCTCCACAGTCGTCGGAGGCCGATGACTTTTTCAGTGGAATTGAAATTGACAGCGGCAACGCATTTTCTTCGGGCAAATTGGCATTGAATCCCAATGTTAAATGCAAGACGGAATGGCCCACGAGCCCAACACGCCGACCCGCCACGACCCTAACCTTCACCAACTCATCAACATCTCCACGTACCCGAATTCCACGGTTATCGGGTCACGAGCGAACACATTCAACCCACCTCGAAACCGTTTCTGAGAGTGGCGCACCCCTGTCCAAATTTAGGAGATCACAATCTAGACTCGGCCATTCGGCCCAATCCTCAGTGTCCAGTCTTCCGACCTCTACTACGCCCTCCACCTCCCCAACACCTACCCCATCATCGACTAGGAGACTTCTTGGGCAGCGACCCTCCAGGGAGCCCGCTCCAGCTGTTAATTCTAATACACCGGGCCGGACACTCCGAACCAAGAGGTCGTTGCCATCAATTCGAGGAATCAAGAATGCGGAATCAGTACAGGCTTCGCAACGATCACCATCCCACCCCGATGGATATATTCGATCTTCTTTCGGTAGACCCAAAACACCGGTCGACCGCACCACAGTCAACGACGGAAGACCCTCAAGTCGCAGGCCGCCAGCACCATTTCTTCCCGCTGGCGCATCAGAAAGACAATCACACCATGCCAGCGTCAAGAGCTACCGGTCCTCACGGCGTACCAACTCGGACGGCTCTAGCGATCTCTTGAGTCCGACTGGTACATTCTCACGGCTCTCGCGTTCAAATCGTTCAGACGGTCACCGCTTGAGTTTAGGAGAAACCAGTACGGACACGATGTCCCCGTCCGGGAAGCGTACTCTCACCAGACCGACGAAGCGACGTAATTTTGGAGACGGCACTGAACTGGAGTCCTTCGATGACCTGCCAACATCTGTCTCCACAGAAAGCAAATATACAAAAAACCCCATCGGCCGAGGCGCACCTCGATCTGTGCGTGCCAAACTCAGCCAGAGCCGCAATACTCCCCCTGCCGAATCTCCCCGTCCCGGCCAAGGCCAAGGCCAACTTTCCACACCCCCGTCAACTTCAAAACCGCCCACCTCGATACCTAGATTTGCCCGTGATACGAACGCGTCCCGCAATGCGAGAGAACAACGCATTGCTTCTATGGGCAGCAGGAACTTGAACAACCACCGGGATAGGGATACGACTCCGCTTTCTTCTTTCAATTCTAATTGGAAACCCCAACCGCAACCCATCTCTCGCCTCTCTCCAAATGCAGCGTCTGTACGAAGCCGGAAGACTAGATCGGATGCCAAAAATAACTCGAAACCTCACTTAATTAAGCCCATGGGGGCTGGTGTCCAAGAATCGAAGTGTAAGTCAGATCAGCCACACCCCCCCCAAACACAAAAAAAAACACAAACCCTTGATTTAGTTTGCCCGGCGAGGATTGAAACTGAAACTGACCATTGTATCCAGCCGTGCGAGGCATGCGGTACAACCCGAACACTTACCGTTGGGAAGGAAATGAAAATCTTGTGCAAGAGTTTGACAATACTGTCGCCTCAAGATCACCGAAACCCGCGCCCGCCCTTATTACCAACGTAGGGGCTGTACAAAATGTACAGACGGTGGGCGGTATGGTTTTTGACCCCCACCGCATGTGCTGGCTTCGAGCCAAGTCCCAGTCCAAGGAACCCGCAGCACCTGAGCCTGATGACGAGGATGATGTGTTTGCGGGTCTGGATGACTTGGAGGACAAAGTTGTTGGAGTTGGGCGAACCTCGACGACGATGAATGATTTGAACCCCTCTTCCACTGGCACTACTGGAGAACCCAGCGCGGGTGAATCTTCCGACGAAGGACCTATCACCGAGGAATTCGATGTCGGGCCGGAGTTTATTCGACGACAACGGGCCGAGGAAGAGAAATGGAAACGCAAAGTGGACAATTGGGTAGGCTCTGACCGTGACCGCAGTGATCGTGAAACACATTGGCGATGGGCGATTCGTGACCTGGTGGCCGATGGTACGGCTTAGTCCTAGCCTTAGGGGAGGATTGGATTCCCGCGGCGTGGTAATGCACTGTGTTCGGTGGTTCAGTGCCCTGGCTACTGTGGTAGAGTTTTGAATATGGATACATGAACTTAATGACTGGAGGCGAGCGGACGTTCGATGCGTTCGATGATTGATTTTCTCTTCCCCCTTCCCCCTTCTACCATTGGCCTTAATGAAACTAGCCAAACGAATTTACGGTTGGAAACCTGTAACTATATCATTGTTGTTATTGTTGATTGATTGATTGATTCTTTTCGTCTTTATTCTTATTCTTTTTTTATCATCCATTTGGAGAAGTACATAATTTGTTCTTCCTTTCATTGGGGGAAGAAGAAGAAGAGAAGAAGAGGTCTGAGGTCTGAGATCTCATTAGGGCAAGGCGGAACTCAAACTCCTCAACCTCCCACTCACTCCATCTCTGCCACTCCTCCCTCTCTTCTCAATTCCCTCTTCTCCTTAATTCAGGCAAATTTCTTGTGCTTCTTTTTCACCTGTCAAGTTTCATCGTACCTCCTCTTCTCACCGGGTCCATGCCTCGTACGGCCCCGATCAACAGGGAGTATCCATGTTGGTAATCCCTGGGGGGAATTCACTTCCCTATACCGTCTTTTGGCTTCCCCAGGCAGATCCGAAACACACTCGGACTCTAGACATCTAAGAGAAGACCAGGGCTTTGTTTTCCCCTTTTCCTTTCTTTTTTTTCCCTTGCTGTGCTTAGGCGCCTTGCCTTCTCTCTGCCCTTCACCCGGTGGTTTGGACGGCTCACGCTGATCGGGAACTCACAGAGTGACACTGCGGGTAATAGATTGTATAACGCTGGAAAGGACCATCTTTGCGGGAAAAAGAAAGATGACAGTTTCGATTTTCGAAGGCTCCCCCCCACCCTTCCCCCCTTTCGCTTCACGACCGGCTCCGAACTGCCAGCGCTGCGAGGGTCCGTAACGCCAGGTGCATCGAACACGGTGTCTCACCTGTCGCGGACGGGCCAAACGCATGCAATCCTGCCATCCCGCATGCTGCATTGATTGCCCGTCAACGGAGACCCAATCCACTTCGCCCTGGCATCAACGCCACGTCAAGGTCACGTCGACTTCTTCGCTGACAGCACAACACACGATCTGGCTTGGTGGGACAGCAGGCCTGACCAGGATGTCATGTCTTGACTCGCAGCGAAGACTCGCCCGAGGCCGGCCCCCATTCCTGCCCTAGAATCTTCCCTCTCTGCTTTTACCAGAGGCCTCAGTCTAGTTAGTCTTTGCCCCCCCTCACCCCCGCACATATGGCATGCGCGCCGCAAGCTTGCGGCGCCAGTGAGGGTATGCCCTAGAGCTAGTTAGCTAGTTAGAGCGGCTGGAACAACTGACACTGCCGCCGCCGCTCTGCTTCTCTCGTCTCCTCAAACCCCCAATCCATGTCCCTTCCGGCACGGTTACTTGCATGTCATGATTGGTTTGGTTTGGTTTGGACCTTTGCCGGAGCAATCTCCAGCCCCGTCTTTTTGTTTGACAGATGGCAAACCTGCAGAAACAAAGCCCTGCAAGGAATAATTCGCCTCCCCGCCTCTGATGTCCGGCACGAATGTTGTTCCGCAACAAATGTGTCGGGGAGGTTATGATCGCCCCCCCCGGTACTATCGGTGATGTCTTGGGCTCTGGGGAGCCGATCCAATCTTCAAACTTCCAGGTAGCCACCCTATAGGTGGCCTCGAGCTGGCCCTCGCCGCCCTCGCCCTCGTCCTCGCGGCCTCGCCCAACGTGGCTTCTCTTCATGAGGCAAATGGTGGCGCCGGGCATCGAAGTAGGAATCCGTATCACCATTGCTTGTTGTGCGCTGTCGTATCAACCAACCTGCTCTGCCCTGCCCTGCCCTGCTCCTTCATCTTGCTATTTCCCTCGGTGGGTCGGAAAGATTCGACAGCGAACCCCAGTCAAAGCAGATGGTTGACGTTTCTTTTTTTTGCTCCTTCTTGCCGTTTCTGATTTCTTTTTTTTACCAAAATAGAAAATATAATTAGTAATTTATTATTCTTTTTTTTTTCTCGCCCTTCATCCATGCTATGTACATGCTATTGCTATTCCCTGTAAACTAGCTAGTACCATTTCTGGCTGTACCTGACAGAGTTCTACTCGACTCGCCTGCGTCTATCGTTTCTTTTTTCTGTGAAATATTTGCTGTGGTTCCTCCAGGGATGTCCCTCTGATACTTTCTGCTGCCTGCCTACACTCTGTCTAGACAGACATGGTCTCGTGCACCTTTCTTGGGCATCGGTCATGTCCTGCAAGATTCGCCTGGGGGTCTCCTCTCCTTTGCGGGTCCCATTTAATTCATCCAATCCACTACCTACCCTGTTGATGTCTTCATGACTTTTGTTTAAATGTCCTATGTTCCCTGGGATCGTCAGTGGTTTTAAACTCTACAAATCTACATCTACATAATCCATCAGATCTCCTCTTTTAACAAATCCTTCCATCATCACCACCTATCTTCTTCGTCGTCCACTAAATCTTCTTTCTTTCAATCACTCTTCATCGTCATTGTGAACCGCTGGCTTCTTTCTCCCACTCCACTCCCCTCCCTCCTCAACCCAAACATCACACAACACTCGGGGTTAGGAGTATCGAATCCAATCCAATTGAATCCCTCCCAATCACCCTCCACCTCCTCCAATTCTCGATTTGCAGGGGCCACCAAGTCCATCCAACTCCAGTAGCGATGAGCAGCTACTCAAGACGAAACGATGCTAATGAAAGCTATCTAATGAATTCCCAAATCGTCTCAGGCGTAAGCTACAACCACCCAGAACCCCACGATTTCAATTCCGCTTCAGCAGCCTCGTACCACTTCCCTCAGCAATCCTTCTCCAATCCATACGGTGCCTCCCAGTTTGGCGGCGGCGCCGGTGGTGGCCCAACATACGGACAACAGCCAACTCTAACCGCCCAGGGTATGCAACATCTGCAATATGCTTCAGATCATACCATTCCCTCAATGTCCACGAATGAAGATATGAAATTTCACCACCCGCCCTCGCATGCGCATGCGCACTCACATTCGCAGTACATGGCTCAATCGCGGTATATGCAGTCGCCGCGGTATCTGCCGCTTCGTGAGGCCTTTGAGGCTGAGATTGAGAATCAGGAATCTAGGAATGAGGGGACGATGCTTTCTGAGGCGGTTATTCCGGCTTTGAATGGGTTTCCTGATGTTAAGGAGTTTGATCAGTTGATGCAAAGGTATGTATGAATGAGCTGTGGCGATGATGATGACTTGTGCTTTTGCACACCGAATTCGTTTTTCTTTTCCCTTGGTATAATTCTGGGAAAGGGAAAGGGAGGGAGGGGTTTTATAGTCCACTGCTAATTTGGATTGATTTTCCCCATTAGCTATGTCGATGATCTCTCTGTGAAAAAGCAAGACAAGGCCTTGATTCACGCTAAACGAGCACGGAACATTCGAACTGTTTTGATCGATCCCAAAGATACTGCTGTTGAATCTGCCCAGTTTCGGTATGTCCTGTACCCCCTCAACTCAATCTTTCGCAAACGCTAAACTATGTAGATTCTGGGTTAAAAAGATGTTCAAGCTTACGACTGTGGGTGTGGGTACGACTGAGGTAGGTACATACATGCATACATATATGCGTGCGTGTATGCTTGCATTTGCATTTGCATACATCTATCACGCATCACGCAAGCAATGAGACAATGCTAATGATAATGGGGATTTTCAGTGCCGGAAAATGATCTGCCATGAAGGCAAGCCCGTTGCAATTCGTGAGAAATTGTTTAAAATCCTCACTAAAGCTCATCAACAATGTCAGCACGGTGGACGGGATAAGACCTCTGCTCAGGTCCGGCGGATTTATTCCTGGTAAGTAGTAACTAGTAGGCTCTGTCTATATAACGTTATATTTCAAGCCGCAAACCACTCTTTAGAAGGGCAACTCCCTCCCGTTGATTGGACTATAACTAACTATTTTTTCCTGCCAGGGTTCCCAAGGAATTAATATCCCGCTTCGTCAAAATCTGCCCAACTTGCCAAGTCCGCCGTGGAGGCTCACGCCTAACACCGCCAAACTCCCGCCGAGGTTCACCAAGACTAGAAATGATGCCTCGATCTTCGCCAAAGTTGCCCTCGCCACCGATCTCGCGCCGCGAATCGAACTTCGGCACTCAGGCTGGCCTTGATCGGGCTCAGTCGGATTACTTCGCCCAGCAGATGCATGGTCATAGTGGTGGTGGTGGGTGGTCAATGGATCAGCATCAGGGATTACAGGGACGAGGCAGCGCAGGAGGAGGAGGACTACACCATCGCCCTTACCATGGACTGCCGCATTCGATTGCGGGGACTTTGGACCCTTTCTCGCCTGATATGTCGGTGCCGCCGTCTCAGTTGACGTACGGTGGGGGGTATGTCTCGGCGCCTCATGGTACGCACGACACAAAGGGATTTTTGAATTGAAGCCCGTCCAAAACCAACACACCTGGATCCCCAATTACCTAGGACTGGTACAAACGTGACAAAAAAGAAAGGGGGCAAAACGAGGGCGGCTGATATATACTACCTGCAGGGCTGTAATAATATTGACCGCCGGTGTGAAAATTCAGTAAAAAAAGTGCTGCTTTTTTAGGAGAAATTTATATGTATTGGACATTGCGGGTTGCGAAATTATAAAAACCGGAAAAAACAATAATTCCTTGCGGAAATGGGATGGGATGGGAATGGGAATGGGAATGGGAATGGGAATGGGAATGGGAATGGGAATGGGAATGGGAATGGGAATGGGAATGGGAATGGATTTGGAACCTGGAAAAGCTCGAGTCTTGACAAGGAATTATTTAGCTGAAGAGAGTTTTGCAGATACGATGTAGAATCTCAATCGGAATGACATCATAATGAAACACAACGCATCTTCAAGTTATTATGACATTTCGCTTTTTATTCAAAAGAAAGAAAGAAAAGACTACCTAAGTGTCGACGGGCAGACAGACTGACAGCCGAGTCGAATCACAGAACTTGAACAAAGAAAGAAGAGAACCAGGGGGGTAACATCGTACATCAATTCAAATTCGAGTTTGGGTCGAAGGATTCCGGGTACACACACAAAGTGAAAGTGAAAGCATCAATTCATAAATTCAGATCTCGGATCAAACACCCGCACACAAAGGCCGGAACTTAAGTTAGGCATACCAGGTGCGTTAATGGAAACCCTAGTCTTGCCCTGCCTTGCCTTCCCATGCCTTTCCCGTTGCCTCGGATCAGACCACACGGGGGATGGATGGAGGTGGGGGGAAACCGGCGACGCGGGGAGAGTGAGTGAGTAAGATAGAATGTAAACAAGTGGCTGTGGCTCTATCGGGATCTCATGCCGCGCGCCACTGTCACTATTCTCGCATCGTTTGTTGTCGAGAGTGAGTTTACACGGGGAGAGAGAACTTCTTTCCTTTCAGCACCCTAGTAAATGTGTTAGAATATCAATGCAATATCAGTGCCCTAGTGCTTTGCAACCCCGTCCCTGACTCACTTGTTATAATAGATGTAAAAGAAATCCGAATAGAGCAGCGTCTGAATAATTCCCGCAACGATAGGAACAGGCTGGAACGATCGTTGGAAAGCAGCCTCAGTGAAGTAGCGATACATCCAGTTGGGGATATAAAGAGCGCGGTAGATTCCCAGCGCGAATAGATAGTGTGTAGTGATTGTGTCTGCTTCACCGGTGCGCTGTAACATGAATAGTTGGGGCAGGATGGCGACTGATTCTAGCCAGATGGAGAATGTCCAAAGGATCTATTGATGGGTTAATAAGGAGCTCTCTTTCTCTTATATTGAGCATGAGGTGTAGTTTCCCATTCCGGAAGCTGTCGGCAAATTGACCTCCTTCGGGGTATGATTTGGGGTAATGAACGAACCTCAGAAAGGCGATAGTCGTGCGGGAATAAGATGGCCAAGATTGCGCTGATACCCAGGAGATATTGGACCTTGAACGTATCCAGGTTCGGGTCGTGCGTTGGCTTGAAATCATTGAGCATGAGGTAGATGATATAACCCGAGGAACCGATGAAGAGGAGCTTGAATGTAGTGAGGTACAGCGAATCTGTAAAGGTCCAGAAGAGATCTAATACCGGAAAAAAAGAAAAGGCCACCTTGTTAGTCTATGTACTGCGGAGGAACTGTGTGGGGTGGTGACAGGTGGCAAGCTATCTCACCTAGGTAACGAGTGACGAAAACCAGCAGGTATAGCACTTGCGACTTGAATGATAGACCAGAGCAGCTCTGCGACATGGAATTAGTGACGATCTGGCTCGGAGGAGGTTGGAGGAGCGTACGCTGGACGACTTCATCTTCTGGAGAAGAATGAAGATCGACGCCAGGTGGGAGAAATCGGCTGGCCGGGATCAGTATATTGTCAAGGGATAAAATTCGAGGCAATAATTACCTAGCAACCTGAAGATATTCATGGTGTCGGATGTGAGTTGCGCAGATGGGGTTGGTGGAAGAAGAAGAGTTGTTGACACGAAAGCGAACGGAAGGGGGACGAAACTGCCGATCATTTCAGCATTTCCGCATTTCAGGTACGACGCGCCGGGGCCAGGCGGGAGCTCCACATGAGAACTATGAGACTACATGGGAACTACAGCTACTTTTCTTTTCTGATAACCACTGACTTCAATGTATTCGTCGCTCATAATGTAACAGATGCAAATGGTTCCTTAACCCTTTTCTCTTGCTGTATCAGTCATAGCTATTCTCAATAATCCCGAAACACAGCAACCATATCATCCAATCTCGCCACCTCCGTCAGCAAAAGCGCCTCAAGATCCCTCCACCGCTGTAAATCCACTAATTCAAGCTCAGTAAGATAATGCTCCTCATGCCCCTTAACATCAGTGCGTTCCGTCTTCTCCAGAAAATCCCGCACCCGTTCGCGCTCAGTCTTAATCCGTTGCAACGTGCGTGACATGGCCTTGTACGTATCCTCGAGAATACAACTACACACGCGATCTGTATCATAGTACCAGAGGAAAATCGTCTTGGAAGGCTGTCGCTGCGCGTCTTTCGGGACTTCTTGTAAATCGACAAAGCCGCCCTTTTGCATGGTGGCCAGTGTTTGGCGGAGATCTTTCATGGGGAGAAGGCTGATTTCTTGCAGGCGTTTTTCGTCGAGTTTGCCTTTTGCTTGGAGGACGCGGATTACGCGGAGGGCAACGTCTCCGTAGCGCGATTCGATCATTCGCTCCAGTTCCAGGTGGCGGAGTTTCCGAGCGAGGTCACGGAAGGATACGTACCACTTTATTCCTTCGGATGTGTGGCTCTCGGCGAGATTGTAGGGTGGTTGGGAGAGGAGGCTGAGGTGTTGGTTTACTTCTGTCATGCGGGTGAAGACTGAGTTCCGGTCTTCGTCTTCGTCGTGGGTGCCGTTAACGCTGTTTTCCAGCGGTCTCTTGCCGCGTGTGTTTACGGTGGACGAAGACTGAGGGTCCACTGGCCCGATTGCTCCTGTTAGATCGAGGTCTGGGTCGAGGTCTTTCACGATCTTCATGACTTCGATTGGGATGGAGTGGTGTTTTCCTTCTTCGCCTTCGCGCGGAATGTCTTTCTTTCGTCCATCGGTGCGGCAGCGGGGGGTTGCGTATTCGATGCGGCGGAGGAGAGTTTCGTAGACTTCAACTGTTGCGTCAGGGGCGTCTTGTTCAGCTAGATCGACGAAGCGGGCGTTTCGAAGGGCAACGTCTAGTTTTTCGTAGTTGACTCGGACGATTAGGCCAGACTGCGGATGACGGTTAGCTGGTTACACTTTGTACCACGGTCTTGTCTTAGGCGCTTACCTCCATGGGGATATTATCGAATCCATCCTCGTCTTCAGACCAGTCATTCTCTTCGTCCTCATCATCAGCATGATGACCATTAACGCCATTTGTCCGGGCATGTTTGTTGCCTGCTCCAGAACTTCCATTGGTAATTTTCCTCTTCACTCCTCTGGGAAGACCATTATACATAAACTTTTCCGAAAGATCGTAGTCGGTGCGCTCATTCACGAGATCGGCTGTCGCAGATTCAATCGCCTCTTCCTGTTTCTTCCCCTTCAACGCCTTGATATCCGATTTCGCGGAAACAGTTCGTCGAGCATCAAGGTAGTTATCCGAGGGGCTTTGGAAAATAGCATCCTTGACTCGAAGAATGTACCCATGCGACGCGAGAGCCTTGAGCGTAGAATGAAAGGGTGCGGGTTTCGCTTCGGGAATATCGTCGCCGTTGGTTTCTTGCGCGCCTTCTTCTTCTCCTTCAAGTTCCATCTCGTTGTTTTCAGCGTCGTTATTTTCGGCATCGCCGTCTTCTTCATGTGACACTCCATTCGTCTGCACTGATGGTTTTGGTGCCACAGGAACCCCAATAGTCTGAAGCTCAGGAATACTCTGCAAATGCCGAATAGAAGCATGACCAAGAAACATAATCACCTCCATGACTTTAGCAGCGTATTCACCCAATCTCTCTTCGATCAGTTGGAGAATCTTCCCAGAGCGAACGAGGTAATATGCCGCTTCGGGGTTAGCTTCGTAGTAGGTATTGCCATCGTCGACGGAGGTGAAGTGGAAGACGAGGTGTTGCTGGATCATGGCAGTAAGGCCATGGCGGAGTTGGCGTTCTGAGAGGCCGGAGTAGAATCTTAATCGGGGGAGGGTCAAGCGTTCGTATCGTTGTAAGGTTGAGAAAATGCGCTGTCCGTCACACTCATTAGCAAACCCACCCGGAGATCAATAAAATGGCAGATTTGCCGTCCACTCACCGCGAAAAGCTCTCCAAAGTTATCTTCAATGAGGAGCGTGCAGAGCTCCACGGCGTGCTGTAGCTATGCGTCAATAGTTGGATCTTGGACCATTCTGGGCAGCGGTTCCCGAACCTGAGACAACATCTTGGTGAATTATGAATGCCTACCCGCCTCCGATGCTCGCAAGGGGCGTTTAAGGTCACCGCGACAGATTCATAGAGTGTGTGAATGTAGTCGTGAAGCTGTGAACGTTTGAGATGGCGGGCACTTTTTTCCTTATCAGTCACGTGCTTGATCAGCTGATCTGATTGGACCGGGGTAGGATGCAGTGAATGACATGCAGGAGGGAAGGAAATAGAGTATAAGGGATAAAGAGAAGAGTTGATGAATTCAGTATACTAGGGATTTCGCACAAATAAGTACTGGAGCATAGGATAAATTATTATAGTAATAATAACCAGTTTGATATTCAACATGGCAGCTACACTGATACTGAGTCCTGCCATCTACCCTGGTACCCTGGATCTCAATGCAATTGCATAGTAATTAAACAGATTTTTGAATAACTGAATACATAATCTATCTTTATATCTGTAAAGCAATCATTAAATTATAAATGCTGGCTTTAGAGTATATGTTTTATATTGTAGGTACAGCTCCTCCGAGAAGTATTTCCGGTTCCGCCCGACTCGTCACTCTGGCCAATCAGCGACTGAGTAATCAAACCGCCTCGAAGCTTTTCGTCGTCGACGGGGGTCGACTTCATCTCTCCTCATCCCTCCCCTCAATTGCCTCCCCACCCTTTCAAACCCAAGTGGGTTACTAATTTTCTTCTCCTCTCCTTTCACTGACCCCGGCGCACAATGCTGTCGCGGTCCTCCATCAGCCGAAATGCGCCGCGTGCGCTCGCCGCCGGCCGTCGGGCCATGGCCTCTGCTGCCAACCCGACTTTCCAGTACGACGTCTCCGAGGCTTCCGGCGTGAAGGTCGCCAACCGTGAGGTTGGTGGTGCTACCGGTACCCTCGCCCTTGTGGCCAAGGCCGGTTCCCGTTACCAGCCCTTCCCTGGTTTCTCCGATGCCCTCGAGAAGTTTGCCTTCAAGGTCGGTCCCTCGGTCCCCCGCGGTCATCCATTGACCATCGCCATTCAATTCCTTTTTCATACTAAACGATCTGTTCGATTCGATAGACTACACTCAAGCGCTCCGCTCTGCGGATCACTCGTGAGGTCGAGCTGCTGGGCGGCGAGATCTCCGCTTCCCACTCGCGCGAAAACGTCGTCCTCCGCGCCAAGTTCCTCTCGGGTGACCTTCCATACTTCACAGAGCTCCTGGCTGAGGTTGCCAGCTCGACCAAGTTCGCCGGTGAGTTAATTCCGCCTAGCTGATCGGGGATAGCAAGGAAACAATGGAAATGGAGATGGAGACCAAAAGCAATTGGAGAGTGGTTTCACTGACACAATTTCTTCTTGACATTTAGACCACGAACTGAGCGAGGTTGTCAGCGATCTCCTCAAGCTTAAGCAGCAGGCTGTCTACTCCAACCCCGAGAGCGTTGCCGTCGATGCCGCCCACGGTGTCGCTTTCCACCGCGGCCTGGGCTCCGCCCAGACCCCCTCCCAGAGCACCCCCTACGAGAAGTACGTCTCCGGCGATGCCCTGGCCCAATTCGCCCAGGACGCCTACGCCAAGTCCAACGTCGCTCTTGTCGCCACTGGCCCCAACTCTGCCGATGTCACCAAGTGGGTTGGCCAGTTCTTCAAGGATCTCCCCGCCGGTGCCACCTCCGGCCAGTACAAGGTCCAGCCCACCCAGGCTAGCAAGTACTTCGGCGGTGAGCAGCGCATTCCCTCCAAGGCCGGCAACTCTGTCGTGATCGCCTTCCCCGGTTCCAGCGCTTTCGGCACTGCTGGCTTCAAGGCCGAGGCTTCCGTCCTGGCTGCTCTGCTCGGCGGCGAGTCCACCATCAAGTGGACCCCTGGCTTCTCCCTTCTGTCCCAGGCCACCAAGGACTTCAACCAGATCAACATCTCGACCAAGAACCTCGCCTACTCCGACGCCGGTCTTTTCACCGTCACCCTCACCGGCCAGGCTGACCAGATTGCCGCCGCCAGCAAGAACGTCGTTGACGTTCTCAAGAAGGCCGCCGCCGGCGAGGTCGCCAGCGAGGACATCAAGAAGGCCATTGCCCTGGCCAAGTTCCGTGCCCTGGAGTCCCTGCAGACCCTCGACACTGGTCTCGAGGCCACCGGCTCCGGCCTGGTCCACGGCAGCAAGCCCTACCAGATTGGCGAGATTGCCCAAGCCGTCGAGAAGGTTTCCGAGCAGCAGGTCAAGGATGTATGTTTTAATTCCCTTCCCCTTTCCAGGTCCATCTTTGATTTCATTCATTTACTAATTCTTCTTTCTGCAGACCGCTCAGTCCTTCCTCTCCGGCAAGGCTACCCTCATCAGCGTCGGTGACGTCCACCAGCTCCCCTACGCCGAGGACATTGGCCTCACCGTTTAAACACCCCTTTTGTATACCATACAACCCCTAGATCGAGGGAAAAGCGTGTTTCCTCGTTGGATTTGATGTGACCACTTTGTGCCTAGATTCATTGCCAATATCTCCTTTGTTTTCAAGGGTGTAGTTGACTGTAATACAATTGTACCTTATTTGAAGCAGTGCAGTTTGATGAGAAGCCTACCTAGACTAGACTAGGTCTAGGCGGGCTTTGATTCGAAGTTTCCAAGTGTAAAAGAACCTGCATAGTAGAAAAGAAGCTCATGCATGCGTGGTTTTTGATCACCCCAAATGAAATCGACACCAATTTAAACCCTAAAACTTTCCATTCTCCCTTGCAAGATCTGGGAAGTACACTTTTGTGAAACTCATATCGGATGGCTCTAATTAATCAGTAATAAACTGTGTACAGTAAGCTATGAAATATCAATGATTGAATGGCCGATAAGAGCTAGCTAATAATCTCTCTGTGATCAGATCATTGTGACAATCTGTCCCCCTGCCCCCAGGAAGTCCAAACACAGCTCTGCGCTACATACACAGCCATTGCCTGAGGGGAACCGAGTCTATTCAACTTCGTAAGGCTGAACAGACAATCAGAGATCAGAAGAAGAACCTCCAGCCTGGCGACGATGACACAACGACGGTTTCATGAAGTATAAACTGTTTTGAAAAAATGCTAAAAGCATAATAAAAAGGGCAAACAATGATGTTATCAATAAATGGATGGGATTTCAACTTCACCCCGATCCCCGGGCTTTCAAAGGAGGCTTAGAGACACAACAGTGTTATGATAACACGGGTGTCTAAGAGAAGACTCCCTGTCCGATACACGATACGAAGGCAATTAGGCAAAAAGTAGTCTTTCGGCAGCCGATGAAGTACGCTTTAACGAATCAAATCTGTCATCATACTAAGCCCGGAAAATACCCCCCCATTTATCCCATTCATCAATAAGCATTTAGGAACCAGCAGCCTTCCACTCATGCGCCAAAATGCCCATATGGATAAGATCCCACCACCTCCCACCCTTCCACAAACACTCCCTCCTCCGTCCCTCAAGTACAAAGCCAAGCTTTTGGTACACCTTCTGTGCCCTCTCGTTCCACTCGGAGACCGTTAGCTCAACGCGATGCAGCCCCGCAGTCAAAAATGACCAATCCAGCATCCACGAGATAGCCTCAGGCCCATACCCCTTATCCTGGTACTGGCGCGCAATAGTAATCGCGAGCTCGTGTGTGCGATTATGTGTGAAGTCAGGAGCTTGCTCTTTCAATGAGATCACACCAATTGTCTCGGGCACCTTATCGGAGCCCTCATCTGGGATGATACATATCATGACTGACATGAACATTATAGCTTCGAGCTTTGCTCGCAACTCCTTCCGCTCCTTGGTGCTGAGCGGGCGTATGAGGGCGGTGGAAGCCATAGATCCGACTGAAGGGTCGGCATAGAGAGCTTGGAAGAATGCATCGTCTGTTGGGTTGTCCTCTGGTGCGCGATAGAGGAGACGCGTGGAACGGTAGGGTTCCAATGGGAAAGGACCCATTGCGACCGTCTAGAGGCGCTAGTTGAAGCTGTGGGACAAGTAGTAGAGATCCGATATCTTGGTCAGTCTAAAAAGGCGAGACGAGAATATTTATAAAGGGTATTTCTCTCGTCAGTAAGCTCTGGCTGCCTGATTCCAGGAGCAAGTTTATTAGTGAGTCATTATTCAATACGAACAAGACCGCTTAGCCTATATAGTATGTGGGCTTGAGTTAAGACGACATTATTGGGCGTTGTTCGTCTTGGTGGTGTAACAATACATGTAAAACTTACTCAGCTCGTACTCATAAAGCTGATGTTTCATGTGACAGATCTAGCGCGCTCCAGTATTGAATCTTAGCAGGGGAAAGGATAGAAATGGACTTAGACAACCCTTTTTTACTCTGCCCGACTCAGACATTGTACGGCACAAGAATTTTGAGGCCAGTCTCAATGTTCCATCCATACAGTGGTGGGTGTACATACCATTCTAGATTAAAATGATAAAGAATAGTGAAGAAGTATCATTGGTTAACTACTGTAAGCTACTATGGCTCACCAAGATACATCGATTGATGCCAGGCAGGCGGAAGAATAGCCTTACTTGGATTGGAATAGTGGTATGTATCACAACAGTCCTTTATTCTCCCACCTGCTCTTGCCACCTCTCCTTTTCTTACATTATCAGTAGCTCTGAAAATCAAAAACTGACATCAGTACAGTGCCTATAGGATTGCTGCTTAAGTCGGTTGTGATATTGTAAGTATCTGAAGTTATATCCCATCGTTCCGGTGTCAGGCTTTCGACGGAGATCGAAGTAAGCGGGCCAATCTTATAGGATCACAGCTCTCCACAACTTATCCTTGATAAGCCTATTACATGACAGCATTTGCTTCGCCCAGGTTGCCTAATGCCCACTATAATCCAAGCCACCGGAACGCAGCGAATCTTAGACCTATAACCATTGGCAGATCCCTGCATTCATCAAGTTGAGTTAAATCAAGCTTACAGGTTACCAGGGAACGCACATGAGGGGCGACATGAATATTCGAGCCAGCTAAGATATCGCAGAACTTCATCCCCTGCAGTTCTTATCTGTCTCCCGGTCACGAGTTTCCCCCCCTATCACCTCGCGACTGTCTGTGCTTCTCTTGTGGTCCCTTCATGCATTCTACTATGACCAGGGGCTCTTTACGGGAGTCAGCCTCCGGAGTTATGACTGACGAGCGACGACGAGGGTTGAACTGCATTCACTGAGCCAGAAGGACACTGTGGCATGTGGAGTAGGTAAAGTTGATAGAAGTGCCATCCTAGAAATTGCAACTCTTAGAAGGTTTGTTCAGCACTCCAGCAATCCGAATTGGCAATCCTAAGCGCAGAAGGAGCTATCTAGGGTGGTAATTAATTATATTCACGAACCAAAGTTTGAATGTCAGATATTCGGCGTCAGCGCCGCAAGCGCCAAGATTATTCGACTAAGATCCCAAGCATGCGGCCCCAGAGGCTACTGCTTGTTTCGCAGCTTTCACAAGACTCGAACTCATCTCCAAATCTTTCCATCGGGAGCAACAGCAGCATCTCTGTTGGTGACCAGTCAAGCGCTTCAAGTGTGTCATCTTTGGTGTTAAGATTGAGTGCAGGGCCTGGCAAGTTCCACAATTTACCACTCGAGATTGAGAAGACCGTTAGCCCTCCGCTTGATAATCTTGACCCTTTGATGTTAGGTTTCAGCGACTTTGATACCAAAGCTTTCCATACTGGCCACTGAAAATATGACCCAGCAACAGGCGCAGTATCCATGCCTATCACCATGTCATCAACATATGCGCAAGCCGCCGCTGACAATACGGTAGGAGAGTGCGTGTACCCTCGCAAAGCAAATCCAAACCGGAGTGATTTTGAAAGATCCGTGGCAGCACTTGAACAAGCCAAATATGGGCTTGCATTTGCTTCCGGCTCTGCGGCTATCGCAATAGTGGTGTTGCAAAAAACGCCTTTCGACGAGTACCAAGGTTTAGAGAGTACAAACAGCCAACTTGTATCTAGCAACACACAATACAATCAACTCTCCTCAATAACATGAACACCGAAGCATTACTTATCAATCAACAGCATCACTTATCAATCAACAAGGTCAAAACTCGAGTTAGGCTGCCCGTGGGCGGGTAAAGAAACCGAAAACCCAACCCAAACCCGCGCTTGGCGAGGTCTACTTTATCTCCGAGTTCTCCCAAACGATCTTATCGTCACCCTTCACAGCCAGCTCCACCATGAATTTAGAAATCGCATCGACACGCACAGATGGTCCAAGCCTATAGAAAAGACTGTGCAATGTAACTTCGTTTGAAATCACCATAGCAGGCCGCACAATATACGACGTGAAGTCAGAATGTGCTTTCGCAAAATTTAATAACTCAGACTCTACCAAACCCTTTTGAAGTAAGCATGTACTCTAGGATCAAGACTCTGTAACAAAGGTGTCATACCCGAATCCTTCGGTAGTCTCCCATAACCCAGAGCGACTTCGTTTGATCCTGCTCCGCACCAGCACCACTAACATAAATGAAGCGAAATGGTTTCTGACAGGTTTCTTCAAATGCTTCCGCCGCCGCCATGGTGTATTCTATACTGACCCGGCGGGCGGTTGCTCCGTCGTCATCCTTGAATGCCGTGCTAGGGATCAAACCGATTGTCCTAAGAGGTGGATGAGTAGGCGATATAATGATCATGAATAGCAGTCCTACCAGATACAAGCTTCGGCGTCTTTAAGATTCTCACGGACAGAGGCGGGGTATGAAACGAAGTCCTTCATTAGTGTCACTTGTAGTTTTCCATGGGCTGGTAGATCGCGTCGACTAAGAGCTACCACAGAGGTAATGGCAGGATTTCGTAGACATTGATTGAGGGTTTCGCGGCCAATGAAGCCGGTTGAACCAGCGAGAATTACTTTCATTGTTTTGTCGAATGGTAAAGTAGAGGACTGCAGATTTGGTATTGTCGCCGCTAAGTTCCCTGTGTCAGGTGAGATAAGCTCAGATTTATCCTCGGCTTTGGCTTATCTCCGTGCCTCTGCCCCCACGAAGTCAGAACACAGCTCTGTGCTACTACAGAGTCATGGTAACTGAGTTTATTCTTTTTTACCTAGAAACTAGCCAGGACGAATTCATTCCTTCTACGATCACGTGGTATACACATAACACACAGTGTGCAACAATTTGCCAAACACAAAAAGAACTCATCACCCATGATAGGGAAGTAGGATATCAGAATAGATAATCACAATAAGTTACTAGTAGACGGACTCTAAAACCAAGTATAAAGAGCAGATAAATTCAACAAAGGATACATAAAACGTAAGGCAGAAGAGACAATCAGAGATCAGAAGAAGAATGTCCAGTCTGGCGACGATGACACAACGAAAGCTTAATGAAAACTTGGAATATCTCAAAGACATGGTGAAAAAGGAAAACCATGGTGGCATTCAAAGGAGCATTGCAAGTCAACTCCACCCCAATCCCCGGCTTTCCTAATCTAAAACTACCCAATGGCAGAATTATTGACATCTGTGTCCTGAGAGTCAGAAAGGCCCCAAAAGTCAGTCGTCACCTGGGCATTACTAGCATAGTTGTAAGACCTAGCAAAGTTGTAAGACTTATCATAGTTGTAAGGCCAGTCATGCCCAGCAGCTAATTCCCGTACGCCGCAGGACATGGTGTGTTTGAGAAGCTCCTTGAGAAGCTCCTCCCTCCCTTCATATATATCGCTGCACTCTGCTTCCCGAAATAAGTCATCTAGTTCTCGCTTTTCCGGAAGATCCCATGTTGTTAAAATAAACTGGGCAAGGCCGAATTTCCCAGCTTTGACCGCATTTCCGAGGCTCTCGTGGGCTTTGTGGTTGGTCCAAATTCGCTTTAATACCGTCTTTGTGCTTTCAGAATCCTTGGCAGCAATATCAGGGAGAATTCTTTCGAGTTCCCAGCTGTTAGCCCTAAGCAGGAGAGTGTCCAAGATGGACGTGTCCGAAAGTTCGAGCGCTGGCTTGAGGCATTCAGAGACCCTACCTATACGCTCACTCTCATCGATACGACTTAAGAGAAGTTGAACCCCCCTCAAGATATTCAACAGAAACGGCCAGAAGCAAGGGTGAAGGCGCCGATATGATCTTCAGAGGCTCCGAAGATTGAGACACTCGAGACTCTGACGTAGAGGTAGAACTCGGAAGTAAAGGTGTAGGAGCGCTTGTCTTTCTAAACTTCTGTCTTTCACTCAAAGAAGTCCGCGTATAGGCAAAGCTTGGACGCGAAGGTGAAGATGAGCCCGCCATTTGATGCCTCGATCGTGTGATGGGGGGAGGGGGGAAAAGGGATCGGGGTGGGAGCATGGCCTTTGGATACGCAATGTGTTTCTTGAGCAAGCGAGAAACGCACAAGAAGTGACGACCGCGAATAGCTTCGTGTAGAGGAGTCCAGCCCTCTTCATCCGGCGCATTGACTAAGCAACCTGAAAGCACCAATGTATCGATAATTTTGAGGTGACCATTACTGGCTGCATAGTGAAGCGGTGTCCATTGATTGAAATCTCGAGCATGAAGCATACTTGAGTGATATTGCAGCAGGGAGGTCGTCCATAGCAGGCTGCCCGACTGCGCAGCAACATGTAGCAGACATCGTCCTTCACTAAGAGTACCTTGGCCTGAACTACCTGCCAAAGAGTGTGCAAGTTCATCCCACCTGTTCTCTATCGCCATGGACAGAGCTGTGCTTCCATCTGGCAAGGCAGCGTTCACGTCAGCACCATTGGACACCAGTCGGGCTATAGCTTTTGCGTTGCCGGTCTGAACTGCAATATGAATGGGGCATCTGCCTTGGATATCAGAGAAGTTCAGGAAAGGATGATTAGGTATTAGCATGTCAATTATCTTGCTGTTATCATTCTCAAGAGCGATATGGAGTGGCAGCCTTCCATCTGACGTGGTTAGATGTAAGTCAAAACCATCACTTTGCTGCGCATAGTAAGCCAAACACCTCAAATTGTGAAGAGCAACGGCGTGAATTGGAGCCATTCCTACGGGGTATCTGTGTTCCCCGTAAAGATAGCGTGCAATGCCGACCCAAGCGCTGAAATTCCGTTTAAGTCGGAAGAATGCATCCAAGGCACTGAGCGCAGCTTCTGGCGTTTTATCCTCGTGATCGGTAAGATGTGACCCCCAGTATCTCGATGCGTAATCTAAGAATGGACTATGGGCCAAAATGAGGGGGTCTGAGCCACCTTGCTGAATAGCTAAACAATCTTTCACCTTTTGCAAGAAGAATTTGGTGCCATAGTCCTCAAAACTGAGATATATGGCACAAGTTCGTGTCAGCAAGATGCTTGAAATGTAGGGTTCAAGGAAGAATTGATTTCTGCGCCCAGATGGTAGCTCTTTCGAGGAGAGCCATTCATAAATTGAGTAATGGGCAAGTGACAAGTGGCCTGTTAGATTTGATTGCCTGATATAGCTTCCGCATATCTCAAAGACATCAGTTATGCGTCGGAGTTTGTTTTTTTGCAGCTGTTTTAGGTTCTCAGTGCCTGGCTTCACTGCAATGGCTTCAACTAACTCTTCAACGCCGAGAGGACGTCGAGAGTACATAAGCCAGCAAAGGATCTCCACGGCAAGCTCCCGGTCTAATTTACCAAGTTTGAGAAGCCCGGCCTCAAACATCTGCTCAAGGCCGTCTGGAAGGCCATGGACAAGTTCCTTAGATATCGTGGTCCTAACACGGGATAACCGATCCAGCTGGCATACTGCCCACAAAAACCTGAGATAAAATCAGCTCGGAACAGCCGCAGAGAAAAAAAAAACACAATACACTTACATGCCATCCGCTTTTTGTATGAGAATTTGAATGAGCTCCTCAGCTTCTTTCTGTTCCTGGAGCTGTAGTTGCCCGACTCGATGACGGACATACTGCTCAATGTCGCCGATGTTATCAGCCGGTGTCACGGTCACAGCCCCATAGAACTCGAACGCAGTTTCTAAGTCAACCTCCGGCCGGCTAGCAACAAGACTTTTCACAACAGGAGACAAATTTTCCAGTTGTCGAAGAAACTCTGTGATACTTTTCCGATCGGAAAGCTCATCCAAGCCGTCGATAAAAAGGAAAACCTTTGACAGACCATGGCATATCTCTCCGAATATCTTAGACAAGCTCAAGATACTGGGATAGGTAGTTTTTCGGGAATAAGTTTCATGAAGATCAATCAGTGACTGTGGAATAGGAGCTTTTTGCCCCTTTCGCCTCAACAGCTGGGATATCATTGCCCCAACAACTCTTTCTGGCGTCAGCGGTGCGGCATTGGAGAATCGACAGTAGTGATACACGAGTGCCATTTGATCTTCACCATCAACAAATCTCTCAGTGGCTTCGATAACTTTAGAGCTGTGTGATTGATCTAGGCTTCAGCCACTTATAACGATTGGAGAGAAGATGGAAGAAATTTGCGTTTGGAACCAGTACTTACACGATAAACGTCTTGCCAGTTCCTTCTATACTGGAATTAGTGTCTTAGAATGCTGAAGATAATACAAATAACGTATCCTACTTACGACTTCCCTTCAACCAAAGATAAGACGATCTGTCGGAGACAAGCCAGGTCTCGAGTTCCTCTCTTGCAAGCAGCCAATTTCCAGACTCAGGGTATCTCTGTGTGCAAATATCTTCATGCTCGGTGTCTGTTGTCGGGCCAAGCCACTGAAAGATATCATTTCGCTTTTTCTCTTCTCATGATCAGCGTTAAGTATTAATACATCATCTTGGAGTACTCATACTGGCTTCTGTCGTGTCAATATCATTTTTGAGTTTCTTCTGTTCAGAGTGTAGGTTTTGAAGTTGCCCCTTAATTTCCACCAAGGATTTCCCCAATATGTCGGACTGGACACTATCCATTTGTGAGTTATGCTACCACTTAGAAAAGCTACTTGGTACTCACCCGCTCTCAAGTTGTAAGTACAAGACGAAAAGACTCTTATAGTGCTCGATCCGAGCAATAATCTCGTCGGTTTGGTATTTCGTCGCATCCCCCTTCAACAGCAATTTAAAAGTGTTCGTACTTTCCAGAGACCTAAAGAGTTTATCTGCATCCTGCAAGCTTTGGTTACAGGCCTCAATGGCCTGCTCAATCGTGTGTCCAGTCGGTTGGGCGAAAGGGACCAGGTTAGAACCTGCAGCGACCACCCGAGTATTGACGCCGACCAAGACGCCAGAGAAGGCCGCGATCTCGTTCACCAGCGCTGTGATGTTATCTCCACGCGTCTTGAGCTTGGATACAAGCGCGTACCCGGTCGAGATCACCGATCCTGCCAAGCTGAGCAATCCCGCCACGCTAGCAGCGATGGAGAGAGGGTCCATTAGGAAATCAAAATCAATTCTAAGGTGGATGAGTTTTTTTAACCCACCGTCTGAGGGGCGGCTCCGTTTCTCTTTCTAAGAAATTGAGTGGCGCAAGTTGAGCCTCATAAAACCTTACTCCGCCCCCCTCAGCTTGGACACATTTACACGGGCCTCCGCCGATCTCGTCACCCCGCGTTGACTGAACATTCCTACAGTGAGGCTTCGACCGGGGCCGGAAACAGCAAAGCAATATTTTAGGTTGACTCAGATGGCTTATAATTGATGGAGCATGCTGATGGGCGGAGACGTTGAATTTATCTAGGAGGAAGAGTTCCATCTATAACGATACAATCCGGATTTCTCAAGAAGATGGCCGTGCAATGAGGTACATAGCAGTTGTTATCGAGAAACAGCGTCTCAGTATGCCGCCCATCCCAAGACAGCGGAATAAGCAGCCGAGCTGGAAGGTTAAGGTAGGTGATCGTTCATAGTGAGGCCAAGGCCGTGTCAATAGCGAGCGGAGAACAGAGGATCTGGACTTGGATCGTCGAATGTATGCATGGATCGGCTTTTGTAAACGACCAAGGCTGGCATGCGCCGACAGTAGTTCGTTGTGGTTTTGGTCCACGAGTTCGTGGCATTCAAACAGGAATGAAGGTAAACATTGCTGTTTGAAGGACACGAACTCATGGGCCAAAACCACAATGCACTACTGCCGACTTCTTGAAAGATTGCATTCTGTCAAGCCCTTGATGACCCTGTTCGTCGAATGCAACACTCGCAATTACCTCCTGGGAGAAAATCATGATAAAACAATATCACCCGGTGGATCAGACTTCTGGCGAGGTATGGGGCACCGTGGCCATAAGTCAATCAGGATGCGGCCGGCGAGGTTGCTAAATGAGGACTTTCAGACTAAGCCGCAAGTTGTCTGCCATTTATGCCGCTCAAAACCCGCAGGTCACCCCATTGTTGGATCTGTGTGCGATGGTCAGTACCATATAGTTCATATAGTTGATAATATACAATATTTAATGAACAGGTACACACCAAATGAGGGCAAGGTGTTCCTCTAGAAGAAATCTCTGCTCCGGATAGCGTCTATCTGCTCGTCAATTCTCACAAGGTCGCGTACAAAGTACGGCGGGTGACTTCAAGGTCCAAGACACTCTCGCGCAATGTTCGAGCTCTGTCTAAGGCGATACGATACGGTCAGTGGTTTCCCGAGCCATCTGTTCGCTTAAACTCATCTCCGCAACACTGACATTTGTACTTGGTCCAAGTTGAATTCAACAATGTTTTTTTTTTCCGCATTTTTGATTTTAGCTGCAAGTTATCTAACCATAACCCGACGACAGCCAATATCCCTTTGAATAGATGTCGAATGGAAGACGACCAACAAGGTTAGTTTCGGCGAAGGGCCCTTGTAGACTTTTCTCGATGGCGGCCCGGATCGATGGTCTACTCTGCCTCTATCACCCGTGATGTTGGCCTTCACTCAGACCATACCATCACTGTAGCCGAGGATACTTGTAGGCCGAGTACCGTTCCTAGCGAGATCCTTGACTTCATTTGCTTTTCAGTCCCGGGTTTTGCCTCTACTATGTGGTATTTTGTGATAAGTACCCTGTCTCGCGAGATTTGAGCACGCAAATGACCCACGCTCCATTCTTCCGTTGAATATTCCATGCCCTGGGCAATTCTGACTGCGGTTGCTTTTTTGAATTCTGTGAGACGGCAATAGAAAAATGCCAAGTTAGAATGAGAGCAATGGCATTCAGGAGAGAATCGAAAAATGGGGCTTGCCTTCTTAGTAAGATCGAGGGGCACATATACATAGGCATAGGCCGATGCAGAATCCCTCGAACGGTCACTTCATCTTCTAAGCTCCGTTCGTGTCGCGCTTTGGTGAAGGCAATATTCTGTGTATTGGGCTCGTTGATTCTCTGCCAGTGATTTGCCAACGACTCAATGACCTCATGGTGTCCTTCGAAAAATTCTGAGAGCCCATATGTTTGAGGGTGCCTGGGGAAGCCAGACGGTAATCAACCATAAAGATCGGTAACAAAGTTGCTTAGGCCTGTTCAGTGAAGGGATCACTGTACCGTACTTTGTGAAACAGTCGACGGTAGATGGAGGAATAAGAAAGCAGAAGTGAGAGTGCAAGTTAAGGAAAAAGAAAGGAGGACACGGCGAGAAAGGAGCGAATTTTCTGTACAAACATTCACTCTGATATTGCAGCCTGGGGCACGCTCTGCTAGGGTCCATTGAGGAAGTCTGGATATGGTGAATGATAGACACCACCGGGTCAATGCCTTGTTTCGAGCATTATGCTGGAAGAGGAGATGAAGAGTGATGGTTGAGACTCGCTTCTTCCAGTCGTTACTCTTCCCCACCCCACCGACAATTGTGCCTCTGCTTTTAGCCTGACGCACTGGCCCTTTCTTAATGGCGATGCCGCTTGATCCGACACCGAGTTTGTAAAATGTATGTCATCTAGGAGCTGAACCACTGGGGTGATTCAGGCCACAGCGGCATCCTGGGGGGCTATTTCGTGTCGGTACTCTTGCTTTCGTCCGAAGGCCCGCCGGCCTCCTTCGTATCTATAACGTGCTGTATTCCTTCGATGCCGTATGTCCCGCTCCGTCCACACCTTCAGAGGTTATATCGCACAGCCCCGGCGTCGCAAAATGGCTCTCGGTTGCCCGGTCGCGAATAACGGGGCGCACAGTTGTCGTCATCGTCAGTCTCTCCAGGTTCTATATACCTAGTCGATGAATCTTCGAAAACAACGCCCGATAATATAGGCCAATAGCGGAAAATACCGCAAATGCCTCGAAATACCTCATAGGCAATCTAGCTTCTAGTAGAATCAAGAGAAAATTGATTTTACACTCCTCTATGGGTACATACCAAGCGGTAACTACTAGTAGTATATATATAAGATGGTTTGCCGCTGGACTTCGCTGATAATTCCATCTTATAATACGTGTGTCTTTCCATCTTCATCGTCAGAGAGCCGCCAAAATGATTCGGGCCATCCTCTGGTCAATTAGTTTTCTTATTATCAGCCTCGGGCAAACGGCAATTGTCCCTCTCCCTTCAAGCACTGGACCATGCGATGTCACGCTTCATGCAAGTGAACTAGTTGACATGTCTCGAACCAATCCTTATGACCCAAAAGGAGGTAAACGGTCTATCATGGTCACTACCTTTACACCCGTCAATTGCGGAAGTGTACCCTCTACATCTTACGTCCCGAATGCAACAGCCAGGTTTGAAGATGAGAGTTTCCAGTCTTTTGGATTACCTCCAGGAACGTTCGAGTCCCTTCGTATCCAGACTCAGACACGGCAACAGCCACCGCCTTTCAGACTTCACGGAGATTACCCAGTAGTCCTTTTTTCACCGGCACTGGCAACCTCAAGATTGATGTACTCATTGCTGCTTCAAGAAATTGCCAGCAACGGATTTGCTGTTGTCTCCATCGACCACCCGTACGATGCCGATATCGTAGAATATCCCGATGGCCGCACTGTTCTCGGAATACTCGCAAACATCAATACCACAACGGAATTTGTTTCAGCACTGGACGTTCGCGTTAAGGATCTGTCATTTTTACTTGATCAAATGCACGACGAAAAAGTGATCAGAAACCTATTCCCTTTGTCACAGGGAAATTTGCATCTACTCTCTCTTGATCGAGTAACTATCCTTGGTCATTCCCTCGGCGGAGCAACAGCAGCGCAGACAATACTAGTTGATAATCGGTTTGTCGGGGGTATCAATCTAGATGGTCAATTATGGGGGTCTGTCGTGGACAACGGATTGTCGAGTCCGTTCCTGCTTTTTGGTAGCTCAAACCACACCCAGGCAACAGATCACAATTGGGCAACATTTTCGTCACATTTACGAGGATGGAAACTTGAGCTACAACTCGCACAGTCTGAACACTATACTTTTTCTGACTTTCCAGTGCTTGTTGATGCTCTAGGTGTTTCGGATGTAGTTCGACAAAAAATTCAGGCCAATCGTACTGGGACGATAGGTGGTTTGCGGGCTAAGGATGTGATTACTTCATACACCGTCGCCACACTGCAGTACTTTGTTTATGGGCACAAGTCAGAATTGCTGAGCGGCCCTTCTGTAGCATATCCTGATGTGAAATTTGTGTCTTCATGACTAGTTGGATGATTGGTAAATATCTCAAATATTGAACCCAATAGACATGGATATCCGCACCCGCAAAGCTGTTTCATTTACAATATCGCTGCGTGAGAAGTTTGCCATAAGGGGCAATCAAGTAGGTCATTGCTCATAGTTGGCGGTGGTCGGGATTCTTTGGCTTGGTGAGAGAGGTGAGGCTCTTGTATCTGTCTTACAATCTATAACAAGCGGCTGGTATTATTATACGTAGGTACAAAACATGTTATTCCCCCGTAATATGTGATTGGGGTTTGAAAGAGCATCTCTGTGTTTCTGATATAGAAGGCGAACCTGAACCTGGGCGGGACTGTAACATCCCGTTCCATCCGGTGCTTTTTCAAAAACTTTCAAGCTCACGGATATTCTATGGCTAGAGTGAGAAAGTGTCATGTTACTTAATTTTAGTAGAAAAAGAACGCGTAGTAAACAAGTCCACCCTCCACACCAAACCGATTTCAAAAAAAAAAAAAAAGACAACATTGAAAAAGAAACAGCAAGCAATGCACAAGTTCAAACAAAATCAATGCATAAAAGTACGTCAGACCTACAAAAAATAATATGACATAATCCCAGATCCCTCTCTAGTATAACCTCGGTTGACACGAGCATCGGGAACGCGGGTATCAAACACAAACACCGACACCGACACACAAATTAAACCCTACTCGGTCCGTGCAAACGGGTCAATGGAAACTCCCTGGAAATAATATTACTTACCGAGAATTGAATATTACAGACTAATCTAAGTGACGACAATCGCCAAGTCAATTTGAAAGAAAGGGCCGATTTACGGTGTAGGGCCCGAGATCGGATGAATGCCAACATAACATTCCTCAAACCCGCCCAGCCCAGCCCAGCCCCAGTCAAGCGCGGAGACCTGCCGGACATATCCCGTAGAGAAATAGAAAAGTCCGCTCTACGCTACGATTTGGGAAAGGCCCGGGCTCGGACGGGGGCCGGAACGCTCCTGTCCAGTCCTGTCCGCGTGGGTGTGGTCGGCTATGTGGTTTTCGTGGGATGTCCATTTTCGGAGTCCGGGGGGTTGTATTCCGGGGTGAAGTGGAGAGGAGGGGAGAGAAGGCAGACAGTGAGGAATTAAATTAAATCAAATTGAATTGAATTGAATGAATTGAGATAGAACAGTTTTTTGTAATTGATTCTATAATTCTGTTTATTTTGAGAATGTAAAAGAAAACCTCCGAGGTGAGACTACAAAGAAAAAACGGCAAAGGGAAAAAGGAAAAAAGGAGACGGATTGAAGTGTCCAGACACATTCGGCCAATAAGATTGTCGTGAATTCACGATTGCAAATGTATTCAAAGGGTATCGGGTCTGCATGTGGCAGGTTGATGAATTAAGAATGTGTGTAGGTGAATGTTTGTGTAAGGTGGGATGGAATGGAATGGAACCATTGGTATGGCACTTCCTCCGCTTCGTCTAAATACGCTGCACTGCACTGCACTGCATGATAGAAGGGTATCTCAAACCTTCTCTAGTGCTTAGCGGTGACAGCCTCGCCAGTCAGCTTCTCGACAGCCTCCTTAGCCCTATGTAACAAGATTGATTAGTCCTCGGTTTCACATGAAATTTTGTCAGGGGGGTTGAGGGGAACGTACATATCACCAAGAGCAACCATGCAGACGGTCTGCCAGATACCCAGACCAATACGGGGCGCAACACCACGGTAGAGACCGCGAAGACCATTGTTATCGTAGATGTACTTGGCAGTCTTGCCAACAGTCAGATTCTTAGGACGATTGGGATCCACAGTCTTGCTCTGCATCTCGACACGAATAACCTCAATAGGCTGATTCCAAGCCGAAAGACCACCACCCAGACTGGAGGCGAGGATCTTCTCCCAAGCGGACAGCTTCGTGCCATCCTCCTTGCCAGTACTCTTACGAATAGCAGACTCAGCCAGACGCGAGAGACCGAAGCGGGATCCCCAGTTGGTAGTCTGGCGAATCGCGACGGCGTTGACACCGCGGTTGATACCCCGGATACCCTCCTTGCGGTAGATGTCCATGAAGGTAGCGAAGGTGCCGGTGGGCTGAACGCCCGAGGCGGCCATCTTGTGCTTGGTGATCTCGACGGTCTTCATGCAGGTGCAGAAGCCCATGGTAGCGTAGGCTTGGGCAACACCACCGGCCATACCACCGCTGATTCCACCGACGAAGTCGCCAGCGCCCAGGCGGCGCGCCTGGTACTCGGCTTCGGAGGCGACGAACAGGAGGACTGCACCCTTGGTGGATGCCTCAATCCAGGCCCACGGAATGAGTCCTTGGTAGTCTAGTTCGGGTATTCGGGTTAGTTTGATTTGGTTCACATGCGTGGTGATTGGGTTTGCGTGGGTCTCCACACCAGACCACTAGATGCGGGCATCGGAGGAAGAAGGGGGGGGGGGAAGGGAGGGTATCATCACGTACAACCGAGGATGCCACCACGGCCCCAAATCCGACCCATAGCACCGGCGAAGCTGTCGCCCCGGTTGGCGGCCATGGTTGTCTTGATCACTTCCAACGGCTAGGGAGAAAGGGAGGGAATGTCAGCATGGTTTACTCGATTGTTTGGGGGGAGGGAGTGATCCTGTGTTGATTGACAGAGAGCTCCCTGTGATCAATGACAATAACAATAACGTACCTGTCCCAACGTGGTGACCTCGAACATGTTCAATCCAGCACCCAACAGCAGGTTGCTGAACTTGACGGGCTTCTTCTCGAGCTCAGGCGCGGCGGCCTTGACCGGTGCGGTAGACATCTTCAGAAGGGGGAGTTGCGCTGAAAGGGGCCCTGACCAAGGGATATATGGGGCTTCGTCGCCTTTTAAAGGGAAAGAAGGGGAGAGGGGAGAAGGGAGGAGTAAAGGTAGAGGTCGAAATCGGAGGTAGTGTAATGAGCAAAAGAGGAAACGGAAAGGCCAATTGTCTTATAGGGGGAGTCAGCTGAGGCGGAGAGGGAAGTACCAAAGTATTTGGTACCTGGAGGAGTCCAGTGATCCACTCATGCCGGCGGGTACTGAGTACCTTCCATACTGTGGACTGTGTACTCCATACTGTACTCCATACTTTGCTGTAGTTATCTGACCAGCCTCAGGCAGGCAATTTCAATTCCCGAGGTGCTCTCTGAATTCTCCGTACTTCGGAATTTTGACATTCTGGATAGCTCCGGTCGGTCATTTAGGGCACCACTGCCATTAGTATTCTTATTCCGATTTCTATAACTTCTATACTATAAATACTGCCGAATGTCATTCAATCTCTTTTCCCCTTTGTTGTTTATTTTGGCATTGGGTGGGTCGGTGAGAAGGTTGAGCCTCCCAACAATTCACGTGTGCTCGATTCTACTTGGGTAGCCGTCAGACCATTCCTAATCTGCGCCCGCACAGGCACTCTGCATCCTGCATGCATGCAAGGCGCACTAGGTCGTTCTCAACAGCAGATATCGGACTACTCGTACACTCGATAAGAAAAGAGGATTACTCAGGATACCACAATTACTGCGTGACCAAATATCATGTTGGGAGGAAGTGCTGTTACAAGGCCCGCTCGAACCGGTCAAGTCCTATATCATACAACATGAAAAACCACAATCACAAAAAATAAGAAGAAATAATACAGTCTAGCTCAGAATCCTCCCCCCCGAAAACATTTCAGATTATTAACCATTTACCGGTCGTGTTGCATTTAGAGCTTAGCACCAACCAGCTTGGCGTAGGCCTCAGTGCTGAAGGACTTGGGGCGCTCAATGGGCATACCGAGAGCACGGTCGATGATCAGCTGGGGCAGGACACCCAGGGCGCGGGAAACACCGAACAGGACGGTGTAGTAGTTGGCCTCGGTCAGACCGTAGTACTGGAGGAGGACACCGGAGTGGGCATCGACGTTGGGGAAGGGGTTCTTGGTCTTGCCGTGCTCGGTCAGGACACCGGGGGCGATCTTGTAGACCTGGCTGACCAGCTTGAACATGGGGTCATCGGGCAGCATGCGGAGAGCGAACTCGCGCTGGGAGACGTAACGGGGGTCAGTCTTGCGGAGGACGGCGTGGCCGTAACCGGGGACGACACGGCCGGCGTTCAGGGTGGACCAGAGGTAGTCGGTGATGGACTTGTCGCTCAGGTCGTTGCCGACAGCCTTCTTCATCTCGGTGAGCCAGTTCAGGACCTCCTGGTTAGCCAGACCGTGCAGGGGACCGGCCAGACCCTGGAGACCGGCAGAGAGGGAGAGCATGGGGGAGCTCAGGGCACTGCCGACCAGGTGGGTGGTGTGGGCAGAGACGTTACCACCCTCGTGGTCAGTGTGGATGGTCAGGTACAGACGCATCAGCTCAACAAAGTCCTTGTTGTCGGCGAAGCCGAGCTGGTTGGCCAAGTTGAAGGAGTAATCCTTGTCCTTCTGGATAGCGGCAACCTTGCCATCCTTGTAGACGTTGCGGTAGATCTTAGCGGCGATGGTGGGCAGCTTGGCGATCAGGTCCATGGAGTCCTCGAAGGTGTAGCTCCAGTACTCCTTCTTGTTGATACCCTTGGCGTAGGCCTTGGCGAAAGCGGACTCGTGCTCGAGAGCGGTAACAGCCAGGGAGAACTGGGCCATGGGGTGGAGGGTGCTGGGGCAGCGGTCGATGAGCTCCTCAACGAACTTGGGGACGTCGGAGCGGGCAGCCCACTCAGCAGACAGGTCGCGAACCTGCTGCTCGGAGGGGACCTCGCCAGTCAGCAGAAGCCAGAACAGACCCTCGGGAAGGGGCTCCTGGCCACCGGGGGCCTTGGGGAGGAGCTTCTGGACCTCGGGGATCTAGAGAGGCGAGATGTCAGCAAGTCTGGTCGAAAGAATTGATCTTTCATGATATTGTAAGTACTTACGGTCTTTCCACGGAAACGGATACCCTCCTCAGAGTCGAGGACGGAACCCTGGAAAAAAAATTATTGTTAGCGGACTTTTCTTAGCGCGCCAGGGCTCCCGCATTGCGACTTACCTCCCAAACGAGGGACTTGATGCCACGGGCACCACCGTAGACCTGGTCGAGGGTGACCTCACCAACAACCTTGTTGCCGTAGTCCCTGTGATTGCGTCAGTGATGATCATTGGTTTCGGGGGAGGAAATGTAGGAGTGCGCGTGGTGGACGTACTTGCGGAGCTTCTTGACCTTCTCAATCTCGGCGGGCAGGCCATCGGCGAAGGTCTCCTTCAGGGACTGTAGAATTGATTAGTATGTCAATTGAGATGCAAGCTGGAAGCAGGACCAAGTTACCTTAGCCTTAGAGGAGTAGCAGCGCGCGCCGTTCAGGGCAGCAGTCTGAACGGGCTTCGCGACAGAGGACCGCAGAGCGGAGGTACCAATGCGAAGAGAAGCCATAACGACTTTTTGTGAAAAAGAAAGGGGTATAATGGATGGAAGGGAAAGAGGTGAGGTATGAGCACAAGGGGGGAAAGAAGAAGAAGAAAAGAAATATCCGGGAGGAGCTCCCTGGATTTTTCTGGCTGCATTTTTCCATCTGACCGTAACAGCCGGTAATACAGTATTGATCCAAGTGGGTGCATGGGTGTGCGGGTGGGACTTTGATCTGCGTAATTAACGCTCCCAACGGTAACGCCGAGTACGGCTTTCGGTCTGCCGGCAGATCTCTCTGGTCCGACCAGTTCCGTAGGGGCAGCGACTAGCCTTTGAGGACAGATCAGAATACAAAATACGGAGTAGGGAGAAGTGGGTGCACGGATAGTGGGAACCATCAGATACTACTACTACTAGATATATGACTGTAATTATAATTGTACTATACGGTGCTGGTGCATACTACATACTCGTTGTATCTATATCCCTATAACTGACTCGGAGTAGATCTGATTAGAGTCTACCCAGCATTTGTATACCCAGATACAGTGACGTCGATAGTTGTCATCTCCCGTGTCGCCATCCGGATGCCCGAGTGGATAGCCCTCGGCATCGCGCACGGAGTAGAGTTTGTCCTGGTGCCTCGGTCTGGGAATCCCTTACCCCGTGGAGTATTGTGTACGGAGGAAGTATGATTTGTAGCTTGCACTTGTACTTGTATGGAGTATTCTGTCTGAAATATAGATGAAAACACTTCTCGTCTGACGCCATGCTCAAGACCTCCCCGTTACTAGCCGGCTAATTGCTGAATATGTTCACCGAGATCGGGATATCGACGGGCGGAAGGAAGGGGCAGAACGGAGGCTAAAACAGCTTAGGTTTGGGGATGGAAGGGACAGATGGCTCGCGGAAATACATAGCATCGGCCCCATCTTGCCGGGATATCCACTCTGGCCTGAGACTGTGAGCTCCGTAGCCGGGGAAACCACTTGGATATGTGGGATGGCAGATTACGGTGTACAGCAAAGACCAGAGATGCATTCTAGTCACATGACTATAGTGTCACATGATTGGTCACATGATGGTAATTCTTCACCCCACGTGACCAACTCAATACAGTTAGCGCTGAGAAATCTGCCCAGTGTCAGTTAGGCCTTGTACCTTCCCTTCCACCTGGAAGAATCCTCTCCCTTTCATCCTCCTCTCATCCAACAACCCCCCCCTCGCCATCCACGGATTCTCTATACCTTGTAAATCCGTCCCTTGTCTTGCTTCTGGATCTCACGGCAGTGCGCCTTTAGGTTGTACCTCTCGTACTCTTTCGTACTCGGCCAGCCTTCTTATCCTGGATTCTCCCTAATCGCTAGGCTGTATCCCCAGCTGTAGGCGGCAGTTCTCTGGTTCGACAGTGAATACGCTCGTGCTGTAGTGAAGAGTCACCGTCCGCTATAAAACATATTGTGTCTTGAGAGATACGGATTTTAACTATAATCTCCCCTGAGTTGAGAGTTTCCTTGAGTTCTATCAGTCTCGGGATTAATTTGTCGTGATTGTTTTCGAAAGTAGCCACGGGACTCGACCAAAGAGCTTCTTGCCTCGTTTGCTCTCTCTACACACAATCTCACTCCTACACCACACCACACCTCACACCTCACTCTATCACACTCTCTCTCACTCACGCATCTCCTATCTCTTCTTCTCCGAACATCAGTTCTCCCATATTTAGAGTGCGGAACTCATCTCAGGCTATCGAAAAACAAACACTCCTACTTGCCCAGCATGTCCTCGGCCGTAGCTGAGCTGGAGAATTATCTCCAGTCGATGCTGGCCCTCAAGGCCCCAGGCGTATCGGGCTCCAAAATCCACAGCATCACCACTCTGTGTACCGCCAACGTACAGGTATGAATTCTGCTTTTCTTCTCATCCTGTCACTCATCCGTCGACCCCCAGAGACTAACCACATCCTCACAGAATGAATCCGTTCTTATTCAGAAGATCTACACACACTTCAAGAAGGCACCGGGCACCCACAAACTGGGAGTACTCTATGTCGTAGACTCCGTAACCCGGCAATGGGTAGAAGCTGCACGAAAGGCTGGTCAGCCCCCTGGGAGCTCTGCTCCTGATGGAACCTTCGCCGCAGGCGTCAACCGTGTCACTGAACTCCTGCCTGTTCTAATGGGCGATATCATAAACACCGCTCCTCAAGATCAAAAGGTACGCTAGACATGCATCTATCCAGCCCAGCGGGGCAACCATTTGGGGGCCAATTGTAATGGCCGTATATTCAAACACCCAAACTGGACATCACTTTTCGAGGATTGTTCTAAATCGGCCCTGTCACTGCTGGCTGCTGCTCTCTGCTCTTTTATTTTTTTATGATTTATGAACCGTATGACTTACGTATTTTATTATTTCGGACTTATAGGAAAAGATCAAGAAGCTGATCGACATCTGGGAGCGCGGATGCACATTCCCAGCCCCAATGCTCAACTCATTTCGCGAGAAGCTGAATGCTCCTCAGCAGCGTAAGTTTGCACCCCCTTTGCTTTCGCATCCCGTAATCATGTCTGATTTGTTTATCCGCTACGCAGCTGTGGAATCCACCACCCCCGAAGGATCTCCCGCCCCGGGCCCCAATCTTCTTGGAGGCGTAACCATGCCATCTCAACCTCCCAACGGTGGCGCCGCCCCGGATACTTCGAGTATCTTGAAGGCGCTGGCAGACATGGCCAAGCAGAACACTGCGGCGCCCGCGGCCCCGGCCATGGCAAACCCTCTTGCTGCGCTGAACCCTGCAGCAGCAATTCCGCCCCCTGTCTCGTCCGCCGATCCATCCGCGAACCCATATGCAGCCGGTGCGATGGCGAACCCATTCGCTGCTTTTGGCCAGAACCCGACCATGCCTCAGCCGCAAAGCCAAAGCCAGACGCCCAACCCACTCCCGTCGGCCCAGAACCCCTTGGCCGCCATGCTCCCTGCAGGTACCGCCATGCCACCCATGGGAGATGGCAATGCTCTGTCCCAGCAGCTTCAGCTTCTGCAACTTTTGGCTGCGCAGGGTATTCCCCAGGATCAGTGGGGCACTGCCCTCCAAATCATCAGTATGACCAACAGCATGCCTGGTGGTGGTCCGATCCCTGGCCAGATGCCCGGCTTCCCTCCCATGCCCGGTCAGGGTGCAGGTGGTTGGGGTCACGGCGATGCTCAGGGTCATAATGATCGCGACAGAGAGCGTGATTACAACCGTTCCCCTCAGGGATACCGCCGTCGCTCTCGTTCTCCCGGCTGGGACCGCCGTCGTGATGCCTCTCCCCCTCGTCGTCGCAACAGCCCTGTTTACGATGAATACCATGCGGACTCCCCAGGACGTCGGGGCGATCCCCGCGATGGTCGTGGTGGTCGTGGTGGCGGCCGTGGTGGCAGCGATTACCGCCAGCGCAGCCCGGCTGGACGGAGACGCCGCTCCCCCTCACCCCAGCGCAATAAGGACCCCAACCTTCCACCTCCCGGTCCTAAGCTCGTCGAGTGGGACTACTCAATCGGACAAGGTAGCATGAAGGTTCTTAGCCGAACTCTCTTCGTTGGCGGTGTCACCATTCCGGAGGCTCAATTGCGCGCACTCTTCAACAAGTTTGGCCTGGTTCAGACTTGTATCGTAAACATCGACAAGCGCCATGCATTCATTAAGATGATCAGCCGTCCAGATGCGATCGCTGCCCGCGATGGTATGGAGTCATACCGCCAAGGAGAGATGCAGCTGCGAACCCGTTGGGGTGTCGGCTTCGGTCCCCGTGACTGCAGCGATTACCAAACCGGTGTTAGCATTATTCCTATCGACCGACTGACCGAGGCGGATCGCAAATGGATGCTCAACGCCGAATACGGTGGAACCGGAGGCCGGCCTATCGAGCCTGGCATGGTTGTTGAGGAGCCGGATATCGAAATCGGTGCTGGTGTTTCTTCAAAGGCAATCAGCCGACGCATCGCGACCGACACTGGCGGCAAGCGAGGCCCTGTCTCCTCCCGCACCAACCCCAACCCTGACACCCGCTTTGGCGGTGGTGGAGGTGGTGGTGGTGGTGGCGGCGGCGGTGGCCGTCGCCAGGACCGTGATGGTTTCGGTGGAGGTCAATACGGAGGCCAGGGCGAGCAGGATATGTCAAACATGAACAACCCCGCCGTTGCCCCTGCCGTCCCCGCCTACGGCTTCAATTTTGCCAGTATGCCCATGCTGCCTCCCGGATTCATGATGGGTGGTGCCCAAGCCGGCGGCATGCCCACCACTCAACCTCCCCCACCGGGCCAGGGCAACTAATCACCGCATCGCACTGCACTGCGTACGACATGCCCTGCTTTTTCTCCTTTTTCATCATCATCATCTTCGACGACCTCCATTTTTCTCTTCGTCCGGAAGGTCTTTTCCACTTCTTCAAACCCTTCTATTATGTCTTCTTATCACAGTTTCTGCATCTGGAGCCTTCAGCTATCTGAAGGAAACCCTACTGGCGTTTTGACAGGTTGAAAGGATCTCGTTTCGTTTAACCGTTTCGGAAAAAAGGGGGAGGCTGTTTCTTTTTCTCTAGTACTGATTTCTTTTCTTTTCTTTTCTTTTTCCCTTGCCTCGTTTGCACTTGCGCTTTTTCTTTATTCTCTTCTACTTCACACATGTAACAACCTGCATAGTTTCTCATTGCGGCCAGTAGGCGACATAATGAAGCAATCCCCCGTCCCGTGGGGATGAACCATAACACCGTGACCACACATGTATTATTGTTGAAGTAATGTTTCCTACGAAGTTTCCTTACTAGTAGTCACTTGAACTCTCAAGCTAGGGCTACTTGATTGTTTGTAGTGGATTTCTGTTTCCAAACTAGCTTTAAGTCTTTTTGCTCGAGCATTTATATTTTCCCTGTCCTGTCCTGTCCTGTCCTGTTTATTTCTGCGAATGATTGTTAGATGACTCCAATGCAGTTCTGAATTATACAATTTCAATGAATCCCAAATCCATTTACAACATTCGTAGGCAACCTCAGGCCCGTAGGTAGCTTAGTTAGCCTACCTAGCTGCATCGCGGCTTCCAATTTTGTAAGGTTGTAAACAACGGAAAGCCACGTCTGGACAACAACAACAACAACAATAACAATAAAAATAACAAATTGAATGCTTTGATTCTCCCTTCTTCACATATCCACCGTCCATTGGATTTATCCTAACTGGTTCACTACCAGCTTGAAGGTGGATGAGCTGTATCGATATTCTATCCACACCAGCATCATCATCACCGAAGATGAGTACTCTCTACTCGAGTTCCAGAAGGTGTCTTCGGGCACAGTTGTACTACAATCTAAAGAGCCCCAAAGAATCGCGCAGAATCCGAATCCCGCTCTTTTTGACTGGACGCAATAATCGCGGAATATACACCAAGCGAGAATCTAGAAACGTCGCCATTTTTCCCGGTATTCCTACAAAGTGTGATTTAATTCTGTTTTTCTCAAGCTTGCTACCGTTGAACCTCCGATAAACGAAAATGACTAGCTCTTCTTGAACCTGGTTAAGATGCTAATGGCGTGCATTTTTCAGACTCTGAATAGAAGTTTCTAATCTCGGAGTCTGGTTGCCTGAAGATAATATTCTTTTAAAAGTGTGGTATGGTAGAGGCTTGAATGTGACCTTGACTTTGAGGTAAGGATATGCCGCGCCTGGATATTATTCCTTCTATGAAATAAAAATAACTGGCATTTAGTTCTTCGAAACAATTCATAGTCAGGATCCTGATCGCCGACAATGGGCTACTGAGCTATGTATCGCTTATCAAAGCCTTCAAACACACCCTGGCCGGGGCTTAGAAAGCGCCAAATCTGGTTTACCACCTGGGCAATCTATACAAAAGTCGTGTTCTGAGAGACCTTGGGTGGTTACTAAGTGCCTCGGGGCAGGGCAAGAAAAACGCAAGGGACGCAGCCTTCAAACTTTTCAAAGGCGTGAAGCTTTCGATTATCGGGAACTCTACGAGTAGTGGTTTTTATCATGCTCAATATTATTTTTGCCTTGGTATTTGTCGTTATTTTTTCCATGAGAAGTATGAAAGGACAGGAAAGAAACTCTCGTCACACAGGAAATGGGATGGTCACAGCCAATCCAGATTATGGTCAATTTGTTTACAGTAATTTCATTCATTCGTCAATTAATCCATTTTCCATTCAATCACAGTATTTCACTTTGAATTTGAACCTGCCCGGGATTTTCATATGCAACTATGCCGTACGATCCGGCACCGCAGCCTTGGAAGCCTGGAACGACTGCTCAAAGTCGGCAATAATGTCATCAATATGCTCCGTTCCAACAGAGATACGGATTCCATCCTCAGTGACGCCCGAATCCTTGCGTTCCTGCTCAGTGAGTTGCTCGTGGGTAGTGGACCAGGGGTGAATAGCCAGGGTCTTGGAATCGCCGACACTAGAGGAGGTTAGCAAACATAAACTCCTCGTCGAAAAGAGAAAAAGAATGAAGGAAGGAAACATACTTAGCAAGATTCGAAATCAACTTAAACCCATCAACAACCTGACTCCCAGCCTCCGCACCACCCTTAACACCAACAGAAAGAACCCCACCAAAACCACGAGGAAGATACTTCTTCGCCATCTCATGCGAAGGATGATCTTCAAGACCAGGATACGACACCCAACTAACATGTTCATTCTTCTGCAACCACTTAGCCAGGGCCAGTGCATTCGTAGCATGACGCTCACAGCGCAGACTAAGCGTCTCAAGTCCAAGAATCAGCTGCTGAGCCGCGAACGGATTCAACGCAGCACCGACATCACGCAGCGTCTCGACCCGAACCCGAATAGCGAACGCAATGGAGCCAAATGTTTCCCAAAACTTTAGCCCGTGGTATCCCTCGGATGGCTCGATGAATTGAGGGAACCTAGCGCCGTGCTTGCCCCAGTCGAATTTGCCGCTGTCGACTATAACGCCGCCGATTGTTGTGCCGTGGCCGCCTATCCATTTTGTTGCGCTGTGGACGACAATGTCGGCGCCGTGGTCGATTGGTCGGGCGAAGTAGCCGCCTGCACCGAAGGTGTTGTCGACCTGTGAGATGAGATGAGACTTGTTCGGATGAAGAAAGGACGAAAGGAGAAAAAAAAGGGGCGAGGGAGAGGGAAACACATACCACAACCGGAACACCCTTTTCATGCGCAACCTTAGCAATGGCCTCAAAATCCGGAACATTGTATCTGGGATTTCCAATAGTCTCGACATAAACCGCCTTGGTACGATCATCAATAGCAGCCGCGATATCGGCAGCGTTGTCGCCAGAAACAAATTTAGTTTTAATTCCCAGACGAGGGAAAAGGACTTTGAACTGGTTATAAGTACCACCGTACAAATTGCTCGTGGAAACAATGTTATCACCAGCGTGAGCGAGGGCCGAAATTGCCATGAATTGGGCGGCTTGGCCTGATGCGGCCGCGACGGCGGCAACACCGCCTTCTAGTGCAGCGATGCGCTTTTCAAAGACGTCGACGGTGGGATTCATGATTCGGCTGTAGATGTTTCCGAACTCTTTTAGGCCGAAGAGTCGGGCGCCGTGGGCGGAGTCATTGAATGTGTAGGAGGTTGTTGCGTAGATCGGGACGGCGCGGGAATTGGTTTGCGAGTCTGGTTCATGGCTGGGATGTTGTTAGAGGTGGTCTTGTTATTTTCTTCATCTTTCTCTCTTTCGATTGAATTGAGTAGAGAATTGGGAGGAGCCCCGCTTACCCGGCGTGCAACTGGAGAGTCTCAAAGTGGAGATTCTGGGGATCAGACATGATGAAATGCGGGGAAGGGAAGGGAAGAGGAAGTGTACGACAGTCGGCGGGCAGGTTGCTTCTCTTATAAAGAGGAGTCAGAACACAGCACAATGTTGTACAGCTCGGCGGCAGGAGTGGGTAGATTTATAGCAATGCAGTGGTTCTCTCCTCTTGCAAGGCACGGTGTAAATTGCGACAGCTCCAGCAAAGAGAAAAAGGGGCAATGAACACGCCAGCGCGGGCCCACGATGGCGTGATCATCAAACCCTTTTTTTTGATTCCGTTCATTCTCGTCGTCAATCCAAATCCCACCCTAATCCAATCCTCTTTCTCGTACGAGAATTTACAGGGGTCTATCCCAGCCCCGCTAGTTCGTATTCAATGCATGCACTGTAGTGGATTGATCACACTATGTGATAGTATTGCATGGGTGCATCGCATAAACGTATCGAGCGCTATAACTAGATTCCAATCCGACTTTTCAAGTAAATGCAAACAACTTTGAATTGATGGGTATTCTACAGCAAGATGTGGGGATATAAGAAAACACCGGTTTTACAGCCAAATTACAAAATACAGAGACTCGGCCAGAATTTGACACCCCTGGTAACTGACTCTAAACAGCTGATTGACCTCAAGCTGCTAAGGTATAGGGTTCCCCGCCTGTTCTTCGCCTAGCTAATGGCTGGGTAGAGCGCGGCTGTGGAGGTACTCGATCTCTTGTGACCGCATGTTCTTATACGCACCGGCGGCGGCAGGGGAGGAGAGGAGAAGTCCACGAAGCAGTATCCAGCATTGCTCCTACTACCACCATTAGCATCCTTTTGGAAGAAATAGGAGGAAACATTTCTTACCCAGAGAACTTGTCACGGATCATCTTGACGTTGACCTGCTCACCCATCTGAATCCAGAGGTTGCAGATGAAGTTTTTATCAATCCCCATAATCGTATATTGTTGGGGTTCTCATCATGAGTCGGAAGAGAGAGAGAGAGCAAATCAAAGCGCAGTAGAGTACAAGATTGAAACTTGAGTTGAAGCGGAGATGGAGAAGGTTGAAGAGTAGAGGAACTTCCGCAGAGTGGGAGATGTTTGTTTTGGCTTTATGTTAACGAAGGATGGTGGATCTGTTTGCCTCCATCATTCACGCGTCCTAGGCTGACATGGATAGTAAGAGGTGCAAATCTATTGCCTACTTATTTTGGTATAGTTTGCCTTGGGCATATTTTGCTTCATTCTACAAAAACCACATCGTTGAGATTCCTCGGCATCAGCCCACCGGGTGGATCCTCATATTTCAGGCACCAACTCATCTCATCCCGCAATAAAGCAAAACGCTTTACCTTGGTTGTAAACAGAGCCACCTAAGCGCTGGGTCAATAATAGGTACGGCACTGTATTTATTTATAGGACACTGCATAGGCTCCATAACTCTTTGAATTGATCTTCACACTCCACTCGGCCTGCCAATGAGTAACACTAGTACTGGCATGTTTTCACATGTTCTTTAGGCAGCGGGCCAAGACCCTAGCTTACTAGTGGCGGTGCAACTTTCTGCTTTCTTCAGGCGCAAATAGAATACTAGCCTCGGGTAGGCAGCAGAGTATCCAAGATGTACATTATAAGTCGGGATGGGAATTTTTTGGGCAGTTTTCTCGAATATCGGTCGAGGAGAGCTATACCTAGTCTCATAGTATCAGCTGCTACACACCAAGAATACTAGTAGCTATTCTTCATCCCCCGCAAAGCCAAAAAGGTAACCCTAATTTCTCATCAGCCCTATCATGCAAGCCACCTGACTGCCAAGATGTGACCGATGACGCGCGCGCGACGAAGGTGGCTGACCAACTTTGGGCAACGCTTTATATACCTGTTCTGAGCTCTGATCTTTGTTGACAATTTTCTGCGTTTATTTTCGCTGACAGCCACATTTTATCACTGCAGCAGTTTCCACCTATTCTGCATCCTAACTACATTGTACTCGACACCATTACCTACATTCGCCATGAATCTCCCCTGGATCCAAGCTGTGCGGATCGTGCAGATCATCTTCGGCTTGATCGTGGTCGCTTTGACTGCTTATGGTTCGTTCATCATTCTCCACCTTCTCAACGGTCGCATCGCAGCTTGCAGAAAGCTCTCCCGATGCGTCCAATTGTACTTCCATCGATAAATAGCTAAGCTAACCCTACGGCCATATAGTTATCAGTTCCTTCTACGACTGGTGGTCTCTATCCGACACAGTCAACTACCTCCTCTTCCTAGGCTGTTGGACAGCATTCGTCGCCACGCCCTACCTCGGTGCAGCCCCGATTTTCTTCCCTCGACTGGCGCATCGCTTTGTGATTCCCGCTGTCGAGATCATCACGATGATTTTCTGGTTCGCGGGCTTTATTGCTATTGGTGCTGAGCTTCCTCCGCCTCGGTACTGTCACTATAGCACCTGTCGGGCTCTTCAGGCGGTTACTGTCTTTGGAGCGTTCGAGTGGTATGATCCCGACCCCCCCTTCCCTGCCTGAGTGATTTAATCTTGTGTCTGTGTCTGTTACCACGGTTTAATGTGCTAATTCCTCTATTCTATCGCTAGGGTTCTTTTCTCTGTGACTACTTATTTTGCCGTCGTCGATCTTATGAATCATCGTCGTACGGGCAATAGTGCAACGAAGACTCAGCATAATGCACACCTTGGAGTCTGAGAATAGTCCAGCAAAGCGGGGTGAAAGTTGAAAGAGTTGGGTCGGGAGATTATTCCTATTCTCTGCTGATCGCGGAATGTCATTGATGTGGTGGGTAATATGAATCTGCGTGTTTAAGTTCCACGATACCCTGGGGTGTTTCGATTCTCCATTTCTGTATTTGTTTGTTTGTTCTGCCATGATTCATGATGATTTCTTTTGTGACTAGTGAGAGCGAGCCTTTGCATTTATTATCCAATTGAGTGTGGGTTTTCTACATTAAGTGTGGCATATGACATATCACAGCTAGGAATTAATTACTTGAGTTCATTTATCATCGGTTGATAATTAATTAAGCTTGCACTTTGATATAATGTGAGTATGGTGCGATAGATGGTCTAAAGTACATTAATTATAGATATAGATATAGATATAGATACAGTTTGAACCAGATCTGATTAATGTCATTTCTATTTCCAATGGATCCAAGGTTTCCCACTGGAATGCTTATCAAACTCGGCCCCACCCGCCGGAAACGGCGATGCCGATTCGGGCAGGTGAGTAATACATTATGATGGAGTCTTTATAGGTTCGTTTTGTTTGATTTATTATTTCTATCCAGTATACATGATCTTTAATAGATTCGTATTAGAGATGTAGCTATGTGTAGTCACGAGTATGTAGTGAGTAGTTGAGTACTGTACTGAGCAGAGTGAGTATACACTTGTTGCCGCGATCGGCGGGTGGCGGCGCGGGCTCATGCAGAGTCACATCGGGCGAACGTTTAGTTCGATTCCTGCCCGCACGACCCCCGGGTAAGCTGCACGAAGACAGTCATCTTGGACTGATCCAGCCTCTTATCTATATCTGAAAGGAATACTCGTATATGTATGTACCTTAGTCAGGGAAAAACGGCATCTCATGGGAGGTTCGCCACCAACCAAAAAAATTCTGTTCCTTTGGTTAAAGGCCCACATGGATGCCGAGCCGGTACTCGTATCTCTCTCAGGGCGCAAAGGAAAACTCTGCTCCGATGGGATCTTGTCTACTCCGTACTTGTACATATCTGATAGAGTTCGCCAGAAACGTCAAATAAAAAGAAGAGTCATTTCCCCTTTCACTTCCCCAGGTTGCATTGATTTTCTTTTTACATAACACTTTTCCATTTCCCCTCCTCCACGATCTCAGGCATAGGGTTTGACAAGCGTCGCGTGTTTCTCCACACCTCGAAGTCCTCGGAGGCAGCCGCGCGACCTTCCAACTGTGGTCTGAAGTGGAGACAAAAGTGCGCGCGCCCGCCCGAAAGCCAGAGTCGAGTCAGATCCTTTCTTTCTCCTCTTTCCATCCCCATCGCGCATCTTGTCACTGCCTCGTTACTCGTTACGGGTCAGACATGGCTGACGACCGGGTCTACAACGCACCTTGGTCTGATAAACCGAAAATGGTGTCCGAGAGTCCCATCATGGAGCCGCAGCCCCAAGAGCAGCCTGCCCACGCCTACGATGATGTCGACTACGAGAAGTACGGCGCCAGCCGTGAATCCAACCCGCTACCCGAATTGAAGCGGAAGCTGAAGAGTCGACACTTGCAGATGATTGCCATTGGTGAGTAAATCACACATCTAGAAGAGCTGCGGAAAATCTCTTATACTCATACCCATCGTGTCTAGGTGGTACCATCGGAACTGGTCTCTTCATTGGTAGCGGTGCGGCCATCGCAAATGCTGGCCCTGTCGGTGCGCTCATCGCTTTCATCTTCGTCGGAACCATCGTTTACTCCGTCATGACGGCTCTCGGAGAGGTCGCCACTTATATCCCCGTTCCCGGTTCTTTCACGACATACGCGACACGATTGATTCATCCTAGCTTGGGTTTCTCGATGGGTTGGATCTATTGGTTTTCCTGGGCGTCGACCTTTGCTCTTGAATTGGTACATCACATCCCCCATATCTCCTCTTGCTCAGAGTTAGCTGCCCAGTCACTAACAACCTATCCTTTCAGACTGCCACTGGTTTAATTATCCAATTTTGGGACGATTCCATCCCAATTGCCATCTTCATCGCCATTTTTTGGGTCATCATTATCTTGCTGAATCTGTTGCCGGTCAAGTTTTATGGTGAGATCGAGTTCTGGTTCTCCAGTATTAAAATTCTCACCGTGGTTGGTTTCATGATCTTCGCCATCTGTATCAACGCCGGTGCAGGCCAGAGGGGATATATCGGTTTCCGATACTGGGTGACTCCTGGTCCTTTTGTGACCCCAGACCTTTACCAGGTTACCGCATCCCCCGCAGTCGCCAAATTTGTTGGCTTCTGGTCCGTTCTCATCAAGGCTGGTTTCTCTTACCAGGGTACCGAACTTGTCGGTATTGCGGCCGGTGAGACAGAAAATCCTCGCAAGACAGTCCCCTCCGCCATTCGCAAGACCTTCTTCCGCATCGTTTTCTTCTTCATCCTGACCATCTTCTTTATCGGAATTGTGGTCCCCTCCAACGACCCAAATATGGTTGCTAGCAGCGGTACCGGGGCCGACGCCAACAACGGAAACGCCTCTCCATTTGTGATTGCCGCCCGACTTGCTGGTGTCAAGGTTCTTCCGAGTATCATCAACGCCGTTCTGTTGACTGTCGTGCTTTCCGCCGCCAATTCGAATGTGTACAGTGGCAGTCGTATCATCGTCGGCTTGGCCCAGGAGGGATTCGCCCCTCGCTTTATGAAGAAGACCTCCAAGGGTGGTGTCCCTTACTACGCGGTTCTTTTCACCGCGGCGTTCGGTCTACTCGGTTTCCTCAACGTGTCGAGTGCCGGTGCCGATGTCTTCAACTGGCTTCTCCAGATCTCGGGCGTCGCTGGCTTCATCACCTGGTGCTCTTTGAACGCCTGCCACATCGCCTTCCAGAGGGCGTTGAAGGCGCGCAACATTTCGCGCGATATCTTGCCTTACAAGGCTATCTGGCAGCCGTGGTTCTCGTGGTACGGCCTCTTCTTCAACACCCTCATCATTCTCACCCAGGGATTTACCTGCTTCATTCCCAAGTTTGATGTGCAGTCTTTCTTCATCAATTACCTGAGTCTCATCTTGTTTGTGGTGCTGTATTTGGGACATTGGGCTATCTTCCGCCCCAAGTTTGTCAAGTCTATCGAGGCTGATCTGGATACTGGCCGAACCACCTTCGATAATGAGACCTGGGAGACGATCGAGCCGACCACTTGGTACGGCAAGACCTGGCAGTGGATCAGCGGTTAGAGGTTGTACATGCCTGCAAGCATCTGTTCATAGTCTTTGCGTATTTCTTGGCATTTGGCATGGCGTTTTGAGTGTTGTTTTTTTTTATCCTGTATCATATCCCACAGTACTCTGTACTGCATATATTATTCTCATTATATTTGTGTATAAAGTCTAGCATCTCTGGCACACTGAACAAGTTTACGAATAGCATGCTTATTCTAGACGATATAAGGTTTCACACATTCCTCTTGGGTCTCCTAAGGCTTAGACACGGGCATATACCATGTGAAAAAAGTATGAAAGAGCATGTGGCGGATGACATCGTAGTGCATAACTCCCAGGGATGGCAGACCCACCTGGGCAAGGGGGTACCTCGATTTATGCTGGCGTCCCCATACTTTGCGCAAGTACCGGTACCCGCCCTTCAAACGAGCCGAGGTACTTTCAGCGCTTCGACCCCATCGTGGCAGGAGATTTCACCGAAAAGAGTCGCTCTCTCCGGATTTTCCTTCTTTTACTCCAGACTCTCCCTCTTCTCTTCCCCCACACTCCCTTTCTTCTCCGGTGGTCTCGTTCGTCGCTCTGGGAAAGCGTTTCTCTCTTACCAGTCTCTCTACTACCTCTCTTTGGTTCGTCACTGTTTCCGTTTCCCCTCATCGTTGCGCGGTACACGATTTCGCTATCCCGCAACATCCGAAGCATGTGGTTGCTGTTGCTGACTGCTGAGTTTCTCCTGAAAACAGATTAGACCCTCATCATGTTTTTCTCACAATTGCCCTCCCATCTCGCCAAGGCAGAGGAGCTTAAGCAGCCCCCGCCAAAAGGCACACCTTACTCTGTCGGCATTCCTGGCACCGAGCAGGATGGTCGCAGCCGGGTTTACCGGGCATGGAACTACCAGAAGGAACTCCTGAAGACTCTTGACCCTCAGGTACGTTTATGCCTCGGCTATGGCAGACACAAACACAAACACAAACACACATGCATCTAACACTTCTTCTCTGTTGTTCAGGTCCTCACTGCCCATGACATGTTCGAGTCCACGGCCAACCGTCAACCTAAAAACCACTGCCTTGGCTGGCGCGCATACAACTCGGCCACTAAGACCTACGATCAATATCAATGGATCACATACGAGCAGGTGCAGAAGCGCCGGGCGGATTTCGGTGCCGGTCTCGTTGAGCTCCACCAGAAGCACAACGTGCACCGTGACGGCCAGTACGGTATTGGTCTCTGGTGTCAAAACCGTCCCGAGTGGCAGATCACTGGTATGTCCCAGCGTTTCCCATAATCTTTTTACCAAATGAAGATCTAACAAATTCCAGATCTGGCCTGCATGTCCCAAGGCCTCTACTCAGTCTCCATCTACGACGTCCTAGCTCCAGATGCTACCGAGTATATCATTAACCACGCTGAACTCAGCTGCGTCGTCACCTCCCTTCCTCACATCCCAACTCTCCTTAAGTTGAAGGCATCCATGCCTGGTCTGAAGATGATTGTCTCTCTTGACCCGCTCGACGCCGGCGAGCAAGACGGCCACTCGAAGCGCGCTCTGCTCAACTCCATCGCCGCCGGACTGGATGTTTCTATCTACACCATCAGCGAGGTCGAGGCTCTTGGAGAGGCGTCCAAGCGTGGATATAAGCCCCCCTTCGGCCTCGGATATTGTTACTATCAACTACACATCCGGCACCACCGGCCCGCCCAAGGGTGTTGTTCTGACCCACCAGAACGCTGTCGCCGCTACCTCCGCCGGTCTGGCCACTATCGGCCAGGCCAAGGGTGACACCATGTGCTCTTACCTCCCCCTGGCACACATCTACGCCCGTCTTGCCGAGCACACTGCCTTCTGGGGCGGTGCTCGCATTGGCTACTTCCACGGCAACATCATCGAGCTGGTCGATGATCTGAAGCTCCTAAAGCCAACCGGCTTCATGTCCGTCCCCCGTCTGTACAGCCGCTTCGGTACAGCCATTCGTGCCGCCACCGTCGAGCAACCCGGTTTCAAGGGCGCACTGTCCCGCCACATCGTCGCGACCAAGACAGCCAACCTAAAGAACCCCGACCCCTCCAAGGCCACAATTTACCACGCTCTTTACGACCGTATATGGGCCAAGAAGGTCGCCTCCGCCCTCGGTCTCGAGCGAGCCAGATATATGGTGTCCGGTTCAGCTCCCCTGGATCCCACCTTGCACAACTTCCTGCGCGTCTCAACAGGCACCGACATCCTGCAGGGCTACGGTCTAACCGAGTCCTACGCCTGCGGCACCGCGCAATCAAGCGACGACCTAACAGCCGGAAACTGCGGCCGTCTAGCCCCCCTGCGTCGAAGCCTGCCTCGTCTCCCTACCAGACATGGAGTACTCCGTCAACGACAAGCCCTACCCCCGCGGCGAACTCCTCATGCGCGGCAACAACATGTTCACCGAGTATTTCAAGAACCCCGAAGAAACCTCCAAAGCCATGACTGAAGACGGCTGGTTCCGAACCGGCGACGTGTGCCAAATCGACGAAATGGGCCGCTTCATCATCATCGACCGACGCAAGAACGTGCTCAAACTGGCACAGGGAGAATACATCTCCCCGAGCGATTGGAAGGCGTTATTCTCTCCGAACTGGGCTATTTCGGTCAGGCTTATGTGCATGGTGATAGTATGCAGACGTTCCTGGTTGGTATCTTTGGCATTGCGCCGGATATGTATGCGCCCTTTGCTTCGAAGGTTCTTGGTAAGACGATCGATCAGTCCGATCTGGAGGGTATCAAGGCTACACTCTCTGATGAGAAGATTCGTCGTGCTGTGTTGAGGGATTTGGAGCGTGTTGCGAAGAAGCATAAGCTTGCGGGTTATGAGCGTGTTAAGAATGTTTCGTTGAAGTTGGAGCCTTTTACCGTTGAGAATAATCTTCTCACTCCGACGTAAGTTTGATCCCCCCCCCCCCGGCGAGTCATCCTTTCAACGATTGGATTGGATTGGATTGAATCAATTACTAACTCTCTTTCCGCTGTTTAGTCTCAAGCTCAAGCGTCCTCCCACCGTCAAGCTTTACCGCCAACTCCTGGACCAACTCTACGAGAAGGCCCTGGAGGAGGAATCTGCTCCTCGTGCCAAGCTGTAGACTCCTCCCCTTTTTTCGAGGATATTTTTCCTTCTTATTATTACATTACATTACATTACTATCTTCCTGTCCGGGGTCGCGAGTTTCATGTTCAAGTTCAAGTTCATCAAGTTTCCTGGGGTGATACTCGCGCGTGGCCTAGATGTGTATATAGGAGTCCTGCATTATTATTGTTATGTCGGGTAGGTCGGCATTGTAGTATATTGAATTTCAAGGCTTTCTGAAAAAAAAAAAAAAACCCCCCCGAATTCTCTTCCTCGGTTGTATAATTACCCCTGGGTAACTAGTTCTTTAGTAGTAGGTGGTCCGTAGAACAGTTATTTTATACTTTATGTCCCCATAGTCGACGAACACTAGACCAGCACCAGCAACCAAAATGACATCCATGGAGGGAAAAAAATTTACCATACAACGGAAACCAAGCCACTTATATTTATATGGATTGGATAGCTACCAAGCAAAAAATGACAAGAGTGGGATTCGAACCCACGCCCCCTTGCGGAGATCAGGAAATTGGAGTTAAGGTTGACCTTAACCTGACGCCTTGGACCAACTCGGCCATCTTGCCAATTAGATGAAGTTGGGGGCAGAATTTTGAATCCCAGGTCTACGTTTCTCGGAGTTCTGTTCCGTTTTAGACTAGTAGTGGATTATTTGTTTTTGAGGGTTTAGTTATTAGGATAATCGTCCAAGGTTGATAGGCTTCTAGGGTCTTCTTTAACTAATGATTCCTTAGAACAATTTTAGGACTTGAAGAAGGTTTGAGGTTTTAGCTCTGGAGGAAACTGTTTTGGATTTTGGAGAAAATGATGTTCAATTTTTTATGCTTCCAAGGTTGGATATATATCTCTGTAATATGGACAAATACTGGTAGCCTTACTTAGATGGTATGAGTACTACATTATCAAAATTAGATTTAATGGAACACTAGAAACAATGCCAAACTTAAAGAGACAGGCATTCACTATATACAGTATTTCCGGAAATAGGAAGCTATGTCAGCTTCATTGTATAAAAATTGCTTCTGTATCAAGCTCGTATGGTCCGTCCGCAAGGTGTCTATCGGCCAGAATATTTTGACAAACAACCAAAACATAATAAAGATGCAAGGAACATCTGACAAGATCTCCACCCATCTACGTCTGTCTTTTTACATTACCTGACAAAGTAAAACTCGTCAAATAACGTAAGAAGTTATCCAGAGTAGCCATCGAAATCAATATGCCCATCCATGGATGAGACAGGTGCGGCCAAGTCCACTGCTCAACCTTCCAACCGAGATCCTCCTCATGATAGTGGAAATTCTGGACACCCGAGACATCGGCTCATTTCTACGCACGGCGCGGAGATACGCCAGCATTCTCGATTCCCATCTTTATCAACGTGCACACAGCCATATCAGCGCCGACGAAAACTCCGTCCTCGAATGGGCCGCGAAAAAGGAATCAAGCATCCGTAATCCTCAAGCTCATAAGGAAAACCAGCGATGCGCCAATTCCACTCGAAGTGAAAAATAAAGCCCTATGTCTCGCCGCAGAGGCTGGAATGTATCGCATAATCGAGCTTTTGGCGGACGCAGGAGCGGATCTATCGTCTGCGATAGATATGGGACGGAGACCGACATGTAGCGCACTGCAACTCGCTGCAGAGAATGGCCATGAAACAGCCGCCCATGTACTCCTGCGAATGGGGGCGGATATTGATGCCACTAATTCATACCAAAAGACCGCTCTACAATATGCGGCCCGTGGTGGGCAGGAAGTTGTTATGAGACTGCTTTTGGAGAGGGAAGCTGATGTGGCAGCATTAACGGCCAGGCGAGAAACCGGAGTCTCGGCTACTCCAGGTGCCAGGACTCGGACATGATATTATACTATCAACCAGCTTGAAACTAGAAAATACCAATCGGGATGATAGATTTTCTCAGTATTCTAATAATGGCGTCAAGCTAAGTGTTTCGTTTCCCTATTAACTCTATGTTATCAAAGCTTTTGAATAATCCATATACCACAGCCCTTAGATGTTGACTCGCGACCAAAGCCCGACCCGCCTCGCCGAGCACTGCGGATGAACAGTCAAAAAATCCCTCAGGACCGTCATAAAGCCAGCTGATAACCAATATTGCATTCCATTCCACTACAACGCGACCCAAAAACACTCCTTGAAACAAAAACAGAGGCCAGGGAAGCAAAAAATGACAAGAGTGGGATTCGAACCCACGCCCCTTTCGAGACACGGAAATCTATAGAAGATCTCAGAGGATCAGGTAAACCTGAACCGTGCGCCTTAGACCGCTCGGCCATCTTGCCAGTTGAATGAAAGAAGGCCGAAAATAATGACATCAGAGACAGGCATTTCTTAACTGCATCCCTTGCGCCACCAAAGTATTAGTTAGGCCGCCAGGACTATGTCATTCATTGTGGAGGTAGTACAAAACAACAAGCTGCAGGAGATGATCTCTGGAATACAGCCAATCAGTTCACGGTATACGAACAGAACTAGCCACACCAGAGAATGGTACTGTCATATCCCTATGCTAAATATCCCTTTGTATATTGTGGTCCGGGTTGATCCTAGGATAGGAAGCCCTGCGAGATAAGATTATAGACTCACGCCCCACTCATATAGATGTATACTCCGTGGGCATCATGAACTAAATAAAGAATAATGGTACTTTCCGAGTTTCTATCTTTCAAAATCCGACTTTCACATTGTCCCCAACCCAAATCTGAATGGCATGTTTATGCCGCGCTCACCGCGTGATGTGATGATGGCTTACATACGCAGCAAGTCATGATATGATGATCCCCCTCTCCCCGCCATTTGTAGCTTTGATAAAGAAAGTCTCACGACCAACTCACTCAACCCCCTTCAAACTTCTCCTCCATGACCCAACCATGCGTCCTGCTCCAGATCTACCGTTCCACCCCCAAAAGGCCTCCCTAGACCACCCATCTCCCTCCCTTGACCCCCGCACCACCGCTTCCCCCGCAACCTTCTTCCTATCTCGCAATCTGGATGCCTCCGACTCGGAATCCAGTCTTCCCCTGGACGAACAGAATGATGTCAAAGATAGTATGTATGGAGTGCACAGTCTGAGCGAAACGCTTCTACGATCCGAACTGTCTGCAAGCTCGCCGCGCGCATTCTACACCGATAAAGGGCCCCAAGGCCACTCTCGCAGCCCCTCGCAGAGTTCCGACGATGATATGGAGAACACCCAAGCCTCGAGACGCCGGTCAACGATCAAGCCGTCTGAGCCGGACGTGCGAGGTTCATCCATCCCGCCCGTCCCCGTTGGTCACGATACAGTCTCTCGCCCGTTAACCCCGCTCAACCCCGACGATGCGCCCTCCTTGCCTAGCAGTCCTAAATCCATTTCAAACCACTCCCTCCGACCTCTCGACGATATCTCTATCGCCGACGAAATAAACAGCCAGGCTATTGGATCCGGAGACGAGGATGAAAGACCTGGACCCTCTCCCCTAGGCGGGGCTAGTGGAGCGCCCCAGCTTATCATGCCAAGTATCAAGATGCCTAGTAGGCGACCGTTTACCGAGCGAGGAAAAGCCATGGGACGGTTCAAGATACTTATTGCCGGAGCTTCCGGTAGGTTGGCCCAAACTATGGCAATGAGTTAATATCAATACGGTGAATTCCCTTCCCGCTGACAATAAAACAACAGGATCGGGCAAAACATCCCTTATAAAATCGATCGTTCAGACTTGCGACGACATCGTACACGTTGATTCCCTCGGTTCTCCTTCTCCGATAACCTCACTTGAGAGGCGCCGCTCATCGCAGGCCCACTCTGGATCAGTCCCCACTCGCGGGGCGCCCAGTGCTATCGATGAGATCTACGCTAGCACCAAACCGTATCCTGCCTGGTGGTCTGACCTTGAGGACTCGCGTGTGTTGCGGCGTCGAAAAAGTATCGGCGAGATTGTGCTGGAGCGAAATCTTTGTTTTGTTGATACTCCGGCTATTTCGTTGAGTCGGCCTGGTCAGACAGATGCTATTTTGCAGTATATGCGTCAGCAATTTCACCGGGCTACTGCTGCTTTGAACAGCTCGAGTGTGGATATGCAGAATTTACTTGCTGGAAATGGAGGGTCTCAGGTTGATGCAATTCTTTATTTGATCTCGAATGGTAAGATTTGTGGCCCAGTGTGCTAAAATGAAAAAGAGGAGAAAAAAAAGCAACATATGCTAACAGTCTCAAGCTACGCTCTCAACGGATATTGAATGTATTCGGAAGCTTTGTGAGCTGACAAATGTCATTCCGGTCGTGGCCAAAGCCGATAAATTTTCACCGGAGCAAATTGAAATGACAAAAGTTCGATTTCACCAAGAGGCTCAGAGTGCTGGAATCAAACTATTCTTGTTTGGAGCACCACCGGAAGGACTGGAAGGACTAGACCCCCAGCCACCATACACAGTGTCGTCCGAGAAAACCACAGACTTGGAAGTCATGGATGCAAGCACACTGATGAGCCCAGATTATGTACAACCACTCGTTGCATCGGAATTGGATACTCTGGTACAGAAATTATTCGATAGGGAACACCTCGCCTGGATGCGCCATTCAGCTGCTAAGAAGTTGGTCCAACGAGGTGGTGAGTTCTCTGCTGTGCCACCACCCCCGACCGCGCCTCTCTCTCCTACTTTTTCCGCAGACAGATCAAGCTGGCGAGCTGTATCAGCCGATTCTCTGAACTCCTCATTCTGCTCGATCGGGGGTCCTTCACCTCCTAGCTATGCGATGGCGCGGCTTTCAGACTATACCCGCCACGAGGAGCGTATGGCCCAGGTCCATTTAGCTCACTGGGCAACGGATCTGCAGCGAAGCCTGCAAAACGAACGTGATCGATACGCCTCTCTGGCTCGGGGTGATCGGGCTGTTTGGCTAACAGAGAAACTGAGCGAGTGCGTGATTGATGGCTCACTGGTCCCGATCTCCAAGACACCCGGCTTCTGCGGCCTATACACACCGTCAAGCGACAAACACCCTGGTCTACATTCCCTACGATCTACTGCTGACTATCAAATCTCTCTGAGTCACCACGACCCGCTGGGTATAGTTGGATGGATCGACGACCTCGGACGACGGAGCTGGGCTCTTGTCCAAATCGTTGGTAGTGTCGGGGTTGTAGGTGGACTAGCGCTCTGGCTAGCTCGGACGTGGGGGTTACCGACTCGTAGCCTGTCAGATCTACACTTGAATTACTGGTATGGCACTCTTGAGCGGTGATTTGTTCCCGCCCACGCATGTGGTCTTTGCATCTTTTATGGACGGAGCTGAACGTGGTCAGTCATGGATGGGCCCAATGAATTTTGAACAAGGGGGTTTTTTTTCTTGATTTTTGAGTGAATTTTCTCCGCGAACCCCAGACCGGAAAAGTCCGCTTTGTTATGCTGGCGCTTTCGAGTTTAATGGTGTGGCGCTCATCCCTCTTATCTATTCCCCATCAAGTAGCGTTTGCTTTTTCTGTGTTTCGCTTTCCCTACCCCCTCCCTTGGAGTTTCGATTACTTTGCTGCATTTTTCGTGGAGAGAGGTGCTAGACAACTCGATCTTGCTGGAATAAAGTAAATACACGATGAGATAATCAAGAAGTTCCTGATATTGCCTTCCCCATCCCGAAATATCTTCCTTTTACGGTGGAATAAAACAATTGCCGCCAACAGCCCAGGAATCCACCAGTTTAAGCTAGTTAAAAAGACCTAAAGCCGTACCTACTATCCTCCGGGTCTTCCAGTTCCAACTTTGAAGGTTTGCCATGTAGTTTCAAGTTCCAAGATTCAAGGTTGTTCAAGTTGTTATATATTCACATTGTTTATTTTTTTATCCTTAACACAGGTATCACCAAGCCAAAGCAATGCATCGCACTGTACTATCTATTTGGAAGAAGGAACCAGCTCCTCAAACCGACGCAGATCCATATCCTTCTCCAGGAGGGGAATAACATAAGGGTCGAAAGTCTTCCAGTAGGGGTTGTTCAGATGGTACTGCTGCGAAGACTCCTGGAGGTATCGCTCGACGATGGTAAAGTCCTGCGGGTCGTGGACAGACTGCATCACGAACCAGGATAGAGTCTCCTTGTCCTGGGAGTAGACGGCGGAGGCCTCGAGAAGCTTGGCGTGGAGCTTGGAGATGGACTCCTGGTCGGACTTTGCGCGCATGTCTGGAGGAGAAATTGCGGTTAGCAATGACGTCTTAGATTTGGCCTTACAGTATTTTCCAGAAAAGAAAGAAAGAATTCGCTGGAAAAGTAAGGTTTGCAGAGTTGAAACGGGGTTGATACGCACGGACGACGATTGTGTAAACCATGGTGGGCGATGTGAGATTGTATGTTATTGAAGATGGAGGAATGGTAAAATGGTAAATGGTAAGATCAAGGACACGAAATTCAACCCCTCGATTCGGCGGGGCAATCGCGGGGCAGTAGCCCTTTATACGTATCATTTCTTTCTCCCAATATTTGCATCCGTGTGAAGCCGGTGTGGAGCAAATACGAAACCCCCGAGGCCGCTCCCGAGGTGATCCCGAGTGCTTAAGTGGCGGATTCTGATGATTCTGGGGCTGTGTATTGCGCTAAGGAATTACATTTTAGTACATGTATAAGTAGGTCTATTTTCCTTACTTGGTAGAGTATGACCTTCTCCTTTTTTTCCCCACTGAAAATAAATAAAAAGCCAGGCTTCAGGTGGCGTTGCTAAGCGGTGAATTAAGTTTGAATCTCTTGGGAACAGAACCAGGGACCCCTGCTGGGATCGACATACTCAACCCGCTCTATTCTGTACAGGCTGGGTTTCTATATAATAGTCATTCCTATAGAGGCGCCGCAAAAGTTTCCAACTTGTTGACCATCCTTCTAAGATTAGTACCTACTTAAGATGGCATAGAAGGGCCAATTATTTAGAGTCTCTTGGGATAGAAGATGTGTGTTTAATCTGTGGCTGAAGGCTTGTCTTGTTATAGATGAGGCTTCAGAAGATCTGAAAAATGCCCATCTGGCATCGCTCAGGAGAAGGTATGTGGTCGGGCAAGGTTCTACTATGTTACAGACGTTTGGGTTGATGGTCGACCCTACTTTTGTATTGGGAGGTAGTTATGAAAATGCCGGGTACTCGGGGCATTTGCGCGTTGAAATCGACGATATTTGGAGCGCAGTGATTCAGTTGTCTCTCGGCGAGGTTCAGGAACTGTGTCCCGCTGTAAGTCCGGCTGACATGATTTCGGGTTGGGATGGATTGAGCGGATATTTGATTAATCTGTGAAAATGGGCTTGACGTTTCCACAAAGATACAATCACATGGTATGGCCGGCATCAATAGCGAATCAGTGAACTCTTGATTGAGGTATTCAACTCAAATGGCATTTTTAGGACATGCAGCAGGCATAACTCTACCACTGCTCTTCGCGGCAATGGCTTCTGGACATAGCGGCCGCGATACATCGCAATGAATGTATGGTAGTCAGGATCATCTTCGAGCATTTCCATACGATCGGCAACCCCAACGCACACATTATGAGCATCACCTGGGAGGTATTCACTAGCTGTCGGAGCCATCACGCGTAACATTCGAGGGACGAATGTCTTCATCATAACAGAGAGGTACTCTCTATCGCCAGCAGTGCAAGGACGAATATCACTTCTTCCAAGAACAAGAATAGCTCTTTGTAAATCAAATATCGTCAGAAGTTATTATGGGATCGAATTATAAAGGGGGGAGGGGGGACTTACATATAAAAAAAAGTGTCATTGACTTCCAGATCGACCCCCATTTGGTGCCTACCTATTAGCCATAAATGATTCGACTGAATGTATCGGGCATAAGCACCTACTTTGGAACTTCCGCTAGGATAAGCGACGGCACTGAAATATTTTTCATGATCTTTTCCACGAAAGACTTTGCCGGTAAAGGATCCTCGACTTGGCCATCTGCGTTTCTGCAGAACCCACCCTGAAATTCGTAACACGATGGTCCTTTATCGAAGTTTTGACCAAATAAACTTCTTCATTAGAAAATTCTCGAAAGCAGGGGGCCGGGACGGGCCTACATTTCGCCTTTCCCATTGAAGACAACAACGTTGGCCTCGACGGTCAGATGGCGCGGAAGGGGAACATCGCCGTGATTTCCATGGAAAAAGAAATAGCGCAAAGTGCCTTGGCCGTAAGAAGAAGTTTCCACCATTGTCGATATGAGAAATAGTCAGCAACGATGAGCGAGACGATAATGGTGATTGCCTTTTGTTAAAACCGCACACGGCTTTTTTATGGGAAAGTGAGGAGAGGTGGGCGCTTCGGAATCAACGGTTTTAGGCTAAGGAAGGGGCCCACTATATACTAATTATAGGTGCAGCATTGTTTCATTCCCCTCAAATCAAATTCAGGCAAACTTTCATCGGAGCGCCTTCCTGCCATTACTGGTATCGCAGATACATATTTGATAATGATAAATTGAAAGTGACGCCAATTCCTAAAATATCCTAAGGCTCTAGGTATAATATAACCTAACCTCAGTATATGTAAAGTAAAACACCCATATTTCCAACAGATGGATACTAGTAATGCAAACAGTCGAGTCCTGAACATACTAGCAGTAAAACTAGTATCAGGATGGGCTGTATGCGGGGCAACTGTCGCGCAATCACCAACCTTAACTGAATCATGATCGGCATTGTGTCTCACATACATGACGGTAATTCCGAAGGTATATCCGAGCTCAGAAAAAGAAATGGCAGACCGGACGTGCGCTCTTAGGCTATTGTGTATCATTGTAACTGGGTGTGAAGACGCGTGTCGGGGTAGGTACTTCACTCATATAACCCGCACTCACTCTAGAGCAAAACGCGACGCTATCCAAGTCCAAGGGCTCTTTGGGAATTGACCGCGTTTGGTATGTGGCTTAAATACAGCCGAGCGGACGGGAATCCTGATCTCGCATCCTATAGTGGCATGTTTGAATCAAATACCCGAAGGAAATCAAGAGAATTAAGACCGTATTTGGTAGGTATCCGCCGGGTGAGAGTGTGGTGAGCGTTGCTTTGGCATCGTTCAATTAAGGTGAGAGGGCGAGTAGGCAATAACCTGTATGAAAGCAGATAAGAGCGACCCTCCATCAAGGGACACTTATGCTAGGTACGACCCCGTTTTTGCCTTCTCAATTTATAATAACCCGATAGGCTGATTTATAGAGATTGTCGCTGGTATTTTTGTGGATAGCTTAGAGGCTGAAAAAGCATGAACAATAGCTTATAAAGAACAGGACATGAAATTGCGACACCATGTAGGCCTACACTTGATAATCCTCAACCAGGGCCATGATCGGCCTGGAAGTTCTCCATACGCCCTAGCTGATAGGCATCACTGGCCTCAAAAGGATGCTGTCGCTCAAGCTCTCTAATCAACTGTACATGCTTCTCGCTTCTTGGCTCGGCTCGGAAATCGAATTGCGTAGGATAAGTGAGGAGACCTGGTTTCGGCTTGGCATTCACTTCGATCTCTTTGCCAGTACTATCCACGGCTTTGCGGATATTGAAAGCAGCCAACGATTGCACAACATTGAGGTAAATACTATTGTCTGCGAAAAAGCGGCCAGGACATATTCTGCGGCCATAACCAAAGAGCTCCGTTTGAGGATCCGGCTCGTTACGTGGTTCAAGGAAACGGCCAGGGTCAAATAATCCTGGATCAGCGTACACCTCCGGGTCATGTAAGAACCACCAAACTGCGGGGAGGAGAGTTGCACCCTTGGGAATGTGCATGCTATTGTACTCAATATCTTCGGTTGCCGTGTGCGGGAAACCCATAGGCGCAATAGGCCACCATCTCATAATCTCTTTGACCAAGCCATTGACATACGGCAGCTGATCGCGGTCCTTAAAGCTAGGAAGACGGTCTGTTCCAATAACACGATCGATCTCCTCGTGGGCCATCTGCTGCGATTCCGGGAACATGGCCATGGCCAGCGTAAATATAGTGAGAGCAATGACTGTAGTATCTGCTGCAGCACCATACAGGCTAGCAGCAGTCCAAATCACAGCTTGTTCATCTTGTTGACTTAGAAACGCACCATTGTTCTCCTTGAGGCCCTGGAGAAGTTTTGAGACGTATGATGGCTTGAAATCCAAGACAGCCATCCGTTTCTGGACAAATCTATAAGGGATATAGGCTGTTGCCTCAATTGATTTTCGCCATTTCCGGGCAGTCTTCTTGAATGTTGCCCCTGGGAAGCTCTCCGGAAGATGTTGCAAAACAGGAATAATATCAACTCCCCAGGCCATAGGAACAGCAGCAAGGGAAAATTCAGTCATCATCTGCTCAGTCAAGTCCACCAAAGGGTCGGGTTTAGAGGGCTCGATAGTGTAGCCATATGTCATTTTCAAGACGGTCGCTCCAGCGGTGCTGTTTTACATGCTATTAGTGCAGTCTGCCAGCTCCAAGGGTAGTTGAACTCACGTCTTAAAATGCTCCAGCCACTTTCCAGGCTCATTCAGCGCTCGAACGAGCTGTCGGTTAACCTCAAATTCTTGTACTTCACAAAAGGTTGCGGCAGACACCTTGGTGCCAAGCTCCTGATGCAGGAGCCTACGACAGCGGCGGAAGGTCGAGTTGTAATTCTGGCAAACGACGATCGACTCATAGCCGCACAGTTTATTTGCCATAATCATGATCGGCCGCCCAGACGTCTTGCTGGAGACCTTCTCCAGCAGCTCATGCACTGCCTGTTTGTCGTGGATCACGACGAGCGTCATACCCAAAACTGTCACAGAGCTAATACCCCCATAGCGGTCTTTGTGCTTGAGCCAATGCTGATATTCAGGGGTGCCATCTGGAGGGAGGTCTTTGATGTTTCCGACGATCGGATACGGCTTGGGGCCTGGGGGCAATTTGTGTTTGGTCCTCTGGGTTGAGTATTGATATACGAGGAAGCCCATGAGGATAATGATCCCAAATAAGGTGAATGAAAGACTCGGCATGCTGACATCCAATCGTGTGTCAAGCTCGACTCAGAAGAGAATTTATCGTACGCTCTCCAAAAGGTGAAAATGGAGATGGGGGGGCAGAACCCATGCGAAATTGTCTCGGTCGATGTTGTTACTTCAGGCGAATGGTGCATGATAGTGTAAAAAGGAGGGGGGGAGTGGTCGCGCGCATTTTCATCTTTGATAAGGATGCGAATTCATTCGCTCGCACCGGGGGGGCCTGATACTGTTAATTTCAGAGCGTACCAACCCCGCTTCACTGGGGTTGTCCTTGGCCCTACGATCACTCTACCTAGGATGGACGTCATATACGAGGGTGAGAATATGCAGACTAATCATCTTCCAAAGCGACCATCAAGCCGCCCTCGAACGTCGGCAAAGTTATTCGGTGTGGCATGTACCGGTGTAGACGTCGGATATGGCGCATATACCTCATCTCGATGGTCCGAGGGGTCTGAGAGCCTCCAAATACCGACGAGATGGAAAAGGATAAGAGCTCCTCAACGATGTGGTCGTAAAAGAAGGGCCCGTGCTTTCCACTTTCCTTCTTTGCACTACGAAGAATCCAGTTCCGGTACGACGTTTGCTGATGTATATCGTCAAAGTCCAGCCATCGGCGGTGGACCTCCAGCGTGCTTTGCTGAGAGTTATACTTAATATCTGCTCTACTATCGAACCCCTTGACATAAACCACTTGAATCTCCTGCATCGAATCCAGCAAGGCAGAACATGCTCTCAATGCCTTCCGTACAGTTCTCAAGGTGGCATTCGGGGGGACTACAGACCTCGGTATTCTGGAAAAGCGTCGAAAGCTCTTCCGCAGCACTGCGGATAGGTGTAGCGCAGCAGACGCCATAATTCTCACGACGGCCTTACCGGCTTTTTCCCAATAGTCTCTCAAATCATCTTGACGTCCTAATTAGCATTAGCCTGTGATAAGTGAAGCAGATATTAGACTTCCGACAGAACTGGGCTCCGGATGTTTCGTAATAGAAGTGTTCCCTACCCTTATACTTGTGTAGCAATTATGTCCAGATGCGAAATATCGTCGAGGGCAAGTGTAAATTAGCGGCCAGATAAAAGTTTATTAGCGCTGGTGTCTTTCGGAGGAGGCTAACGTATATCGGGAGAAGAATGTCCTTATACGCTTGAAGTGCGGATTCCCAGATCCGGCATACTCGCTCTGCCACTCCGTTCCGGTCCATCAGCCATTATAGGTCGGGAGTAAATTTTTCCTGTGTAAAGTTATAACCAAGTTAAACGGGTAAATAGATTTTGTTCTACAGAGCAGCACACCGTACGTATATATTCTACTATGGAGATTTTGGTCAAAAAGCAGGTCCCCGCAACTCGTCTCAACAATCAACGACGGGTAGGAGAGGCTACGAATATCGAGAGATATTTGCAGCCACTCAAGAAATTATTCAGGCGCCACCAGCCGGCCCTGGGTGGTACATCCGGGGCCGATGAGCACGGCAACATCTCGCTTGGTCTGGAAGCGCCGCCCCGCAATATCCTCGGTCCAGTCCGTCTGGATAGAACCAGATTGGCGCGATAGGGTGATGGTACAATGGAGACGAGATTTGCATGGCTCGTGCAGATAAAAATATCAGGAACACCGGCTTGCCGCCACTTACAGCCTTTAGCCATCCCGGGACAGGACCACGGCTACCAGCTTGAATCCGTCGCCGTAGAACCCCGCCAGTTGGTCCTGGCCGCCCTTAGTACTGAAGCCCAACACGACCGCCTCGAAGGGCGATTACATGGAATATGAACTCCGATGGGCAGGTTTTGACCCGACCGGTCGAGACTATCAACATTCCAGTTTTCGCGAATGAGCGAAAAATCAACTCATTGTCTGTGTTCCCAGTCCGATTCCATGTCGATGAAGATCCCCGGAACACTCTGCGGCAGCGGTTGGTGAATAGGGGAAAGCAATTTGTCGAACTGATGAGAAAGCCTTCATTCCAAGAGTATAGTGGTGCGAGTAAGCTACAAGGTATTCGTACTGTGAGTTAACTTCGTGTTCTGTTCCCCTTCGCACCATTACTCCCCCGGTCTCACAGCGGCATAGTTTAATCAAGCGAGAGTCGTCATTGACCACCAAAGTGAACCGTGGTACCTGAATGAAATACCGAAAGATGACACCAATTACTATCGGCCAATTTTGGTTTTCACAGATTCTGAATTGGGTGAAAGAACGCGAATTGCTCAATGCTCATGCAAATCATGCGATAAATATTGTATTCGAGATAGCTATGAACTTATAATTAAACACTCCTTTCATTGCTTGATACGCCATTGATCGAGCTTTTGCCTGGCCATCTACACCCTGCGGGCAAGGCACTACACAGACCAGACCGCCAGAGAGCATATCCTATCTTTCAATACTAGTAGTCAGGTTTACAAACTTGGTAAAATGAGTAGGTTAGTTAAGGACTTCACTGTATTTAAATCAAGTACGTCGTTCATTTCGTGAGATTTCAATTCGATTCTTATTCCCTCAAGTTCCTGCTAGTATCACTTAATTTTCCCCTTCATTGGATCCCATTGAAATTGGTATCTACTACCTATCTGTACTGATGGAAGTTACTTGTTAAACAGCATCACCAAAGACAGGATATCATACGATACGTACAACTCTGGCCAACTGTCGAACTTATTGCTACGCTACACAATACGCAAGCATCAATTCCAAAGCTACTTATTAGCCAGATCACATTGGAATGAAAAGGAACTTCACTTTATTTAAATCTACAAAGAGCTAACATGCATGAATGGAAAGACGAACCAAACCAAACATCAACGCCCGAATTTAAGAGAGGGAAAAAGATAAAAGTTTCAATAACTCAAATCAATGGATTTGGTAAATAAGGAAGAAAAAAGATTCTCATTTCAAAACAATAGTGGTTAAGTAAAAAAAAGCATCAAGGGTCGTGATCCCGTTCGTTTCCCATTTCCCGTAAGGTAAAAACTTTAGCAAAACAAGGCCGGCAGGAAAAGAGAGTTCAAATAAAAAACGCATTTTAGCTAGCTAGCTGATTGCATTTAGTCGACCTCCTCCATAGCGGACTCGCCAGTAGCCTCAGCAGCAGGGGCCTCCTCAGCAGCCTTCTCCTCAGCAGTCTCAGCATCCTCATCGATGTTCAGACCCAGAGAGACGAGCTTGTGGATACGCTCAGCGAAAGAGGCAGGCTCCTCGATAGTGAATCCGGAGACGAGCAGGGAAGTCTCGAACAGAAGCTGGGTGATGGACTTGACAGTGCGGTCGTTCTCGCCGTCGGCCTCGACCTTGTTCTTCAGCTCCTTGATGATGGAAGACTTGGGGCTGATCTCGAAGGTCTTCTTGGAAGACATGTAAGAGGACATGGAGGTGTCGCGGAGGGCCTGGGCCTTCATGATACGCTCCATGTTAGCGGACCAGCCGAATTGACCGGTGCGGATGGCGCAGGGAGCGCCCATCAGCTTGTGCGAGACGACGACCTTCTCGACCTTCTCGCCCAGGACGTTCTTCAGGGCCTTGGCGAGCTCCTCGAATTCCTTCTCCTCCTTCTCGCGCTCGGCCTTCTCCTCGTCGGTCTCCTCAAGCTCGAAGTCCTTGGTGATGTCGACCAGCTTCTTGCCGTCGAACTCCTTCAGCTGGGTGAAGGCGTACTCGTCGATGGGGTCGACGAGGTACAGGACCTCGAAGTTCTTCTGCTTCAGGGTGTCCAGGAAGGGGGACTGGGAGACGGCCTTGATGGACTCGCCGGTGATGTAGTACATGTTCTTCTGGTGCTCGGGCATGCGGGTGACGTAGTCGGCGAGAGAGGTCTGCTCGTCGCCGGTCTTGGTGGACTGGTAGCGGAGGAGCTTGGCCAGGGTGGGGCGGTTCTGGGCGTCCTCGTGGATACCGAGCTTGATGTTCTTGCTGAAGGCGGAGTAGAACTTGTCGAACTGCTCGCGGTCCTCGGCGATCTCGGTGAAGAGCTCGAGGGTCTTCTTGACAATGTTCTTCTTGATGACCTTCATGATCTTGTTCTGCTGGAGGGTCTCACGGGACAGGTTGAGGGGCAGGTCCTCGGAGTCGACGACACCCTTGACGAAGCTGAGCCACTCGGGGATGAGGTCGGTAGCATCGTCGGTGATGAAGACACGACGAACGTACAGCTTGATGTTGTTCTTGGTCTTCTTGGTCTCGAACAGGTCGAAGGGAGCGCGCTTGGGGACGAAGAGGATAGCGCGGAACTCGAGCTGACCCTCAACGGAGAAGTGCTTGACACCGAGGTGGTCCTCCCAGTCGTTGGAGAGGGACTTGTAGAAGGAGGCGTACTCCTCAGTGGTGATGTCGGCGGGGTTGCGAGTCCAGATGGGCTTGGTCTTGTTCAGCTCCTCCTCCTCGATCTTGGACTCCTTGACAGTCTTGGTCTTCTTCTTCTCCTCCTTGTTCTCCTCCTCATCATCGACCTCCTCGACCTTGGGCTTCTTCTCGTCGCCCTCCTCGGTCTCCTCCTTGGTCTCCTCAGCCTCCTCGTCGGGGACCTCGGTCTCGGTCTCCTTCAGGACGTGAAGGTAGATAGGGTAGGAGATGAACTCGGAGTGCTTGCGAACAACCTCCTTGATGCGGGCCTCCTGGAGGTAGTCCATCTGCTCATCCTTCAGGTGAAGGATGATCTTGGAACCACGGCCGAGCTGTTCGCCCTCGGTGTCCTGGTTCAGGGTGAAAGTACCACCAGCGGCGGACTCCCAGATGTACTGCTCATCATCGTTGTGCTTGGAGATGAAGGTAACCTTATCGGCGACCAGGTAGGCGGAGTAGAAACCGACACCGAACTGACCAATCATGGAGATGTCAGCACCGGCGGACAGAGCCTCCATGAACTGCTTGGTACCGGAGCGGGCAATCGTTCCCAGGTTGTTGATCAGGTCCTAGAAAGTTCGTATTAGGATCGAGTATGACTCATCATTATGTGTGGGAGGGAGGTAGACAGATCAACTTACAGCCTTGGTCATACCAATACCGGTATCACGGATGGTCAGGGTCTTGTTCTCGAGATCGGGGATGATGTCGATACGCAGATCCTTGTTGGAGTCGAGCTTGGAGGGGTCCGAGAGGGACTCATAGCGGATCTTGTCCAGAGCATCGGAGGCGTTGGAGATCAGCTCACGAAGGAAAATTTCCTTGTTGGAGTAGACGGTGTTAATGATCAGCGAGAGCAGCTGAGAGATCTCAGCCTGGAACTCGAAGGTCTCGGGCATGATGGCGGTGGAATTCTGGATGGTGTTAGAATGAAAATTGTGTGGCAATGGAGGAGTGAAGCCAATGTCTCTCTCTTTCTCTTCTTTTCTTGTCCTCTTGACACCAGATTGGAAAGTGGGGAAGAGGGGGATCAAGATAGATGAGAGTAGGTGAATGGCAGGATGGGAGATAGATGAGAGATGGGAGATGGGAAATGGGGGAAAGGGGTCAACGTACAGGAAAATGCTAAAGAGATAAAGAAAAGAACTGCTGGCCAGAAGCAGATCCGATTTTGAGGGGAGGGGGGTGGATGAAGAGGAGAGAAGAGCGGGAAGGCTTTTGTGTTTCCAAAAATTTCTGGTGGGTTTCCACGGCGATCCAGCAACTTCCACCGCCCGTCAGGCAACTTTGCCCCAGCCAGTTCTAGAGGATTCTTCCTAAGGGCGGCTCTTTTTTGCTTTTTCTTTGTCTAGGGGCTAAGGGTGTCCACTTTTTTTTCTCTATTTTTTGTCTTTCTCTGACCTTGGGGAGAGCTTTCACTCTTCAGAAGCCTGGGGAGAGCTGCATCGATGCCTTATGCCTAAGGCATCCACACATCTAGAACCTTCGGGCAAAGGTTACAGCTCAATGGGATCTTGAACCAGCCATTCAAATTGCATATACGTCTAGGACTGGGGAACACAAACACAGCAGGAGGCCAGGGCTACGGCAGGGGAATCTTTGTACGACCGTCCGAAATTGAATTGTGCCATCTAGGAGGAAACTGATGGAAGAAACTACCTAGGTATCTGGAACATTCCTGGAATCTACCTGCATGTACTCCACACCGCCTCCATATCAATGGGGGTGGAGTAGGAGATTAACACCTGGGCAACTGAAAGAAAGATGTGCATATAGAAAAATAAGGGGAAGAAGAGAATAATGAAAAAAAAGGGAAATCTGGAACCGATTGGTACGACACCTCAAAAACCCTGGAACTTGCTTGCTATGCTAGATAAAAAGTATGCGATATAGGTGGGCCTGGCGGTACACAGGTCATGGTGACAAAAGTTAACGTAACATGGAGAGAGTAATAACTTGAAAAAAGACAATGGAGAAAGTATAGGGGCAAAGAAGCGTGAAGCCAGACAACACGACAGCTAAACCACAGACCAGAAGAGTAAGAAGAAAGTAGTAAAGAAGGGGAAGAAGCAAGATCAAGGCATGATTCACGATAGAATAAAACACATTTGCCCAGAGAGGGAAGGGAAAGAAGAGAAAACAACTTTTTCCAGCCAACCCGGACCCAACCGCTAATATGCACTGTGACGGAAAAGAAAGGGGCAAGTCGAGTCACGTAACATAAGACATGTCATTAGAAACAGGGGACGAAACAGAGAGGAAAAGAAATCAATATCGGATTAATACAGTGCCTGAAAAATTCATCCACGAGATAAAACGTCAAGAGGTGAAGATGAGGTGAGGTGAGGAGAGGAGAGGAGGTTAAGCAGCCTGGGCCTGGCTACGGCCCTTAGCAGCTACATTACCATTAGCTCCACGACCACGAGGGGCAAAGCCCCCACGGCCCTCGCGCTGGAAACCTCCACGGCCCTGGTTGCCAGTACGGTCACCACGGCCGCGACCAGCAGGACCACGGTTGGCACCGTTGCTGCCATAGGCATTGCCACGAGGGCGGCGTTCCTCGAGGAGGATCTGCTCGCTACCGACCTGGTGGGGGTTGGCGGCAACGGCAGCAGCGTAGCCAGAGGGCTCAGCGAATTCAACGAAAGCGCAGTTCTAAAGGGATATGTCAGTGATCGGAGTCTCTCAAAGAATGTTGAACAAAAAGCAACATTGGACGAATATACGTACCTTCTGGCGACTGACGTCGAAGTAGTTCAGCTTTCCAAAGCGAGACAGGGTCTGCTTAAGAGCATTGGCGTCGACCTTGTCGGTGACATTCTTAATGTAACCAAGAGTGGTTTGCTGCTCCCCAGCACGGGACTGGGTCTTCTTGTGGTCAGAGCCGGCAGTCTGCCAGCCAGAGCCATCGGTGGGGGCAGCCTCTTGGGTACGGGCCTCAGCGGCGGGGGCAGCCGCGGAGGCGGGCTGAGGGACGCTAGCCGCAGGAGCAGCAGCCTTAGGAGCGGCAGCAGCAGGAGTAGCAGCAGCAGGAGTAGCAGCAGCAGCGGGGGCAGCGGAAGCGGCGGCGGCAGCAGCGTTAGCCTTGGCAATGGAGGCCCACGACTTGGGAACAGCAGGGGTGGCGGCAACGGGCTCCTTCTTCTCGACAGGGGCCTCCTTCGCAGGAACAGGGGCAGGAGTGGGCTCAGGTGCCAAGGGCTCCTCCTCCACGGCCTCCTGAACGGCAGGAGCAGAAACCTCCTCTGTGGCGGTGCCGTTGATCTCGGGGACAACCTCGACGGGCTTCTCAGCCTCGCCATTGGTCTCCTCCTCAAGCTTCTCATCAACCTTGGTGGCCGCAGCTTCATCGGTCACCTGAGCCTCCTCGACAACAGGGGCGGGCTCAGCAACCTTGGGAGCCTCAACAGCCGGAGTGGCCTCGGCCTCCTCCACAATCTCATCTTCCTCCTCGACGAGGTAGCGGAAGATATCATTAAGGACATAGTAGCCGTTGGGCTGCTGAGCCAGGACGAAAGTCTGGATGAACTTGCGAGAGGGCTCGGACTTGTTGGAGATCTCACCGATGACGGTGACCAGGATGTTGTCGAAGGAAGCCTGGGAGTCAACGTTCAGGACGCGAACCTTGCACTCCTGGAAGTCGAGCTGCTTAATCTTGTCGTTGATGGCCTAGAACAGACGAGACAATTAGTCCTATATACTACGTGACGCGAATCCGGCGCAATAACTCACCTTAGTACCAATGGCAACGGGAACAGACTCAGCCTCGGTGCCGAAGACCAACTGAGATCGGCGAGAGTAGAAGAGGTGCAGCTTGTCCGGGTTGCTGCTCATAGTGGTGTAGTACTGCTCGACGAAGAACCAGCCCACCTCATCCTTGGGGATGTCGCTCTTGTGATCGGTTGGGGTGTTGGTGGTAGGAGTGGAGGACTGGGCCGGCTGGAAGTTGGCCGCAGTGTTCATAGTGGCATGAGTGTGGTTGAACGAGTCGGGGTAGGCATGCTGCGCAGGGTAGCTGCCGTTCAGAGGAGCCTGGGACATATCGGCCATGATGATAGAGGGGTTTTGGCGCTTGATTGTGGTGGGAGGCGGGATCGAAATAAAGTAACCGAGGGTGTTGGAAATAATCGACGCCCGGCGCTAGAGCTAAGGAAAAGAACTCTCTAAGAGATGGGGTTGTGAAATATCTAAAAAGGCGTGATTTTTTTTTTCGCTTGGTTTCAACTGGGGAAATATGGTTAGTCTAGATGTCTCCACACACAGAGCGGATGGGTGGCCAGAACTCACAATGCGAAAAGGACCAAGCACTAATGCAAGTAATTGAGGGAAGCAAAAGGAACGGAAGAAGACGAATGCTGAGTGGAAACCACAGATGACTCTCCGGATGACGCAGAGAGTGTTGGCAAAGTATAAGTGAGGTGGGAGGTCACTCGAAAAGGCTCTTGTGTGAATGAGGTCACGGCGGAAGAAGAGGGGTTTCTGATGGTGAGGAGGATGAAAATGCTGATGTGAAGAGGATGAGCGGAGACGGGCTGGCGGAGTGTCGAACAGCGATCAGAAAAGGAAACGAAGCTGTTGTGGAGGAATTCACTTTGGAGAAAAAGCAGCTTCGTCGAACTGCGACTCTCCGTGCGGGTTTCGCGTGGGCTTGGCACAGCGTCACCGCCCGGCAGAATTGGGGAGCCTTCGAGAAGGACTAGAATAGTATAGCGTGTAGCGAAGTAGTATATACTTGTATCGTGTGGCAAAGTATCAAAAGATATACAGAGTTGATCTAGATGAGATCAGAGACAAGAGTAGCATATAGTGGGATTAATGAGGTCAAAAGTAGGGTAGATTTATTGGAGAAAAGTGGAGAGAAAAGATTCTAGTGTGCTCAACTGCCTATGCCTATCTATGGCCGCCAACCGACTGGGCAAAGACTACCGCGGTTACAAGAAGACTTCCAGTCTGCAAATAGAATACATATTCTACTGCTAATTAATTGGGTAAGGAAGTTTCTAATATTTTCTGCAGTGTTAAATCACAAGATAAACATCAGGAAACGAATATCAAGGCCGAGAGATAGACCGGAGGAGGGAACAAGGTTCATGCGTAGTTGTAAATTCATCAGAGAAACGCCCTAAAAAAAGAAAAGAGAAAAAAAGAAAAGATAACCTCGAAATAAAGGGGGGTATGATGAGACATGGTGATGAGCCTGAAAGAAATGTAACGTGAAAATAAAACGATCGTATCATAGAACCTCGTCAAAGAGGCCCCGCTGGAAATGATCAAAGGGTGGGCGAAAGAAGAGGGGGTTGTATGAAAACTTGAAAGAAAAACAAAGACGTCAATGGCGACACACACAAACAATGTGGTCTAGTTGGACTTTTGTCTGTGGGTCATGGTTTGCCAACTCTATATCAAAGGATTATCTCAGCGGGGGATAATCAAGAGGAGGTCTTCTCGCTCAGAGACGGCTTGCGCATCACGGCATCTTGGCCGGTCATTCGTCGACCAAGCGCACGCTCGACCTTGGCCCCGAGAGCCAGTTTGTTGAGGTTATCAGACTTCTCAGTCGTGGGCACGAATCTTTGCGCTTGGAGAGGCTTATTTTCAAGGCGCTCCAGGCCGTCGCCGAGGTGGGTGATGTCACGGGTTCTGGGGTCGCCGGTCGGAAGGCTACCGGTGGTGCGATCGGAGGTGGCTAGCGAAGGGCTGCCGCTAATGGTGGAAAAGCGTTTGGAGTTGCGGTTCTACGCAGAGGGCGGGTTAGCATATATATTCGTATTCAATGTAGTGCTGCGTGCGCCGGGGAATGGGCATCGGGACCGGGCTAGAGAGGGGGTAGAAATAGACGGTGGGAGGGTGGGACGATGGGCAGTTGGGTCGCATGGAGGGGCAAAGGGGGCAGATCACGATCAACGTACCGAGTTGGTCATGATGGGCCGCTCTGAGTCGAGAGAGGGTTGGCGGGCCATTTCTACCTCAAGCGACGTGAAGTTGAGGTGTGGCGGTGTTGGCGTGAGGGATGGGGAGTTTCAAGCAAATGGTACGGACGCCTGCGAACGAGGGGGACGATTAGCACGGGTCCTGGTTCGGGATCTGGTCCTCGGTCCAATAATGATCGGGCAATCGAATGAATAATTCTGCTGGTGGGAAATGGGGCGAACGCACCGGGTGATGGTAGACGGTGTAGGTTGTAGGTTGTAGGTTGTAGGTTGAAGATTTAAGGCTGAGGTTCAAGTTGAAGAAAGAGAAGAAAAGCAGGGCGGGACTGAGACAGGTTTGGCCAATGCAAAGGTCTACTCGTAGTATTTTGATGAGACGACGACTCAGGAGGCCGAAACGTCCAGAGTGGGTCAAGCCGGCGGTGGGGAGAGAAGGGAAAGGAGGTCGGATGGACGGAGCAGCGTACTCTTACAAGAATCGGTCAGGGGCTGCAGGTGGATTTGAGTATCTCGAAGGTGTACTTGCAGTGGTACTTTAGAGTCTGTATAGAGTAAAGGGTATGATAACTATTGACGAGTCATGGGCCCGTGAGATAAAGGAGTAGACGCAGTACGGAGTATATGTAGAACAAATAGTTAAGGATGAGGATATAATCTGTGTGGAACTTTGCCACGTGCGGATCAGCCAGGATCAACCAGGATCAGGATAGCAAAGAGACTCTACAGGGTTAGGCTAGGTTAGTTCAGGGCTTGGACTCGGTGGACTTGGTGGACTTGGTGGTGGTTGGTGGTTGGCGGAGAATTCCCAATTGCCTGCAGTTCAGGTCTTGGCATCCTCCAATGGGGAAATCATCACCAGCTTTGACATCACCTCTCTCTCTTTCACCTTCACACTCTCGACCCACCACCCACACTCAACACTTGGTACTATCTAGTGCTACTTACTCACACATCATTTAATATGCCCAAACCAAAGAGCCTGCTGAAGGATTTTAAGCCCAAGAAAAAGGCTGCAAAACAGGTATGTGCGCTAGTGATTTTTATTTTTTAAATTAAGCGTTTACTCAAAGATAACCCCCATATCTTGAATATCATTTGTCCTTGACTCATACCCAACAAAAGAAAGAAAGGGAAAAAAAAGAACTCCCCTCCCTCTCGCTCCCATACCTGCCCAATCCAATTCAATCCAATCCAATCAACCCATCTAATCAAATCAATTACTTCAGGCAACCCCAGTCACAGCCGATGATTTTCTCGCTGGTAAGTGATCGTCCCTGATCGGCTGAGCTGAAATCACACTTTTTACTCGTAGCTTGGACCGAACCCTTTTTGGAACTTGAATGGAAGCTAAACTCCAATCGAAATCAATCAGCCGGTGTGGAGCTAGAAGAAGCGGGCGAGAAATGGCGCGCAGGGGATGCTGCCAAGTCGATGCGTTTCTTCATGCGCGCAATTGCCAATTACGATGATGGTTTAATGAGACATCCGGACGCCTTTGATTTGGCTTATAACAAGTACGTGTTTAAGTGTTTGATTTGAAACATTTTGCTATGTTTTTTTTATCAGACAAACTAACCATTCTCAGAGCACGAGTGCAATATGCCATCACTCAACACCATAAACTAGCCGCCCAGCTACCGGCTCCACAAGCCGAGATCTTGCAAGTTGCTCTGCAATCACACCGAGACGCCTTGGCGCTAGACCAGGACAATGCAGACGTCCTGTTCAACAGTGGCCAGGTTCTAACCAGTCTGGCGGAAGCGATTTCAGATGCCAAACACCCCGCCGAGGAGCAATTGATGCAGGCTAGCACGTATCTTCAAGAGGCGATTGAGCTGTTTCAGCGATGCTTGGTGCTGCAGGAAATGAAATACACGGAGATGCAAGAGGAGATGGAGCAGATGCAATCTTCCACAGATGACCAGGCCCAGGAGCAAGAGCAGCAAGCCCAACCGCAACCGACAGAAATCGAAGCCCAAGCCGAAGCCGGCGATGATCCCCAGGAACATTGGGCTGCTATCATCGAACCCGTCACCAAGAATACGCTAGTCGATACGGCTGTCGCCCAGCTAGACACATTGACTGCACTGTGTAATCTGCTCACTTCCAACCCAGGTGCTGGCGGTGTTGGCTGGGTGCAAGAGTATTCATCGGAGCTTATCCAGACCCGCCTGCCCGCGTACATGGAAGGTTCAGACAGACAGTACGAGGCAGCACTCTCACGGGCGAAGCTTGTCTGCGCGATCCACGAGGTCCTGTACCGAGGCGGCCACACCGACGTCCAAACCTACCAGCAAGAAGTGGGCCAGGCATTCGGAGCCGAATTGGACGTATCAGCCGACCCCGAAGGACTATGCTATAAAGCGGACGCCCTGACATCCCTAAACACGGCATTTGCAGAAGTACCCCCGCACGAGGATCCTGAAACACTGGCCCTTTCCATCTCCACCCGCTGGACATCCCTTTCCGCAGCACTGGATGCCCTGACGGCAGCGACTAAGCTACCGGATGCAGAGAACCTGCCCAAGATCCACATCGCGCGAGGGGATGCGGAAATGCAGCGGTGGCGGTTGGGGAGAGAGCCTTGGAACCACGCTATGGCGAAGCAGAATGGTGCCATGCTTCTGCGCAACGCACAGACGTATTACCGTGGAGCGGCGGCCTTGGCCCGTCGGGATGGGGCGGTGGTGGAAGAGCGTGATGGGTCGTGTAAGGAGGCCATCGCGGCTGCGGTGGATGGTCAGAATACCAAGTTGCAGGAGCTCAAGACTAGGTCCTTTGAGCAGGTTATCGCTGTCGCGACGGAGATGGTGGAAGATGGGATGATCGAAGCCACGGAGATGAGCGCCCTGATCTCATAAATCGAGTAGACAGAGACCTCAATCCCAAATAAAGGACTTCCTTCAAATTCATTAGAGACCTGGATGCGCGTTGACTTCCTCATCCATATGTACCGCTTCTTCACGGATCTTATTCTCCTGGCTGAACTGCGTAGACGCAGATGCAGCGCCCTCGACATCCGCAACAACAGACTCAATATGAGAAAGGAGCCTCTCAATCTCCAATCGTTGCGCCTGGACCGTCTGCGCCAGCTCCGCATTCTGCGCATGTGTAGCTTCAAGTTTGGAATCTAGTGTTGACTGTGCTTGTCGGAGATAAGGCGTCAGATGCGCCTTGTAGAGCTCATCAGCACCAAGCGTGTGAGGACTAGAATAGAAAAACATTTGGTCAGTACCTTTTTTCTTTTTCAAAGGGAAAATAGAACTGGATTCAAAACATACGCATCACCCTCCTGATCCCCATCACCACTCTCATCCTTCCTCTCCCTAGCCTCAGAAACCAACCGATCAAGTTCATTCAAATGCGCAACAGCCTCCCTCTCCTCAACAATCTCCTCGAACTCCGCCTTCGCACTCTCCTCCAACTTGGCATTCAACTGCCTCCAAACACTCTCCAAACTAGCCGGGACATGGCGCGCCGGCGTGGGAAAACAGCTGGCAAAGTTGTTAAAGGAGTTCGCCTTCAACGTGCGTGCAAGCGCTTGGTTGAATACTTGGTGTAGACGCGATGCGCGCGGGCCGAGAGGAGGTGGAGGGGCGATTGCGGTTGTTGAAGATTGCGGGGGTGGGTGGGAGTGGGAGTGGGAGTTTGGCGTAGGCATGGTGTGGGTTTTGCGAATTAAATGTGACGATTTGCTGATCTGACAGCGTGTGCGGTGAATTGGACTGGAGGTGTTGTTGTTTTCGTTAGGAATTTGGCTCTCTGGACCTGGGGACGTTGGCGTACATTGTTCGGGTCGCGACGCGGTAGTCACGTGATGGCAATCATATCGATCTATGTATGCGGGAAACAATTATATACAGGTTTTCTCTATAATTCTCATTCTCGCTCGAGAGCATGTGGTGGTGGTCTCAAAGATAATTTCTCGATTTGTGAATGCCGCGCTGACGTACACAATCAAAGATGTGAAGGTGCGCGAAAGCATCTGTCGCTTGGTCAGTCTCACGCTAGAGGAGAATGTCCAAGCAGCGGAACATGAACTCGAAAGGATTCTTGAAGATAAAAGCCGACAGCCAATCATTTATAATCATTATTATACGGACAACTTCCAGAATGCTAGAATTGAAGCTTCAAAAAGCCTCATCGAAAACTCTGTACGCGATGCGATCCAAAATGATTGGAACGGTACTCTCCATTTGGACAGTACAGAAAAAGACTGTGTCAAACTGTTGTCATCCGTCAAGAAACGGGTCATTGTCGACATGAAGGAGCAAGCATGTTCTGAAGCAAGAACCGACTTGGTTGCTTATTATAAGGTCTGTTTTACGTGGTATTAAAAGGATCTGTTCTAATTATGAAGTAGGTTGTACGGAAGACGGTCGTAGATAATGTCTGTCGCCAAGTCGTTGAGCGACATATTCTTGCAAAGTTGGCTAATGCGTTCAATCCAATGACGGTCAGCTGCTACATATTCGGAAGAGGGGCTTGTTGGCTTAGCGGCCGAGTCTCTGTAAGTTAGCTATATTCGTTCTAAGGCTCGCCAGCTTTAAGTTGCTCTGGAGCAAAGCCTCTGTGATTTGGCCGCATAAGTGAAGTCCCTGGGCTGCTCCGACGTGGGTTTTTCCTACAAGATTTTGTGTACAATATTCCTCCGAGCACACCAACTAGTTCTGGCAGGTTCGCTAGCGTTCTGCCATATACTGTGCCTATTCCGTTCCGACGGTAGTTCCTGTGGGATGATTGGCTCTTGATGGCCCATTTGTAGGTTGCGGTCCCTCATATCGCAGGGTCCATAACACAGCATCTCCAACCCTCTAAATGTTTTTAATGAGGTTTATTCAGGAGATAATTTAGTCCCTTGAGCACGATTACCGCTTATTTCTCCGACGAATTGGCGCATTTTGGATACAAAAGAGCAAAATAAAATAAATCGCGTTGGGGGTCAACGCGGAAAAATGCGCTAAGATCACTAGTGTGTCTATAGACTTTCTGACCAGTATGTACGTTATAATGATATCGTATTAATCGTGTTTGAGGGTCACGTGTAGGGCTACTGATCTGCTTTATTTATTCCCCCTATCCTTGAATACGCTTTCCACTCTTTATCCTTCACCTTACAGTTCTACTTTTTCACAGATCAGCAAATATGCGTCCTATTCTAATCGCCTCATTGTTTTTCTTTGGTATCACGATGGCTGCGCCAGCTAAAGAGACATTAGCTAAGCGTGAGCCTGTGAAAGTTGTTGAAGATGGTGTAAGTATTCTGAGCTCAGAGGGATGTCTGTCTGGATACAGAGCTGACGCAGACAAAATCAACAGCTTCCTTACATTGTAAGTGATACTTCTAAGGGAGATGGCTACCTAGATAGAGAGCTAACGCAGATGGAATCAACAGAAAGTCGTACGTGATAATTCTGAAGCAACAGAAATGGCTACTTGGATGCAGATCTGACGCAGATGGAATCAATAGAGCCTGAATGCTGATGTTGCTGGTACTATTGTTCCTACTGAATGTGAGTGATGATTGTGAGCTCCGGGAGATGGCTACCCGGAAGCAAAGCTGACGCAGACGAAATTAATAGACTAGTGATAATCACTAGTGTAAGTGATGATTCTGAAGCAACGGAGATGGCTACCAGGATGCAGAGCTGACGCAGATGAAATCAAAAGATTTAAAGCTGTCGAGTTTCAAAGGAGGTCTAGCACGCCTCCTACTATACTGATCTTATGTTATATACTGACATAAGCTTCTAGGTTGAGAACTGTTGTACTCTGTGATCATGAAATCACTTAATGGAAACATAGTAGAGCCAGGGCAAGCAGGTTTGGCAAGTGTTATGTGGTGCGGAGTGGTTATTAAGGGGAGAGGGGGGGCCTGTATTTTATATATGCCTTGATAAGGGTTTTGTCCTAGGTTGAACATATATATGTGCATTAGGTTTCCCCGTGTTGTTGTGTAAATGCAAAGGCTACATACAGGATCACAGCAGTCAGTATTCCCAAACGAACATCATGAGTAGTAACGCCATCTTCAAAATTGCCTACATATATCACCCAACATTCCAGCAAACCATTTTCCGCTATCCTTCGCTCTAGGCTTCGCGGTTGAGGCATTCTGCTACTGATCTACTGTGGGTGATGTCGGCCTTAGGCTTACCTACTAGATGGTTCAAATACGTTTGAGACCCTTTTCTTCTTACAGTATTAAGGCTGCATACGTATAGGTGATTGGCGGCTCAAAAGGGTCCTTAGTAACTAGACTGGGCTGCATTTATGTTCCTCACTTCCTAAAATGTGTTTTTCGTCTTCCGTTGATATACCATTTCAATATTTGAAAGTTCTACTAATAGTTAATTTTTAAGATTGCTTTGTGAAGGTTTGTGTTTGAAGCCAAGCTGTGTTGTTGTTGAGGTTGGTCGTGATAGCTTCAAAATTGCTGAGTTCAGATGGCAATTATGTATTGCATTGCAATTCGGTTACTTTTCATGGCAGATTTTGCTGCATTTTATTACCAACTGGCTAATATCGGTTTGCTCGTTTAGCGAAGTGGTAACTTCCAGATAGCTTCCAGGTGATGCACGTTCCAATGGAATTTGGGGCCATTTTTTTATAATTGCCCTAGAGGTCGCCTGCATCACCCGCGACCTGAATTACTAGCGTTCCCCATACAAGTTTAGACCGGACTACTACAGTATTTCCGAAAAATGGTGTCACCACCTACACTCTTTAATTGTTTCTCGAGCCCTAATGCCAAGCCTGCTAACCCTTATTAGGACGACAGTAGGAACATCAACTTTTCGCTTTTTTGCGGATACATTTCCGTACAGAGCCAAATTACATACCACATGATTCATGAATGTACGGTAAATACGTATTCGTGCACGAACATTCCGCAGAGATGTAAACGATCCAAACAATTCCAGCTGCGGATCCGACCATCCAGAGCCAAGCGCCGGAGCCGCCACGCATCGGAACCGATGGGCATCAGCGTCATGAATCGCGGATAAGAAGGTCCACATGTCAATTTCATTGTCACGGGAAATAATACTTAGAACCATGATTCTAAGCAATATCGGTCTGCGTATGGGTGGTGCTTCGAGAGCAGTGTTCGCTGCCCAAGGCGTTTTCCTGTTAGGGAATGCCTTCTACACCATCCTCTATCCCTCCTCCGCAGCAAATCTTCCAAACTCTTCGCTCAGAGGAGCTCCCAACGGCGTGGTTCAGTGTATTGGGTATGTCTCTAAAATTATGTTTTATTAGTATTTTATTCCTAATAGTACCAACATCATAGTCTAACTTCCTTTACTTTGGGAACATACTATCTGATTTCGGCCTATCAACGAAATAGTGCCATAATGGCTGCTTCGGTGCCTTCTCGATTTGTGGCTGCATTTGTGATGTACCAGGCTGGTGAGAATTGGATCCCAGTTTCGGCTTTTGAAATCTCAATGGGAATAGTCGCTGGCGCAGCACTTCTATGGGATCGGTGCATATAGCAGAGATTATATAGACCATGAGTTTGGCGGTTCATCAACCGCAAGGGCATTAGTATTGAAACGATAGTGGCGGGGTGGCCTTTCTGGTCAAATGCATTGCGCGTTTTATACACAACGTATCTATTCAACCTCTGCACACTTGGCAATCATATAACTATTCCACATGTAGCCATTCATTTCAAATATATATAATCGCAACCAAATAATGATAATATTAATTAAAAGGCCATATATTGGCAAAATAGACCTTGTACTAAAACAGTTTGTCAATAGCGGGTATAATAGCCACGAGACTGGCGCACCGATGCCATAGGGCGTGGCACTGATCGAATGAAGAATATCAATAACCGCTTGATCTAGTGCATCCCATGCCTCACACATACAGTGTTTTACGTAACAAGGGATGTGGGGCAAGTGGATATTATGCAACCCATCGACTGCCACTGTTACGATCTACATAGGACGGACCATTTCGCAATACTCGACATCGTCTCTAGAATCGCCTCTCCCCGCATCCAGTCTTCCAAACTATATAAAATAATGTCACAGCGTCGTCAATTCTCCAGTTGCGACCCATGCCGTCGGTCCAAGCGACGCTGCTCTTTTGTTTCTGCCGGGGAAGGAGAGAGGTGTACCAATTGTCGACGGCTGGGCCATTCATGTACCTTTGACTTTGCCAAATCCCGGAAGGCAAAGCCTAGGCAGGACCCTACCCCTTATCCCCAGCCGATGAATAGGAACAAATCGCCAGTGGTATTAGCGAACGGGCTCTCCAATAGTTTCCCTGGCCACTTTCAGGCCGACTCTATGACCGTAGGGGATCTTCTACCCCCTTTGTCCAACTTTGATGAGGCCAGCAACGCCGACGAAAACCCCGCCGATGGAAACCACGATTTTACCCTAGGCTTAAGTCTGACCGACCTCGTGGCATTAGATGCTGAAGATTTAGTCCCAATACCAATTGAGACCCAACTGTCCTTTTGCGGCAGCCCGTTGGACAGAATGCAGTCCGCCATGCCGTTTATCGCTGGTAGTTCCCTGAGTAGCCCCATGCGACTACTCAATTCCAAGCTGGATGCAACAATTTTGGATAACAGGCTCATAACGATCCACGACACAATTGTGACGGGATGTGCTTCCCGTTTTGCGGATTACGACTGCAACCTATATGCAACGACTTCACGATACCGACTGGAAGGTGGGGCTCGATGGCCCTCGCAGGAATATACGCTTGACCTGTTAGACCTAAAGTTGGCTAAAAATGATGTGACCTACACGTTAACCGCAATAGGGATCGTCCGTTTCCTCGATCATTTTAGCGACCTCTACGGCAACCGACTTAGCTCGGGTGCACGCAAGCTGTCCGATGCTGCGCTAAAAGCGGTGCTGCGCGCCTTTTCGCTCCAGTGGCTAACTCCTGAGCGTACATCAACCACTGATAGTATTTTGGATGACGGCCATACGACATGCGAAATATCTAGAAACGCGTTCTTTGATTCCTGGTTCACCGCGCGAGAAGTTCTCAGAAATGCACAGTCTATCCAGTCGTTCAGGACTGTCTATGCAATTTTACTTTTCGATGGCATTGCCGTCCCGGCCAAGGCCTCAGCCGAGTCAGCGCATGAGTTCCTGGACATCGGCCTGCGAAATCTGTGTTCATTGGATGCGCTTGTCAGACAATATTGTACAAACCTAGCAGCACATTCTACCTACAGCGGTGCCTTGGAAGCCAGCCTGAATGTAGTGCGTTGGGGTGGATACATTCGTGATATTGGGGCATCGCTCACAACAGATCGTCGATGTCAGCTGCCGGCCATCGCAGGCTATGGTAAAAGTGAGTTGGCAACCCTCTATGATCTGTGAATTACAGAAGCTGAACTTAAGCAGTGTTCTTCAGAAAAGAGTACTCCTTCGACAACATTAATGACCCAGATTTCTTCCTTAATCTGAATGGCAACATCCCAAATATATACCAAAACGCGGTCGCCGAGGCCTTTTACGTCTGGAGACAGATCGTTGACGCCAAACAATCAATGTACAGCGATCTCTCTTCCGCCCGCATCGAGGCTTTCACTTCAGCAGTGGCGGCTGTGAGCAAGTTCAACCGGCTTTTCCGCCCTTTCTTCAACCACTGCTTAGAAAACCTGGAGGACCTCTCCGTACACTCTAGAACAACCTCTAGTATGGTTCTCACATCTTCATTGTGTCCATCTACTGATTTTATTTGGTAGTTTCAATTGTATTGTTTTGGGACCTGGGCGTTCTCATTTTAGCCGACTCACTAGAATCTTACACAAAGAAAAGTCACCTTATTCATGACTCTACCGTCCGGAGCATGCGCGTCTACCAAGAGGAAGCAGTTTTATCCGTTACCAGGACGGTGGAACGCGTGATCTTATTGCTTACTGAGGATATCTTCAACCTCGAAAATGGTCTTGGTGCCGAAGTTTCCCTCTTTTCCTACCACATTACGCCGAGACTGACGGCAATGGTCTTCGAAAAGGCAATCGAGACGTTAATTTACTTGCATGACTCGCAGGTATGCCCGGCGAATTCACTCCAAATTGACCCAACGGCCAGCAGCATCTGGCAACGGCGAATTGACATTGTTTTAAAGGGAATCAGCTCCCTGAATGTTATCGTCGGGGGATCCGAGGCAGCCACTGCTGCTTTTCAATCGCTCATGCCCCAACATGGGGATATTCTCTCCGAATGCTGGACCTCTGATTTTAGCACATGACAGGCCTGGAACTGACGCAGCGGAGCCGATGCAAGGCATCGGTAAAAAATAGAATACCTTTTTGCGGCGGATCCGATCGTATAACTTGCCGTTTTAGCGACCCTACACTGGGGATCTCGCCTGTTGTTATTTAAATTCGATACTCTACGCTGTCCAGCGGGTCTTGTGTCTTGCTCGCTCAAAACCCGACAGCCCAAACTTGAGGCCACCATCGCCATGTTCTATGTGCTCGCGATCTCAGCAGTGTTCTGTCTCCTCTGGCCCTGCCTGTCGATCATTCGGAGATTGTACTTTCATCCACTTCGCAATCTACCCGGACCCAATTTATGGATTGCTTTTCCCATCTTTCGCTATATTTCCCTGATTAGAGGACGGCTGGATATCGACCTTCGATCTTTCCACAATAAATACGGCGAGGCTGTCCGATTTGGTCCTGATGAAGTCTCCTTCATCACCGCTCAAGCATGGAGGGACATCTACACCCATGGTCACGGCGAGCGGCAACTCCCTAAAGTTCTCCACTCAACAAGTAATCCGTCCAGCATCATCAGTGCCAACAATGCTGACCACAGCCGCTTCCGCCGAGCCCTGTCGCATGCCTTCTCTGCCAAGGGTCTGCAGGTCCAGGAGCCAATCCTCCGCGGCTACGTGGATAAGCTGATCCAGCGCCTGGAGGAGATCGCTGCATCGCCCAACCCGGTAATCAACATGGTCAAGTGGTACAACCTGACTACATTTGACCTTATCGGAGACCTCGCCTTCGGGGAACCATTTGGAGGGCTGGACTCGCTTGATTACCACCCGTGGGTGGCGACCATCTTCCAGGCAGTCCGAGGCATCGTTCTTGTCATGCTGCGCGATGCCTACCCTCTCCTTTTTCATGCGTTATCACTCTTCCTTGTCCCGAGGTCATTTATGGAGAAACGCGAGCGACAGATCGAATATAGCAATCTTACCGTCCAGAAGCGCCTCCGAAGCACCCTCCGTCGCGGCTCCGTCGACTTCATGGACAGCATGTTGCGCTATCGTGGCGACAAAGAAAAGGAGATCACTGACAAAGAGATGGAAGCTAACGCCAATATTTTGATCATCGCCGGCAGTGAAACCACCGCCACCCTGCTGTCGGGGGTCACCTACTGGCTGCTGCGAACGCCCGACGCCCTTCGCAAGGTCTCCGACGAGGTGCGCTCCTCCATAACGTCCGATTCAGACATAACCTTTCAGACGAGCTCTCAGCTACCATACATGCTCGCCTGTCTAAACGAGGCCCTGCGAATTTACCCGCCGGTGCCGGGGGGGACTCGAACGTATAACAATACCCCCCAGATTCAATTACTATCTCAGGATACAAGATCCCCCCCTGGAGTATGCTTCCCGCTACTATGTTCACGAAGAAACAAGAAGAATCGAACACTAACCTGACGCGTTCCATAAAACCAGACAAAAAGTATCTGTTCATCAATCCGCTGCGTACCGCTCCCCCCCTCAACTTCTACCGCCCCGAAGAATTTCTCCCAGAGCGCTGGTTACCGCTCGCCAAAGAAGATGCTTCGTCGCCCTTTTACAACGACAACCGCGACGTACTGCAGCCATTCTCGATTGGCCCTCGCAACTGCATCGGGCGAAACCTGGCAAATGCTGAGATGCGTATGATTCTGGCGCGCGTGCTGTGGAACTTTGACATGGAGCTTTGTCCGGAGAGCAAAGGGTGGGAGAAGCAACGGTCTTTTCTTTTGTGGGAGAAAACGCCGTTGCTGTGCATATTAAAGAAGAGAGAAGGAAACACATGAGCTGCTGGTGGCCACTAATGGCACATCCATGCAGCCTCAGTTGCTAATTCATCGCAAGCGAATTAAGGGTTTATCCGTTGGGAGGATATCTTGGACTCTTTACCAGCGTTATTAGACCAACATCTCTACTTGATTGCAATTGGCGCTACAAACAGCGAGAATCAGCTGAATAAGACCGAATCGAAGTAATTGAAGGTTATAATATAGCTCGCTCATGGGCCATTTTTACTTGAGAGCCGCGTTCGCGGAACGCATATTCAAATAAAGCTCATTTGTGTAAACGTATACCTGGACTTCTCATGTTGGCTACTCTGTCGGCTTGCAGGTCCTGGACTACTGAAAAGCATGGACAACCAGCCTGGCTACTCATACCACCCTAAAGCCTTGACTACCATGTCCAGTGCCTTTCCTAGAATGTTCTACTTCATCAGCAGGGTATTCTTGAAGCAGCTCTCACAGGCTGTGATACGTCGCTGGTCAAGTCCAGCGACTCCAGATTTTCTACTACGGAATTCTAACTACGTACGTGGACATTTCCCAGCATCAACGAGACTCCGCAATACCTGATCTACCGCCACTTTTATTCATCTCCGGTCCCCTGACATAAACCGTCATGTATTGGTAAAGCCACCCAGCTTTGATATGAGGAGCTTGGACATTGCCGAATCGCAGGTTAGATCGGATCCTGACAATGGTGCGCTTGCTGCAGCCAGCAGCTTCCACCATGTGTGAGGTGGTTAGATTCATCACTGCTAATCATATCACGAATAACCCGAGCGTAGACTTGGCTAGATTGGGAGCCATGCTTCGTTGCATCCACCGCCAGCGGAAGTGCCAACCAAGATATTCGGGTGACGCTAGGGAAAGCTAGCGTGGGGCACTGGTGGCAGCTTCTCGATCTGACAGGTAATAACAAACTCCCCGCTATTATAATAATTCGGTAATTTACGATACACCACCAAAACCAAAGAGACTGATACGGCGACATCCAGAAGTAGTTTAGTGTTTCTTGGTAAGAGGATTGGAGAAACAGTGAAAGAGTGCAGGTGGTGACACCGTTTTTCGGAAATACTGTATAGTGTAGTACAATCTTGCTGTCTGCTACCTTGCGTTATTAAAGCTATTTCACCCTGACAGAGTACTAGATACTACTTGGTGCTGCAAAGTTTCCAACTTCCTATTACCCACCATTATTAACCACCTTCTAATGACAGACTAGTAGCTACCTAAGATATAATAGATTAGCCAATATATTCCATCCTAGGTAGCTAATAGTCTGCCATTGGAACGTGCATTGCGCCGGTTGCGTTTATTGAGCGCCGTACATAGTAAGAGGAGTCGAAATAAGTATCACTCTTTTGTTTGAGATAGATGGCCGCTGCGAGCTCTCACCCACATGGCATGATACTACCCAGGTCCCTTGGCGTTACTTTTGTCATATATCCAGGCACTGGTTGCTAGGTACGCCATCTCTCTTCCGCCTCTTGTAGTTGATCCCGGATCGATCGTTTTATTTGCACGGACAACAGCAGTTTCTCTCCAGTATATTCCACTGCGCAGTGTGGATTCGCCCCATGATCCAGCAGGGACCGAACAATGGCCTCATGTCCGCCCTTTACGGCATACGTGAGTGGAGGGCACCCCATCATATCAGTAATCTCCAGATCTGCGCCACGTTCCAGGAGCAGATCTACCATCGTTTGATTGCAGTCTTCTACAGCCCAGAACAGGGCTCGGTCGTATAGCTTGCCTAATCTGCCAGAGGGATATTCATCACACCGCACGTTAACATCCCCGCCCGAGTCCAGCAACAATTCTACCAGCCCTGGACTGTCATTCTGCACCGCAAAGTGCAGAGGCTGGACCCATTCTGCGTGGCCATACCCCGGGTTGCGTGGTATTTCGGACGGATCGAAGTCAGGAGGCGCACCGCCATGAAGCAATGCCTCCGCCATTCCTCTATTCGCCTGTGCTATAGCGAAAGCCAACGCTCTGGTACGCTGAAGCCTCGTCGTTCCGTGAATTAATATTCGGATAAGATGATCATGGCCTTGGATCACCGCCGCCGTCAACGGTACATTCGTCAGTCGTGGACAAGGAATCAAGTTTGGATCCGCACCGTACGCAAGAAGTAGCGATACCAACTCGCCCATTCCGTTTGTTGCCGCCAGTAGCAGGGGAGTCCCTTGAAAATGACCAAAACTACCAAAATAATTGACTTGCACACCATGCGTGAATAACAACTGGACCACCGGGATCTGTCCCGCCATCACCGCGGCGAACAGAGCATCTTTCATCATGTCTTCTTTGCCGGGCTCATCCTCCTCTCCTTTCGGAGCCGACAGAAGCACCTCAACTATATCCACATGCCCCTGAAACGCTGCCAACTCGACAGGCCGAAGGCCGCCTACAAAGCTGCGAATACTCTGCCGGGCGCCAACGTCCACCAAGTATTCTACCAGAGAAGCATGGCCATGGACAGCGGCCAGTGCCAGCAGCGTGAACCACTCGGGGTTCGTGGTGTTGGGACGTACCCCGCGATCGATCATATAGCGGACTATGTGCAAATGACCTGCCTGGGCCGCTAATGAAATAGGATGTGGGCGGAATTCTTGGAACACGCGCAGATGTTCGCACCCGAACCGAAGGGTTACTGGGCCTTCTTCTCGAAATTCGCCTCCGGCTTGTTTCTTTGGTAAGGGGGCGCCTGCATCCAGAGCTTTCTGCAATGTGTCCATCCGGCCATTTTGTGCTGCCCATTCTAAAGCGGAGCTGTTGCTGTAGAGTACATTGTGTCGGTAAAGACGAGAGTTGCAGATTTGTTGAAGATGGCGATTTGTCCGTGCCAAGGCAGCGAGGGTCGATTCGGATGTTATGAATAAGGTGGTTTGGAGAATGAGCTCGTTTGGCAGGACCTGAAGCCCGGACATTGTTTGAGGAGAAAGAAAGTGTGAAGAGGGAATGGGGCGGTGTTGTTGGATGTTTATCGTATGTCATTATTATGTGGTAAGCTTCGAAAAATTCCAACCAAAAAGAAAGAAACAAGACTTGCCCATTGTGTGTTATACCAAGGGCGATGCAAGCTAAGACCTGTTAGGCTACTGCCACTAAAACAGCACTAGCCTGCAGTAGCCAACGAAGGAAGACATCCGGAATTGAGGCGGGCGTGTAGTGTCTGACACTTGGGGGCCAGAACTAGCCCTAATTTCCCGTTAAATATCGGTGACAATGTAACCTCATCATCGTTGACAGCTAGCAGTCTGCACACTAACTTACTTCATGTCAACTGAGCCCTGAATATGTATGTTTCTGGTCCCCAGTATCTGATTCCTCAGACGGAGAGAGGGATTCGGAGGGAGAGAGAGGGATTACGTGTACTATAGTTATATTAAATGCTGAATTATGGTTTATTCAAGCCGTAGAATAAAAGAATTGCCATATTGAATCCATCGCTAAAACAAAAAGGCATCGACATTATCATTATACTATCGTGAAATCATTTCCATCGCAGGCGGCCTCTGCCTAAAATTCCTCCAGGTAGTTTTAACTGCCGGCCATGATATAGAAACATAAATAACACTATTCCAAAACCCCTGCAGCGGAAGCACAAAACTAGAAGCGTAATTCAAACCGAAGGAGAAATCATTTGGACGGGCGAAGGAGTAGACCCTATTGAGTGTTGAAGGGACCTGTTTCTCAGCGTTAGCCTTGGACTTGGAATGAGCGACGACATTAAACTAGTTGAGTTCAAGTTGTTGACCCCCCTCGAAAAGAAAAAGAAAGAAGAAAAACGTACCCAGGTCACAAGTAATGCAATGAAAAATAACATCGCATACTTGGTATAAGCCCACGCAGCCCGGGACGTATTTTCCGCGGCTGATGATCTTCGACGTGTGGAGAGTGTCTCTGGCCTCTCTAGATGCGAGGTATATGCCCCGGCCCCAGCTTGGAGGGGAGCCGGACCGGGACGTGGACCCGGACCAAGCTGAAAACTAGATGGTCGAACCGAAGGACTCGGAATAGAAACACTCCTTTCTTCCTGGGAAGTACCTGGATCGGAGAGGGACCGGCCACCTTGAATTGTAATCGAGTACTCGGCACTATAATTAGAAGTGACGCTGTAACTGCGTGGATTCGAATGCGAATGCAAATGCAAATGCGAATAAACGCCGTTTGTGTTCGGCTTCGTGTTCGTGTTCGTCAAAGAAGGACGCTCATCCGGCACCGAGTAGGCAATTTCACTGGTAACCTGAATTCCCTGAATACCCTGAATACCCTGAATAGGCCGGAAACCAGAAGGTTTAGGTTTTACCAGCGGGGGTGAATCGGCCTTTGCTTCCGAGTCAAAGTCAAGAGAGTCCAAATTCCCGAAATGTCGAAATTGGCGCCTTTTTTGGTAGATTGTTGAGCCGGCGCGGATGTAGATGGCAAATGTGAGCATTATTACTAGCCAAACGGGGCCGTAGAAGGTGCCTATTCGTAGCCAGTCCCATTGTGTTGAGACCCAGCACCATAGCTGTGGAAGGGTTAGAATGAATGGAAACTGAATACGGAAAAAAGGAGGAGGAGGAGGAGGAGGAGGAGGAGGAGCGGGAAGGGGAGGGGAAGGGAGATATACTATAGCGGAGCCATATACCCGACCAAGTGCTTCTGTTTTAATGAAGAAGTATACAAAAGCCGGAATGAGGGGCACGCCGTAGCAGAAGAGGATATATTTCCACTCTATCTGCCGTAATTGCTCTGAGTCGTATTTGTGGAAGAATGTGAGGTAGACGTTGCAAGCCATGGCGAAAGTCCACAAGGCGTCTGCGGGCATGAACCTACTTTATCTTTAACAAGGAGCTCAGCAGAGCGAAGCCAAAAGACAAGAGAAGAAACGGAGGAGGAGGAGGAGGAGGAGGAGGGGGAGGAGGAGGAGGGCTTACCATTGAATAAAAAAAGCCTGCATCTGACACAAGTGACTCCCCAAACCAGCATGAATTCCATCTTGTGATATCAAGGTAGCGACATTAGCCATGAGATTTCCCCATGAAGCATAAAAGACCAGGCGATTGATAGGTTTCCGGAACGCGCGCGAACCGATGAATGTAGCGACAATGACAAATGTTCCTGTTATGGATATTGCGGAGCAGGTACGTTCTGTGATGGAGATGGCCAATAATTGCTGTTCTGAGGGTCCTGCCATGGTTTCAAGTTCGTGCTCTTGGGTTCAATTCAAGCCTGCGCAGCCCGTGCTACAGTAGACAAGGGCTGTAGGTAGTAGGTACCATCAGCCTCGAGGGAGACCATTCAAGTCGGTAGTAGGTAGTAGTATATTCAGCACACAAAGGTCTTTCTCCAGCAAGAAACTTGAATACTAGTAAGTGTATATCCACTGAGATCTGTCCTCGGGGGAGTTTCGGCGCAAGGCCTGTATTAATGTCAGAATGGTACTAGTATTCGTATTCGATCTGAAAAACCGGCTGGCTTGCTGACTGCTAGCTGGGTTGACTGAGATAGAGCAAAGGACGGGCTCCGGTAGCCTGAGTATCGGGGGTGGGTGGCCTGAAGCTGAAGAGTAAAAAGCGTCGTGTATGTTACGAACTCATCGTACACGACATGCTTGACTAGTTATCCCATCAAATATCTGTAGATAACTAGGTGGAGGTTCGGAGGGAGGATGCCAAAATGCAAGAAGAAGTTTTGCCCGACGATCAAAAAGTAAATTCCAAGGAAAGCCAAGAGCCCAGCGACCAAAGAAGCATCATTTCAATTTAATGGGGGAAGTTTGCCTCCCCCTCCGAGTCGCCAGTGCCAGCACCAGCGCCTCGCCCACATGAAAGCAAGCTGCAGCCGTGAATGGAGGAATCCTACTCGCAGACCAGCGAAACACAAAGGGCACAGAGCTTAACCCGAGAACTTCGGTATTAGTCAAACATATCCCGAAAGTCCAGGTCAGAAGACCGGGATAGCTAGTGCGGGGAGGGGAGGGGAGGGAGAAAGACCGGGTTGGGTGTGGCAGCCCTGGTCGAACTTTCTCAACCATTCAACCGCAAGAGGATGGTTTTGGTTACCTCGAATTCGCACCAATCATACCATACATTTTCAATGAAATCATTTTGCCCCCGGTCATCATGACCACACTTCCCCCGCATGGGGCATTTGGGAGATTTCCCCGAACTGACAGCACTGCCCCTCCTCCAATCGGAATCGGGACTTGGAGCTGATTTCCATGGCTGGCGATATCTTCTACCAAGACTTGATTTTCTTCTGGATGCACAAGGATTTGTTCTAGCCATCGTGCATGTGTGTGTACCACACTAGTGGAAGACTCGGGGCCAACAGGTCCAGTCTTCTCTGAGCCAATAATTGCTCGGGAAGTTGGTTCGGATTGAAATCGGAATCGGCCTCCCGGGGGTCCTCTCATATCCACGAAGAGGAGCGGATGAAAGATACAGATACAGTACCTTAGGTAGTAGGCATGCACAATTTGAAATATGGGGTTCAGGTTCAATCTTGTAGTACTAGTACACCGAAGGGGATTGGGATTTCGTATTATACTAATCCGAGAAACGTGGCTGATCTGATGCCCACAACAAAAGCATGCCTGTGATTTGATTCTGGGTAGCAGGTAGCAACTATTTCAAGTGACCCGGAGAAACGACATCGACACCTATATCGATATCGATATTGGTGGTACAGACACCAAAGCAAAAGCACTCGCATTCATTTGTCGCGGAAAACCCAAAAAGAACTCGAAAGGGGGGTCTTTGCAACTTCCAACAAATCACAACATTTTCTTTCATAACCCAAAGCTCGCAGAATCAAAAATCACAGAGCCGAATTTAATAACATCAAAGGAAACACATTAAAGAAAACACATAGAAGAGACTCCGTGATCGGGTATAACGCCGAGTTCTCCCCGTTTGCGATGGTCTAATCGTCATCTCGTCATACGCATTTCAGGCGGGTTAGGCTAGGCCAGGCCGAGGTCTGGTACGCAGATTGAGGAGGAACCATTCCCCCATAAGCACCCGCCATCTGCTGTTGCTGCTGTTGCTGCTGCAATTGAGCCTGAACTTGGGGCAAATCATGGAACCAAGGGTGCTGCAGGGCATCGGCAGCGCTAATCCGCATTTCCGGACGTAGTTGCAGCATGCGATTAAGCAGATCCAAACCCAGCGGGTCGATCTGAGGCAAGATCAAGCCGAGATCCTGCGTCGCGTAGACGTGGAAGGTCGGCTTATATTCAGGCAATTGCGAAATACCGGGCCAAGAGCGTTCCGAGGGCGTCCCCATAAGTCGGAAAATCTTCAACAATTGGTCTTCGTTCGTGGTTCCCGGAAACAGAGGGCGACCTGTATACATCTCTGCCATAATGCAGCCAGCGGACCAGATATCGATACTAGTGTTATAAGTGCGGCTGCCGAGGAGGACGTCCGGAGCACGGTACCAAAGTGTAACAACCTCGTTGGAGAAGGTATTCACAGGGATACCGAATGCGCGCGCGAGACCGAAATCGCCGAGCTTGAGTTGGCCTTTTTTGTTGATTAGGAGATTCTGCGGCTTCAGATCTCGGTGGAGAACCCTATTCTCGTGACAAAATGCGATTCCCTTCATGAGTTGGTGCATGAATGATTTGATTGTTGCCGGGTCTAGTTGGCCGCGGTCACCGCGGGTGTCCATGTACCGCTTCAAATCCCTGTCCATGAATTCGAAGACTAGCATGAGCTTGTTCTCGGTGTGGATTACGTCGTAGAGCGAGACGATGCTTTCGTGCTTGAGTTCTTTCATTAGGGAGATCTCGCGGATCGCGGTGGAGGGAGTGCCTTCTTCGGAGTCGAGGTGGATTTCCTTCAGTGCGACCATTTCGCCCGTCTGGCGATTGCGCCCTTTGAAGACCTGGGATTTTCTGCGTTAGTGATGGAGCGGAGGGGATCGGAGGGGAGCGGAGGAGGACGAAGAGGTCGGAAATGTGCCCCCATGAGAGAGGAGGGGGAGGGTGTTGAGAGCAGGTTGAGGGTCAAAATCACGGGTGATTGGAACGTACAGTGGCATAGGTGCCTTCTCCGAGCTAGACGATCGAAATGAAGTCAGTTTGGGTAATTCGTAGATCATCGGTGAGGAGAGGTACCTTTTCCAGCTGCTGGAACGAGCTGGGTTGCTGTGATTTGTCCATGGTCCGAGGGAGTGAAGACCTGACTCGTGAAGGGACAGGATTAGGTTTAGAGGAAAAGAGGAAGTTCTTAGGAGATACGAGAGAGGAAGGGTGGACTGCAGGATCCCTGAGTCGCTCCATGCTGATGAAGAGGCCAGCCCCGCGCACGTTTGGAAGTGGGGAGGGCCGCTTATGTGTTCCGCTTTACTACTGTAGGTGTAGGTACTCTACGTAGTAGAGTACTCTAGTAGAGGACTATGGCTATGTACTTTTTACTACTCTACATGATACTATCGTCTGCTATTGTTATTGTTATTTTGATTCATTATATTCATACTCATACTCATATTCTGTTCTGTTTATTTTCTACTCTATCTCCGGTTCATCCCTAACAGGGATGCCACGGCCGGCAAGATGGACTGAGCGGGTTGGCTGCAGCGCACATGGGACGTTGGGTCCAACTCAGAACCCTGACCAAAGAGAACCGCTTCATTCCTCACGCCGCCAACATTGATAATACCAATGGGCATCCCCCGTTTATGCGCTCGTTCCACCAACCGCCACGCCGAGAATGTAGCTAGACTACTGCCGAGCACCAGTAAGCGCCCTGCATCATCGATCGCCTCTTCAGCCGCTGTTTTAACCGCTGGGTCAATATTCTCACCAAACATGATCACGGCTGGTTTGAGAATCCCGGCATTGGAGCTATCCATCCAAGCACCGTCCCTCTCCACTTCTACTCGGGCCCGAGTCCCATCTCTCAACCTGGGAGGTTTTTCCAAACAGGTCGGGCAGGATGGGTAGCGAAAGGTTGAATATGGCGCTTCTGCAAGATCAACATCTCCGTCCGGGTTCAATTTCAATCCCTTCCGTCGTTGTTCTTCCTGATTGTCCGTATCAAGCGCACCCTGTTCAACCATGCGAGCGAGAAACTCAGCCCATGCCGGGTTCAACCTTTCCAGCGATGTTTGGAATTCTTGTCGTGGGAATTGGTTGTGACAGCTGGTACAAACGACGGATCGTAGATATCCATGTAGTTCCAAGGTAGATAACTCTGGATGGGCTAAGGAATGGAAGGAATCGACATTCTGCGTCACGACTGAACTGATAAACCCCTTTTTGCCTAGGTCTCTGATAGCTTCATGGGTTGAGTTGGGTCGTGCTTTCACGAGACCGGGCCATCCGATAAAGCTACGGGCCCAGTATCGTTTGCGCGACTCATGATGTGACACGAATTCATGGAAATAGATTGGTCGATAGGATTTATTCCGACGATAGGTTCCTTGATCGCCGCGGTAGTCGGAGAGTCCAGATGCGACCGAGATGCCGGCTCCGGTCAGTAGAACGGTCTGGGAATGAGCTCCGACATTGACGCCACGGAGGTTGAGGGATGGTGAGGCAGCAAAGAAGGCACAGACGGCGTCGATAGCACCTGAAACGGAACTGGCGGAGGGTGGGACTATAATTGCCGGAGGTAGAGGACCCGTGAAGGGGATACGAATGGCGGGCGTCGTCATTGGAGACGCATCATCTTATTGTGAGGGTCTTGGCAAGGGTAAAGAGGGTGGATTAGAGCGGAGATCCAGGGTTGTCCAGTAAATAATAAGCAATTGTAGGGTACTGTAGGGTTCACGAACTCTGGAACTAACAGAAAGCGCTGACGTTGACGTTTGCGTTCGGGTCTTGGCGGGAGTGTACTAATCGGCGTAAGCTGAGTGGGAGTGGTAGGAGTAGGAACAGGAGTAGTTACTTGTTGATTTGCATTTGCATATTTGAATTTGTTATTTGAGGTTACTCATTGGATTAATGCTGTGTCTATGGGCTATACACCGAGTTGTATAGGTCTAGAGTATACCCACCCACATCGGACGACATCGCATCTGGATCTCCGACTGCCGGATTACATGATCGGACATCCTCTTCTTGAATTGGGATTTTGGGATTTTGGGATTTCCCCTCTTCTTCTTTCCCCTTGAAGCATGGTTCAAAGTGAACACCCTGTCCCTTCAGCCTTTTCGCCCGTGCTCGCGTGCCTCGACCTCCAACCAGGGCCGTGATGCCGCTGACGCAGCCCCTGCGGTGCAGGCTTCGTCCCTCCATCCACATCCACTCTCCCCTCATCTCCGTCTCCAGTCCTCGTGGATCTGCTCGTCGCGTCCTCACCTCCGTTTCTTTAATAAAGTCCCAGTCCAATCCTCGCCAGTCCCATCCTTCCCTTTTCTCCTATGTCCGACCTCAACCTCATTCCCTTCATCCTATAACTCCACTCTCTATGACACAATCCAGGGGCCATGGTGGTCACAGCCACGGCCACGGTCACGGCCACCACCACCATCATGACAATGTCTACTTGACATCCACAAACAAACATGACGCCGGTGTGCGCATTACTCGCATTGGACTCGTCGCCAACCTCGCCATGGCCATTGGGAAATTCATTGGCGGCTACATGTTCCATTCCCAAGCTCTCATCGCCGACGCCTACCACGCGCTCACCGACCTCGTCTCTGACTTTTTGACCCTGGCTACGGTCGCATGGTCCATTAAACCGCCTAGCGAACAATTTCCCAATGGCTATGGAAAGATCGAGAGTATTGGTGCGTTGGGAGTTAGCGGTCTCCTCCTTTGCGGAGGTGTCTTTATGGGCTTGAATGCAGGACAGGTCCTGCTCGCTCAAATCTACCCAGACCTGGCTGAAACGGTGGCTCACTCGGGCATACTGGGTCATGGTCATGGTCACTCACACAGCCATGGCCTCGGCCCAAGTATTCACGCGGCTTGGTTGGCAGCTGGGTCGATTGTTATTAAGGAGTGGCTTTATCATGCTAGTAAGTAATTAGTATTCCTGCCATAGGACACGGCACCGCCCACCAGTGCTTCATTTGCAGATAATTAACCATAACCGTCTCTGAAACAGCCATGAAAGTTGCTAAAGAGCGCAAGTCCTCCGTCCTCGCCTCCAATGCGATCCACCACCGCATCGACTCCCTAACAAGCATTGTTGCGTTGTTTACAATTGGTGGAAGTTATGTCTTCCAAGACGCCACCTGGCTGGATCCGGTTGGCGGGGTTTTGATCTCTCTCATGGTGATCAAGGCCGGTTGGGGAAACACTGTGACTTCCCTCCTGGAGCTGGCAGATACCACCGTGGACGAGGATGTGAAAGAGAACGTCCACAAGGCGGCTCTCAAAGCCCTGGGAGAACTTGCCGTTGGAGAAGAGGTGCAGATCCGTGATGTGCAAGGTATGAAGTCTGGACAAAATTATTTGATGGATGTTGAGGTCGCCGTGCCGGGAGCTTGGGCCCTTGATCAATCACGGACTGTGGAGGAAGCTGTTCGCAAGACGATCGGGGAGAAAGTTCGCGGTGTTAAGCGTGTCAAGTTCCGCTTTATTCCGGTTGAAAATGATGAACTTACTTTTCAAGAGGAGTTTATTACTAAGGATATGGAGGCCAGTCCTGAGTCTCAAGAACAAGACCATGATCACCATGATGGCCATGATCATGGTCATGGCACGACCAACGGCAGTGCCTCGGGTTCCCATAGTCATGACGATGCATCCCGAAAAAGGCGGTAGATGTGAAGATGTGAAGGAGATGCACAGAAGAATAGGAGTATTTATTTTCGGGTTGCCATTGATCCGGCAGTTTGGTGCTGCTATGATACCCCCCATGGTCCATGGCCCACGGCGATTTGAGCAAGTGGTTTCTGTACTGTGTATAGAACGTTGCTTGAACATAGAGACATACAATAAGAAGGAATCCTTTTGTCTTTGTCTTGGAATGATCTTCACTCAGCTATTCAAGAGCAAAAGTACTAGTAGTTCGTAGTTCAAGTGACTCGGTGATGTCAGATCGTGACTTGTGAGTCAGGCTTCAACCCGAATCACGCACCAGCTTGCCTTATTGGGACGCACCCAACCTAATTGTGAAATTGGCAAAAATAGGGAATTTTCCTTCACTTTACTCTCTTCACCCCACCTTCATAAGTTGTCCCTTATTCTTATTTTTCCCCCAGTGCAAGTGTAAGTGGACACAGCGGAGCCCCCCCAGGCACGGAAAGCGATTACGATACGATGGTTATCTTCCACCGAAAACAATTTTGAACCCAACACACATCCCCCCCTTCCCTGCAACCTCCTCCCCTTCCACGCTCTGAGGGAGTCCGGCTGGTCGAAGATGGAAGAACAGGTACGTATTCTTCTCCTTTTCAACTCTTTGATCAGAAAAAGAAAAAAAACATCCCTCAACCCCTCCCCCGCTGCCCCTCTCTCCGACCCTCCGAAGGACACCCCTCGACCACTACAGCGCATTGACACTTCCACCATTAGGTAGCAAATGCCATTGAGATCGCCTGGAACCCCCTCTCCGACCAAGCCCTGAAGGCGCAAGCTTTCGACTATCTCAACCAACTCCGCTCCGATCCCTCCGGGTGGCAGGTCTGCCTCAGCCTCTTCATCAAAAATCCCCCACAGCCCGAGATCGTACGACATACGAGCTTAGAAGTTGTCAACAGCGCCGCTCAAGCTGGCATCATCGACTTGGCCTCACTGGTCGTCGTCAAGGATGGACTCCTATCATACTTGAGACAGGTGTACGGGCCTGAAGGCACCGCCGCCCCGGACGCACCCTACATCCAGAACAAAATTGCGCAGACCATCACTTTCCTCTTTTCAGCACTCTACGCCAATGGCTGGGAATCCTGCTTCGACGATCTTCTCAGCCTCACCTACAAGTCCTCTGCCAGCTCGGCTCGCGATAACCCGCTCGGAATTATTTTTTACCTCCGTGTGGTGAACTCGATCCACGAGGAGATTGGCGATGTGCTCGTCTCGCGCTCTCGAGGAGAACAGGATAAGGCGAATAGTTTGAAGGATCTGATTCGAGAGCGGGATATGCAGAAAATTGCCAGCTCCTGGCAAGAGATTCTGTCCGTGTGGCAGGATGGCGAAGACGTGATCGTTGAGATGTGCCTCAAGGCCGTCGGAAGCTGGGTGAGCTGGATCGACATCAGCCTTGTTGTGAATCAGACCATGTTAGATCTGCTGTTCCAGCTTCTCGGGCGAGCCAAGAAGCAGGAATTGCGCGATGGCGAACGCCGAGTGCGTGATGCCGCCGTTGACGTTTTCACAGAGATTATCGGCAAGAAAATGAAGCCGAGTGATAAAATTGAGATGATCGACTATTTGAAACTCAACCTCATCGTGACCGAGCTCTCCAACAGCCCACCACTGCACCAGAACAGATCCACCTCCGAGTACGATACCGACCTTGCGGAAACCGTGGCGAAGCTCGTCAACATTACTGTTTTGGACATTGTTCGAGTATTAGAGTCCGATGCCGGTCCCGTCAAGGAAAAGGCAGACAACCTTCTGCAGGAATTTGTGCCCCACATGCTTCGCTACTTCTCAGATGAATATGACGAAGTTTGCTCGACTGTCATTCCCTGCGTTAACGATATGCTCACCTACATCCGCAAGCTTAACAAGTCCAACCCATCTTACGAGGCTAGAAATGCCGAGCTCCTCCGTGGCTTTTTGACAGCCATCATTGCAAAGACCCGCTACGACGAGACCTCGGACTGGGGCAGCGAAGATGACCAAACAGACGAAGCGGAATTCCAAGAGCTGCGCAAGAGGTTGGGTGTGCTGCAGCATATTATCGCAACGGCGCACGAGGAGCTATATATCACCGTCATTGCGCAGTCTGTGGAAAACACATTTGCCAGCCTGCGTGCTACTCAAGGCCAGATCGATTGGCGTGATCTGGAACTTGCCCTCCACGAGATGTTCGCATTCGGTGATCTGGCCGTCAAGGGCGGTGGTATCTATCAGAAGAATGCGCCCACTGGGCCAGCTGCGCTCAAGCTAATCGACATGGTGCTTCGCATGGTTGAGTGTGATATCCAATTCTTTACACACCCTGCCACCCAGCTCCAGTACATGGAAATCTGCGTTCGCTACAGTTCTGTTCTCCAGCATCATCAGCATCTCATCCCTGTTGTCCTCGAAGCCTTCCTTAAACTCGTGCACCATCCCAACCGTAAGGTGAAGACGCGTTCTTGGTACCTTTTCCACCGACTTGTGAAGCAGCTACGGACTTTTATCGGCAACGTGGCACAGACAGTTGTCGAGGCTTTGCTCAAGCTGTTGGTCATCAAAGCGGAAATTCCCTCGGAGAACGACGAGGGCGATGAGATGTCATCCGAAGACCACGAAAGCTCCGCCGACGCGGTATTCAACAGCCAACTATACCTTTTCGAGGCAGTTGGTGTCATCTGCTCAACCCAAGGCGTCCCTGCAGACAAGCAGGTCCTCTATGCGCAGGCCGTGCTTCAGCCAATTTTCACCGACATGGAGCAAACCATTGCGATCGCCAAGAACAATGACGAGCGCGCACTTCTCCAGATCCATCACGACATCATGGCCCTGGGTACTCTCGCCCGTGGCTTCTCCGACTGGACCCCCGGTTCTCACACACCCACCCAAATGCCCGCCCCCGAGGTCTCAGAGGCTTTCTCCCAAGTAGCCGAAGCAACATTGGTCGCTCTGGAATCTCTCAAGGCCTCATTTAACGTCCGGACTGCCGCTCGCTTCGCATTTTCACGTTTCATTGGCGTCCAAGGCGCGCGCATTCTGCCCCAGTTGCCCCGGTGGATTGATGGTCTCATGACTGCGACCTCATCACGCGATGAAATGGCCCTGTTCCTGCGTCTGCTGGACCAGGTGATTTTCGGATTCAAGGGTGAAATCTATAGCATTCTGGATACTCTCCTCACTCCATTCTTGCAGCGCGTTTTCTCGGGAATTGCGGATCCCACAACGGGTACCGACGATGAGATCCAACTTGCAGAACTGAAGCGGGAGTATCTCAATTTCCTGCTCGCGGTTCTGAACAACGATCTAGGCGCTGTCATCATCAGCGAGAGAAACCAAACCCTCTTCGAAACCGTCATCACCACCCTCGAACATTTCGCCAAGGACATCGATGACTACACCACTGCCAAAATGGCATTCTCTGTGCTCTGCAAGATGGGTCTCTCATGGGGTGGACCCGATATCACCGCTGCCAACGGCAACGGCTCGTCGACTCAGACTGCTCTTCCCGGCTTTGGAAATTACATGATCTCCCGATTCTCGCCTTTGTGCTGGGCGCTTCCCGCGAATCCATCTTTCAATTCGAAAGATGCTCAGGCTAAGCAGGTCCTCGCTGAGGCGGGTAGTTTGCAGCGAACCATTTACTCCAAGACGGGCGGGGAATATACCGATTATCTGCGGAACAATGAGTTGCCTGGTATGGGTATGGGTGGTGATCTTATTGAAGAGTTCTTGACGGCTTTGAGCCAGTTAGACGTTAAGGGATTCAGGCAGTTCTTCCCGGTATGTACACGAGCATGAGCCCGAGCCCGAGCATTTTGCTCACAAGTTGCTTTTTCGACAATTTTTACTGTTCGAAGCGCTAACATTTACAACAGTCTTTCATCCAACGTCTCAGCGCATAGCCCGGTCTCATCGCATCTCATCTCGTCTCATCTTAGCCATTCCCATCTCATTTCTTCAGACCTTCCACCCCCAACCCAACACCCATCCCATTTCCTTTCTTCAACGACGACCTTTTCTCCTTCTGGTTTTTAGATTCCCCAATGTCATATTTTGTTTGATGAGAAGAAAAAAAATTAAACGAGGTGACGTCTACCCTCGTGTCGATCCGATCCGAACCGACCAGGCCTAGCCTGTGACATGATTGTTTTGTTTTTCCCCCGCGTGTCATGACTGCGCAAGTCGAATTTCATGACATTTATATTCATCTGAGCCTGACATGTTTCGGACTTTCCGAGTCCCCCTCCGTCCTACATCAAAAGAGCAACCTGAACCGCACTACTACATTACTTACTACCATTACCTTACTCCATCAAAAAATGAAAAGAAATTCGCACCAAAAATATGAAACTTTGATCGGTATACAAATACAAATTCAGACACAAACACAAATTCGGAGCGAATGCGGATGCGAAAACGAACTTCAGAACTGGTCTTCCTCAATCCAAAAGCGTGCCGAAATTATTCTCCTTTAGTACATAGCGATTCGATTTCAAATTTTAACATTCCCTCTAGCACTCCCCACCCACACACATTGCTGGTGCCATTTGCATCGCATCTCGTGGCCGTTCAAGCTTGACATTAACCCCCTTTTCACATATCGGAGATTTTTAGCGATTCACTTACTATCAAGAAAGAAAGAAAACTTGAACGTACTATGCACACATGTGTCTGTCTGTCTCTTTTCCATTTTTGGGGATGTGATGTGATGTCATGCTGGATCTTTTTGGGGTCATGAATGAGGATTAGATTGGATTGGGTAAGGTGAGGTTAGGTTAAGGTAGATTATGAATGAATTGAACCGATTTCTTGACAAATATCTATTTCTTTTTCTATGGGACTTTGCAATTACAATGCAATGCAGCTTGATAGAATACTAACCAGCTGGATACAGAACCTCAAGGTACCAGTACGATGCACTGATACTAATATTATGACCAATTATACCCACGTGGTTCATCAAGAGCACTGGACTATGTTAAAAAGCCTAGTATCTGTAGGATCCGAGTCCCTGTATCTCTAAAATAAAGTAAAAGTTATTCGCTAGGATAATTTCAAGTTGTCTCAGACTAACGTTTTCAGAGCTGGTTTAGAGATTCTGCCTATGCATAGCTAGCAGCCTCTGGCTACCTGCTGGTGGTGGCTATACTTTAAATTTCGCCGTCTGATTAACTCTAGCTCCCCGCCATGACAGAAGTCTTTTAAGCCCCGAAAGACAGAACTAATTACTCCACCGGCAGATCAAAGGGCCAGATATCTGACAGGTTTGTTTTATCTCTAATACGATCATCGTCGTCCGGATCTTTGTTTGTCAGTACAGCCAGCAACATTTCCTTGAGCATTGCCTTGTTTTCTGTTCTTGCCGCCTACCTGTTCGAAAAAAATGTGTTTAATTGCGGAAGGGAATTTATGCTCGTTCATCTCTACGAATATATCTACACCAAGACTGGCTTGCCCCCAGTAAGCAACATTAGTTATATTAAAGGAACAATATCAAAAGCGGAAGATATCATCAAAACATCATATTTATGTGTGCAGCTAGCAATTTTCAGCAGCTCGGTTCCCTTCTTTTGACGCATTCTCTTCCCTGGAGTCTCGTTTGGTAACCAATACTCGATTCAAATCGTAAGACTTGGTGAAAATGCTCATTGATAATATTAACCCGGAGAGACCACAACAAAAAGCCCACACGATTTTGAGACTGTCGGCATATGCTTGCTGAAGATCAATTCTCACTTGCCCATCCTCCATTCGCTGGATAGTCTGTACGACAGTAGCCGCATCACTACTGTACTCCTCTGCCAAAGTCTCTAAGGCGGGATATTTGAGGAGGTTGCTTTTCATCCGGTTTTGGAAGATCACACCACCTATCGCCACCGCGATTGACTGTCCAAAACCTCGAAAGAAAGTTGACATGGCCACCGAAATTGCAAGGTTCTCTGGTTTCGCTGAGGCCTGGATGGCCAGTGCGACTGCAGGAAGGATCATTCCCAGGCCAAGTCCGGGTACCAGGTTCAAGAATATCCACACAATCGTTTTAGTATTCGTATTGAGCAAACACAAAAGACCCATTCCAATGGTAGAAAGAAACCATCCAATACATATAATGTAGTAGTACTGGCCTGTATAGTTAATGAGAAGCCCAATAACAACTGCAGCTGGAGCGACTGTGAAGGTTTCGGGGAACAGAGCAACTCCAGTCATGATGGGACCCAACCCTTTCACGGCAGCGTAATAGAGCGGGAGGAAGTAAAGGCAACACCAGATCATCAACCCAAGAGCTATACATTCCGTGAATAAGATCAACGCAGTTCGGTTGCTGAAGATCGCTGGTGGAATGATTGGATGTATAGCAATACGGCACTCGAATGCTCCAAATGTGCATAAACCAATTGTACCAGTAATCAAAGGGGTCAATGTATGCCATGAATCCCATGGATATAATATACCTCCCCAGGATAATGGGATTAAAAAAGATGCTGTGCTGGCGGTGAATAGAAAAATCCCAATGAAGTCTATCTTTCTCCAATGGCTAGAGACGGATATCTTGCCGGTCCGAAAGCTCGACGACCATGCGACCAATATCAACCCAATCCCGATAAATGGTAAATTGATGTAAAATACCCAGCGCTGATGACAAATTGTTAGATCCAACTTGATAGAGAGAACTGAGATTACGAACCCATGAAGCCTTTTGCGTAAAACAACCCCCGACAACCGGTCCTATTACCGTTCCCAAGCTCCAAATTGCACCGAGCATTCCCAAATATTTTCCTCGATGTCGGAGAGGAACAATGTCCGCGATGACGATTGATGTCAATGTGATTATTCCACCTCCCCCAACACCTTGAAGTGATCGGCCAATGAACATGTGCAGAGTATCATTAGCAATACAAGCCACGACTGCTCCAATAAAAAACAAAGTTATCGCGAGGAGAACAAATGGTTTGCGGCCGAACAAATCAGAAAACGAAGAAAACACTGGTTGGAACACTATTTCAATTTCAGTTGTGCTCGAATCACTATTCCCTCCTTTCTTCAACCTACCTGCAGAGCAAACCAGGAAGGAAGTTCCAATCCAGAAAGCTTCAATTGTGGAGGCATTCAACTCTTCAGATATAACCTAGTTTGAGAGTGAGATATCGATTCACAATTTACTTCGTTGATAGGGCATACTGGTAAGGCCACGGAAATGGAAGTTCCATCTAAAGCAGCCATCAAGCTTAGGCATGCGAGAGCCAATAACATCAATGCATCCTGTTTTAACAGAGTATATGAGTCTGCGGCCTTGCCCCTGACATCTGTGCTTGCTGCGATGCCACCGATACTGTTATCCTCGTAGTTTGTTCCTGGAGAATTCATTTGAAATAAGTATAGTGGACCAGTAGTGAAGGTCTAAGAAAATCAAAACGCCTGAATTGCCTGAATCCAACTGATATTCAGGTTCTTTGGAGAGGTTTTGATTTTCTTAGTCTCGAGTGGGAAACACACTATCATTATTGTTTTTGGTGTTCTCGTTCGTGTCACCTCTCCTGGCCCCTTACTTAGAAATAGCGAGTTGCCATATGACGTAGTAGATGCACTTTCGGTTTGTTAGATTTTCGCATTAAGGTGAAGATAAACCAAGCTAGTGAAATTATATCCTGCATGCATAGACATCCCCATCTAACCTTCACTCACTCCCAACAATTCCTCCCAAATATTCCTTCGGGGTCCCATTTCACAACGCAAGCGAAAATTAGTCTTTCAATCGACACTTTGTGGCTACACATGACATGTTGTGATGAATATTGAAATGTTACCCTTTATACGTATTCAGACTAAATACTTGAAGGTGCAGAGATTTTTCTTGCGTGACTCGAGAACGTGCATAACATGGTTGTCTGAGACGAATGGTAAATTAATTGCTGCCAATGCGAAGACAAAAGCCGCACCTCACATCCCGTCCAACGATCTGGATCGACACTTGAGGCTTGATAAGATACTCTGCATATGACATAGCTCTCACCGATTGTTCTATGTCAGGGAATTCCTTTTCAACTCAATGCAGAAAGCAATATGAAGACTTCACCCACACGCGACCGGCACGAGAGTGTTCAACAAAAATGGAGTCATCAAATGAAAAGATGTCGGGAGTGAAAACAGGCCCTCCATTTGAAACAAGAGGCCTTGATCCTACTCACTATGGCCAACCTAGGCTTGGTGGTAGTGTTGGATGGGACATCTATTTTGGTGGCTTTGCCAGTATCAAATCCAACCCAAAACTATTCATCCATAGACAAAAATTATATTTATTCTAGACCATGTTACATGAGCTGGGTGACCCAGCAATCGAAACATTCTGGACGGGAACCGTTGAACGAAGGCAACTTCTGCTCCAATCAGGAAGAAGGCCATCGCCACAAGCACCAACTACAGAGGCATTCGACACTTCGGACTTAACCTGTTTTTTGATGATCCATTATTTATATTTTCTTCGTTTGCAGGTAGAAGATACCGGTAAGGAAACGGATGTCCATCCAGCGCAGCCATCAAACTCGGCCATGCGAGCGCCAGTAACATCAAAGCATCATGTTTTAAGAGAGCAGGTGGTCTTCGACCGCATCACTGACCGCTGTGACCTCAAGGAAGCCATCATTTTTGTCATTGTCGAGTTTTTCCCGTGGGTGAGTCAAGGGCTCCGTCTAAAAGGAGCGTGTAGTAGGCCCAGTGAAGGATTAGAAAGATCAAGATGCCTCAATGTTTAGAGAACAGGCGATTTTGAGAGCCCTTGAGGAATGCTGATCTGAATCACGATCAGGCACGAGGAGGAAACTAACTACCATCTTGTTCTTATTACTGTTGGATTCGCATCTCCTCCCCTTACGTTGAAATATCGAGTTGCCAAGACATTGCAGATCGCACTTGCGCACTTGCGGTTTCCAGTTTGCACATATGTCGTACTAAAGTGGAGATAACCCAAGCTAGTAAAATCTTATCCCACATGCATAGCGATTTATATCTGAGTTCCAATTAAAATACATGTTCGTAAAGCTGGGATGCGTATGGAATGACCCAGAAATCATGCTGTTGTGTCCCGCAAAATATAAGTCACGGCGGTCTTTTCGAGCAAAAGGAAATCTTTTCTCAAACTGATTTCAATCTCTCTATATCTGAAAATGGCTTTCCAAAATCTCTCTATCCATGCTCGATTGCCCCCTCAAGAGCTCTTTAGCTGGTTCTTTGATAATGCCCCAGATACGGTTCCACCAAGAGCGCGGACCGACTCAACATGGATCCAGCCATTCGCAATACCCACTTCAATCTTTCACGACCTTCTAGACGTCAAGGTTCCAGCCACAATCGCGGCTGTGTACCTGGTATCCGTCATTTTCCTCAATCGTTTGAATGAGAGTCGACAGAGCAGGCCTTGGAGCTTCGCGAAGTCTTCGACCTTTAAAGGCATTGTGCTATTCCATAATGTATTCCTTGCCTTGTTTTCCGCATGGACCTTCTACGGATTATGTTGTTCGTTGAGTATATGTTGGCCTTGGGCGACAGAGCAAAACCTTTTGGCTCAAATAGCCGACTCTCTTTGTCGGATCACTAGCCAAGACGGGCCTCACGGTAAAAGCGCCTGCTTTTCACATGTTTCCTCAATTTCTATTTTCAAGAACGCTCGCTGACAGAAAATCAAGCTTCTGTTTTGCCCGAACCAAGCCGCCTCTGGAATGAGGGATATGCCTACTTCAGCTGGCTATTCTATCTATCAAAATTTTACGAGGTGGCTGACACCTTGATTATCCTGGCGAAGGGGAAGAAAAGCTCAATTTTGCAAACATATCATCACACAGGCATCATGTTTTGCATGTGGGCTACAGTCCGATACATGTCACCTCCTGCTGTTGTCGGCATTTTTCTTAATTCTGCCATTCATACTCTGATGGTATGTGTCCTTTGCTTGTCGTTTTACCTTTGAATGTCGAGCGCTAATTCTTACGTTATAGTACTCATACTTTGCTTGGACTTCCCTTGGTCTCCCAATCTCTGACTATATTAAAGCAAGCTTGACGACATTGCAAATCACACAGTTTTTTGTTGGATGTATCATTAGCTGCAGCTATCTTTTCATTGAGTACGATACGTTAGTCTATCATCCTGGAGATTACAGCGGACAGATACCATCAACATTGACTGGGCACAAAGGCATCGCGAACCCTGTACCGACAATGCCTAGTATTCACCTTCAAAATATTCGACAACATTTTCAAATCCACAGAGCTCCATGTGTGAAGAACAACGGAGAGGCACTTGCAGCTTGGTTGACAACCCTCTATTGCCTTCCCTTGATATATCTTTTTGTACGATTTTTCTGCCGCTCATATCTGAAACGGGCCAAAAGTCATACCAAATAGCCTCTGAAGCACTGCACTACTCTTTTTTTTCCACCCATCAGCTTCCGGGCGTTGGTACTGCTATATCGCTTTGGAATATAATTCAAGGGATGTGTTAAAGTATTTGCTTTGAAACGATTTAGTTTTATTTTTTGCCTCCTCTCCGATGAATTGAAAACAAAATGGCGCAAACTAGGCTTTTGTACCCAGCAGAATAGTAACCCCAGTCGTTATTTAATGACCCCATATAAATTAATTACTGGCGCGAATGAAGATTGTCGGCAACATCTCCATGCTCTCGAGGACCGGCCCAGAGTAAAACTACTGACCCCTGAATATAACATAATGCATTGATACCTAATGATCTGTAAACGGTGAACATAATATGTTGGTTACATCTTATTGCACGGATGTGGATTATTTTGTGAATATCATGTCTGAAAGTCTGATACAAAGCACCTAGCTATGTATTGCCGAGCTATGTACTATACTAGTTGAAGTTGGGATGTTCCTCGGATGTGATATAAATACTGGACTCTGCTCTGCACCAACACTATCAATATATTCCCTTCTAAATTCAAAAACACATTGACTCACAGAATTTAGTCGCATCAATTCTGTTATTCCCGAAATATGGAAACTGATAAGAAGCTCCTATCTACCCTTCCTCTTTTGACAACTCCATTATTCCAGCCTCAATACTCACTGACGCGTGAAGAGAGTTTGAAGTATTCTTATGAACGAGCCGGGGCCATCAGTAAAAATTATAGTCTGTTGACCACCATTCGAAACTGTTCCCCCTTAAAGAATATCATTAACTCTATTTTATTATCCATGTATAGCAGAACTGACTGTGGACCATATTCATGCCCTGACACCAAAATTCTGGGATATGACTAGAGATGAAATTGTGACCCGAAACGCTGGAGCATACATACTGCTAGCTACGCAGTATAACCTGGCTGCTGGTACCATTGCCCAATTCTCGCATGAACGCAAAGATCTACAGGGATTACTAAAGAAAATTATGGGGTTCGAGGTTTCGTATGTGCATGCTGCCGTCATTGGAAACCTCGAAGAAAATCGGTTATAGCTGACGTGTTACAGAGCACTCTTCATGATGACAGAGCTGAATCATGGTGTTGATGTAAAATATCTCGAAACCACCGCTACTCTGCAACCGGATGGAAGTTTTATCTTGCATACTCCGAATATGGGTGCTGCAAAGTAAGATATTGGAAGCCGTTCCTCTTTTCTATCTCAAATTGAGATTGAAACTGCATCACTGACAAGGGAACAGATTTATGCCTCCTAGAAGGCAAGTAGCTGGAATTCCACGCATTTTAATGGTCATGGCCCGACTCATTGTGGAGGGAGAGGATCGAGGGTTTCGCCGTTTATTGTTGCACTTGGCAATGGGAAAGAGATGTGCAAAGGTGTGACATCGGTGTAAGTGGGAACGAACTTCATGTTCTTTGATCCTGAATGCCAGTTTCAAGCCAATAAAGGCGATATGTATATCCATATACATAGTCTCCTACCAGAACAAGGGAGTCGAACTCTCGATCACTGCCTCGCCTCCTTCAATCAAGTGCATCTGCTTTCCAACGCACTGCTCGGAGATATCACTAAACCAAAAGATTTCCAAGCACAGTTTCATAAATAAAAAGTGCGCTTGTGTCCATAAATGCTCTAGGGGTGGCTTCTATTGGGCTGAAGGTGGAGCACCGCATTTTCATTTGCATGAATACGTCGTCTCAACAAGTTGAGCCACAATCATGTTAAAAAAAAAACAGGTGTAAAGTATTTTCCTATAAATCAATGCGCGTATTCATCTCTTGGGCCATATTGAATCATGTAAATGTTTTATATCCCCTCCATTGACCAGAATCGTTCCAGTTTGGAGTACTTTGTTCGTATATTTCACCTAGCGGGAGGTGTATGGCCGTTCATGAGGCTCCCAGCACTGCCTTCGTGCATTTATTAATCGCATTGACCCACATTGCTGGGTGGTATTTCGTTTTGCGGAATTTCTCGCCTCGCGGCTCTATTTCTGTTATTTCTTCACGCGACTTTGAGGCTCCGACTCAACATGCGCGTCCCTCTGTCATTCCAAGTTGCAGTCCTGAGCCTGGTGGTCTCTACTGTATACTGAGTGAGTTATTCCGTCGATTACTGTACGTTTCCGCCGAGCAATCTTCTCTCGGCTTTGTCTACGGCAATATCCACATCAATTTCTTAGGAACCAAATGGACACGGAAATTTGGGTACTACAAGGAAATATGAGCCAATTAGTGCCACGAAGAACCCATATTCGCACAAGCCTTCAGTGGGATGATTGGTTGATACCTGGCCATGGTTCCCAGGAGCCTGTTGGTCGAAATTATTAATCCTATAATTGGATACTACGAATACAACGATATATGCCAAGGAATCATGAGCCATCTATTCTGTATTCTTGGTATGTATGCAGGGTTCACTTGCAGATTGCCTGAGCGAAGGCGCTTCGCCGATTTGATCGCGGGGGAAGCAGGGTGACAAGAGATTCATATGAGTGGAATCTTCTTCTGAGCTGGCTGAGCATATCCGTAGAAGATATATGTAAATCGGCATATATACGGTTTGGGTTCATTTTCTCCGTCAAAGGCCTTATAAGCGGATCTGAATCACCACTCGAGATACAGGAGTGTATATGTGCGTAACGAACAAAGTAGATCGATATTGCGAACGATATGCCGGATACAACATACATATATATATAAACTTATACTAGCCGTTAACCCTCGCTTCGCTCGGGTGGCTTTCACAGGATTTATATGTGTATCAGATTAGCTACCATAGGATTAATTTCCCTTCATTATTATTCTAGTACATACGACCATAGGGTGTGGAGAACAGGGCTTCCCGTCCGCTCAGCCGTACTTAAGCCACACGCCGGCAGGTTAGTAGTATGGTGGGTGACCACATGCGAATCCCTGCTGTTGTATGTTTTTGCCTTTATTTTTTTGGTTGAGGCTGTTATAACTCTGTCTGCTATTGCCGCTTTACTCTCCAGCCTCTCCAGGCCCCTTCACCTAATCACCCTGAAGGCCCTCTATTCTTCACCCGAATGCCCTGAATATCCCTGAAGCGCTGACGGAGCCCCTCGGCTAAACTTTCCTTCCCACCCCCTCCGTTCCTCGTGTTCCAGTCAACTTGACCTTTTTTAGTGGCCTGGACTGACCCTGATTGGAGCTGATCACAGAAAATAGATTCACCGTGGCCATTACAACTATCTGGTCTGGTCTTGGTTTTCTCTTTGCCAAGGACGCAGTGAGGTTTTTGACCAAAGAAGAAGTGTAAAAACGAATGGCTCGCTCCTATGGAAATATCCACAATTTGAGAGCGCTCACGTGGCTGAACGCATGGGTTCGTCACCATTAAACCTGAATCGAATCGGCGAAAATTTTATTTGCTCCGATGGACCATCACTGCGAAGGGCCTAGAGCTCTCTATCCAGGGAAAAGATCCACGCTCTTGGGCTGATTGAATGGTGGGTTCTAATTTTGTCCACTACGGGGATCCATATACATTGATTCGCTACTGTTTAATCAACTATTGGCTGGCTGCTGGTCGCTTCTTGTTTGGGGTTACATATGTCAATACGGAGTATCTATGTTTATGATCGCTCAGTCTTTACAGAAAGATAACGTGAGATCGGACCCGTTTTATTCAACTAGTAAACCAGTTCATAAGTTGACTCGTGGCCTTCACAACCGCGTTTGACGATCGCACCGGGAGAGAGCGATAACAAATCCCGGCTCGTTTGTGGATTCCGGCTGGGGTATTCTTCCGTACACATCTGGGATTTCTATTGAAACCATTGCCCAGGCGTAGCGGTATTCGCAGATTGTCGGTTTACCCGTCCCGATTAGAATCTATAGTGACTACGTAGAAGTCCTAACACTCCTAGCCCCATACCACCCTGATGACATACTATACTGCCGGTCACAAAACCTCCACCAAAACTCCATGAAATTGATTAACTACCAGATAGCTAGCTATGCACACAAAAAATAGTTCTAGTAGGGCATGTACCACCCTTCTGGTTCGATAATTGCTTGCATGCGATGTGGCAATAGTCTCAAAGGTGTTTCAGATGGTGCATATCGATATTTGCCGTGCAATTTGTGCTGTTTCTACTAAAATCCGCTTAGTCTCATCGTTATTCTTCATATGCGTAAGATCAGGTCGAATCTTATAAATATATGCCTCCAAAAGATCCCAGAAGTTCTCAATTGGGTTTGCATCAGGCGAATAAGGTGGCCAGATCATAACCTCGATCTTGATCTCTTCTAATGCATCGCGTACAAAGTATGCAGTATACGTGGGTGCATTATCGGGCATAAAAGTACCATCTCCAGTAGGCAGTAAGGTTAATAAGATTCGACGGTATAATTCTTCAATAACGAATCGATTAAACCACCATGCTCTGATGAAGGATCGCCGACTAGGGGTATTAAACCCGTACGTCAAGTAGCCGAGAATGCAGCCCAAAACATCTGCTTGACCTGCTTACCGCGATACGGTAAACACTAGCATTCCCTCTATTCTGGCTGATCTTAAGGGCGTATAAAAGTCTATTCGTGACGAATACTAGTACCACGCTTAACAGTATACTTATTAGACTAGTAAACACGAGCCTAATCAGCTAGTTTAAAGTGTCGAAATCGGCGAGCCTACCGGAGACACTTAGCTACATGTTTATCGTCGAGATAGAGTCTCCAGAAGCATCGCCATTTTCGTATATTCTTAGCGTTTAAGATTCGGCGAATCAAATCCTCTTTTCCTTACAGGAAACCCCAGAAAGTAGGTCCGTATAGGTCACGCGTGGTTATTCCGTAATAAAATATAAGATTCAGGCTTTATCGTTCTCAGTAAGCTTCTTCGGGCGCCAGAGTGAGGCTTTGAAACACCCATTCGGCGTCCAGGCTCCTTTCTGATAGCATATAGAATTTTTCAGAGAGATATTCAGGTGAAGCGCTTATGAATACGCTTATAACTCCAGTTAATCGTATGTAGCTCGCATATACGCTGTCTAAGCGCTGGAGTAAGCTCTTTTGAATAATGTATGATGATCGGTGATGGGATATATCGCTAAGATAGCTAAGTATAAGGTATATTGGATAATTATGTGCACAGGTTGCGAGAAATTCGAGATACTATCGCCTAGTATGCAATGTCTCGTGTTTCTGGCTTCGCGCTTTTGGTAGGCGGTAAATTACTAGAACTAGATCGGAATCTGCCCCAGATCTTGGGGAAATCCGGGGAGTAAGTGAGGCCACGGAATTGCAGTTGGGAGCGGCCTGATCAAGATCGTATATGCTAGGGAAAATTCCTCCTTTTTTTCTTCTCTTAGACTCGATATCCCCATTCAATGGTCAGTTTTTTGACGCTTTCGCCACACGTAATAGCGTATTCCCTTTTGTTCTTTGCCTCTTCCGTTTTTTCCCTTGTTCTCTCCTCGGGTAGATTAATCTCGTGAAATTGGAAAATTCCTCTTTGAGAAACTTGCCTCATCAAATATTCATTTAACGCTGGGGAGTACCTTAACATTTCAAGCAATGAAAACGTCTTCTAGCGATCTCTGGCCAGGTTTAGCTAAACCAAGTCCAATTTAAAAACTTAGACATCAACTAACTGGAGACTGTAAGTAGTGTCTTGATCGGTAGTTCTTGCCGTTGTGATTCTTAGGATTCTTTTTCCATCCATAGCTGTACCAGCTCTTTCATTCTGACAGAACATACTCTGACAACAAATACTGAACTGTAGCCCCACTATAATAGGCAAAAGAGAATGGAGAAAAGAGATAGAAGGATGGCTGATTAGAAGTAACACAAAAAGGCGAAAGAGCGTCTGTTTCTGCACGAGCTGAATACTCGGGTAAAGAATAATCAGATACCTGGAGTCCGCCCCGATTCTCCTAAAGAGGGCTCGACCAAGCGGCGAGTCGTCTACACCCGAAGCGTGGGCGCTAGGTGGCCACGAAAATACAAAGGCTGTATATCTGCTTCACCATTTTTTGGGATTCTTTGAGAATGGTACTGTTGCCACACGACTCTTCAGCCCCTCTACCGAGCACACTAATGATCGGGTAGACTTTTGCTTCTTTAGCCCAGAAAAGAGTCCAAGCATGTAGGCGAGAATATAAGCTTTGAGAGTTGTAGAGAGGGCGTGTTAAATCATTCGATTCCATATTATATAGGCAAAGAATACCACTTTTCCATTTTGCTCACGAGTGTATATGGGCGAAATAATGAAGTGAGGAGGGGTTCGTTTTACTCTATTCGCGACCAGCGCCCTCTTGTTACTAGGCTATGATGATTTGTGTATGATGGTTGTATTGTAGGGTTCTGTCGGTCAATGCCCAGCTATAAACAAATAGATCTAATCCTAGCGCATGAGTAGTGCTATCAAATTGACGGGGCAGTGCCCTAAATGCAGGTGATCCAACGGGTTAGATTTTCTCTAGTCATATAACCTCTTCTCTTCAACATCTCATAATATTAATATCGTAGTCTATGATTCTGGTTCTTGCTTTCCTTCTGTAGCTCGCGTAGATGGAATATAGCTAGAGGGGGGAAACATCTAAACACAAAGGTATATATCCTGGCCTCTGTTGTCTATCATTCCACTGGCTCGATGGGTGCCATAATTTAAGCGCCACAGTGGATATAGGGCGCCCAGTGCAAAGGCCTTTTCGCATACTCAACACTCATCGAAATTTCCGAAACCGCTTTATGCAATGCCATACAGACAGCTCTATCGGTGTAATCCAAAGTGCCACTTTTACAGAGTTCCGCATAGAATGACCTCGCAACTTCCACGCACACACCATCATCAGCTGGCCATAAGCAGCCAATCACATGCCTAAATCCGGCAATCTGGAAGCCACTCACGACATGAAGCACCTCGTCTACTAAGCCCTCTGCTCGGTTTTCTGCTGTGGAACAAGCAGAAAGGTACGCAATCCTCGCCTGTTGATAGTTATGCTTGCATAATGCACGAACAGTGAGGAGATCCTGCTTTGGCTTGACGGTCGCTGTGTTCAATAAAAGACCACTTTGAGAGGGATCTATCATGTCGGATATTCCATGGCAGGCAAAATGGGCAATGTCACAATGATGAATTTGACGTAAAACAGTTGCAGCATCCGGTTGATCTAGAGCATTGATTTGAGCCAAACCTTTTAGGGTTCTTTCTATCGCAGATGTCTCGTCCTTCACCCCATCTAATTCGCAAGCACCTGGAGTCTTCGCCATAGTCACCATAAGTAGCTTGGAGGGAACTTTGTTAGACAAATCGCTTGGGGGAATACGCCCCCTGGCGTACATAAGAGCCTTGATAGAAGGGGTATAGGAAGATAGAACGCGGGAAAATGTATTCTCAGATGGACCCGCATTGGTATCCCGTGCAGCATGAAATGGGAATGAGCTAGCAAGTCCAGTCCCAATCCACCAGACTCTTGGGAGATTTTCCGGAGACGGCTGAGCATTATGATCTAGCTCAATGAGAATAGGTTTTACACACCCGTTCCAAAGCCAGCCTAGGAACTTGAGGTAGGCTTTGTTCTTCTTGCCACGTTCATTTTGTAAAGCCGCATCAAAATTCTCATTGACCCAGCTTTGTGCCTGGCTCGCAATCATGCAGGGCAGAGAGACGAAGCTAAAGCCATCAGAAGAAATAACAATAGCATCGCTTCGTATGGTAGTGACATTCACAATGATGATGTTGCCTTCATGAGATATGATTTTCATTTGCTCCGCAGTAGGACCTCTGTGGAATGAGCTAAACTCTGGAAGTTGTCGGATGTCATGGATGCATTCTTCGAGCTCCCTGAAGATCTTTTCTCGTTTTTCAGATGATGACTCCATCCTGTTTGGAGGCTCGATGATATCGACAGGAGCATTGATTTCGAATCGGAGCCGCTCATACTGTGCACACAAAGCGGGATTTGCCGCCTTTAACTCAGATGTGTCACCCCTATCATCCATAAGAAGACCTAGGATAACTCCACGTCCTTGCTCCAAATGTTCCAAAGCCTTAGCAGGGGGCTTTCCTGTTTGAATTGATAGAGAGCAGGCATGGGTAGCCAAGCCGGAGAAAAGCGAGAGAATGTATTGTTGATCTTGGAGGTCCAGTGATCTATTATGTAAGAGAGAAAGTAAACCGATAGCCTCTTTAGATACTGTATAAGCGCTGTCGTAGTCTCCTCTCTTGTGAAGCACCTTCAAGGCATGAGAGGCAGCCCGAATTCGTGTTAAAGGAGGGGCTGACGTGATCTCGACTGCATGGCGAGAGACTTCAATCGACTTTTCTAGGTCTTCCATTTTGGATGTTTGTTCATATCTGCTTGAAAGGCTGATGCCTAAGTTGTATAACCGAGCAGCGAGACTGGGATGGTCGTTCGGCGTGATCTGAATTGCCCGGCTAGAGAGCTGGATCGACTCTTCTAAGTCTTCTATCTTGTGTGTGTATTGATATCGGATCGAAAGGCTAGACGCCAAGTTTTCTAACCAAATTGCAAGATTTTGATGGTCTTGTGTGATATGAACTGCTCGGCGGAAGAGGCAGATAGCCTCTTCTAGGTCCCCTATCATTCCTGTATGTTGATACCGCGTTCCAAGCTTGATTCCCAAATTATTCAGCTGAAGTGCAGACTCGGTATGGGTTTCAGGTGTGGGCTTGACAGCTATTGCGCTTCGAGAAAGGCGAATTGCCTCTTCCAGATCATCAATATTTCTTGTGCGTGAATATCGACTCTGAAAATTATTTCCCAGGTCATTCATGAAGATTGCGATCTTAGGATGATCATGGGGTGTGGTTTGAATTGCCCTTTGAGACACCTGGATCGCCTCTTCGAGGTCTTCTAGTCTCCCTGTATGCTGAAACCGGGCCCTAAGCCCACTTCCTAGGTTAATCAACCAAGAGCCAAGATTGGGGTGGTCCAAAGGTGTGATATCAATTGCCTGACGAGACATTTTTAGGGATTCCTCTAAATCCTGTATCCTTCCCCAGTGATCATATCGGGCGAGAAGTAAAGTTCCCAGGTCATTTAGGCGAGCTGCGAGATTGGTATTATCGTCTAGCAGTGTGGTTGCTACCGCCCTCCTAGATACCTGATTTGACTCTTCTATGTCTTGTCGTTTCCCCAATCGTTCAAATTTTCTCTTTAGCCCCTGTCCAAGTTCATTCAGAGTTCCTGGGAGATCCGGATGATCTTGAGGTATGATCTTAATAACTCGACGAGATAAGTCGATTGCCTCTTCTAGCTGGTCAGTCTTTGCCGTGTAATCATATTGACCTCGTAGCATACCCGCCAGGTTTTGTAACCGAGCAGGCAGATCAGGGTGATCATGAGGGGTAGTCTGAATTGACTGACGAGAGAGACTGATTGCCTCTTCTAGATCTTCTATCTTCCCTAGGCGTTCATGTCTCCGAGCAAGCTGTGTCCCTAGACCATCAAAATAAGTCGCAAGATCAGGGTGATGTTGAGGTATGGTCCGAGTTGACTGATAAGAGAGGTGTATCGCCTCTTCAAGATCCTCTATCTTTCCTTGGTTCTCATATCTTGCCATTAGGCTAGTTGCTAGAGTATAGAACCGAGAAGGAATATTGGGATGATCATGAGGCGTATTCTGAATTGACTGACGAGAGAGACTGATTGCCTCTTCTAGATCATCTTTCTTACCGACGCGTTTATATCTCTTTGTGAGCTGTGTCCCTAGATAACTTAACCGAGCCGCAAGATCAGGATGGTGTTGGGGCATGGTCCGAATTGACTGATAAGAGAAATCTATCGCCTCTTCAAGATCCTCTATCTTTGCTAGGCGTTCGTACCTCGTCGTGAGCCGTAATCCTAAATTGCTGAGCCGAGTAGCTAGATCGGGATGGCCTTGAGGCGTAATCTGAACTGCGCGACGAGAGATTTGAATCGCTTCTTCAAGTTCTTCTATTTTTCCGGTGTTCTGAAATTGGCTCTGAAGCCCGATGCCTAAATTGTTCAACAAGGCAGCGAGTTTAGGATGGTGGTCTGGCATAATTTCTACTGCCTGACGATATAGTTGAATTGCCTCTTCAAGATCCTCAATCTTTTCAACACAGTGTTGTCGGACATGGTGTTGTCTTATCAGCTTATTTCCTAAGTCGATCAACCAAGTAGCAATATCAGGATGGTCTTTAGGTGTAACGTGAACTGCCTGGCGAGAGAATTGAATCGCTTCTTTAAGATCATCTAGATTTCCTAGACGTTCATATTTCCTTGAGAGGTTGATTCCCAAATTATTCAACCGAGAAGAGAGGTCTGGGTGGTTCTTTGGCGTGATCTGAACAGACTGACGAGAGAGGTGGATTGCTTCTTCCAAATCTGCGATATTATTCAGTCGATCGAATTTTCTTAGAAGGTTGATTGCTAAATTGTTCAACCACGCCGCAAAATGAAGAGAGCTTCTAGGTGTCATCTCAATCACCTGACGAGAAGTTCGGATCGCATTTTCCAGGTCCTCTGTATCGTGTTTCAGTTCATACCGACTTCCAAGGCTGTTTCCCAAGAAGCTCAATAAAACCACGAAGTTCGGATGACCTTCAGGTGTGATCTGAACTGCCTGATAGGATATTCGGATAGCCTCTTCCAAATCCCCAGTCCTCCCTGTTTGTTCGTATCGTGTATGAAGCATAATACCAAAAATGTAAAGTCTATTTGCATAGCTTTGATGCTCTGGACTTGTTCCTTGGAGTGCCCATTTCCCCTTTTCAATTGCTTCTTCGAGATCTCGAATCCTAGCCATGTGCCCGAATCGTCTAAACATAAGGGTAGCATAATACCAACAAAGCTCCACCCGGCTGGTAGTACCTGCACTGGCGACTATTTCTGAGACTGCCTCGAAGTTGTCGAGCAACTGGGTCTCAAAATCGAGTGTCCTGTTGTCCATATTGTAACTTGTAGTCTTTTGTGATGTAACCGGTATTTTTAAGGAATGCCGCCCAACGAAGGTACTTGGTTCGTCCGCTCTGAAGTTCTAAAGCGTCGACCAAGTCTTCGAAGTTCAGGCGCATATCGACACGTGAGACTTCGGATTGGAAGTTGTTATGATCACATGATCACACCTCATGCAGATCCTCAGCTGGATCCTTCTCTTAGTTTCGATAGCTTACCCAATCTGGTACGTTGCACGCACAGGAGTAAGGGTATTTACAGTATTTTATGTAATATGCTAACAAGCCTTTACATAATCTTTCTCTTTTTAACTAACGTAGTTGGCTTGTGAATTACGTTACGCGCCCATTAATCAGAAAAAGGCGAAAAAATTGTCAGGTATGCGACAATTGAACCCCTCGCCAACTTTTGATCTAGTCTACTTATGGGATCGCCTAGTTTCAGAGCTCATGACCCCGCACCATAGCGTATATATCCCGTTGCCATTCCACGCTAGTCCGCTGTGCTCTATGATTCCCGTGAGGACTTCTACAGACGAGACTAAAATGCGTGTCAGCGTCCTTCTCCCAGAGGTATTTTTGCCTCAGTCTGCTATTAAGCTAGGACGTTTGGTCATCAATATCGATCAACCTCACCAAGAGTACCATGATCCACACCTGGATCGGGAACCCCAAATTATTGAGAAAGTTGAAACTCATTACCACACCACCGACTCGCTCGGGACTCACGGCAGTTTTGTTTCCCAGCTTACCACCTTCCTCTCCTCTTCCGTGACGAGAAATACGAAACTATCTACTTCTATCACCACTAAGCAAGTAAAAACCTATTATCTCGACAATAATGGACAGTGGTTTCGGGATGCCGTCAAGTGCGAAAACACACGGAGGTGGATCGAGCGTACTATTGATGAAGGAGAGGATATTTATGTCGTGATTGGGTACCACACTGCTCTTGACGCTCGTATTGTCGAACAATCGCGAGGACAAAATTTCTTGAAGGGAAATCTACAGGTTCCGATTACGAGTCTTTTTGCCGCATCAGGAGTCATTGTCCCATTTGGTGACCTCCCAGATCCTAAATTGGCAGGCTCTGGTGGGCATACGGAGGACCAACAACGGCATTATGTGGCCAAAGGCGAGCAAGTTGTGGCGGTGCAATACCGAAAGATACGCTTCAACTTTTTTTCTAGCAAAAGCGTGGATAAAGCAATCCTAGCAAAAGAGGCAAGATGGGAAAGATATGACAGGCCTCGCTACCTACAAAGTGATCCAGAAGACATGTTGGAGGTTGAACTTGATGATGATTTGCTACTTGGAGGTGACCGCACAAAGTTTATAGCAGAATCAGGGGATTTCATTTTGTCGAGCATGAGCACCGGTGTGAAATAGTATGAATACTCTTTTCGTACGTACTTGTCCGTCATCTTGACGTTAAAGGGCAGCAAAAGCGCCGACCTGCGAGGGTGGCCTTTAAAATTATGCTTGGCATACTTTTTGCTTTATTACAACGCTAGCTCTTGAGTATGTAAAAAGGAAAAAGAAGAAACTATCTATGACGATTCTGCCCCTGGCAGTTTGCCCAAAACCTGAAGAAGCACAGTTTGCTGCCTAGGTTAATTGTTCAAATGTAAAATTTCTGGCAGGTGGGGTCCACCCGGATTGCGCTGAAGAGGGCTGAACAGGACGGAGAGCCGCCTTTGACAAAAATCGTGGGCGCCCCTCCAGTGCAAGCCAGGCTTCCGCGGCCGTGGAGGATAGGAGGCGAAGGTACGGAAGACAACTTGAATAAGATGCTTCCGCCTCTTTGAGTGGAAAACTGGTGGAAGCTTTGTGGAACTGAAGGGAGAGAATGTATTTAAAGAGTACCGCCGGCCCAAGTGTAACTTGATTTTCTGCTTATTAGTATCATCCCTTTGAAGTATGATATACACTATAACTCTCACGCAACAATGTCTATTCCCATTCGAGCCCTTGGCCGCGACGGCCCCAAATTTGCTGTCCAGCAGAGCCTTGAAATGGGCTTTACTGTCCGCTCTGATCCCGAGTATGTCAAGCAGGCTTGTGAAAAGAGCCTTCAGAGACTTGGAGTTGATACTATTGACCTGTACTACTGCCATCGGGAGGACGGAGTGACGCCCATTGAGAAGACTCTTGAAGCCATGGTGGAGTTGAAGAAGTAGGGCAACGTCCACCAGCTATCTCACTGTATCGGCGCATCGCTAATTCGTGGAGTATATAGCCAAGGAAAGATCCGATACCTCGGCCTGTCTAAAGTTTCAGCAGCAACTCTCCGTCGAGCCCATGCGGTCCATCCTATTACCGCATATCAAGTGGAATATAGTGCGTTTGCACTAGATATCGAGTCGCCCACTGTTGAGCTCCTGGCGACTTGCCGCGAGTTGGGGCATCGCCATTGTGGCCTATAGCCCCGTCGGCTGTGGGATTTTGACCGGAGAGATTCAGTCTCCCGCTGATTTCCCCGAAAATGACTTCCGTCGTATGGCGCCCAAGTATTCAGAGGAGAACTTCCCTCGGATTTTGGAGCTGGTTCGGGGGTTGAGGAGTGTGGCTCAGACGCATGAAGGTACGCCTGCGCAGGTTGCAATTGCGTGGCTGCTGGCTCAGGGGCCCGATATCTTTCCTATCCCGGGAACCAGGTCAACCAAGAGGGTTGATGAGAACACTTCGTCTTCTCTGCTGCAGCTGACAGATAAAGAGGTGCGGGATATCCGGAACCTGGTGGGGCGAATGGAGGTCCCTGGCACTCGGTACCCTGCCATGTAAGTTGCCTTTTCTCCTTGTCGATACTCAATCCTCGTTGCTGATCGTGAGCATAGGCTGATGGGCAAAATTCTTGCCGATACGCCACCGCAGTAGACAGATAGCGATTGCTGGACACATGCAACATGTATTTACACATTTTCAGATAGTTTGATGGAAGCCAATGTCAGTTCTTCGCAGAACCAAGTCCGGTCTCTGATCATCCGTGGGGCCATAAAGTTTCAGGGGTGTATTCCCAGAGGGCCAAGGAATAGCGTTCCGCGACCGCTGCGTTGGCTTATGCCAGTATAATGTAGGAACGTTTATTCTTCTGAAAGGCATAGCTCTGTCGCGGATGACTGAATCAGCCGGATGGACAAAACAACGCGGATGGCGAAGTTCAAGGAATCAGGGTGCGTGAATATCGGGTGTATGTATTGCCCAAGATACTGCAGTGCGCAGTCGCATCTGAAAACCAGAGAGACGTGAAGGCAGACGGATCAGGCTGTGCACAGGCTGGAGAAGAATGCCGCACGGAAGTAGATGGGGTCTGCGGAAGAGGGGGCTTGGGATGAAGCTGGTAGAAATGGGATGAGGCTGTAGCAAATGACCTACCACATGTGGTCTTCTCTGTGCGGTGTTCCTACGACCTCCAGCGGGACCTCCGTCTCATAGGTGAAGCAGCAAGCGACATCACCCACTCAGGAACGAACTCGATGATTGAACCCATTCTAGGCAAGCCGGTGGAGCGTGATACCGATGAGCAGTTGGCTTTGAAATGAGATACTAGCTTTCGCTGCGATGGTTGAGTAGGTGGTGTGGGGCGGCTCGGTGGAGTCTGTGGGGTGTGAGGTTGTAAACAGGCTGAGAAGGGGTTCGTGTCAATGTACGACGAAAGGTCTTGGTATTATCACACTTATATTGTAACAGGCGCCACTATACTGTTGCAATCAACAATTTAATATGAGGGATGTATCATATAGTCTGGTTCAACTCCCCCAAGTGGCAGGCCAAGCTTCCGCTGCGGTGGGTTGTTGCGGAAGAGGTGCGGAAGACTATTTTAAGATGCTGCCGCCTCTGAGTGGAAGGCCAGCGGAAGCTTGGTGGAACTGAAGTGAGAGAATGTATTTAAACCCTAGTCAGCAGCCACCTATGCTTGCCTCCATTTTCACTGTTCATTACACTGTTTAACTATCATTTACAAGTTGCGAAGGAACTTTTCAGATCGAACTATCACAACACGCCACGCACTATGGGAGACCAACTTGACCATCATCCCACTCCTCTAGGGAACTGGCTAGAAGACCTCTTCAACAAGTTGTTTTACCAGCCAGATGATGGAATATGCAAAAAGGCGATGGAAGACGAAATGAGCTCTCAGTTGAAAGTTTGGTAATTTCTTCCACCTATGACCTATTGCTGTAGATCGTCAGTCAGTCTAATATCATATGCTATACAGTATCAATGGTCAATATGTGCCCAGGGAGGGCTTTGATCAGGTGATAATACAGGCACGGAGCACCTATAACATCAGTGTGCAAAGTAGCCGTGAGCTACTAGCATCACCTAATGCAACAGATAAAAGCATTGGTTCGGTCGCGCACATTCAGACTTTTACATTGGAGGATAAGAAAACAGGCACTCAACGCACGCAGACAAGCTTGACCATTTCTATCGTTGCGTTTAGTGATGAGAGGAAGCAGTTGATTGAACTGATGGAGATTGTACTGGACCATTGAGATTTCCTAGCATTATGAATGTTTTGAAGCTCAGTTGTCAGGTGGAGAGCCAAGTTCGTGCAACGTGAGACCAAATTTAGGGAGTGCCTCTTTTCCTAGCCAGTGGCGGCAATAATCTATTCCCTTAATGAATCCCATCATTATCATCCCGAGTTCTTCCATATCTGATGGTTGCGCCTGAGCGATATCGGGCTCCCATGTCCGAAACCACACTGGAAGCAATAAATGGTCCTGGAGAGCTGCCAGCCAAAAATATTCGGATGGTGCAGTCCAGAGTGCTCGCTGTGCGTAGAAACCAAGTTCCGCAAAATCATGGTGGGAAGCATCCCAACCGTTTTTAAGAAACGAGTAGAGCCCTTCAATGGAAAACCCGACGATGAGAGTTCGTCGTACACATTCATCAAATACCCATGTCTGCCATGCATCGTGTGCAGGAGCTGTTTGAATCGAATTTCTCAATGCATCGCTGACAGGCCTGGCATGGCACTTGAGCTTTCGAAGCCATCGATCCAGGACAGGCCCCGCGACTTCGGCCTGCGATCGTAGCGCAATATCCCCATCAAATAGTTGAACGACTTGGTAGAGGCACAATGCCTGTGCCGAAGCTAATTGCTCAATGGGTGACATATTGTCTGACTCGCAGTGCTCCGTTATTAGTCGTCGTGCCGCTTGGCTGATGCACCGATTGACTAAGTGTTCGTTGTGACTATTTCTCTGAGTATAAAGGGAGCACATTCCTAGAGCTTCTTGTATGACGAAGGGTAGGTGGTTTGTATATAACCGGGCGTGTATGAACGGGATATGTCCTCGACTTGCGTACATGCCTGGCCAGGACTTGAATTGCTTCACAGCCGAAATAATTCTCTCTTGATATATCTCACCTGCCAGGACACTTCGACTCGGTGCCGAATTATCTACCCCGACATGGTCCGGGGCCGCAAAGCTGTCGATATTTTCCATGATATCCGGCCAGTCTAGGTCATAGTCTGGGAAAAAAGGAAGTGCCGACCCAGTCAAAGTCAGACCCACGGGAGCATTATTATATACGTCCAAGGGTCCGACAGCCGTATTCACATCCGGCATTTCAGCAGCGTTGATCCAGGACACGCTTCGCGACGAGACTGTCGACGTAGAATCTTCATCGTCTGCAACATCAGGTACCGCTATAGGTCTCGTGTTTTGCGGGTTCTCATATGTACACTGCAAGGACCGAACACGGCAGCGATAGCATGGGAAATTCAGGTCACAGCGGCGTTTCGCTTTCACGCAGTCTCGGCACGACCTCCGATAAGGTGAAGGCATTATAAATATCGTGGGCGAAGTAGGAGAACCTTGGAACAAGGATGTCGTCTTCCGCCAGGAAGGAAAATAAGGGAAAGCGCCTAGCCAGGAAGTGCGCTGGATCGTGGAAGCTAGAAAATGTTAATTCATCCATCCATCCCTTTCACCCGGTAATAAGCGAGCTAGTCTTCTCATACAATACTTATTTCTACCACGCCCCTGAAAGTGCTTACAAGTTGTCACGGCTCCGTTAATTTGGGCAGAATGTAAGGGACGGCTACGTGATGGTACGAGTTTGCCAACTAACGTAATCTTCCGCGTCACTTCCACTGCGATCCACTTTGAGTCCCGCCATTCGACGGAACTCTAAAGCTAACGCAAGAATGGTTTGGACTCGGAGTTCCGGAAGGGCTCCAGCTAACTGTGCATCTGGGACCCATGGGAGCAAAAAATGAATCCCATCCCATCCCATGGGACCTGCCAAGACTTATTAAATTATTATTTTCTCATAAATTTAGAATTCATTAAAAGAGAATAAGTTAATTAATAATCTATAAGTATTTGAGTAGAATATATATCAGAGTAGTCGTCTACCTACGTAGGGACTCTCTACACAAATATATATTTTGAGAAAAGTTACATACTCCTAGTAACTTAATATTAAAATTACTTATTTAGGTTATATCAAAGATATACCCTAGCCTTATACTAGTATACTAGTTAGCGTATTTCCCCTGGGATTTGGGATCCTATGCACAGGTCTAGCTCCAGCACAGAACCCAAAACTCCGGAAAGGCGCTGACCCTATCTTAGTTACTCTTTCTCCATAAGCGAATTCTAGTGCATCTATACCCGTGATATCTGCTACAACTCTTGTAGATTCACATCTATAGCCAGTCGGAATTCTTCCAATCGTTTTCAAGTTCGCTGTGCTTAATTGATAAATCCTACTTCAAAAATGTTCAAATGTACCCACGCGATCCTTACGTACGGCGCTCCATAAGAGCAAGGTGGTCAGTAGTTGTATATAGGGGTACGGTATTTTACCTGACCATCTTGAAGGCCGCCTGTAGTCTAAAATACTAGTGTTCCATAAATTTGGACAAAACTACAGTAGTACCCCAAAAGTTTCTAACCCCTAATTGTCTACCATTATTGGCCATCTTCTAATAGCAGATTAGTATCTACCTAAGATAGTGTAGATTAGTCAATATGTTCCATCTGAGGTAGGTACTAGTTCTTTTAGGAAGATAGAGACTAGGGTGGTCAGAACACTAGTAATTTTAGACTCAGAAGCCCCTACAGGCGGTCTCTAAGACGGTCAGGTAAAATACCCTATATACGACTACTGATCGCCCTGCGCTTATGGAGCGCCGTACTTACGGAGTAGGTTGTAGAAATAAATAATTGATCAATGCCCATTATACCCCTTAACGATTTAATCTCGAACTTTCCTCCCGTCGGCTCAGATAACGGACTTCACTGTATTCGAATTCTGTTGCCCACTAGAGAAACAGAAAAGAACAAACGAATAAGAATCAGAATCCATTTTGTTTTATTATCGCAATGAAATGAGAAACTCAGCATGAAGTTGAAGGGGAAACCGGATCTAATCTGCTTTACGTCTCTAGAGGACCTCCGACAGGGTGAATTCGCGGAAAGTGCCAGCGGGAAGAATGAAAATCAAGGAAAATAGGGCAGAAGGCTTAAGAGCAAGAGGGAAATAACACACTATGCAAAGAGGTACTTCGCCGCATGCTCGACATGGTCATCAGCGAACGAAGCCATCGTGTAATAAGAGTGGTCGTAATCTGGCTGGTATCGCACGTTCAGACCCTTCTGTCCGGCCTCCTTGGCTGCAGCCTCGAAGTTCTCGGGCAGAAGTTGGCCTTGCTTGTAGAAGTTATCGCCGGTTCCCTGAATCATAGAAATCAGCATTGAGTACGCAAGCGGAGAAAAGAAAGATAGTGAGGAAAGGAAGGGAGTGGATGGTAGACGTACCACGTCAATGAGGATATCAAGAGGACCACCAGACCACTTCTTCAGGAGCTCGGTAGCATCGTGCTCCTTCCACTTATCCTGCTGGTCGTCGCCGAAGTAGCCCTTGAAGGCCTTCTGGCCCCAGGGGCAGTTGATGGGATTTGTGATGGGGGCAAAGGCGGAGACGGACTTGTATTTGCCTGGGTTGCGGAGAAACTAGATTGATAGATGGTGTCAGAAAATATCACCGGTAATTGAATAAGAAGGAAATGTCAAAGTCGGGCTGTAAGAGTTCTCGGAATTCGGCTTGACTTGACTTGACTCGACATACCAGGGTAAGAGCACCGTGACCACCCATGCTGTGGCCAGTGATGCTGACACGGCCAGCGTCGAGCTGAGGGAACTCAGCGAAGACAGTCTTGGGCAGTTCCTCGGTGACATAGCTGTACATATTGTAGCCGGCGTTGTAAGGGGCCTTTGTAGCGTCGACGTAGAATCCGGCGCCGGAGCCGAAGTCATAAGCGTCATTCTCGCCTTCGATGTTAAGACCGCCTGTGTGGAATAGTCAGATTTTCCACGAACTTCAAGTTGCTAGCAAGATATAATAGCCTAAAGTGAAGGTCTCCAGGTATGACGTACGAGGGCTAGTATCCGGATAAAGCACAGCGATACCCTTCTTGGCAGCGCCGTGCTGAAAGAAGCCCTTCTCAGAGCAATTATCGGCGGTGCAGGTCAGACCGGACAGGTAAATCAGTACGGGGACCTTCTGGGTCTGGGCTTGTGGGGGCAGGTAGAGGTTGAAGGACATTTCGCAGTTTGTAGTGGTGGCATTGTGGCTCAGCTTGAGAAGCTTGCCGCCGAATGAGGCGATGGTGGCCTTGGTGGTGACGGACATTGTGGGTGTGGGTGTGTGTGGATGGATAAAAACAAAAAAAGGAGAAAGAAGAGGAAGATGTGGAGAAGAGGAAAGGATAAATGCCAGAGCAAAGGATCAGATCGGAAGTTGACGTTTGGCGCGGGGTTTTTTTTTGTCCCGCATGAGGGGAAGCTCCACCACTCCACCCCTCATACCCTACATTACATAGGTTAGGGTATGGGTATGTCCTGATAAGCTACTTGGCCGCGGAGAGCACTGGTAAGGGTATTTACCTTGGCCGCTCCCAAAATTACGCGGGTTCTCTATACAAATCTGGATGCTGCGCCAAGCCACGCACTATAACTTCGCTACCTTGCCCTATTCCCCCTTTATAAATTATGTGATCCTAATGATTTATGGTGCTAAGCATATTATTCGGTGGTATGTGATGTTTATATCTTTAACGTTGGCCATTGATACGCTACTCTAGCGCTACATGCCGATTGCCCGATGGCGAGAGAGATGAAAAGAGAGACGAGATGAATTGGATGAATACGAAAGAAGGGGGAATCCTCTCACGCTATATCTGCCTATCTCATGATGACAAACGACGTGCAAACGACTAATCAAAGCAAATGAGAGCAATGAGAGCATGAAGTGTGAGTTGACTCAGCCGCAGACCTGAGGCATGCGAATTGAGGATCGAGGAAGCCGAGGTTTGCTCGAGATATGAACCATCTAGTAAAAGTTCAAGGGGAGTGGCGACCTCTTAAACGAAACAAGCCTGGTTTCTGAGATTTAATTCCTGAAGAAGAGTCCTCGGGTGCCGATCGACCCCCCGGCAAGCCTGGGCCTACCCGGGTTATACCTTGGGCGACTATCCCGCAAACGGTAGCCACTGCGCGCATGGTCCACCAGGTCCACCAGACACTGGCATCTCCGGTACACAGTATAAACTTCAATATAAATCGCCCTCGCACTAGTCTAAGCTGGAAGTGAGAGCGCGCAAACAAATGCGGGGCAACTAATGGCGTCAACTCGATAATTCCGAGTCCGAATGTGCTTACTTTATTCAACTCTCAATCTAGGTGATCCTAAACGCATCTCTGACTGAAGTTCCACCCACCACGTTGCCAGCCTTTGTGGATGTTAGGGATGTGGCGAGAGCTCACCTTCTGGCATTCGAGACAGACCAGCCTCAGAGATTCCTCATTTCCGGAGGCGACTTCGATAAGCAGAAGGTTTGTAATCTGCTTCGAGATCAGATACCCGAGCTGAAGAGTCGGGTGCCTGTCGGAAATCCAGGGAAGCCGAGCATTGGTCAGCACTACGAGGTCGATTATTCCCGAGCTAGGAGCGTCCTCGATATCGAGTTCGGCGCTTTAACGAGACCTTCTTGGATATGGCTCACGCCTTTTTGGAGATGGAGAAGGCCGAAAAATAGTCTTCTCTCTGAACAAGGTTATCTAGAAGGGAAGCAGAAGATATTAATTTTTCGCTACCTCTCTCTGTATTGTCAAAGGTCCCTTTTGTTTTAGATTAGATGTTTGGTTTTTACTTTTAATCAATACTTCTATTTTGCTCTTGACATCGTTCAGATGCTTAAACTTTTGCAGGATTGACTCTCTAGGAAGAGGGATTCGTGGGTCCTGACAATCTTGATTACCTCTACTTGTAACCTTTCAAATATATTATTTCAAGTCTATATAATTTTTATCACTTTACCATGACCGGTTCTCAAATACACATACTGTCTATAAGTTGTGGAAAAAAAGTAATATTAAGCTTGCATTTCTGGTAAGGATATTTGACACCTATTTTTCACATACTAAATACAAAATGTGAGTTTAAGATCTTGAAAGTTACTAGTGTCCACAAATATACCAAGAAGCAAAGGACATGCTAACAAAGCATTGATTTATCTAGTGGTGAAGCTGAAAAGGACAAACACTTGATTACTAGAGCCAAATATAGACTAACATGGGTCCATCCACACTGGATCTCTAATTAAAGTTTCCACACTCAGATACGCCCCTTTGAGAAGGAAGATACCCACTGTTTGGTCGTCATAAGCTGATCAGCAATCACGGGCCAAATCAAATCAATTGCTGCATTTTTCAACTCAATTGAAAAAGCCGCAGTTGCATCAGTACTGATTCAAAAGTTAGCAACCTCGTCACAAAACCTTCAGCTTTTAGTATCAGAAGTAGATTGAAACTCACATCAAAGTGACATGGAAGCCACTATTCAAACGGAAGGAATTATCAGTAAATTGTACAATCAAAAGGTCGGGTAATTGAAGGAGACTCACATTTCACGAGCAGCACGCGCAGTAGACTCCACACATGTGTTAGTGGCTAAACCCGCTAACACGACGTGAGTAATATCATGCTGCCGGAGTTGATACTCCAGGTCGGTGTTCGAAAACGAACTGGCATTATCTGAATTAGCATCGTTCTCTATGCAAGAGAGAGAATTGCTTGAATAAGATTGGTCTTCCAATACTACTAACCTGCTGTTCCAGTGTCGAGAGACAACTACATCGCCATTGCTAGGCTGAGGTTCCAGTTCTTTCAGAATCTGACCACCAAAATCTTCGGAAAAGGCCACATTCTGTTTAATTCTAACCTGCGACGCATTCATGTGGTTCCAGCCTGAGTAAGTTCCATCCTTGGTGATCTGATGGAGACCATAGAAGATAGGAATGCGAGCATCTCTTGCGCCGGCAACCAGCTCCTTTATATGTTCAAGAGAGTTGGACGATTCCAAACTATCCTTGATAAGAGGATACAACTTTCCATCGGGGTGGAGAAAGTCATTGAGCGGATCAATAAGGACGACAGCAGTACGTTGGCTCATAGTTGCAGACAATTGAGTAGAATGTGTGTTTGATGTTCAAGTTAAACCACTGTACCTGCTCTTCCCTTTTATATCCTATCCAAATGGTTGATTTATAAGAGCATCGGTGTTCGGTACTAGTATTTGATCATTGGGAGTTGTGAGAAATAACGTATTATTCAACAAAAAGGAAGACTCCCCAGATTACGTCTTACTTGCGTCGAGAAATTGCAGAAAAAAGTATGTATCGATCTCTGGGCGCTGTGACTTCCGTTTTGGGACTAGTGTGGCGAAAGGGCGGGACCATCGGGTGGCCGCGTACAACGAAGCTCGCAATCATTCTTTCTCTAGACATATATTTGGCAGTCACTGCGCGCCTCCTTGAAAAGATGTGGCCCACATTGGAGGCTCTCAGGCTGTCTGCTAGTCGCTAAGTCGCGCCATGCCGCTTTATCCAGGAGCCTCTCAAGGATGCGATGAATGCCGCCGACGCCGCAAGAAGGTATGGATATTGTTCCGTTCCTAGAGTGATAGGCTTGGACTCTGTATTAATGCTGGAAACAATAAGTGTGATCTTAAGAAGCCTGAGTGTCTTCGATGCTGCAAAGCTGGTATTAAATGCAGCGGCCCCAAAGATTCACGGACGTTTATCAATCGGAACGCTACAAATCTGACCCAGGAAAGTGATAAAAAAGCGCTAGTCTACGCATTACAAAATAGAAGAAAGCCGAAGTCAACCGTCGCCGACTTTGAGAGCTCTAGTACAAGTACTAGCTCGGACAAGTCTCCTTCTCGAAGAACTACACTAGCTATCACTAAGCCAAGTCCACCCTCTGATATAATTTCTATTGACTTTCCTGGGCGCTTGACGTTCTTGGCATTGATTAACGACTTCAAACCTGTTCCCTTGGGAGGTATATTCAGCGGCGATAGAATATCGCGGGACGATCCCAATTATTCCAGCGCAGCTTTGTGCATTCGAGCTTTACTGCAGTTCACATCTTTGCGGATTGACTCGCTCAATTTACCCATTTTCAGTCTCCTCGCGAATTACATGGGAAACCTGAGAAATGACAAAAAGCTAGCACAACTAGCACAATCATCATACACCTCCGCCTTGAAAAAGTCACGTCCGCACATCCAGAAGGTCATAGAGAATGGCCAACGCAGTGCTCAACCAAAGGCCAACCTTGAGTTGATCTTGCTACTAGCTATAGCATTTCTGGCATTTGAAGTGAGCATCATGTCCATACATGAGAAAGGAGAAGTTTCACTTCTTTATCTGACCCCTTTTTCCAGTTCGTGAACGAAAATGAATACTCAGAAGCAGCCCTTTTGGCCCACATCGGTGGAGTTTTAAGCATCTTAGAGCTCTATGGGCCGAGCAATATCTCTTCGCCGCATATGCGACAAGCTTTTAGCGGGTTTAGGGGGATATTTGTACGCTTTCGATATTTACTGCTCTTGCTTTGGCTAACAATTCTACAGCTTTCTGTTGGAATTAACAAACATACCCGAAGCTTCCTAGCAGATTCAGATTGGATACACCTTCCATTTCTGAATAGTCGGAAGACCAGAAAGGAGCTTCTTCACGATATTGCGTTGCCGATACCAGGGCTCTTTTACCAAACAGATCAATGGCTCGATGGGCATTCCGCTTCCAACAATTTCAACCACAAAGAGATCTTAGACTCTCCAAATCCAAATCTAGAAACCGCTCTCTCACTTTTAAATGATTACCAGGTTATCTTCGATCAACTAGAAGAGTGGGCAAGCAACTGGAAAGCCTCCGAACAAGGCCCTCTATATTGGCATTCTGATATCCCAATGCCCAGCAAGTTTATCGACGTCGACTCAGTTTGCATACCTTCATTCCCAAATGAAACATACCAAGTTCGCTTCCAAAATACCCAAAAGGCAGGTCTTGCTGTGACCTTCTGGTCTTTTCGTCTGGAACTTCTTATGGGAATGATCAAACTCCAGCGAAGCTTATTTGGCACACAGGTTGAATCGTTGGTAAAGAACCTGGCGATGGCGGAAGAAACGGCTTGCTTGATTCTGCAAACTGTACCATACCTTACATGTTGTTTTGAGGGTGCAGTGGCTTCAAAGGCACCGCTTCGAACTATAACGAGATATTTTGAGCTGACAGCTTTGGAGCAAGACTTGTATTCGCCGTCGGTTAGCATTTGAGCGTGAAACGGCTATCTCATTCCTAGTCTAATTGAAAATGAACTGTGTGTATCACGGGAAAAAAAAACCCTTTATTGTTTTGGCCATTGGTGTGGGGGTTCAGTTCTTGACAAGAACAGCCACCGCGGCCAAATGCAAAAAGAAGAAGAAGAATATGGCGCCGCCCGGATTCGAACCGGGGCCACCTCGGATTGGAAATGCTGCTATTCACTATAGAATAGCAATCGACCACAACGAGGCATCTTAACCAACTTGACTACAGCACCTGATTGGATAAGTAAGCGCTCGGCTATCAGTACTATACAGTAGAAACATACAGTAAAATAAATAAGCGATGCTAGACATCGTCCCTGTCAACAGATCATTTCTCTAGATTCTCTATAAAAACCACTCTCTACCATACCAAGAGTCAAACAAGCCGCATCAGAAATGGCCTTAGCTGTTCCCGAGATCGTAGAATATGCTCTCTTACACTCAGCACAATTCTCACAGAAGCACAGAGGACATATCAAACTTAAAACAATAATCTGGGAGTTTCCGTTAATACAAAATATTTGTTCTTTTCTCCTATTAAAGGAAGTGATATTGTAAAGATTGATAATCTGTTCCTTGCTGAAGTATTTTCTTTATTCTTCCCTCGAGAAAAGAAAGAATTATCCACACAAGGCTGAGGCATATCCGAGAGGAAGAAAGTTGGCGATGTATGCTTGTGTATCAACCACCTGCAAATGGCCTGACACTGTTCAGATCTCTCACTACTATAAAAGTTTCAGCCAGAGGACGAACTCGAAGTCACAAAGCTCGAGGCAGATTGTGCATGTTGAGGTTGAACAAACCAGTCTTTTTGATGATCAATTTTCCGCTTGAATTCCAATAGTATGTATCCGGGATTCGGGCAACCTCTAAGATTGGTTCTCGCTGGTTAGGTCTGCTAATAGCTCGGGGGCGAGAACTTGAGTGGCGTCGAGGATAGGAATATATCTTCATCACTAATATTGGCTGTAGAATGCACCCAAGTCAGGTGTCAGCTCCGACTCGGAGTCTTCAGTACTAGTACTATAGTAGTAGACTCCAGCTTCAACTTGAAGGCGAGCCCACTAGTGCGCACTAGTTACTATGGAAACCCCTATAAGTTGCCAGAATACAGGGGCATAGCATTTCAGAAATCTTCATATTTATCTGAGGGTCTAATAGGATCACCTGATCTGATTTCTGTCAGGAATGATTGATTACCCAGCCTCGGAGGTTCGGAGGTTCGGGGAAGATGGTCACCAGCCATTTGTCATCTGCATTTCAAATCAGTGTACTAGTAGTATCATTGCATTACATTAATGTTAACAATGATTAAAAAGCCTAATTACTTCTGCCCTGGTCTTAACCTGGTTGCATAATAGATAGAAGCTATCTTTTGTGGCCTCTAGTTAAGTCTGATCTTCAAAAGGTACGCACATTTATGCCTTTCACAACTTTTCTTCTACCCTGAGATGGCATGTCAATCCCCCAAACGGCCTACCTACTGACAAACAATAGGCTCTCCTTTCTCAGTTACGTGAGAGTACAAAATGGGTAAACTGCAGGGCAAAGTTGCTCTTGTTACAGGTGGTAGCAGCGGAATTGGTCGCGCAATCGCTGACCGATTTGCGGAGGAGGGAGCTCACATCTACATCGTCGGTCGTCGACAAACGGAATTGGATAAAGCTACCGCCGAACTCGGCTCGAAAGCTACATGCATTCAGGCCGATATCACCCAACTAGCCGAGCTAGAAATGGTCTATTCCCGAATCGCGAAGGACAGTCGAAAATTGGATATCGTGGTTGCCAATGCTGGCCGTGTTGAGAATTGTTCTATCGCAGAAGCTGATGCGGACCACTTCGATCGTATATTTGATTTAAATGTGCGGAGTACCTTTTTCACTGTCCAAAAAGCGATACCCTTACTGCCAGTCAACGGAAACGCGTCGGTAATTTTCGTTTCCTCCTCGCTGAATGTTCGAAGTGATGCCGGAGCGAGCGTTTATAACGCATCGAAGGCGGCCGTGCATTCTCTTGCCAAAACATTCGCCGTTGAGTTGATTCCCCGTGGAGTTCGTGTCAACACCCTCAGCCCGGGTCCGATTGATACCCCTATTGTGGAAACCGTTGCAAAGACCCCAGAGGATGCAGCCGCCTTTCGCAAGTGGGCTGCGACCGAAGTTCCGATGGGTCGAATGGGACAGCCGCGAGAAGTTGCCGCGGCTGCGGTTTTTCTAGCTTCAGACGAGAGTAGTTTCTCGACTGGAATAGAACTACGAGTTGATGGAGGTCATGCTGAGCTCCAACATCCGCAGAAAACCTCTCTATTCTAAGATATACCTAGGTATTATACCATATTTGGAATAGACCCAGAGTATTACTAGTAATATTTATTGTACTCTCAAGGATACAATACTCCAATTATCGTCAACGTATGGAGTAGAAATTTTTACTAGTACTTGGTAAGTAGGACTTTCTTTCCATAAGGATGCAAGCAAACTTACAACTCAAATATAAGAAGCTGGAGTGGGCCGAGAATCTAGAGTTTGAGAAACTTGAGTTAAGGACTCGGAGTGTGTGGTGACACTGGACTGCCAGTGGTATACTAATATCTTTAGATCAATGGCTACTAGGGTAGTAGATTGAGATAGCTGATCTCTAGACCAGTATCTTACCTGCCACTCATATATCAACGTAAAGATTAAGAAATATCATCATTGCTCATATAATGCGAATGCAGGCTGAACGGGGCCAAAGTAAACTTGAACAACTTGAAGATTGGAGAAACGAATCCAGAAGCTGCCCACAATGAAGAAGCAAGTATTTCCAACCAAAAACGCCGGCGGGGGAATAAAAACCAGATATGATACATACAAAGATGATAAAAGGGGTATTTAACGAAACCCACACCCCATTCATTTGCTCATCTCATCCCATTCATTCCAAAAACACCGGCACTCCATAAACAACCGGCGCAGCCCCATTCAAATACTTCAATACACAGGACCTTCTCGCCCCAGCGATAGCCGTATCCAAACCAACCTCTCCATCATCAGCACCAGCACCAGCACCAGACAAAGAGCCCTGCTTCCCCTTCCCCAATAATCCCCAAGTCTCAAACGCAGACGTCGAAAACCGATCAATATCTTTATCCGTAACATCCCACAACGTCGCCACAAGCGCAGGACTCCCCGCCTGCAAATAATTCATCGGTGTCCCGTACGGTTCGTATTCACCCGCCTCAGTCAAACTCCCACTACTGCACCCCATCAGAAAAGCAACAGCACACTTGGTAAGTCTTTTGACAGTACGACCACGAATATACTGCGCACCACTACCGTGTCCGAAATAAAGGAATAAATCCTTATTCTCGAGGGAGGTTCGGAATTCTTCTTCGGAGGGTTCGCGTTTCGTTATCCCGACCCATGATTTTTGTCCTGAGAGATCTTTTTCAAATGTTTCTTGTGTGGTGCGTAGGTCGCCGGTTGGATTTAGGATGTATGCGCCTGAGGACCGGTCTAGAATTGTACCGGATGCGGAGGGGCGGAATTGAAGAACGCGTTCGCGGAGACATTCTAAAGATGGGACGCGGGTGACGGGATATCCCTGCAAGCAGGGGATAGATTCCCAGGGGAATAAGTGAAGTGCTTTGTCGAGGACGAGGATAGTGTGGCTGGGTTGTTGGGAGGATAGTTCTTCTTTCGCTGCTTTGTGGTATCCTCGCAGAGCATCGAGGGTATCGAGGACCATCATGTCGAAATCAATTTCATCATAGGCATTACGTTCTCCTTGAAATTGGAGAATATCAACGACGAAGTATAACAAATCCATCAGCGTATCCTCCGGCTCCTCCTGTTCTTCGAGATCCCTAAGCCCGATAAACAGTTCCAGGACATTCTGGTGGAGCGTGAGTCGAGGCGATGCCGATCCTGATGCCGATGCTGCCTTGCCACCTTTCTGACGAGAGGGGAGATGCTTATCCAGCAAGGCTTGGAATGCACCTGCGAATCGAGACAACGCAGTACTATCCCGAGGCAGAGGCGAAAAGATACCCCGAAAACCTCCAAACCAAATATTCTCAACATTCTGCAGGAGACTTTCCATGCGCCGATCGAGAGTTTCTCTGTTCTTCCACCACTCTTTCTTCATTGACTTGTCTGTTTGCAGCTTCGCGGCGTGGGCACTCTCATTCGCCAATCTGATGAGTTCGGCCATTTCTTCCTTGCCGTCTTCAAAGGTGAATTGCTCCTCTTCGTCATCTTCCGATCCTCTGCGCAAGGGGAGTCGCAGAAGGAACGGGGAGCGGTTTTTCTGAAGTCGCGAAACGACAAACTCGGTTTGATCCGCGCTCAGAGATAGGGAGAGCACATTCCAGTTTTCGGGCAGGATGTCGATATATTGCTCGGCGAAGTTGGAGCAGATCGTTTCGTCCATCTCGTTCGTTGAGGTTATTGAAGTTGGCCAGAGGAGTGGGTCTGCGTAGTCAACGAGTTTCCGATCAAAGTCGATAGCCATGCGTTCCCGGGCAAATGCGCCAACCCGACCAATTTCTGCAAGTTCAATTATATCAGTTCAGTTCCCTAACCCGTTCGGCTTAAAGCATTCAAAATATCGAGGACCTGACTTACCATTCATATTCGCGGGTGACTGGGCCAAAGTCGCAGGCCCTCCAGGATTGGTAGCATGAGAAAGCATCGAGATCCGACTCATAAGTCGAGAAGCAGCATGACTTTCAAGCGTCGACCCAAGAACCGTAGCATCAGCAAAAACGCTCGTGAGGCAATCGCTAGCCTTAGAAAGCATCATCGAGAAGTCTTCGCCTGCCTTTTGAACCTTGCCACGAACTCCCCTAGCCGGGGCCCTCGTCTTTCTGGCAGTGGTGGACTTTGTTGCCGCTGGTGGAGTGATCTCTTCGACGATCTTGGTAGGTGTCTTCAGGGAGGGCAAGGAAATTGTAGACTCGGGTAAGACGCAGTAGACGGCGTGACTTGCGAATTTGCGGATGGCTTCGGCTAGGAGATGTTCACTCTCCCCAATTTCCAAAGAGACCTTGCTTTCGCGAGCTGTGGCGAACTGCCGGGCTTCGGCGAGAGTGCGTGCGGAGCGGTCGAAATCACGTAGGGCACGGAGGCAGTCTGCCTGTTGTCGAAGAACGTCACCCTTCAGCCGCAGAAGTGACTGCGACTGAGCTTGGGCTTCTGGTCGTGGGGTCTTTGGAGCCGAGGTTCTCTTAGCATTGGTGATAGTCGTATTCGATGCCGCCGAGCTTGTTGAACGTGTGCGTCGACCAGTTGTAGCCGTAGTAGTTGTGGTAGCTGCTCCCTGGGCTCGCCGAGTAGTGCGTACTTGCAACCTTTCCATTTTCTCCTCCAAAGCCGCCACGTTTGGTCCATCCGAAATACTGATTGTATCCGAGGAGATGACAGCAGTGATGACTTTATCAGCCTCCTGGAGTAACCGAAGAGCTTTATCATGGTGTCCCTGCGCCTTGTACAGCGATGCAAGAGCCATCTGCAGGGAAACCGTCTCAACACTGGCCGGCAACTGCTTCGAAGACTCCGACGCCGCGAGAAGAAGTTCTTGACCCTCAACAACATCGCCGCCGATGGTTCGGTAGCAACCAAGTTGAGTCTGTGCAGCAACGAGTCGAATATTGGCATCAAGGGTCTTGTCAATCTTCAAAGCCTGCTCTCCATAATAAATAGCATCTTGGAATAAACCGTGGTGGGCCGACAAAGTTGCAAGATTCAACAAGCAGGTATGATGCGAGCCCAGGTGAGGCCAAAATGGAGCACCTTGGATATAGCTGGGCGAGACATCTGGGGAAGATCCATTCTGGGATAGGTCGAGCTTTGCTACCCCCTCCGCAACGGCGTCCATATCAGAGCTTCCCGCTGCAGAGAGAGACTTGTCTTGCTTCTTCTGAGCCAGTCGCTCGACTTTCGCCCAGATCCGACAGTTAAGTCTGACGGAAAGTTTGGCAAAGTACAGGGCATGTGTCATTGAGCCTTGGGCAGTCGATAGTCGAGACTGAACAAAAGCAGCATCTGCAACCAGTCGCTCCCAAGAAATTTTAGCCAAGACGGTGAGACCACTAAGCTCGTCCGATTTCTGAGTCTTCTCGTACATCTTTCTGGCCATAGAAAGCGTCGTCGACGCCTTATCTACCTCTCCCGTCTCGAGGAGATGCTCAACTTTAGCCAATTTGAATGAAATACTGGCCAGGGAGGAAACATCATGCTGAGTGAGGTACTGCTCGCCGCGTGAGAGAAGTTTACCGGCCTTTTGACAATGACCAAGCTGACAGTGTTGAAGGACAAGACGTGAAAGAATGATAATGGCGTCTGAAAGGTCTCCGAATTTCTGAAGTTCTGCCGCTCGGAGAATCAATTCCAATGCATTGAGTTGGGCTTTCCAGAGTCCGTGAATTTCGGTATAATCAACCAGGGCCTTCAGTTGGAGAACCCAATACTCGGTGTCGTGAACACAGCCGAGCAGTGTCTCCCAGTCGGAGCATTGGCGGGCCATAGACGCCCACGAAGCCAGCGTGTCATCGAGCTCACCGGCATCCATCTTGCCATCGTGGAAGCCGATGATGACACGCAGTGAATTCGTGATGTGAGTAGCAAACGGAGTCAGATCTGTATCTTGACCAATAAGATTGACACGGTCCAGATCCTGAGCTCCTTCTTCCATTACCTTCTCGGCCATGTCTGAATCTAAGGCGCTGGGATGCTCAAGCAAGAATCTGAGGACAGAGAGAATGACCCGCCCATGGCGAATGGGGTTGCTATCGGGAGAATAGATGTCGAGGAGGTTTGATACAACAGATGTAAAGATGGAGCGGAAATCATCCTCGCTGGAGGAGTAATTATGCAGATCAAAAAGTATTCCCATCTGCCATTCAAGAAGAATGCCTCTCCCTTCCACATCCAGGTTCCCATCGTCATAAAATGACGAGGACTTCGACCCCTTGCCTCGAAGTTTGACCTTAAGTAGCCCAGTGAGAACACGATTGAGCATGAAGCTGGGACTTTGCGGGTCCAGCTTAGCCGAGCTCGAAAGGCTTGCAGGATGGTCTGCCCCCATTTGCTCCAGGGCACCAGTATCAATGTACTCGGCTATTGATTGGCGGAAAGCTTTCTCTGCATCGCCGTACATATTTCCATCCACATAAAGATGAGCAGTCCGCTCGAATTTGAGAGCGGCAAAGGCGGTGGTCCTGTGGGATGAAGAGCAACCCGAGAGAAATTGAGTCGAATGTCTGAGCAGCGGGATCAGTTCACGATAACCTTGCCCTGCTTCCTTCTCCTTGATGTAACGAGACCAGAAAAGGTTGGAGAGCTTCACAAGTCCGAGACTAATACTTTCCGTCAAAGTTTCATCTGATTCGCTGTCGGTGGTACTTTCAACACTAGTGAGCAGGCGATGCGAGTCTGTCAAGATGGGAAGCATATCCTCCCAAGGCGGTCGTTGAGACATGACTGACAACTTTCCAACAGCGATGGCCGAGTCAACGGCGGCAAGAATGATACTCTTGGACATGGAGATGCGATTCTTGAACATCTCTATCTCCTTATCATCAGCATCTTCCGCAAGAGGACGCCCAACATATCGCCTGAGAAATCGAAGGAACGCTTGTAGATATTCCCTAATTTGACAAGCGATTTCACTTTTTTCCGTGTCACTTCTCACTTTCTTCGTCATCGCATCGCCAAACCAAGCAAGGGCAAGTTTTTTCAATCTCGCAGCCTCAACAAGTAACTCGTCCAGATCCCCAGCACTGCCTCGGAGTTGTAATCCAAGGGCATCTGTAGCCTCAGAAGTAGATTTCAAAGCCCCATCCAGGTACGTGGTCGAACCTTTCAGCGCTTGAAAGTAGACCGAAGCAATCTTACATCGAACAGTAGCAAGAGAAAGACTTTGTGATGTCGTGAACGGCGTGATAGCTTGCGAAAGCAGCTTCAGAGACTCATCAAAGCACCCCGCATCCAAAGCAAGCTGGCCAAGAATAGTCATGATCTTAGCGCCCAGGTTCAAATCCTTCGCATCTTGGGGCTTCTTCTTCACGTCGGCCATTGTCAACTGTATCCGGGAGATCGCTTTGTAGATTGTAGAGAACTCGGTCTTTTCGACACCCTTGCTGCGCTGGGAGAAGTTTCCAAGATATCTAATCAGAGGATCAAACATCTCCCTCCCCTCATCGCACAAATGGCCCGATATCTTCCACCCCAAACATCGAATTTCGAGAGACAATAGCTGGAGCGTCAATGCTGTGAGCGGCTTGGTGGAGTCTTTGGACGTTGTCGAATCTTCATTTGAAGTAGAAGGCTTTGCAGAGCTCAAAGATAAGACAGTATTGGAGAGGAGTTGAAGTTGAAGAGCAGCCTTATCACTGGCCAAAGCACCGGTTTTCATAGCCGCAGTAATAATCTGAGCCGGACTGCTGGGATCAGATAATTGCAGCAGAGGACAAACTTTCTGTATTGTCGGAGCTCGCTTGTCGGAAGCAAGTAATCGCATCACATTCGAATGATAAGAGACCAACAGGCCGTACACTGGTTGCGCGTGGGCGAGATTCGAAAAACTGATCAGATCGGACATCCTCTCTTTACCAGTCTCTTCGTCCGAGATTGTATCCTTGCAGTCTGCAATTTTCTTGCCCGCCCTTTTAGCATTGAGATGTTGTTGAATCCTCCTCTTGAGTGATCGTAATTCCTTGCACGCCATATCGTTTAGTCCCAGAGAGATCAACTTCCCCGCTAACACGCAGACCCCTTGCTCGAGCTGCATGTTCGGCAACTCTTGGCTTGCTTGGTCATTTTTCAGAGTTCGGAGGGTCGATAGTGCAAGGCGCGCACACTCGGCGGCGGAGTAGATCCCCGAGTCAAGACTGGCAACACTGCTTCTCCCGGATTTTGTCGAGGCGGGATCGGAAATAGGCTGGCGTTTTGTCGTTGTGACTTTCGATGCATCCGTGAGAGTCTTCAATGTAACATTAAACACTTCCGTCGCGAGGACGAGCTTCTCCTGAAGCGTGAGGCCGGCAGCATCTTGATCGACAATTGACTGCAAGGTAGTGGTAGTGTCGGCAGATGTCTTTGTTTTGGTTGTTCGGGACGTTCTCGCTCGAGATACGGGGGCAGCAGGGTCTTTGGTCGATTTCGTATTCTTTCGCGCGGGCTTCTCGGGACCCATTGAGGATCCGCGGAGGAGGGTTTGGAGGGACAACACGGTTGAATCGGAGCATGTTGTTGTGGACCGGACGGCTTGTTTAACGGTCTCGGTTAGGGAGCTCATTGGTAAGACGGTGACCGCCATGTCGGTGTTGTGAGGTGTGTGTTAGGAATTGGCGTCATCAGTCGGAGGCGGAGATGAGATTTGAAGCTCGGAAGCTTTGCAGGTGATATCACCGGGCTGCACAACGCGCTGGTGCGGGCTCGGACTGGGGCTCGGGCAGCGTTCAGCGTGTGTGCCCCAAGCTTAACGTCCCGCGTTGTCGGAGCAACAAACACAAACTAACCAATTTGGGTAGGACCATCTTGGCGGTCTGAGGCGGCAAGAACGGGCAGAACGGGCAGTTGCTCACTTTTGCCCGCGGAGTTCCTGAAGCCAGCGACGATTGTCATCTTGAATCTAGGGTACTAAACTTCGACCCCCCAATTCTCACACCCAATGGCCACCCTACTTCGATTAAGGCCGTCTGGTCTTAGCAGACAATTACAGTCCTTCTCGAAACAGCCCACTCTCGCAGCCCGGTATCAAGGCTCCTCCTCATCACGACACTATGCTACCTCCGACCGACTCCCCAAGATTGCAGACACATCCGTATGGACAGCGATGATCCCGCGATTCATTCGCCATCGCAAACCCCGCGACCCGCAGAGTAAATCCAAGGAATGGAATCCAGCCACGTTCTATATCGTCATATTCACCCTCATCGGATCGCAAGCTATTCGCATGCTCACATTGAAGAATGACTATACGGCATACCGGCGGAGTACGGATGCGAAGATCGAGTTGTTGAAGGAGGTTATTGAGCGCGTTAAACGCGGGGAGAAGGTTGATGTGGAAAAATTGTTGGGTACGGGTGATGAGGCGCAAGAGAAGGAGTGGGAAGATGGTAAGTAAAGTATTTAACGATGAATGATGTCGGTTCTTTGTTTTACTGATACTTTCTTTTCTTCAGTACTGCGAGAGATTGAAGAGGAAGATTCTCTGTGGCATCGCAAAGACAAGAAGGAACCAGCTCAGCAAGTTGAGGAACCGACTCAACCGATACAAAAGTCTCAACCAAAGGAGTCAACGACACCAAGCACAGAGGAGACGAAGCACCAGTCCCCACGGAAAACAAGATTCTTCTAAAGTTTCCCCTTATTTCCCATGCCTATCTGGCCAAAAGTTGCCATGGGTTTCGAGGTTGAGCCTTTGCAGTAACAACACTGCATAGGCTTCTAGCCATCCGCCCCTGCCGACCTGTGGCACAAAGCAAAACCATGAAGACGGCAGGGCAAACAAATGTACTACTATATGATGTAAACCTTACTTACTACCTTGTTGTATATGAAACCATATCACCGCGACCTTTGTGTCGATATGACGCCAAATATGCAGAATTCATGTATATAATTCGACAAGCAATCTCACCACCAACACACTCGCATTCTAAAGCCTGAGGGTAATAAAGTTAATCCAGTCTTTGGACAAGAAGTTCGATTCTATCTGCTCTAGATCTAAGTACTATGCACAAACTTGTCATCACACAATAGCAACAACCCAGCATCATAATGATAATCCGAGTCGAAGAAATAAGTATAAGTACCACACCAACGCGGGTTTGGTTTTCGTTGTAGATGTAGAAAATCGAGCTTGAATGCAGGGAAACCTTGGAAACCCCTCTAAAGCCCCGACTCTCTTCCTTTTTCCAAGTCTATCTATTGTTGATACAATGCATACAACTTGCACACCATCCATCCAAGAATGAATCCAAAAAAAAAACATGAAGAAAACTGAATCATAGGGAGGGTGTTTTGGGGGGGGGGGGGTTCACCTAGCCCAAAATCACAAACAGCATCACCCCATTTTTGTCGAAAGGGAAACAAGCAACGGCAAGAGATGTTTCCGAAAAAGAAAAGCAGAGAAAAAAGAGAAAAGCAAAAGAGAGAGAAAATGAAAGAGAAAATGAAATGAAATGAAGATTCCAATGGGAAAATGCTAAACTGGGCCAAGATATCACGAAAAAGCGCAGGCAGCGGGGGAACGAACACACCCACACCCACCCACACAGACACACACGACACACACACAACAGTCGAAAATGAAACACATCGCTATGAAACTATGATCGAGCTCACTGCTTCGGTGCCTGAATGATCTTAGGCCAGTGTTCAAGACGAGGGACCTGCACTCGGCCGATATTCTGATCCAGGTCCAGGATGAGCTTCAGAGCGTTCCTTGATCGCAGATAAGGGAGAGGAGCCTTAGCGCCCTGCAGACCGACGCCGGGCTCGACCTGACCACTGGGAGTAGTCAGAGCCTCTTCAGAACCAGGCAAAGGCAGCGCCTTCTGCAGGACCTCGTAGGCGGCCAGGGTGAAACCGAATTGCGGTGATGAGCGCAGGATTCGGGCGGGGCCGCCCTTGAAGAAGGCCTGGAGACCCTCCTCCTTCCACACGGTCTTAGCGCAGTGACGGAGACTGGTGTACTTGGTTTCGCCCTTGCGAGCTTCGACTTGCAGACGGGTCTTGATCACGTCGCAAGGTGTGGTCAGGTAGGCGGCGGGCATACCGGCGATGGCACCGGCGGTAAGGAGCTGGACGACACCGAGTTTGTTGGTGGCGGTTTCGCCGAAGAAATCGCTCTTCAGGTGAGCATATGTGGGGAAGTAGATGGCCGAGAAGGGAACTAATTTTGATGTTAGGTATCTTTCATTTGTGAGGGAGATATGAGATGGGACTTCTTTCTTACCATCGCGCAGGAGACAAGCACTGGCGCCCTTGTACAGACCGACCAAGCCCAGATTCTTTACAATCCAGAGAGCTGAGCGGCGGGGAACACCCTCTACGTTCTTAGCAATCTCACCCTGGACCTGCAGGCGAATCTTGACAATCTCCAGAGGGTTGGTGAAGACCTATTGATGGGGAATGTGGGTTAGTATATGATATAAACTCGAGGGAATTCAACTTCCGGCTTGATGAACTTACCACTTGACAAGCACCAGCGGTACCACCGGATAGGACCTCAGCAGGCCACTTAATCCGCTTAGTGTCCTTGTCGGTGAAATAACCACGGGCCAGGTCGTTGACAGTCAGTTTGATGGCCTTCTCGGGAGCAACACCAATCAACTGAGGAATGACACCAGAGTACAGGCCAGTGAAACCCTCGTTACGGATAACCTTCTTCGCGCAATCGAGCGAGTTGTTATACAGCCTCTCACCGGGACGAGTGGACCGTTGGTTTTGCATACGGGTCTTGACTAGATCAATGGGGTACACCATGAAAGCACCGAAAGCACCAGCAATACTACCCAGAGCGAAGTGATGCGCCGACTCCAGAAGGCTGTGCAAGAAGGTGGTGGTCTTTGTCGCCGCTTCAGCGGCAGCCTGGCCAGCAAGAGCAACAGGAATGCGCCATGAGGCATCGATGACCTTTGCGAAATCCTTCTGCGACAAGCGACCGGATGGGGCATCGAGACCGGCGAAGTGGAAGAGGATATCGGCCTCCATTGGAGTGAAGAGGGAGAAACGCGTGACGCGAGCGGCCTCGTTCAGGAAATCTGAACGAGTGATCTTGCCATCGGTGCTCTTCTTGGTGGCTTCGCGGACGATCAGATCAATGATGTCCATCTCGCGCATGATATTCTGGAAGGCCCGGACATTGGCGTAGGATATCTTGTTGCTCGTGGAAATATTGCACAGCGAGGGCAGGTTCTCCAGGACATGGTCCGACAGCTTGTGCTTTGAGGTCTCCAGAATGATGCGCTGGAAGTCTTCCGGCTCGATGTACCCATCGCCATCCTTGTCGAAAATGTGGAAGGCCTGGCGAATGCGCTCGCCTTGCAGGCCACGCAGCATCTGGGAGAATTGGGGATAGGTCATGTCGTGGCGGGTCTTAGTACGTCCGGTGTACAGGGACGCCCATTCTGAGTTCCAATCGAAAGGAATACTATCGGGGCCCTTATTCAGGTTGTATAGCCCTTGGACGGCGTCAAAAGTGACGGTCCCATTTCCCTCCAGATCGAACAGACGGAAGGCGATCTCGTACTCGGCATCGGGCTTCGCAAGGAGGTTCTCGAAGGTAGCCCAGTCGGACAGGGTCAACTTGCCGGTTCTGCGACGATCGGCCACGCGGAACAGGATGCCATACTGCTCGCGCTTGATTTTGTGCTGTGGTGCGGAAGGGACAGGTCAGCAAGATCATCCTCGTACTTACACTTGAAGATCGGCGCGAAGCATTGCACCGCAGAGCACCGAGGACATGGAAAGGAAGGGACGAATCTATCTCAAGAGGTGAAAAAGAGACTCACATAGTCCTCATACTTGGGGGCCACGGCATTGATGAAGTCGTCCTCGTTCATAAAGGCCTCGCCATGCTCATCCTTCTGCGAATGACGCAGGAAGTTGGAGCGGGCTTGGTGCGACAGCTGTGGCGCCTCGGTGCTGCCGACCAGCGTCTCCTTGACAGTTTCCTTGATGCTTGCCATTGTAACACAGTACCAGTTGGATCAATCACGACTGGATAGGGGAAACCCGAGCTGTGAAAATGCAGCACACAACAATGGGGGGGAGCGGAAGGGGGGGAAGATGGATGTGAAGGGTGTGGAGACGGGGGCTTGAGTCAAGAGGAATGAACCCGACGATAATCCAGTGCTAGTAATCACGCAGTCGGACCGCGCTGGAGAAGCCGGTACCTTGAAAATTTCCATGTTTTGTACCAGGTACCTATGCTAATCATGAATTATGGATTATTTAGTTTGTACTCTATACTACCATTAATGCTAGTAATTCTATTCTAAGAACTACAGAGTACAGAGATTTCCAAGGTTGACATGTTATGATTTGGCCACTTGAGTACCTGAGTACCTGCGAGTATGAAATTTTCACCGCCGGGGGGGATTCACATCTGATGGCGTTATTTAACCGGTGAGCCTTCGGTCTTAGGGCCGACCCCAGCATCTCCGCATTTGATATATTATCCTCGATCTGCAAGGCTGGCTACTATTTGGTACATACACGCACACCGGAGTATACTTGTGTACACATGTGTACACAGTGCTCATATACTCCGTTGTATACAGTATATCAGGAACGCATGTGAAGGGATTTCGTCGCCACGATCCACAGATCCACGGTACCACCAGTACCAGTGGCCAATTCCCCCCTGTCACCGTGGTAAGCGATATCAGATCCAAAGAGCACAGAGAAGAGCCGTCCAGATGATCACCAGGACATCGGGAGGACAGGCTTCCGAAAGGGTGAAACCGGGTCACCAACTCCCACAGCCAAAAAGAAAAAGAAAAAAGGAAATCCGGGTGCGTGCGGAGGCAACAAGGCGGGTCTTGGAGAGGGAAAGGGAAAAGTTGGAGACAGCGCCCCTTGATATACCGATGATTATTGGTTGGGGTTTCCCCTCGCTCCCCCCCCGGTCACCAAACTCGGCTCAACTCCGCTCTCCGCAGCTTAGCCCTGCTGCGTTGGGGGGGAAATCGTCCCTTTTCTGGGGAAGTCGGATTCCCTCTCCAACTGGGGGTGACAGATCGCTTTATGACAGAGGGCATTCAGGGGATACCATCAAATGCTGTATACTCCGTACATGTTGTAGATTCACTGTGTCCATTCCAATCTTTTTACAATATATCTGTCTTCTCCTATGTAGCACCGACGCGTAAACCTGCCTATTATGGTGATTTTCCTGCTCGCATCTCTCTCGCCCCAGTCCGATCATCCCCGAGACGAGATGAGGTGGCTGGAGATAGATGAAATGATATGGAGAACATTGGACCTTGGAAGGACCGCGGCAAAACCTGACTGATTCATGTACTCCGTGCGGAGTACACCTACTACCTACTACTAGGACCATCCACACCTCTCTCCCTACGCACCACTGCCATCACCATCACCATCACCACCACCTGGAGGTTTCTCCAACCTCCACAATCTAAACAAAACCCTTTCCACCGGCAAAAGAACCAACATCCCCCAATTAAACCACCACGCGACCGCAACAACCACAACCCCAACACCAACATCCATCAAAAAATGATTAGCGGTCGCAACAACTGTAACCCCCATCGCAACCGGCCAAAGCAACCCCAACCCCCTCAAAACAAGATGCGGACTAAACCTCACCAGACAAAAAGCAATAAGCACCGAATTCCCAAAATGCAACGACGGCATCGCAGCAATCGTTAACTGGAATTTATTCTGCGTCCATGCGGAATCCGAATCCGAGCGACTATTATGCAGCACGTCGATGAAGCCATACTCCTCGGGGAGGAGGCGTGGCGGTGCGCAGCGCCAAAGTGAGAGAATTATAAATGCGATTGCGTTTGAGAGGGCGAGTGTGCGACGGATGTTTTGGTATGTGTTGCGCGCGAGGAAGGTGTAGCTGTAGACTAGGAATGCGACGCCGAGGATGATGTGGGAGTAGTAGATTTGGGCGAGGATGGGCATGAGCCATGGTGTTCTTTTTAGGACGAATTGTTGGACTGGGAGTTCGATGTTGATGCTAAGCGTTTCTTCTAGGGATAGGATGGAGAGGGCGTGGTGCTCGGCTTTGTCGAATATGGCTTTGTGGCCCGCGATTACTCGTGCGGAGATGGCTCGGGAGCCTTGGTAGATCTATTGATCGAAGGTGATCGTGATCAGTTGTGCTAATCCGTCCAGGGCAGGTGATGGTAGGTAAACTTGGTAGGTCCTATACCAGCCAGGTGATATACACATACCCAGTAGATAAGCAGCCAGTAGAAGATCTCGAGTATGAAGGGAAACCGAGCCAATATCCGCGAATGAACATTCGGTTTACATCTCTTGGATGCCAGTGGTATCGCATTATCCCTAACGACTTCCCCGGTCCTGGCTTCACCACCCTGATCTGCCCTCAACCCATCCTGTTCCAGATCTGCATCATCATTCACTAACAAGGGTGTACGAAGAGAATCGTACCAAGGGACGTCCTCCCTATTGACCCAGGTCCCGATGGTAAAAATGGCGGCAATTGCTAGGAAGAGTGAGAAGTTAGCAGATCGTATCGGACTGTCTATGTAGATGGGTCGTCCAGATTGGGTAAGTGATCAAACGACCAACCAAGTGGTTCAAGTATGCTTTTCAGTAAGCCCATGATGCGGTATGACTTGGAGCTGTGTTTCTTGACCGGGATATTTATGAAAATATTGTGTGTACACTGTACTAGAAGAATACCTTAAGAAGTACTCGTCGCTAGAACAGAACAAAGTGCGACTTGGTCACAGCCTGAAGAAGTGCCTTACCGGCTTCCCCGGGAAGTGGTGGCTCTAGCTAGTATCCCACTACGTACGCGTCGACCCTTGTCTACCTCACTTCTATGCGAAGGACTCTGATAAGAGAGATCATCTGCTCTTGGTCATTCTTTTTGATCATATACTTTAGGTGGAATACATCTTGATTGAACAGTATGCACGGTGACACTCGACCTGACAATGGGAAGGGGTATAGGGTAGTGCCGGGGTAGGATGAAATACAGGTTTACCCTAGACCTGTCGGTAATCAAATCTTCCTCTCTCTTGCTAATCTTCAAATCTGCCAGTCACATACCAGCATTGGCTGTACCTGTCTGGTTCTAAATTAGTTCGTCGGGGCATTGGACGGTTTATTCTACCGCCCTGAAAACAAGAAACCATTCTGTGAGCAGAAAGAACGGAGCAATGTATGGGATGATATAGGTCTTATAACAGAATACACATACCATAGAGCTACTTTCATGCATTGCAAAGTAGAAGTCACGGACCTCCACATATGTGCACAGAGCTTGAAGTGAGCTTAATGATCGACCTAAGACAAATCGGGGATTCGCTTAACTCTCTGCTTTTCTCGTCATTATCCGTGCTGATTGTGATTATACATCAAGGAAAAAATAGTGCGACTAAAGCTACGGAGTACTCTGTGACAACTTTTCGATCCTGCCGATCAGGCCCCAATGAAGCCCAATGCATAATCCCAGACAGAAGGTTTATCGCTCTGCCCACTCAGCTATCATCCATGGGGCCGGCAGAGTGATGGCGAGTGATAAGGCTGCAGATAAAGACCGGTCACTCAATTTCTACTTGTGTATTCCTTGAAGGAGGGGGGGGCTAGCCCCCTCCTTGGGGTGTCGAGGATGCCTCAGGATGCAGGGCTGCAGGGTATGCTCAGAAATCACGGCCGATCACATATTCCCGAGGGTCCAAGTAACCCACAACTGGCATTCGGTTTGATGGTTGGCTAGAGATCGACGCAAAAGCCCTACAAGGTTGGGACCAAAATGTGATGGGAGAGGTGATAGTGCGTTGTGGTGCATGGAGGAGGGCGCGTAGAGAGTGGGCGATGGTTGGGTGGCTTGGCCCCCGCCCCCCCCGCCCGAATGATGGGGCCTGTTTCTAAGTATATAGCCGCCCACATCCAACCCCATCCTCCAGTCTCTTCTTCTCTCCCTGCATATCGTTGTTTGAGGTTTTTCTAATTTTTCTCTTTCTATTTTCGTCTCGCGCTTCGCTTCGTTTTGGCTGGTCCAGACGATCTTCCTTCTAAGTCTATCTACTCTACGTCAATAATTATCATCTCACCCTCTTTCTACACTTTTCCCACTTCACACCTACGGTGACCTTTGTTGATCAAAGTTTCCCCGTGAAAACAAAAAAACAAAAACGACACCACTTTTTTTGAAATCTTTGCTCAATTCGACATATATTACCTCCAGTACCGTCAACATGTACGCTGCTCGCTCCGTCAAGCCAAAGCTCTCTTTGAGCATCGCCACCACGACAAGCGCCCCTCGCCCGGCACTGTCTCTCAAGTCTCCCGGTCTTCAAGTTCCTCGCACGCCAATCTCTCCAATCTCTGCCGCAAGCCCAACAGCCAAGAGATTCTCTTCATTGCAAGTACCCTCGTACAACTACTCCAACTCCTGCTCGTCGAAGAGCATTCTCAAGAAGCAACCGGTTGCACGACCAGGTGTTGCCGACAAGCGCATCAAGTTCCAGGTTACGCCGACTGTGCATTGCGTGACTCCAATTGAGAACCCGGATGAGTACTATGGCCGACACACGAAGATTACCCGCGAGGATCGCCGCTGGACAGTGCGCGAGTGAATGAGTTCTTCCTTTTTGGAAATCACTGACACCGGCTGTCTGGCCGGCTACGAAGTCAATATATCACACTGAGCGATCTATAAAAGTGAGAATCAGAGCGGCGCTGCAAACATATGGCACTACACCGACCGACTCGACAAGGAAAGTACACGGCTACCAGTCAAGAGAGCACAGGTGCAGCTCAAACTGCACCTTGTTGTTGCCAACCAACCGAAATGCCGAGTCCGGTGAGCTTGGTTGAATGTAGATAAGATAATCGAGTTCGCGAGAATAGGAGAGGATGGAATGTCGATGCATTTCGCGGAAGAGAAGAGATGATTATATTTTTATGACGTTGATGGGCCTCCGATTGATGACTGCGATACCTTTTTAGTTTAACCAAGTCACTCGTTATTATTGAATAGTATGGTGTTTACCCACCTTATACTTATGCACAATTCTGTTTGCCGTACATTTCGCCTGTGTCAGTACTTACTAGTAGGTCTTAGAACAATTCTACGACTAATGGACTTTCCTAGAGGAACCAATTGTTTCCCTAGACCATAAGGGTCTACGTGCCAAGACATTCACTTCTTAGAAAAAAAAGCCATACCATCGCTCTCCTTAGGTGACCGATTTCACAACAAATGCTATCACCCAGCACACCGTGATACACCTGTTCACTCTCATAAGTATACCCAGGCCACTATAGATAGGAGAAGCTAAATTGGGGCTGATCTTTTGGCTTTTTTGCAAATTTTCCAGGTCAACCGTTCGATTCCGCCTGCCGGCAAGCATCGTCCATTTCTTTTCCCCCCCTTTTCTTTTCCCTGTGACGAATGTACAGTAGACTTCGGCCAATCTTTTATTTAGGGCAGCGTTTAAGGGCTTCCTGGCCCGTGCGGTCTTGATCTTTTTTTCGCCGCGCGACGCCAACAACCGTTCACCCAACACTGGCACTTCAATGTTCTCACCAATAGCCCCAGCGATCGCTCTGCGCCGATCGGCCGCAGAACTAAGGCGAAACAGCCTTAGATGTCGCCGAGGACTCCTCACCCTCGCGATCGAGACGTCATGGTAAGTTCGGCGATTGTATCGATGAACCTCTTGCCCAATTTACCTTGGATGCAAGCTAACACGATTGTTTGCACGCAGTGACGATACCTCAGTAGCGATAGTCGAGAAATTAAATACCGACTCCTCTCCAAAAGCCAAGATCCATTTCCTAGAGAACATCACAGCCGATTCACGCGCCCATCGGGGTATTCACCCGATCCTCGCCCTCGAGTCACACCAAGAGAGTATGGCAAATCTGGTCAATAAAGCTCTGAAAAACCTCCCAATCACGAAAGAAGGACAGGCGTCGATACAATTAGCCGATGGGGCGGTTCGGCGCAGACCGGATTTCATCTCTGCTACTAGAGGACCTGGGATGCGCTCGAATCTCTCTGTTGGTCTTGATACAGGAAAGGCTCTGTCTGTTGCGTGGCAGATTCCTATGGTTGGAGTGCATCATATGCAAGCGCATCTTTTGACGCCGCGACTTGTCTCGTGCCTGAGACGATGCTGCAGCTGCAGCACCAGCAGTGGAAAATGAGAATGGCACCAGCAGCACCAGCAGCAACTCGCCCTCATTCCCATTCCTCTCAATCCTCGTTTCCGGCGGCCATTCGATCCTAGTACACTCGAAGTCACTAGTCGATCACAAAATCATGGCTTCAAGCGAAGACATCGCCATCGGCGAAGCACTAGACAAAAGCGCACGAGAAATCATCCCAGCCGAATTATTGTCCGAAGCGAAGAATACAATGTACGCCAAAACGCTAGAACAATTCGTATTTCCGAACGGCGCGGCCGATTTCGCCGATTACAAACCTCCCCTGAATCGCGGGGAGGAGGTGGCTAATATGAAGAAGCAGAGTGCATATGGGTGGAGTGTGACGGTGCCTTTTGCGAATACGCGCGCTTTGCAGTTGAGTTTTTCTTCTATTGCTAGTATGGTGAATAAGATTGTGAAAGCGCGGAGCGAGAGTCCGAGTCTTAATGGAGACCCTGGCCTTTCTCATCTTGAACGGGTTGAATTGGGTCGGGAGACGATGAGGGTGTGTTTTGAACATCTTGCTTCACGGACGATTATTGCCCTTGAGAAGCTGAGATTGAGCCATGTTGGCGATGAGGAGGTTAAGACTCTTGTTGTTAGTGGGGGTGTTGCGGCTAATCGGTTCTTGATGGCTGTTTTGCGATCGTTTTTGGATGTGCGTGGGTTTGAGAATGTGAGGATTGTTGCGCCGCCGCCGTATTTGTGTACGGATAATGCTGCTATGATTGGGTGGGCGGGTATTGAGATGTTTGAAGCTGGGTGGGAGACTGGTTTGGGTGTTCGGGCTTTGCGGAAGTGGACGCTTGATCCCGAGGCTGAGGATGGTGGTGTTCTTGGGCCTGGTGGATGGGTGAAGAGGGATGCTTGAGGTGGAAGGAAAGGTTCTTGTACATTAGGTGAAGTATACTGTATATTATAATGATACCCCATTCCTGCATTTTATGCAATTTCTTTCTCTGTGCGCATTGACTTGATTAAATGCAAAGAACTATTACAGCACACGAGTTGATAAGTGGGGAGACCCTCTAGCTATGTAGTATGAAACTGGCATCGGCGTCAATTTCGTAGCCAATCTACTCCAGCTACAAAAGCCGACCAAATAAAGGACCAAGCCTACAATCACTACGCCAATCCGGATCATACAATACAGCTCATACTCCAAGGAAAACGATTTGGACCAATTCTTAGCCCATGTGTATTTTGACGACACTACCATGCAGAAGCGAAGCAGAGAATAGCTAGACCCACAGAAATCAAGACGCCGATGCAAATGTAACCGGCCAAATAAATTGGTCAGAACTTTGGAAATGTCCTTCCCTCCCGCCCAGTTCCTCCTCCGCCAGTAGGGTATCGATGAATGCGCCGCTCTAACCCGTGCAAATGAACCAAGCCCATTCCGGTAACCGGTACAGAATGCAAAACAGGCAATCAAAGACAAATAATAAAAAGAAACAACGAAAGTAAACCAAATAGCGCTTTCAAAATCACCCCTCAGCCACCAACGGGAGGACCGCCTCGCTGTAGAGAAGCAACTTGTTTCCGAAGCTCGACGAAGAAGTCCTTTCCATTGGCCATTGTGTTCGCTGGTGCGGTGTTAGTGACGTGAACTTGGAGGGAACTCCATAGTTATGAATTATTTCCGAGGTATAACGTACCCTTCGCACCCCACGGTCCTCCAGATTTCTGGTTATTGGCATCCTTGCCGGTGGGCTTGTAAAAGGGAACTTTCGAGTCTGTGGCGATATGTTAGATTGGGAAGGGCAGGGTGTAGATTGCGCAGAGAAGAGTCCGTATTACCTCTGGGAGCTAATATACGAAGTATCGGTTAGCTTTGTGTCTCACTTGTGCAATTGCAATGGTAATGACCGTCGCAGTCGCATCGCATTCCATTCACGTGTCAACTCACCTTTCTTCAACAGGTTCTTCGCCTCTCCAGCGTTGAACCCCTTCACGGGGATATGCTGATCCTGCGAAGAAGTCGAGTTGTTATTCCAAGCAGGATTTCCACCGCGGCCAGCGCCCTGCCCTTGCCCTTGCCCTTGCCCTTGTCCTTGTCCTTGTCCTTGTCCCTGTCCTCCAGCTCGATCACGGTTGCCGGATTGACGCTGCGACGATTGGCGACTGGGTCCGCCGCGCCATCTGTAGCCAATTGTACTTTAGCAGAGCTCTGGGGAAGGGTGTTCGGCGGGGTAGTAGTTGCATACCTTTCATCACCCATGATTGCAGCGAGGTAGTAGATACCGGATCTGATTTTAGTGAAACACAGGGAACCCAGATGAGTATGCGGGGAAGCTGGTGCGAGTCCGACACAGTTCAGGTCGACACCTGAGGCTGCCAAGTACGGTTGGCGGAAGAGGCCAGAGAGGAATAGCTGGATTTTCTACGAGTAGGGTCTGGACTGATTTTGGTTGGAAGATGTAACATGATAGGATAGATTAAAGTGCAAATTCCTCAACAATATAACAACAATATAACAACTTGAAGTAGATTCCAAACTTGAAGTTGTTAGTAGCCTGAGTATAAAATAGAACAGCTTGAGCACTAGGCAAACCTTGGAAGTATATATTTCAGGTCTACGTACTGCCGGCCTGAAGTGCAGGATTTCCCAGTCACCACAACTACCAGTACTACTAGTAGTATAAAGCTACCTAGTAAGTATATACTTAGAATACTAATGTACTGTATACATGAAAATATTAAAGAGGACTCGAAGTTCAATAAAGAACTTGAAGTTCTCTTTGAGTCGCATACTAGTACTACTGCTATGTCAGCCACCACAGCCACAGCCAACTGAGAGCACGGACGTCTCCGCCTTCGGCCTTGAGATAACCAAACACCCAGCTGAACAGCTTTCATCCAGGCGCCTACTGGTTATTGCTTGTTTTCTTATTCATGCGCGTCTGGTTATTTCGGAGATCCTTGCATTGTTCGGATACCTGTCACCCACACCCCCCTCGCTCCCCCCTGAACGCGACTTGACGTGTCTGATTGGCATTCTCCAAGCCCTGTGACGATCAACATACGGATCGCATGAAGCTTGCCATGAACGATGGCCCCGATGTCTAGACACTCCATCTCAAGTAGACCATCGAGGGCTCAACCTAAGTCTGCTTTGAAAAGTTCACGCAGCGCAGCCGACTCCCCTGAAGGCCCTCCTTTTAAGAAGCGCAAGTACGTCCCCGGTGGACCTGGAGGAGGTGGACGATTCATCGACGTCGAAGCCTCGCAACGAGAAACGACACCTAAAAAGAAATCCAGCATCCCCCGCCGTCCCTCTACCACTACCACTACCACTACCGCCACCATCCCTCCCCCCCCAGCAACAGTGCGCGAAAACGCGAAGTCGACCTCCTACCTCCCATTCATGCCCCCCCCGCCACCTCCCCCTGTACCAGAAACACCTCCACCCGTGACGCGCCCGAGACGAGATAAGAGCCAGAACCGAGGTCGCTTCACATCATCCACAGCCGCCGCATTGGCTTTACAACAAGGAGACGGTTATAAGCCGCGGGAGGAGCGAGGGTGGGAGGAGTTCCATCCGGACTTGGATATCGATGGCAGACTAGCTGTTTTTACAGCCGAGGAGGTTGATACGGTTGAGACCGCGGCCAGTCTTCTTGCTGCGGAGTCTGTCAACGGTACCAATGGCCAGGATACTCCAGGAACCCCCGCTTCGCAGGCGAATGACTCGACATCTCCAGCTACTTTCAAACGTAGGCCGGGCCGTCCACCGCGTCGCCCCGAAGCCATCCTCAATGCTTTATTTTCCAACCAAGGACCCAAGATAATACCACCCCCAGGACCGAACCCTCGAGAGAGACTGACCCTACCGAAACCGTCGTTCCGACTCCGCGATCCATTTACATTCTACGAGCAGAAAGGAATCGGACAACAGAACTATGTCGACCGTACAATGGCCAATGTGGGATACCAGGAAAGTGATTTGTTTCTTCGCCACGACCGACGCTTCATTCGGATGACCGAAGGTGCGCAGGAAGATGACATGGACGTGATCCAACCTACAGTGACAGAAGGCGATGTCAACGCCACGACTGGCCGTGTCGAGTATGACATGGACGAGCAGGACGAGAAATGGCTTGAAGACATCAATTCGAAGCGTCGAGATGACCAGCTGGAGCCAATCAAGCCTGCCATATTCGAAATCACCATGACCAAGATTGAGAAAGAATGGCATTCGCTCGAAAAGCGCATTCCGAAGCCTAACCCAAAGCCTCCACAGACACATCGCCCTCGCTCTAGCTCTGCAGCTGCAGTGAATGGTGAAACTGCCGGACCCGGAGAGGACCAGGACAGCAAGTGCGCTATTTGCGATGATGGCGACTGCGAGAACTCTAACGCAATTGTGTTCTGCGATGGCTGCGATCTGGCGGTTCATCAAGAGTGCTACGGCGTTCCTTTCATTCCAGAGGGTCAGTGGTTGTGCCGCAAGTGTCAGTTACTAGGAAGAGGATCTACCGATTGTATCTTCTGCCCTAATACCGAGGGTGCCTTCAAACAAACCACTTCTTCTAAATGGGCGCATTTGCTTTGTTCAATCTGGATTCCCGAAGTCTCTATCGGAAATCCGTCTCTGATGGAGCCTGTGACTGATGTGGAAAAGGTACCAAAAAGCCGTTGGAAACTTAACTGTTACATTTGCAAGCAGAGAATGGGTGCTTCAATTCAGTGCAGCAACAAGAACTGTTTCGTTGCTTTCCACGTTTCATGTGCACGCCGGGCGCAGCTGTACTTGAAGATGAAGATTGGCCATGGACTTATGGACTCACACTTGCTGAAGGCATTCTGCGACAAGCATGTCCCTCCTGACTGGAGACTTGAGCATGGCACTGACATTGCCACCGCCGACGCCATTGAATACTACCGCACCACGATGCAGGGCAGACGGTGGGGAGACAGTCAGGCTGCGGCGCTGTCACTTGGATCGGCCTTCGCCCCGGACGAAGGCGAGCGAGCAAACACCCCTCGAATCACACTCACACTTGGAGGAAACAAGCGAAAACGACCACCTTCGAGAACAATTTGGAAACTTCCTTCCGGTGCCCCTGTAGTCCCTCAACTTGTTCTAAACTCTGTGGTGGCCACTCTTGCCCGGTTCACAGTTCGTGGGCGAAAGCAATACGCCGAGGAGGCGTGCAAATACTGGACCCTCAAACGTGAGGCGAGACGAGGTGCCGCGTTGTTGAAGAGACTTCAGCTACAGCTTGAAACCTTTTCTTCTATGGAGATGACTCGGCGGGACTACGTCGCTATGGGCGTCACTGGCCACAAACGCCTCACACGTCGCAAGGAATTTGGAGAGTGGCTCTACAAAGACCTTGATCGGTTGAGAATGTTGTGTGACGAGGTGAAGAAACGCGAAAGGGAGAAACTCAAGGACGCCGAGATGCTACGCAATATTGTCGACCTGGTTTATTTCCCTATTTTCCCATTACTCAGACCTATCCTGGAGAAAGCACAAGTGTAAGTTGCCATCTTCTATGACTAACCCCCCCCACCTTACCCCTTCTCCAGCTAATGCCCATTTACAGATTGGATAGCAAAGGAACATTCGCAGCTGGCCTGTTCTCAATACGTCAGCGACTCAATGAACGGTTCTATCCATCCGTCGCATCTTTCTCGGCGGACCTGGCCAGCCTTTTCACATCGGAGATTGGCGTGGGCCCGGCTGGTGATACTGCCGAACTGCAGGCCCAGATCAGTGGTCGGGCACCGGAACTCAGTATCGAGCAACGCGAGAAGAGAAAACTGGCCAAGCGAATCATCAAGGCGATCCAGCCGGCCCTGGAAGACGCCATTCGAAACGAGAGCGAACTAAATCGCAAACCATTCGAAAAAGAGCTTAAGGAGCTCGATGTGATCCTCGACCACAGCGTGTTGTCTGCCGAACCGGAAGGAGACACCGAATTCGATATTGGCCCGCATGACACGAAAACCGAAGCAATGGAGGGTATTGAGCACACCACTGTCGTCGAGGACACGGGCGAGGGCAAAGTACCCCGGGAAACCCAGGCCCAGGCCAAGACCACTGAGTTGAATGGGGCACCCAACGAGGAAGAAGCCGCGGCCCCCGAGGAGGCTGTTGCAGAATCAGAACTGGCCGAGGAGATTAAGCCAAATGCAGGCCCAATCTATCGTCGGCACCCAACGCCAGTGCTGACGGAGGCGGATCAGCGGCTACCTTTGGCTCAGGGTGGTATCCAATGGTACATGCAGCCCTTTGATCCTATCGGAACCACAATCCACGAGGAACGATGGACGGGTCGGGATGTCATGCGGGGCATGAGCGAGGAACTAAGTGAACTGGACGAGGATGAATTGAAAGATTTGGTAGAAGAAGAACTGGACCAGGATCCAACGAAAGCGCCTGCTGGTGCTAGTGCTGGTGCTGGTACAGGGAATTCTCAGCAGGTCCGACGCACTCGTCGGCGCAGGTGAATAGGGTTAATCTTATGAGCATCAGGCGTGGGTAGGAGTTATGGCTTAGCCTTTTTTTTCTAGCTATTTATGGCTATTTTTCTCTCTCTATCTGTTATCTTCCTTTTTTAATTGCATACTGGGCAAGGGAAGTTGACTCTTTTTCATTGAATGAATCATGCTGTACGTAGTACGTAGTGGTGGCCTTGGCGCCTTGCTTTGCTGTCTTACTGCATGGACTCCTAGCTGATTTTTTGAGAGAAAAGTTAATTAGGGGGAAAAGTGAAATAATAATAAAAGTAAAATAATAAGACAATAAAAATTGAAATAAAACTCGCCAGAGGTAGCAGTCGAGTTCTTTGTCTGCACTCGGAGTGGATGTAAAGGGTTGTTCCGTTAGCGTGATTCCCTCTTATCTTCGATTTCTCTTCCTTTCTTCCTTCTCCCATCCACATCCATCGAGTACCCATCATGGCTGACTTTGAAAACGACAACGGCCGTTACGCCGGTGAGTTTATCCATCCACTGCTATCTCTTTCATCTCTGATGGAACCTCCACAGACGAGCCCCGGGATGAGCCGCGCTACCGCAGCGCCTCTCCTCGCGATGAGCCCCGACCCGACCGCGAGCGCGCTCGCACCCGTAGCCGCTCCCCAGCACGCCCCGACGAGCGTGACCGTGAACGCGAGCGTGAGCGTGACCGGTATGTTACATTGAGAATTAGAATCCTGCTACTGTTATCCGAACTGACAAAATCATCTCCACAGCCCCATGCGCCACAAGCCTGCTCACCTCGTCGAGGAAGCCGAGGAGGAGGAGGGTGCCCTGAACTCCGGTTCCAACCTCTTTGTCACTGGCATCCACCCCCGTCTCACCGAGTCCGATATCTCGCGTCTCTTTGAGAAGTACGGTGATGTCGATAACTGCTCCATTATGCTTGACCCTCACACCAAGGAGTCCCGTGGCTTCGGTTTCGTCAACATGACTACTGGCGAGCAAGCCGATGCCGCCAAGGAGGGTCTTCAGGGTGAAGTCATCGAAGGTCGCACCCTGAGCATCGAGAAGGCTCGCCGTAGCCGCCCTCGTACTCCCACCCCGGCAAGTACTTTGGTCCTCCTAAGCGTGGTAAGTTTTCGTTTCGATCCTATTCCTTCTCTCCCTTTCTCTTTCCATCGTCGCATCTGGCTGACCCATTTTCTTTTTTTCTCACAGAGGATGGTCGTGGTCCCCCTCGCCGTGGTGGTGACCGCTATGATGACCGCCGCGCTCCTGGCGGAGGTGGTGGCAACTGGCGCCGCCGTGGTGACGACGACTACTATCGCCATGGTCGCTATGACTCTTACAACGACCGTCGCGACTACGGCCGCGACTACCGCGGAGGAGGCGGTGGTGGTGGTGACTACCGTGGAGGAGGTGGTGGTGGTGGTCGTGACTATGGTGACCGTGATTACCGCCGTGGCTCTCGCGACGACTATGCCTACCGTGGTGGCGGTGGCGGTGGTGGCCCTGACCGCTACGATCGTTACAGCCGTGACGACCGCCGTGGAGGTGATGATCGCCGTGGAGGTGGTGGCGGCGGTGGTGGTGGTGCCCCTGCTGCTGCCGAAGGTGGCGATGCTGGTGGCAGCCGTAGCTACTACGACCGTGACGCCAACCCTCCCTCCTACGACAATGCTCCCCCTCGTGAGCCCCGCGGAAGCGGCGGCGGCGGCGGCAGCGGTGGTGGTGACACCTATGCTGGCCGTTCCTACGAGGGCCGGGGTGATGAGCGCTATGGTAGCAGGTAATGTATTCCCTCTGCACAAAAATGACCAAGGAAGACTCGACATCCGAACTCCTCCTTGATGGTTGAACGTTTCTACACTACCCTTCCCCCCACCAATTCTCTTCCTACCATCCATTTCCTCTTCCCCCTTTTTTTCCCTTCTTCTTTTTCTGAAATTGTCTTAATGTGGGAAATTTGAGCGACGGGCCACGGGCGTCGTCAAGTCTTTTGTGTTTTTTCTCTGCTTTCGCGTCTACGTCTCAACAAGAAATATTCGGAGCGTCATCGGTCTTTCCCCCCAAGTGGGTGGCTGACTCGGCAATTGGCAACTGGCAACTCGGTTTCGGTATCGGTCATTCATGTCGTCAGTATCAGCTTTCGGTTCGCTCGATGATGTGTCCCATGGGATTCTCTTTTGTTCTGTTTGCGACGTCAATTCAACTATCGGGAAATTCTCTAGCGGCAAAGGGAAAGCAAACAAATTATCGCTGTAATATCGGTTGTCTCTTGGGTCAGCACTCTCGGTCACAAAACTGTTCGCCTTATGCACAACATCTCTACCACCATCTCAGTTCAGTAACCCGGCTCGTTTCGATGTATTCGACAAACTAAAGTGTCGCCCCCTTTTTCACCTATCATCTATCACCTATCATCTATCACCTATCACACCTTGTTCACTCACATCACACTCACCTGTTCTACCACAAATCCGCCCTGTCTTTCGCCAAGGCCGTCTCGTCTTCGCGCTTGTAGTATCGCCCTCTAAAACAAACAAAAGCAAAAACAAAATACAGGTGATTTTTATTTTCCTTTGAAATCCCTGATCATCTCCGGAGGAGCGGAGAGAAGCGGAGCGCAGCGCCCAGGAAGCTTGACGGTAAGGCAATCAGAATTTTAAGGTCTGACTTGCGCCTTTCCTTGTTGTATTGCATTCTTCCCCCTTTTCTGTTTTTGCTTTTTTTTTTGTTCCAGATTGTGTCGTCTTCTCCCTGGTGTGGTGGTTGGCCTGGCCCGGTCCTACCGCCATGCTATAGGTTAGGATCCTGCTTACCCTACTAGGAACGCGAGTTTCGATCAAGTGTAGGTTTGAACAGAACGATTCGGATACCTGTGCGGCTTTGAATTTCTATTTATCAATATCGACGTCGACAATTTGATATAGAGAGATTTTTAAATAGCCTAAATGTATGACTTGTCTTGAATTTGAGATTGGATTGGTGATTTTGTAGACTACTAGTAGATATAGTACTTTGATACATCTTCAATTCAAGGATCTGATTCCTTCCTCAAATGGTCTGCATCATACTTGGTTGATCTAAGTTGCTGTACAGCTTACAAGACTCAAACCGACGAGCTACCCTGTACAGTCCTTTTCAAACCACTCGAAGAGTAATTAATACCTTGATCTTTACTCCTCTGATGTAATATGGCTACTACTAGTGCTGATGCCGGTGCTGTTGGGATTCTTCTGTTGTGAGTAGAGCTTGAGGATTTAAATGCTCTGCGGTAGTAGACGATCCACATGCTATAGACTCACAAGATTAAAATTTGTAATAGGGATATAGCTTATCCAGAGTGACTTTTTTTATCTTAACTTGGAGGAAAGAGACTGATATGCTGAGCATCCATGTCAAAGTTATACCTAGGTATTTATGCAGCCTGTGTGAAGAATTTAACCTGTTCTTAATTACCCATCTTCGTGGCTTAGTTGGTGCAGAAACGAGCACAAAGAGCCGCATAACATAGGTATTGTTCGATGACCAAGACGAGGCTGACAAGCATGTTTTCTCTTGTTCGCGAGGGGTTCCTTTGATGTAATTGGCTGGATGGCCCACATCACAGGCACTTAGTACTCCGTATTCATGCAGAAGAAAGCTCAGTTCACGGGATATGTCCGGTCTAAAATAGGATTGGGCGCTTAACCTCGTGGCTAGGCCATGATTAACCGGAGCGTTTCTTCAGCTGAGACCGAACACCCCGCCCCACACAGAGGGGAAGTTATTCATGACCTTTTTTGTCTCATGAGAAAAGTGAACGTTGACTCTTAAGGGATTGGGGCTACACGGTTAACCTTGATAGCCTTGTTGGTCAATTGTATTTCAAGTTCTCGCATGTCATTTTTGGGCATGATCGGTCTCTTTGGCCATTTCTCACTATGAACGAGCTCAACCCAGACATTTATACGGTCGCGTGGATAGCGCCGCTCGAAATCGAGGCTCAGGCTGCCCTCCATATGTTGGACAATCATCACCGTGGACGATTCGCGTTGGGTAGGGGTGACGACTATATCTTCCGCGCTGGTGATCTTGGTGGACACAACACCATCATCGCTACTCTACCGGCGGGCCAAGAGTATGGAACCGGGTCTGCAGCTGCACTTGCCAGTCAAGTGAAGAAATTCTTTCCAAATCTCTGGTTTGGATTACTGGTTGGTGTTGCTGCTGGTCTTCCAAGCCTCTCCCGACACCCGCCTCGTGATATCCGACTTGGTGATGTCCTCGTAGGGCTTCCGGAGGGTAACAGCGCTGGCCTTATAGCCTATGACTTGGGCAAAGACCTGGGAGCTGGTGGTTTCCAACTGCTACGTGATGGACACGTCTTGGCAAATACCGAAACTGTTGTCCGATCCGCGATCCAGAATATCAAACTGATGGCGCCTCGGGATGTCGACACATTTCAACCATACTATGAGAGCATTCGGCAAAAGCAGCATGCCAATGGGGATTTCAACGATCCTGGCCAGGACGATGACCACCTATACCAGATGGACGATAAAGGAGTGAGTCATATCGTTCAACGAGAACGGCGACCTGATTCAGCGCGAACCCGAGTTTGGTATGGACCGATCGGATCCGGGGAGAAACTCATGAGGAATGCTCGGAGGCGAAATGAATTGAGAGACAAGTATGGTATCATCGGGTTGGAAATGGAAGCCGCTGGAACAATGAATCGTATATCTGTTGGTGTGATTCGAGGGGTTTGTGACTATGGGGATGAACATAAGAATAAAGGGTGGCAATCTTATGCAGCGGCAATGGCTGCCGCCTACGCCAAAGCAATTTTATATGAGATTAGACCCAAAGCCTCGGCCCCGGCTTACGTGAAGAGTGGTTAGTACGCAATGAATTGGGTTGAGACTGCCGAAAACCTCCAATCCATGTTGACTTGTTCAAACCCTAGAAACCGATGATCAAGGAATTCAGTCAAGATTACCCGTTCGCACAACCTTCCTTGGGAGAGAAAAGGAAATCTCTCAGATAAAACAATGTTTTGGCTCTGACCTGTGTAGAAAGTCTTTGGTACTCTGGGGGTCTGAGCGGGTCTGGGAAGACACAGCTCGCCATTCACTATGTCACTACTAACAAACAGACTTACCAGTCTGTGCTGTGGATTGACGGATCGACTTCTGCTTTGATTCATCAATCCTTCGAAAATCTTTCACATCATATTTCAGGTTACAATCGAGAGAGACCAGCTACTGAGCAAGTCATCGAGTGGTTGGAGAGGGAAACGAACCGGTCCTGGATGATGATTTTCGACGGTGTCCCAGGAGCTTACGACGTCGATGACCTCGAGAGCTTTGATATCCGGAAATACCTACCTGCCTGTGATCATGGTCATATCTTGCTGGTGACAACAGCGTCGGATCTACACCTTCGTTTAGCACTCCCCGAGATCCACTTGGAAGGCGTCGATGACACCACGGGCTCGTCTATCCTTCTCAGGTGCGCGGGAGTTCAAGCGCCCGATGATTCTGGGAAAACGACAGCGCGGTCGATTTCTCGCAAGTTGGGAGGTTTACCACTTGCCCTTGAACAAGCTGGCACTTTGTTATCCTACGGCATCATCCGGATGCATGACTTCAATAAGCAGTTTCAACAGCACTTTTCCAATAAGACCCCTCAAAACTCCCATGAAAAAATACGTAGGGTCGTACGAGAAAGGGCGTACTCTGTGGACGGTTTTCGAAATGTCATATGACGGTCTCATGGAGAGAAGTCCTGACGCGGTCAAGCTTCTTCACCTTGCCATATTTCTCAGTCCGGGATCCGTTCCATTTATTTTTGGGAACAATAGCGAACCGGGACTGTCCTCTGACTACGCTTTCAAGTTACCTGTCTGTGGAGTCGGTCTATCTGAGACGCAGTCATTCGGCCTTCTCTGCTGGTTGAACGAATTACGCCGGGATGTTGAAAGATTCGGAGTTGCTGTCAGTGAGCTTGAATTGTCTGGATTTGTCAAGCTTTGGCGCAGCCTAAGCAATACTTCCATTGAAAGCATAGCGGTGCATGCCCTGATTCGAGCATTTGTTTGCTCAAAGGCAGCAGAAAGGGACATCCACGAGAGCTTGGTGACTGCTTTTCTACTTGGCGGAAGAACACTTCACTATGGATCAAAAGGGTTCCAATTGTCAGAGCTGTGGAAGTATACTGGGGAACTCAGTCGACTCCTGGATGTGTTTCTTTCCTCAGTTTCCACATCATTCTTTCAAGACCCAGGTGGTAAATACTTCGCATTATGTGGAGCCGTAGCACCTGTGTACGCCTACACTAGCCGTTTTCTCGGCGACTTGGATCGATCCAGCAATCTTTGGGATGTTGCCATCAAGTACAGACTCATTACTGACACGATCTGGCCGGGTAGCGAGTTACACATGGATGAAATTTTTGAAGCGGCAAGCATTGATGTAAAAATTGGAGACTTCGGGAAAGGGATAGAGCGATATGAGCTATTTCTTGCTCATTGTGATCGTGTCTTCCCGGACAATCATGAAAGAGCCGTACAAGCTGCTGCCGCGCTCCGCGAAGCTCGAGAGATTTCTCGAAAACATGAGGAGAATTTTGGCCGGGCCGTCGTTGCACAGAGAGTCGAGAAGCGAAGACCTGGAACTCCGACATCAGGTGAGGCAACGTCACCTCTTCACAAAGCCACAGAGAGTGGAGATATAGAGGAAGTGAAGCTGCTGCTCGAAAGTGGAGCAGAAATTGCCGCCCCAGATGATGAGGGACAGACACCACTCCACATAGCCTCGCGTTATGGCCACGCCGATATTGTGTGTCTACTTCTCGAAAGAAATGTGGAGATAAACTCTACAGATAATCGTGATTGCACACCGTTGCACCTGGCCTCTGAGCATGGATGCTCAAAAGAAGCAAGTTTGTTACTCGAGCATGGCGCCGAAGTTGAGCACCAAAACATCCTAGGTGAAACGGCCTTGATATGCGCGGCCCAAAGTAGTCATGAGCTGACTGTGCGGTACTTGCTACAACATGGGGCCAATCTAGATACGCAAGACATCGGCGGCGGCACAGCACTTTCTCGAGCATCAGACCATAGCTCTGATACAATTGTCAAGGTATTACTGGAGCATGCCCCTAACTTGGAACTACAAGACTACACTGGAAGGACGGCTCTGGCCGAGGCAGTTCATGCAAAAAGAGAGAAAATGTCTTTCTTGTTGATAAGACATGGGGCTGATCCAAATATACAAGATCGAGAAGGTTGTTCTGCACTGCACTGGGCAGTCAGTTATGGCCTGAGTGAGACCATCCTCATGTTACTGGAAAATAATGCCGATCCAAATATTCAAAATGGCAAAGGCCAAACACCTTTGATGAAGGCAGCTTTGTTGAGACAGGATGTAGCGATCACTTCACTGCTAATAAAGCATGGCGCTGATCCAAACATACAAGATAAAGAAGGGTTATTCGCACTGTACTGGGCAGCTCAAAATGGCTTGCATGACACCATCCTTCTATTACTGAATAATGGTGCTGATCCAAATCTTCAAACTGATGGAGGCCGATCGCCCTTGATGGGGTCAACGCTTTCGGATAATGACGCAGTGAACAGTCTACTGCTCATAAAGTATGGTGCTGATCCAGATATACAAGGCTTAGGTGGCTATTTTGCACTGTACTTTGCAGTTTATCATGGCAGGAATAATCTCGTCCTCATGTTACTGGAAAATGGTGCTGATCCAAATCTTCAAATTGACAATGGCCTAACAGCCTTGATGAGGGCGGCTCTTTCAGGTAATGAGACAGCGTTCTCTTTATTGTTGAAATACAATGCTCGAACCGATATAGTGGATGGTCTAGGTGTCACAGTCGAAGCTTGGGCATGCGAAAACCAGAGTATATTGCATCTTTTGTCTGAAGCGAGAGCGTGTTCTCTGGACCTTGAAGACTCGGACCGCACCGAAAGTCTTGCTGAGAGTACTGAAACCTCCAGTCAAAATGACAGTGAACACTGTCGATCACAAGAGTATGAAAAGCAGAAAGGAGAGCCCAAAGATGTGGGCGGCGTGTTAAAAGGGTTGAGAGAGCAGCGCAGAGAGACTACAAGGACAGTGGGGGAAGCTTGGAGGCGTTTCACGAAGAGGCCATGGAAAGGGAAGGGCAGAATGGAGAGGAAGGATGCTTAAGATTTTTCTCAGGCTGATGGCGATGGCGATAGTACTCATCATTCTTGAGTTACTACTTGCGCGAAGAAGCTGCCAGTGGATGGCGCAATGGGATAAAATACTATAAAATACATACTTTACCAGTGACTCAGGAATTTACAACCAGTAGAAGGCGAGAACCTATGAAGAAAGATGCCAGAAACGGCCGTCTTTCTACTAGCAATTTGAAGTAAACATCTAGGTTTATATGCCTCAAATCACAGACCAGTAGTAACCTCAAGCGCAATATAGAATCCATAATAACTTGAATATCAATCATCCTTCTTGTTTTCTTCCGGAGGAGGGGTTTCAACGATGAATTCACGGCCATTCTCATCTTTCCCAAGCTCATGTGTGAGATGCCAACGTAGATCATTGCTAACGAAATACTCATCTGGTGCCCACTGCTGGCAATCGAGTTTGCGAATCGTTCCAAACGAAAGCCACACATACCTCTCCACATATCCCCCGAACGCATTTTTGTACTTAGTGAAGGTGCCTGGAATAATTTGTACATCCATCAGATCGGCACGGAGACGTGGATAGATCCCGGTACCCGTTGGTTCCATATCAATGGCGGGATCAGGATCAATAAACCCAATTTCCGACGAATATTCGTAAGGGCCGACTCCTGGCTCTACTGAACGCTTTTTAAGTCCTCCAGGTAGAAAGTATTACCGACTTGCTTTGCAGCCTCCATTAGACCAGCACTAGGTGTGATACTAGCACTGAGGCATTCGTATAGATATTGGTAATCTAGATAGATGTGATTGCAATCTGCTCATGCATGGATGGGCACCGTTTAGCAAAAGTGGATAATGCCAGCGCCTCTGGTTTGAGAGGCCACCAAATAAGCCAAGGGAGATGTGGGTTATCATCAGTGAAAGTCGCGATATCATTGATCATGACCCTAGTACTAGGCATGTCAAGGTAACCTTTTTAGTCTGATAATTCGGCATCCAAAATTACTGTCCTTGTGAAATTGTTGGGCATTTTGCATAACCCGATCCAACTACATTTACAGACTACATTTACAGACTACATTCACAGACTATATTGAGTCTCAATTCGTGAATGTAAACAGGTACTTCATGGTCCTGTGTAAGTAATATAAATTTCTCAGTCGTATAGTGAATACCAGGAGAACTAGTTATAAAAACCCTTCAATTCCCTCCCATTCTCTCCCCTTCAGGTTCCATCCACACGCTCTAAAAATATTCCACCTATATAATATTATAAAGAACCGAAACGCCAAAACGACCAACAAAGGAAGAGAGCAATTGACCTCAGGCCACACTCCCTATAGGGTAAAATCGTAGTCGGAGTCACAATCGCAATCGTAATTATTCCGTCTCCTTCTTCGCATCACCCTCCAACTCATCACTCTTTTGAATTAAATATTCCCCAAGGACTCGCAGCGGATCGGATGGCCTAGATTGGGATCCACAGCGTCAGATATATGTAGTCCTTTTGTTGCGGTTTCAAACCCTCGTTTCTCTTCCCCAGAATAATATGTATGCGCATGGCATGTACGGAACGGCTCTGGCGCAACGCAACACAACGAGACTCACTGTTCTCGCGCAACGGACTTCATCCCTTCGAGTAGATGCGGCACAATTTTATCATTGAGGTAGACGCGGGCGGGCGCACCGCCGGGGCGCACCTGTGTTGCGGAGGCACCGGAGAGGTCCGCGGTAGGTGTATTTGAGCCGTTGACGTCCATTTTGGAGAATTGATCTGGAGCGGTTGCGGTAGTGGTATTGGGCGCTGGCGTTCGAGCTGGAGAATCCGTTGAGAGTGGAGGAGGGTTGGTGTGCTGTGCGCGCGGTAGAATGTTTAATTAGAAAGTGTTGCTTTGCTTCGTCTTCTTTCTTTTCCTCTCGTTCGCCGTTCCGGCGCAAGGTATTGGTAATAGGAAGGTTTTAGAGCAGCAGGGATTGGATCTGAGGCCGACGATGGGAGCTGCTAGGGTTGTGCTGGGGAGCTCGACTGGGGTTTCTGCTGGGTAAAGTTCAAGCAAGGTCGGAGAGCGGAGAGCTGTGGAGCTGTCGAGCCCGGGCTGGTTCCGCGGAAGTGGAAGTGGGAATGGGAGGAGTGGTAGAAGGAAGAAAGTAGAAAGGTTTGTCGCTTACCGAAGATTCGGTCATGGTTGCAGTTGACTCAGAGTGATTAGGAAAGGAAAGACTGAAGTGAATCACTCTGAAGTTAAACTTCGTCGGATTGTTCTGCTCTTTCCTTTTTGTAGCGCCAGTTGACCCCGGTCGCTCTTGCCTTAAGTGGCACGGCACGATCAGGTGACCTCGTGTTTCTCTGGCGCCTCGAGGCGCGCGTTACTCGCGGGGCAGAACACCACTGCACTGACGCTCTACCCATGGATCGAGGTCAGAATGTCACTGCTGCATTATTGGGAGACACAGCGCTCCGTGAAACGAAGGAAGACCTCCGGAGAGGCTTCTGACACAACCCCCAAATTGGAGGAGATGCCCGGCGAAGACAGTGCCAGTGCCAGTGATATACGGCCACCGAGCCCGAGTCCCTCGATAGGTGTTGCGGACAGTATACTCTTGACGGGGAATGACGAAATCGAACACGAACACCAAGTGAAGAGCAGTCAGACGGATTTAGAGACCTCTCTTCCTGCAATTGAGACCGATGAACATGCCATCCGAGAATACGAGGCGTTTCAATCCCAGATCAAGAAAAGCGAACACGACGAGGAGACAGATACAGAACCTGGGCTACATGTGAGACTACGAGATGGCGTATGGCAGAAGGGCAAAAGTTCCATCTACGTAGATGCGTTCAATCTAGCACTGGAAACTGTGCTGGAGGAAGAATCGCACCTCTTCGATGCCGCTGAATTGTGCATATTTAACGAATGGAAGGGACTAGCTTATGAATCACAATACTTGTAAGATCTCTCCAATTCTTTCCCCAAAGATTCATGTATTAACATCGTTAGATATGTGCGGCTTTTCCTTCGCAAGACCTCCGCATGGCATCGTATCAACCGCCTGGGCTATTACTCTGACATATCAGATCTATCCCTCGTAGCCGCGGATCTCCAATTAGATCGCAGCTTACCGAAACTCGAGAACGACGAAGAGGAAGACACACCATCAAACCTGGGCCCCTCGTTTAGATTCGCAGACGGCATGACCGAGATCACAACATTGGAAGAAGCGTCCTCACTATTGCTATTAGACGAGCTAAAAGGATTCGCCAAAGAAGCCAAAGCCCAAGGAAAAAACAAGAAAGAACTCCTATCCGCACTCCGCGAAAGCAGTCAATCCCAAACCGGTCTCGGATTCAAGGATAAATCCTGGCAAGCCAACCAACCGTCAAACCGAGATGACCATTTCGTGGCAAAAATCCTCGACTATACCGGCGAATGCATCCGTCTCACCCCGGAACCACGCGCTCTCTTCGAACGCGTCCATTTAGTCTTCTACAGATCAACAGAGTGGAGCGAGAAATCATTGACAACAATAATCCTGGCGAAAATTTCTCGAAGGAATTTCCCTGATTACATCGTTTGTCGATCGAACTCGATCTTCCCTTCTCGAAAGTCGTTATTGGAATTCGAGTCCGCGCTACGTACACAATTTGATATTGACAATATTCTCGAATTTAACGGTCCGCCCACGACAGAGTCGTTGCAAAGTATCATCGACCTGGCCGTTAACATTCACCCTCGCTGGACACAACTCGTCAACGAAGAACAGGTGAAAGAAAATAGTATCTACGAAATTGGTGAAGGCGCTTATCTACGCCGCTTCTCGCCTGCTTGGGTTTATACGCGAATCATTCACAAAAGTCTCCACCCACTTGGTCGATTTAAAGAACATAAACGTGAGCACGAGATTATCAGCGAACTACTTGCTCAGAGATTATTCCACGCAAGCCGACGTGGCGCCTGGTATCAGCGGAAAGCGTTGTTGGAAGAACATTACATGTGGGCATTGACGGCCAGCGAGGATCGGAGTGAGGAGAAGCAGCGCAAGTTTTGGAAACGGATTGCGTTGAGGACGTGTGAGGAGGGTATTGAGGATCCGCTGTGTCATTTGATATATCATTATGATTTGCAGAAACGGATTACGAAGCTTGAGAAGGCGCTTAAGTTTGTTAAGAGGGAACAGCATGATTTTGGACATGTTATGCTTTCTAAACCTGCGGAGAGGACTATTGAGGGTATTCGGATTGAGCGTGATGATGAACTGTCTGCTGCTGGCAGCAGTGGTATCGCTGCTGCTACTAAACGGGGCAAGCCTACGATATGGATTGATGAGCGCGAGGGAGGCGAGTGCCGGGTCGAAAGCATGTGTCTGAGCTGGTATCGGGATAATGGTTGGAAGGGATATCACTCTGAAGGAGGCATCGTGCGAACATTATTCGCCTACCTCTTCTACGATATCCTCTTTACCTATGTGCCGAACGTGTTCCAAACCCCCTTCCAGACCTGCCCACTGGATCTGCACACAGATGTGTTCTACCCATCGCGCGCGTCAGAGATAAACCACCGACTCGTCGAGATCACGAACGGTGACGCGGAGCGTATTGTGCGAGAGGTTCATGATCGTGAATCATCAGCCCAGCCTTGCGCCATTGGCCTTGATTGGTCCTTTGAATTGGATGATCTGGTTGAGATTGTGCAGAGTTTCCGCGGCGAGGCTCTTGCTACTATCTGCAAGGTTATGGCGCAGGAGTATCAGCAGCGCGGTGGGGGAATTCCGGATCTTTTCTTGTGGAATTATGAGAGCCGGACTGTTATGTTTTCGGAAGTCAAGTCTGAGAATGATCGGCTGAGTGATACTCAGCGATTGTGGATTCATATTTTGCTTGGGGCTGGGGTGAAGGTTGAGTTGTGTAATGCTGTTGCGAGGGAGGTGAGGACGGGGTGAGTGATGATTGTGTATACTTCAAGTTGTAAATGTAGTATATATGCTGAAATGATACCGACGACTGAATATACATACAAATATTGCATTTACCACCTGCTAGTGGACACGAGAATCTGAATCTACTGCTTGAAATACACAATCTACATTTCATTTACTTGCTTCTACTGGCTGGAAAATTGCTCAAGTAGATCCAATGATCACACTCGGGGAGGGTATCACTCGTAAAATAGTTCTTTTTAATGGGCGTATCTAACACACATGAAAGATAAATCCGAACTTCTGTCCGAAGATGCCTTCCATGCCCCTACTATCTCCAATGACCACAGACAACCAACGCCTTACGCTTATGCGACAAGGGTGGAGGCAGTGGCGGACTCGTAGCGCCAGGTGGGGGGGCAGGACACCGACGGTCTTGTAGTAGCGGGACAGACGGTGGATGCGGGACTCGATCAGAATGAGGCGGAACTTGGAGTCAGTGTCCTTGCGGTTGCGCTCGAGGTGCTTGCGGACAGCGACGGCCTAGGAGAACAATGTTAGTGAGATTGAACGATTGGGTCACATGGGAGAGATGCTTCGCCGAGGCAGAAGTCTTTCGGTACGGTACCTTCTTGATCAGGAAGTAAAGGTCCTCGGGAAGCTCGGGGGCGAGGCCTGTTATTCCAAAAATCTCTCTGTCAGTCTAATTCTTGACCAAGCAGAGGCTTAGCTGCTGGTGCATTTCTGCTACCAGAGTATTGTGGGTATATATATCGGGAGGAGAAAAGTAAATGCGCTGGTAATTTCTCTCGATGCCGGAAGAAAAGTTTTTCGGTTTCTTTCGGCGCGATTGATTTTCCCATTGCAATTGCCTTCTGCCTTCATCCGATTGATGCGATGGGGGAGGAGTGGCGAGGTGAGTCGTACCGCTGGACTTCAGAATACGGAGGATCTTGTTACCTGTTCACAGAAGCAAAAAGTTAGAAAATCTCGACCCTCCTCACGGTCTCTTCCAAAAATTGAAAAAAGACCAGTCGCAATTTGCAGGGAATTCCATACCGGTCACGATCTTGACCTGGGCAACACCGTGGGAGTCACGGAGGACGACACCGATCTGGGAAGGAGTGGCACCCTTCTTGGCCAGCTTGCAGATGTGGTCGACAACCTGGTCGGGGGTGGTCTTGAGCCACGCGGGAGCGGCGCGAGAGTAGGGGAGAGTGGAGGAGGCAATGCCCTTGCCCTTGGAGTGAAGACGACCCATTTTGGCTGATTTGTCGAAGTTGTCGAGTGGATGAGGAGATTCACGGGCGGAGTTTGCGATGGCGATGGACTTGGAATGTTCCAAGTCTGTGTGGGTCACGTGTGAGGGTCATGTGAGGGTCATGTGATAGACCGACCTTCGCTTAACGCGAGCTTTTTTCTGCTGGGTGACTCCGCCTTTCCTTCCGACTTCCGAGCTGTTTTTTTCTCTTCATTTAATTTCCATCTCTGCTCTCTGTCTATGTCTGTCAACCACTCTCAATCTTCGTCAGGTTGCTCTGAAATTGATGTTTTTCAGACAATCTCACGATCAAAGATTGTGTTGTCAATACATGCTCAGCTTTCTTGTCGCCATTCACCCATCAATATCTCCAATCGATTCTTACTAACAGGTCAGTATCATCACATCTTTTTGCTTCCACCCTGCCACCCTCCCCTTAAATGATGAAAACATTCTTTTTTTACTATTTCTGGTACCTCTTGATTTAGAAGCGTGTCTTCGGATGCGTCTTCGATGATCTAAACGGACTTCTGATTACCTCTCAACTGCCACATCTTGACTCTCAAGTATTTGATGGAAGCTGTCTTACTGACTACTTTCTAGGCTTTACTCCTCTCGCAAAAAACTATGCACATAATCTTGAACAATATATTCAACTCTTCACAACTCTTGTTTTCTATTTCGTATCGCTTTTTGTTGTAGTATATACATGGCTGTTCTAGTATACAAGGTGTCTAGACATGGCTTCTATGCAAGGATGTCATGACCACTTCAATGTCTTCACCGACGTAGTCTTTTAGACACCCGCCTGGTTTCGGTCGATTGAGCAGCTTCGACGACGGGGTCTGCCGGCGCTTTCCTCTTCTTGCCTGCAGGCGCCTTTGTAACTGGCTTCTTCTCCTCCGAGTCTTCGATCTTGACGCCGTTCACTTCTTCGTGCTTTGGCGCCGTCAGTGCAACAGCTGTCGTCACTTCAGTCTTGATTTTGGCGTCCGCGCCTTCATCTTTGACTTTGACATCCACCTTTTTAGTTGTCGCAAGTCGATCAGCAAAGGAGCGCAAGTCCGCGGTGAAAAGAACGCTATGCGCCCATCCAGCTTCTTGTCCCCAAAGCTTGCGGAAATGATTGGCCACTGCATCATAGGTTACCTTATTCAAGGTCTTCTGTGAGCTTTTCCCAAAACGATAGTCTCGTTGCGCGATTTGCCAGACTGCTAAATGTTAGAGCTTTGCAATTGAAACGGAGGGGAGCATTGAGTAGTACTAGTACTAACCATGTGTGTCCACGGGCACTGATTCACCCCAGCCTAGACCCATCAGACATACACAATCGGATACCTTGGGTCCAACCCCTTGTAGTTCTAATAGTTTCTCATGAGCCTCCCGATATCCATCTCGTCCTTCGGGTTTCATCTCGTCGCCGGTCTTTGCCTCTATGCCGAATGCTGGAGACTCGGGGTTACAGAGGTCATTCAGCCACCCTTTCTCTCGTTCCTGGGAGACCATGACCGCCGTTTTGTAGATATATTTCGCACGGTAGCCAAATCCTAGCGTGCGAAGATTGGCTTCAACGTCCTTGCCTGCTAATGCCTCGGGTGCAGGGAAATCATGATAGGAGCGGTCCCCTATTGTCGCGACGAAGGGGCCATAATGTATACACAGTTTTTCCACCATTTGCGAGATGCGCGAGATATTGTTGTTGCTGCTGCATATGAACGACACTAGCGCTTCCCATGGATCTTGACGTAAGATGCGCACGCCGGAGAAGGCAGCTGCCTTCTTCTTGAAATTGGAATCGTTCGCGGACCATTGGGTATAAAGCTCGCTCAGATTGGAAGATAGGTTCAGGTAATGCTTGAGGATTGAAAGAAGTTGGTCATCTTGGGTGTTTCCGGAGTGCGCTTTACTGTCGCTATTTTCAGTGTCGGACGGCGCTCGAGAAGGGAGGGCTGAGGCGGGAGGGGTTGGTAGGGAATCGGATGGACAGGTTCGGTAGTAGAGATAGCTTGAATCTTGCTTCAGAGAGAAGAGGCGACCGTAGAGTACACAGCGCCATTCTTCACTCTCGGGGATCTTCTGCCATCTAAAAGCTGAGGTTAGCTTGTTGCACGGGGCTGAAAGGTGCTACTAAGATATATGCAAACCTGAATGATTGCCCGCAGCGGAGAGTTGTATTAATACACAACTCGCTCAGGCTCATTGGTAGCTTGTACCATTCTGAAAAGACACCGGCCATGATCAATCAATGATTGCATACAAACATGCAATTAACTGGGAACAGACCGGGGCCTCAGGGTTAAGGTAAGAAACGACGATAGCGATAAGCACCCGGCAGAATTCCTTCTTGGCAGTCAACAAGGGCGGTCAACAACCCCAAGCTTGCTAAAACTGCATCTCCCTTTCAGTAAAGCCAGGAGAGCTTCGTCATCCCCCAAAGCACACCATGAACGGCGACACTTACTCTTCCAGAGGTAGGTACCTTTCAATTGATATTTAAGAAATTACCTAACTTTACCCCCTTTTTTGCAGATTCTGGGCGCCCGCGCGATTACTACGTACGTATTAGCTTTTACGCCTCTCTATGACTGCGACTAACTTAATTCAGCGCGACGAGCGACGTGATAGAGACCGAGGTGACCGGGGAGATCGCAGTGAGCGACCAGAGAGAGGAGAGCGCCGGCGCTCGCGTTCGCCTCACCACGGCTCCCGAGGTGGCTCGCGCCGCGAACACGAAGCCAACTCCTACTCATCCAGCCGCGACTACCGTGCCCGTGAGCGTGAAGACCGCTACTCCGGCAGACGCGAAGAGCGTGATTGGGACCGAGGCGACCGCGGTGACAGAGCTGAGCGTGGTGGTGGCGGTGGTGGTGATCGCCGACGACGTGACTTCGATGACAGACCCCGACGAGACTTGTTTGAGGATCGACCCCGACGTGGTGGCGGCGATCGGGACCGTGGTGGCCGGGACCGCGGCGATCGCGGCGGTGGTGACAGAAGGGAGCAACCGAAAAGGAGCCCTTCACCTCCGCGGAAGAAGGAGCCCACTCCCGATTTGACCGACGTCCCTTCCATCCTGGATCGCAAGCGTCGCCTTACTCAATGGGATATCAAGCCCCCCCGGATATGAAAATGTCACCGCCGAGCAGGCAAAATTGTCCGGCATGTTCCCTCTGCCCGGAGCTCCTCGACAGCAGCCCATGGACCCTTCTCGCCTCCAGGCTTTCATGAACCAGCCTGAAGGGGAATCCACAGAGTCCACAGCCCTCAAGCCATCCAACTCCCGCCAATCCAAGCGTCTCTTCGTCTATAATATTCCTCAGAACTCTACAGGAGATTCTGTCGTGTCTTTCTTCAACCTTCAGCTGAACGGCCTCAATGTCATTCACAGCGTCGATCCTTGTATCTCCGCCCAAGTTGCCGATGACAAGTCGTTCGCCCTTTTGGAATTCAAGACCCCCAACGATGCAACCGTTGCGTTGGCCTTTGATGGAATCACCATGGCTGACGGCGGTGACAAGGGACTTGAGGTCCGCCGACCAAAGGATTACATCGTTCCCAGTGGCAGTGGAGAGCAGGAGTACCAAGAAGGTGTGCTTTTGAACGAGGTGCCAGACTCGCCCAACAAGATTTGCGTTTCGAACATCCCGCCTTTCATCCCAGAGGAGGCCGTCACCATGCTGCTCAAGTCTTTTGGTGAACTCAAGTCATTTATCTTGGTGAAGGATGCCTCGACGGAAGAGTCACGGGTAAGTTTGCCTCAATGATTTCAGATTCGCTATAACCGATCACTAATTGAATAAAACAGGGTATCGCATTCTGCGAGTATGTCGATCCCACATCTACTCCCATCGCCGTGGAGGGTCTGAACGGCATGGAACTGGGTGATCGCCACCTGAAGGTATCCCACGCCAGTATCGGAACTACCCAGGCTGTTGGCCTGGACATGGGCGTCAATGCCATGTCGATGTTCGCCAAGACCACCTCCCAGGATATGGAGACGGGTCGTGTTCTGCAGTTGCTGAACATGGTCACCGTGGACGAGCTTCTCGATAACGACGACTACGAGGAGATCCTCGAGGATGTAGGTGAAGAGTGCTCCAAGTATGGCAAGGTCCTGAGCTTGAAGGTTCCGCGTCCCAGCGGTGGAAGCCGCCAGACCTCCGGCGTGGGCAAGATCTACGTTAAGTTCGATACCGAGCAATCGGCCACTGCCGCCCTTAAGGCTCTCGCCGGCCGGAAGTTCTCGGACCGCACCGTTGTCGTCTCCTACTTCGGAGAAGAGAACTTTGATGTAGACGCCTGGTAAAGATGAGAAAATGCTGCTTTGAAATGGTAACTGGTTCTGCTTTTTTTTTTTTCTTTTTCTTTGCTTCGAGCCGAAGGAGTTCGTATGTATCATAGCAAATAGGCCCATGTCCACTTGATCACGATGGTTTGATTTGGAAGTCGTCCTCAAAATGTAATATTTTGGCCTATTGGTTTTGCTCGGCTTTTGTCTTCAATTGGGCAATGGTATTCATTGGAATTACTATTATAAATCCCTGTAGTGTGTATTGTCGGATTCTCGATGTATTGAAACGAGTGAACCTCGAATGAACCTGCCCTGTAAGTCACCATGTACGCTGACAGTCAACCTTGGAACGAGGTTGCTCTCGCTAGACCGAAATCCGAGTGCTTCATATTTTCAGTAGGCAACCTAGTGGACTCTTTGTAAGGATGGCCAGAATACTTTTTACTACGCAGTATCGGACTCTAAATTAAACGGGATGTATACAAGTACTAGTTATGGTGTCTTCGGGAAGGTATTCTATTGACTCCCTATAGTCTAAACGCTCTAAAAATACAAAACATGCAACTTGGCTCTTTCACCAAGATTCATAAACGGGAATGATCTAGTGCTGGGCCAGAATCCGCGCAGCAGCGGCCTCAGCAATAACCATGATAGTAGTCTGGATGTTACCAGTAGGAAGATCGGGGTGGATACTGCCATCGACGACGTACTAAAGAAAGAAAAAGATATTAGCTTTTGCTGACAGGCTATAAGGTATTTGATAGAAACTCACCAGGTTATCCGTTCCATAGACCTTAGTGTTGAGGTCAACAACAGAAGAGCCACCCTTGCGTCCGTCATCGCTACCCAACTTGGCAGAAGTGGTGTAGTGGTTGCCGGAGGAGATGGTGTCAAGAATGGCGGTGATGTTGGGCTTAGTGATGAGCTCGAGACCAGAGCCAGTGGTGCTGATATCGTTGATCAACTCCTTGACGAAGGCAGCGGCGGCCTTCTTGTCATCAGCGGTCTGCATGTAAGGAGACTCTTCGAAAACGGTCTTCTGGTTAGAGTCGAGACCCAGGACACCGGTAGAGGTAGCACCGTGGGTGAGGTAAGTCTTGATCTCAAGAACAGAGCCCTCGGCGGGAGCACAAGAACCCTGGTAGTAGCGAGTTTGACCGTTCAGCTCGTTGGAAGAGAAGAAGATAGCACGGTGCTTTCCTTGGGTCAGAAGACCGCTGCTCTTTCCGTAGAGGCTGATATCTTTGCGGTCAGTGCCGTTGACGATGGCGTCGTAGTCGGGTATACCGAAAGAGCCATTAGTCTGGACATTGAGGGTGAAGATGGGGTGGTCACGGAAACCGAGGCCAACGGGCAGGTCGAGCCACTGCTTCTTGGGAGGAACCTTGATGCCGCTGTCCTTGGCAGTCTCGATTTGCTTCTGGGGACCGATGCCGGAGTTGAAGAGAAGACGGGGGGTAGAGAGAGCGCCAGCAGCAAGGACGACGCGGCCATCGCGAGCAAGAGTGATGATCTCAGTCTCGCCGGAGGAAGTTTGCACCTCGACACCAGTGATGTGGCTGCCAGAGCGCACAACGCGGATGACCTTGGCGCCGAGCTGCAGGGAGAAGTTATCCTTCTTCTCGGCCAGAGGCAGGTAGGTGCGGACGGGACCAGCACGCTTCTGGTCCTTGATGTTCCAGGAAGGATAGCTGTAGACCTTGTGCTTCTCGTTGGGCTGGGAGATCATGTCGACGGACTTCCAGCCGACGGTGCTGAAGAACTTGGAGAGAACTGAGTACAGACCCTGATCATAACGCTTGCCATCAGCAGAGGGTAGAGTTGTACCAGGGTTGCGCTGGTAAAGACGCTCAGCAGCAGGCTTGAGATCCTTCCACTTCCATCCCTCGGGCCAGTTGTTGTTGTCGTCGAAGTCGTGCTCGGGAGGGTGGACGAAGACCATATAGTTCACGGTGACACCACCACCGAGGACACAGGCGGCCATTCCCTCGGTATCGGTACACATATACTCCTCCCATGCAGGGAGGCTACCAACATCGGCAGAGAGACCGGGCAGGTCAATCGCTGTTAGGTTCTTGTTCCAGGTGAGAGTTTCATTGGCACCGGTAGCGACGGTTGGACCAACACCTCGCTCGAGAAGGAGGACCTTCTTGCCAGCCTCAACAAACCGCTCAGCGGTGATGATACCGGCGGGACCACCACCAACAACAATGTAGTCGTAGTAGTGGCTCTTGACGCTGGATGCAGATGCCAGACTTCCGATAGCGGCAACTAGGGCTGCCTTGCAGCCAACTTGGAGAAACCGCATCTTGTGTATAAAAAGAAATCAAGCCTGTCAGTTGCAGTACACAAAAAAAGATCGAAAGAAAGAGCCGTGCAGATCGAGGGACTTCAAGGCCTTTTCAACTCGGTTACGAGTAATTCGCGGAACTTTTCCTTCTTCTCCATTCTTCAAACCCAGTGGTCTGTCACTCGGAGATTTAGGGACCCGGACCAAGATCTCCATATTGTGTCATATTTTGCTCTTGGCCAGTGCCCACCTTCCCTGTTTGGCATAGATGGTTTGTCACTTTCTGATGGCAAGATTAGCGATCTTCTCATAAGCAACGAGAACAATGGATGGGTGGGTCTTTTCTGCGTTTGGAAATGAAACCTGCCTCAGCCACTCTAGGTATGAGTGATAGGCAGTGGATATAACCCGATGAAGGATAGTCCAGTCAGATAAGATGGTACCGTTAGGCACCGTCAGAGGCGCATTTAAAGCATCGGTCTCCACCATGTGGCATCCAGGGCGGCCGAAAGGGCCTGCCGAGTCTCCACAGTCTTCCCAAGCGGCCAGAATCCGACTCTTATTTGCTTAGCCGCGCCACTTCGAGGTCTCTTAGGCCGGTGATTAATCCGTTTGAAGAAAGGAGTCAGGGGTCTCAACCTTGAAACAGGAAGGGATCGGTGAAACTAGATTCCAACTTGCGTTATCTGATTGAGATATTGTGCGCAGTCCGAAGTCTTTCTGTGAAAGGTAAAGGGATGATCGTGGATCTACGAGTAGTGACGCGCTATCCTTCTACACGAACTCTTGTGCCGACCAGGTCGTCTTATGTGCATGATGCTAGCAAAGGTAAAGTAGGAGTGTTCGCGGATCAACGCGGGTCGACAAAATTCCTTGTCTTTTTTCTTCATTTCCGCTGCAGGTACCCGCGGCTTGCTCGGCAAATGCATTTGGGGGCCAGGAGATTTGAGAACACTTTAGAACTATATCTATGAAATGAAAACTTTTCACCATTTCTGATCTCTGATCAAAGCTCAAGAGATTTATGTTGCATTAGGCAAAACGGGTATTCTGGAAGTGTAAACCGATACGATCATTTACTTCATCAACTTCGCATTCACGATAGCAAAGTCTAACAACCGTAGTATTTAGAGGCCGACATGAATATTCTATACGAGTAAATTTGCCTGCATAAACTCATAGTTATGTTCTTTCTCCTAATCCAGAAAACGCCAACGCCCAGCCGGCGAATCCTCGGGACGAGGAGAAACACTGCATCGGTTTCAAGCCGCTTCTACCTTGTCTAATTTGTCTCTTGCAGCAACTTTAGATTTCAACTCGGGAAAAAATTAAACGTCATGACAGACCAGGAGCTGGGGCAGATCAATTGCAGGTCAAAACGTACTATACTAATGGTAAAGGCGCAAAGAAAATCGAAGCGACAAGGTTGCTCTAACAATTTATGACTACCATATTTTCCGCGCCAAGATGCGCCAATAAATTCCAAACTCAAGATTCATCGGGGTTTCCGAAATAGGCATCAACTTAATAAGCCTCCAATTGAGTCTCCTCGAGAGTTCTAGACCCGGGAGAAAGATTATACATCGTTTTGGACTTTTACACAGGGTCGTCAGTTAATGAGAAACTACTAGATTGGCCTTTGGTCACCTATGTGATCAATTCTTCCTTCCTGTACTCCGAGAAAGAATATTTGATTTCATCATTGATCGCCCCAGTCTTCAGCCCTGGACTGGTCAGACGACGCCACATCGGCATTGCTTATAGTTTACTGCGTTGCAATGAAATGACGCTATTCAGCCCTGTAGGGCAGCATTCTAACTTTATTGCCACCTCCTACCTCCCCGAAGGTTATTTCAAGTAGATTAGGGAGCATGTACTCCTATTAGTATTGAATGGTTTTACTTAAACAATTTTGCCAGATGCGATATCGAGTAGCAGGAAAAGCCAGCTCATGTATGAATAGCGCATAGACGGAAAGGTGACTACCAAAAGGATCTACTTCGCAGCACCCGTAATTATTGGTTCTCATTAAAGGAATTCTCTATGGTGAATAAAAAATCTTTGCAAACTGAATCCAAGTTTTCTCTCATTCAATTGACGCCATCTAGTCTCTCTTCACCTGCAGATTCTTGCGCGCCCGAACCATTAACCCTCTCAGTCTCTCCGTTCCTCTACTATCCAAAAACTCAACAATATCCACAATCCTCTCCTTGCTTTCATCTAAAGTAAACATAAAAATATATTCGCCTTCATAAGCCCACTCTTCTTCAGTCAAGCCATCGTCTTTACATTCCTCCTTGAATTTTGCTCGGCTGGTAGCCCAGATGGTCACCTGGCCTTTTTCCTCATTGTCAAAAATTTCCTTGGGAAAAACAGGAAACTCTGCGAGGACATCTTGTAGTTTGTCCAGATGACTGGCGAATGCCTTTGGGCTCATAGGTTCGGGTGGGGAGAGGGAAGCTGGAGCGAATCTGTGGATGGCGGTCGGCGCTAAAAAGGCGAGAAATATGTCCGGCGAGAGCGTCTTGAAGGCTTCAAGGTATGAGAGAGCCGTCTTTCTTGATTTAGATGACATTTTAATATAAGGGAGAACTCTTCGATTGAGAGGTAGGTTATTTGGACCGAGAGGATAGAAAGTTGAGCTTCATAGCAGCAGTTGGCGCCTTCTAGGTGCCTCACCACCGGTCTCGGGGTATGTGTGGGGTATGCTAGTCTCGGGGGTTAGACGGATTAATATTTTTATCTCCGCCATCTTCCCATAGAGGCTACGGTCTGGAGACTACGAGTGTGATTGGGAGCTGAAATAACTGAGAGCGGATTAGGCTTTGGGGAATATTCATGCTCCAATCTCAATGTATCCAGATTTTTGTGTTAATAGTAGTGGGGCCAGCGCGATAGGGAACATGTTATACATGCCCTTTGATGAGACCAGTGCTTACCAATCTACGAGTATTTACTAATCTCAAATACTATAGAAGCATTTTCAGTCTTTCAAGTTCTTGGCCATCTAGTCTTGGAAGAGTTTAATGGAAAGTGGTAGTCAGTATACGGTGAAATATACTATATTGTCTAACTTAAAAACTAAGTAGTACCTTCTGGCAACACTCTCTCCAGGGCTGGCACTAGTAATTAAACATTTTCCCTGTCCAAGTGATAGAATGGCCATTAAGAAATATAAACAGAACCATATCATGAAAATACATGGTGGAGAGAGGTAAAAGTGATGGTTGTAAGTAATAGAGATAAATCAGTGGATTATGCAAGATAATTCGGGCAGATTCAGGCTAAATAAGGCCGAAATATCGAATTCAGGTGTCCACTGCCTACTGTCCATACACGGGCGGCACCTGGAGAGCAGTTCCCGGCGAGAGTTACTATTTTCAGTTAGATTAAAGATAGGCCCACTTAACTCATGATCTAGGCTTGATGATCTGCGGCAATGAACACATTAGGAAATTGCACGTAAAACTCCGAATTCCGCCATCTATCTATCTATTGCAATCATCTAAATCAAATGCTAAATGCGCTGTCATAAGTGTACCCCGCTGTATTCCCCCGAGTCCGTCTATCTACACTTGGTCCACGACCTCCACGTTCTGGCTTTGCGAATTCAACTTGAGATCCTTTTGCTTCTGACGGGCAAAGTCAACACCAAATCCATGCTCAAATACCTCACGAATATCTTCAAGAGTCATTCCTTTGACTTCGGGGTAGAAAAAGTAGACTCCAATCCAACCGAAGAACGATACCGCGGCATAGAAACCAAAAGCGCCCGACGGTGTAATGTTTTCCATCTGGGTAAGAAAAGTAGAGGATACGATGACATTAGAACCCCAGCAGCTCATTGTTAAAAACATTGTGCCAACGGCACGAACCTCGATGGGGTAGAATTCGGAAGACATCCAGGCGATGTTGCCAGCTCCAGCAGAGTAGAATGCGACGAATACCACCATGGAAATCAAGACTAAGTCTGCAGCCCACCCGGTCTTTTGGGAAGTAATTTCAAGACTCGGACTGAGCGGTACCCAATGAAAGCATATTGCTGCACATGCCATCGCTGCAGCCATTACCCATAAAGTGTTCATGAGTATCTGTCGACGACCAACACGATCAACCAGGAACAGATTGATCCAAGTAAAGATCCAATTTGTGGAAGCGATAATAGTACCCACTGCAATTGGCTTGTCAAATCCAACAGCAGCAAATATTGTGCCTGAATAGTAGAGGATTGAGTTGAATCCACCTAGTTGAGAAATTGCCATGAGTCCACAAGCTGCAAACATTGCACGGAAATTTGACCCAACGACGTATAACTGCTTGATCTGCCACCACAATGCCCTGTCCGTATTCTGATTTGTCTCCACGTGAAGTGAAATGTGCTGGACCTTTTGCTGGACCTGGAGCTCGGTGCCATCGGGGAAGATCCTTGAAATAACCTTTGCGGCTTCCTCTCGTTTGTTGTGATAAATCAGCTGCCGGGGTGATTCTGGACAGAATGGAAGTAGGAAGCAAAGAATTATCGCAGGAACTGCTCCGATTGCAGCCATATATCGCCATCCTTCGTTTACATTCGCAAATGCAGCTCCGATGCCATAGCTGACGAGTTGTCCGGTTGTGATAGACAGGTTGTCGAGACTTATCATACGTCCGCGATATTTTGCTGGTGCCACTTCCGCTATATAAAGCTGTCAAGGTCAGTAGGTATGTATAATAAGGGCAGAATCATTAGAAATGTAGTAGTAGTACGTACTGGGACAATCATAGCTGCAGAACCGACTCCTAGTCCCACAACCGCCCGGCCGACTGTCATTTGGGCGATAGAGAAGGAAGACGCTTGAATGACGGCGCCGAGGACGAACAATACGCAACCAGTATATATGCCCATCTTTCTCCCATAACGGTCGGCACACAGGCCGGCCACGATGGCACCGATGAATGCACCACCAGATGTGATCGATGTGACCAATTCCTTCTCACTGCCATTGAGGGTCTTACCTAGACCATCTCCAAGATATACTAGAATACCTGATATGATTCCGGTGTCGTATCCAAACAAGAATCCTCCAACGGCCGCTGTCAGTGACACAAGCCAGGCATATTTGCTGCACCTGGTATTCTCAATGGTATCCAACTCAACAATGGGGGACCCTTCGACATGCTCAGCCAAATTCTTTAGATCCTCGTCATCTGAATGGGAACTTTTCCGACTGAGATTGCTCATTTTGGGCAGTGAATTTCTCGGAGAGGGAACCAGGAAGGAACAAAGTATCAAAGAAATACAGACCAAAGACAGGAAGATGGTTCTTCGTTCTCGCTTCTTCCAACCTTTTCTTCTTCTTCTTCTTCTTCTATTATGTATCTGAGGGGTCTGCTCTCATTATGTCTTCGGGTACAACTCATTTAAATGGTATATCTCCCAACTTAATTATGCACATCAACGTCGAGTGTGCCTTTTTCGCTAGACTAGCTAGGAAACTCGGCTCAAGTCCGCGTGAAACCATCCAATAAACAGCCATGGAAAGTGGGGGAGGCAAATACTCCGCCCCGAGAATGCCATGCCCGGCTTGAAACCCCCGCACTTCCACGACTTCTGGGGTGTGGAGAGGGTAAATGGTAAATTCTCGCCGAGCTTGCCATTAATTAATACTTCTACTGACCATCTCCGCCAGTTCCAATCCCCTTCTTCTATCGGCATCGTGATATTGCATAACCCCCCCCCTAACAATGCGGCGGAACAAGACTGTTCCTTGGTGAGCCCCACACTATCTGCACGTCTTCACCAATAGTTATAGACTAATTTTCAACAGCCAGGAGTGTCGAAGTGAGTGGCGCATCGCGTCTAACTTGTTAACCAAAAGTGAAGAAGGACCAAGAAACTGACTCACTCTCCCCTTGCTCCAGATCGACATGTGAAATGTGAGTGTATCCGAGGATTCATCCAGTTTGCAGATACTGACTGACTCAATTTACTGCAGGCGACGGCCAGAAACCCAAATGCCAGCGCTGTAAAAAGACCGGGGCTTCATGCCTCTGGCAGGGTTCACCCTCGGGATTTCGACATGGCTCCAGTGCCAGTGCCCAGTATGATTTTGCCGATGATCAGCCTTGGTTGCCCATCGGTCAAGGTGCGTTGACCCCTTTGTGCCAGCAGATTCCCGAGATGTTGCATCATTCACGGATATCGGGCTCTGGCATTGCCGATTACAGTTGCTTACTCGGGCCTCAGTGGATTACAGTTATGTCGATGAGACAGCCGACATAGCAAGGCATTACTCAATAGATTCGAGCTGCGAATCGTCATTGCCTTGGGCATCGGCGAGACGCCAGAGCATGGCGTCGCCAGATCACCAAACTGCCACGGAGCCTTCGCTATTGAATGATCCCGTTGGGTCGCATTCATCTGAGCCCTTTCTGTCATCAAATCGGCCCGAAGACGCTTTGGCCCCTTTCTCGCCGTATCAACCCTTGCAATTATCGCCAGATCGGCATTCCTCCATCCCATCCGCCTCCCCTCACTTTTCACATAGCAGTAATGCCTCACCTGGATCAAGGGACTTCATCATAAATTCCTTTGACAATAGGTTGCCGAGTTTGAATGAGCATGAAGCATGTCTTATGCGGTACTTTGTTGTCCAACTTGCTCCCTGGGTAGGATCTTCCCTTCTGAAAAAGACTAGCAGCCCTTGCTAACACTACATATGCAGTTCGATCTATGCGACGGGGAAAGGCATTTTGCCTGCACCGTACCTCTAAGAGCTAGAACATGTCCTCCGTTACTCAATGCCATTTATACCGCGTCCGCGAGACACCTGAGCCGAATCAAAAAATATTATCATGGAAATCAAATCCAATACGGGGGCAAAGTCCTCCAAGACCTTACGCCCGAAACTGCGATTCACTATCACAACGAATGTATCGCGAACCTTATGACACTATCAGGCCACTCGGGTGAAGCCCAAGACGAGAACCTACTGGCCGCCGCCGTGATTCTTCGTTTCTACGAAGAAGTGGACAGTGAGTTGCTTCCCCCCCTCGCTTCCATCTCGATTTCATTGATGATTTTCTAAATAATCGTCCAATAGTGCCATCGGTAGGTGAAGACACAGAGAGCGCCCTGCGGGGAATTCAAATATTTCTTGACGCCCAAGCCCCATCCGCAGTATCTGGGTTTGGCCTTCGGCATGCAGCCTATTGGATTGCACTTCGACAGGAAATTATCACAGCCTTCAGCAAACAGCGCCCGTTCCGGCTCCCATTAGGGCCTTGTGAGCCATATCGCTCCTTTGAACCAGCGGATGATTATGTCTGGGCCGATCGCCTTGTTATTCATTGTGCTGATGTATTACAATACTGCTTTGGATCTGAGGAAGAAGGGACCCCTCAAGGCCAACACCAATCTTCCAGCACCGGGGCCTTGCATCCCGTACCGGTAACCGACGTGCGCATAGCACGCTACGACGAACTTGTCCTCTTTGAAACCCTCTGGACGGAGCTTGGCCCGCCGAGTTTTAAACCCATCTACACGCACGAACCAGATTGCTCCCGTGGAGAAGTCTTTCCTGAGCTATGGTATCTAAATAATTGCCACGTCGCAGGGCTCCAATTCTTCGAGCTGGCGCGTATTCTCCTCGTCGTTTATAATCCCAAATTACCCCGTCTCGGACCTAGCCAGCGTACTGCGATGCGATCGGTAGATCGAAAAGTGCGGTCAATGGTATTGCGACTTTGTGGGATGGCGCTCTCCAACCAGCATAGTCCTCCGGGTCTAGTGACTGCCTCGGTCGCAATTGGAATGTGTGGTGATCGGTTCACGGATCGTCTTGAGCAGGATGCACTTCTGGGTGTTTTAACGAAGCTTAAGGATGAACATGCGTATCCCACGACCAGTATGCAGGAATTGTTGAAAGGAGCGTGGGGGTGGGATGGGTACGATGGGTTGGAGTAGCCATCTTCACTTAGAATGGCCATTCGGACATGAAATGCTTGACTAGAACTGAATAAATTCACCAGACTATTGTGTCCATATCCACGGAGTTAGCTGTCAATAGCTTCTATCGCGAAAATCTTACCCCAACGGCCTTTGATGCGGAGAAAGCTCCACTGCGGATGCGATTGATGACACTAGACCAGCTCAACTCTGCGGAAATTTACACAACCATGAGAGAGGAACCCTGATTCCGGAAGTCTGAATATGCGCCCGATAAAATTCGTGTTCCCTGTGGGCCATTCTAAGACCACTAAATAGTTGCCTCGAGGTGTCTTGGTGCGGGGAAGTGGAGGTGGAGACGCATATGGGGCATCTGGGGCAACTTTCGCCGAACAACCTTCGTTGGAAACCTACCTTATCGAGTAATAATACTAACCATATTCAGCCACGCTTCGCCGGTCAACCTGGAGCATCTCCGATGAGGGGCGGGGACGCTTTGAGCTGCGACGTCTATATAACAGTGCAATCCAGCATGACCTTCTTTTTCCAAACCATCACACTCCTCTCAATCGACCTTATATTTAATTACACCGCTCTTCACAATGTCTGAGAAGCTCCAAGTCGCCGTCGCAGGTATTGGCCGCATGGGTAAGAACTCTCACCTTGCAACTTGGAATTTCTGACAACCTTTCCTTCTCGAATTTTGCTAATTACTACTCCTTAGGAATGCGCCATGCTCGCCACTTCGCAAACTTCACCCCTCGCGCCGAGCTGATCGCTGTCTGCTCGCCTGTCCAAGCTGAGCTGGATGCTGCAAAGGCGGAATTTGGAAACGTTCGCCTCTACAAGGACTATGAAGAGATGCTGGAGCAGGAGAAGACTCTCCAGGCCGTTGTCGTTGCTAGCGCTACCACCGTCCATGCAGAGCAGGCCATCAAGGCCATTGAGCGTGGTTTCCACGTTCTTTGCGAGAAGCCTATCAGTACCAGCCCTGAGATCGTGAGTTTTCTTTACCAAGCCACTTCCCCCGTCTTGAGGATTTTTCTTTTCCAGGACATGCCAAATTAACATCTTGTTTTCGCAACAGTCCCAATCTGTTGTCGACGCCTACAACACCTCCATCAAGAAATTCCCCAACCAAAAAGTCATTTGCGGCTTCTCGCGTCGCTTCGATGCCTCCTACCGCGATGCTTACCGACGCACAGCCAACGGCGATATTGGTACACCATCTGTCTTCCGCTCCCAGACTTGCGACAAACTCGACCCAAGTGGCTTCTTCGTCGCGTACGCTGAGTTCTCCGGTGGAATCTTCGTGGACTGCTCTATCCACGATATCGACCTAGCTCTTTGGTTCTTCGGCGAGGACAGCAAGGTCAAGAGCGTGACAGCCATCGGTATCACTGCCGTGCAGCCTGACCTCCGCAAGCACAACGACCGAGATAATGCTCTGGGAATTATCGAGTTCTACGTAAGTTCCTTCAGCTACCCGATCCATCATGAGCCGTCAAGCAATTGAATTAGTCACTAACTCGCTATAAACAGGGCGGCAAGATCGCTCAACTCTACTGCTCCCGCATGATGGCCGCCGGCCAAGAAGACTGCACTGAGATCTTCGGCACAAACGGCAAGGTCGCCATCAACACCCAGCCCCAACTTAACTTGGTCAACCTATACGAGCCCACCGGTATCCGTCGCGAGATTCCGTCTGACTATTACGGACGTTTCCGTGAGGCTTTCATCACCGAGGCAAATGAGTTCACTGCCTCTTGCCTTGACAACACTGCTCCTCCTCTCAGATTGGACGCTGCCGTTCGCGCTGTTACTATCGGATGTGCTCTGCAGGAGTCTCTGATCTCTGGAAAGAAGATCGAGTTTGAGGAGAACGGAAAGCGTGTTGAGGCTTCCAAGCTATGAAAAGAATATGAATAAAACGAATTTTATGAGGTTGTAGATAGAAATTTTTATACTTGGTCAAATAGACTTGTTTCATGTTGACACTTCAATACACTACCTTTTGATTTGATTTCGATAACGTGAATTATTATCACGTAGCTTCAACGAGGCTGGGTAAGACCGTGACATGATCAAGAAAATTATGGCTCAGACTCCCCGGGCGCCCAGAGGGTTAGGCTTGGAAATGATTGGCTCAGTCGATAATGGTTCACCCAACGTCAAACTGAGACCCAATTGACCGTATCAACTGTGTCAGACTCTGCTCATTGGCTGGTGGCCCATTTTACACTCAACCCCTGATGAAACGTCTTTAGCCCAGGTGTTGCGCATACGAGTCCCCAATCACCTGTGGACTACAAAATACTTCTCCGAGGCGCTTGGAGTAATTTGTTTATTTGATAATCAATTGTGCGAATCATATGTACAGGCCTTAAGGCTTTGTGGCCGGGAATTTACCACTCCCCAAAATATCACCATCCTCAGTCTTTCCATTCAAAGCTCGGTCGATTCGAAACTGGGAAGTCTGGAACAGTCGAGGCATGCTAGTTTGCTCGAAAGGAATATCTTGGATGATCATCTTGGCCAGTTCCTTCGAGGATAGCCAAATAACCGGCATGCCATGACCATTGAAACCTGCAAGGATATACTGGTCTTTGTCACTACCAGGGACAGTGCCAATATGAGGGTTGGAGTCATAGGAGTAGCCCATCACACCGGTCCAAATTTTGTCGATCTTAGCTCCAGTATTCTCCCATCCACGGTAGGTCTCCTGCATATAGTTGTTGTAAAAGTCCTTTGCAGAATCTATGAGGACGCTATCGTCTACATTGTCGTACCACTGGTCTTCGTGTTTTCGGAATACGGCAGCAGCGCCTCCAACGACAGCACTGCCGTCAGCCCGTGGAATCAGGTATGAAAGGACGTTATCTTCCGATCGATTGATATAGGAGTTGTTCAGGAGAGGTGGCGTCACTCCATCGGGAACTTTGATGTGGCAGCATATGCCTTTGCATGGGACGATATTCTTTCTGTACTGTGGGAGGAGATGAGAGACATAGGCATTGTTTGCGTAAACAACCTTCCCAGCACGCATCTTGCCTCGAGGCGTGTCGATAATATATCCAGCTCCTGTATCGGCAGTCACTGATGTAACGGGCGTATTTGTTTGAAGGTTGACACCAGCATCGACAATCAGCTCGACTAAATGCATGATGAATTTGTATGGCCACATTGTTCCCGCGGTGAAGCTGGCACACGCTTTGGCGCCTTTTACACCACATATCTAAGAAGATGTCAGCTTCTGTGTTTTGTGGAAGAAAAGAGCTAGGTCACTCACTCCTTCTGCATTATCATTCGCATAGAAAACAACATCGTTCATATACTCAAAGTCCCTGGCAACCATTTGGTCATATGTAGATTTAGCCCTCTCGGCAGCCTCTGTGTTACACCAAACATCAATCGATCGGGCCAGAGTAAAATCACAATCGATCTTCTCTTGATCAATGACTTTTTTCAAAGCGCCTAGATTCTTGATTTCGAACTCGGCGATCTCAGCTCCTGCTCGATCTCCTGCACGGTCGATATAGGTTGGAATGTGACCATAGAAATCGGGTCTGGCATGACCGCCGTTCCGGCCAGTTGCACCCGAGCAAGCACCCCGAGCTTCTAGAATAGCGACTGACTTGTTCGATCCGCCATGGTCTTTGACGAGGTGGTAGGCGGTACTGACACCAGCGTACCCAGCACCTATGATCACAATATCCTTGTACTCAGGCAGTTGCTCTGTTGAACGATGGTCATGTAGCTTATGCTTGGTTGTTTGCCAGAAGGTCTCGCCGGGATTACTGACTGGGACACATTGAGGAGTTCCTGCGGTTTGCAAGGGGTCACTTGTCCGAGTAGGCAATTCTTGAGTCCGCGAAGGCATGATGGAGGGATGAATGATAACGAATGTAGGTGAAAAAACAATTCAACGGAACACACGGATCAGAGCTTAATTAAGTTCCCACCGATTTTGATAGAGTTGAAGTGGCTTTATCACGATAGTCCCTACTGGGGAGAGTGGCACCGGGTCCGGAGCGGAGACCGGAGTTGCTTATCTGTAATCCACGGAGTGGAAACCACCTTAGTGGAAGTGGAAATTGGATGTTGCCTTGGTCATGGGATTAACGAGTTTGGTTGACCGGACCGGACTTACCCTTTTGGGTCTCAACTCTAAACCCTAAAAACGACGACTGAATGCACTTCCCCGCATGAATCCACAACTTGGGAATTTGACACCAGCACTGAATCTCCTTTTGTCTGCAAGATAGTCGAGGTGTTATCTAGCCGGTGGGAATCCGGTTACTTGAACCAACGATAATCGAGCGATTACCAATGGATCCAAGACGACCTGTCTCCAAGCATCGTTATTGGCGCCACTAGATTGCTCGCAGAAAGACGCATGAAGATGAAAAGCAGTACATATTTCCCAGAACGACTTGGGACTCCGATAATTCAACATCCAATTATTCAAGAAATTCACTTTCATGCTTAGTCCTTAATCATGACCATTTCCGCCATGTCGGAAGACCACGACATTCACAATATTTCTTCCAAAGAGAAATTCCCTAACTACAACGCCGGGATGACAAAAGAAATGGACGAGGAGAATGCTGCTGGTCAATTGGAGGAGATCAACAACTTCCGACAAGGACTCCACCAGCGGCATATCCAGATGATCGCCCTCGCTGGCACTGTTGGCACAGGTCTCTTTCTGAGCTCCGGTCGTGCTATCGCCCACTCGGGTCCGTTAGGAGCCTTTTTGTCGTACTCAATCATCGGCCTCGCTGTGGCAAGTGTGGTGTTTGGTGTTGGAGAGATGGGTTCATTGGCACCTCTTCAAGGAGGTATTATCCGATACTGTGATGTCTTCTTCGATGAGGCACTCGCATTTGCCAATGGATGGAATCAAATATACTCGTATATTGTGTCCATCCCCGCTGAACTGGTCGCCTGTGCTGTTATCGTCGAATTTTGGGTCACCGTGAACAGTGCTATATGGATCACTATCTTTGGTGTTATCATGATCTTCACAGCACTGCTCTTCGTACGCGTATACGGTGAACTGGAATTCGGCTTTTCAATGCTCAAAATAATGTTGATTATCGGTATCAACATCATGGCTCTAGTCATCACCTGTGGTGGTGCACCAAATCACAAGACTACAGGTTTTGAATTTTGGAAGGCTCCATATGGTCCCTTTGTTCAATACCTCGAGATCAAAGGCTCACTTGGTCGTTTTCTTGGGTTTTGGGCCACATTCAGCAATGCCCTTTATGCTTATTCAGGCATCGAAAATATTACCGTTGCTGCCGCAGAGACTAGATACCCCCGACAGGCTATCCCAATAGCTACACGACGTATATTTGTTCGAATCTTGGTATTTTATATAATCACGATATTCATGATGACTTTGGTTGTGTCATCTGCCGATCCAGATCTTCTTTCGGAATCGGGAACAGCAGCCCAGTCACCCTTTGTCATTGCAGCGAAGTCCGCCGGTATCAAGGTGGTACCATCGATCATCAATGCGATTGTTCTGACGTCGGCTTGGTCTTCGGGTAACTCGAATATGCTCGGAGGATCTCGAATCCTATATGGACTGGCTATGCAAGGCCATGCACCTGCTATCTTCAAGCGCCTCAATCGCTTCTCGATTCCCTATGTCGCCGTCGCTCTTTATGGTGTCTTCATGGCCCTCGGATACATGTGTCTCTCTAGTGGTGCATCGGTCGCCTTTACGTGGCTCCAGGACTTGGTGTCTATATCGACACTCGTCAATTGGATAACTCTGCTGATTGTCTATCTTCGATTCTTATATGGATGCAAGAAGCAGGGGATCGATCGCAAGCGAGAGTTACCATGGGCAGCTCCATTTCAACCATATGGCGCATGGTTTTCGTTGGTCATTTTCATCCTTCTCTTCTTGACCGGAGGGTTTTCTACCTTTATCAAGGGTCATTGGTCAACGGAGACCTTTATCAGCTCCTACTTTAACCTTCCTTTCATTATCATTGTTTACTTTGGGTACAAGCTCTGGAAGAGGACGAAGATAATTCCCCTGGACGAGATCCCTATCCGGCCTTTTATTGAACATTATCGACAGAACCCTGAGCCCGAGCCAGCTCCAAAACGTGGACTTCGGCGACTGAATATCTTGTGGTCCTAAATTTGGTCAATTATATAGCAAATACTACTTGTACTCTTTTGATTCCATCGCATACACTTATCTCAGTAAATTCCATCTCACCTGTTTTGATCAAATCTGAGCCTGGTCACCATGGTCAGTCTAAGATCATCAGGCAGTGTTTTTCTTAACATTAATCAAGAGATGTTCAACCGGTCCAGCTGCATAGTACAGTACAAGAAATCAACAGCAAGACTCATCTTCCAAGACATTAAAGTAATGATTGCAACTGTTAGCCTTTCCAGTACACCAGGTACCCCAGCTTGATCCACCAATATTGGTGGTGATGTGAATTGGCCTATATTTCTTTAAACGAAAATAGTGGTTACTTGACCCACTTACGAAATCGGAGAGACTGTCTTGCAGTCCCCCTCCCCCCCCTACAACGAAAAATGATCCAAAAACCCGAAGCCCGATGAAATGAAGAAATCTACATTGACCCCCAATTCCCTATACCAAAACACCTGACCCATAATTAAGGATAAGGTTAGAGCTTGATGATAATTTTCGTCCCGTGAGATAAACCGGACCGGAGTTACCAAATCGAGAATTGCCTCCACCGGATCTCGCGATAACACTTTTAACACTTTCGGTGCGGGGAAGCCATTCACAGTGATTTTCCTATATTAACTTACGAAGCTTATCTCTCTGCATGAACCCAGAACCTTACAATCGAATCAAGAAAGCTCAATTCACTACATTACGAAATTTCCAAAATCTCGCGAAATCCAATTCAATTGCCTTGCCTACCTACCGCCCTTTGCAGAACCCCGCATCATCAGCATCAGTATCACCATCAGCAACGCCCAAGTCAATTCCTTCCCTTCCCTTTCATTTACTAGGCTCGCTCGCAATGCCTGGCCAAAAACACATTGTCTTCGACGTAGTCGGCACATGCGTCTCATTCGACGCCTTCTACAATGGCATCGACAAAGTCATCGGACCACGCCTGTTAGCCCGAAATATCACAGCCCGCTCCTTCGGCTTTACATGGATGACAGCGGCGGAGCTGGAATTCACCTTTCTCTCCATTTCCGAGCGCTATAAGCCATACAAGGAAGTCATGCTGGCAGTCTTCTTCCGCACACTATACATGATGGGCGTTGAGGATCCTCGCTCTTTCGCAACTGAAGCCGAGAGAAACCAGTGCGCGCAGAGTTACTCCGATCTCGAGCTACGCCCCGGAACAAAGGAGTGTTTTGCTAAGCTTCGTGATGCGGGTTTCACGGTCTGGTGTCTTACTACTGGAGATGTGACGCGTGTGCGGGGCTATTTTGAGCGCGGGGGTGTCGATATGCCTCTGGTGAATTTCCTTAGTTGTGATACGGCTGGCATTGCTAAGCCGGCGCTGAAGGCTTATAAGCCTGCTTTGGCCCGGTTTAAGGATGATGATGTGAAGTGGTTTGCGGCGGCGCATATGTGGGATGTCTCGGCTGCTGTGAAGGTCGGGTTTCGGGGTGCTTATTGTACTGTTTATGAGAAGGAGTCTTGTGCGGAGATATTTGATGTAGATATGGAGGTTCTTGAGGATAGTTTGCCTGTGATGGCGGATAAGGTCATAGCAGCTTCATCTTAAAGGGGCTTTGTACAAATTCAATCTGACTATAAATGAAAATGTAAAGTGTGGTTGTACATTATTATCGAAGAAACAGGCTCCAAGAGAGCATTTATTCTCTGCTCATATCCATACCCTGAGTTGATCCGTATTGTGGGTTCGTTAGAAATTGTTCAAGCACTTGTGATTCCGTCCAGGTAGGCCAAGCCGCTGGAAATGATGTACTGGCAGCGCCAAAATCTGGTGATTCAAAAATGGGATCAAGAGCGCCTAACGGATCCGTATCTTGCTCGGAGGGCGAAATAAATGCTTGACTGAAATCCATGTCCACTTTTTGATCATACGCATAAATGTCTCGAGATTGGCCGGCTTGTAGTATAGCCTCCTCTGTATGGCTTGTGGCAGGACCTGTCGCAAGATTTGGTGCTTCAAAAGCGGCATCTTTCCTCACTCTCGTTCCCCAATGCTTGAAAGCCTCGTAATCTGAGATTGGTCGCTCGGGTGAGATGATTTCGCCGTGCTGGGACAGCTGGACCCCGCTATGGAGACGCGCAAGTGCACGCTCAAGCGTTTCAATCAAAAACACTTCAGACTGAGCCGACTCGCCAGCCGCAGACATCTCTCGAATCATATCCAGCCCTTTGTAGAGCGGTGTTCGATACTGTTCTGAGAAACTCTGGATTGAGTAGGCAATCAAAACAAGAAGTGATGCTCGACACGAGCTATATTCGATATATGACGCTCGTGCCAAGCCTAGCCCACAATCTTGAAGTTCTTGTAGAAGATCCAATGCCTCCATCGCTGCCTTAATACAGTCATCGACCAACTCATTAGGACCCAAGGAGTTCTTGGAACCAGGACCACCTGAGGACAGGGTTTTTTCGGCGACACTGGACTCTGGGTTTGCTGGTGAATTATTCATCGAGTCTGACATGTTTTTCTTCAGCAGGAACGGCCGCCCAATAAACATGCGAACTAAGCAATATTCCAGCTGAAGATGCATGACGGAACGAATTTGCACTACCGGCTGCAAACTGCTGGACACAAGCTCTCGGGGGAGAGAGCTCCACCACTTCTCCAGCGCCGATTTTGAAGTCAAGAGACTCGATATTATTTCGGGGATTTGGTGTTTGCGGCAAGTGCGAAGTTTGCGTCTGCGCGGGTGTTAGTACTGGTCAGATGCCGAAGCTATCAAGACGTACACATCACCAAACAAGTCCTCCAGGAATTGAATCAATTGAATCGAGGCCCCGGCACGTGCGACACTGGTACGAGTGTCAACCAATTCTGATCCAGGCCGATATACAGGCGGTGTCGCGTCGATTTCAGTTCTGAGTACTGAAAGAGGTCTTCCGTGGAAGATTGAAATTTTCCTAGCCTTTATTAGCAAATTTTACTATATATGGTCAACGCTGAACTCACCTTTCGAGAAGATATGCCGTCCACCATACACGATTACGGGTCTCAACCATGGTCGTAGTAAAGGCATTGTTCTTGCATCTTCGATGCATCCCATTCTGCATTGCAAGCCGAATTGCAAGATTGACGTAGATATACCCCAGCCCCGAGGTATCGACAGGAAGTGCATAGTAACCAAATAGAAGACAGGCTTGAACACTTCCAAGAGAAGATTGTTCAATAATCTCTGGAAGTAGCCGGATCGCTTGCTCGTAGAAAATGGCACCAATATCCTCTTCGGCAAATGTCTGGCCTTCGGTTGCGGTCGATTTACTCGTTGACGACTCGAGGTGTGCATACTGGGACCCAATCGCGAATACAGTAAGTAAGATGCTGATGATCACCTCGCCTCCTTTCTTCGTGGTAAAGCTGCCGCGGTCCTCGTACAGAAGACTCATCCTCTCGAGGAGCCAGGACTCCTCAACTAAAAAGTAGTGGGTCTCCACATATTTGAAAAAGATTCTTGCCAGAAATTCAGCAATTGGGCGAGGTGGACAGCATGATATTGCCGCTGAGAGATGATCACGTCCTGATCGTAATTGGTGGACTCGTGGGAAATCCCAACCTCTGTTGCGATCGCTTGTGTTCTATTTTCTTGAATTAGATGATCTGTTTCCATGTTCTGGCAGATATCGACAGAGGGAGGGGTTGATCCTACCCGGCTCTCCAATCCTCCCATTTGCTCAAAATGTTGTTTCAGCCGCATGGAGAAGTTCCAATATGAAAATTCGCCGGAAAAATCTAAAAATATCAGTCATGAGACATATCCAAATGGAATCAAATCGCGGAGACTGACGTGTTGTATTATCTTCCCTCGGATCCATCGTGCACGCTTCATCGTCCATCACCAATCCCTCTTCCACTTCTTGGGCGTCGGAGCCAACAAGGCTTGCATTATCGCCATCGGCATCGAGCGAGTCCGCTAATTCAGCAAGACTTTTTGAATCAAGTCGGATACCTTTAATTGTATGTTTTAATATTCGTTCCATATACTTTGAGCGGTCGATCAATTCTCGAAAGTCTGCCTTAGCCAGTTGTTCCCTGTTTGCTATTTTAGCGCCTTTGTGCTCCCAATAGTGGCTTTATGCATACTCACGCTGGAACGTAGGCCCTGAAATCAGCTGTCTTTGGAGCTTGCCTTCTCTCACAGACGCGTTGGAAGCGGAGGCACCTTCTGCATGGTGTTCCACCCTCACACTTCTCCTTCATGCGCCGACAGTCATCACATCTGTATGGAACATGTTAGACATCGTTCGTAATGCTGGAGTACTCCTTGATACTGACGCTCGAGCTGTGCGTTTCCTATTTTCCATATCGCTTCAGCTTCATTTGTGAGGGAGTGTCAAGTGGCTGGAAGTGATTAACTATCCACGGGGGAGGTACGGTTCCCCACAGCGCCGCCAGAGTGTGGGGTCGGTTGATCTCGTGACTCTCGCAGTGATAAGAACACCAGCGAATGAGAGCGCGGAATCTAGAACCTACCCTGATTAAGTTCCGAAGTTCAAAAGAGCCATTGTGATAAGCTCTCCTTCAATATACAGTGATACTATATGAGCATGATCTTCACTTACTATTGTGGAGTTGCATAGTGGAGACCTGTGCATGTACTCAGTTTATTTGCTTTTTCCATGACCTTGCGGGCCACAATTCGCCAGTTGATTTTGCCCCACGAACCTAGAAAGACTGGTTTTAGGACAAAGTCGCAAGTTTCAGCAGTCTATTAGTATGGGAGATCCTCCATCAAGTATGGTGCTCCAAAGCCGCAACCTTTCTAACGGTTGCAAACATTTGCCCCATGTTGGCCTCCAGCCTCAACACACAACCCGCATGGTCGGCTTCAGACTCCACTTCTAAAACAGTACCTATGAGGCTATGCCTTTTCTGCGGGAGGAAGTCACACCTGTCTTCCTGATTTGGTGTAATAAACGTATGCAGCGGCCATCCTATTCCCATTCATGAAGCCTGGAGTGAAGCCGCCTACAGTTCCCTCAAGTGTCGAGTCCGTGTCTATGATTCAATGGGATAAGCTTCCACCGATCTTCCACGACGCTAAGCGGAGATTTACAGTCAGGGGTGACTCTTTTTCCTACGTCTCTATTGGGAGGAGACAACAAGCATTTCTTCTGAGCCCCATTTACTTCGAAGATCATGGCTCAGTACCCCGAGAAGACGTTATCGAAATATTGAAACTGATTTTGGGTGTCATTACGCATAATTCCTAAAAAGAACTAGGTCATGCACTTGTGCATCATGTGCCTCGGCAATTATGGCTCAGCACGACCAAGCCTAAATGAACTTTGAATTTTGTAAACATAATTTGGAAAGCTAGATATGGGAGAGGATGATCCAGCCCCTTCCTATTGGCTATGGCCATCAGACATATGCACCCCAAGGAATTTCATCGTCATGTATTAATATCCAATATGAAATAAGTCCTGTATACTACCTACCTGTGTAGTCGTTGCGCTTTAAAATCACGATTCAGATTGGTTATTTTAAGTCCTAAAAATAGTCGCATACTGAGATGGAAATGGAATCGGTAGCAGGAGGACTGAACCTTTTTCTAAATATGGGAGTGGTCGGTCAGAATCGGCTCCTATTGGCAGATAGCATCAAACATATAGATACAGTCATTATGTATAAATCCTAAAAAGGAATAGATTGTATACGTGCAACCACTGCGCCCCAAGAATTATGGCATAGCTCTATCTATAGGGTATTGACGGTTGCTTGATTAAAAACTAAGTATAAAAGTTTTAGTCAGTCAGAACCAGCTTCTATTGGTAGATATCACCAACTATATGCATTCTGCAATGCAGTCATCATGTGAAACTCCTAAAAAGGAATAGAGTGTACTTTTGCAACTACTGCACCCCAACAAATACGGCTCAGCTACGGAAGTGGTTGAATACAACTGTGCATACTATTTGAAGGCTGAATATAGGAGTAGTCGATCAGAAACACCTCCTATTGGTTGAAAGGATCAAACATACGTACACCTGCAAGTCCGTAGACCTGGGATGCGGTCTCATATCTGAACCTCAAAAAGAGAAACATATACACCCGAGTCTATTTGCGCCCCACAAATTACGGCTCAGCTCAAGGGCGTACTAGATCAAGTACTGATTTTGGAAACCGACCATGGGAGAAGACAATCTAGATCCCTTCCTATTGGTAAGTGGTATCCAACACATCCACATCATGATACAGTATATAGATGCGGTCATCATGGGTATGGATCCTAAAACGGATTAAATACATGTGCATCTACTGCGCCCCCTAAATTACGGCTCAGCTCTATGTACCCGTAGATTATTGATCGGCCTCATTTTAGAAACTGTATATGGGAGTAGTTAATCTAAGTCACCTTCTATTGGTAAACAGCATCAAATACATGCAGTCCGTAGTACTGTTATCATGTATGAATCCTAAAAAGGAATAGACTGAACTTGTGCATCTACTGCGCCTCAATAAATACGGCTCGGCTCGGAAGCTTTACCGATTCACCCACTAATTTGAAAGCTGAATATGGGAGAACACAACCCAAATCCACTATTATTGGTAAATGGTATCCAGCACACATCCACGTGCAGTCCATATGTAGATGCAGTCATCATGTATGAATCCTAAAAAGGACTAAAATTTACATATGCATCCACTGCGCTTCGAAAATTACGGCTCAGTTCTCGACGGATTTCGTCAGTGAGTGGTAAATCTGAAACCTTGATATGGGAGAACACAACCCAAAGCCGGTCTTATTGGTAGACTGACAGGTCCTCCCAAATCAACCCGCTCCCTACCTATAACTTCGCCCTGCATGATTCATTAGGCAGCACCATTTCATTTTCGCAAGGCAGATTCTGTGAACTTCCTACTCCGCGCAGAAGTAAAAAGATATTCCTCCAGCCTAGCGTTTCTTGGCATACTGGGTCAGCCGGAGGGTCACTCAAGGCTCGGCTCCTCAAGATCCCGGTAGTACGGAGCACAGGGCACAAAGTACAAGGATAAGGTAACTCGCAGATCAACGACACATTCCAATATAAGAACTTTAAATAAATTTGAACTCGAAGCAAATCGCCTCTTGACGGGAGTGGCGGGAGTGTAGTGTAACAGTCTCAAGAACTTTGTACCTCCACGCGTACGTACGGAGTAGTTCAAGTTACATTGTGGGTCAAAGCTTGATTCTAATTATATCCATTCTTAAGCAAACTGAGGGGTACAAGTTTCATGGCATCTAGATCTGTGGTTTGCTTATATTACACTAATACCTCCGCGTCCTCAACCATCTGGCGCATGCATTTGTTGAAAACACAGATACATGAATGCAATGAATACCAGTACCAGGTAGAACTAGACGCACAGAACTACTATTAGGGTATAGTTAAGTTTAGATGGAAATCCATGAGTAAAATCAGCGCCTCGCATCATTATTAGGTCTGCACTGCGACAGTAAAGATATCAAGCAAGTAACTTGAAGCAAACAAGCAAGACACCCAGGCTCCACGAGTCGAGTCCCGTTCCCAGCCAGCCACAGTCAATCATCTCCACTCAGCCATAACAATCACTCATCCCGACAACGCTACACTATACACAGAACTCAACTCAACTCCCCTCAACTCAAGACAGAACTTGAAACTTGATAAGACTAAAGAAATGCCGAAGCGCTGCAATTGGACTAACACATGGAGCAAACAAACGGAGCTAACCGAATGAACCCCTCAAGGAAAATAAAAGGAGTTTAAAAAAAATTAACGAAAAAGAAGGAAGAGAGAGAGAGAGAGAGAGCGGGCGGGAAATAGGGCACACAGAAAAGCGGAGCAAGAACAAGATATGGCGTAGCAAAAGTACATCACAAGAAGGGTAATAGTGAGGTAGGTAGTGGTGGTGTGGTGTGGTTGTTAAAAAAAAAAAGAAGAAAAGGGTTTAATAAAGTTAAGAGGAGTAGGAGAAAATCCCCGGTTTCCTTCTGCGAGGAAATCATATTATCAAAACCATTCTCTTTTTTTCGGCAATGCGTGGGCCCATCCAGCGGAAAATAAAACGAAAATAAGAAAAAGAAAAGGGAGGCAAAGCAAACTGCGTTAGGCGATAAGGGAGTGTGTTGGTGTGATGACAAGGAAAAGGAAAAAAGTGGTTGGTGAAGGAGAGAGTGCGAGTTGGGATGAGATCGGTTCAAATCAGTTCAAGGTCAAGTTCGGCAGCCGTCAACGGCTCAGGGGAGAGGAGCAGAGCATTGGAATTGTTGGAGGCGGGTCGTCTTAACGAAGGGAGAAACCCTTGCGCTTGCCCTTTTCTTCGATGGGCCGGCCGCTCTCGAGGCGAGTTTTCTTTTCATCTAGCTCTGTGCGCTGCCGGTCTAGCTGCTCCTTCATCTCGCGGTGTCGAGCATACAATTCGTCTTCGCTCTGTTTGAGCTTGCTTTCCTTTTCGGAAACCTTCTGCTGGAAGACCATCTTCATTTCTGCCTCCATCTTGGACAGCTTCTGCTCGTGGAGGGCACGCTCCTCCTCCTGCTTCACAGCGGGGTTGACCTCCTTGAACACGCTGGGGTCCTGGGCAACACCCATCTGGGTGAGCTTGTCGGAGCGGTAGTTCTCGTACAGGAAGTTGTTGGTGTGCTCCTTGAGCTCCTCCATGTGGGTGCGGATCAGCATCTGGCGCAGCTTGACGAAGTCGCAGTGCTCCTCGTTGTCGACCTCGATGATACCCCAGGGGTAGCTACGGCCACGGACCTTACGGCCATCGGCAGCGGCGACCTCGGAGTTGGCACCGACAACGGCGAAAGGAACCTTGGACATGATCTCCTGGTTCTCGGCAATGGTCTCCTCATCGTCGAGCTCGTAGCGAGGGCCCTCGAAGATCTGGATGGAGTGGTGCTGGATATCGGCAAGAATCTAAAAAAAAGTGAAACATTAGATTCAACCCCGCTATACACGTAGAGAGAGGGGTATTTAGGGGAGGGGTGAAAAACATACGCGCTCCTTGAAAGCAGCGACCTCCTCGTCGGTCAGGGTATCGGCCTTGGCGATAACGGGGATCAGGTTGACCTTGGTGTGCATGCGGCGCATGACCTCGATGTCCAGAGGCTTCAGGGAGTGACCGGTAGGCTGAATGAAGTAAACGCAGGCGTGGATGCGGTTGTCGACAATGTTGCTGCGGTTGACCTTGTTCTCGGCCTCGAGGTAGGTATCGAAGCGCTGCTCGATGTTCTCGACAATTGGGCGCCAGGAGTCATCGTTGTTGACGAAGTCACCGAATCCGGGGGTGTCAATAACGCTCAGGCGGAGACGGACGCCGTTCTCCTCGATGTCGGCGCTGGTGGACTGGATGGAGACGGTCTTGGGGATGATGTCGGCGTTGGGGCCAGTGCGCTCCTTAGGAGGGTACAGAGAGGTGTTGAACAGGGTGTTGACAAGGGTTGACTTTCCGAGGCCGGATTCACCTGAAAAAAGGGGGTGGTGTGAGTTTCCGTGCCGATGGCCATTTGTGGGGTGATTCAGTACGTACCGACAACCATAACATTGAAGTTGAATCCCTTGCGAACACTCTTGCGGTGCCACTGGTTAGGCAGGTTGGCGAAACCAACGTAGCCGGTCAACTTACGACGAACAACGTTCTTCATGTCGGTGGCGGCTTGGGCGACAGCCTTGGGGTCCCGAGAGCTAACGGTCTGGGCGTTGCCGGAGATGGGGTTGCTGCGCTCGACGAACGGGGACTCCTTTCCACTGCTGGGGGTAGGAGAGTCCCGAGACGCGACGGGGGATTCAATGGCGGGAGATGAAGCTAGAGAAGACATCAGCGGCGAGTTCTGATGAAAGTAGTCGAGTGTCCCTGAAACCTGGGGATATCGCGACTCCGGAAGGACAGCTTACACATGGCGAAAGTCGTGTTGGGAAGGGAAGGAGAGGAAGTGAGACTAAACGATCCCCTGCGAATCAATGATCATGTCAGTTCGGTCCTGCAATCCGGGGTGGGGGGGAATGATTCTTTTGTCGTATATTCTCGAGTAAAGAAAAAAAAATCGAGTGGGATGAAGATCGAGAAATGTCAGGGAGGAGTTTCGTACCTGAAGACGTCGGAGAAAAGGGGTGTTCGGGAGTGGACGTTGCAGAAGAAGAGAAGCGAACGACCAAAAGCACCTCAAGGGAGGAAGCCAAAAAGACAAAAACGAGAGAAAGAGGGCGGATGGGGGGGGAGAGAAGGAGAAGGGGGGGAGGTTGAACGGAGTTCCAGTCTGGGAAAGAAAGGGGGGGCCGGGTGGATTAGTTACTTGTGACCTACAGAAGAGGTATGGTACATATTGACAGTACTAGTACTATGTACGATTTTACCACAAGTGATCTGTCGAATTGACTACCGATCATCTTGGATTAGGGTTCCAGTATGATTTATCGAATTGGCTCAGTATTATTCATATTCTCTTCATCTATTTATTGCTTTATTTATTGTTTTCTCGTCGCTGCAATGGTGCTGCAATTGGCATTCCGTAGAACAGTCGCTGTAGCACAGTAAATACATCAAACAGGCAGTATCTAGGTACAAATATAAGTTCGAGTATATTAAACACAAACTCCAATTTACCCTGCTTTCACTTGTTGACCCATTGAATACGGTGCTGCTGCTGCTGCTGAAGCTCCCGGGGTAATCTTGGATCAGGGGCTGGTCACGTGAGCTCCACCAAGTGTGGAGAACCAATTGTATAAAAGAATACGAGTACTTACGAGAACTACTTGTGTACTGTACACTGTATACTCAACGAATAGCATAATAAATAGGATATTGGTTACGGCACTATCTGTACATCCGACTCTATTTTCCAACCTTGCTCTTCTTCTTGGGTCGCGCTGCCTCATCATCATCGCCACCACCCGCCGCAGGAGCATCTCCCATCTCGTCATCACTGTCTCCGCTACTCTCATGCGCAGAGTCGAACTCCTCTGCAACATCCGAGTCTGAGGATGCATCAAAGTCCTCGTCCGGTGTGTCCGAGTCCTCATCCGCAGACCCGCGGTCGGCCCGGACAACCTCCTCGTCACTGGACTCATCCTGATCCAGCGTCGCGGCAATCAATCCAGAGGCGTCTTCGGTCATCTCGTTCTTGATGCGAATGCCCTTGGCCTTGAAGAAGTCCTCCAGGGGTTGTTGCTCCTCACTAGAAAGAAAAGTAGGTTAGTGTCTGTGTCTGTGTCTGTGCCAGCGCATGGCTTCACACAAAGGAACGACATACCGGTTGATGTTGCTGAATTGGTGCTCGCCCAGACCGGCCTTCAAGGTCACGGTAATATCAAAGGTGCGGCTGGCAGAGATGGCACCGCCCACACGCGACATTGTCACCACCGCCACGTTCTCCATCTGAATATAGGTGGCAGGCTTTGGCACGAAGAGCAGACTCTTGTCCAGGAAGTAAAGCAGTCCCTCGTTGGCCTTGATGGAGCACTTAACTCCCTGGTGGCCGTGGTGACTAGTGAAGTCCTTGGACGGCATGATGACCTTCTTACCCGACAATCCGCGGAAAATTTTGGTCACCACCTGGTGAATCGGTTCCTCGTAGTGCGATTGAAGCTTATCTTTGTAGTTCTGTTGCAGCAAGTCCTCGGTCATGTTCAGCTCCAGGCTGATCTCCTCATCCAGCTTCAACTGCATCACCAGGAACGGGTACCGGGTCTGGCCCTGGCGCAGGGGCGGGTCCAAACCAAGCACGATCAGTGTGTGAGTATCGTCATTCTTGGGCAGCAAGAAGAACTTCTTGATGGCGGAATATTGAATCTTATAATCGTACGTCTTGCCGCGAAGACGGAAGGAAGATTCGTACATATCGATATCGAACCGACCTCTGGGCGTAAGATGAAGAACATCCAGGAAAGTGGCAAAAGTATCACCAGCCACGTCTCCGATCTCCGCCTTATCCATCAGCGTCTCGTAGAAAAGATTGGCCGCATTCTGCTCCTCGACCTCCTCTTCATTCTCCTCGCCCTCAGCACCCTCAGCGCCCTCGGCCTTCTCCTTCTTCACAGCCGTGCCGGGGATGTAGAAGCGCATCTCGACCAGCTCGTCAGAGCAAGCAGCAGCCTTCCGGCCACGGTTTTCTGTACTGCCGGCGGGTTTTCCATTCGCGCCATTCGCATCGGCGGCTGAGAGCGAGAATTCCACGGCGACCTCGTTCTTGCCGGCAAGGTTGGTATTGGAGATCTCGGAGTAGGGGATTTCGAAGGCGGGTCGGTTCTGCACGTTGAAGGAGAGTTCTGCTTTGTTGAAATCGGCTTTGCCCCAGTTCCATCCTCGAAGGGCGTGTTCGCGACTTTCGACATTGATGCCGTACCAGATTTTGAAAGCTTTGCTCAATCGTTCGAAGTCCTGTCAAAACGGAAGCGATATCGTTAGTAAAACAAACCCCTTTGGAAACAGGTTCTGGGAACGTGTCGGGGGCCATCTTTCATACCTCCTGGTCAAATCCATCCAGTTGAATAACACCCGATGTGCGTGACAGAATCTTCAACTCGAATCCTTTGGCTGCGCGACTCCACTGCGCGGCACCGATGTTGCTGCTATCCAGCGTGAAGGTTTCGCCGCCGCCGGAGGGTTTCCATCCCAGACCACTTTCGGCGAGCTTGCATTTTCCTGGTTGCTTGGAAAGATCCAGGTAGATGTTGTCGAAGCTCTCCCTGTTTTCCATTGTTAGCTTTGAGGTGGAGGTGAAAGAAAGATGGGGAATCGGGCGCGCACATTTTGGAGGAGCTCTAAAGCCGATGTGTCCGAATCGGCAGGAAGAGAGAGAATCGAAATATTATAGAAATGAGGAAAGAGTTGGCCGGGTAGGTGGGATAAGATGGGGGAGGGGGAGGTGATGGTGGTGATAGCTCTAAGAAAGTCTCGGAGGTCGCGTTGCGCGCCGCAGGGAGGTCGGCCACTTCCACTTCCGCCCGTTTGGGTTTAGTGTGGTTGGCGGTGCAATCAGAGTTGCCAATCGGTGTTGTGATGAAATGAATATTTTAAGGCTGTCAATAAAATAGTTCTTTTTAATGTAATTTTTATTCAACTATCACTTGGTGTTTTCTAGGCTGTCTACTAGGTACTATAAGTAGAATGGAAATCAAGGCTGCGAGTCAGGTCCAACTTGAAGCAGAGGGCTACCTTGGTAGTAGTGCTACTAGTTATATATTTCAGTCACCCCCGAGGTCCATCATCACCTGGACATGATTGAAAAACCAACAACCTTGAAATTGTCGCCATTGCAATCTTAAAGACGAAACCGATGCTTGAAACATATTAATAAAAATACAAGTCTAACTGTATATCTATTTATTGCTTTCTGACTATCCTTTATTAAAGATCACGCCAACTACGCACAAGTACATTCTACGGTTCCAGCGTCGCGGCGTGAAACAGCATTGTGGACACTCCAGGATCCCGGCGGGACAGGTTCCTTCGTATAGAACTCCGTAGTTCTCAGGATATTGCGATGCATTACATCCCCTCAAAGCTTAATCCTTGATGAAACAATCGCAGCGCACTGATGGGATCTGCCGAAACCACTTTTCAAGTAGTTGCCAGTGTTCTAGACTGTCTCGGTTTCAGTCTCAGTCGCAGTCGCAGTTTCAGCACTGTGTTGTATCCCTAGTTGGACTCCCAACCACCATCACCACTCCACCCATATTTTCCGATCGGTTCCAGCACGGGTGGATGGTGGATGTGAATAGTGGACAGAGTACGTCGACAAGCAACAGAGACTGCGTGTACAGTGCGCGAAACAAGACAAGCGTGGAGCAGAATTCTATAATAAGTGGCATTGGGCGCGGGGCTGGATTCGGTCTGCTGTTTCGGCCCACTTGTATCGGAGCTAACGTTTAGCATGGATGACAATGTGAAGACGCGGCAGAGCCAGGCAGAAGCAGAGGCAGCAGAGCTAGAATAAAATTGATGGTGCAAGCTGTGTTAGTTTGTATGTATTTTTTTTGCTCCCCTGTAAGGAGTCGACATCATCGATGGGATGGGGACCAAGCACCCGGCATAAGCATAAACACCCAACTTTGGGAGCCGGGATGTTCAGGCTGGATGTAGATCCTCATTCAACGGGTATCGACTGGGTATCCGACGTAATTCGGGCTGGGATCGGGAGTCCCGGGACCTGATGGTAGAATGGATAGAAGATGTGGGTGGGGTGAATGCCTGGGATTCCAATAATTCGAGACCTGCCACTAGTATGACTGGAGGTTGGGCTGGGCACTCGGTAGAAGTGGAAGAACTGGCATGGATGGGAGACTGGAGAATGGCAGTCGACATCATCCTGGGATCCACCAGGGACGGAAGAGCGAGAATTGGGAGATGTGATTGGGTGGTGGAGAAGCAAAGAGTGGAGGGAATTCCCTGGGAAGTTGTGGCTCGGCGTATTTATAGGGAGGGTTACCATACAGTACAGCCAAGCACTACTGTACACACTACTCGTACCATACTGACCACCGTACTTACACCACCACCAGTCACCCCCTTCTCTTCTCAGGCTCTTCTGTTCCTTTCCAACAACCCAGTCATTCGTTGATTTCTGTTCTGCGTGAGAGGAAGCTTTGCCCTCGACATGCATCCCACATTCCTTTGCTTTCTTTAGATTGTTCCACGCCCACATTCTTTATTTTCCTTTCTCTGACGCGCTGTGGCGCCTCCTGAATTCTTTACTTTTAACCCTTTTTGGCTCGGCTTCTGCCCATTCGCCTCACTCCCACACCACCACCACCAATATTATCACTACCACCTCTAGACTCGACTGGTCTCGACTTCACTTTTTCCCCTGTCGTCGCCTACTCCCGACACAATGAGGGTTTCTTCATTGTTAGGGTCCGCGGCGGCCGGTCTGCCCGCCCTGTTCGCCTTGTTTTCGCCCATCGCACACGCCCAGTCGTTCGATGCCGTCTCGATTCCCGATCTCGACCTCTCCTCGTTGGGCCGTGTGACCATCACCGGTGACTTCGAGGGTGTCTCGCTGTACGAATATGAGGGCCAATCCGAAATCACCCAGCGACCCGGATCTTCGATTCTCACCCCGCTTCCCAATGGCATCCTGACGAATCTGACCTCCGCCGACGCGCAGATCAGCGACATGTGTGCCTTCACTCAAAAGGACGGAACTTTCGCTGGGATTTTTGTCGGTGGAAACTTCTTAAGCCTGGGTGGAGTTGACTCGCCCGGCGCGGCCCTTTTTAACCCCAACTCCAGCAAGGTCACTGCCCTGCCCGGCCTGAAGGGCTCCGTCTCGACCGTGCTTTGCGACCAGGACACCAATCGCGTCTACGTTGGCGGATCATTCACCTACGGAAAGACCAAGAACGCCGTTGCTTGGTCTCCCGACGACGGTTGGACCAAGCTCGCATTCGATGGTCTCAATGGTCCCGTTGAGTCGATCTTGAAGACTAGCGACGGTCACATTGTATTTGGTGGATCTTTTGATGGTGTCGGCAACTCAACGCACTCGTCGAAGAACACGAAGCAAGTTCTTAACCTGCAGAATGCGACCATCACATCCGACACCGACTCGTCTCTCAGCGGCTACTCCGATAACCGAAACATCATCTGCTCGACTAGTGGCAAGGCCGCTACCGGTCAAACATACCTCCTTCACGACAATGCCCCTGGATTTTGGCGCGCCGACCTTGGTTTTGACTTCTATCCGACAAAAGTTCGCCTCTACAACACTCATATGGATGGACGGGGCACCAAGGATTTCCTCTTCCGCGCCCTTCCCGACACTGGCATCATGAACATGACCTATACCGACGATTCAGGCAATAAACAGAGCTGCGATTCCTCCTGCCCGCTTTCCGATAGCACCACCGAGAAGTACCGCGACTTCACTCTTGTCAATCCCGTTGGCATGCGTGGATTTGAGATCGAAATTTTGTCCTGGTATGGACAAGGTGCTGGACTGAATGGTATCGAAGTATTCCAGGACCAGATCGTCACATATGCTGTCGACAAGTACAACGAGCCATCCTGTGCTGGAATTGAGTACGCGGCAAAGTCGACCCATACTGGTTCCTGGACTATCAAGGATGGTGGATATCTGTCTGCCCAGGTGACCGATTCCAACGCCGACGACACTTCTGTTGTTTATAAACCCGATATCAAGGAATCTGGCTACTATATCGTCAAGGTCTTTACCCCTGGGTGTACACAAGACAATACTTGCGCCTCTCGTGCCCAGGTCAACGTGACGGCGACTCTCTCGACCGACTCTGATAAATCTCAGCCATCCCCCAAGGTCATCTCCCAGACCAACAATGATAACAAGTACGATATGTTGAGCCAAGATTCTGTATATGTCGACGCCGCCAGTGACTCGTTCCGCCCTGCTGTCACCCTTCGGCCTATTGCTGGACAGGGAGATATTACCGCTGTTGCATCCCGCGTTCAATTTGTGCTGATCAACGGCACCGCCACCTCCGATGACTTGAACGGACTCTACGACTTTGATCCTTCTTCCAAGAAGCTCGATACCAGTGACCTTGACAAATCGGACATCAACAAGGCTGGCGAATCGCTCAACCACAATGCCTCGGTTATGACCCTGGCTGCGAATGACGATGTCATCTACGTTGGAGGAAACTTCACCTATAAAACTATCCACAACATCATGTCCATCACTGATGGCAATGCTACCGCAATGCCCGGCGGTGGTCTGAACTCCGAGGTGCTGTCTACCGCTACTCTTGACAGCACTCTGTACGTTGGAGGTCAGTTCACAGACACTTCTGACGGTGGTGTTGATGGCCTCAACTATGTTGCCTCTTACTCCTTCTCTTCCAAGAACTGGGTGTCTCTGGGTGATGGTGTCAATGGACGTGTTGATAACATCTATCCCCTTGAACTGAATGTGTCATCGGCGGTCAATGAGACCACCATTGCGGTGAGCGGTGATTTCACTAAAATCCTCGCTCATGGCGATAACCCCGCTGTCTTCGTTGCCGGCTTCGCAATTTGGGTTCCTTCTCAGAAGGTCTGGTTGCAGTCTCTCAATGATACCCAGATGGAGTTTGCTGGTCGTCTGTCGGCTGTTGCTACCCACAACGACACTTCGCTTCTGGCTGGCAGCCTCGCCACGGATGGATTCAACGCTGGCGGTGCAGTGTCCTTATCTGAGAGCGATGATGATCTTGATTTGATTCCATTGCCCATGAAGTTGGAACACCCCAGCACCAAATCTGGATCTGATTCCAGCCAGGGGGTGATTACCGGAGTCTATGATACCTCCTCTGACCGCAACCTCACCATCCTTGGTGGTCGATTCACCACGACTGCCACCAATGGCTCGACCGTTGACAATGTTGCTTTCCTGAATGGCACTGAAGAGACCCTCACAGGTCTCCCCACGGGCCTGCAAAGCAACTCTACAATCATCTCGATGCTTGTGTCCAATGACACCCTCTACCTCGGTGGAAACATCACAGGAACAATTGGCGGTGAAAACGTGAGCGGCCTGGTGACTTACGATTTGGTAATGAATGAGTTCGCCGAGACTCAGCCTTGGGGACTGAGAGGCAAGACTAACGCTGTCAACGCTATCGCTCACCGACCAGGCTCATCTGACGTCTACGTCGGCGGTGACTTCGCGTCAGCTGGAAATCTCCCCTGCAACACTGTTTGTAAGCTGGATGCCTCGGATAACTCTTGGCTGTGGCCTTCATCGGACATCAGTGGATCCGTGATCGCTCTCAAATGGGCGAACAAGAAGACACTGTATGCCGCAGGAGATATCAACATCAGTGGAAATAACAGCGCGATTGCCACCTTCAGTACCGAGTCCAGCCTTTGGACTTCCTTCCCAGGATCATCCAAGTCCGCAATTCCGGGCAACATCACCGCATTCGCTCCCGCCAGCGAAGACATCAGCGAGTTCTGGATCGCGGGCACATCGACCAACGGTTCAGCCTTCATGATGAACTACGATGGCTCCAACTTCAACTCCCCCGGCAACCTCTTCTCCGAAGGCACCCTCATCCGAGGCATGGAGATTCTCCCAGTCAACCAGGACCACTCATCCGTGTCTCTCCTGAACGACGACCAGATCCTCCTGATAATGGGCGAACTGATCATCCCGGATTTCGGCAATGCATCCGCAGCGCTCTACAACGGCACCGCAGTCACGCCCTTCATCCTGTCCTCCAAATCCGACGGCCAACCCGGCAGCATGTCCCACCTTTTCTCCGAGAACGAAAATCCCTACTCGAGCGGCAGCGAAAGCCACCACTCAAACGGCATCGTCGTCCTCGTCGCCTTCTGCTGCGCCCTGGGCTGCGTATTTCTCATCGTCGCTGCCGGCGTCATCTTGAACAAGATCCAGCGCCGTCGCCAAGGTTACGCCGCGGCCCCGCAGACCTTCGGTACAGACCGACCAACAGACATGACCCGTCTGCCGCCAGAGTATCTATTCAATTCCCTCGGCCACACGAACCCCACCGCGCCAGCAATCTAATGAAAGCATTCCCCCCCTCTCCCCCCCCAACCCCTCTCTCTCTTGCACAAAACACGCCCTGTTCCTAAGCCTTAGCTTAGGTCTTTCAATTTTTCTTTCAATTTTTTTTTCTCCGGAAGCAACGCCGCTGCTTATACCCCGCCCCCTTAATGTTTGTTTACTCTCCTGCTGTTTTCTGTCAATGTCAACCAGCGCAATTGCACTGCGATACCTTTCTCGCGCCGGCCGTTTTTCTCCCCTCTCCTTAATTGGATTGGATTGTTGGTCTCGACGCTTCCCTCCCGTTTCCCTTGACGAGATGATTTGATTTTGTCTCTTGTCCTGGTTTCGAAATTTTCCTCCCCCCTCTTGTGCATATGATATGCCTCCATATACATGTGACACTTGCCCTTTGTAACTTAGTGATTACATTACGTCCTGTCCCGGGGACGTGGTTAATACAATGATCTACCGATTATGAAGATATTTTGGTTTTGTTCTAGTAGGGTTGAGAGTAGGATAGATGTAGTGGTGTACTCATAGGGAGAATGGGGAGGGCGAATATAATCCTTGTTCATGATAAAGATCGAGCTAGACTATCTACATGACCTAACACTCTGCCGGCTTCGCAAGGATCCTCGTCCTCGAGGATAGTAAGGATAAGATCGTAGTCTGTAGCGACAGTGAGGGTAACATGGACATGAAGCCTTACGCCTTAACAGACCCGATAGCAGAGTAGAACCAACCGAACAACATAACCGACAACACCGAAGGACGAAACATGGGGGTTTTGTCCATACCGACATTTGCTCGGCAGTTGGGTGGGCTTTTGTGTCCTGGCAGCATTGTGAGACTATGCTGTGTTCGTTCGACCATATGCGATAGTAGTTTCTGGCTGTCCGGAGTGTTTGTCACAACAGACCGTCAACCAACCGAACAACCTCAAAACTCCGCCGATCATGCATCCATCATCTTCAGACACGCTGAGCACGTTCGGTAGCACGTTCGGTAATCGACTCTTCTTCGGTATGCCGCTTCGATGATCGACCCCCTCAAGGAACGGTCGCGAGACCATTCGAGACTCCAAGTTCATCAGCAGACTCGATAGATACCCCAATAGAAGCTGTTTGGAGAAAGGACGATGGGTAGAAGGGAATTGAAAGAACAACTTAAATCGAAGGGGCGATGCCTGAAGCGAAACGAAGGCAGACCGACGCCTAGCAGATGTAATGGACTCTATATAATATACAGAGACCAAACTTTGTCGAAAATGCCATCGTAGAAGCAGGAGAGGATCCTGCGATAGTTCCTCTGTGAACAGGATAAAAATATAAAGCGTGCGCGCATACCACCAACGTAAAACTTGTCTGAATTCGTACAATGTTCATTGCACCATTTCCAGTGACATCGCTCGGTTACCGCGCGCGGAGATCAGGTTCCCCGTAAGTCTTAATGGCCAGAACGGCTGCCTCGTTGTTGAGTGTAATATGCGGAGGCAGGAAATGTAGACAGGAATCGGAGATAAAGCCGGTCGTCAGTGTAAAGAGTTTCCAGTTACTTTCTCTTGGGAATGCCATCTTGATCATGCCTGTGTCCATAAAATTATAGGGGGTTAACTTAACCCAGTTGGCAAGCCGGCCTTCGGGCCGGCTGTCAGGTTCATGAGACTTCACATCCTTTTCTCGAATTTGACGGATCTATGGGTCTAACTTTCGGCATCCTCTTTCGCGGTGGTTATGTTTCGCGACGTTCAACTTTCGCGAAAGAGTGAGGCTGCCACCTTGGCTGGAGACATTGGTAAAATTTGCGCGAATATATAGGCTGGGAAATCCTAGCCCATCCTTGGTTGGAATAAAGCTTCATTTAACACGGAGAATATCGTCGGAGAAACATAACCCAATTTGGCACCATGAAGATTAGAGACAGCCTCATTGACCTTCGAGAGAATTTGACGTCTTGCAATTTCGTGAGGTCTCGAACACCACTCTCCATCTGGCCTGATCCTCCGGCGTAGTGCCCCATGCTGGGTCTTCGCCCCATTGTGGGTGCCATGGATTGATATTGTTGTATTTCCATTCAAAAAAAGGAAGCCACCCCAAGAGCGAGTCGGCCGCTGTTCCTCCACATCAGCGACACCCTGTGCTGAGAAGCAAGATAATGGAGTCCATCCTCATGCTGCTTTGAACACACACCGCCGATATGGCAATTGGTCGGTCGGATGTATAATTCCCCATAGTAGATGCTGGATATTCATGCTGACGCTTCGACTTGTCTTGATAGCGAAGCTTTGAGGGGGTTATATAGATCGTCCAACGATTGGGGTACTTGATCCGCAACAAGCCCCGGGTCCGCGACAAATCACGTCTCCACAGCGTATTCGCATCCATGTACCGCCTCATCGGTAATAATAGCGGGCATTTTCTGAACCAGGGCGGGATTGAGAGATTGAAAAAGGCATTGTTGTGATAGAGATGGCGACTGTCAGAAGTGCCCGGTAGTATTCATTCCGTCACTTGAATTGCTTAAAGCGACGGTTGTTAAATGGTACTGGATATTGCCACCTCGGCCGGATCGCTGAATGGTACGTAGAAATGATTCGATTTGTCGGCTTTGTCTAGCTTCGGCGCCGACCTGAGTCGCAGCCATGGATTGGTTGAGGACCGATGCCTTTCGATGCAGTCTCTGGTCTTTGGACTTTGTTAGAGTCCTATATCCCCCCGCGTCGGGTCGATTCAGCCTCCTTAAACCCACCGATGCGTTTGATCTCCTTATAGGAGAGCCCCCTCCTCTTGCATTTCACGAGGAATGCATTGCGGGAGTTGCCTATATGGCGACTGGCCCTGTTCCGTCCGTACCTTCTTGCCCTCTCACGAAGGAACGAGACGAGATTCGAACTGAGCTTCCTGCTTGCGGGAAACCGATCATGCAGAATGACTGTCCGTAGGCAGTAATGTTTTTGAGTATGAGGACGATTCCAGAACGGCACGGGAGAATTATGAATCTTTAGTAGGGGACTGCGATCACAGTTCGGTTTGAAGTCGTGGAAAATCAGGATCGGACACAAGTTTTCGTGGCTGGGATTTGGACGCGAAACGGTAGAGGATGAAGATGGAAGCTGTTGTTGTTTATGTTTTTTGGTTTGTTGTGCCTTCCCAGTGAACTTGGTGGTTGGGTTGCTCCTTCCCTGCGAAGGGGGAAATTGTATTGTTTAGGCAACAACACAGGAAAGTCTTTACAGAGTATAGTATGATATATCTAGATATATCTAGATGGATGGAAGGAAGGAAGGATAATAATAATATAGATCTATATTGAGAGCCCAAGGCACATACCTCAAAAGCCTGAAGGATACTAGCGAAAATTGGAAGGGGGCTGGAAAGATGAAGAAGACGGTTTGGTACTACCCCGGCCAGCAGAGGAAGAAGACTTATAAGCACATTGCATTATGCGTGTTCCAAAGAAATGTTTCCATGATACAATCATACATAAATGGACCACATTCAATGCAAATGAAAATCTTTAGCCTCGATTGACTCTACCAAAGTATGGTAGAAGTTTCATATTAAAACACTAGTACCGGATATCTACCGCCGTAGCCCTAACTCCACGAGGAAAATAAGCTTATACTCACACCACGCCATACACACACAAACACAAACATACACGAAGACACATGGGCACAAGGCACACGACACGGCACAGCACACACCGCACACACACTGTACACACACTGTACACACAGGATACACCATACGGGACATGCACAGACATAGTCGGCACGCACATGAGTATACGGCACGCACACAGACACACAGCAGGCACGGGCACCCACGCAGAGAGAGAGAGGGCGAGAGAGCTGGAGAGAAGGAGAGGGAGAGAGGAAGAGGGAAAAGGAAAAGGAAAAGGAAAAGGAAAAGAATCAAGCCCTCCGCACACCACTCCCGACAAGCCCAACACAAACAGCTTATTAGAGATCGTGAATCTCGTACCACTTCTTCTTGCAAGTGGCATTGCCGAACTGGTAAGAGCCCCCATTGGCCGAAATGTGCTCCGACACCTTCTTCCAAGGAATCTTGGGAGACTGATATGCTTGTGCCTGCATCTGTTGATATTGCGCCGGCACCGATACTGAAGCCGGGGTTGTGATCGCACTCGGGCTGGTGTTCATCGCTGCTATGGCGGCGTTGGCGGCGAGGTAGGGCCGCACAGACTTCTCTGTATATAGATCCACGCCTTCGCAGAGAAGTTGAATCTGGGAAATGCGGTGTTAGTGTTTGGACAATTCTTGCTTTTTGGTAGAGTATAAGATCTGGTGTTTGTGTTTGTGTTTGGGCTTGTGTTTGTGGGTAAGGGCATGGGTGAGATGAGTGTGCATGCATGGGAGGAAGGAGAGAATAGTTAGTACTCATTACTGTACATACATCGGCATCTGACCACTTAGGCTTGCGCACTCTCTGGTCCTTGGACTTTGTGAGAGTCCTGTATCTCCCTCGCAGGGTCGACTCCGCCTCCTTAAAGCCGCCGATGCGTTTAATCTCCTTGTAGGAGAGACCTTTGCGCTTGCATTCCACGAGGAATGCATTGCCACATAGGCGACTGGTCGGACGGACGAGTGGCTCCGGGCTAGAGATGTGGCTTCCATGAATCGAGGGAGTGTTGTGGTCTGTCCAGCCTTGTGGCTGGATCTGGTCCTCAGAGGCTGTGTTACTCAGATAAGCCAACGACATGGGTGCTGATGCTGCCGCTGCCGCTGGTGCTTGCATTGCATACGCATTATATTGCGATCCTTGGTATGCAGTGTATGCCTGGGGAACTGGCAGGCTGAAATCGCCGGACAATGAGGTAGGGTTCTTGTGGTCAGGGAACCCCATGATGGGTGCGGATGATGAATTTGTGGAGAGATGAGTGTATGGCTGTGAAGAAGATCTCGAATCCATCGCCGGAGCAATCAGGTTTGGTGAATCGTGCCAACCACTGTAAAGGTCCTCTGGCGCAGTGCTCCATGCCGGGTCGGCACCCCATTGCGGGCGCCATGCATCGACTTGGGTGTACTGCAGTGGTGCCCATAGTTCATTGCCGGAAAACGACATACTTTGAGGATGCTGAGGCATCATTCCCCCGACTACTGGAAGGTTTGTACCGTGAGACGGGAAACCGTGGTTCATGGGGATGTCGTCTTTCGGCGTGTTAAGGGTATCAAACGACGACATCAATGATGTTGGTGTCTCTGCGGTCTTGGCTGCGAACGACGGGCTTTGATCAGTACAGACCATGTTTAGCACTGGCATGGTATATTGTAAATCCATAACCGTCTCTGCTGCACTGGAATCTTCGATGCTCTCAAGGCGTTTGACATCATTCTCACTGTTCAAACACTCATTGTGACCGTATCTTACCACCCGCGAGAGTGTGGACTGTCGTGAAGCAGCTGTATCTTTGTGGTCGTTGCTTTGGTCTGGTGTGATGACCGGTGCTTCAGAAAACTCCTGGAAGCCTATAGAGAGAGGATTGTTCATGCTGAAAGAATGCTTTCGATGAGGTTTGAGTCTTGTAACTGGGAATTTGCGGACACGACGCGAGCGAGAGAAGCGAGAGCCTTCTGTTTTTGAAGGTTTTCTTTTGTGTCGAATTTCAGGGCAAGAAGAAGATGGCCATTGTGCCAAAAAATCGTAGAGTGAAAGTTGGGACAGGTTGAGGGAAGAGAACTGGTCTGAGATGAACCCGCAGTGGGAAGGTAGGTTCCTCTGGAGTGGCAGCCATTGCTCCCGAGCCCCCGAATTTACAAAAATGTCCACCATGATAGTATGAGAAAGCTCGAAAATGTGGGGAAAAGTTGGTGTAGAATTTGCCAGTCTTCTTTCTCTCTCACACTGGCTCACCGCAACTATTTGTTGATTGATAGATTTGGTCGTACACGGGATATCGCTGGGTGTGGATGACCGTTAAAACATATGCTCTCTTTCTTGCACCCTAGGACCCAGTGTCAGTGCGCAACGGCTACTATACCGCTGGTTGTTCAGGATGCCTGCAGGAAAAAATCATGATATCAGCCTATGTCTCATGTATGTGAGGGTTTTTATTCCCCGTATAGCATCACGGGTTGACGCCCAGGTGGCTCACTTTTCACTGAGTATATTATCAATGTTTGATGGCAAATTGAAAGAATATAGAACACAAAATGACGTGATAATTAGTGGACTGGAGGTAATTGATCTGAACATTCGAGAAACAAGATTCATCCAGTGGGGGATATCTCGGCTTGCGGCTGCACGGTTTGACGCAACGCTGTCTCAGATCTAAAGACAATCCGAGTGCTGTAAAGGACAAAAAAATCGATTGAGAAAATGAATTGGGCCAAAATTTCCACGAATATTCAAAAGATGAATTCGCAACAGAATTTATAGAAAATATTGCACCTTTGAAATGTTGAAAGCACGGGGGCCAATAAACGGCCATCTACAAGGTTAAAAATAAGAACGAGCTTTTCAAGCCCTTGATATGCACCCTAGCCATTTCAACCTCGGGCCGGCCCTTAGAGGAACTCATAAACGGTTCCCCGGAGTTTAGACCGTTGGACCATTCCCAATCGAGCGAAAAATAAGAGTAGTGCAGATCAGACATCCAGATCCAGCGTTGACATGGATCGTTACCGAAATGACACCAACCCTAGCCGAACCAAAAATCTCCGGGTGGCTGAAAATATCCGCTGTTTGATCCACTTTCCGGGCGTTTCAGATAATAATATTTATGGAGTGCAGTAGTGCTTTTTATTTCCTCGAATTCGGGATTCAACCATGTCTGTCTGGGGTTTTTGTGAGACAGGTAGACGGGTAGACGGGTAGAGGGGATGTTCGATATCAAACTTCTTGGGGCGGCTGAACGAGGGCTTTCAGAAAGCGTCTCACTAGACGAATGTCAACTAGTAGCAAGAAATCAAAAAAAAGTCGATAGGGATAATTATGTTGTCTTCATGTCTAGTCCATCCTCGATTCATGAAGAACACTCTAATCTCGAGCCGGACTGTAGCAACCCCAGCCCACACTAACAACTGACAGCCCCGAACCAGATCAACCCAGGCCGTGGAGAAGGCCATCCATCGAGCGCCGAAATACAATTGCTCGGAATATTGCTCATCGCCTCATTTCTCAGTTCTGGGCTTGGCTCGGCCAGTTTGACAATGCCCATCCTCCACGGATAACTACATGGGGCTTGCTGGAGAGGCTCTCTCTGTTATCCGCTCAAATGGGAAGAGAACCAGGCTTGAACCAACCGCACTGGAAAAGCAATTATAGTAGGGGGTAGCGGTATGCATGACCAGCAGTTTTGAGTTACCAGGGTATTTTAAGGTTCGGTGACCTGTCTATTTCTCTGTAGATGCGTTCTACCAGAGACAGCGGAGTGGACAGTTAATTTTTGAATCAATGATGGAAGAGAGAGGGAGAGAGAGGGGAAAAATAAACTCCAGTATTAAGCCCAGATAGTCTCGGAAGAAGTTGTCCCTGCCTGATACAGAAGGTTGGGATGACAACTATATACGAGAGTGGCAAGATCCTCACGACACGCCATAGACCACTCCATTCATCGACCGCCCGAAACCCCACCAGACTAGCACAACCGGCGATTGGCTCTGTTTCAAAGAAGCTTCTTTCCCCTAGCATGAGTAAATATCCGGATAACGCCGAAATCAGCAGGATGGAGAACTAGCCTGCAGAAATGCGAACGCGCAACGGCTGCTGTCTGTATCCCAGTCCAGGGAGAGCAGGGCAGGGCAGATAGATCGTCCATTCGGATACAATCCCGGGAATTTGGGGAGCTTGGATACTCATCACCCGTTGATCCACCCACTAAGATGTCTTTTTGCTTTTAGGCACCATTGCCTCAAGGTTGGAATTATCAACCGACGGGAGGTCTGCCTCGATGAAACGAGGGGATCGCTTGCATATGCAGATACTTTCGGGCTGCTGTTATTCATGCCGCTCCCTTAAGAGGAAAACAAGACATTAACCCTGACTTGGGCTCAAACTGAAACAAATCCGGGGAAGCTGGAGACATGGCCTGAATGAGGTTGGTATAACAATGTTCGGGAGCAGGTTTCTTTCACCGAGACGAAGGTTGGAAAGCAATGATACTGGTTATTTGGTCTGGTTTAGAGTAGGGACCTCGGTCATGGAGATGGTAGTAGGGGCTTAGTATCACGCATCCTTTATAATGGAGTGCTTTTGTAATGAGCATCTGGCCACTTTTCCAATTGCATATGCCGGCCTCAACAACAGTCGAAAACAGCGGACAGGAAAGACCTCGAGACCTGGAATTCAGTCCCCCACCCCGCAAATTGCTAGACGAAGATGTTCCGGATGAGAAACAACTCTGTATACATCCAGACATGTAGGTATGCGCTGTCGCGGATATGGGCCCAATGGGTAGTGGGAAAGAGAGACAACTCAACCCGCACCCCGCTGTCTCTGATAATTTCAAGGGATACTGGAGGTCTCGGGTATCGAGATAGACGAATCCAATGAGCAAGCTCAACTTCATTTGCGCAAAAAAAAGAACCAATTAGGTCTCTCAACAAGTAGAATTTTTGACCGAAGTGAAGTACAACTCGCCCTTCTCGAGCAAGACCGACCAAAATGATATTGTAGGTCAAGCAGCAAAGACAGGGACTCATACAGAATGTCGATTCGCACGTTCATGTGGGAATGAAGGGGGTGTGTGTAAAATATCTAAACTAGACGACATTCTGGAACCAGACTCTTCCTCCGGTAATGGTGGCCTTCCTTGAACAGGTATATGAATCTCTCTCTCCTCGGTACAAGATAATGAGACGCGTCGATCGAGACTACCCTCCAAAGCGGGGGCCAGATCCAGGACGGCCATCCCCGGCCTAGAAGCAATATTGCTAAGCTGGATGTTTTCTTTCCGCTTCCGTCGGTCAGCTGCGGCTCTCCGGGATGCAAGACAATCCAAAAGTCGGTCAACAAAGAGCACTAGAGCCAATCAGAATGTTAAAATTAGACGCCAGAGGGAGAGAGAGAGAGAAGACAAACCGGTCAAAAGGGTCAAGCTGAAGGCATATAATATGATCGGCGAAGTCATGAATGCATGTGCGAGCGGAAAATGACTTGCGAACGAGACTAGGCTGGCTAGGAAGATCCCGAGAGCAACCCGTGCAGTCATTGATAGAATCTGGTATAGCCAGCGCTCATGACGTCGAGAGAGCAGCAGAAACGCAGTGAAAAGTCCCATCAGCAAGCTCGCGACAACAAAGAAGTACATGTAGACGAAGGCGAGAACTTTCATGTACATTCGTAGCAGCTGTTGATTGTCCAGGAGGCCGATGTCCACTTTTTTTGATGGGATTATGTCCATGCTGGAGAACAGTGCAGCCGTTACATTGCCCATTAGGTCATTGAATAAATCTTCTGTATATTGCAAGCCGACGGGCCCGACCCCTGAGCTAGACTCCGGACAAAGAGCCTGCTCAGCCAGACTCTCAAGTAGACTTGAAATGGCGGTCCACTCTTGGGTGGCACCTCGGCTAAATGGAATCTCCATGTCGGTGATAGTACTTCGTATGAGCCCAACTGCTCGCTCTGTATTGGGGCGCGGCTCTTCGCATACAAAAGAGAATGTCTCTGCCAGATATCTCAGCTTCAAGGTCACATCAAGCGTCAAGGCTAGAATTTGCGAGCCCTCGAGAAGCAGAATGAGGGCGACATGGAACGGGAAATGAAGCTGTACCCACAGCTGTTGGGATAGTTTTCCGAGATGTCGCCGTGGAGATATGTCAAAGTAGACTTGCCACAGCAAATACTGCGTTTGGTCAGCGCGGCCTCTCAGGCGGGGGATTAGGGGAACCCACCACGTTGGCAGTGACACCCAGTATGTGTACAAACGACCACTTGGTCCACCCCCCGGGCCGAACCGTCTTGTTGACAATTCGAGTGATCGCAATAACCCCTTCTCCAATAATGATGAGAGTGAGAAGACCCATTCGTACGTTCAAGTGGGTTTTCTGGAATCCAATGCCGGGGAATAGACAAGAAACCCCCATCACCGTCCACATTTCAACTCCAAACAGAACGAACCAAACGGTCCATATTCTAGCGCGTATATCATAGGCCCACCGGAAAGCGAAGTACATCTGAAAGAGTGTTAGCAACTCCAGTTCATCCCGAATGGGATTTCAGCGATCCAGATGAATGCCAACACACCCCGATGTAAAATATCGTTGTCATCCAAAGCACAGAAGCTGTATATAGTAGCCCTCTTGCAGAAGGTTTCATATGTCTGTAGACGAAAAAGGTGTTAATCGTGTACTGAATGGCTAGCAGCGAGCGACTCCCAGCGAGAATCAAACTCAGAGACTGAAAAGCCCAAACATTCTCATCCCGGACACGAGTTGTGAAGCGAGATCCGGCAGAGGCAAACCCGACCATTGCGCCAAGCTGAAATCCTTTGCATATTCGTTCGAAGATGGAGTCTCGTGCGAAGCGGATGTCGAACAAGGTGACTTGTAACCAGGTAAACCAAATCACCCCGAGAAATCCAATGTATGCACCCAAAGCTAAGAATATGACCATTAGAACAGAGCTTTCATCCCACCAAAGACCCCGAAGAAGTCGCACCATTCACATTATTGATCTCGTGGGTGGCAGTAAACGTGGAGAGATTGGCGACGAAAAACAAGTCGAAGAAGAGCTCGATAGGTGTCGCGTCTGAGTGACGGTAGAGACGGGGGATACTTTCGGTCTTCTCAATAGGACTGGCGATCCATGCTAGACGTGTGTCGTGTACGCTGGGTACCTCACATTAGGGGATGCAGTGAGAAGAGAGCGCATCTGGACTTACGGGATGTCGTTCTCCAGACCCGCATGTTTACGCAAAGGTTGTCGAAAGATAGAAAGATTCCATAAAGGAGGATTCCATGAAGGAGGCATGTTGTATATTGCAAAGGATGTAAAGAAAACAAAATGAAATTCTCCGTGGGGTATCAAAAAGGGAGAATCTTGACTCCAAAGATGCGTAGGTTCGAATGGAAGGCGCAGACAGCAGCCAAGCATCGGCCATGGATAGTACGGGCAGGAACAACAATTATACCATAGGTACATCTTCATCATTCGACTCTCCAGTGGCTGAAGCCGTTATGGGTGCGCCGATGCTTTCCAGCCCTCGCGGCTGTTCCAGAGCACCGGCTGCTGCACCATCCGCACCTCCCTCCACACCAGCCTCCTTTTTCAGTCGCTCATAGTTGTCGCCCGCTTCCTTAATCAATTTCTGAATTTCCACCTCACGAATAGCGATATCCGCCTTCTCTTTCCTCAAGTCTTCCATTCGGCTGATCATCTGCGTTTTGGATGTTTCCATCGTCGCCAGAGACAAGCGAAGTCGCTCGAGACTGTGCGATAGCTTCGGCAAGGAGGTCATCTTGGGAGGTGTCCGAGGGCGGTCGATGCCATCTGACCTGCTACCAATGGCAGCCTTAGTTTGAGTGGCTTCATAGGCAGCCTTCTCCTCTATATCGGAGTCTTCCGAATCGGATATTCCTTCAGCATCATTAATAAGCTCGCGCATCGCATCACGATCCTTCCGTTTCTGTTCGCGCTCCGCTTTCTTGCCCAGCGAGATTTTCCCATCCTCCACATATTCGTCAAATCCTTCCGCAAAGTCTTCGTCGTCCCGTATCAAGCGCGTGTCTGTATGCTCTTCCTTGTCGCCGCGAGCAACCGCATCCCAGTCATCATCATCTCGGGTGGCATTGTCGTCCAGCGCAATGTAATCCTCCTCCTTCAAATTGGCACCGTGTTCTAATGCTAGACGTTGCCGACGGGCCTTCTTTTCCCGAATCTCGGCCTCCGACGGAATCGCAGATTGTCCTGATACCTTCATAACCTCGCCAAACTTCGCAGCAACATCGACAGTTCGGTCTTTCTCGTCGTCCGTACTGGCCTTGGGTGTGGAAGGAGTTGAGTCGCGGAGTTCTTTCAGGTAGTCGTTGCTATAACTCGGTCGATCTAAATCCTGCGAGACTCGCGGAGCTGCCGAGGAATCTAATGTGCGTTGCACAGCGCTTCTCTCCATCGCTTTGCGGCCAAGGCCATGTCGCTTTGGAATGACTACCCCGCTGTCTTGGTCGTCATCGTCGGCCATTGAGGTCTCGCCAAAGGACAGGTTCAATTTGGATTTTTGCTTCGCTTTCGGGCGTATAGGTCGCTTGACGACGGGCTCTGCATTGAAGACATAGAGTTAGAAGCTTTATCTTAGGGCCTTATGCCTGGCAGTGAAAGAATATAGAAACAAACCTGGCGCCGCGCTCACTCCATTCCCCTCTCCCTCGTCCTCCTCATCGCCGCCAATTTTGCGGGGCTTCCTGCGGTTGGCGAATTTAGAGCTCATACTTTCTGCGACAAAAAGTAGAGAGAAAGAAAAGAAACTGTAGGTTGAGGCGAAATTCCCAAGGTTGTCTTGAAGCCGGCGCGGAGAGCTCTTATCGCATATCAGGAACATTGTTTCTCCGGGTGACCACCTCCAACCAGCGCGAACCTTTTCGATACGAGAGCATCCTCCGCAAGCCAAACCACATCCCCATTCGCCCAAGATGCCTCAAGCTCAGCCTGAATTGAAGAAGGTGAGTTACTTTTTGCTGCGCCTATGTGTATACTCCGAGCTTGTCCCACTAACCATTTCCCTTTCTTCCAGTACATGGAGAAGCGGGTCTTCTGCCAGTTGAACGGAAACCGCAAAGTTATTGGCCTCCTCCGTGGTTACGATGTACGTGTCGACCCTATCTACCGCCCTACCGCCCCAATTGAATGTGTGCCGTACGCATCGCGAAACCATTGCCTCATCGCCGCTGCTCGATACGGTGACAGCAGCAGCGCATGGCACGGCACGACACGACACCGGGGCGGGGCTATGCAACTTGCGAACAGGACTGATTCCGCGGCTTCTAGGTTTTCATGAACATTGTCCTTGACGAGGCTTTCGAGGAGAAGGCTGGTGGTGAGAAGGTTTCCATTGGAATGGTGGTACGTAAAGCATTTGATATTACCCGCGCACGTTGCGTTAGGCTGGAACTGGAACCCATTTGCTAAATGTTCTTTCTCGACAGGTCATTCGCGGTAACTCGGTCGTCATGATTGAGGCCCTTGAGCGGATAAGCGACAAATAAACATACCAACTATGTGATCTATGACATTGATTTTCGAGAACTCGCGAGGCACCAAAAGTTTGGCTTGAACTTCGAAACCTCTGCCCTGCCAGCGGCTGGCCGGGGAAAACCATAATGATACTGGGAGTTTCTGGATCTGTTGCTGCATGGGAACAATCAACCTTTTTTTGTTATTTCTCCTTGTTTTTTTGCCGTTCCCGGCTTGTTCACGCCAACACCTTAGCCGTAGGCATCTTATTATTGTTCGACCACCATTGACAGCTGTCAAAGCTTGGATTTGTTTGCTGTAACTGTAACTGTAAGTACTTGCACCAATCAGAAGGCACCTTTGTTAACTGTAGCCCTAGCACCTTCCTCAATTTGTACTACTAGTAGTCCTTTGCACCTTCCGTGAATACGTCAAGTTTGTTTGTTTGCCTTCCATAAATACTCCCTCCCCCCCCATTGTCATTTCTTCTCTAAATCCCCCGATCCTCACTCTCCAGGCCCCCCCCTAGACATATTTCTCAGCGTCGGCGACAAGTTTCTCGGAACTCCCGAAGGAAGGGCAAATTCAAACAAGTCCTCGGCTCCGGAGACAACCTATAGCGATCAAACCGTTCGCCATTTTGAGACATCAGTAATCGGAAAGAGCAAGAGCCTGGGTCTTGGCGATTGCCACACGCACCAGGCAGGTAGCTTCAATGTCGACAGATGATATCTTGAGCAAAATACTCCATTTTGAAAGATCAACGACATGGATTCAGAGAACCAATGCAGTCAATTCTTTCCGACAATACGACAATTCGCCGAAGCATAAACTTCCAGAGACCGCGCAGTCAGTCAACTTACATACAACAAATACAACCAAATTTCCGAGCCTCGCCCTAGCTTCAGGGCTTACTCCTGGCCACGATATCTAAATCAATCCGACAGCGCAGTACTTGCAACGACCTTCGAATTACCATATTGGAATTGCGATTTGGTTTCTGACAGATTTTGTCTGCAAAAGAACCAACTATCTAGATTGATCATTTCGTGGCGGAATTATCGATCCATACATCAGTGCATGGGTAAGAAAAAGTCCACAGTTCCTTATTCCCACAGCAATATCCTCTTCTGTGTTATCTTATACTAACATCCCCTATCTTGCTAGGATCGGATCTCCAAGGTCTGTGAGAAAATCCGCTCTCTCCAGCCGAAGCACGCAGCTGCGGTTGCCAACCTTGAACTTGTCCCAACTACCGAAAGCATGGTCTGTTTAGGCTTAATATTACAAATACCAGAGGGAAAAGCAAAACACATGATGTGATATTATTCTCTTCAAAAGAAATGCATCGCCGTCCTTTTCAAATTCACGCCTAAAGCCATGCTGGTTGGTGTTAATTTCCTTTTCCCCCCCGCCAGAAATAAAGGAAGTTGTAATAGAAGAGCAAAGAAAATGGTAGAGGTAGAATACATAAATGGAGCTGTAGGTAGGTGTAGGTATCGCTTAACTAAATTTATTTCGACTTTGGTCCGAACTTCAGCTTCAGCTTCAATCCGCCTCCACTCGCTGGTGTTGAGGGAGTTGTCGCGACAGGCGTACTGCTTTTCGCCGTTCCTGCTGTACCTGTGCCTGTCCCCCCGGCGCCCGCGCTGGGCGTACTCGGCACGGGCTTGGGAATGTGGAGCTTAGGAAGACTCGTAGAGGATGGTGTGCTGGGGCTGGGGCTAGGCCCGGGACCGTTTTCCTTTTTGACTTGCTTGAAGGTAATGCGTGGAGCGGGAGGTGGCATGCCATTCTCTTCGCGCTTCCGCTTTGAGTCCTTTAACGGTGCCAGGCTAGTGCGCACACGACTAGATCGTTGGAACTTCAGTTTTCCGTTGCCTAGATTCTGGACCTTCCAGTAGCGAGGAAGTGGAATTTGAGCCATCTTGGTTTTAATCGGGTCGAATAGAACGCGACAGATGTCGACTAGCTCTGCGATTTCTAGGATACCAAGGACTGGGGAATTACATGCTGCCCACATGTACTCTTTCATAGATGGGTCTTGGCCGATTTCCCTCTTTAGAGCCTCGAGGGCACCGGACACGGTTTGGCGACGGGCGAGATCGGCTTGACGGATTTCGGTTGATGATTCTTGTTCGATGATCAGACCGCCGCCTAACTGGGTGTTTTCTGGCTCTTTAGGCCGGCCAAAAGCGATCTGGGCCAGGGCACGTCCAAATATCCTCTGGCTGTGATGGCGGATGTACGCCGAGGAGTCACTTGTCATTGTATAAATAAGCCATCGGAGGAGTTCTTGGTTTTGGGAAATGTCCAGGTCGACAAGGCATTCAAATGCCTGTAATCGAAGAAGATCATATGTGCCGGCTCGTGTATAGGGGATGAAGCGCATGATATCCACATCCTGGATTTTGGCTTTCATGAGCTGCATCTGGCACTGCAGGGCAGCGCGAGAGTATATGTTTTGGAACGAGCTAGACCACTCATCCATGCGTCTGTAACGGTCGAACTCTGCTATAGTGTCTTTTTCCAACTGCTCTTCGGCTTGGTTCTCCAAGACACGCTCCATGTCGAAATGGGCTAGTTCCTCATCTGAACGCGCTTCATTTCTCCCTAGCATGGCGTGGCAGAGTGAGCGCATTAAGGAAGCGACGTAGAAGTTATCCGAGAACTTTGACAAAATCAGTATAATGTACCGTGATAATACGCCCACATGTGCTGTACTTACGGCATTGTTCGAGTTATCGTTGAATTTCAACTTGTCGAATAAAAAGCGCTTCACCCTCAGAGGAGTCTTCCCGCTGTTATCCCGTACCTTTGAGATGGCCTCGGGAATTTCTTTTTGCAGAATGTATGCTGCCCGATCCTCGAAATTGTTAGAACGAGTCATCGGGGACCCTGGCAGACAGAAAAGTTCTTGGAATGCTGTTTCAAGATGGTAGAGTCCAATCCAATCCACGTCATCCTTGGCATGCCTTACCAACGACCTCGCGGCTGTCACTCGGATTCCATGGAAATAGCGACTATCCATGAGTGTGCGAGCAAAAATTGACGATATCAACTTGTGCTCTCGTTGAGCTGCCATGTATTGTAGAGACTGTTTCGAGTTAGCAGTGAAATAGTGACCATCTGGGAGACCGAGGCTTACCTCCAACTGCGCGACAACATCCCTATCTTGCTGCAGTTGCGACAGATACATGTAACCAGGCATGCCCAGGGACAACTTGCAAATCCATTCGAGATCTGCATCCATGCGAATCCACTCGTAGGACTCTTGTCCCATTCTTTCCTCGTCCTCCTTGGTCCAATCGGTCAGGCGCCATGCCTCTATCTCCTCCTCAGTTTGCAGGACATCGCCCAAACAGTAGAGGAGCACTTCTTCTTGGGCCTCCGCTTCACCCGATGCCACGGCGCGTTCTCTTTGTTTCTTGTTTCGTTTGAGACGCTTGTATTTTGTGTTGTAGGGGATATCGAACTTTGTTACACCCTCTTTGATCTCAACAATATGCTCGTATGGTGTACCATCAGCCTCGTGGATACGAAGCGTCATGGACCCAGTAAAGACGGGCTGGGGGTGACCGGCATAGACATGCCTGACTTCCTCTTTCAAATCTCGCAAGAAAGAATTTTCATCAAGATCTCGCGCGACCGTTTGGTCTGGTTGAACCTGAACTTGTCTGATCATCATTTCAACGACAAGCTTCTTCTTGTTAAATCGCTGGGTGGCTTGGAAGCGTGGACATCCGGCACCGTAAACCCACTGCTGGAAAAAGACATCCAACTTGGAGTGGCCGAGTCGCTCACAAAGCTTCTGGAAGAGCGAAGAGGTCACTGCACCATTGGGAATGTCACCCATGCGCGAGTTGAGGAAGAGCCGAGAGATAATCCGGGACATGGTGGCCTTACCACTTGCCTTGGTGAGACGGCGATCAAGGATGAATAGGACCAAAGGCGCCTTCAAAGCGATGAAACGGTATTCGGAGGCGTCGATTTTGAGGAAGGTTCCCATATCATATATAGACGGGCGCTCATAGTCTAAGTCGCAGATCTTATCTGACATATTTTTCAGTCGGAATCGGTATTCGTTGGTGCCGCAGAGCTTTTTCATGAATGTATCTGTGATATACCATGCTATACCAACAGTGACCCAGGTATCAGCCGGCTCGTTGGGTATGATATTGATGCCGGTCCACTGGCAAGCCAATGTATGCACTAAAGATCTCGTGCAATCATACATTGGGTCGATGATCGACTCGGGGAATAGTAGATGACTGCTGCAGATGGCCATGCACGCCATGGGAAGGGTTTCTGTCGGGACATCATCCACAAAGCATAGCTTATAGCTCGAGAAAGGATACGATCCATAAGACAGCGAGAAGAAATCAATGGCTTGGGCCATAGGGAAGCTGGTGTTTTCGACTTCGGAACCCCTTCCTGGCAAGCAGAACGCGTGCACGGGAATGGCATTCGTACCGAGTTGCTCATCTTGATCACTTTCACGAAAGTCTGCCAGATTCACGTATTCAAAGGGGCCAACCGCGAAACCAATCTGCTGCGCCGATAAAGGCGAGAAGCACGAGAATGAAACAGTCTTCCTTGTGGGGTCCTTCGGGTCCACGATATCATCAGTCAATTCCCCCGAGCAAACCACCGACATGTCCAGTCCCTCATCATCGGTGGAAAGAGGTCGGTTCGGATTGCGTGATCGAGAAGGTGTGGTTGAACCTGATCCTGTTTTTCGGTTGAACACATCGCCAAGTGAGGCGGGGCATGATATGGAGACGTCCCAGGTACATCGTGACAGAGGATCGTCGACGCATGGGAATAGAGGGCAACCGACGCCTGTTTCTAGCGAGTTCGTCGTGTAGGCGTGCGGGTATCGACGGTCCCCGCTATCAATACCAACAAATTGGAGACCATCTCGAATCTTCTCAACTGTGAACTCGATGTTCACGGTCAGCTCCTTAAACTGAGTGCGGTTGACTTCGGGTGGTCTGGCTCCTGCTGGTCCATCCACTTCGCTCCCTATGCCTTGTAGTGTGATCTGTTCCTGAGCTTCGGCCTTGTTGAGCTCTCTGATCCGGACGCCTTTGGGAATGGTGATTTCTAGCTCTGGGTGCGTGGGGGTCTTCAGAAGCGCGTCGATATTGGGTAAGAGTTTTTGATGATATTGGGGTCCGTACAGGTTGAGATTCTCGTAAGGGTCGGCATATTTGGTGGTAGCGACAACATTGTTCACGGTCAATCGTTTGATCTCGCCTTGTCGGAAATTCAATCGGAATGCCGTCAATTCTTTCTTGTGAGGTAAAATAGTGATCTCTGTCTTCCCCTTGATGCTCTTAGAAAAGAAGTCAATCTCCAGCTCAACCTTCTGGTTGGCAACGCTGAATTCTCGATCCACCGGGACTGCCACCGTCGCGGTGGGCGTTTTCGACAACGCCCGGCATCGCGTAGTTCTCAGTATTGAGAAGCGCGAAGGGCGCAGTGGGGCGTCATGTCCATTCAAATCGAATAAGAGACCATATCCGGTGAGGCTGAAATGGAAATCGGGGCGAGTTCGAGGTGGGTAGGTTGGAGGCAGGGCGGGTATTGGAGATGCGCGCGACAAGCTCCTTTGCGAAAAGGGACAGTGGGGGCCGGGGAGGTCGAAGAGTGGAAATGGGAAATGGACAGAGGCAGTCGCAGCCACAGTCAGAGCCACAGTGTCTCAGGGTCTCAGGGTCTCTCACTCGTCAAGGAGTCCACCTCAGTTGCAGTTGCAGTTGCAGTTGCAGCAACTCGCAGTGACTTTCCCGGTGGAGTCGCGCGTTGCGGAGGGCCCCCACGTGACTTGCGGGCGGAAAAATCCCTGAGACATTCCAATCTCCTCGTCTTTCTTTCGCTATTTTTGGGTCACTTGCTTTTCGATTTGGGTGCGCTTTGGTCAGGATTGTGCCCCTATTTACTGCTGCCTGATTTTCGCCGTGCTTCTATCCCCCCCGGTGTCGACATATATCCTCCTACTCCATTCTGTACCTGACAGTGCTCACGCGACACGCGGCTCAACTTTCACCATGGACGCGATTATCAGAATGGTCCGAGGTGAGTGACTGAAGAATGCCCTGGGATCTCATTTGCAAAAGGATCATGAACTAATCTGTTTCATTTTCCCCCGCTGCTTGCAGAGACCCAAGAAGGACTTTCCGACGAGGCTCTTATGCCCCTGAAGTCTTACAAATATTCCAGCGTGGACAAGTCTTTCATTTCCAACTACATTCTGCGACACTACGTACGATTTCCCGAATTCCTCACGATATGAATCGCATATCGCATATCACATATATCTAGCGGGGCTATCACTGACTGGTTTTGGGAGGGGATTAGTGGAATGCCTTCGTCGAACTCTTGCCCATGTGGCTTGCGCCTAACATGGTCACTCTTCTCGGCTTTTTCTTCATCATCGGCAATGTCTTTTTGATCTGCCTCATTATGCCCGATATGGTTGGACCGGTAAGAGAGTCCCCACTGCCCGACAGGGATGGACATGTGCTAAACCTTGGACATAGGGCCCGTGGTGGTTATACATCAGTTTTGCGATTGGTGTCTGGATGTCAGTGCTGAATTGCCCCCCCCCTCCCCCTTTACATTATGCGCCACACTCGACAGGAACTGATGGATTACAAACAGGTACTCGACTCTGGACAATGTGGATGGCAAACAGGCACGCCGTACCGGAACTTCCAGCGGGCTGGGAGAATTGTTTGAGTTCGTACCGCCTCTGGACTAGCCATGGGAATCCAATTGCTAACTGAATCACAGTCACGGAATCGACTCGCTGAACTGCACTCTTGCCAGTCTCCTGGAGACTGCGGCTATGGGCTTAGGTGCTTCCCACCTGGGTGCCTGGACCGCCCTTGTGCCCTGCCTCGCCATGTACTTCTCGACTTGGGAGACCTTCCACACTCACACCTTGTACCTGGGCTACTTCAATGGCCCGACCGAGGGTCTCCTCATTTGCATTTCGATCATGATCGCCTCTGGTATCTGGGGCCCCGGTATTTGGGCGCAACCCATCACCGATCTTATCAACATCCCCGCTATCTTCGGCGATAACTCCGTCAAGGACCTGTGGATCCCCATTCTCCTTGGCGGCTTCTTCTTGGCCCACCTGCCCGGATGTGTCTACAACGTCTATGTGGCTCGTCGCAAGCAAGGCCTGCCTTTGACCCCCCTGTTGAAGGAGTGGGTGCCCATGATCGGCTTCACCCTCTGCTGCATGCTTTGGATGTTCTCTCCCTACTCTGGCATTCTCGCAGAGAACCATCTCGTTCTGTTCTGTGTGACTATCTCTTTCGTCTTCGGCCGCATGACCACCATGATTATCCTGGCCCATCTGCTGAAGCAGGACTTCCCTTACTGGACTGTCCTGCAGGCTCCCCTGGTCCTCGGTGCCCTCCTAGTCAACCTGCCTCGCATCGGTATTCCTTTCCCCATGTGGCTCGAGTTGTGGTACTTGCGTGTGTACTTCGTGTTCGCTTTCGTCCTGTACAGCTACTGGGCCGTCTTGGTCATCAACCGTATCACCACCTTCCTGGGCATCAACTGTCTCACCATCCGCAAGGACCGTGGCGCCGAGCGTGACCGTGCCTACCGTGAGTTTGGCGAGTCTGGTCTCCCTCTCAACGCTGGTCGCGACAGCATTCAGATCGAGGACGAGGATGATGGGTTCAAGAGCCACTAAATTTCTTTCACCAGGGAAATGTGATTCTCATTCTCCCTCATGGAAAAGGTGCTAATTGTGTCTACCTTCCACTTTTTCCCAACTGTATGACCGACGTTGCACGTGCACGTCGTCCGTGATACATTGTTATTCACATTACCATACCATTGTAATTATGATTACAGCCTCCGATGATGTCCTGATGCTTCATAGCTTGATTTGACTTACCCCGCTTGATTGGCGGGCAACATTCACATTCACGTATTGCATTTTTTTTCAGGATGGGAACGGGGGTTTTTTATTCCCTTGCACATATGTACTTATCAAAAATCAGTTTTCTTCATCGTTACCTTATGATACTATAGAATAGACTCGACAATCAATTTGGATTTCATCCATGTCAAAATGTTCATTCTAGGCTCTTTGGGGGGTATGACCTCACAAATGGAATCCAAAAGAGTACAAAAAATTTGAAATACTAGTATCTTTAAGTAGAAATTAAATGCAGCGTGTATCAGAACTAAATTCAGTATCAAATACAAAGCATATCTAAAAAGTCCTTTAAAACAGATTATTCAATCGCAATCCAAATAATTTCACAATGATCCATGTCCGAATCATCCCAGGTACCATATTCCCATTCCAACTCTCGGTTATTCGGAGCACTGGATTTACAATCAAAACGGAAGTTTTTTCCACGTTGAAAGTCAATCTCCGAAATGGCAATGAAAGTGGCCGGTGTGCGCAAGAATGGTTGAGCATAGAATGGTGCTTTATGCTTCAGCTGCTTCTGAGCGCGCACGACTCTCTCACGGTTACTTCTCACGCGTTTTCCATCTTCCTCGGCTGGGTAAGCAAACCAGCCGGCACGGACATTGCGAAATTTGCGACTATCCCATGTGTCGAGGCACATTGTGAATGAGTCGTCGGTTAGATCATCGACAAAAGCACGGATAGAAGTCCATGTATTGGCGCCACACCCATCTTCTGAGGAACTGGGGTAATCGACAGCCTGGAGCCAGACGCAAATCTTCGGCTGAGACGTAAATTTCTGAGTAAACGTAACGCGGCGGCGGAATTTCTCTTTCAATCCTGTTTCTCCAGCTGTATCGACACTTCCATATTCTAGGTGAAGATCACTCGGCAGTGTCATCCAGGAGCAATTGATGTCGAAGGCATTGCACCCTTGGAAAGAGTTCGCTCTCACTGTCAACTCTGACGGCTTGATATCCGAAATTTCAACCGCTATAGATGCACTGCGTGATGCGTGCTCGAAGTCCATGCGGGCAAGGCCGTAGATCATTTTCGGGTTGATGCTGTATGCTTGTAGAAATGGCTTCGAAGTTTTTATCGACGAATCGATGCCAGCCTTGAAGCCCTCGTGGGATGCTGAGAATATGCCACTTTGTGGACCAATAGCGAGGTCATGTTTCCTGTCTCGCTCTTCGTTGAACTGCTGAATCTGCTTATCTTTCTGCGTGTTGTTGTTGCGAGCTTCGTCGAGAGCCTATGGAAGGTTAGTATAAAACACATTAAAGCGTCAACAGACAGCGTACCTTCTGAGCAGCCTCTAGCTTTGTCTGTGTGTCGGTGAGCTTATTTTGTGTATCCTGCAGACTCTTCGTCGAAGTACTTTGGTCTTTCTGAAGAAGTGCAAGATCCTCGCTGTCACCCATATCGCCAGCATCGCCAAAGTGCTCAGTTGTATCGTCGGCAGGCTGTGCAGTGCGGCACCACACGATACCGAGGCGCCATATCTTAGCGTTTTGCGAACTGTCGTCGCTGCGACCGAAGAAACCCTTAACGGTTCCGGGATTGAACGGCACATCAAGGTAGATTACATTCACCATTTCATACGGGACACCGTCCCTGACGATAGTCTTTTTGGGCTCAGCATCCTTTGCACCAGAGTCGGCTGGAGCCGTACCGGGCTCGGAATGAAGGGCACGAGCAATCAAGCCCCGACCACGATTAGTAAATAGGCGTAATCCAAGAACTTGTGAATACTTCTCGCCGAGTCGCCTTCCGTGTTCGATAGAGGCAGAGCTGATCCTTTCTCCGGGAAGGAAAGGCCCAAATTTCTTCACACGTGAATCATTGCGAGACTGATAAAATGTTAGAATAAATATCCCGATTGCAGAAACAGCTTTTGGGGTCTTACCGCTCCTTTTTCAACCAACAGACCGTTCTCATACGAAACTGCCAAATACACGAGAGCACCTTCAGCAATCTCAGCCCTGATCGATCGGACCTCCCAGTCTGGCTTCAGGTAGTCAAGGTTGTTAAATAGTTTTCCTTGGAACTCGTCACCTGCAGCGCTAGAAACGTGGAAGCTACCTCCAATCATTGGATTAATGTCAACAAGAGCCTGCATAGCCCGTTGCTCCTCTGTCGACAGCTGATCAGTCGGCGCGAAAAGAGGTGAATCTTGTGCAGCTTTCTCGTCCATCGCTATAGCATCCTGCTGTTCATCCTCAGTGAGCGCCTTGGCCTGGATCCTTCTGCCAGATAAAGGATTGGCCTTGATTCGAAGTCTTTCCGGTACCACGACTGTAGGAAGTCGCTCCTCGAACGCAGTTGAAGACTGGAAAGGCTCCTCATGGTCTTCATCTGTTGCAAGCTTAGGATCCTGCTCGATCAAGCTGACCTCATTAACGATGCGAGCCATTTGTCGACGGACAGCTTTACGGGCATCGCTGAGGCCTGTGATTGATGCCTCAAAGCGAGAGGTCTCTTCTTTATAAGGATAGAAGCCTGTCTTGTCCTTGGCGCCCTTCCCTCCTGTTTTCGTCAATGCGGACTCTTCTTTCTGGTCATTATCTTCCTTTGTCGCAACCTTGTCGCTGTCACTCCACTGCTGGATCTCCATTGTTTTGCCCTGTACCTGGAAGGCTTGCTCGCCCAGGCGCTTGTACAGCGCTTTGTAGCTCACAAATGTGTCAAGTAGAGTGTTCGTGTAGATTTGTGCATTCTCATACTGAAGCGCAGTATACGATGCTGGCTTTCGTGCAACGAAGCTTCGCAACGCGTCGTACTTTGTCAAAATTGCATAAGTACGCTGAGGACAATCAGCAACGAGGTCAGGGAATCGAGCAGCAGCGCTCATCAGGCTTTGAATATCCCATTGCTGTTCCATCGGTTTGATGTGGCCTCCTCCAGACCAGCTAACTTGGATGGTCGTTTCCGTGTTTGTCTCAATATTGGATCTGGCAACTCCAACATTTGCTTCAGCTTCAATCTGAACTGGCCCGGCGGTCAGCGCGACCTTTGCCTCAGCCTGAATGTCTGTCTTCTTGGCTTTGTTCAGGATCTTCATGCTGACTAGGGCATTGAACTCGCCGCCTTCCAAGAAACCGGAAACGAAAGAGTCGCCATAAACCTCACGGAAATTGTCCTTGTCGACAGATCGTAGAGGATTGTATACAAGAGCATCTTTGAAGTTGATTGTTTGGTTGATCACTTTCACAGAGATGTAGAAGTTCAGATCGCTCTCCTTGAACTTGTCGGAGTCGACAAAAGAGCCTTTGCCGGAACCACCAATCTTGCCAGCTTTGATCGACAATGATCCTGAGATACTCATGTCATCCATGACATCGCTGAGACGATCCACGAAGCGCGACGTGTAGATGACGGTCTGACTTGGGCCACGAGGGGCTGTGGGGTCAAAGTCGTACTTCGTACTTTGTTCCGTCATGCCGTTGAAGCGTTCGACAAATTGGTTCTGTTGTCGAATCTTTTCCATATCCGCCATGCTCATTGCCTTCAAATTGGCCGCATTGTCAATGGCTTTGCGTGCGTCCTCGCGCCTTTTAGCATCCCACGCACGCTTTTCGGAACGAATCTTTTCTTGTTCTTCACGCTCCTCGCCCCGACGCTTTCGTTCGTCCTCGCGCGCTTCCTGGTCAAGTTTTCTGCGGTAGGCACGGTCTTCGGCCAGGAGTTGCTTCTCTTCCTTCTCACGCTCGGCAGATTCGGCCACCTCCTGGGCCGATTTCACAGGAGTTCCAGCGCTCTTGGTCTTGGTTAGAGCAGCTCTGATTGCAGCACGATCAATTGGCCTGGTTGACCTTTCGGCTGCGCGTTTTTGTGCCCGATCAGAAGAAAGAGATCGCTTGGTGGAGCTCTTGGGCTTAGGACGTTCAGCATTGGCCTGAAGGTTTGCGATAATGGCCTCTCGGTCAATCTCTTCATCATCACCTTGAGGCTGTGATGGCTTTCCTGCAGCCGCTCTAGTGGTCTTCTTGTCACTAGCCTGAAGGTTTGCCAGTATAGCGGCCCGGTCGGTTCTTGTTGCATCCCGAGGCTCTTTCTCCGACGATGAAATAGCTCTGGCGCGAGCCTTTGACGATTTCGGTTCGCTCTTAACAGGCTCAGACGCAGGCTCTGCATCCTCCGACTCGCTAGCGCCGTTTGTTGCATCGGCATCATCAACTTCAGATTCAGCTGCCTTGTCCTCAACCTCCGTTCGAGCCTCATCGGCATCCGGCAAATCATCGACAGAATCGCTTTCCTTTGGAGAATCCTCAGTCTCTCCATCGGGCTCATCTTGAGCCTCGGGATCTCCATCCTCTTCCTTGTCCTCAACAGCAGACTTTGACTCCGCAGCCTTTGGCTCTGATTCGGACGCGTCTTCTGTTATAAAAGTTAGCTGAGAGCTCAGTTATCGGGGCTTGTGTGACTCGCCTTCAGCCTTTTCAGCCTCTTCATCTGCCAATCGTTCTTCAATCAACTTTGTCTCGTCGACGGCTTTCTGGGCATTGGCCACAAGCACGGCAGTGGCAGGGTTCTCGACGAGAACTTCCTTTTGCCTAGTCCAAGCGCTAGGAGTGGCACTCTTTTGCGCCATGATTCGCATCGTTGTACCATCGTTGGTTACGACGTTCTCCGATCTGTCAGGATCCATCACAACAGCATCGTCGATGCAGATTTGCTGGGTATAAGAGTTGAAGCTGGTCATATTGTTAGTACTTGTAGGTGTTCAGTTGTAGCAGATGGATTTGATGGTCTTACCCTTGCCCAAGGCGCATAGCATTGTTGTAAGGTGCTAGGAGGAGCGACATATTGGCGACGAATTGTGATTAAACCTCACGAAAAAATTCAAAAAACTTCAAAAGCAGCCTTGGAATCAATATCAAATTGTATGAAAGCACACGTTTGGTACTAGTATGACCCTGTTATGGCAGTTACTAGAGAACTCGGATGCCCAGGTTGTCGAGTATCAATTATCAGTACCCATCGTTCACAGGCTGACAACGGGTAATATATACTCTTCTCCTGATTCAATATTATAATCGCATCGGGAATAAAACTACTCCTTTCCTCTTGAGCAGTTCGAGTTTGTCCCATACGAGCGGCGAGCCCGAGTTGGCTCACCAGCGCGGCATCCCAGAGCGGCATCGTCAAGCGACCGTCACGATCTCCGATGGCGGGCTAAATAACCGATACTGTCACTTCATTGTCTGACAGCTGCTAGACGTCAAGCTCGTCAGACATGAGACCAGACCATGGCTGTGTCTCGGAACCCCCCGAGCGCCACAGGGGGAGGCTTTTGCGGCGGGCTGAGCCGAGGAACTGTTTGTTTGGCAGCTCGCCACTTTCCCCGCATAAATCTAGACCGAACCTATACGAATCCCGTCGGCATCATCTGCCATGCAGCTGCACGCGAAAGCATAAATCAATATCACGAGTCTTTCCTTCAGCTCAGTATAGTTTGAATAATTTTTGAAGCCAGTTTTAGCGATACGAAGAGTCTCTCAATGCCTCCTTCCCTCCTTCCTTTCCAGGCTGTGGTGCGCTTTTTTTGCTTTTTTTTTTTTTTAAGTTTGGATGCCTGGCCTCTAGGAAAATTTGTGTGTATCTACATCACTGAAATAAGTGATTGACGGGATCTTGAGTTCTTCAATCATCATTCTACGTCCAAGATGGTTGCAGTTAACGAAGAAGACGCATATTTGGCTCGTCCCGAAGGCCCCGACCAGAATGAGATCTCCGTACAAGCTAGCCAAGGACTACCACTTGCTCTGCCTTGGGGACTCGAAGTCATCCGTCTGGGTACCACATTTCATTCTGAACGACAAAATACAATGAACCCCTGGTCCGAAGAAACGCCGTTTATACTCTCTGAGCTTCACATGATCAAAAAGGAGCTGCACGCAGAGTACGGCACAAACTCAACATTCAAGAAAGTCGCGACGCATAAAACGTGCGAAACAGGAGATCATCTAAGTCTTGGATTTGGCGTTGGTGTTGGATTGCCATTCGTGGCCTCTGTGAGTGTCAAAGGAACATACGACGAGCATGTACAAGAAAACAAAGATTCCGATAAAATATCTCTTACTTCGAGTTGTCGAGCTGGGACAATTGAGTTTCAAAGCTAGCCTCGACTAACTATGGAGGCAATCAAGGAGATTAAATACGGGGGCGGCTATGAGGGCCTGTGCAAAAGATATGGTGACTACTATGTGTCTGGCTACAGACTCGGAGGAGACACAGGCATCTTGATGAGCGCCTCGGGGAGATCACGAACAAAGATTGAAAAGTATGGCATCACAGCAACTTTGACTGTTTTCTTCGTGTCAGCCAGCAAGCATTGGGAGAAAGAATTCCAGTCATTCCGTTCCGGTCGACAGGTGAGACTCCTCGGATATGATACATTGGAAAACAAGAATTGGCAAAACTTCAGTGCAGCAGGCGACGATGTAAAGGAGATGGAGGCCTGGGCTTCTCGTGGTTCCGCAATGGATGCCGACTCACTTCGAGCCGATACCGATGCGATCATGACACGGTCAGAAAACCTTCTTGAAAGAGTGGGCGAGGTGCTGGAAAAACACGGGTATCAGAATGGCCAGAGCCTTACATTTGCTCAGTGCGAGGGGCTTGTACAAGAGGGAATTGTTGTTGAACTTCTTCTGCAGCCAATGTCGAGATTGCGAGATGTGATTCGGTGGATGAATGAGAGAGACATTATTTAGATAAGGAAATTTATTGCTTTATAGGATTTTCAAAAGACAAATCGTGTAAATTCTGTATCTGCCTTCCTTTTTGTTCAACACCTCTAGTGCTCTTCTAAGCCCCGCCCCCCGGCACGCTGAGGTTTACGGTAATGACGTTCAGCGATGCAGCGCACTCTATATTTCGAAAGTGACTCAATACACACCAGCCTGCGTACTCCCTTTTTCTGAGCACTAAGATTTTCTATAGGATATTCCTGCCTGTTTAACGGGGTTTTATTGACGTTTAATTTCTTAATTTTAATGCACGACACTATCCAAAAAGCGTAGGTGCTCCTATCTGTAATTACCAACTGGAACTCCTCATTCCTTCACACGATAAATGCTCCGATCATTTCGGATTCCTACTTCTTCTGCTTCAGGACTTTCTCGGAAAGGTGCTCGGTGGTACCTGTGATACCACCGTTCCTCATCTCTTTCTTTCTCTGTTCTTTTTCCATTAATTCCATCCGTGCCTTGGCCTTTTTTTCCTCGTCCTCTTTCTTTTGTTGCGCTGTAGGACTTGTCTGATCACCCCTGGGACGTCTCTTTTGACTGAAGCTGGCGTCGCTGTAGTCGGACATCTTAGGCAAAGGCTACCTTGGTATTGCTGTTAGCCTCTACTCATTAGACTTTATACGCGTTAATATGGCGCTGTAGCGTATAGGTTTGATCTTACTTCGAGTAGATACAAATTCGCAATTATGTGTATGGTACTGAAGTACAGTTGGACTCGAGAGACGGTTCGACTTTTTGTCTTGAATTGCTTCAAGTTCTTTCCGAGATATCAGTTTTCTGTATATAGTCGTGGGCACAGTTGCGTCTTGCCTTGAGTAAAGATGAATTTGTAAATGCTTGTGTGGAAGTAAAATAACAATAAGCTCGAGGGACAGCCACTACTCTTCCTTTTATAATTTCCTTTCGACAATTTCAGCTTTCAGAGTATACACAATCAGCTTTTAGAACGTGCTGAATTGCTCTGCTCAAATAATTTAGAAGGCATAGATAGCCGGCCTATACTAGTAGAATATCCGGTCAAAATAATCGGGAATACCGATTATTCGCTTGATATAGCCAAATTCTGCTAAAGATACTTCTATGGTTTGGAAGCGGGATTCTATACGAGAAAGGTGATAGCTGATATGAAACTTATGGCTTTATTAGGTCTTAGACTCATCATGCTCAACATCTCGTGATGAAATACGAAGCACTCAAGTCACAATAGTCCATGTCAAGATGGGCAAGTTTGGCCGATATACTCCGCACAGTGGCAAGCTGAAGAACTTGGCACTTTAGTGCAGTTTGTGTCAATAGTTCATGCGAGTGGGGAAGGAGGCGCCACCGCCACAAATGAGTCGGGTACATAAATTGCTGCAAGGTAGAATTACCCGCGCTATAAGTTCCCTAGGCTGATTTTGGCTGGACATGCACAGACCTCTAGGTTTGTGCGCAGCTTCACCATGCGCTGCAATTACTGAACGAAAGGAAACTCCAGAATATACTCCTAAAGTGAGTGGTGATACTAGTACTAGAACGAGACATATAAAAGAGATGCGTGTCGCAGCTTTGAAACCTTGGAAATTGTATTCCATTCAAGTTCTCAACAATCTTCCAAGGCTCCCCCAATACCTTTTCCAACTACTACTTCAAATTCTTCAAAATGACTATCGGCCCGAAGCTAAATGCTCAGGCTACTACTAAGCCTCTCGACCTGAGTCTTATTAAGCGGAAATATGGTACCTGGAAGAAGATAAAATTGTTTCTTGGTCAGGTAGACGCAGCACGCCTGCCAGTGAGAGTATCCAGAGAACTCAAAACTTTGGACGCGCATCAATTGCGAGATTTGCTAGCCAAAGAAAGGGTTGCCCTTACCACCAACAAAAGATCGACAATCGTTTTCATTGACTGTCAGCACGAAAAAAGTGAGTAAAATATAACTCTTGACCGCGTCGGTGATATTTCATAGAGTTTACATCCTCTTCTTAGACAACGAAAAGTTTCAAATTTCTGGCGCTATTCATATGAACCTTTTGTCCCCCACTGGAGCCGTTCCCACATTCAAAAGCGCTATCACAAGCAAGTCCAATGTGTTTAGCAAGATCGGTGCAGCGGATCTGGTAGTGTTCTATTGCTCTCTGGCGGAGGAACGCTCTCCAACCATGATGGCTCTCTATCAGGATGCGGTACTAGTACCCAAAAATCGACCACCGGGATACAATGAAGGCCAGGTCGTTCGGTTGCTGGCGGGTGGAATAAGGGCCTACAAAGAACTTACAGATGAAGTTATTGATGGCGTACCGGTCAGTGATGACGTGCCTTTTCGTAAGCTCCCTACCTCTGGATTATCCCTTTGTGTTGGCGATACTGACTATATTGTTCTTCAGTCGCCGCATACAAAAACACTTGAGTAAATGTATGGAAGAATGGCAAATCCACTATCCATGGATACTTTTCAAAGGCCGCACAAAAAGAGTGACATGTATATTGGAAACTCAAACAGTTAGTGCTAATAGTGCATATCCCACCATTTCTCAACATCACAATATCTTCGAAACCAATATTGGAAGAATAACTCAATTCAATTTGAAATACTTTTTCTTTAAGGCGCATTATTCAATCCTCTCTCATATTTCTGGATATAAGTTTACGATCGCGACATGCAGACGCGAAAAACGCGCTAGTGTCCTAGCGCGTGCCCAGACTTTTGATCCCATAACCCCAGATTGTCAACTTCCTCGTCAGAGGAAAGGTTCAGGCAGAGGACTAGTCACCACTCTCATCCCCGGAAGATTTAGATCTCAAAACCTCCCCGTATCCACGTGTTCGAGAGTGGATGGATAAATTCAGGATGTCTCGTATCCGAACGTGGTTCTATCGGGCGCTGAACATTCCAAGGTTAAAGGCCCCCCTGACCCACTCTGTCGACGATCCGACTCGTATGATAAAAAAATTATTTATTGTCTCCTCCGTAAGCTGCACACCTTGTACTCGCCCAAAGGTCCCAACACAGGCCTTCCATTAAGATGGAGCTCAACTGGGAATTGATCAATCTGATTTGCAGCGTTGTGGTCCAAAATCTCATCATTGGGACCTTGCTGATCGCGACGCCAAAGCGCTCACCGTATCGCTTCCTTGCGATCCCCATTTTAATATGGAACGCAAGCCGATTTGTACGCCCGCTGGGGTTCTCAGTATACATTCAGACGAATACAGTGGGCATGCTTACGGTCTCCGTGATCACGGCGATCAATGTCTTGCTCATCAACCCGCTCGATGAGCGCGACCTTGCACGCGAAATGCCCACCACCTTTTTCAGGTCGGGCCATTTCTATTATGTCTTTGAGATTCTCTCATTCACGCGTGGAATTAAGACACCACGTCAAGTGAAGAATTTACCTGCACAGCCTGCGTTCTATGATCGCTATGGTGGGAAGATCCCGGTCGGTCGCTATCTGCTGAGGCAGTTGGCAATCATGAGCTGGCAGTTCCTGGTCATTGATATTTTCCAGACTCTGAGCAGCCAGATGGAATCCCAATCTGGATTGAAGGAAATTGAGTACAATGTTCCGCTGGAAAAGTGGATTGAGCGTGCTGTTACGCACAATATCACCTGGTTCCTCGTTGGCCGAGTTATTATCGATTGCTCTTTCAGACTCTCCTCGATCGTTTTTGTGAGTCTGGGCCTTGATGAGCCATCAAACTGGCTACCGCAATTTGGTCGTATGAAAGACGCGTATACCCTGCGCAATTTTTGGGGGTGAGTTTGAGTTTCCTTTCCTCTTGAGAGGGCGAGAAACAGCCCCTCTTTCCCTCTTCCCCCTCTCTCTCAAAAAATGAATAAAAAATTCCCACGGCTGACAAATTTTTTAGTAAATTCTGGCATCAGATGTTGCGCCAGCCTTTCACCACAATGAGTAACTTCCTCGCGCGCGATGTCTTGCATCTTCCAAGACCATCCATTCTCGAGCGGTACACGAATATCTTCATCGTATTCTTCTTATCTGGCGCAATGCACTTCATCCTTGATCTTGCGGCCGATATTCCATGGGAACTCTCGGGCGCGATGCACTTCTTCCTATCCTTTGTCTTGGGAATAATGATTGAAGATGGCGTGCAAGCCTTGTGGAAACGATTCTCACCTCCGCAAAAGTCCAAAGACGGGGAGGTTCTGACTCCTCTATGGAAGAAGTTTGTCGGTATGGTTTGGGTCTTTGCTTGGCTTGCTGTCTTTTCGACACCGTACACGGAGCGTATGGCGCAATTACCTCCCAACGACCTCGTGCCGCTCAGCGTGGTGGGCAAGCTTGGAGTCGAGGTTGGAGGAGGATTGGCATTTGTCGGGGCTGTCCTGTTGTGGTTTACTGTGGGACCAGAAGTGTGAGAAGATGAAATGAACTAATAGAAATGTGTGATAATGTATATAGGTGCATTTTTTGCACCTTTTAGACCTATAATCGAAGATAGATGACTTGTCATGAAGTGCGCTCTGATTCGATGAAAGATTATTCGGCGCCTGAGAAATCTGGCCGCGAATTCCTCAACTCCGACGCCCTTTTCTCAACTTCTCCCGCTTTCACTCACTCGCTCTAACTTTGAAGTGAGCCATGCAGACGCAAAGATACCCATGAGACACTCAGCCATGAAGAATTCACGATACTCTTCCTCCCGACAAAAGGCTTGCCAAAACTGCTCCATCTCGAAAGCGAAATGCGACCGAGGTGTAGGACGATGCAATCGATGTATCACACGCGGTCTCAACTGCACATATGCTCGATCGCACCCCGTCGAGAATTCAGCACAAAATGCGATCCCTCCCAACAGCATTGGTGGACCTTGTAGCCCCGCGTCCTTGGCGGACTCTCTTGGTACAGGCTTTGGAGATGAGATGCCGTCTATGATTGGAAGCACACGATTTTCGGATTTCACTTCAACAGGAAATATGGCGATGCCCGCAAGCGTTTCTGGCTCACCGGCGACCCTCTCCCTGAATTCAGGTCGAATGGACACAGCTCCCACAGCCGTTGCTAATACATGTCTACCGAGGAATGCTCAGGATGGAGTAGACATTCTAGATTTTTCAGGACTGGAACTACTATGCCCAATTGATGTGAACGGGATCACATCCCGTTGGATGAATCCTTTCATTCCAGACTCCGAGCAAAGGATTAAGCAATACCCCGCCAGCATAATAACTTTCATCTGTCGAATATTTAAATCTTATGCCGGATCCGCTATCCGTGGCCGTGGAGTCTTGCCATTCATCCACCCCACTCAGATGAAGCGCCAGGTGCCGAATTTGCCGCTATCAACATGTCTAAGCTTGGTCCGAATGTGTCAACATCCACTACCGGGTAGCGAAAATGCCGCCATTATGATATTGCAGCGTGAAATGGATAATATTACTGAATCCCGCGAGACATACGATAATATGTCTTTACTAGCTGCTTTTCAGGCATACCTTATATACTCAATGGTCCTATACTTTCGACTTGACGTGGCTCGCGATCATTCTCTTCGACATACGATGATTACCTTGCAAGAACTCGCACATGCTTCATGCAAAGGAGGCCTAGTCTGCGCGACCGATCAAGCTAGAACCAGGCCTAGGTGGGAAGAATGGATTATCACAGAAGCAAAACGGCGAACTTTGTACATGATGTATCTCTTCGATAGTGTCATATCCACGCAGGAGAATGTTCCCACATATCTCGGCACTGAGCTTCAGGGACTTCCTGCGCCTGCAGCTAGGATGATATGGGAGGCAGGCACTCGATCTGATTGGGAGCAGGCGTACAATCTCTTCCTGGCGGAATGGATGGAACCTAGTCTTGCGATTGATGAACTTTGGCCGATTCCGGTGGAATTGAATGAGGTCGAGATCGCGAAAAGACGGAGTAGAGTGGATCACTGGTTAGAAGATATTGATGGATTTGGAACTATGCTTTACGCGGTAGTGAGTTGTACTCACGGGGGATGAAGAGGCGTTCTATCCATGGATATTTGCAAGGCCTATTTTTGTTACCTGCTAGCAGTACTAAAATACCTATAGTTTATCTTAATATTGGTATTAATAACTAATATACACTTTGCACTTTGCACTCTGCTCAAGGGCCCGCAAGGCAATATCAAGTGATACAACATGCAGGTTCATTTTGCAGAGAAGCTTTTGAAGAAAAAAGCCTTTTCAACTCGGTTGTGTCACTTGGGGGTAGTTCCAGCACATTGCCTTCGATCACATAAATATCGTAATCGAGCTCGAAAAGGTGATAGATCGTACTCATAAGAACACCAGATAGGGACAGCCCCGACTAGAAATTATAGTAAAGATGACATAGCGCGGAGAAGGGCAAGACAAGACTTGACTTACAATGATCACCGTGTCGATATTCTGTGCTTTCAAGATTTGTTTCGGGGCACTACCGGATGTTGCTGACCATCTTGTCTTTGCAAGGATAACATCGTTCTCATCCACAATAAAGCGTTTGTCGATTTTAGTTTCAGGAGTACCAGTCTTGATTCTCCAAACGGAGTAATAAGCTTCGCAAAAGGCTTTCCACCTTCCACTTCCGGTTGGCCATGGGTAAAAGCGAGTGTTGTGAAGATGGTCAAAGGACGAGATGATTTTTGTGGACGGAGTCATTCCCTTTAGTGTAGTTCTTTGGATCAATGCTTGACCCTCGGGTGTAGTCTCGACAGCACCAAGAAGCAGTGCCATCCAGTCCAAGTTGAGAATGACATATCGCTGCCCAAAGTTTGGGGTTTCTGGAGCTTCGGAAGCCATCCAGATCGATTTTCGAGAGGTTGAAAAAAAAAAAAAAAAAAAAACAATAAGAATAGTGAAATGGAAAACTAAATGCAGTGGGGAGAAAGTTGTAATTTAATGGGATTCTTGCCTAATCATACTATACAATCTTAGTAGCGGGCCTTGCGGAGTTGATGGCGCTCAACGGGCACCATGAGGTGAAGACGATGCGTATAAGGAAGAATACTGTCAACTGGCGGCTACGAAAGGCCGTCAGGTGGAGGAGCTACTACACCAGTGATGAACAATTGCAAGAGGAATCAGGACATGACTTTGGTCATGCCTGCGGCGGGGAGAACGCGGACATGGGGGTGGCCGTAGGGCGATGCTGAGCTGGCAGTAGCCAATTTCATTCATTGTGTAGGTTTCATTGCCGTTTTGTGGGATTTATTACTTGATCTATTATGACAATACGCCGTATTACTTTTGTCTTTTGTTACCGCGGGCGTGGCGTTAGGATGGTTCTGGTTCCCGGGAACGCCTCCTACATAGCCACGGTGCTCAACTCCGCTCAACTCCGTCAGCTCCCTGACACCGTCCAAAAACCGCCTTTCTTGTTGTTATTTAAAGATCTTCGGTTCCAAGGGTTACTTCCACTTATTTACTTACATCCCAATAAATTCTCGTCAGACAACTCAACTCAATTTTTCCGTCACCATAAGCAGTCATTCATTTCAAGCCATTTTTTGATGTTACGATGTCCACGGAGACAAACAAGGACCCCTCTTTGAGTGGTGCTCCGTCCTTGAGCGATGCATCAGATTCGGCATCGGCGGCTCAAGCCCCGCCAGAACCGCCATATAGCATCTTTGACAAAAGGCAAAAGTGGTTAGTCGTGGCTTTGGTTTCAACGGCAGCGACCTGTCAGTTTCATTCAAACTTCGGATGCAAAGATATCATAGACTAATCCTTCTTGTAGTCTCGGGGTTTGCATCAAATATCTATTTTCCAGCTCTACCGACAATTGCGGACGACTTAAACGTCTCACTGGAGCTTGTCAATCTTACGGTCACGTCCTATCTCATTTTTCAGGGAATTGCGCCTAGTCTTTGGGGTCCTGTATCGGATGTCAGGGGACGAAGAATTGCTTACATCTGTACCTTCATCGTTTTTATCGGCGCATGCATCGGGTTGGCGGAAACGAAAAATTATGCCACGTTGATTGTGCTCCGATGTCTTCAGAGTACTGGAAGTGCAAGCACCATAGCCATTGGCTCCGGTGTTATTGGAGACATTACCACACGCGCAGAGCGCGGAGGTTTCATGGGAATTTTCCAGGCCGGGCTTTTGGCACCTGTTGCCATTGGGCCGGTTATAGGTGGTGCTTTGGCTGGCTCAATGGGCTGGAGATCTGTATTCTGGTTTCTGATGATTTACGCTGCTGTGTTTCTACTCGTTCTCATCTTTGTACTGCCTGAAACGCTTCGATCCATAGTCGCCAATGGTAGCGTCTCGTCGTCTAACCCGATGACTCGCTTTCCGTTGCAGACTTATCAAAAGCTTTCGAAGGTGGAAACAGATCCGAATACTCCGCCCCCTCAGCTCGCGGCCAGAAAGAACGTTGATATTTTCGGCCCTTTTCGCATTCTTATTAGCAAGCAGGCTGCTCCGATCATCCTTTTTCTCGCTATTTACTATGCTGTGTGGCAGATGAGCATCACAGCTATGTCATCGCTGTTCAAGGATCGCTACGGTCTCACTGAGATCCAGATTGGTCTCACGTTCATTGCTAATGGCGTCGGGTCTATCATCGGAACATTGATAACGGGGAAAATACTCAATCTTGATTATGGTCGTGTCAAAGGAAGTTTCGAAGCAAGAGTTTCTACTGATGTTGAAGATGAAAGTGCGGTATCTCAGACCAAGAGCAACCAGGAAGACTTTCCGCTTGAAAAGGCTCGCCTCCGGCTTGTACCGTTCTTCTCGCTGCTCCAATGCCTGTCACTTCTTCTGTTCGGGTGGACAATTCAGTTGCCCCATAGCGTTCACATCGCAGTTCCGATTGTCTCTACTTTTATTACCGGATGGACCGCTGTCTCGATGCAATCTGTTATCATGACCTACCTCGTTGATATCTATCACGACAAAAGTGCCGGGGCTAGTGCAAGCCTTAATTTAGCACGATGCTTGTTTGCCGCTGGCGGCACAAGTTTCGTCATGCCGCTGATCAATGCCGTTGGCGTTGGTTTGACTTTTACCATTTGTGTAATTGTCCAGGTCGTCGCATTGATTGGTCCGCTACTGCAGTGGAAATTTGCAGCTGGCTGGAGAAAGAAGGCCGAAGCACAGAACACACAGAATGCGTAAGGCAGCCGACCTTTTGGAGTATGGGTTTTAAGCGACAAGTGTTAATTCACAGACACCATATTTTCGCGGCATTGAAACTAATACTATTCATTATCATAATACAGTTGGCCTGAAGGTCCATCGGCAGACCCGGAAGACCCATCTCAAACCAGTCGCACTCAAAATAACAAAATTATTCATCCGCGGAAGCCCATCTTAAACCATTTGGAAGTTGAAATACCATCTTATATTTTAGAGGTCATTATTCTTGTAATTCAACGGTTGCCTCGTAGCCAGGTATTAATGTAATAATGAGTAAAATAACACAATAGCGCTCGTAAACAAAGTATGCAGACTAAACGGCACAGCCAAAATTAAAAGACGAACATTCATCTCAATGGTTTTCTTCCATATATGACGTATCTTAGAATCAATTAGCATATATTTCCGAAAATGCTTCGATTCAGAGACTCACTCCTTGACATAAGCATGCATATGCTTATCTCGAAGTTGTTTCTTGACTGAAGCCTGGAATATTTTAGACACATCTTCACCCCAGCCTAGTACTTGTGTAAACAGCCTGAGAGAATATGCCTCGATAGCATGCTGCACCATTGCGGCCTGAAACTTCCCCAACTCCTTGAGATATGGATCTTTCGGCCATGGGGAGTAAGGAAGAAAATAGACAAATTGATTGACGTCCTCAAAGCCGGCCTCGATAAGCCACTGCCTTAAATATGGGTAGACATTGTATGGCTTTCCAATTGCATTCGAGGCCATATCCATTGCTCGTAGCAATTCAAAAATCGGTGAGTCGGGAGGACATGTGCCGTCATCACTCCATGCCCATACTGCACTTTCTTGGATTTCAAAATAGGCGCCTGGCTTTAAATGGTCATAGCAACGTTTGAATAGTTGAGGCCAATCCGAAACGCAGCTGTAGGATTGTTAATAAAATTCGGGGGAGGAAGAAGGTTCGAATGACGGACCCTGCGAGTAACCGTGCATGGATGAAGTCAAAACTTGCTGGCTCGTAAATCCATTCCGATTCGAAGTCTTCAACCACGAATTCCACATTCGGAGACACCCAATTTGGCTGAATGGCACTAATATCGTTGCCGATAATGCTAGCCATTGGATATTTTCTGATCAATAAATTAGCCTGTCAGAGTGTAAGATTTTCTTTTCCCACAAAGTGATATCTTACTCTGCCAGGTCAAGAGCCCAGATTCCAGTACCAGTGCCAAGATCCAAGACTTTCTGTGGATTGTTTATTGGGGCTTTATGAAGTTCACCTCTCATTAATAAAAGCCAACTTTTTTGTTTTCATTAGCGATGCAGATTGCCAGGAAAGGGCTAATCAAACTGACATGTGGTGTGTCTAAAAGAGTTTTATTAGCTTTGCCTTTCGGCTAAAAGGGGCCATTAGGAGTTTACCAGGTCCATTCGATCTTGTTCTTCTTCATCGTTTGGCATACTGGATTTGACCAATTAGTGAGATCCTGCTGCATAATGAACACGACAAGATGCCTTATTTACATGTAGTTACTCTGTGGAGACGTTTAGTTAGATTAATGGCTTGAGGTGTAGTGGGATGAGATGCGACATACAATTCTGTTACTGTGATAACGCCTCCCATTTTCATATTCGTATTCCAAGATGCTTGATGATAAAGAAGTAAGATCGGACCCTTCGCGTGCAAATTCACTGTCTTCGTCCTGTGAACAGTTAGGAGATATCTGGCCAATAAGGAACAAATGACATCACGGTAAATGTATCCGCAACAATCGGAGCGCTAGTGAATGTGTTGCCCTGAGCTTCCGCTTCTCCTGCTGGGCGTTCGGTGGGCTTTAGTCCGCTTGGGGGACTCTCGTTGGTACTGGGGAGCACGGGCGAACTCATGTCGACTCTCACAGGCTGGTCGCTGGACGGGTCGTGCAAAAGGAGACTGGCTGGGCCACAAGAGGATTTGCGAGGGGCAGAGGTGGCGAGGATGGAGCTTATAGTTTGCAAGGTCCAGACCTGTGCGGGCCTACGGTTATGCGACCGATCGGATCAGCACCAATGAGGAGGCTTCTCATGATTAAATCGCGATCCCCAAAAATAATCCAGCCGGTCAGGAATCCGCCACGAATCTTACCTTTGTAAGTAGAATGTGAAGAATAATGTTTATGTGATCGCTCTTTCAAAATGAAAAGTCTCAAATGGTATGAATGTTTGATTAAGAGCAGCCCCGAGCAACCTACTCGCCCCACGGCCTAGCAAGTGCGAAAAATTGCAATTCTATCCCGATTCGAGTGCACTGAATCAAGAAGATAGCTAGTGTATGACCATATTGACTCGTTTGCGCATAGATGTTACCAGCCTGTCGGGTCAAGGCCTTCACTGTGAGCCAAATGATCGGCAGGATAATTTCCTAATCAGTTGATGCCCCTTAAAGTATCCAGGACCCCGGTTCCTATTTTAATGCCCAGAAAACCCACTACTAGTAGCGAAATGTCGAGGCTGAAAGCATCAGACACTGATTTCTCTGTGTCACAAGTTGATGGATGATCATAGTAACTTCAAGTTGCCCAGTTCTCAACTTGAACCTTGGAAATTCGTTTTGGAGATTTGGGCAGGCTGGTCATTTCCGAGTCCAAAGTTAGGGCCATCCGTACATAGATATATTTTCCAATCCAGCAGGTTTACGACAAATTTTCACTACAATAGTACTATTCTTGAAATACGAATTGTATCTAAGTCTAGAAAAAAGCGAAGAACAGCCAGGCTCGAGAATTTATGGAACCGAGTTACAGGAGCGTTTTCAAGTTGGTGTGGTGAGGTAGTAGTTAATTCCGAGGTCGACTCAATCAAGAAAAAAAAAAAAAGAAATAACGCCCGAAGGAAATATATCAGATAGAATCCGAATCGCGTATAATTTTCCGTAGGCTGTAAGAAAGACATATCTAAGTACTGGTCAGAGTGTGCTTGATTCTTGCGGTATCGCTCGGCCATAACTGCTCCAAATGAATTTTCCGATATGCCCGATAGAACCGATGTGGCCGACTACGAGCGCAGCCAACATCCAATGAAACTGGGAATTTTTATGTTTTGCGGAAGCCTTACCAGCTTGATCCCAATGTGATCCAACTATGAAACCATATAAAAAGAGTCTTCTGGTGTCGTCTTTTCCCATTTCCTTATCTCCTCACAAATCTAGAGATCAGCCATCCTGCCTCTACCCTAAACTCGCTTTTGAATACTCGGTTAGTGAAGCCATGGTTAAAACTGAATCAATATGGAAAGTGGGCTAACTATAAGGTATCATAGTCACTCTATCTTACTCGGAAATGTCTCTTAATATTCTCGTCGTTGGGGCTGGAATTTGTGGCCCGGCTTTTGCAACTCTTCTCCAAAGATCCAATCCCAAGCACAAAATCACGATTCTAGAGCGCTTTGATTCCTTGCGTATATCCGGACAGCAAGTTGATCTGAAGACTCAAGCCCCTCATATTCTAAGAAAGATGGGCCTTATGGAAAAGATCAAGACGCTTTGTGTGAATGAGACGGGGCTTGAAATGGTAGACTCGACGGATAAGCAGGTCTCCTACTTTCCTGCCACTGCTGCCGGAGAACGTCGCCCGGGACTGACGAGCGAGCATGAAATTATGCGCGGTGACATGGTGCAAGTGCTTTATGATGCCAGTGTCGAGCAAAATGCAGCATTGAAGCCCCAATTGGGAAGCCAAGGGGGTGTATTGTACAGATTTGGCCAAACAATCACGACTCTTGACCAAAACCCGGATGGAGTGGACGTGACTTTCTCCGACGGAAATAGACAGGGCTTTGATCTCGTTGTTGCTGCAGATGGACAAGGATCACGAACCAGAAGACTTGCATTTGGCGAGGAGGTCAGCGACGCAGCTTTCAAATCCCTCGACATTCATGGTGCTTACTTTAGCATTCCTCGAATTGAAAGCGAAGGAAGCCTCGCGCGAGGACACCTCGCCCCAGGAAGACGAATGATCATGACCAGAACCAGCGAGCGACCAGTCACTGGAGTTCTTCTGTTTGCAATGGAACAGTCTGATCGATTGAGAGCATCTTACAAAGAGCACCAAGAGGCTCAAAAGCAAGCTTTTTTAGAGACATTCAAGGATATCGAATGGCAAACCGATCGGCTAATTGAAGGACTGAGAAACTCCGAAGACTTTTATGCTCATGAGCTTGGCCAAATAAAAATGAGTCAACTTTCCACCGGTCGCGTTGTACTCCTTGGAGATGCAGGCTACTGCCCGAGCCCCTTTACTGGACTTGGAACCAATCTTTGTCTAATGGGAGCCTATATTCTTGCAGGCGAACTGGCTAGACATGGAAGCGATGTTAAGGGAGCTTTGAAGTCATACGAAGATGAAATGCGGCCTTTTATAGATGACTGTCAGCGTTTCTCTGCTGGCAGTCTTGGGCTATTCTTTCCCTCTTCGAGACTTGGTGTTTGGTCTATGGGAAAGCTCATGTGGGTTGTGTCTAAAGTCAACGGACTTTTCCCTCAATTCCAAAAGGTCGATAATCACGATGGGTGCATCCCCAAATACCCCGAATTAAAACTGAAGGGGTAGATCAAGTGCCAGTGAAATTGATTCAGCTATTCATCGATTAGTTCAAAATTTACTTTTCTTTGGCTTTTCTCGACTCCTTGAAAAACGGTACTACATCGATGCTTAACCTTCAGCAATAAGGATCGTACGCAAGTACTACATAACTGTCAAGATATAACTACTACAAAGATGAAATAGTTCTAAATTGGTATAATTTATCTCGGCATGAGTGTTTGAGAAACAATCGAATGACAGAGGTGGCAACAACACTAGCAGTTTCAATCAAGCTTACCTCTTCAAGGCCGGAGGGCGCATCTTTGGAAGAGCCGGTCAGTCCATCAAGTAGTGAGTTCATACTTTCCAGCATCCTCTACTGGTTGTGGTCCACGTCATATGTGGAGAGCTCTGTGAGTTGAGGATAATCAACTTTTACTGGCCTTGAGCAGATCAGAGATCCGCGATGAAAGACAAACGCCACCCGTAGTTATCTCCGCCCGCAACGGTTGAAAGCAGGGTTGAGATCCAATTGGCAACAATGGCGAAGTTCCAGCCAATCACATTCCGTTACTCGCTGGGATGTTGAACTTAGCATTCCCAGAAAAGGATTTCGGGCACGGTCATTATCGAACCTAGCGAATCAAAATTGAGCCCATCGCTTTGAGCTCCCAGCATCAAGCAAACCGGAAGGCATCCCGGCGTCATGCCAGTTGGCTCCATCTCTGAGCAAGGGGTCACCCGCCTTGTTACCCGCCAATCACACAAATCCTAGCCGTTAAGGACGATCCATGTCGATAACAGCCGTGTGGGGTAAGCGAAGTCAGACGTTTCTGGAAGTGGCAAAACCGATTACGTGCCGCCCGCTTGGCTTTGGGCGGCTGTGCCGGTGACAATTCCACAAACCATCGAGCAAACGCCTTGGGGGAGGCTTCGCGATATTGTGTCGCGACTTCACGCAAAAGCAAATAATTTCTTCCAACTGGTGGTACTAGCTAAGGTTGTCATGGGACTTGGGGATCTTCTGGCCTACTGCAGGTGTAGGTGTGAGGCTCACAATGGATCAAGCAAAAGTCGGCCTGATTCGCGGATAGGCCACCGACGATGAGCAGCCCCTTTTCTTTTATAGGAACCTACAGCAGGAGTTTGGTTCATGCCGGCTCAAGCAGATAGTAGCCTGATTTGTGGACAAGCCACCGATGATCATCGGCCCTGTTTCTCTTTATATACCCTATGATGTCATGCACTACGTTCAGGTCTCAGCTTATATGTACAATGGGTAGGCTATAGAAGAAAATTGTCCTAGAACCTGATAGCTCGGCTGACGTATCAAGCCAACCATAATGTCACAATGATGTGGAACTCTTTGTACCTTTTAAGATGCTGCTTGTTACACAATGGACTGGCCTACTTATCCTTGGACATACCCCGTACCTTGCTTGCTTTTCCAACTCAAATAGCATACGAGCCCACACCACCAGCACGGAGCTCGACACATTAAAAAATAACAGAAATTTGGATTATCATGAGACTAGCGCCTTTCTCACCAGTAGCCTTAGGGGCGCGCCATCTTGACATGCCACTCGATCATATCGGCAAACCTGCCAACGGAGGATCAGACCCGCTCGCCAATTATAATGATGGAAGAAAAGCCGTGCAAGGAGCTGGCTCGCCCTTGAAGAAACGATTCCCATCATATCCTGGTCTTGATCGTTTTGAACTTTTGGATTTATTGGGTACGGGGGCATTTAGCAATGTCTATCGAGCCTCCGACCGCAAGAACAAGAAAGCCGAAGTCGCAGTTAAGGTCCTGAGGAAGTTTGAAATGAACGAACAACAGGTATGGATCTGACCACTGATTGAAAGTGCCCTGAAAACGAGAGCTAACTGTCACATAGAAAGGGAACGTCAAAAAAAGAGATTGAAATTATGCGACAATTGAGACACCCCAACGTATCTGAGCTCATCGACTGCATCGAGACACATCAGTACTGCCACATTATAATGAAGCTCAGTTCCGGTGGAGAGTTGTTTAATCAGCTGGTCAAACTTACATATTTGAGTGAGGATTTGGCCAGACATGTCATTAGGCAAGTTGCAGAGGCGGTTTCGTATCTCCATCAAACGCTTGGCGTTGTTCACCGGTTCGTTCCACAATAATGTCATACTGATTATCGGACTAAAAGCTAACTGTATTACAGAGACATTAAACCAGAAAATATTCTGTTCGAGTCCATACCGATGAAGCCGAGCAAGACTCCGAAGCCAACACTTCGTGGAGAAGAAGACAAACTTGACGAAGGAGATTTCATCCCCGGCGTGGGCGGAGGAGGAATCGGGGTTGTCACACTGGGAGACTTTGGCTTGTCTAAAATTATTGCCGGCGTTCCGACTGCAACACCGTGTGGTACGATGTCATATGCGGCTCCTGAAATAGTGCGCGATGAAAAGTATACGACCGAAGTGGATATGTGGGCAATTGGCTGTGTACTGTACACTCTTTTAGCCGGGTACCCACCCTTCTACGACCCCGACACAAAGGTCTTGATGAGAAAGGTTGCAAAGGGGCAGTACACTTTTGATTCGCCTTGGTGGAACGACATATCCAATGACGCCAAAGACATTGTTTCGAGACTTTTGACCGTGAACACGGACGAAAGGTTGAACATTGAAGAATTCCTTGCCCACCCCTGGATCACGCAATCTGGCAAGAAAGAAAATCCCAAGGAGTCCAAGAATGCACCTCAAAATGCCCCCGATACGAATGGTGATACGAAAACCGCCAAAACCCCAGAGGTACCGGCCACAGAAGCTATACGTGAAGCGCGTGTGGAAGCACGAACACCTGGTTTCATGAACGTTCGAGAGCTATTCGACGTTGTATTCTCAGCACACCAACATGGACAAAACGAAACACAAAAAGAGTCTCCCGAGGCAAATTTCGTCGCGGCCACTGAAAGGAGAGAATCAAGTGATGAGAGTATCCATGATAAGCTTGATATTGTAAACAGCACGCTGCTCCAGAAGCGACATGCTCGGAAAAAGGAGTGAAGGCCCGTTTAATGGTTAAGGATGTATGATTATTAGGATATTTACGAGTAGCATAAATGAATATTCACGCCAGACAAAAAAGGTTCCAGACCGCCCCCGAGCTATTGGTCATTTTATGACTTGCAACGCAAGATAATTTCTATAGAAATGTATCGTAATTACCACAAGAAATTGTGAATACGCTTTCTTGACAACCGTATGTAGGGAACCTCACAATTGCTTGCCAATTGCCAAGGTATTGTGCGTATGTAGATTAGATTTTTTTACTAGATGAATTGTAGTATGCGTTCGAATACCCAATGAAGAATATAAAGAGAGTTGAAAATTCATTCTGTCATGACCAATATTCGCTAAAAAGACTAAAATCTAGTAAATCATCAAAAGCAATTCTAAAAAGAAAAGCAATGCTATATAGTAACACAATCGGCATTAATCCTTATTCCTTCCAAGTTCGCATCGTTCCTCCCATCATCAAAATTCTAGACGCTGACCAGCGGAGTCACGGTGACATTGAAGTCGTTCTTTTCACTCAAGTAACTCTCGGAGCCGGTTTGGAATGCAATAGGCTCCTCCTCGCTGACGCTTGTTTCTTGAGGGGTGCGATCTGCTGCAGGCCAGATCTCGTGACCGACCTCCTCTTCCCTCTTGCGGTGTTCCATGACGACCTCGCGCACTGTCTTCTGGAAGTGGAGCGGACCCAGCTCCATCTCGGGGTGGAGCAAACCGTTGACGAAGACACCGGCGTTGATGTTCTTTTGGGTACCGATGCAGAGGTACTTGTCCTCGGACATGATCCGCTTGTACATGTCACTAATGACGCTGAAAGCCTCGTCGGTGGCATCCTTGTGACGGTAGACCTCATAGCGCATCACACAATGGGTTGGGCTAACAGGAGTGAAACGCTGCATGAAGAAGAAGTTGGGACTATAGAAGTTAGAAGTGCTCTGTAATTTCAGTGGTGATGAGATACTCACGAGATATTGAAAGAGGCATTTGGCCAGAAGTAAGTGGTGGCAATGCGGAATCCTTTGGCGATCTGATCCTCTCGTGGAGCACCGTAGTGCTGAATGTGGCCGTCCTTGGGCTTGACGTAATAAGAGTTAAGGTCGGCAATTGTGGGAATGTCGGGGTGGGCGACTTGGCAGTGGTAGCATTCATTATAGTTATCGGCGAGAATCTTCCAGTTGAATGCTCCCTCCATATCCCAGGTGTGGTCGAAGTTATACTCGTCAAAGTTGTAGTATTGGAAGCGGGGCTGCTCATCAGCGCCCTCAAAGTCATCCTTCCAGGCAACCTCTGGGGTTTCAGATGAGTCCAGGTTCACCCAGACGAATCCATTCTTGTCGAGGTGCACATGGGCGGGCGAGAGATCCTCGCTAAGGAAAGCCTTGATCTCGCCTTCGTGGTCCTTAGCAACAACGAACTCGTAGCCAGCAGCGTCATAGCGGACCCAGTCGCCGGCATTGGGGACGCGGGCCTTGTGTGTGGTGAGGAGCCACTTTCGGGAGAAGATAGCTCGGCGTTCCAGCTCATACATAGCCTGAGAGGTGTACCAGGGCGCGGGAAGGGCGCGAATGGGGGTCTTCTTGTCTTTTGCCTCCTCAACAACTGGCGTGGCGGAGGTGCCGAAGAAATTCCTCAAGAATGACATGGTGGATGTGATTAATCAAAGACGGGTCTTTGGAGTAAAAGTGTAGAGAAGCTTGATGCTTTGATTGATCTTTGCTTTAGAGTTGCTGATAACTACATTTCAACCAGACGAAGCTGCGTTTCTATATAGCTATCTCGACCAGCTTGACACGGCTTTCATGACGCCTCGTCCGATGTCTTGGACGGTACTCGAACTTTCGCATCCGAAATTGGTGGCATACCACAATGCGCACGGCAATCAGGTGGCCAATTTCCCAGCCATTGTCCAGGGGTTTCAACGGGAGTATACCTAAGAACCGGTCAGGTGATCGGTAGATCACTATCAACACCGAATGGCTTGAAGGTTATCGGGCGCTCCCTGCCTTAACAGGTTTAGCCCCGTCCAAGATACAGCAGGGATAGCAGCTGATATCATCCCGAGCTCCCCGCATCATTGGCTGTGGGGAGCGCCAGTTTGATCTAGAACACCGAGATAGAGCCGCCCCCGGGTCGGTCTAAATCCGTTCCACTCCGGCTGTTTAGAGATACCTTAAAAGGTAATATTTATCATTTTTACACAGCTTAGTGTCGCGGCCCACAGCCGGATGTCTGGGGAATGACCCGCAATGAGCTGCAAAATAACAAGGACAGATACTAACCGTCATATGTATGTCATTTCTGAAGATGGGTGGCACTACTTAGTCGCAACACTCATTTATTTGTTTATCTTATGCCCGTTCTCCTATCTTCTACGGTGCAAAGCTCTCCAAGATTGACCGTTCTTTCAAGAATCATATCATGGAGAGCAGAAACTTAATTGGAATTCGAATTAGGGTCTCGAGTCTGTGAGAGAGGTCATTTGATGATGGGTAGCTACCAATCCTACACTAGTAAACTTTAATTATGCACCATGGCTATGACTATCGCGCCAATAAAACTAGCACGGCCCGGCCACGGAAGGATTTGAGCTGGGCGAGTCACGAGAACCAAACTTCTTCAACCACCGAAGAATCATTGCCTTATCAACAAAGGATTGGACTCAGATCGATACCGTGGCACATAAGGAACTGGTGACGTGGCAATCAGAGAGAGGATAAAGTGAAGATCATCCGACCAACGAGCGATAAAGCGCTCTTCGAAGGCCCAGAGTGAAGATGAGATTTTGACTTTGACTGCTGCTACATTGCCATCTTCCATGATCGATTTTCAAATCGGCCTGCTACTATTTTTGGCGACATCGAAAAAAAACAAAATTTCTGAAGGAGGATGGCCAAAAAGAACTTAAAGAATGGACTGTTTCCATGGATATAGACCGGTTGATTAGGTTGGTATTTTATGTAAACTTTTATGAGAATAAAATGCCGTTCGCATCAATTTCATAGCTCTATATTATTTATATTGGGGAGTATCTCCCGAGGTCTCTCATGTGCTTAGGCTAGTAGTAGATGGTCATATGACCCTTTGCATTGTTGAGTGGAACTGGCGGATGTCGTTGCCGATTTGAGATCATGATACCAAGAGCCCTGCCGATTGGCGTAAAGAAAAGTCAGAATGCAAGGCACCTCGCTGACATACTACAAGGCTATCAGGGTAAAATATATATACAGTTACCACTACTGGGTGGCATTGAGGCCGCGAAAGGACTGTTTTGGCCACGGAATCTAGTACTTAAATTGGAACCACTGGCAACTTTTCAAGAAACGAAGCTTTATTTACGAGTAATCAGCCACTGGCAGGTGACATGCGCGTAGAATACTACTAGTCATGCTAAGACCTCTACCAGGTCTATCCAACACGAGATTTTCCTGATATGTGCAGTCTTTGCTTCATAATTGAACCCTCTATTTATCTAGTATATTATCCATGAAGGCAAGAATGCCAAAAAGCCATCGTCGAAGCTTCATGTAAGGCGTAGTAGTATCTAAACAGTTTCAACGTGCATTCCAGCTTCCCCGGGTTGAATGGGCTTCTCAATAACCTCGGTATTGACTGTGCGGTGGTGACCGGGCAGAACAGGGTAACCACGAGATTCGAAAACGCCTCCGGTTATTCCACCCTTCTCGAAGAGATGGTCGACATCCTCCAGTTCCAGCCCCTTGGTTTCGGGGAAGAAGAAGTATACCATGGGGATCTTGAAAATGTCAGCATGGGCCACCAAGCGAAGGAATATCAACCGTGAGAACTTACCCATGCAGCACAAAAGCAAGCAAAAATAATGAAAGTTCGCCATGAAATGTTCTCAATTGCGGTAGGCGTTACTTGGACCACAATGACTGAGACTGTCAGTACTCTACACAAGAGTTCTCCTTCAAAATGTCTTTTACTTACAGACACACATCCAATTCACAAATCCTCCGAAGGCTTGACCGCGTGCACGAATACGAGTCGTAGTGATTTCGCTAGGATAGAACCTAATGAAGATATGAGTAAGATTCTTTGATGAATCAAGAATGAATCAAGAGCTTACCAAGGTACAGGCAAGTACCCAATGCCAAGGAATAATTGGAAAACGAAAACAAAAACGGTCGCAGCATATGCGCATGATGTCGTTCCGATCGATAACAAGATAGCCGTGAGGACAAAGCAGGTGCAGAGTCCAGCAGCGGAAACCATAAGTGATGTTCTGCGACCGAAGCGATCCATACTCCACAGGGGAATGAATGAGCCGGCCAAGTAGGCAAGGGAGGTACATCCTCCAAGGATCAGCGATAAGTTGCGGGAGAGATGCATGGCATTCTGGTAGACGATAGGTGCGTAGTAATTGATCATGTTGGAGCCTTTTCTCGTCAGCTTGCTTGAAGCATTTCTCGAAGGTAGAAGAGCGACTTACCAGTGAACTGTTGCTGCACGTTAATCAAGGCAGCAAGAATCATGCGACGAAGATTCTGCATCTTGCCTCCGGAGAGAAGCTCTCTATATTTGAAGGGTCCACCGGCAGATTCGATCTCAAGAGATGTTTCGATCTGGCGACGGAGAAGAATCACCTCAGGTGTGGACTCGTTTGCAGGCTGCTCCATCTGAAGACGAGCCAGAACAGATGCTGCCTCCTCGCTGCGATCCTGTTCACATAGCCAGCGAGGGGTATCGGGTAGGGGAATCATTTGTAGTACTAGGCAAACCGCAAAGAATGCCTGAAAGCTGATTGGGAATCGCCACTGCACAGGAGAATCGACGAAGCTGAGGCCGTAATCCAACCAATAGGCGATGCAGAGTCCGACGATGGTTACTGTACCTTGCGCGGAAAGCAGCCTACCACGTAGCTCAGGTCGTGCCATTTCTAAGGTAGCGTCAACAATCAGTCCTCTCCAGATCTACTCTGATTTCGACTTGTAGTCCAAGGAATCCACCTACCACTCTGGTATGTTGGTACCGTGCTGCTATTGATTCCATTCCCGAGCCCGGTGACGACTCTGCCAACGAGGAACTGGGCAGTAGAGTATGAGGAGCCGAGAATGATAGTTCCGATTACCATGATGGAACCGCCGGCAATAATCATATTTTTCCGCCCGAGACGATGACCGAAAACGAAGGCAAATAAACACCCGACTGCGCAGCCAATGTCATAAATTGAGGTCACTAGAATCACGGAGTTAGTCATTTGGTGATCTGCACATCTCGATGATAATTTCACGTACAGATGCCTTGCATAGTCGCATCCGGGTGACCGAATTGCTTTCCAAATTCATTATCCGCACCAACAAGTCCACTCATCACACCCTGATCATATCCCAGGAGAAGGAAGGCCTGACAGCTGGCGGCTGCATGATTCGGAGTTAGTCTCGGTCGCGCCCTCGGAGTGCGAGGTTGGATAGTACGGTACCTGTGACAGCCCAATGCAGATATCTTCCACTGATAGGGCCCATCTTGATGTCTTTTCGAAGACAGCAAGTATCTCAGGCAAGTATAAGAAACGTTGAAGAGAAGGGGAGTCCGGGGCCCCGCGATTCTTGTTTGACCATTTTAAGGGAAGCATCACACTCGCACATCTCGCTAGCATCTTCCCCGATAAATCCGCCCTCTCTCGGGGGGAATTGGCCCGGCCCGGAGGTTGTGCTACAGTTGCACTGCTGAATCCGGTTTAGCGGAAGTTTGGTGCACGCCTGACCCGGGGATTTGTGGGGTTGCCCCGCACTTTGACCAAACGAAGGCTTACAACAGGCTGGGCACGGCCGGGGTTGACCAGCGCCATCATCAAACAAGCAAAGCGCCACCAGGTTACTTGAAGAAATCCGAGTGGGGATCACTGCCTAGGCGGGCGCCACTGATTTCAGGGTCCGGTGTGGTCGTTGGTGCGCTGACGGCCGCTCAATGAGACTCGTGGGCAATGAGCTCGAGCACCAAAGATCGCCTGTGCTCGAGCTATTTTTCTGAGACCACGAAGAGTTGAGTTACATTCGCATGATTAATCATTTTTTCTTCTCGTGTTTGCCAGGCCGAAGAGGTGGTGACAATGCCGCGAACTCACGAGAGTCGATGGCTATAAATACGCAACGCAATCCAACAGGGAAAGAAGCCTGTTCGATTCTTTATTCCAGAAAGCCTCTTCAGACTTGATTTGCGATACAATGCTTTCACACGTTTTACGAGCTACAGCCTTTGCTGCCTCTTGTCTTGCTCTCCCTGCCAGTGATGCATCTGACCTAAAAGTGGACATCGATTGGAACAATGTGTTGATTGAGTCCAAAACAACAGCCACTTTGCAGTCGGTGGCCAATCCACCATTGCTATCAAACAGTAGCACGCGTGAAAATGCCTTGAGTTCTCTCAAATCTGTCGCTGCTGACTACGTCCGCTATGTCCCCTGGTTCCCCTACCCTCGTCTCTCGGTCCCAGAGATTGACCCGCCCGTCAAAAATGAAACCCATTGCTCCACCAACTGGGATTTTACCTATGCAGACCAACTACTGTTAGACTTCTTGGCCAACACCCCAAATGTCTCTCACATCATAAATTTTAGCACCACGCCTGACTGGATGTGGGTAACCGACACTCCCTATGAATACCCAGAAGATGTCAATGCAATTGACTGGAATTACAATAACGGAACTCGACTTCGTGACCCATCCCTGAAGGAGATCTCCGATTACTATGCACGACTGTTGTCATGGTATGTACAGGGTGGTTTCACCGATGAGTGTGGCGTCTATCACAAATCCGGTCATCATCTCGACATTGAGTACTGGGAGATCTTGAACGAGTCGGACTCCGAGCACACAATCAGCCCGGAATTCTACAATCAGATCTACGACACCGTCACCGCCGCTATCCACAAAGTCTCACCAAAGACTCAATTTGTTGGTCTTGCTTTGGCTACACGCAATGTGACTCGCGTAAAGGACTTCCTCGACCCTGCCAATCACAAGCCTGGCACGCCGTTGGACTGGATCAGCTATCACTTCTACGCGACTCCTGATAACTCGACTACCAAGAACGAATCTGCGCAGAGTTTTCAGATGGCAGACACGTTCCTTGGGGAAGTGGCCGAGATCGAGGCTGCTCGGAAGGCAATCTCGCCGTCAACCCGTACCACCATCAATGAGCTGGGTACTATGGACCCCCTTGGCTCGACTGTCATCTATGAGAACTACACTATTCCAGATGAGTATTGGGTCTGGAGTGGGGGTATCTACGCCTACCTCTTCTCTAAGCTCGCCGTGGCTGGCATTGACGCTGTCGGGGAGAGCCAATTGAGCGGTTATCCCGGTCAATATCCGTCTGTCTCAATGATTTATTACCAGACTGGTCTTCCCACAGCTCGCCTGCGTGTACTTCAATTGATCCAGGCGAGTATTCTGATTGGTGACAAACTTGTGCAAACTACGAGCGATGAGACTCAATTCCACGCCCAAGCATTGGTGGTTGCAGGTGGTACTAAAAAGCTGCTACTGGTGAACAAGCTGAACCAAGAACTCTCCATCCAAGTTACTGATTTCCAGAAAGCGACTGCGGAGATCGTTGATGTAAGCACCGGAGGTAACCCATGGCGCACTGAAGATGTCAATGGTAGCATCGAACTCCCCCCCCATATGCCGTGGCTATCGTCACCGAGTCTTAAAAGGGAACTGCTTGATATTATTTCGTTCGGTGCATTCGAAAGAAAGTTCATATCGAAATGCGCCTGGGATTTTGTTCGACTACTATTCATTACATTCAGCGTAGTCCCATCAATTCGCAATGCACTTTCATCTGGCTTTAGAATTCCAAACCGCGGTCACTTCGCCGATCGCATCGTATCCGTAACACCAGTCTCTAGTCTTTCGATTCATCATGCCACCAACAGCACTTGAAATTTCATCACGGCCGTCCACACCATCCTCTAAGTCCTCCATGGACACTTCAAGAATCTCATCGGGATGGCTCATAATTGTATGCAATGCATCGCGCTCTTTGCCCTCCGGGATATGATAGGAGTTTCCTCCGCGAAGACTTGCTTTCTGTACAGCAGTTGCTCTCCGCTTCCGTACTTCTTCGAATACAGAGAGCGCAGCTTTCAATTGGACTTTTTCGGGCGCAGTGCCGGGGTTTGGAAGTGCAAGATCCAGGACTGTGGCGAGCGAGACTGCATCTTCCACTGCAAGACTTACTCCCATTGATAAGTAAAAGGCCATGGCATGTGCGGCGTCGCCGACAAGGGTGAAACGACCTGATGCGTGCGTCCAATTTGGGAGTGGAGGGACGGCATAAACGGGATAATTCACTATCTTGGGAAGCGAAATATCGAGAAGCTTCCGGGTTCTGGAATTTTTGATTAACATAATTACCATGCAAAATTCGTGATGATCTCACATTGGATTGAAGTCTTCAAAAAGATCATTGACCATTGCCTTGTGCTCTTCGTAGCTGAGAGCCGAAGCGTCAACGGTATCGCGATGAGAGAGAACAATATTTAGCATGGTGGCATCTTTAATCTGATAAGTCATGCAAGACCTATTTGGGGCAATCCAGAAATTGGAATTGCAAGGAATATCGATACCGAGGTCTTTCAGTTGGGGATCGTCTTTGATTCTAGAGACTTCGGCCATCATTCGGAATGCGGCCCAGCCTGTTGGTTGGGATCCGGGGTCGGCATCCTGAAGAAGTTGCGAACGTGCGAAGGAGTTGATACCTGTCTCGATTAGTATTCAATGGAGATTTTCTATGCAGTCGGAGAAAGCCGTTACCATCGGCAGCAATTACAAGATCTGCCTCCATCCTTTTTCCATTCTTCAGCACTATCGCCCCTTTCTCGAAGTCATACTCAGTGACCTTGCTGTCTAGCATTAATCTTGCCCCGGAACGAATGGCGTGCTTGTGCAAGATATCATGCAATGTTGAGCGGTGAAGAACTATGTAAGGAGCCCCATATTGCTTTTCCAGGTCTGCCACATTCAAAACGCCGATAGTTGATCCACTTTCGTGATCCCGGATGAATGTCTTCTGTACTCTCACGCATTGTGCTAGTATGTCTTCTTTGAGGCCCCATTGGTAAAAGTACTTGACGGCCTGGGGAGTCATTTGGATTCCGGCACCTAATTCCGCTAACTGAGGAGCTGATTCCACGGTTAGAACCCTGTGCTTACCCTGTGAGAGGGCGATGGAAAGGGATAAGCCCGCTATCCCGGCTCCGACGATAACTATCTGCATGACAGTGCGACTCCCCTAGGTCAGGGCATGAAAGGGCGTGGACAGAATAAATGAGCTTGTCTCAGTGTGCAGGCCTCGGCTGAAGCAAGGTTTATGGAGGACAAATAGTCAAATCTGGAAGTAGCCGGATATTGTGGTTCTTGGCGGGATTGTTGTGCGAAGACGGCGAGGCTGATGAGACGAGTAAGCGGGGTTCGCATACACCTGCATATCAAATGAACCTTAACTTCACTAGCGAACTTTTGAGACCAGTATCTTCATCTGCATTTATAGGAAGCCCAAAAATGTAGCTCTATGATGTCATTGAGGTTGGAGTGCTACGAATGCCAGTGAATATTTGAACCAGATGAGGCTCTTCGCTGTGATTATGATACAACTTTTTCCTAAATACTGTAATATTGGCCAAGCATTTGGCTATGACCTAACTTCTTTTCAGTTCTAGAAACGACTTCAATTTCTCCTTATCCGCAATTGGATTTCTCTCTGCCACTTTAATCAAATGATCTGTCACTGGAATCGTTTTTCCTCCCTGTACTGCTTAAAGTTTCATTGGAACACCTTTCCACGAGGGATTTTGTCGCTCTGAAACACCGGTTTCTTTGAATCTGGGCACAGCCACACTTTAAGCTTTGTTTATTTGTGGCTTGATACGTAAAATCTCTTTCCAACGACTGATTAAAATAAGTGAACTCAGTGAAAGGTCCACGGGTCTCGATCCACGTGTCCGTATTATATAGAAATTTGTTTGAGTCACAAATGGATGCTCATTGAACCACCTCAGAAAGCTCCTTCCGCAATTCTGAAGAAAGCCTCTCCACTAACAAGTTTAGCATCCATGAGATTTCAGCATTCCTCTCTGATGCTTCATTCTTGGGGTCCTTCAGCATCCCCATCGTCATGTGTTCAGACTTTGCAGATGCGAACAGTGGCGTGAGCTCAGGCAGGCGACCAGCATCTTCCTTGGCCTGAAGCAGGGGTATGACCCTGGACCATGTGCAACAGAGCTCTTCCTGATGTTCAAGATGTTCACCCCTCGTCATAGAAATGAGGTTTCCGATCTCTTCTGAAAGTAACAGCTGATAGTGCGTCGAAGCTCTCCGAGATATGATCCAACAATGCTCGTCCCCATGTAAGTCTCTTCGCGTATAGTTATCCTGCACAGGTGGCGAGCCTTGCCTGGTGCCTGAATAGCCCCGGATCCGGCTCTCGGTATTGAGATCAGAATCCCCTGGCCACGGTTTCGCGGGTTTCTTCGTCGCAATCAAGCCCGATGTATCTAATAAACGATACACATGTTCATGGTTATGATGCTGCATGGCGCGCCCTCTACGAAATACATGTCGCCAAATCCAAGTAGAGCAGAAAATCAGCCATATGTGAAATACACTTCCTATGGCCTTGACCAGATTTGTTAGAATTGGAATGGCCAGTAATGACCAGAAAATGAAGTAGACCTTGCCGAAGTTGCTCGTGGGAAAATAGTCCCCATATCCAATCGTGGTGAGGGATGTGTAGGTGAAATATAGAGCCACGAAATAGGTCCACTTATTTTCTTTCTCAGATTGGCAAAAAATAGCCGCACTCACGAGCCACAGAATAAACCATGCAGCTAAGAAAAACCCCAGCTCGGCCCATCTCCTTCTTCGATAGAATGCAGATTTCACGTTGCGTGCTCTGAGGATTTCTTCGCCATTGACGCGACTGACGGAAGGGATTTGTGATTGGTCTCCTTCAGCTGTTGGGAGAGCATCGAAGGTGTTACCCGAAGAATCTGCGTTATCAACTTGTCTTCGAGTTTCCTCGATCTTCCACTTGAGCTTCAACTCTCTCATCTGATCCGTAAAAGAGGCCACAGCGGTTATAAAAAATGCCAAGCTAATTATCCCTAAAGTGGCGTAGGGAAACAGCAGACTGCGCCCTAGATGAGTCTTTGGGGATATATTCCCAATACCGATGGTCAGGAGAGTGTAATCAGTGAAGTATAGAGCATCTATCAACGACCAGCCTTCAATGGTGCTGTATACGGCGGCTCCACCGAGAAGCAGAATGCCCAAAGTGCTAGCCCGGAGCACGATCGCTGTACATTCGACTTTTCGCCTGTCTGTTGGACCTAAAGGGGACACCTTCACGCTGACCATGTAGATTGAGAGTAGGAGTGCTATCAAAAAGTAGAGACTAGCGGATATGATCCCAGCGAAAAAGTTTTGGGTATATGCCAAAGCTTGGTGGCCTTCGGCCTGCCGATGCCGGTGGACCTCGATGCCGATGAGGCTGAACAGAATAATCGCGGAGGCGAGCCAACCGAGGACTGTCACCATGAATCCTATTATTGAATCGACGTGGAGAATCATAGTGAGTAGGTATATCATATAAGTCGCTGTAGATAGAGCCAATGAAGTTGCTTTGAGCCCAGTGGCCCTATCAATGCGTTAATCTCTAGATTAGACTGGGAATAGGGGGGGAGGTGCCCTTGCCAGCTGGGTGTGCGTGTATCGAATTTTGACCCGTCCGCTGAAACACTCTGTTGCCATCCATTTACCAGAGCGCAGATGTTGAACATAACAGCCATAGAACAGAAGGCACCCTTCGTCCTCATCAGAAATGCGGTAACTTGGGTTGATAGGGCACAAATATCATACCGAAAGAACAGGAAAATTCGTCCAGACGTCCCGCCAGTAACTGCTAAACATTAGAAGCGGACCAAATTGGAGATTGGAGTAAGAACTTCCTTTGTTAATTTCCGACTTCTGGTTGTCGATGGCGCGAAATCCACATGATGATCTGATGATCCTGGCATCGTATCGTTTGATCATTTCCCGTCCCATAGAGGAGACCGCATACATAAGCTACGACCAGCGATGCGATATCTAATGTACCAGCCCAAGATCATATGATGTGGCTCCTGTGAGTGTTGTTTGGGCCGAAGTTAAAAATTATTATCTAATGACTGGCCATTGGATTACCTCGGCCCTTGACCTACTGCATATGTATAGCTCCAGTGTGATGATGTCATACCACCAAATGTTGATTTCAAGCGGGCGGTTTCTTGGAGGTCAGCAGGTTGATACATTCCATACTGATGACTAGCGATCGCTAGTATCTGGGGAATGAGATCAGAGGAAACGTGTGCATATTGGATAGATGGATGTGGAAAGAGGAAGCTCCAAGTGACTGACTGAATAACAACAGGCGCGGTAACCTGGGTGCCTGAGGCCGGAAGGCCGCAACACATAACTACAGTAGTACCTTATGCTTTGATGATGGAACGCTGATGGGTATAAATGAGAGTTGTCATCGCGATTCCACTAGTATCCTGCAAGAGTTGGCCACGATAAATTAACCACATCAGCTGCCAGTGCTTAATGACGATTCACAAAAAACGTTTAACCAAGAGAACCTTCTTTACTTTTCCCATAACAAAACCTGAGCATTTCTAATCCGAGTTCTGGATTAGGATGGAGATTCCTGAGTCTTGCTGTAGATTATGTGCATGGCGGGATCCAATAGAAAATTTGGAAGACAGTCAGTTATAAGCGTTTAAAAGGGTGATTTCAAATTAAGGAAGTACCGCTGACGATTGAAGTTGAAACCTTTGAGCCATCAGGATCTATAAACTGTCTCAGTATGTTTCTTGGCACCGTTCGGACGAGACATATTAACCTCAGTAAAGAGACCAAAGTTTTAATTCATAGTTTCTGCTGGCAAAGGCTAAGAAAACATTTTGACAGTCCACCCCCATCTTAACAAGTTGGTTGGGATACTGCAAGAGACACCGCGGCCAAAGTATAAACCACGTATGTGGATTCCATGAGCCCCCATAGTTTTCTTACACGTTTGACAGATATTTAAGACCACAGACGGAGGAGGAGAATTATTGGGGAATCAAATCATTGGAAAGTCTATACATCCAAAGATTTGTTCGACCCCGTAGGAGCAAAAATGGTGGCATTCCAAGGGCACAACACGGGAAAGTCGACTTTCAAGCAGGGTCTCATGACTGTTTCCAATTCCTTCCACTGGAAGTTCGGTTTCACATTGCTCAATATCTCTCCACCATCGACTTTTTCAATCTCAGACTTTCCTCGAAAGCCATGGTCCCTTTATTTGAAAGCCAGCAATTCTGGCGAACGAGGTTTTTGCTCCATGGCAAACGAGGCTATTTCAATTTCTTAACCGAAGAGGGCTTTCAAGACTGGAGACTTTTATATCGATATACCCATTCAAACTGTGTCTGGCCCCTCAAGGTTCATGACTGGAGAAAGCAGTGGCTTAAAAATGAGAACATACGAGATCAATATATGATGATCGAAGATGCAACTTGTCCTATGACAGATTGGAGCAGACAGACAGCGGATTCCGATGAGTGTCTACATTGGCAAAGAATCCTGTCACCCTCCACTTACGAATTCATGGTGGGTGAGCCTCGACGAATTCCCCATATTAAGGCTAAAACCCATACAATCCCTGTCTCTTACCCAATTTTGAAAATTGCGGTCTCTGTCCTTGTTGAAGATGAAGACACATACATATCAGGCTTTGATTTAATCCATGGATCTAATATCCCAGATACACAATTTGGCTATAGGATCCCTGGAAAACAAGTTATGTTGGATCTCCATGGCCGACCTTTGAAGGGGTTCCAGATCAACACGTCATGGGAGCTCATTCACGCTATTCGCCCCGTAACGGAGAACGACGAAGCTTTAGTTCCCGGTTGGGTTGGTATTCAGGGATATCATCGCATTGTGAAATCTGCGCAACTGGGTTCAAATGACGATATTGTGGCGATTTCCGGGGACTTTGAGGTGAGTCAATCACTTTACTCTTGCTCTTTTCTAAACCAAGATATGTACACGTGAATCTGTCAGCGCTGACGAGTGTTGACTTACAGGATCGAAAAAAGATAGGACTTGCAGTACGCTCAAGTTCCATCATCGTGGATGCTGAAGAAGTGATTAGTAAATACTACTAAGCGCATGTCCAATTCAAGCGTTTTTTGTTTATGAGATATTGCTAAATTAAAGAATACTATTATCTATACATAGGAGCTTCCACGGCCCTATATTGAGGCTCACTGCACCTGAAAACATGGAGTAAGTAGTGCTGTGTTCCATAGCGGCAACCGGCTCGGCTCAGTAGGTCTCTCGGCGGGCAATTTAGGCTGGCCGTCCCAGCGGCCGTCCGAGTCGGCACTTATAGACTTCCAACGTTTATATGTAATAGGAAACCATACCATTAGAACAACCAAGTTGCAAGGAATATGTTGAAAATTTCAGAGATAGGTTAATAATACCAAAAGTGGTACTATAAAGCAAGCCTGGCATTAGAAACCCTAGAAGCTACCCATAACCGTACTTGGCTAGGTACCAGGGAACCTTTGGGACGGAATGGACATTCCAATGAGATGTGTACTGGAATAGTACCCCAGGCCACAAACATAAAACCTTTGCGTGAAACCAGTAACTACTGCTGAGTCGGTTGCCCCTACAGAGCGCCTTAAGTAGGAGATGACTACCCCACCCGGCAGTAAACATATTACCTACTGCCGCAAGTCACCACCCGCTATTCTTTCGTCTCCACTGTTGGTATGAAATGTCAGCTGGCCAAGGACTGGCCCGAACTCACCCGAACTCACCCGAGACTCCAGTCTGAGGAAATCCGGACTTTGTGAGGTGTTCCAGCGCAGTGACGCTTCTATTGCCGCTGCTAGAATTAATTATCCAGACAGCATGCCACAGCAGGTCCGGGAGACCCAGCGCATTCCTCGATCGTGCATCCCGTGCTCTCGCAGGAAGGTGAAGTGTTCCAAGACAATTCCCTGCAGACAATGCATACAACGAGGCGATACGGCTGATTGTATGCGAGAAGTTGTAAAAGTGGGAGGGAAAATAACGATGTGGGTTTCTCTCAATCCTGTCCAAGCTCTGTTAAGAGTCCGAAGGAATGCTGAACATGGTCAGTGCCCTTGATGCAGGTACAGAAGGGCAGGATACCGCTACAACTAACCCGGAGTCGTCAAATCTCGTGCGAGAGAACCAGAGCTTGAAGCTCCGCATCAGACAATTAGAACTGGCACTCTCCCGCCCAGAACTGGTCAAGCTTGAAACGGCGTCTTCTCCTGTGCCTCCCCCGGACCCGCAATCCTCGGATAGAATCATGAGTGACTTTCAAACCCAGGCCTTTGGGTTTTCCGTGGAGCCTACCCCAAAAATTGCCAATATCACTCGCCCCCGGGAAAATAGCGTGAAACTCATTCTGCCTACCCGGCGATGGAGTGAAAGGATAATTGATTTCTCCTTGGTGCAGTTGGGCTGGGTGCATTATGCCGTTGATGATACCACATTTAGGGAAGAGCATAATGCTTTCTGGGATACCTTGATCGAACATGAGAAGGAATCTTTCATGAATCACGGCTGGATTGCAGTATATTTAAGCTTACTAGCTGTACGTTTCCCCGTCAATACTACATTGAGATCTGCAAACTGATGGATACTAGGTTGGGGTATATTTTATGAGCGAAGAAGATTTGCACGGGATTCAGCTACTTTACGAAAACTTCTCTCATCAAACGCCTTCAACAGTATCTTCGCTGGGAAAGAATCCATGCGGATTAGCCCGTACCTGGTATGAAGCTGCATTGAGGGAATTGGATTTGGCCGACTACACTCGAAACCCTGCGTTGTCTACAGTACAGACAGTTGCAATCCTGAATCTCGTGCACAAAAACATGGGAGAGTCAACTCGAGAATATATCCTCCATGGTCTGGCGGTCAATGTTGCTAGGCTTATCGGTATGGACCATGCTGGTGATACGTCGAATACGGAAATGGGGGGTATCAACAGGGTCCAACAAATCGTCCATCAAAGACTATGGTGGACTCTTGTCATTTGCGATTGGTGTGTGTCCCACTAACAATCCCGGTCTTTGATGGTATATCTAACTCGTCCATAGGATGACAATTTGGTCACGTCCAGTGTCCATCCACCCTGGTTCATTCACCACTGTAATGGGAACTACTCCCTCCCCCCATATCGAATATCACAAATTCATGGCTCGAGTTGCTACCATGGCCCGCAATAACATCACCCCGGCCAAGGAACTGAGCCCTGGCGCACTGCAAGCATGCTTCGAAGAAGTAGACAACGTCCGTGCTTGTTTTCCACCACCCCCGAACGACTCCATCCATGACGACCCGCTCTGGAACACCATCCAGTATAATTTAGCCCTTAACTGCGTCGAATCTTGGCGACTAGCCCTCTATGTCGCCATGCTTCCGAAAGTTCTCGATGATTCCTCGCCATCGTCCCACACAGTCCTCGATCCGGGCATCATAATCGCGAAACAAATCCTTCAACGTACATACAACAATTCAAACCCGGTCTACCACAAATTTTGGTCTGTCAATTCCGCAGTCGCCTCGGCAGGAATATTTCTAGCTCTCGATCTCATCTGCTTCCAACGACGGCGATCACCAATTCAAGTATCTGAACAGAAGGATCTGGTCGCATTGAGTCTGAAAATGGTCGAGCAGTCCATCGCAGAAACACGACACGATGGAATTCTCGTTCTCAGACGTCTTACACATCTATACGATACTGTGCGCCCAGCATACATGAGCAGAGTTGACCGCAACGTACTAGCGAAAATTGTTAGACTTGTAGCTTTTCCACGATTGTGGAATTCGCTAACAAGTACGGATGCAATAATGCGGTTCCTATTCCAGGATGCCCCAGGGTGCAATTTTGGCTCCTCTTCTTCGTCACCTCCAGATTCGGATCTGTATCCGTCTCAGTCGGGATTATGTTTGAGTAGCGTACCGCAGATGCAGAGTGGAGAGTTTGGTGCTTGGGGGCTATCGGAGACGATGGAGCAGGAAGAGATGGTACCTTATTTCGGGCAGGTGTTTCCCTCGGCGGAGCTTATAAATTTGGCCTTGATGGGTGATCTATGAAAGTGACATGAAAACGGTTTACCAATAGTATAATGTATATCCATGGATACGTTGAAGGCATTTTCGAAGTATACCTTCCAGTGCTATTCAAATTTGTTGCTACAATAATTGATCGCCTGGTCACTTGATGGCGGTAGAAAACAGTAGTGATCTATCATTTGACCCACCTCATCCCTGGGCAGTTTTATGATCGACTGCATACTTCATAGTGATTGCTCTCACTTTGTGCCCCCACAGAAAGACCGGCAAGCCGAAAACTGCAACAGCACCAGTAATACTGGCGCAAATATTAAAAGCCCCCTGGTACCCCTGCTCCTTCACAAATTTCGTAACCCCGAACGAAATTCCAAACGAAATGAGGCCTCTGATAGCGCAAATGAGCACTAAAATGGGCGCTGCTCGCTCTGGATAACTATCAAGCGAGTATGTATACCCGACTAAGATGACACCGATAAATGCAAAATATATCCCGTTGAAGGTTATTGTTATTGCCCACGGGGACCACTCGTATGGGCTCGAGCCCGCGCGGCCGAAAATCACGGATGAGATGATGAGAGCTGCAACGGGGAGAACCATTGGAATGAGACGAATTTCAGGCTCAGCGACGCCGTTGCGGTGTTTTGCGATCCACTGCGTTAGCTTGTCGCCGCCATATCCCAGGACCGGAACCAATAAGAAGGATACGACGATTTGTCCGCCTTGAACGAGACCCAAGGCTGAGGATGGGTAATTATAAGGAGGACTGGAGAGGATGGCGCTGAATTCAGTGACGACGATCACGTAGATACCAAGCGCAACGCTGTTCAATAGAATCACCCAGAGGATATTAGGGAAGAGAACACATTGCGCCATTTGCTTCCCGCAGGTGATGGCTTTTGACCAGTCCGCGGGCCTGTGGAATATTTTAAGGCTGTGAGATAGCGTGCGGGCTTTGTACCGTGTGTTGTCTATTGGAACTCTGGTTTTTTGAGTGGCTCGGACAACGGAGACGGGCTCGCCTTCGTGGTAGACGTGGACGAGGCCATCATATGCGTCGCTTGGTCGGGGATATAATGATTCGGGGACAGCACAGAAGGATAGTATGAAGACTACGCCGCTTGCAATCGCGATGATTCCGTACCACCATCGCCAACCGAGGGCGTTCACGATATAGGCTGTGGCGATAGTGAGGGCTGCGGTGCCGATAGATTGTGTGGCACTGAACCAGGCGAGCTTGCTACTACGCTCGTGAACGAAGTGTATTTCCTTGAAAACACCACTATTAGCCTTTTCATTTGGTCATTCGAAACTGCCAACAACGTACCTGGATAATCAATGGACATAAAGCCTCGGATTGCCCGGCTGCCAAAGAAAGAATATTCCGACCAGCAATATGGGAGTCCAAGCTCTGACTTGCAGCGCACCAAATCGAGCCCACGGTGAGGAGCAGAACAGAAGCCAAGAATACAGGACGACGACCGATGGCCATAGCAAGTGGCATGGAGATGATGTTCCCAATCCCCATAAACAAAGTCGGATAGGTCATCAGGTCTGTCGTTCGAGGGTCATTATCGTAGAAGGCCATAATATTGGTCAGAATCGGACCCATGCCGGAAGTTATGAGGACACTAAAAACAGCAACTGTAGATTCATTCTCGGTTAGACGGCACCTATTAATGGAAAGAGAGACGAAACTTACACATCCCCAGAATAATATCAATAGCCCATTTCTGAGCATTGGGAAGGTTGAGTGGATCTAAAAGGTCAGCATATAAAAACATGAGGCCAAAATAGATTGAATTATCACTTACCACGGGGATCAGGAGAAGGGGTGGGAATCAAAATAATTTCCCCTCCCTCGAGCAAGGTGACTGTTCCTGTGGAATTGTGATGCCCCGGTTTAGACAGGGCAGACTCAAGGTGAGCTACCTCAGTTGTTCCATTCTTAGCATCCATGACTAATAGTCTGATACTTTGTAATACTATCCTTTCCCGCTCAGGCGAGCCCTGCTTTATACAGCAACCATGGCTATCCGGTCCGATCGTGGGGCCCCGCAACCTGATGTGGAGCCGATTGTTAATGCAGTGAAGGAAGTGGTGTCTCTGAACCCATGAAAGAAAGGGCCCCGGTTGCAGTAGTCAAATCCCACTTCTCAATGTTGGTGGTGGCAGTTACGATCCATCTCGCCCGAGCTGGGCCGAGAAAGCTTTGTGGTGGCGTCGCGTAGCGCATCTCCAGTCCACCCCGGCAATGCAGGTGGAGAAATCAACCGAGGTAACCAACTCACTCAAAATTCGCTTGATGGAATTTCCTGTAATGTTTGACAGAAGCTCAGAACCATGAAAGTGGTGGATGTATGTAAATGACTAGAGATATCCAAGAGAGGACACGGCACATGGAAGGCGATCTTGGATGTCCGAGGCATCACAGCCCAGCAGAGCCATGAAGGATGTAAATATTTATTTTGAGCTATCTGAATGTAGAAGGAATATGAGGATAGATGGAGCTAGCGGAGCAAATAATGCAAAATTACAAATAGCTGCTACACTTCTGGAGGAAGCCCTTCATACACTTGAGTGCGTCAACAGAGAGCAATGGAATCACATTACTACCTTAACTATAGACATGAGAATTAAACAAAAGGCAGTATGACATGTGACGCATAATCTCCTCCAAAATGAACAATATGCTTCCCATGCGATGCAGCACCCGAAAATTCATTGTCATCCTTGAACTCCCCACGAAGCAGTGGACTGTTGCCATGGATCTCGATCTGGATACTTTCCCCAGCCTCGTACTCTACCCCCATGGCCCAGATCCCGATCTCCAATCGAACAACCTCTCCAGGGACAATATACTCGTCGCGATCGTGGGTATGGAAGGGGTAGTTTTCGTGGATCGATTTCGACTCATCGATTGCTCGACGCGACGCTCGCAGGATTCCCAGCGATCCAACATGGAACATGAGATTATTCATGTTACGTCGCGGTACCTTGTCAAGCGTCTCTGGGGTGACTCCATGCTGAGCAATGCTTGACCAGGGAATATTGAGGTTTAGTAGGGCCTTCCCTTGTACATCTAGCTTGCGCAGCAGGACGTAGACATCCATATCGTGGAAATCCGGGCAAGACATGAACAGGACTGCCTTTGGGATTCCCGCCAATCGTGTCTTGTTGGGGAATGTGTAGGTGAATGCGGCACAGTCCTGGTATTTTTCAGCTTGATAGGAAACCGATGCCGCAGACGAAGGAGTTTCGAAGCCCAGACGACCGTCGTTGTGAAAATACACTTTCTTGTAATCGGTGCGCGGTATCGGGTAGTCGTTCTCGGCGATATTGTACAAGGGATCCTGATTGAATCGAAGAATTGTGGTACGGACTTTGGGTGTGGTCTCCCACCCATTCTGCTTGCCGTTCAAGTAGTAGTCGAAAAATGTTGCAAGTTCATCGGTTGAGTCCTTGCAGTTCCAGATATCGTACCATTCCTGCCAAGGGCACAGGCGAAGCCATTTCTCAGAGGTTGCAACCTGGAGCCACCCTCGTATAGATCCCATGGTGTGCACAAAGCTGGTATATGATGCTGTAATGTATGCTGGGATTTGGATTTTCGCGATGTCCGCACGTTTGTCCTTCCAATACAGCGAATCGGCTCGAGAATGGCGACGGTACATCTCGTGAAAGTCCTCCACGCCTCCGTGACCCTGAATATTGTGGTCGATGATGAAGTCAAACAAGCCCGCGTCGAATATACCGCCTCGGACAAACTGTTCCCTGTAAAGATCACCGCAGGCTTCCCATGGAGCAATGGCTTTAAGGGAAGGTGGTTGCAATGCAGCAATGAACCACTGGACAATAGCCAAGTGCGAGTTCCCAGCCAAGCCAATATTCCCATTACACCACGGCATTTTGGCAATTGCTTCGATCACATCATATCCATCCTCGGCCTCCTGTGACCCCATAATCCCAACAATCCCTTCAGAATCGCCGGAACCCCGAGCATCCACATTGACAATAGCGAATCCACGAGGAACAAACTCGGCAGGATCGGGTCCTTCGAACTTCTCTAGACCGCTCAGAACTCCATCGGGAATTCCAAGATTCCATGGAAGGTTCTTTAACATGGTAATCCCATTGTACTTCTTCCCAAATGGACTCCAGGCTAGGATTGCAGCCACGGGCTCTGTTGAATCGACCGGTCGGTAGATGTCGCAGTATAAGTTGCAACCGTCACGAACTTTGATTTTGACGTCGTGCGAGGCATGGATATCACAAGGTAGTGGACGCGATCCGTTCTGGCTCCATCCTTTGGGTAAGACCTCTTCGCGAAAGCCAAACGGCTGGTAGTTGTTCCTACCCACCGAAGGCGGATCTATAGAACGCGTTGCGACTGGCACAGACAAGGGCATCGTGATTATGGGTGTTTATGTGGCAAAGGCGAACAGGAACGGGAAGGGTGATGCATCAAGAACGCTCGGGCATTTGGTATTGTTTTTGAATTCATATTGCTCTCGAATTTCCATCGGAAGGTGGAGGTCAAGTAGAAGCATTTCCTAAGCATGTGGGGAGCCCAATAAATTCGCGCGGCCGAGCTCGGGCGAGTAGGGGGGGTTCTGGTGGGCCCCAGCCTTGTTTAGTGAATTGATGATCTTGGTCTTTCTTCGCCTCGGGTTATGGAGAGGAAAACCAGAACTAGAGGGCTCGGATGCTCCGTTTCCGACTGGAGTAGCACTCTGTCTAATCGGATTTAAAGCCTCCCTCAAGACCCAGCGCTCTCTTGTTATGAAGTTTGTTTTGTTCAACCCCTAAGACGCTCCTTGTTTGATCAACAATATCACTTCAGAGAGATCACAATGGCACCTTCACGTATTGAAACTGCCGACACTGTTACGCCTGTCCCACAAAAGTTACAAGAGCGATCTCCCACTGGTGACTGGCGTGATGATTTCTTTCGGTATGGCTACACTGTTATCAAGAATGCCCTATCCAAAGAGCGTGCACAGCAATATCAAACCGACGCCTTGACTTGGCTGGAGTCATTTGGGCTAGGCTTCGATCGCAACGACAAGAGCACCTGGAAAAAGGAGAATCTTCCTCAAAATTGGAAAGGAGGGATGTATCTTCATTTCTCTGCTGCGCATGAGAAATACATGTGGGATATCAGATGGCAAGTCTACCATCCACAACTTCTCATCCAATCATTCAGGATCAGCATAATAACTCAATTCCATACTTTCCAGTGACCCTGGCGTGATAGAACCCTTTACCAAGCTCTGGGAAACCGATGAGCTAGTGGTTTCCTTCGATACTGTAAACATCACCCTACCCCAGTCCATTGTTGGTGAATACGACTCAACCCCCTGGCCACACGTTGATCAAGCCCCCAAACGCCGAGGCCTCCGCTGCGTCCAAGGAATCGTCAACCTCTCTGAAGCAGGTCCTAAAGATGGCGGCCTAGTGGTGATGAAAAAATCTGCTCCTCTCTTCAATCAATTCTTCGACGAAAACCCAGTCAAGGGCCCTACTCCCTGGCGAACGGCCAAGCATGAAGACTTCCATCCTTTTCAAGAGAAAGATCTTGACTGGTACCGCTCACACGGATGTGAACTGGTCAAAGTCTGTGCCGAGCCGGGAGACTTGATTCTCTGGGATTCGAGGCAGATGCACTGGGCTCAATTCGGCGAGTCGGATCTTATCCGGACCATTGCATATGTGACCTACACCCCTGCGAAATGGATGTCAGAGGAAGATCGCCTTCTGAAGAAAGATCTGTTTGAGAATTATGAGACGACTACGCACTGGCCGCATACGAATCTTTTTTCCCATGGAAAGGCTAAGGTTGAGGTTGATGGGCAGGAAGTTGTTGATCCTTTAGAGAGGGATGAGCCAATTACTAAGCCTATCAAGACCGAGAAACTGCTCAAGTTGGCTGGGGCATTGCCTTACTAGCCTCGACAGGAGTAACAAAGAGTGATATAGCAGTGAGTTGGAATGCTGGTTATCGGATATTCTGATGGAAGCAAAGCTACCTCGGTGATGGGCTCAAGTTCTTATCACCATAACCCGGAAGATAAACCTTGGAATGCGGCCAAGTCAAATGGGAAATATCTTAAAATTTTAAACTAGATTTATTATAGCATTCTCTGTTTAATCCAATGAGAGACCTTGATGTCGCCGTTCCTGCTTTCCAAGGTTGCCGTCACACAGCTCCAACGCAGGGCCTCTACAACAAAGTACTAGTATTTATTTGCAAAGAACCTCAAAATCTTCCAACCAATCCATTATCACTAAAATCTAAGAAATTATCGGCGACAAATCAAGTTCCGAAACCTCCCATTGCTTCAATAAATCCATACCACACCACACCACATACCGTACCACTGCCAACGCCACCATCATGCCACCCGAATCCTTCCACCGCCTGACTCTCAAACAACACTCCAGAAACCCCTAGATACCACCAAATGCGCAATCTAACGCACAGAAACGGACAGCTAAGCCACTCGGTAAATCCGAAATCCAACCCCGGAAAATTATCATCCGCGTGGTGTAGAGCGTCGGCCGTACCACACTACTCACCGATCGACGTCACGACTCATGCCCAACGAACCAACCAAATTCAACGACTGAACAAATTCGGCCCCGGAATCAGGCAAGGGCCCAATCGCGGGCCGTAGATCGTGATACCAGTGAAAATAACGCAGGGTGTGACTGGTTCATCCAGCCGTTTTCTCCCTGTAGGGTACCAACCCTACCGTACGATTCCCTACCGTACGATAGGTAGAGATGAGGCTGAAGCCGAGTCGGAACCGATGAACTGGTACCATTAACTTTGATATGGTTCGGGGTCGGCCGGCGGCGTCGTGCCATCGGCCAAACCAAGCAGTGGCTGTGCTTTTCATCTATAGATTGAAGAAAGATATAAAAGGAACTTCTCTTCGAGACGTCCTATACATCATTCATCCTCAAGAACATTCATCATTTCAGATCACACTGAAACAGTGACAATTACCATTACAACTACGGCATTCCACTCATTGATTACTACTACTCAATCCATCAAACCACAAGAACGATGCCCTCCCCCAAAACCACCGAAGCAGCCCGTCTGCAAAACGACTTTGGCGCAGACTACTGGGTTCGCAATCCGGACAAGGAACATCGAGTACGTATTTAATTCCCTTTTTACAAATTTCAATTCACCTCTTCACATCAACGCGAGAAACATTGGAAGAATTTGAAAAATAAAAAAAATAAAAAAAAGAAGAAAACGTATACTAACTAAACATAACAGCGATCCACTGCCGGTCGCGGCCTCTTCGCCGGACTCCAAGATACCAAGCACTACAACGTCGACCACGGCTGGGCCCGACGCAAGTCTGAAGATTCGCCCAGCCTGCTTGCTTCCATTTTCAGCAGATTTACTGGGGGATCATACCAACCGCCATCGGAATAAAATTCAAATGCCTTTCTTCGACGCTGAATATTGGGACGATTATGATTATTTTGTTTGGGAGTGATATCTTGGAGACGTTCTGATCCCAAAATTTTTTGAGCCAGTCGATAACTATTATCCGGTGGCTACTACTATGTTGTTGGAAATATCGCTTTTGTTTTGCGGATCTTTTTTGCTTGGTTCAATTGATAGCTTGGAGTTTTGGGCTGGAATTTATTTTTCTTATTTTACGCTTATATTGGATATACATACATGCCCAGGTGAAAAACATCAAATTCAATACTATTCTACTTCAGAAAAGAAAAAGAAAAAGCCTCTTCCAAGCTGTTGGTGTCCTTGCAGCTTTGAGTCTATAGCTTAGACCCAACAATATATATAATTGACAGCTTTCTCAGCTTCGATGCACACGCCAATCACGACTCCCTAGTAAGGCATTATTATATAGCCTCTCACTGGGCCACGCTACAAGTAGTGTAATACTTAATTTCAAGATCCACATGCTAGACTCAAGCCAGCTCAATAGTACTACCTAGTACTAGGTAGCTCGACAAGAGAACAAGAAAATCATATAAATTTGTCAATTTAAAGATATTTTAGATAAAACCCGCTTTGATTATATACAGTCCTCCCAAACCCAGTATCCAATATTCCTGAACCACATGGGCAGTGGCATTTTACTCCCAAGAATCAATCTTCATAGTGCCCTTCTCCTGCAAATTTTTATGCATCTTAAACGCCTCAAAAAGCAGATGCGGCTCATGACCCATTCCCTTCCGGAGACACTCAAACTCAGCACGATCAAGATAATCCGTAAGAATAGGATAATAATCCGGATGCGAGCATTTCTTAATAATAACCCTCGCACGCTCTCGTGGTGACAAACCCCGAACATCCGCGAGACCTTGCTCCGTAACAATAACATCAAGATCATGCTCCGTCTGATCAACATGCGTAGCGAACGGCACGATACAGCTCACGCCGGTAGGATCAACCTTGCTAGGTCGAGTAGACGGAGTATGCATAATACTATACTTCGAATTACGCAGGAAATCGGCCGAACCGCCGAGGCCATTCAGCATGCGCGATCCCATTACGCAGGTACTGTTGGCGTGGGCGTAGATGTCGACTTCGACGGGGGTGTTCATGCCGATGACACCCAGACGACGGATGATTTCAGGGGAGTTGGAGACTTGCTGGGAGCGGAGGAGGAGCTTTCCCGCGTACTTTTCCCAGTTATCATAGAATCGCTTGAAACCCTCTGGTGAGAAGCGGATTGAGGTTGCGGTGGCGAAGTCCAGGTTGCCGCTGTCGAATAGGTCGAGGAAGGAGTCTTGTAGGACTTCGGTCCAGACTTTCAGGTTGCTGAAGTTTGCGCCGCCCTTGCTGAGACCGCCGACGACGGCGTTGGCGATGTTTCCGATGCCGGATTGGATGGGGAGGAGATTGGGTGGGAGGCGGCCGTGGTGGACTTCGTGTTTGAGGAATTCAATCAGATTGGCTGCGATGGCTTGCGAGCCTTCGTCTTCTGGTGCATTGGGCTGTGTCTGGTCTGGGTAGTTGGATTCGACGATCGCGACGACCTTCTCCGGGTCGACGGGGATGTAAGAGGTACCGATGCGGTCCTCCGGGGCCATAATAAGGTACGGCTTGCGTCCGGGGGGTAGATCCGAGCCGACGATATCGTGCAGGCCCTCGAAGGAAGGGCTGGATGTGTTCACCTCGATAATCACCTTGTCGGCCATTTGCACCAATTCCGGTGATGCACCCACCGAGGCACCGGGGATGATCCCGCCACCCTCTGTGATGGCGGAGGCCTCAATCACGGCCACATCGATTTTATTCTTTGGCTTGTCGAGAGTATAGTAGCCCTAAAAGGTGGAGAGAAATGATTAGCGTCGATCTTGGACGATAGCTCTCCGCGGCGGGAAATCCCGAGCTGCGCTGAGGGCAGCACTTACATAGACCAAATCCGAGGGAAACATGCTCAGATGCTTATCGAAGAATTTAATCTGGCCATTGTTGATGCCCTTTGCGATTTCCTTTCCGACCTGATGCGGGCTTCGCCGCTCGATCATGTTGAGGCGAGCCCAACGGTTCTCCGTCTCTGCGCCTGAGGAGGCGCCCACGAAGAGATTATACTTTAGTTGGCCTTGGAGGTTGTTCTTTTCAACGTGGTCTGCCAGAGCTGTCGGGACCATCCTGAATAGTTGTTCGTTGGTTAGCAATTGCCGTGCCAATTGTCACCCTGTGTCACCCAGGATTGAAAAAGATATTGGAAGCAACGTACTTGGGGTATCCCACACCCGTGAAGCCGGACCAGCCGATATACGAGCCATGAGGGAAGAGATGGATCAGATCCTCAGCTTTGGCAAGCTTGTTGAGATAAGAGGGCCGTCGAACACGGCTCTTCAGGAGGGCCGAAGCAGCCATTGTGAAGGTGAAAGAGGGGAGAGTGTCTAGAACAATATGGGGAAGGAGAAAAAAGAAGAAAAGGCCGGGGAGACTGGACTTAAAATAGTCTTGGGGAGGCAACCCCACAAGACGAAATACAAATGAAAGTATTGGAAAGTATGGAAATGGAAATGGAAATGGAAGAGTAACGGGTCGGTCCCGGGAGATGGGAAGACTGGAGATCTACGGCTAACCCTAGTTATACTACAGATCTGTATAGATCGGATCGGATTCTAATGCCAACATCCCTCTTTCTAATTTCTGAAATTATATTATAATCATGATCAACTTTGCCCCTTGTACTCTCCTCTGTATTTTCTACCCCCCTAATCAATGTCATGATCTCACGTCCTCATCCGGCGAGTAATCCTGACATCATCTCGGCCATCCCTCGGACGCCCTCGGCATTTTCTCGCACTCTCAATAATCCACAATATTTCCCCCTAAAATTCCCTAAAATCTCCCTCAATTCGCCAAATATCACCGACAAATGCACCTCTCAAACACCCCAGATTCCGTACCTAACTTACCAGAGTCACCAGTAGGCTACATGCATAGTCCATCACCATCCAGCTCTATTCGATCTAGTCCAGTATGTCTGTCAATCATGGAGAACAGCCCCGAACCAACAAACAAGTCCCACCGCATCCGTCTCCGCCGGCCCGACCGGTCCCTCGCCCATTCAGTTCACGTCTCGGAGTGTATCGGCTATTACAGCTCGGGCACACGGAGTCTTGGAAGTTAAGTACGTACTTAACATATAGCCGAACAAGGGCCGAGAATACGCCAGGACGTCTTGGCCACTGAGGATAAGGGGACGAGTAGTGATCTACTAGTACTTCCAATTGGTCTAATTCAGGAGAATGGTTCCAAGCTGCCCTTTCCCTTTGCGGGTCATTCGCCTCGAAGAGGGGACGGAGAGCTTGGACCCGTTGTGCCATCAATTAGACAGATAGAATTAACTAGACTATAGCCTTACCTTTCGCAGATACAGCAGATAATCTCAGATCAGATCTGACTCGAATCGAATCCACCGGTTCACTGTTCCTGTTCCTAGCCGCGCGCAGATCTCGCCGGTTCAAGTTCTGCTCTAGATAAGTATGACTGCTCGGCTTCAAATTCCGGGTGGTTTGATCGTCGGACTAAACAACTACGGAGTACGGGACAAGAACTTGAACCCTGACAGTCTTGCCTGAATAGGGAGGTAGATTGATTGATCGGGAATTTTATCGGAAAGATGAAGACAGCTTATAGAGAATAGAATGATGTGGCGGTATCTAACTATAGGACACTAGCACCATATCACGTCCTCGGGGTTACTAACTATAAGGTACAGAGTAGAAGTATCTGATCATGGACTCTTCTTGGTCTTCCATCTAAGTCATCCAATAATTCTAGAGGCAAAGTGCCAGTGGGCTAATAGAACCTTAATAACAACAGTAACTCATTCCATCAGTCCATTCAAAAGAGAAAAACTACCACGTCACAGGACAAGGTAGTGTAAAGTACCAGTTAACTAGTACTAATAAAATAACAGCCTGGGTACAATTCAGCAAATCCAATTCTAAAAGCCTCGAACTAAAAGAAAGAAAAAGAAAAACCACTAGCCTAGCATCAAACTCATCGCGCAATTTCCTCATGTGAATATTGAATGTTTAATAAAAAACCGTATTTCAGGTATAAGATAGGGTAAAGACGCCGTGCCCTTCGCAAATGAAATAAACAAAACAAGAAAGAAAGGAAAAACACAGAAAGAAAGAAAGAAAGAAGAAAATACATGCAAAACAACTTTCCATCCCAAATCCGACCCAGCCCAATTCAACCAAGCAATCAATCAATCAGACAACCGCACATACATTCCTGAAAATACATCGCATCGCATCGCTATTTCCATTCAAGCTTACACTCGCACTCGACTCAGGCTCAATCAGTCTGAGACTCAAGACTCGGTCGAGGGCTCTGCGGTCTTAGCAGGGGCGCCGACAGCTGCGTCACCGACAGCGTCGGCGTCAGCATTAGCGACTGGTTCAGGGTCCGCCATCTCTGTATCTGCCGGTTCGGGTTCGGCCTTTTGCTCCTCGACCGGCTTCTCATCGTCCGCTTTGATTTTCCCTTCGCCTTCCTCCTTCTTCTCCTCGGGGACAGGGATAGAGGCGGTTTCAGGGGCGGTGGCATCATCTTCCATCAGGACATCAGCAGGGGCCACGGCACCGGTAGCATCAGGTGCAGTCTCCGCATCCTTATTCTCAGTCGCAGTCGCAGTCTCCGCCGCAGCAGCAGTCACAGGACTAGGACTGGGACTACCACCCCCACCAGCCTTAACAAGACTCCCATTCAACCAATCGCGGAATCGCAAATTCGACTCATCAACCTTATCCTTACTAAGCCCCTTAGCCCAGTTCGGATTATTAACAAACTTCTCCACAAAACGATCATGTCTCTTCTCCTTAAGAGCAGCGACATCCTTAACCATATCCTCCCTCTTAACCTTGATCTGAGCCTTGGCAGCCTCGGGATCCGAAAGTGCGAGAACCTCCTTATCCGGCACGGGCGCATTCGAGCGCCAGAACCAGTCGTGCGTGGGCGGTTGGTAGAGGATTGTGTAATTGTTGGCGCAGATGCGGATGACAAGGCCGTCGTAGTGCTGGAGACGGCGGTAGAAGCGGTCGTATTCTTCGTCTTCGTCGAGTTTGCCAGGTAGGTTGCGTTTTAGGAAGGGGATGCGCATTTCGGAGAATTTTATCCCTTCTGTTGGGTCGCGCATTGAGTAGGCTGTTACGTAGTAGGACCAGCGGGCTTCTGGGCTGAGGTCTTCGCGGTTTAGCGTTGATTCTTCGGTTGTCATTACTTGGATTGTGAGGTGGCGGTCGGAGGGGAACTGTGTGAGGTTATTGTTAGTTATTATTTTCGTTTCCTTTTTGGTAGAAGAGGGAGGTAGAAGAGGGAGGCTGAGGCAGACTTACAAAGGTCACGCGGTAAATATCGCCCTCCTTGATTAATCGTTCGACCTGCTTGCGATACTGAATCTCCTGATGATGAGTTGTCTCATTCTTCTCACGCTCCTTGAAGAACAAGTTCGCAATATCAGAGCTACGATCCCGAGAATCACCCGTGAAGATCGACGCCACGAACTTGGTAATCGACGAGAAGATACGTTCTAGATTGTACATCAAGAACCCACTCTGCATATAGAAGCGGCGCAGAGTCTCCTCAAGATGAACCTGGTCGATATCCCCTCGAATAACTTCCTCGCACATGCGGACAATCTGCTTGTAGAGGTTGGCCTTCGGCCCAACGTCGTAGAAGAAATCTCCTGGGAATCGATCAATCAGGCAGAGATCATTGGCTGGCTTTGGCAGGAGGCCGCGGCGAACTTGTTCACGGGCTTCGCCTTCTTGTTCTTTGATTCGCTGCAGGCGCGAGTAAAGGATCTCGAATGTGCGCAGGAAGCAGAGGATGTTGAGGTTGCAGTACATGTGGTGCACGGTCTTCTTGTACTTCTCGTTCAAAGTGTACTCGCGCTCCAGGTTGAAGTTACCCTGGCCAGGGTGCTCCATCCATTTCAATTCCGCCACGTCAAATGCCTCCTCGGGTTCGGATGCGGGGGCAGATGCGGCCCGGACATCAGGTGTCGCAAGCTGGGTAGGTGCTGGCACTGACGCTGGAGCGGCAGCCACATCTTCCTTGTTTTGGTTACTGCCCTTCTCGCCCTTCTGCTTGAGAGCCTCACGCAGGAGATCCAGCTTCTGCGTGTTAACAACCCTGCGACTGGCGTTGGAGGTATCATCTGCGCCGAAGTTCTCCTCCAGCTCCTCGGCAGGCGTAGCGGCGATGGAGAGTTCGTCCATATAATCGTGGAAGGTCTCCCGATCGAGGCTAAAGAAGATAGGAACAAAGTCCTTGACAAAGTTAATCAATCTGGACGGCTCAGCGCCAAAGCCGGAAGTGCTGCGGTCAATGAACATGCAAAGAAGGTGAGTGGTATCCAGGAGAACATCGATATCGTCGAATTGCATCTCAGCCTGGAATTTCTTCGTGGGAAGACCGCTCTTTGCGCGACTTTGCGTTTCTTCGAATTTGGCTTGCAAGTCCTGCTGGATGTTCTTCGCGATGAAGAGCTTCTTGTCTGTCTGTCGGGTGGCAATCGCCTGGTGATCCAGACTACGCCAGTAAGCTCTCTGCATCTGCTCGCGCCAGACCTTATCCCATTCGCGTTGGCAGGCTTTCCACTCTTCCAGCTTCTGCTTCAGGCGGAATAGTACGATTGGCAGAACCTGGCAAGGACGCTCGAACATATCGCGGATGATCTTCTCACCACGCTGGCGGTCGTAGACCTTCTTGATCACGCGCTGGTAAATAGCCTCACTCTGTCCACCGAGACCAGGGGGGGAGCTTGAAGTTAGCGCGTTCAGCGTCAGACATGTGCAAAAATTGCTGGCAGATCGGCTCAATGAGCTGGATCGTCCGCGTGCAAGCTTCGATGTGATGATCATAATCGTGGCGATCCTCTTCGATACGGTGCAGAGCGTCTTCATATTGGTTCTTCCGGTGAGCAACGAAGCCAGAGTCCTCGGATGCCCAAGTAGGATGCGAAGCCCAGTCGTCATTCAACACTTCAAAGCACAACTGATCACGGCCACTGCAGGCCTTTTGTCTCTCGCGCTTGGGCAGCAGACGATAACTAGGCCCCAGTGATCGGCAGTGCGCAAGGTTGACAACACCGGCTTCGATCTTAGGCTTAGGGTCAATGGTCTTGTCTTCAGGCTCTTCAACGTTCATGAAACGCTTGAACCAGCTCATGAGCTCCGCGTTGGAACCAATGAAGCCTTCAGCTCTCTTGACAAGAATGAAACGATCAATGAGGTCATTGGTATAGAGATTGCACAGTTTCAAAAAGTCACTGAAAGTCTGCTTATTCGCAATGAACTTCTTGACACGGTCGAAGAAGGCAATCTCCTCTTGACTAGGAGTAGCCAACGAACTAGGTGGAACTGGCTCCGGGAGCGCGGGAATCAAGGTAGGAGAAACGTTCGGGATATCCGCACCAGATGGCTTCCCATGGTGAAACTTGGGTCGCTTGCTGCCATTAGCGAACTGAGCCGGCTGGCCACGCATCTGAGACTCTGGGATCCGAGCCTCTGCACCAGCAGGGCCAGATACAGAGCCACCGCCAATGCCAGGTCCGCCTCTCCGCTTCTTGCTATCCTTGGCAGAATCCTGCGGTTTGAAGTGGCCCATGGGAGGCAAGTTCTTCGCATCTCGGTTCGCAGCTTGGGACATGGCCATAGGGTCACCCCGCATATTACTGACAGGAATGTTCTCCTCCGCGGCACGCGCCGCCGCCTGCTGTTTGGCGTGTGCCGCAGACTCAGGAAGAAACTGCTTGAAGTCTTCCAGAAGGTCGGGAGCAGTGTTAAACAGTTGGGTAACCTGTGCGTAAACATCCTGGATGGGCTTGGACTCCCGTTGATAAGTCTGCAGAATCTCAAGGAACTGCTTGTAGATCTCTGGTGCGCTGGAGAAACGGTTCTGAATTCATGGTTAGTTGTGTTCAAAAGTTGATTACCAGGACAGATAAGCATACCTTTATCTTGTTCACATAGCTGATGGCATGGTTGAATTCAACAGGTCCACGCTTATTTAGATCCGCAACGCCTCCCTGAAGCATGCCACCAACGCCAGCCAGGCTGTTCATCGGTTGTGTCAAACTGGCATTGGGACCAGCGCCAGAGGTGGGCATCATGCCGGGTCTCCCCAGGGCAGACGCGGCAGAGGCAGCGCCTTGCAGTTGAGCAACACCACGGTGATCCTGCTGGTGGGACAGCGCCGCGGCACCCTGCTGCTCTTGGGTCTGGTAGCCATAGTGAGGGTCTTGGCCAGGTCCTTGCGGTTCCTGGTAAAGGCTTGGTCCCATCATACGCGAGCCAGGAGAATATGAGCCCGGGTGGGCTTGTTGTTGACTCTGCGGCTGCTGAGCTTGCTGCCATCCCGGACGAGACTGCTCGTAGTAATCAGGACGTCCAGGACCACCGCTGGAGGGGCCGGATTCGGTTATTGTCGTCGTCTCGAATGGGCGTCCTGCACGCGGCATACTCAGCGTATTCGTGCCAGATGGTGTGGTAACTCGAATGGCATCTGGGTTGTCTTCAGTTCCGCACTCGATTCGGTAGCCGGGTGGGAGAAAAGTGTTGAAGCCCTGGATGAGAGCTGGATGGCCATTGAAGAGGGTAGAGACGCGTTGGATTACACCGGGAGTATCGATTCTGTTTGCAAGGTCAGGCCAGGTTCAAATCATACTGCACAGAGAAAGCGAATACTTACGCCTGACTCTTGAAGTCCTTCATTATGTCCAAGAAGCGGTTGTAAACATCAGGCTGGTCGGAAAACCGCACCTTCACCTGATCCAAGTAGCTAAGGGCATCCTGCACCACAAACCCACTGTTAGCGCTCGGTTCTCCGAGAGATGCGGCGGGTCCAATCGGATGACTTGCATTGAGAATCGGCTGTTGGCCCTGGGCAAGAGCCGCTACACTTCCAGGGATTTGCTGTGCTTGCCCATTGTGTCCCATGATGGGTGGCCCACCGGGATACTGCATGTACGACCGAGGGGTGCCTTCGCCATGTTGCTGCATCTGCGGGCCGCCAAAGAGGCTGGCCGGACCACCGGAAGACTGTACGCTCCCTCCGGGTCCATTCTGCGGATTGCTACCGAGGTTCGAAAGGAGGCCATTCGGGCCATGGATAGAGTTGGGAACTTTCGACGCCACGGGCTGGTGGAGGGGGGATCGAGCCGGTGTGGCTCTGGACAGGGTGGTGTTCGCCGCGCTGGCGTTCCATCTGTTGGCGCTCCATCTGTTCGCGTTCGCGCTGGTCACGCTCTCGGTGGGCCATTTCTTCCTGACGTTGGCGCTCGCGCTCCAGAATCTCGCGTTCCCTTGAGTCCCGTTCACGGTCACGGTTCAGCTGAGGGGATGCGTGCGACATGGCCTGGCCAATGCCGGGAAGAGAATGACCTGAGCTGTGCGAAGGTCCAGGAGGATGCTGTCCGTAGGTCGGTTGTTGGTGTGGAGGAGCCCCGTGGCTTTGGCTCAGTTCTGCCAGTCCGGGGAGGGAGTGGCCACCTGACTGACCGGCGGGGTGGTAGGGACCTTTGAAGCGGCATAGCCAAGTTAGTTGTCCATCCTCTTGTACACACCAGGGGTATGCGATCGATTGGGCGGATTGTGGAAGAGAAAGGTGTGGGAGAAATGCTAACCGGACGGAGGAGGAAGGACAGGCCCAGAGGGCTGCGACGCAGGACCCTGTTGAGACGGATTTTGACTAGAAGAGCAGCAAGATGCAAGGTTAGCCGCTGACCATTGCCAATCGAGAACAACCATGAGGTTCATACCTGAAAGACCCTAAGGGCCGAGGTTGTTGGTTCATCTGGTCCATGCCAGGGTGCGACGGAGGCCCACCAGCGGGGGAGTGCCAGTTATCATTCCCAGAATTCATGATCTGGGCATGAGCCGAATAACGGCTATGAAAGAAGAGAGGTCGAACAACGGGGGATTAGGAGACAATGAGTTGGAGAGAGGGGGAGAGGGGACGGGGGAAGGGAAGATGTGTGGGTGGTGGAATGGGCTGGACGAGGGTGAGCTCCAGCAGCTTTTCGCGGTTGGCGTTTCGCAAAGGCTCGGAGTGGGATGAGTGGTGACGCTCGAGCAGCGCCTAGTCACAACATGACCAGGCAGAAGTTGTAAAATAAAACAAACAGTAAATATACTCCAAGAGCAGAGCCAGCGATAGCAGACGAGGAGTGCGCGCGACCGATCGCGGGCTTCTCCAGTGGAGGCTTTCTTGACCGACTGCGGCTAGTCCCAATGGGGGATGCCCCGGATTCTCTTTAGTCCGGTCTGGCAGAACATTTTTGTACAGAGGTAAGGTGACCTTGCGGGCGGTCAGCACATATAAGCACCAAGTGTATCGTCACAGCTCCGTACGACGGGAAGCAAACATTCCTTCCGCCTTCGTCATCGCCCGCAAAGTCGGGCAGAAAATCCCGAGGATCAACTGGAAAATCTGGAGAGGCTGACTGAGTGTACGAATTAGGGGAAACTGGGAAACTGAGAGCTGTGAGAGCTATGAGGGATAATTATTTATTTTAAGATAAATAAAGAGCGGAGTGGTTTAAGGAACTTGACATGTTTACCCCAACTAAGTGTAGTTACATACAAGATACTCCTATAATCATTACTACCATGGGATATGCCCAACACAACAAGATCGATCATAATACGCCCCAACCGAGCTTAACATTCTCTCTATCATGAATCAATCCGTACAACGCCTGCAGGCACAAGGTAAGGGGTGGGGGAATCGTTCGAGGGGATACTTCGAGACAGGTGGAGGAAGTGGTGCATGGCAGGTGTGCAAGGTGTGAGTGCAAGTCCTGAATTATGAAACCTGTGGCTTTGCTGCTATGGCATTATTTGCGTTTCTGTTCTTTTCTTCTTTGCTCTTTTTTTCGTTCGTTTTGGGTGCGTCCTTGTTCTCTCAATCACCAGTCCTCCACCCAGTCACCGAATTCGAATTCCTCCCAAGATGTGCCTATCGATGATGTGTATGGCCTCACAGAGCAGAGAAGACGAATAGCTAAGAGACGTATGGTTAGCAATAAGAAAGGTAGAAATCTGATCAATAGAGGAACTCACGTTGTTCGTAGCCGCAATCGCAATGCTATCCTCGAAGGGATGCCAGCTCATATGCAGGATCTTCTTGTTGAAGTCGATCTGATCGGCATCGGTCTCCTTCTTCATTCGGCTGCCCGGACCCGCGGGGCTGCCGGACCTCGAGCCGGCCTTCTTGCCATTGCCCTTGTTCATCGGGGTCGGTACGCCAACCTTCTTCGCCTTGAAGGCCGACTTGTCCGCCTGTAGGACAATCTCCGTCTCCTTCTCCTCCTCTGTCGGGTAGATCATGAAGTTGTTGTTATAGCTACCGGTCATGACATTCTCGGCATCACCCGAGAAGACGACCTCAAACTTGTCAAAGATGCTGTCGTTTTCGTATGTATCGCACAGGCGGGGGCGCAGGTGCTCGTGGATGGGAATGGTCTTCACCGGTTGACGCTCCATATTGACGTCCCAAATCTTCACGGTCAGATAGTCCCTAGACACGATGTACCGGCCGTCGTGTGAGAATCGAACGTCGGAGATGGAGGAGATGATCTCGGAAAAGAAAGAGCGAGAGGATGCATCCTCTTCTTGTTCGAACTCTAAATAGAAAAAGAAAAAATGGTTAGTTTCCTTCCAGAGCAAATCGGTGGAAATAATTGTTTGCTTCTTTGCAGTACATACGCTTCACATGTTCGTCACAGAGCGCTCGCTGGCGCATGTCGGCAAGCTTGATGGTGCCCTTGGAGCTGGCGTACATGAACTGGTTGCAGCTGACGGGGTGAAATTCAGCCGCGGTGATAACCTCAGTCAGCTCCTCCATGTTTGCAGGCTTGATATCCACAATGTTGAAGCTTTGGTCCTGGATGTTGAGGTTCCACAGGTTCACTCGCAAATCGTCACTGCTGATAAAGGTTTCGCCATCACTGTTCACGGAGATGCTATTTATATGGTACGCGTGAGCATTCGCGTAAGTTCTCCGTGGGACAGCAGCGACCACAGTATCATGGTGTGTCAATCGGGGCAGCTTCAATGCCGATGCGTCCTTGAAAGTCCCACGGGGGGCACGAGGGAGCCCTCCGATGGCGGGGGCCGGAGTCATCTCATTCGAAAGGTTGTTTTCAGCGACCACCTTTAGAGACTTGTCAAACACCTTCCACAGCTTAATTGTCTTGTCGTTTGTGGAAAGGAGGAAGTGTGATGCATTCTGTCGCCGACACCATTTTATCTTGTTGATCTTCTCTTCAATCTCTAACGATTTGAGGTAGTCGAATTCGGGCTCGTGGGATTGGAATTCGGTATGGAACTTATACTCGCAGGTTTTTTTCTGAGCGGAGGAGAGAAAAATGACAGTGTCAGTGATGGTGATTCTTTTTCATAGGGTTTTTTTCCCCGCCTCCTTCTCTCCGGTCCGAGTTAAGTGAGTTCTGGCTTACCGTCTCGTTTCGCTCAAACAGAACCACACGTCCACCCTTGTCTCCTGTAGCCAAATAATTTCCAGTGTGATCGAATTCGACGGTCGAGATGATATCAGCTGGCGGGGAAGAGAGTCAGTCCAAGAGTCCTTTCTCGGAGGCGAAAAAGAAGAGAATGGTACCTTCTGTGATATCCTCTACATCGCCTTTATCTCCGAAACATCTGCATCCCACGAGTCAGCCATAATTCACGGTATTCCGCCGATTCGTCGCTTCCATGAGGCATGATCGACCCATCAAAGTACGCTCTGGGAGAAGCCAACTGGGCGGCATCCGCACAACCCCACCGCGTCGTCCCCTTTGGACCGAAAGACTCACTGTGTGAACTTCCAGGTGGGTGAGCCTGGATCTCTGTCTACCATCTTTTCGTTCTAAGATCGCCCGTGATCGCGACGGATGGGCGAAGACCGATGCAAGGTTGGAGACGGTGAAGAAAGAAAAGCCGCTGCGCCCGAATTGATTTTTCTTCGGCACGGCGAGCTCTATTGCAGGCGGGGAAAGCGACAATCAGAGCGATAGAAATGACGGAGGGTCGACGACCAAAAATCAGATCGGTCGGCGAGCGATGATCAATGGTTGTAGGGCGAGCTGGAGGAGGGGGGGGGGGGGAGCAATCGGGTTGAAAAGGACGGAGCGAGGGGTTCGATGGCGGGATCGCGGGAGAGAGGGCGGAAGCGAACCCACGAAGAATCGAGGGGGAGAAGGTCTCACGAGAGGCCAAAGGAAAACCAAGATAGATGGGGGTGGTGGTGGGGGTTGAGATAGGAGGAGGTAGTAGGAGGGGGAGAGAGGAGGGGAAGCAAACCAGCCGTGGATGTTGGGTGGGCCCGAAGCAGAGCTTGAGCAGCGGTGGGAGTGTGGTGGTGGTGGTGGGCAGAGGGCAGGGCAGCACTAGATAGTTACTAGGAGGTACAACTAGTATAGCAGAATAGATACTGCTATGCTACGTAGGAATAATCATGTCTGTGAGTAGTCCTAGTTAATACTGAGTACTGTGCCCAGATACTCTAGTACTACCGATCCTGACATCAACCATTTACACAGTGCAACATCGGGTGGGGCATGAGTATACACACTATCGCAGTGGCTATAGTATATACTCTAACAGTATATTATACTACTAGTAGATAAATATTGGAGATGTAGATACTAGTGCTAATATGATATATAAGTACATATCATTGTTTTTACCTAGACTATCCAGCTCTTAGTACTCTGGTTCTACAAGTATAAGACTGCCCAGCCTCTGTCGTCATCCATAGGCAGATACTACTATTAGTAGTACTACTAGCATCTAACCATTCCACTCTTACTTAGTTATGTAGGTACTTACTAGTATGTAAGCATGAAGTTTCGATAGGATCCACCTGGTAAAATAGTAAACTTGAAAGAGTGCTTCAAGTTGTATATCCACACTCTTACCGCGGCAATTGATCCCCAATATATAGAACAGCCTGGAGCATATAAGATGACTCAAGTTCCGATCCAACAATGCCTACCTAGGTATGGTTTAAAATTTACTAGTAAATTATCTCTAGACCTGACCTCTGAATTACTGTGCTCATTGATTAAATATAGTATTTAGTTTAGAATACTACCAGTACTACCTACGGTAGTCGCTCTGCTATTACTAGTACGAGTACCCATCCATCCGGCCTTCACATGTTCCTACTTTGTCCGGTCTAAACCACATGGGCATCCACCCTCCACTCCTTCACTCCAATCCCTCTGACCTTTACCTACTGGCACTTAAAAAGGTCCTTCTCTCTCAAACAACAACCAATCCTTCAAGGAACAATCCTCCATCCAGTTCACCGCCATGACCGACCCGAACATGCGGGGTACACCGCCAGCCCGCCAGCCCGACTCCAAGGCCGCACCAACCTCAAGCTCAACCTCCAGCTCAACCGCAAACCCCTCACACCCGAGCACAGGCCCAAGCCAAAGCGCCAACACAAGCACAAGCACAAGCAACAATGCAAACCCTCCCTCCCAACCCTCTCTCGCAACCCGCATCCAATCCTCCGCCACCGGCCTCGCCCGCTCCGCCTTAACAGGACCAAGCGACTACGCGCAGACCCTCAATACAGCAACACAGGGCAAAACCGCAAGCTCTTCTTCAGCTTCAGCCTCAGCCTCAGGCTCTGGATTAAACTATGCCACAAACTCAAACAACCATGCCCCCTACTCATCCTCCGCACAACCACAACAACACACACCCGCACCAACCTTCCGCAACACCACCACCACCACCAACCAACCAGGCGCATTCTCAATCCCAAACCTAACCGAAGAAGAATTCCAACGCGTCTACACCGACATCGGGACCTACGGCCGAGCATACTACGATGCAGAGACAGGCACTGGCACAATCACAGGCATTGACACCGACACCTACGCCGACATAAATAGATCAAACTTAAGCCAAAACGAATCCGAAAACAACCATGACCACGACCACGACCACGAAACCCTCCAATCAAACAATGGCCCCTGGAAAGGAAAACACAGACTCCAAGACCCAGTCCAACTAGAATACACCACAGCTTGGGAACGTGCTAGTCCGCACACTTTCACCGCAGAACCAACGCACACATACACTCCCGTCTCAACAGACGGTGACGCAATCTCGGCACTCCTCTCAGATCCATCTTTCGACGCAGCTGGATACGACGACGACGAGAATTATAACGTGGATCTCGACCTTGAGGCGCAATTGGCGCCTCTCTCGGATGAGGAGGTCAAGATGTTGGAGTCTTTTCGTAGGGATATGGACATTGGGATGGGTCCTGGATCTGGATCTGGATTCGACAACAGAACAATCCCACAAGGCTCCGTCCCACTGTCCTCAGTTAGTCTAGTTCCAGACATCGACGCATTTCTAAACGAGCACGACCCCGAAGCCGGAGCCGGGGTCGGAGCCGGAGCAGTCTCGCTTCGAGATAGAGTGTTGTCTGAATTACCGGGCTCGAATGAGTGGGTTGGTGTGCAGGAGCGGTATCATGATGAGGTTTGGGGATATTTGAGGCCTGCGCTTGAGGCGGCGAGGGAGGAGATTGAGGAGAAGGGTGTTGAGGGGGATGTTGAAGGGCAGGGGCATGATGGGGATGGACCGGCTGTTAGGAGGTTGAAGATGATTTTGAAACATATGGGTGGATAGTAGTACATAAGTACTAGCAGCCTTGAGAGGTAGTAGAGGTAGACTTCAGATTTGGCGGTGAATTGGTAGACGAGGGAGTAGAGATAGATTGTCCGAGTTTCTGCATGTATAGTAAGTAGTTACGATGTGTATGTCTATTGTACTAGTACGAGATGTTATGCTTAGTAGGAAAACTTCAAGGTTGAACTTGAAGTAACATTATCCGCCTGAGTAGGTAGAGTAGTAGGTTATAGGGTTCTTACTTATGTAGAGAATTGGATTAGGGTTGATTGTCCGAGTCGATTAGCCGAGGTAAAGTACCTAAACACTAGTACTAATTATTCCGTAGCAGGTCGGACCAAGTCCACTTCCTCATTACTAGTACTACGCTGTTCCTGAGTTCCTCGGCGTTACTAACTTGAGGATACAAGTACCAAGTATCAAGGTCTACTGAGCATACATTAAGAGAGCAAGAAGAAGCAAGAAAAAAAAAAGAAAAGAAAGCAAAGAGCCGAGGCAAAACATCTCTAAATAATGCATTTAAAATATGTTACACGAAGAGAGCACCCTCGATCGAACGGGCCAGACTAGACCAGACTAGACCAGACCAACCAATACCAATTCAGTCACAGTCACAATCACAGTCAGTCCAAACCACGCCATCGTATATCGTAAGAACATGGCAGAATATCGCATCGCAGAGAAGAACGGGGTATGAGAGCAAAAGATCAGGTTTTGTCAAAGAGGGCACACTGCACACATATGGAGAGGGACAGGATTACTCCATCTACAGCTCCAGGCTGGGAGTTTGACCCTTGACGCGGCCGATGACGGTCTGGGCAGCGTACTTGGGGATAACCTCGTCGTCGTGGAGCATGGCGAATTCTGCGATAGACATCAGTTAGTATACGTTCATCAGATGATTGGGGTAGGGGCTAGGTAGGGGGGCTTGACTCACCCTCAGTAGCATCACGGCCCATAAAGTTGAACAGAGCGTTCGCACCGCCGGGGTGCTCGTCCAACCAGTTAGTCACATCTAGGACGATACCCTTGACGGCAATCCACAGGTCGTCCTTCTTGTTGTGCTTCGCGATCTCCTCCATGGTATACTCCTTCTCAGGGATCTGGAAGTTAGCTGGGTCAGGCTTAGCCTGCTCAGCGGGGGCAGAGGCGGCGGGGCCAGCGGCAGCAGCAGGGGCAGCAGCCACAGTAGGCAAGCTACCACCGGGAGCGGCACCAGCCCACTCAACAGAGATCTTGCCGGGGGTATTGGGGTCGATGTGCAGGGAGATCTGGCCGAGACGTTGCTGGGCAGCAGAGGAGCCGGTATTAATGACCTTCTGGAAGAGGTGCTGGGAAGCAGAGTCACCAGCGACACGACCGTAGACAACACAGCCGAGCAGCGAAGAACCGCCGAGACGGTTAGCGCCGTGAACACCGCCAGCCAATTCACCGCAGGCATAGAGGCCGGTGAAGGGCTCCTTCTCCGAGTTCAGGACCTCGGCGTGCTCGTTGATCTCGATACCGCCCATAGTGAAGTGCAGCACGGGCTCCATGGTCGCGACGTGGAACTCGTCGTCCAACTTGAAGGGCATGTTGTGGAAGAACTTCTTGTTCCAGGGGTCCTTCTTTTTGCCATCGGCGATGAGGTTGTACTCATCGAAGGTCTTCTTGAGAGCGGCTTCGCCGCAGCCGATCTCCTCGATTAGTTGCTTGCCAGTGAGCTTGCGCATCAGACCGCGGCCGGAGTAGTGGCGGGTGTGGAAGTCCAGCACATTGGAGGCCTTGCTGTTAAGAACGAGGCGGATGGGCCACTTGCCCTTCTCCTTCTCGATCCACATTTGGTTCGAGACGTAGTCACGGTGACCCAGTTCGTCGGAGAATCGCTCTCCGTCCTTGTTCAGCAGGAGACCGCCTTCACCGCGGAGGGCCTCGGCGGCCAGGAACTTGAACTTGGCACCTGGGTCCTTGGGGTCGACGAGACCGGTCGGGTGGACCTGGACCTTGTCCATGTCGATGCCGTTGGCGCCGATCTCCATGAGCATCTTCTGTCCGTCACCGGTGGCGTGGGTGCCGTTGGTGGAGGAGAGACCGAAGGTATCGGGGCGGTGCTTCTTCAGCAGGGAGGAGTCGCTGAAATCGGCGGCGTAACCGCCAGTGGCGAGGACGACGACACCCTCGGCGACCTTGGTCTCGCCGTTGATGGTGTAGGTGACGCCGGTGACGTGGTTGCCGGACTTGTTGACGCTGGTGACGTTGGCCTTCTTGACGATTTGGACGCGGCCGGGCTCGGAGTCGGCGAGCTCTTCGAGGCGCTGCATGAGCGCGTAGGTGATGGCCATACCGGGGAATTTGGCATCGTGACCACGGTGAGTGCGGGGGTGGGTGTGACCGCCCAGTCGGGAGACGAGGGTGAGATCGAGGTTGAAGACATCCTGCAGCCACTCGACGGCGGAGGCGGACTTGTAGGTCAGGACCTTGATGAGGTCGGGACGGGCCTTGTCACGGGCGGACTTGAGGGTGTCCTCGTAGAATTGCTTGACGGTGTCGGGGATGCCGAGGTCGGTCTGGGTGCGGGTGAGGGCACCGTTGATGCCGGAGGTGGCCTTGGTGGAGTTACCACCGAAGAAGGCCTGCTTGTCGAGAACGATGACGTTGCCACCGTTCAGGTAGACGGTGTGCGCGGCACTGAGGCCGGATACTGGGGAGTGTTAGAGAGGATGGAAGGGAAAGGCAGAGGGAAGGAGGGAGGGAGGGAGAACGTACGACCACCACCGACCACAACGACTTGGGGTGCTGCCATGATGTGTGAAGTGAAGGGAGAATATGAGGGAAGATGAAGGGGAGAGGGGAGAGAGAAAAGAGATGGGAAGAAGGAAAGGGAAAGGGAACTCTTAAAGGGAAAGAAGAAAGTTCAACTCAGAAGCCGACGAAGAGAGGAGCTATCGGCCGAGGCACAAACGTGGGGGACGATGGGATGGGCCCAGCTGTGGATCAAGTCAGTGGATACTTCCGGGGGAGTGTGAGTAATGAGGAATGCGAGACTGCTGGTTTGTGCTTGCAAGGGGATCCATTCCGGGGTATACTGGACTATCACATGGGAAGTAAGTTAGGGGTAGCTAGTATGATTACGGGGTACTACTGGATCAGATGTTGCAGACGGTAGGACTACTGAGAGACATTCACATGCACATGCATAAGCATGGGTTGAGGGAGAGGTATACGGAGAGGAGGCATAAGGATGGGATGGGATAGGATACAGTGGATAGCACCTGGGCATAGTGGATATACAGAGACCATACTCATCTCTAGAATCCAAATTCAAAGCATTTCGGAATCAACATCTTCAAAGCAGAGGGGCAACCGGTAACTCGGTCGGGATGAATTCCGTGAACCTCGGAAGTCAGTGGAGGCCGAGCTGCATGCATGCATTGGGTGTAGGAGTACTCAGTGCTGTGCATTAGTGTACCGCGATACTATACTATAGGTTATAATACCATTTGTTTAATATACACTCTTAGAGATTATTCTATATACTATTCTATACAATTCTATTCTCCATTTTATAAGAAATCCTATCCTATTCTCCATCACTCTCATTGCCGCTGAACTTTGGGTCTGCTGTGATTGGTGGAAGTTGCTGAGATAATCCGGGGTCGGGTGATGATGTCATCCACTATGCATCCCCTTTGGGACAAGTCAATTGCCGACGGAATTCTCTCTTCCATTCCCATCATTCCATTCCTTCCCCTCATTCCCCGATCAATCGGGTCTCCTTCTGGCGAGAAATACTAAAAGGCCCATCCCGCCCCGGTTTCACTCATCTGAACAGCTGCATCTCGGTCTCAATTGTTGCGGTCGGCCCGCATGCTGAAATTTCGGGGTAATGCATTCCGAAGAATATAGGGTCGTCTCGCCCGAGAGCCGATGATGCAGCGCAGGAGATATCTCCGAGGACCGAGTAGAGGACGGAGTATAAGTGCGTTATATTGCCTGCCAATGCCATGCTCACGGAGAAATAAGTATTGTGCGAGGTGGAATTACAGAGTATACTATGCTATACTATACTCTACTGTACTATACTAACTACCACTAATCCATCCAAGTCACACTCTTCGTCGTCAAAAACTCATTCAATCCCTCCTCCGCATTAAACCGTCCCCAACCACTATTCTTCACTCCACCATGCGGCAGCACCGGCTCATCATGAATACTCATACTATTAATGTGGACCGCCCTGCACAAAGAACCCCCGTCAGCAAAAGCACTGCCAAAATTCCTCAAAGGGGCAAGTAACAAGAGAAAAGCAGGCAATGGGCTCAGCTGAGCCGAGCCCAGCCCGCCCTCTCCTCTGAGCAGCGAAAAGAGGAAATAAAGCAAAAGCAAAACTCACCCAGATTGAATCCTCCTCGCCAAAGAAAGCCCCCTCCTAAGATCCTCCGTAAAAACCGACGCCGAAAGCCCATACCCACTCCCATTCGCCAATCGAACCGCCTCCTCCTCACTCTCAAACGTCATAAACGCCGCAACAGACGCAAATGCCTCCTCCTGCCACACGGGCATTTCCTCCTTCACTCCGCCCAGAATGACTGGCGCCATGCGCACCCCGCACCCAGCGGGTAAGGTCGCGTCTACGTCTGCGGGACTGGATCCGGAGATGAAGTGTGCGCCTGCTGCGATTGCGTCGGAGACGAGGGTCTGCACGCGTGTTTTTGAGGCTGTGTTGACGAGAGTTGGTGGGAGGGTTGTTGGGTTTAGGTCTGTGGTGCTGTTGAGGGCTTTTTGGAGGGCGGCTATGAATGTGTTTGCGATTGAGGTGTGGACTAGGATTCGGTCGGTTGCCATGCAGATTTGGCCGGACTAAACGATGTAAAGGAGGACGTAGTTAGTGGTTATTCTCCTATCCATTCGAGAACTCTCCTTCGGGGTCAGGGTCGGGGGACGAACATTCAAAAAAGCACCAGCCAAAACACCCTGAACAGCAGTCTCCAAATCCGCATCCTGACACACAATTGAACTATTCTTCCCACCCAACTCCATAAGACAAGGCTTGAGATTCTGTCCGCAGGACCTGGCGATCTTGCGACCGACGGCCGTGCTGCCGGTGAAGTTTATCTTGCGGACGGCGGGGTGCTCGATCATGGCGTTGACGACGTCGGCGGCATCGGATGGTTGGCAGTGTAGAATATTTAGACATCCGGCTGGGAGACCGGCGTCTTCGAAGGCGCGGCCAATGGCCCAGTAGCAGCGTGGGGTTAGTTCGGAGGATTTCAGGATTGTTGTGTTTCCTGCTGCGAGGGCGCAGGCGGCACTGCGGATGCCGAAGACGTAGGGGGCGTTCCTTTTAGTTGTTGGTTAGTTGAAGTTGAAGTAGGAGGATGTGATATGGTGTGGTGTGGTGTGGGTTGAGGTGAGATGTTATAGATAGCTGCAACTTAACTCACCAAGGAACAATCCCCAAAATCACACCCATAGCCTCCTTAAATACCATCGCCCTCTGCCCCTCCGTCTCAACGACAGGAACACTTCCACAGATAGAGGTAATGCGCCCCGCAACATCGCGCAACATGCGAATAGCCAGCGGGACGACGAAACCTTGCGAAGCACCGACGTCAGCGCCCATCTCGGTACGCATGTACTCGGCATTTTGCTCGAGGCGCTGCTCCAGGAGATCGGCCGCCCTGAGGAGGACATCACGTCTGACGGTGGGTTTGGTCTGGGACCAGGCGGGGAAGACCGCGTCGGCTGCTTTGACGGCGCGAATGGCGTCTTGCGGGGTGGCGGAGGAGGAGGTCCAGCATTGTTTGTTGGTGTAGGGGCTGATTACGGAGAAGGTGGTTGGGGTGTGTTCTTCTTGGCCGTTGATGAGGAGGGGGATGTTGGTCATGGTGGTCATGGTGGATGGTTATAGGGTATACCTAGGAGGTATCTATTCGATGGTGAGGGGGGGGGGGGGGAGAAGAGGGGAGAGAGGGGAACTTGAGAGGTATCGTACGAGTACTATTAGATGCAGCGAGCTGGGAGCTTCAAGTTGGAGATTTGGATTGATTGCCCCACTGACTCCAAATTCTTCCTGCTGTACGGAGTACTATGTACTAGTAGGGTAGGATGGAGGGCTACGGAGCATGTATCCGCATGTCGGAGGGGAAAATGGTTGATCTGATCTCCACTGCTAGGCTTCTATCTTCCCGGCCCTAGCCAGGGTATATACTACCCTACCAGTAGTATACCCTTGTAGTAACTTGAACTACTAGGGCCTACTTCTCCGGAATAGTATGGAATATGGAATATGGAGACGAAATACGGAATACGGGGAGCTACAAAGACTATCCCACAGTATGCTCTATCACTGAGTACCTGAGCATGCCTATAGTAGGCTGCAATTACTCTTACTGGAATGCCAACCATGGACAATACCTCGGTTAGACCCAAGCCACCAAGCCACCAAGCCACTCCGCTCGATCCACTGGATATTCTCCGTGTAGTACGGAGTACGGAGTATATAAGCACCGCCACTACATATATGAGTACATATCTGGGGAAAAGGGGTTCAAGAAATATAAACACGCCACCACCCAAATCCCCCCTCGGAGGATGTACACCCCAAACCGGATGCAAATGGGTTTGTTGAAGGAGCAGTGGTTGATCTGAGCTTGCGGAGCCCTGAAGAATTCGCATGCCAATAGTGTGCCCCACCCCGAAGAGATTTGCAATGGAGACACATCGCCAAATTGATTTATCTGAGGCGGTCCACTGCGACCCTGATGAACATATGTACATAAACACGAGTACTCTACTTGGGGAGTAGCTCCTGGTATTAAATCCAAATTTAGATGAAATGCAACCCTTTATGTGCTCAGGCCCCGGCAGTTGAGATTGCAGAAGATTCCAAGCATGGGTGGCCCGGTCGCTTCAATGTCGAAATGACGCACGCTTGGCATTCGATAGTTGCCGTTCACACGGGCTGAGAGGGACTATTGATGATCTGCGAGAGCATTGTCTCGGGGAGTGTGGTAATGATACGGAGTAAATTGATGGCACTGAGTCAGGGTCGCATTTTCAAATCAAAAATAGTCTTGCAAATAGTTTTCCATAGTCCATGGTAATCAAAGGCAAAGGAAAACTTTGAAGGTCAAGTCAAGTCAGCAAGTCATCAAATAATAAGCCAATAGACCGCTGTTCCCAAGTCACACAATCCCACATATCAGATGAGATCGCCAGGCTCGGCCTTCCCAATGTGTCAATCACATCCCACCATGACTTCCTCTCACAAGGACCTTCCAACCAATCGATCCGCTGTGGAAACCAGAAATATGTGTCATTCCAAATCAGCTTCCTTTCCCAGTACTGATAGGCAACGCTAGCACCTGGCGAACCGGCGAATAAGCCGCTGTCGGCGTCGATTAAGCTACCCGCCATTCAGCGCCACCCAGCAAATGGGGACTATAGTGGCCTCCACTTTCTTGCTTTGGCACGCGAGCTAGGCCCCATCAAAATATCCATACTCCATCGAAAGAGGCAGATCCAAAGAAAAGAGTGGCCAGGGGACCCGATGAACCCGATGGACCCAACGCACATTGCACATCTCGAAGCCCAACAATTGGGCGCATGCGCGTCCGTCACTCGATATGGACAAATGATCGACCTCGATGGATGAATACTCCATAGTGCAGGTGGACTGCGCAATCAACTGAAAAGTAGACCTGTTCGACTATTGTCTGCGCGAACCAAGGTTTCTGGCATCTTGAGAAACCTGGTTTCTTGGCTCCGGGCCCTCCTTTTGTCTCCCCTCTTTTCTGTCGTGCATCAGTTCTCGCGTGGCTTTGATATATCTGTGGAGGTCGTCCACTCGTCCCTGCTGATCTTCTTTCCCCAGGTCATTCACTCTTTCTGACTTCCCACCTTGCTTGTGCTTTCTGTTTTTGCTTTAGATTGTACTTTTGACTGTGTGGCTTTCTTGGGGTTTGGTTTTCACTCTTTATCACTATACCACTACAGCCATGGCTCCCAGTGTACGAGGATGGCAGATGATTGAAATCGTCTCGGTCTTGGTAGCCCTGTGTCTGGTTTCCGTGGTGGCGCGCATGGTGGCTCGCTACCGTCGTCGAGTGGGCTTCGGCATTGATGACTATCTTTCTCTGGTGTCTATGGTGTTGATGATAGCCATGTTGATTGAACTGATCTTGTGTAAGTTGTTCCACTTGGTGTGTGCATATGTGTACCTGCGTTCTTGGCTGATAATCCCAGGGTGTTCGATCGGAGGCAATGGGACCCACGTCAACTTGTTGGACACCAAGACCCTAATGAACTATTGGAAGGTATGCAGAGATACTAATTCTTTCTACTGTAATCCATTTTGCCGCACCGTCACTCACACACCTTAGATCTTCCTGGCCAACCAGTTCACATACTTCATCCTCTGCCCGTCAATCAAGATTTCCCTGATTTGCTTCTACCGCCGCGTCTTCACTACCCCCAGGTTTCAGCAATTTACCTTCGGACTAAACTGCCTCATCGGTGCCTGGGGCCTCGGCATCTTCCTCGCATGCGCTGGCCAATGTATTCCTCTCCGCGCCTACTGGGACCACAGTGTGCCCGGCAAATGCTTCGATGCGAACGTCTTCTTCATCGTCAACCAAGCCTTCAACGTCGTCATGGACTTTGTCATCCTCATCCTGCCAATCCCGATGATCTGGGGTCTGCACCGTAGCTGGCAAGACAAGCTCGCACTGAACGGTGTCTTTGCTCTCGGCGCTTTCGTCTGCTTCGCTAGTATCTACCGCATCGTCGTGCTGTTCTGGATCAGCCCCACCGACCCTACTTACACCGTCTACCAAGCCACTCTATGGACACACATCGAGCCATCCGTCGGACTGATCTGCTCCTGTCTACCCATCATCCGCGGTCTCTTCCCTGCCATCAAGTTGAGGAACCGCTCCAAGAACAGCCAGCCTCCGTACTATATCAACACCGACCGCAGCAACGCGCACTGGATCTCCAAGTCGAGCCCCCGCTCGCCGGACCTCGAATATATGAAGATGCAAGCGGCCATGTATGGCTCACAATCGCCATATGAGAGGTGTGCTAGTGCCACCAAAGGCACGTTCTTGGGCGATAATCTCCAGCCGCAGCCTCTTGGTATCAGTGTTCAGACTGATATCTCCATTACCCCGGACAACAACTCGACAACCACGCTCACCCGTTGAGGACGACCAGATTGCTGAGTCTGCCCAGTCTACTCAGCTCGGCTTATGCTATGTGATACGATGTGATGACCCCCGTTCTTTGGAATAGCCACTGTACTTCTACGGAATACAACAATTCGGCTTGGATACCCCGGATACTCCATTTTGAAGCCCAGCCCAGCGTGAAGCCTCGGAATAGGAAATTATGGACGCTTTGCCAAAGACTGGCTTCGTCTTGCTGGTAGCTTCGGTTTTACCGGCGATCCTACTATGCCACTCAATGGCTGACGGGCTACTGAATACCCCAGCCAAAAGAGAAACATACCTAACCATTTCGCTACCACGCATTGGTTAACCATTCTACACTACCATGATCTTTCTTTCATTGAAACTACAACCTTGTCATGCTTCCATTCATTTTAAAAGACTCGAATATTTCTATTACCCAATCAAACAATCAAATTCGATAGACAAATATTCCCGGGCACCGTACTCGATCCTATATCCAGCCCTCAAGCCCGATCAGACAAAAGTATCCTCAGACTCAAACATTGGAGGCACCAAGGACTTAGGAGGCCACCCTGCTCCACTATTGAACTTGGTCTCAAACTCATACCTCCCAGATCCCACCCTCTTCACAATATCACTGCCAGGCAAAACAACATCGGCTGAGGAATTCGGCGGCACAAAAAGACTCAGCTGAAACAGATCCCCATGAAGAGCCCACCGACACTCCAATTCTCCAAAGGCAGTCTCATACCTCACCTCGGCACTCGTAACGGTACCCTTGGCAAAGGCTTAACAAGAACCCTCTTCCAACCCGGTTCAAGCAAGCTCACACCAGCAACATCCTTATGCAACCAATTAACAATCGACCCAAGCGCATAATGATTAAAGCTCGTCATTTCACCAGGATTAACACTCCCATCAGCCCGCATACTATCCCACCTTTCCCAAATAGTCGTCGCGCCCATCGTAATCGGAAACATCCAAGAAGGACAAGTTTTCTCCAACAACATCCGATACGCCAACTGCACATAACCAACCTTGCAAAGCGCATGCGTAATAATCGGCGTCCCTGCAAAGCCGGTCGAGACTTGAAACTTGGCCTTCCGAACCAATCTCGCCAGTCTCGCCCCCGCATGGGCAATTTGCTCAGGCGAGTCAAGTAATTCGAAAAATATCACTAGTGCAAGCGCTGTCTGCGTATCACCAACCAAATACCCCTCCGCCGTGACATACTTTTCTTGAAATCGGGCCTTGAGACTGAGATACTCCCTCTCATACCGCGACGCATTCTCGCTCTGGCCCAACACTTCGCTAACAACCCCCAACACCTTCGTAACGTGCACCAAATACGCATCCGCAACAAACGTCCCATCCGTCCGTGAGTTACCCGGCTGCTCAGGCGGAGCCGTAGGATCAAGCCAATCGCCAAGTTGAAAGAGCTCATCATCCCACAATCGATCCGGTCCACGTCTAACACCCCGATCGACCCAAGCAACCATACTCTCATACTGGCGTCGAAGAATTTCCTTATCCCCATAACTCTGATATAATGTCCAAGGCAAAAGGACAGTGACATCGTCCCAGACAGCCTGGGGAAAAACTGGCCAAAGCGATTCCGGAATAACATTCGGCACCACGAATGGCGGGATCCCAGTACCAGAAGAAAGTTGTTCAGCAGCCAGATCTTCCAACCAATCCCCCAACATTCCGGCTGTGTTGTATAAGAAAGAAGCGGAAGGCGCGAAAATCTGAATATCGCCCGTCCAACCCAAACGCTCGTCGCGCTGGGGACAATCCGTCGGGATGGAGAGGAAATTACCGCGCATACTCCATGTAGCGTTTTCGTGAAGCTTATTTATCATTTCGTGTGAACTTTTGAATGTGCCTGTTGCGGGGAGGTCGGTGTGTAGGACCTCTGCGTGAAGATTGGATAGGGTCGGAATCCAATTTGATATTAGCACGTAGCGGAAGCCGTGGAATGTGAAGCGTGGTTTCCAATTCTTGAGTTCCTTGCCCGCGGAGATGATTGTGTCTGTGCATTTTGCGTCGCGGAGGGGTCGAGTGGCTAGTTCGTTGTTTTCGAGGACTTCCGCGTGTGTGAGTGTGATGCGTGTATCTGGTGGTGTGAGTAGGGAGGGGATATGGACGCGGCCGACGAGATTTTGGCCAAAGTCGACGATTGTTTGTCCTGATGGTGTTGTGATTATTTGGACTGGGTTTATGGTCTGGATTACGCGGACGGGGGGTGCATTTGGCGCTACGAGTTTTGTCTTTGGGAATGCAGTTTCGCGGACGCTGGTCCAAGTCTCGTCTTTGAAGGATGTGGTTGTCCAGTCCCAGTCTCCTCCTCCTTCTTCTTCGCGGGCATCGTATACCTCCCCGTCGTAGATCTCGCTGGATATCAGTGCCGAGGTATGACTTTTCCACGAAGAGTCTGACAGAATTATTTCTTCGCTACTTTCAGATTCAATCTCCATCTGCGCGATCAAGGCCATCTCATCGCCGTAGATAAAGCGTCGGCCACCATGGAATCCAAGACGAGTAGCATACCACCCTTCTGCAACCTCGACTGCAATGACATTCTCCCCCTCACGGAGTAGCGGCGCGATATCAAAAACTTCATATTTCAGCCGGTGATTATAACTTGTCCATCCAGGCGCGAGAAAATGATCACCAACAGGCGCGCCATTGATATAAGCCTGGAATACGCCCAGACTCGTAATATACAATCTGGCACGTTTCAATTCGATCGAAGCGGCGTGGAACGTCTTTCTAAAGCGTAGAGGCCGCAATGGACCATCCACTACCTGCTTGGTGGGAGAGGTGATGGCACGAGCTTTCCAGTCCTCTCGATGCAGAAGACCGCATTCAAGGGCTATCCATGTCGACCACGCCGTTGGCTCGGGGGTAGAGCCACCATACGAGCGAATGCGTACTTGAACTATCTCGCGAGATTGGAGGGGCTGGCTTGGCCAAGGGACGAGGAGAGAGTTGTCGGTTTCAATGTGATAGACTTTAGTGACTGGTCCCCGACAGATCTCTAGGTCATAGGCTTTCTGTTCCCAGTTCTGGATTGTGTTGCTGTCGGCGGCGAATTTCCATGAGATGCGGGGTGATGCGATCCCGATGCCGCGTCCGCTGGCGTGTTGCTCGAAAGAGATGGCTGTTATGGTGGGCTGTGCTGACATGGTGACGACTTCAAAGATTTACTCTTTCTGGAAGAAAGGTTTGCAGGAAATAGTTCAGGCATCATAACTTGAAGCTGGAGGGACGAAAGGCACTTTGTCCAGGATGCTCGGGATATTCCATACCGATGCCTTTTCGCCCCGCATGGTCAGACACAGCCGAAGTTTAGCCGGCAACGGGTTTGGGCATTAAGATTCGGGGAATACAATTCGTCATTTGCTATTTGTCTTCTATGGCGTTCTCTTTGTTCATCATCTGATAATTCTAGGTGGGTTTTCAGACATGGTCACTGTTAGATCCATCTTGCCCTCGGCACGACAGCCACAAGATTCACGTATGACCGGGACTAAAGAAGGTAAATTCGGCTCAAATATCCCGGATAAGATATGATTCATGTCAAAAGATAAAAGGGGCATCCGTACGCGCGACCTCTACCCTCGACCTGATGCTTGGAGCTAGAGGGAGATCTTGATCGAGACCAACTATAGACATTGACAACGAAACTACATTGGTTTCTCTCGTTGATAACAAGAATTGTTGGATCCAGGGACTGAAATAACCTCACAGCAAATCTATATTTTAGGTAGCCTTATATTTAGGCCTTGGGGTTACACACTTCACTACCAGAATATGGTGGTTAATGTTGCCATGCCGGGTCACTTGCGCATCTCCACAAGATCCATGTTCAGCCACAACTGGTGACTCTTGGCCAGGAAGACCAAAATAAGGAGCAGAGCCGCCCCAAACCCCCGCGTCTTTGTGGGAAAGATTGCCTTTCTCGCGGCAGAACCTCGGGGGATTGTCCATACGATCATCCGCCCCAACCGGGGCCAGACTAGGATCGGGAAATCCCCCCCGATCAACCCCAGACTCAACCCCGGATTCCCACATTGCGCATGTGGGACCAAATATGAACTTCCACACGCAAAAGCAAATAATTAACAATTGAATCAAAGGCCGGCTTTGCAGTTAGTAAAGATATGCTCAGCTAGAAAAACTGATTGAATGCTTGAATGTAGTCGGCAGTGGTGAATGGTATGGGTTTGATTAGATTGATTGATTGCTTGAGTCATTCCTTTCAAGCCGAAATTCGGCATTTTTAGACATTTGGTTTAAACTTTCCCTGCTGCACTCCGCACCGCACCACACCACACCTCGTGGCAACGGCAGACCGGGACAATGCTGCACGACACGGCACAGAGCCTGGCCAGTCCCATCCTGTCCCATTGCATCGCATCACCGTCCCGCTGATGGCTTGATCCGAGCCGAAAACTACATAAAACCCCCCTCGTTCACCGAAACAGACTTCTATCGCCCTGACCGGAGTCAACTTTCGTGGTGCAGTGCTTGCCCCTTTATTGCTCCTGCTCATAATTTCCTCTTCGTTTCCTTTCCACATACCAACAGGGACTAGCAACAGTTGATCGTCATTTATTCCCTTTCTTTCTCTCTCTTCCCCCTTCTCGCTCCATACAATGGCACCAAAAATGAACGACAACATACTAGAAAAACCAAGCACAGACTTCATCGAAGACACAGAAAATCACCAACTAGGCCACATAGCCAATGAAGAAGACCACGCTCTAACCAAATGGCAATCCCTCAAGAAATACCCATGGACATTCACCTGGTGCGTGTACGCCGTATGGTGCATTCTCCTCGTCAGTTTCGAGAACCAAGCCTCAGGAAACGTGACCGGAATCCCCGAATTCCGCAAGGACTTCGGCCACTATTATGAAGGCAGCTGGGTACTGGAGGCTAAATGGCAGTCCGCGTTTGCCGGGGCTCCTGTGGCTTCTGCTGTTGTGGGCGCTTTGTGCTCGGGTCAGGTTGCTGATACAATTGGGCGGAAGATTACGATATTCGTTTCGTTGCTGATTAGTGTTGCGGCGGTTACGTTGGAGTTTCGGGCTACGACGAATGAAATGTTTTTTGGGGGCAAGTTTTTGAATGGGTTTGCTGTTGGTGCGCTTGCTTCGGTGCCTATTACTTATATTGGCGAGGTGAGTTTCATTTCCTTGCTTGGGGGGGAATTGAATTGAATTAAATTCCAAGGTGGTCCGGAGGGAAAGGGATCTTTTTCTCATCGTGATTATACTTATACTTCGTCCCACAGATCTCACCTCTCGCGCTTCGCGGTGTCCTCACCTGCCTCACAGCCCTGGCCTACGTTATAGGTCCACTGGTAGTAGCCCTAATCACCAACTGGACCGGAGTCTACACGAACCGCTGGGCCTACCGCGCCGTATTCGTAGCACAATACGGCTACGCAGCCATCGCACTCGCTTTCATCCCCTTCATGCCCGAGTCACCATGGTGGCTAATCTCCAAAGGCCGCGACGAAAAAGCGCAAAAGTCTCTCCGCAGACTTGGCCACACGGTCGAGGAAACACAGAAGAAAATCGCATTGATAAAGAATACTTTAGACGAGATCCGACACGAAACAGAAGGCGTGACATATCTCGAATGTTTCCGGCGGTCGAATTTACGACGCACGATCGTTTCGATTATGCCTATAACCATTCAGGCGTTGTCGGGCGTGGTTTTCACCGCTGGTTATTCGACGTATTATATGCAGTTGGCTGGGTATAGTACAGAAATGAGTTTTCAGTTGCAGATTGTTCAGCAGATTCTGTCGCTGGTTGGTAATATTATGTCTTACTTCATTATTGATCGCGTTGGGCGGAGGAATGTGATGGTCTACGGATTGGGCATTCTCACGGCCATTTTGATGGTAACTGGCGGTCTTGCAGTCGTTGGTTCTGATACTTCAAGCCCGAATTCGGCCGGCGCTATCAAGGGAACTGTCGCGCTTATCTTGGTTTACTGCTGGTGGTATAACCTGACCATCGGCGCGGCGGGTTATACGATTCTAGCCGAGGTTTCTACGTCCCGACTGCGTATCAAGACGATTGCGATTGGGTTGGCGCTGCAGAATGCGCTGTATACGATGTGGTCGTTTGTTCTGCCTTATCTGTTTAATCCCGATGAAGCGAATCTGGGCGCGAAAGTGTCGTTCATTTTTGGCGGTCTTTGTGTCATTTGTTTGGTTTATCTTTGGTTCTATCAGCCTGAGACTGCGGGGAGGACGTATGGCGAGTTGGATGAGATGTTTATGAAGAAGGTTCCTGCGAGGAAATTCAAGGCTTATCAGACAGATGCGGAGGCTATGGGTGTTGCTGCGAAGGAGGGGGTTGATATTCACAGTGTTTAATACCGACTATTTTGAAGTTGGATTACTGCGCTTATGGAGCGCTGTAGTTGGATATGGAAAACAAATGAGTTGACTCCCATTCAAGTCTACAATTGCGGAATACGAGTAAATGATATGGATGTATGGTGGGCATCAATTCGTAGATATTCATTAAGTTTTCGCCTTCTCAATGCACCATCTGGCTTGTAGAAAAATCCTTAACAAAATGTTAGCACAGACTCGGGGAAAGGTTTAGTGGGAGGGGTATGCGTACCGGAAATTGGTCAGATATAGTAGTAGCCACACGTTCTACATCTTCAGCGAGCTCTTGCACACCGAGATCCCACTGGCGAAGACAAGAACTAGTGGAGGTCTTAGAGCCACCACCAATTTCAGTCTCGAAGGAGATAACACCATCGATCTGGTCAATCTGACCACGTAGTCGACCCTGTTCCACCATACGAGCAGCATAAGCCTCCGCCTTCTCGCCAGCCGAAAAGTCGGTAGAATCTTGAAGACCAAGGATCGCTCCAAGGGCATCAATCTTGATATTCTCATAGAGCTTGCTGGCAGCGACGAGATTGTGTTCAATAACCGCCTTATCGAGGACGGTGGTGCCATCCGCGGTGACAGCAAGCTGGTGGGGAGCGAGCTTCTTCGCAAAAGCAGCAACTTCGTCCGCATTAAGCAATCGATCAAGGAACATCTTCTCCAGAATCGAGAACTCATCAACCGAAGGCGTCCGTTCATCCTTGTAAAGACGGGAAAGCGACCGCGACCGTTGAGGACCGGCCGGAGCAAGGACTGCACAGCGAATAGCAGCTGACAGCGCCGTCAATCGATCACCCTCATCCACGCCAGAGGCCAAGCTCACGTTAAAGTATTCCTGCGCAGCGTCCAGGAAACGCCGACGGGCATCGAGAATGCGAGCCTGTGAGAGCTGGAAGTATAACTTGGCGTCGTGGTCCTCGATCTTGCTGGGTAGGTTCTTGATTCGGTTCAAGACGGCCTCGGCATTGGTGGTATCGTCATCTTCTAGGTAATATCGTACGATGCGGATCCAAAGGCGGGCCTTGGCTGCGTCGGAGACGAGTCGTTGGGAGCTGTCGATGTTGATTCCCTGTAGCGCGCGCGCTGCGGCGGTGTATTCTTCCTCGGCCTCGTATGCTTCGGCGAGGATCTCGCGGATCTGGGAGTCTTGTTCTTCGACGGATGTGGCGCGCGACTGGAGGAGGGTGACGGCGTGTTGACCCACTTTGATTGTGACTTGGGAGTCGAAGTTTCGTAGAACGGCGACGAAGGAGTCGAGGAGGGGTCGAGCGGCGACAATACTGACGTCTTCGCTCAGGATGGAGTCGAGGTAGTAGACTATATCTTGGGCGAGCTCGTCGCCGGAGGAACTGGCGACGATCTCATTGAGGAGGTCATTGTATTGCTGGAGCTTTGTGGGTTGATGAGGAGTTTGTTCGATGACGGAAAGGGCGGATGTGACTTTTTGTGAGGCCATGGCGAGGTGTGTTGAGGGGAGAGGAATGCGGGGAGGTGAATGTGAAGGTGAAAGAGCTGGCGGAGCTGGTGAAGTGGGAGCTACGGTGGTCCTGCAGGGCGGCCGCCATCAAAGTACTACTAGAAATGGCTTGGTTTGGCTACCTGATATCTACCAGCAGGTAAAAAGATCAAATATAGAGTCAATTAAAAACTAGCATGAAGATAGTAGAGTACGATGAATAGGTATGAAATAGATCAAGTATATAGCAGAAACAAAAAGAATGCCCCCACCCGGGATCGAACCGGGGCACTTCGCTAGCCAAGTTCATATTGATTCCTCTCAAGAAAGGATAAACAACATAAGAACGATGCCATACCACTAGGCCATAGGGGCAAAGAGCTTAGAGATCTGAGCAGCCTTATTTGCTATACTCCTTGGTATTCCCTCTACTTTAGGACTCCAGGATTAGGGTGGGTTAGTTTTCTGATAGCAGCAGACCCTCTGCTACTCCGCAAGATATAGGCGGAGTAGAGTCAAAGAGCAGTACTTGCATGCCCTCATAAATAAACAAACATTGTCAGTAAGAACAGCCGGCAACAGGTGGATATCAAGTTAAAACTTGAAATGACCTTAACTTGCAGGATTGCGGATTGCAGGAGTCTTCGAAAAATTACTGGGGAACCGCCTGTCCGCCACCGCCTTCCACTTTAGTCCACTCTCTGCCTGGTCGGGGAAGCTGCCCGCAAGTGGCGCGCGCCATCACTTCGGATCTTCATTGTCCATCCCAGCTATCAACCACCACCACCTTTCTCCACGAACACCCACTGCCCTCGGTCAATCTTTCGATCGAAGTCGCATATCACCGCTCTTCCTCCTCGTCAAGACGTTTACCCTGCTATCCATTCCTCACCCATTCCATATCTTCCATCATGGCCCAGGTCAAGCAAGACCCGGATGCCATGTACATCAAACAAGACCCCGACTCCAAGGACGCCGTTCTAGATGACATCGATGACGAGGACCTTTACGAAGACGCTGGAGATCTTGACTTCTCCCTAGCTGGCCAGAGCGTATGGATCTCACGCCTTCCCCGGCAGCTATGGGAGAACTGGGCGCATCTTGACGACGACGAAGAGATTGAGGTTGGAACAATGAGGATAGAACAAAACCCTACAGACCCAAATGATATCAAGCGGGTGAGCAACACATCTGAATTTTTCTCTTCTCTTTTGGTTATACTGCGATCTTTTACTAAGCTCTGCTCTCCGCATTAAAGGTTAGCTTGCGACTCCACGACCGACCAGACAACCGCGAAATTCCCAAAGATTATACCCTCCAACAACAAACCGTTACTTCCACAAATGCCTCACACATGACTCAAAATACCTATGTCTTTACGGAGAAGGACATCCCCGGCGTGGAGAATCGCATGGCCACCTTTGGAGAGACACGATCTGCCCTTTATGAAGCTCAGAAGCGTGACGCACGGAGGAGGGAACAAGGCAAACGATGGGAGCCCTATGTGCGCAAGACCATACCCAGTATGTATTAGCCACAGCTTTTGCCAGCCATCCTCCCCGGAGACCCATGTTAACCAAGCCATTCAGAACACACTGCTCTTGTCGGACAGGCCAGCCAGGAGTTCAACTGTCTCCCGGTGGAGAACGAGGAGTTCCGACTGATCTCAGAAAAGCGAGCCCTGGAGGCTCTCAAGCCGAAGAAAGAAACCATGTTCATCAAGAACCTCCCCAACAAGATCTTACAGGAGCGCCATCTTCTCCCCACGGCCCAGAGTGCATTCGTCGTACGTATTGTCCATTTCTATTTTCTTTCCCCAATATACCAGCTCACATCATTCCTCCCAGCAACAAACGAAACCATCCAAGGCCAAGGCCCAGGAAAACAAGTACACGCGTATGCCTCAAAACGAGCTGCTGGACAGGATCTTTGGATGCTTCCGCGAGTACCAATACTGGCCTTTTAAGGCGCTCAAGGCCAAGCTCATGCAGCCTGAGGCTTATCTCAAACAGACCCTGGAGATGGTCGCACATCTGGTCAAGTCGGGTGACTTTGCCATGACGTGGGAGTTGAAGCCGGAAGCGCAGCAGACCAACTATGCCCAGATGCCCCATGCAGTCAAGGCTGAGATGGCTCCCGGGGATAACTTTGACTCGGATGATGATCCTTCTGGTATGGTTACGGACCATGATGATGTGCAGTTCGAAAATGTCTGAAGGAGTTATCGTTGTACTAGATTACAGGGGCTATACATAGCTTAATACATATATGGTCAACATACCCCTTGTACTAACAGTAGAGTACTTAGTACTTTTATTAGTAGGTACTAGTATAGGACTCGAAGGAACTGTCACACCGTAATCCATGATAACTTGAATTAGTAGTCATGGTGGTAAACCTCGGAAACAGCCCACTACCTACTAACTACTAAGTAGTACTAGTAGTAACTACTAACTAACTAATAGCTACGAGATGTGGTCTTGAAAGATCTTCAAAATCTCAATAAAAATGAGACAGCTATATTAGAGCTATATTAACTCAGGACATGCATTAGTAATCTAAATAAAAATTTATTGAATGCCCTGATCTTCTAAGTTCTAAAAAGGTCCTCGTCGCTTCTCTGCGCCAGGGTCACGTGATATTTTACGCCACCAACGGCTGGAAAGCGCGAATCGTCACTGCCAAGCCAAGCTGACTCTTGACTCTTGACTCTTAATTTTGCTAGACCACTTCAACTCCAGCTTTCACTTGGTCTTTGTCGCTGTTTGCTTGTATACTCGCAAGCTTCAGCGCTTTTTCTTCTTCGTTTACTTCGTGCTCACTAATCCCCCCCTAACTCTAGCATACCATGACAGAGAACGAGGATTTGCTGGCCCGCATCGGTCAGCTCGCAGGTAAGCCCTCGTTCGGTTCACTTTGACAATACACGCACGTACTCACTGTTCGCGCAGGTCGTATCAATCAGCACAAGAATCAGTCGTCTCAGCCGTATCCTGCCTCTTCCTACCAGCCCCAGCATGTCTCGCGTCATGCCCCTTCCCACGCGGGTTGGGCTCCTTACTCTCGAGGCAGAGGCCGTCGCCCAGTAGCTCCGCATCGGCACCGTACGCTGGTATTGAACAATGCTCCTAGCTCAAACGGAACTCCAACGTCCTCGCCAGGCCCTGCAAGCGACAATGATGGCGAGACGCGCCCCGCAACAACTTCTAATGGGTGGGTTGCTAAACGTGATCGCCACATGCAACTGATCAACTCCGCGGTCTATGACAAAGAAACTCAAGCCCGAGCCAAGGCTATGGAAGAGACTCGAAAGGTGAAAGCTTTGAGACGAGCTGAGCGTGAACAGACGAAAGTGCTTCGCTATGCCCAAGGCACTGCACCTGCGGGCGCTCCATCAGTCCCCGCGACTGCGCAGCCCGCCGCCCACCAGATTCTCGTCAACGATGTTCCGTTCAAGATTGCGCGCGGTGGCAGCAAGCTGATTCGGATATCAAGTACGTGGGATCATGACATCTTTTCGCCCATAATTGGCTTACCCATAATAGATGATCCGAACACCGCAAACACCACCCCGAAGCGAGTCACCGTCGCGGGTGTGGCCTTTGTCCGAAGCAAAAACGGCAACCTACACCGTCTCGGCGCAGTGACTTCGAAAAAGTGAGCACAGCTCAAATCTACGAGCTTCCGACACAACACCCACTAACACAGACATAGAACCCCGAACCCCGCGAAAAAGCGGGACGACCTCTGCAAGAGATTCACAACGACCGGTATCTTATATTCCGACGGACCACTCACTCCGCCAACCCAACCCCAACCACCTTGTCGCTGAATTGAATTTACTAACCGACCTCACTTTTCTCAACAAACAGGCACCTGCTACAAAGGCCCTTCATGTCTATACACTCACGACCCTAGCAAAGTGGCCATCTGCAAGGATTTCCTCCAAACAGGTGAATGCCCAGCAGGTAATAGCTGTGATCTCTCCCATGAGCCCTCGCCCCACCGCTCCCCCTTCTGTATGCATTTCCTTAGAGGCCGTTGCTCCAACCCTTCCTGCCGCTATGCGCATATTCGCGTAACCCCCGGAGCCCCTGTCTGCCGCGCCTTCGCAACGCTAGGATACTGCGAAAAGGGCGCTGAGTGCGCCGAGCGCCATGTGCACGAATGTCCAGACTACGCAAACTCTGGCGTCTGCCACAAGAAACGGTGCAAGTTGCCCCATGTTGATCGCGCGGGCCAGATTCGCAAGGCTGCGGCCGCGAAGGCTGAGCAGAACGCAGATCGTGATCGCATGGACGAGGATTCTGACCCTTCTAGCGAGGAAGAGGATTATGATGCGATTGATTCGGATGATGTTGACTCGGATGAGTTCGATGATGAGCCGGAAGAGTTACTTGGTGGTGTGGATAGTGGCGAGACGTCGAACCAACAGGACTTCATCCACGTTTAGTTTTGGCGGACGTGCTATAAATGGCGCGATTCTGCTGGGATTGTAGTTGACGGATATAGATGTCTTGGAGGCATTTCTACCTCTCCCCTTCCCCCTCCGCCCCCCTCTCTTTCATTTTCCCTTATTTTATTCTTGCTTTTTTCTTTTCGTTTTTCGTTTTTTCGTTCCCCCGCCCCATGGCCTTTGGACTTTGGATACGATCCGATTATACCCAGTCTCTGAACATGTCGCATGAATGAGAAGAAGAAATATGAAGTATTTAGTACTATCTCTCTTAACTCGTAGCCAGTAGGCTAGGTATCCATGAAAATAGTAGACGGCCTGTCCTTGTCTTCATCTTGTCAGCAAGGTCTACAGTACGAGTATAGACACCTAACCCATCCGAGTCATCCTGCACCTGTACCTCCACCACCCTAGGAAAATCTCGCTATGAGTATCTACTGCACAGTAGACCCTTGGGGCCAACACCATAGCTCAAAACTGCCAAAAATAAAATCACAAAGAACAAGGCTCGACCGTACCCAATCCTACTAGTACTGTATAGAATGTACACAGTCCACGAGGTAATAAATGCGTGATGTGATAGTGATACCAGCCGCAGCAAATGTCCGCTGACAGTTCAGTTCAGCCGGTGCCTCAAGTTGAAATCTGCACCGATCATCCCCTCGTCAATTCAAGCGCATACTTTGGTACCCGGGACCGGGAAGTCTGCTCGCCCACTAACTACTATGTATGTATGTACTTCGCAACTAAGGTTTGTGATTTCATTTTTGTCTGGACGCGATATGCGCGTGACTGCAGTGCAGTGCGGGATGGGATGATGATACTAGTACTAGTGCTAGTGGCTACGTAGTTAGTTGGTTAGTAGGTTTGTAGATCATGTTCATGTTTACAGTAGTGTTTAGCTAGGTCTCACGATTCTCTGCGTTGGAGCTGGCAGGGTTGTTCTCTGCTCTTTCTTCTATAATCAAATAGATACAAAAAGTGGTCTTTGAGGCTTGCTGAATTACTCGGCTTGCTTGGTCTATGTAGATCTAGGTCTGATCTATCATCCGAGGTAAAGCTATGCATAGTACTCAGCTCAGCTCAGCTCAAGTGCGCTGGGCAGGTATTCTAATCAACCCCCAGTATCTGTATTAGTATTCCGGAAGTCCGTCCTGACCACGGGGGATATTTTAACCCAAATCGAGGCGGATCTTAGCATATTCGTCAGCCTGTCTGATCTGGTCCATTCAGACCTGGATCCAAGGAATTAGGACTCAGAAAGGCCGGCCTAACCACCTGATAACTACCAATAATAGTACCAGTAGTCATGCACCGGCATACATAGGTATTTGTCTCTCATTTACTAGAATATGGTTGGATTATATGTCTCATGGGCGTGGGGGCTTGGGCTGGAAATTTCGCTTTTTGCGTTTGTTTTCTTTTTATTTTCGCGGGGGTTTGAGTTGTTGCCAGTGGCTGTGATGGTCCCGTGGGGGAGAAGGAGGGGGGGAAGGGGGGGCTTTGGTCGCGATTCGCGAGGCAGATGCTTTTTTTATGGCTTCGGGTGCGGGTAAATTCGAGTCTGCCTTGAGTTCCCTTTTAGGGGGTGATATGGGATGATCCGAGTCATTGTTCAAGCCCTTTCGCGGCGGAGGTGAGATTTCCAGAGTGATGGATCGCTAGGGTAGATGGATGGAGAATGAGATGATATTGGGGATATTCAAAGGGATTATCGTGAAATATTAGGCTTCAGGGAATTTGACGTCGGTGGGATATAGTAGGTGTAGAGCTACGTAGCTACTATTACGATAACGAAATCGGGTATATCTTTGGGCTGTGTGGAAAGGCCCTTTGTCTAGTAAGAAATCTGTGATAACTCTCTTGAATATTCTCACCTGAGATTATAGGATGCGTAAGTGGAGAATACAATATAATATATGAACATTTACAAGGCCAGAGATGGGCTGACTGAGAGAGATTCAAAGTAACTATATCAACTTGAACTTGAATTACATTCAATCGACAAGTAAACCTTCGGAAAATTTCCGGAAAAGAGATTCTTTTCCTACTCGTACGAGTAAACATCAGAGCAGAGTAGATATCAGGCAAACAAACTTCATGCCTTGAAACGCATCCAAAGCAAAATTCTCCCCAAGAACCATCTTTTCTACCAGGATGATCGAAAGAACCCCGAAAGAGATCCAGCACTGACTCACCACTCACCAGACTCCTAGCTCGACCCCCCAGCTTAGAAATACTACAAGCGGTCAAAGAAATAGAAATTACAGGAGCAGACCTGCCCCATCCCGAGCACGATCACGAACGAAAAACAAAGCAGCCAAACAAGTAAAGTGGAGAGAAACCGCCTATAGGAAGCGGTCCGGAAACCCAGTTAAGGAGATAGGCTCCTCCTGTGGATGTATGTATCATGTACTCCGTACTCCATACTCCACGGTGGGATCGAGGAACCTTCATGTCATCCATCCATCTCCTGCAGCCCTGGCCTCTGGCTCTGTCTGACTCTGGGCCCAGCATGTGCCCAATGCACGGTGGAGCGCAGATCAGGTAGGGAGCCCCCATCGGCGGGCCAAAGTGAGGCTACAGGATACCGTACATGGCGGCAACGTTTCAGGGACGTTGGGCAGGATTGACGCCGCGGGGCTGGATCGGTGGAGCTGCCAGAGCGTGGAGTGCGGGTAGACCCAGCGAGAGTGAGTCACGGTGCATTTCATTCAGAGGAAATGATATTGCAGTTGCGCCAGGGCTGCTGTATAGATCGATCTGCTGGTAGATGTAGCATAGCACAGCATAGAATATTGAATAGTATGTATGCAGAGGCTGGGATAGATGACCTACCCGAGACATACCCCGAAATATAATAGTTTTCATATGATACCGATACCACGCAAAAAGACAAAAGCGAATGTAGGTCAGCGGCTCTACAATACTGTACCTCGAAGTACATGGATGTACTCTGTTTACCCCGTGGGAGTACACTGAATACTGAGGGAATACCAATACTCAGTATCAAACGAGTCCATGACTAAGTTAGCCGATGCCGGCTGGATCTCAATTGGATAAAAACGGCTTTTCACCGCCAGATCGCAACCGATGTCCCGCGCACGGAAACGCCGACTCGCTCGGGGAGAACCTATCATCGGCGCCAAACCAGCCTAAGTATAGACGAATAGACCAGGGAATAGCCAGTTCCGGCCCCCAGAGAAGGTCCAGGGGCTGACGCCGAGCGGGAGCGTGCTCGCGAGTCGCGACGTCAGGAGATGGGCAGAGGGCAGGGCGGCATTGCTGATCTACCAAACGGAGAAAGTGAAGACCGAATTTGGTTATAGTGGAGTGTTTCGGAATGAATGGTAGAATATCGTGGGATTTTTGGGTGTTGAACCCCCCCGCGTTGACTGACTGACAGCCGTCTGGTTCGGTTCAGTTCATCTGGTTGTGCGGGTAGGCGGTTTGCATTGATGATGGCATCATCAATATGATCATGATCATAACCTAACCATGATGCTGCCCCGCACTGGTACAGCATCGAACAGGGGTCGAGCTGAGCGTCATCCGGAGGGGACGAGTGATCAGTGCAGGATCCGTGCATCTGCATCCGCCCTGCTTCTGCTCTACTTCTGCTTCTGCTTCTGGAGGTGGGACCGCAGGGTGGATCGCGGGCCGGACCCGTTCGAGTACCATGGTAGGACTGAATTACACGGAGATGGAGAAGTACAGGATGAATGTACTGAAGTGATCCATTTTTGGTATGCGGTTTTGGTTTTGGGTGATCGGGTAGAAGGCTAGAAGGCTAGAAGGCCAGAATCACCCGATGGAAGAAACGATTGGAAGGGAGGGGCACGAGAAGGTGGACAAGCACAGACCAGTAGTGTCGATAGGCTACGGAGATCGACCATCCATTGGACAGTGGGGAGTCTCTCTGTCGTCTAGGGTCAGGAAAGAAATGCAGGTCTGCCCAAGAGGGACAGAGCAGCCAATGAAGGAGAAGGTCATTCCGCGCACACCGCGGTACATTACGAGCAGCATACAGAGTACTTCGTACAGAGAGAATGGACATTTACACTGTGTATGGAGTAAACTATACATACAGGGTACAGCGAGATCGTGGTTGTTAAGTGGGTGTTCTCCTGCAACATTCTCCCATCTCCATTCATCTCATCACTATCACTTTCACCCCTCTGATTTTATTCTTCATATCCTTACATTTATTCCCCTTATTCTTCTTCTTCTCTTCCCCCCCTGTATATCTATATATTCATCTTTATCTCTATCTCTATCTTTTGTCTCTTCTCCCCCTCCCCCGCCCCACCCCCTCCACACACACCGCCTCTTCGTTATGGCGAGATATTCTCACTTCGACTATTACCAACAACCTTCATCATTAGACGTGCCACCTGAGGAGGACGATATGAGTGTACTGGACGACAAGATCCTCGACTCGACCTCGCCGGGGCTCGCCGACCCCCGACGGGCTTCGTACGATACTCAAAATGCCTTTTCACATCGCAACTCCGTCTGGTCCAATTACTCCAGCGCCAGTTCCGAGTCTCGACCAACCTCGCATCTCGGGCAGTCTGTCCTCGACTCGGCTAACCCCTCTTTCATGCCTATTGATGGTCCCCAGCCGTATACACAGCCCACCGCCGGTTGGGCCTTGTCCCGCACGGCTTCCGGCTCATGTACACCCACTGCTTATGACCAATATCCATCCGAAGAGGGCACCGCAAGTGCTCCCTTCTCTGGAGGTGCCGTTGGCCCCGTCAACTCTATGCCCATGGGTGCTGTCTCATACCGCGGAGGAATGGGCTTCGCGCCATCGGGTGGAGTCGCCATGTCACCACAGTCAAGCCAGGGTTGGATGCCGGCGCCTATGGACTTGGCAGACGCTGCTGCACAGTCAAAGAGTGCCGCTTTTCGGAATGGATCACCCTTGACGATGCGTCGAGATGGTATTCGCAAGAAAAACGCTCGCTTTGAAATCCCAGCCGAGCGCACTCTGAGTAATATCGACCATCTTATCAGCAAGTCCAACAACGAGGATGAGATCAAGGAACTCAAGCAACAGAAGCGACTGCTTCGGAACCGCCAGGCAGCGTAAGTGATATCCCATAGCCCACCTGACCTTCCAGTCGACTGTCTCGTTACTGACTCCACTTTTGCATAGTTTGGATTCCCGACAGCGGAAGAAGCTCCACACTGAAAAGTTGGAGGAAGAGAAGAAACATTTCACCAATGCGATCGGACACCTCGAGGATATGGTGACAAAGCTGCAGAGCCGTGAGGCCGAGTTGATTCGCGAGAAGACCGAGTGGATCAACCAGCAGCAGCACATGACCCATTATCTGGAGAGTCTTCATATCGAAAAGAACGAAATGATCCGCGTGCACACCCTCGAGACAGCCGAGCTGCGAAAGAAGAACAATATTCTGATGGAGACGGTCGATAAACTCGAGCGAGGTGTCCCGAAACAAGTCGACACCCACGCCGACTTCACCGGCTTCGAGAACCTGTCCATGGAGAACCACCCATGGGAAGACTTCAACATGGGCAACGGTATCTCCATGCACGAGCCAACGCCAGCACAGCAGCAACAAGCCCTCCAGGTTTCGGAGCGAAGCGAAAAATCCGCCACTCCGTTCAGCTGGAACGCCTTTTACATGTGTCTTCTCTTCGGCGCCTACATCGCCTCGAACAATTCTTCCATCCCCGGCCGATCCCTCCCCCAACTCTCAGAAGAGTACCGAGCGGAATCAGCAAACGTGCTCAAAGCCGTGCTAGCGTCCTCACCAAACGAGTTCAGCGCCGTACAAAACCAGGGCCAAGTCCCCACATCCATCCCTTCTGGCCCTTCCTCCTCCGCCATCCCAACCATGGAAATGGGACCGATGGCGCAGGTTCAGGTTCAGGCTCAGCAGGCAGGTTCCTCGACTCTGGACGAGCTCCATGACACTCTCGTCATGCCGACAGAAGACCAGCAGCGCGCACAGGTTTTCGCGCTAAACGCGGACCAGTACAATCAGCTGACTACCTTTGACGACGAGGCGTTTAAGCCGCAGCAGCCATCGAATTTGCAGCAGGCGCTGGCCGCGATGCGGAGTAATGCGGCGCAGCATCGCATGGGCGCGTCATCGGATGTGTATTCGCGATCGCTGATGTGGGACCGTGTTCCTGAGAAAGTCATTCGGGATTTCCGTCGCATGGTGCACGAGTATGGAGGTCCCGTTAAGGAGGAGATGGTTGGTTTTGCGTCTGCTTGATTGTCCTCATTGACATCTGATCCAAAGGCCAATCTTTCTGTCAAGTTTCCTCCCTCGCCGTAACTGGGAGGGAGATGTCTGGATGGAAGGGGCTCGGTCGGGTGCATTGGTTTGGACTGATATGAAAACGACAGGAGCCAGCAATGGCTCTCTCGCGATGCGTGATAGACCCACGCGGTGTTTCTTTTGTGTTCTTGTATTTTGTTTCTTCTACTCACTGTGTTTTCCCCCTCTTATCTTCATGTGGCTTCGTGTTTAGCGGCTGTCTTTGTTAGCGAGTTTGGAGTTTGTTTTTGCATGTTCTGGTCTTTGGTTGTTGTTTTCTTTTAGCGATAGCGTGGCAGGGAGCGGTCACTGCGGTTTATGGTTGTCTTGTGGTTTAGTTGTTTTTCCCCCTTTTCTTTTGTTCATTTCATGACATGATAGTGGACTTTGGATGTTGCAAAGGTTTCGGTTGGGCTGGTTTTGTGTACAGAGAGGGAGAGGGAGAGGGAGAGGGAGAGAAATGCCTGCCCCCTTGCTCGTCAACTCCCTGGCAGAGCGTCTCCTTGAAATGAATCAGGATATTTACGGGCCATGTGATAACGAAATTATGAAGATTTGACCCTGGCATTTTTTGTTCTTGACTTGTTTTTTTTTCTTGCGTGAGGAGGGTTGGTTTTGTTTCTGGTTTCTTCTTGTTCTTCTTCAGCCTTGTCTTGCCTTGTCTTGCCTTGTCTGAACTTGGCTTTTCCCCTTGGCCAACTTGGCTTCGACTTGGCTTTGCCAAGTTGAAATTGCAAGCCTTGGCTTTGGACCTTTCATTTCCTTTCTTCATGCGTTAACTATTTACTAAACACCACTGTGGAGGCGGCGACGCCCTGAACTGAACGAATGTTATGAACGAATATTATGAAGTCACGACCATGCAATGAACATGACCCATGAACATGCGATGAGAATCGAGAATCGAGAATCGAGACCTAGGTTTCGGACACATCTTCCAAAAAGAATTTGAGATATGGCGGCTGAACCCGTCTTTCCCCTTTCCTTTCTTTTCCGTTCTTCCTCGTCAAATCCCACTATTGTCCTTTTCCTGTTCACCTTCTCATTTAGTATGCTTGGCCTTGTGGATGTCGATACTAGTACATTGTACTAGCACATCAGCATCGCCAGGTGGAACCTCATACCACCTATCTCATATTCCCAGCTTGGTTAATGGCCATTTACTCGGAGAGTTTGAACCAAACTAGCCTCATCACAGTGATACGTCCGTCAGTTGAAAGTGGAATCCACGTTGTGGCCGAGGACCTTGGGGAGTAAATCGTGGTGACTGGGGGGGGGGGGCTTGTCCAATCACTCACGAGATGTTTAGGGTCTTGGACTCGGCTTTCTCCATTGTTACATGCATCAGACCAAGGCTTGAGGCACATATCCAAGCTTTGACCAAGACTGGAGAGATCTGACGTTTTGTTCTTGGCCGCAGGTTCCTCCCACGAAGCGCGCCAGGCGCTGCACTGCGGTGCGGGATACTGCAGCCCGTCCAACAACCACCCAACAGATCTAGATGGATGCGATACAGCAAAGGAAAAAGAAAAAGAAAAAGAATCCGAAGGACTAACTCTTTCTTAATTAATCTGGACATGTCTCGCTTCGCATGAGAATTGATCGGTGCTGACCATCGGGGGGGCCAAAACCTCCGGAACCACTCGATGGGCTGCCACCAACTCCCAAGGTCCTCCACGGTGGCTCCGAAGGCAATCAGGACGAATTTTCTTTTTTCTTTTCTTCGTCTGCGACAATTATAAAATGGCACGGACGATCCCTCCCTTGTAATCATACTGTTCATTCCTCTTTTGACCTTCTTTCGTGATCATATTCGTGGTCTTTAATCATCCTCGCTGGTTAGGGTTTTGTTCTACAGGCTCTTCTCCTATATCCAGCCCAACCACACCACCACGAACCCTTTCAGAGGAAAGTCCTACACTCTGAATTCCTCTAGGAAGAACTCAAACCACCCATCATGTCTTTTGACCCACACAACGTCGACCTCGACGAAGTCGACCAAAGAGAATTAATCTGCTACCTGAACGCCGAAGGCAATGAATACGACGGCCGTCTCAGGCGCACGTATATCCGCCATATTCGTGATCCTAGTCGTATCCAGCGCAGCAACATTTTTCCCCGTCGTCGCAAAACGGGTACCCCGCCTCCGCATCCCTCTCTACGTCTACCTATTCGCAAAGTACTTCGGTGCCGGCGTCATCGTCGCAACAGCCTTCATCCACCTCCTCGACCCAGCCTATGATGAAATAGGACCCGCCAGTTGCGTCGGTATGACCGGAAACTGGGCCCTATACTCCTGGTGCCCTGCCATCGTGCTCACCTCGTTGATGATAATTTTCCTCATGGACTTCGGGGCGGAGCGGTGGGTTGAGAAGAAATATGGTCTTTGTCGCGATGACCCGGAGCCCATTATGGCGCAGGGTGTTGCTGTTCATAACGACCATGTCCACGTCAACCCCAATGGATTGTCCCAGGATGCAACGGGTCTCGACAAGGACGGCGCTCGCAGCGATGATGCGAAGCTAATGCGTGAATTGGAAGAACAATCGAACGACGACGATTCGTTCGTCGAGCGCTCCTTCCGTCAGCAAATTGCCGCCTTCCTGATCCTCGAATTCGGAGTCATTTTCCACTCTGTTATTATCGGGTTGAATCTTGGTGTTTCGGGCGATGAGTTTGCTTCGCTTTATCCCGTTCTCGTCTTCCACCAGTCCTTCGAAGGTCTGGGTATTGGCGCGAGAATGTCTTCTATCCCCTTCAAGAAGGGAAGTTGGTTGCCCTGGTTCCTTTGTACCGCGTATGGACTCACTACTCCTATCTCCATCGCTATTGGTCTGGGTGTGCGCAACACGTACAATCCCGGCTCGTATACTGCGAATGTCGTCTCTGGAGTGCTGGATGCGATCTCGGCGGGTATTTTGATTTATACCGGTTTGGTGGAATTGCTTGCCCGTGACTTCTTGTTTGATCCCCACCGTACTCGTGATGATAAGCGTTTGACCTTTATGGTGTTCTCGCTGCTGCTCGGTGCTGGTATCATGGCTCTTCTGGGCAAATGGGCTTAAATTAAAATGGTGGCGGCTTTGTGCCGGTGTGTGCTGTGTGTCTGAAGAAAAAAGAAAATGGAGAGTGATATGGTGCCTTTTGTGTGAGGTGCTATCGTGTGTACGCTGTTTCATTGTTATTTTGTGATACCTTGGGATATAGAATGGCTTTTGGTTTCTATTGTTCTCTGCTTGACTCTGTCTTTCGTTCTTAGTATTTAGGTTTGAAGATACATACTAATTATACCCCGGGACTTGAACCGTGAGGGTCTACTGTCATTAATATTTACCCTGTCTTTCCCTGAAATTCACCCTTCTCTGTGGAAAAAAAAAACATAGCTCTATTGATAAATTGGTGGGATGTCTCGTACTCTACTTATTATTTCGTATAAGGCGGCGGCGGATCATAATCTCTTAGAGCACTGGCACTGTTCTCCTTCCTCTGTTTCCAGTACTTCCATCCAAAGTAAGCCCCCAAAGCGAGCAATACGGCGCTAGCAATCGACCCAGCTACAATAGCAGCTTTCTCTCTCTTACTGAGTTCCTTCTTGGGCGCGGTATATTCTGGTAATTTGAACGACTCGGTCGGAATAGGAACGGCAGTCGAGTCACTTGCCTCGAAACGAATCTGGATGGGGGTAGCTCTGATTCCATAGATATCCTTTTGAGTGGAGACAGTCGAGTCTGTGTAGGTGATGCGGGTTGGAGTATTGAATGTTTTGGAGCATAAGTCTTGTCCCACGCAGTCAAAGCCACTGATGGAGTTAGTTTCGCCGAGGACTGGATGGGCATTTCTTGCTGAAGAGGAGAGAAACAAAAGAAAGACCCTTTCAGTGAAAGAGAATAGGGAAGAAATTCAACTCACGTCGGACAGCACATTTCCGTCGTTACGATCCTCTGCGTCTCGGTAGGCAGCGTGCAAGCCTTATACCCAGAAGGACACTGCCCTGGACTAAAGTACCGATCATACTTCCAGCTTTCAGGGGAGCAATCGTCTCCATTGGGTCCATCAAAGCCCTGTACTATCCATGGATAGCCATAATAAGCAACTGTGTGGGGGGTAAAGCACGATGCAGGCGGCGTAAAGACTGTCGTGAGGGGACCGGCAAGAACAGTGCGAGACGAGTCAATTCTCACAGCGTTAGATTTGGAATAGGACGCATAGTCGTATGAAAGAGACGGACTTGGGAGGATAGATAATGAGAATAGATAGAACAATAGGGGTTTAGCTAAACCCATGCCTTGAATGTCCCGAGTGACGTCTGGGGGTATACTAGGTAAACTAGTAACTAGGAGTTACCCTTAGGACCCAGAATGAATATGTACAGTAGTCAGAGGTAACTTGAAAGCTAAATAACTGAGACTAGAGCTAAATGACGGGCTTATGAAGGTTCCTCGAATTCGAGACTCGCTCGATCCTCAACATCCCTGCCACAGCCCCTCTTCCTTGGCGTGGTTTCCACACCTCGTATTGCGCCCTGTTTTCGCATGAATGCCGCCGGACAAGATACCCCAGCACCAGCCACAGGTCCGGGCTAAATGTTATTCCACCGGGCACGTGAGATCAGATGCCGGCGCGCTCGTGGGGTAGCGGTTGGCGTAGGTGACCCTGCGACCTACCTAATAGATGCCATGAAGACCGTCATGCGGTCTGGGCTCCTCTTGAACTATAGGGTTCGCTGGATCCTCTTCAACAACAATAACAGAGTTCCTGGGCGCCTCTTGAACTGAAGGGTTATCGACGTCAAAAAACCTGTTGTTACTGGGCGCCCCCTCCGCAGAAAGCTGATTGCGGTTGAGGAGATGCCTAGACAAACGAAGTTTCACCGTATCGAGCCGATTGATCATTTCCAACATGTGCTGATAGATTGATCGAAAATGATGCCAGTCCTATTCACCAGGCCGAACGAAGAAACAAGGATCAGTGAACGACGACCTCAGGAATTCGCTCTGAAACGGGGGCAGCTTAGAAGAGGTAGCAGGAGGCTGTAAAGCCCTGCTCACACTCACTGAAGCCTGGCTTGTAGTCCCTTATCTATTGGAATTTGGCTTGACTACCCTGTCAACAGAACGGCGCTTAGCCCTGACTTCGGCTTGACTAGCAGAATCGAGTTTCTTCTTGGCTGAGACCTCATCAGCAGCAGCAGCCTTAGCCTGGCAGACCAACCGGTGACCCGGGCTCACATTTTCAAGATTGGCAAGGATAAAGTCGGGCAGTACACCTTGTTTACCTGTTATAGTTAGCAATAACCTGGAATGAAGAAATCGTATACGAAAAGAACACTTTTTGGCGCCGTTGTTGAAGGCACAGTTGGCCTGCGCCGTCGAAAATAGGTTTATTGGTGGAGATCATGTACACACACGATGAAAAGGGGCCTCTGCCTTGGCGCATCTCGTGCAAGTGTCTTTGCTTGGAACCCCCTGGCCGATTCGCAGTACATACGCGGCACGCATGTGAAGTCGTACGACAGTGTTTGGGAACGGCGAGGGTCCAATCAACATCGCGTTTTATGGGATGTTCAAAAAATGTAACGCAAGGGGTCTGTATTTGGCGGCTCTCAGATTGACACCTACTACCCTTTCTGTGGCACATCCGCCTTCCCTAGCTGATAACTATAAGCTAGTATACTACCAAGGTAGCACCAGTATTGTCCTAATCTACATGTGGGTTATTTCAATATCTCTCTTGAAGAAAAACCCATGTCTGGGGAAATGACTCCAGTTTGACAATTGAGAGTGACCCTAGATCAGATATGTGATAAGGAAATGTCGAAGTCACCTTATATGAGTATATGTGCAAAGACTACAAAATGAACCAAAAAAAAAAAAGATTAAGAAAAGAAAATACCAATTCCTGGGAGTGGGTTAGTCATGTTATTCAAGTTTACGGAGTAAATGTTGGGCATTTAACCCTTATCACCAGGGGAAATAGACAGGTTATTTTGAATAAAACAATGGTTCCAAAATTGTGCCAGGTCGTTGGTCATGCAGGGAGCTTTCCTTTGTTTTACATGTTATCTAGAAAATTACTAAAATGTAAAGAAATTCCTTATAACCTCCATCAATCCCTTGCAAAACAGGATAAGAATGATCATCAAATATTACTTCAAAGTATAGCCTTTTTTTGACATCAAAAAATGATTACATCGAGATTTTTGACCGCCCCGGACACGGAGTCGGGGCCAATTCGACACGCAATCCGTACATAAACGTGTGCTTTTTACCCACCTTTACCTTTCCGTCTCTCAAATACTCGTACTGCAGTTCTGCACTTCGGTAAAACATCAGAATAAACACCATGGACTCTGCAGATCCTTTCTGGGGCCCCCCAACCTCGCATGCCAAGTAAGCATGCCCATCCTCTCTACCTTTCTCCAGTTACTGACGACCACGACAAAGCTTCTGCGAGGCAGACTACGCTGTGAGCAGATACATCGCAGAATTCATCAACAGCTTGACCAATCTCATCTACGGTAAGATCCACACAGCAAAGAATTATGTAGATTTTTAATTCTAATTTATTAACTTACTCAGTAATCTACGGCATCTACGGGCTACACCAATTGCGAGGGAAAGCGAACAAATCCAAATCAGGTTACAGCGACTATTTACGTGCTCTGCCATACTGGGGCTTAATCGCAGTTGGGATATGCTCGTTTTCATTCCATCTTAGTCTGAAGTACTACACCCAAATGAGTGCGTACCCTCCTCCCCGCATCATCTACTACTACTACAACTAAGTACACCATCCCGGCTCATTTATTCATCCACTTATTGTGTCTTTAGTGGACGACCTCTCAATGCTTTTCACTACAACCCCAGTTCTACATCGCGTCTTGACAGCGAATTCCACTCGCCGAGACTCTACCATTATTGCTACAGTTCTCAGCTCCTTGCTGCTATTGCTAGTAACATTCCACGTGATGACCGATGAACTGGTCGTCCATTCAGTGTCATTTGTCGGTTCTGTGGCTATAATCGGGGCTCAAACGGTACGACTCGTCAAGAGCCGAACGATAGAGGGATCAGATACCCGGCGTCAGATTTGGGGAATGGTTAGATTCGGTGCAGGTTGATCAATCTAATCCTACGAACTAATCATCACTCAAGCTAACTTGTGTTTTTTTTAACAGCGATCTTCATTCTTGGATTCTGGGTTTGGCTGATTGATCAGTGGGCCTGTGGATTCTTGACAGCAGCGCGTGAAGCAATCGGTCTTCCTTGGGCATTTTTCTTGGAGCTTCATGGCTGGTGCGTGTCTCCTTCCCCTCCTTCTTCTTTAATACGCTGGGACACTAAAAAGTTGAATCAGGTGGCATATATTTACGGGAATAGGGGCCTATATCTTCATCGCTGTTGTGGATCTCCTTGTCTCCGACGAGGATCTAAAAGATTTGTGTGCCCAGCAGACATTCGCATGGCCTGCCTCCTGGGCGTCGACGTCGATTTTCGCAGGAGAACCACATCAGACAATGGATATTGGCGAGAAAGAAGAATAAAGCAACTTGAACAGTTACTACTAGTACTACTAGTACGTACTTTGTTCCAATGCTACCAGTACCTACTCTGGCTCGTTCAAGACTATTGCGGTGCATAACCTTGGAAAGCTTCAAGGTCTAGCACTCTTGCCTATTTGGAACGAAACCTTGGAATCGTTTACCTGGATCCATGGATATACTAGTATTAATCATGCCGTGGTACATTAATCATACCATTCTTCATAAAAGCGTACATACAATTAAATGAATCAGCTTGCTCATCATATCAAAGTAAGTCATCATACATGTCAAATCGTAGAGTAATATGTCCAGACTATAACAAAAATCACAACCATCACATCATGATCATTTCGGATTATACTTTTCTTTCCAGATCCTAAAGCAAAAGAAAAGAAGATCAGATAAGCGACACGATTCAAATCAAATCTCCTCTCAGAAACAGGATGAACACATACCATGAATTACCAACCGTAGGCCCCCCCCATTCTTCTCCGATAGTCGAAGATACTTCGCCGCTTTGAACTTTAACCCCGGAATTGTCAGCAGATACCCTAACGCAAGAGCTCCCATGGAATCACTGAACTAAACTAACCTTATCTTTCTTCCCCCCAAACCCCTCGATATAACACCAAGCCACCTGATCCATCGCATCAAGGTCTCCCAAATTAGCAGCCGTCTCATAATACTGTCTCGCAGCAGCGGGATCTTTCTCCACGCCCCAGCCATTCCGGAAACAATTCGCCAACTCGAAGATGGCGAGCACCAACTCGCCCTTTGCGGCACCGCCTTTCTTTATGCCCGCGCGGAGTGCTTCGGATTCGATATCGGCGGAGTTGGAGGCTGCGGCGGAGAGGTAGGTTACAGCTCGTGTTTCGTCTTTTATGCAACCCCAGCCATGTCTGGGGGGAGGGATTAGTATGGTGGTTTACGGATTTTGGAATAATGGAATGGAGAGGAAGGAATGTCATACCGTAGTGCTAGTCCGTAGAGAACTTGGCTGAGAGGGTTATTTGTGCCATTGGGATCAGCCAATTGGCCGAACATTTTGGTTGATCGTTCCAGGTCTAGAAAGAAGGAATGAATCAGTCGCGTTTTTCGAAGTCGGAATGAATACATCAGCCCTCTGAGCATGATGCATCACTAAACTTACCACCGGCCTCATGTAATCGAATCGCTTCCTGGATATTGATCTACAACAATTGGGGTTAGCTTTGGCTCTAGCACGGCCCATCTTCTCCACGCCTATCTCCACAGCGCTTAGACAACAATCGCAATCGCAAGGGCAATCGCAAGGGCAAGGGCAAGAACAAGAACATACATCATCCTGCTGATCTCCGACAGAAGTAGAACTCCTCGAATCTAGGCATCTGACCAGGTCTCAACTGCGTTGGCGAATGTATCGGCGACGTTGGGCCGAAATGCGGATTCTTCTGCACTAGCACTGTAGCTCTCTTTTCCCATTGCGCTTCCTGCTCCCGCTCATCTCCTTGCTCGTCTTCGATCTGTGGGAGATCTTGGGGGATGTTCGCGGACGAAGAATCGCGCGAGTTGCTCCGGCTGCGGTGGTCTAGGTGGAGTAGATTTGACAGGCCGCGTTCTCGGCGCGGTGGTTGGGATGGTGAGGAAGGTGAGGGGTTGTTGTTGTTGGAGAGGGAGCGGGCGGAGGAGGAGCGGCGGAAGAGTTGGAAACTGCGGCGTGGGGAGGAGGTTGTTGGTGTGCTGGGAGGGTCGTCGGATTTCAAGGTGGTTTGATTTTGGTTTTGGTTTTGATGATGATCGTGGTGGTCGGGGTATACTGGTGGGGTGATCACCTCGTGGCCGAATGTATCGGAGCGGAGGAATGTGATTTCGGGGGGTGGCGGAGAAGTTGGGATTGCCTCGGGCGAGGTGGTTGGTATGGGGGATTTGTTTTTTGAGATTGAGTCGCGCTTATGGAGGATATTTTTGAGTGAGGGCATGCTGGTGGCTCGGCGTGTGGAGGTGATGGTGATGCGATGGAAATGCGATGGATGCAGGGGAGTCGAGGGAGGAGAGAAGAAATAAGATACAGAGGGGCGGGGGGGGGAAGGATGAAGAAACGAGAAAGTATACAGGAGAGGAAGAGAGAAAGAAAGAAAGAGGAGGACTCGGAGATTGAAGGATTACCAGAAGTTCCCCAGGCAGAGTCAGCCTCAAATAGGAACATCCGGGGCTGTGCTTGCGGGTGATGGCGCTTACATGTAACCCTGATATAAGTAGCTTGGCGAAGCTAGATTCTGTTTTACATCCGAGGATACTTTCGAGATCTGAATCTAGATCGAGATCGAGATTAGATACTATCCTAGGATCCGGAGTATCCGGAGTATCTAGAGTGATGTTACTAGTATAGTTCGATGCATGTCCCACATGGCTGTTGGCGGCGTTGGTCCCTGCAGCCTGCGGGGCGTCAGACAGAATAATGCAGTGATTTATGAATGTACTACAGAGAAGTAGCTACATGGTAGATACGTAGATATTTAGATACTTGGGATCAATGACTGAGAATATTCAGCTCTGCTGAATCACTATATGAGGTCTACTACGGCAGATCTGGCCACCTCTTGGCACTGGCACTGGCACTCGCCCTTCTCCATCGGAGGTGCATCCCGGCATGACGATGTGTCGATAATAGGAAATGGTAATGGTATTGCAAATCTAACTCAGCAAATGCAAATAGCCCCTATAGTTTTGTACACGATGGCTACAGCCGACGGAGCTACCGGAGTCCATTTACTGGGCCTTGGCAGACATGATGCCTAAAAGGGAAATTAGAATTAGCAATTAGGATACCCCGAGGTTGACTTCATCAACAGATATCCCGGGAACGAATCACTTACGCTCAACATCGGCAACGGACTGCTGCAGGATCTGCTGGAGAACCTTGGGGTTCTCAAGCTCCTTCTGGATCTTGCCGATGATGGAATCGGCGAGCTCCTTCTGCTGGCGCTGCTTAACCTGGCTCTCGTAGCGGACCCAAGAGTCCAGAACCTGCTTGGCCTCGCTGGCCAGAGCAGTGCGCTGGTCAAGCTCGTAGGCCTGGGACTCGAGCTGGGCGGTCTCCTATAGACAAGGGGTTAGATCGGGTCTGCGGATAGCGCCAAGGAGAGAGGAGAGTTGGAACGGAAAGCCGAGGAACAGACAGAACCACCATCCCCTCATCCACACCAAGCACATCAAGAAAAAAGGGTTATAGCAATCTTACCTTGGAGACAGCGAACAGCTGCTTGGTGACCTCAACAACACCGGACATCTCCTTGACGTTGTCGATGCGCGACTGGACAGCGCTGGTGTGGTCGGCACGGGCGGCGTTCAGGATATCCTTGTGCCTCTGGACCTGACCCTCAGCCCACTGGCGGTAAGCGGGACCACCGTACTTGGCCACAGCGGTGAAGACGGAGAGCAGACAGAAAGCGGCGACAGTCTCCTCGTTCATCACGTAGAGCTCGTTGCTGATGGCGGCGATGGAGATACCGGCGGCAGCGGAGAGAGTGGCGGTCTTGGTGACCAGAGAGTTACCGGGGACGGCATTCAGGATGGACTGGGCCTTCTTGGAAGGCTCCTCAGCAGGGACGTTGGAGGCCGCGCGAGTCGAGGTCAGGGCAGTGACGGCAGGGACACGGGCGGCGATAGTCGGCCGCAGGCGGGCGGCGCCTGGGGGGTGAGAGTTAGTAACTGGTAGCAGATAGTGGCGAATGGTGAAAAGGGTAGCGTACCAATGGCGCTCTTAGCAAGACGCGAAGCCATTGTTGTGAGGATAGTGGTTAAAGGGAGTTGAGAGTGGGTGAACGGAGAGGAGTTGAGGTCTTTCCTAACCGTTCCGACCTCTCTGGTTTGCACACGCTAATCCGTTTCGGGTTAGTTGGTTCCTACGGATAATCTCCCCTTCCGATCTCCCGAGGCATCAAAAAAAAGTTGTGCTTCCGGGATCACGCCAGGTTGAGATAGACTCGGAGTACAGAGGCTGACACAAGCTATTTACTCACGACCATTCCTCAAAATGCCTGCGCCGGTCGAGTCATCCAAGAAGCGCAAATCTGTCAAAAATGGAGGTGCCCCTTCCAAGCGTCGTGCCGTGGCTGAGGAGGATACCTTCGCCGAGACCTTGTCTAAAATCCAAGAGCTCGAAAATCAGATTACCGAGTCGCGCAAACACTATAACAATATTGCGACCTTGATTTCCATGTTAAATGTCGAACCCTCCGCCAAGGAACCCGAATTGGCCGTCGCCGTCGCTCTGTGTCGAGTCTTCAGTCGACTCATTGCCGCCGGCAATTTGACCGAATCCAACCGCGCCGCTGAAAACGAGAAGATTATTGTTGCTTGGTTGAAGGAGCGATGTCTGGAATACCAGCGCGCACTGATGGCAATCATGCGTGAGGCCGACCCTACCTCCCAAATCACCGCTTTGACGCTGGCCATGCGTCTTGTGAAGGAGCGCATCACCCACATCCCCGGTGCCGACAACAATATTTGGGCTACCTTGTTCAAGGATATTCTCGCGGCCGTCGTCGAGGCGAACAATGGTCAGGATCTTCAAACCGAGTTTGTTACCAAATTCGTGAAAGAGTTCGAGGATGTGCGGTTCTTCACATTCGTACAATTAGCGTATGTTCATTTCCCCCTCCTCAATTGGCAACCCACCAAATGCCCTGGACCTTGCTAACCATCAAGCAGTGAATATGCCGACGTGCGAAGAAGTCCCGAAACCCTTGATACTCTCGTTTCGATCCTCTCCTCCTGCGACGACGCCCCCGCCGCCGACCACGAATTCGAATCCTTCTTCGTCCCCCGCGAGACCAAAACCAAGCAGCTCAACTCCGTCAACGCCCACAAGAAGCGAGCCCAGGAAGCATGGCTCGCCATCCTGCGAAACAACCTCTCCCAAACGCAACGAAAGAACCTCCTCCGCATCATGGTCCACAACATTGAGCCCTGGTTCAGCCGACCCGAGCTACTCATGGACTTCCTGACAGACTCGTACAACGTGGGCGGCGCCACCTCCCTCCTCGCCCTGTCCGGTCTATTCTACCTCATCCAAGAGAAGAACCTCGACTACCCGCAATTCTACACAAAACTCTACTCCCTCCTGGACGCCGACCTCCTCCACTCCAAGCACCGCTCCCGCTTCTTCCGCCTCCTAAACACCTTCCTCGCCTCAACCCATCTTCCCGCAACCCTAGTAGCAAGTTTCCTCAAGCGTCTCTCCCGCCTCGCGCTCAACGCACCCCCCTCCGCAATCGTCGTCATCGTGCCATTCATGTACAACATCTTCAAAGACCACCCAACCTGCACATTCATGATGCACCGCACAATCCGCGACAAGGACGTTGCCGCTGACGTCGAGAAATACGGCATGGACGATCCCTTTGATAGCAACGAATCAGATCCCACCCGCACCAACGCGATCGAGAGCAGTTTGTGGGAAATCGAGACCCTCCAATCTCACTACCACCCCAATGTCGCCGCCATCGCGCGCATTATCTCCGAACAGTTCACCAAGCAGGCGTACAACCTGGAAGACTTTTTGGACCACACGTACCAGGGTATGGTGGAGTCTGATCTTGGGACGGGAGAGCGTGTGCTTAGGAAGACACCTGTTGTGGAGTACCAGATCCCCAAGCGTATCTTTACGGACCGGTTGTTGGAAGAGGATGGGGGTGTTGATTCGGGCCCGGCTGCGTTTTTGCGCGAGTTTTGGGATTTCTGATGCATAAAAATTCTTTGGGTTTTCGGGGAGGAGTGGGTTACTTTACTTATTTACTCGTTTTGTCCCCTTTTCTTTTATTTGCATATACACTATCAGCTAGAGTTGGCGTTGGGGAAATATCATGCTGTGATGTTCAGACCAAAACTATATTTCACTATATTTCCAGATGACGGTATACGTCCAACTTCTAAAAGCATACCAAGCCATCACCTCTTATCTATTCGATGGAAACACTAACCTTAAAGCAATCAACGTACTACTAGTAGCCTTCGAACCACGCGAGGAAGTAAAACCGGTTCATATCACCATGGCGAATTTTCAAATCATCCATAGATAGTACTAGTAGTCGGTGCCTCTGCGCGTCTCTGATATTGGACGCAGGCAATCCAGGGGCAATTCAGCTGTTTCTGCGAATTTGATGGGAGCGCTTATATAAAGGGCGGACGATTGAGGATGAAGATGAAGATTGGCCCGCCGAGAATGCCGAAAATCAATAGATACCAAGGCTTGAACAATATCCAATAATAAGCCCATGTGCCCTTGGTTGCTGAAGTATTAGATTGTTTGGTGAGACTTTCGGTGTGCTCCCGTATCGGGCCTACCCCGGCAATGATCATGGATGGTTATTGTCTCAAAATCAAGCAGTAGAGTCGGTGAATAGATGAATTATTAAATTATGTCTTGAATAAATCGGTGATATAATTAGGCAATGTTTAATGATTCGGAAAATCCGATACCGCTAAGTGAGTCCATAAATGAGTAGTTGGGGAATTTCCGTTATGCTCATGCCTGGAGTATTAAGATATATCACCACCATTTATCGTGGATTCCGAGTATCCAAAGCCAGGAACTTCAAGTTGAACCCACAAACTCGGGAATTCATACATATTCGACCTAATAAAACATTCGGACGAACTCGAAACGATCCTCAGTTTGATCGATACCTAGGTACTAAAAAATAAACCGTCACCATGGCTCAACAGTGTACCATGGTGAGACAGGTTCTAGTTTTTGGGTGATCTTGAAACGCCTCCGAGCACCCTTTACCCACAGCCTCGATTTTGAGATCCTTTCAATCCCGACCGAAGTAAAGCCGAAATAATGTTTACTGTGAATATTTAAATCATCAGATAGTACATTGTAAATTGAGTTCGAAAAGTAAAGAAGATAACTTGAATCATTCCATTATCTTCCCTTCCACCCGCAAGATGTTTCTCAAGACTATCCTCCCCTCCTCCTGGCTACTCCCTTGATTGTGGCCTCGAACTCCTTTCTCACCAGCCCAGTCGAGCGCCGTCAATACATCTACGCCAATGATCTCGACACTGGCAATTGCAAGGATACCATGTTCATCTTTGCGCGTGGATCCACCGAAGTCGGCAACACTGTGAGAACTCGCATCTAAATTATACACTTCCAGAATGTAAAGAACTAATGAGATAATAATCCCTCTAGGGCACCGTTGTTGGTCCCGAAGTCTGCATCGACCTGAAGACTCAATTGGGAGGCGCCGTGGGCTGCCAGGGAATCGGCGGTGACTATACAGCCGGTCTGGCTGAGAACTTCCTGCCCGATAACACCGCGCCGCAGGATGTGCAGGCTGCAGTGGATGTGTTCAACAAGTGTAACACTAAATGCCCAAATGCGAAGATCGTCGCGGGTGGGTACAGGTATGTCGCTACTGCTACCACGCTACGCAGGAAGCTTTATCCCCCCCTTTCCTCTCCATGACAGACCCTGCGAGATAAATCTGCAGTTCAATTTTGGCTAATATTCAAATTTGCGAAATTTAGTCAGGGAAGTGCCGTCATCGACAACGCGATTCAGAAGCTGGACTCGGACGTGAGAGATAAGGTCAAGGGTGTTGTTCTGTTTGGATTCACGCGCAATCTGCAGGATGGTGGCCGTATCCCCAATTATCCCAAGGATCAGACTAAGGTCTTCTGTGCCATTGGTGACTTGGTCTGTGATGGAACGCTTATCATTACCGCCGCCCACTTAACTTATGGCGCCAATGCTAATGAGGCTGCGACTTTCCTGGCTTCGAAGGTGAAATAATTCAAGCGGGGCTTGAGTTTCACTTTGCTTCTATAAGGAAGTGCATTCTGTTCGATTTGGCTGGCTCAATGGCAGGATGATTGACGAGGTATCGGTTAGAGATGTGTTAGAATGTGATGTTTACTTCGCTTCTTGATATTTGATGTTATAAAATTCAATATAGAACCCATCAACTTGTTGCTTTTAGTCGACGAGTGTTTTTATCTGATGCGAACTGTAATGCGAGTATTTTTCCAGACCTCCTGAGAGGCTGCGGCTTATTGGGATCCTGTAGAAAGGACTAAAAGTTGGATCAGTCAAGTAACTCTGCGTCAATTGCAAATAAAAACATTGGAAGGGAACCAGCGCTGATCAAGTACTTGTAAATCTATGTCACACGACCAACAGACTTTGACTTTAGCCCTGTACTCCTGGATTTGATTTTGGAATATTCTTCTTCCATAAAAGCTCATGCAAGCAGCTACCATTACAGGAATCTTCTAGCGGCACTGTCCACCAACGTCAATGGCAGCGGGTGGCCACCGCCGCCCTTGCATGGTATATGATCGACATTATAGCCGCCGAAGCAGAGAAGTGCAAGTTAACCACACATGGAGGTAATAAGACATTTACTACCCCTTGGTATGAAAACAACACAAGAAATATAAGAAAAATGTAATACTGAATAGAAAAGTCGAGAGATGGACAGCCCTATGCCTTGATTCCAATCAAAACAATTCGGGAAGGGATGCATTCTTGGAGGATCAGGGAGCCATCCCTATAGGCTCTAGATCTTATCCCTCCCCGGGCGCTGAAGTAGATCTGTTTATCTTACTTTGTTTTGGTTTATTTAGTTTCGGAACAATTGGTTTGCAGAGAGTCACGTAATTCATTGCTGAATGCATACGAGCTGAGCTGCGGTTAAACAACCTTCTTCACCCATTCATTTGGAGAGAAAAAAAAAGTCAGTATCGAAGGGCTGGCTCAAGAAGAAAAGATGTGAGGAATTTCTACTGTTTACTGAGAAAGGAATTCCCCAAACAATCCAAGGTGGTGCATGCTTCAGCGAGTAGCACCCGGCCGATGCTTCGACCAACTGCTCGGAATGCGACATTCTCCCAACTCTCGAATACCGACATGCGAATTTCAAGGTTAATTTGTCAATTTGCGGAGCTGGAAGAGATCAGAGCGAGCAGACGCCGTGAAATAAAGATCGCGTTGTGCCACCGTCATCCTGACTTTCTCGCCTCTATCCGACTTACGCCGCCATTCTCGACTCTTTACACGCCAACTAATACGACACTTTCATTAACATCCCCCCCAACTACATTCGCTCTTTTTGTCAAGATGCATTTCTCTCGTGTCCTCGCCGTGTCGGCTTCATTCATTGCCCTGGGTCTCGCCGTCGACCCTCTTGCTTTCACTAGCTGGCCCCAGGATGTCGCTGCCGGCAAGCCCGTGACTCTTACCTGGGCTGGTGCCGTCCCTGGACAGGTAGGATTGGGAATCTCCAAGAATATCACTTGACTGTACTGACTAGAGATAATAGCCTGTGACTCTGACCCTGCGCAAGGGAACCTCCACCCACCTCAAGGATGTAGAGACCATCACTAGCGAGGCCAAGGATGGCACTTTCACCTGGACTCCTGGTGACAATGTCAAGGAGGGCGAGACATACGCTTTCCAGGTCTCCCAAGGTGGACAGGTCAACTACTCGGCTCTGTTGAAGGCCGGCGTTGGAGCCCCCAAGGCCGAGACCACTGGAGCAAAACACACCAACCATGCCACTACCGAGGCCACCGCTGCCACCGCTGCCACTGGCACCACCACTGGCACCAACACCCAGACCACGATGGGCACCGAGACACAGACAACCAGCAAGCCTCTGATCAGCTCCTCAGCATCCGGCTCCCCCTCCGGCAGTCCTTCCTCCTCGACTGTTGGCAGCACTATGACCAATGGTCCCATGATGACCGAAACCGACGTGATGAATGGCAAGGAGGCATCTGAGACCGGAACCACGCAGAGTGGCATGGCTTCCGTGCCCTCGTTGTCCCGCGAGATTGTGCTGGGAGCTCTGGGTCTGTTTGTCTACCTTGTTCAGTAGATATGAAAACCCCAGACGATGAGCGTTTTTGTCTTGTTTCAAGTTCTTTTTTGATCAGTGGGCAGTCATTCTCAACGTGTTGCAAATTCAGCCAATTCCAGCCCGGGCTTCCTTCATGTATATACATCCAATACCCGATACTATGGAGGGCAATTGATCAGGCGTTGTGGAGGTAATTGATTCATTCAAGTTCATTCAAAAGTGCAGAAGTAAAGTGGCAATGTTCATGCAGTGTCAGTGTTGGAGTAACTAAAAGCCCAAGCGCAAACCGCCTAGCGCCCGCTTAGTGGCCCGCTTAGCCTGCCGCGTTCCTACGGAAGTCAATAGTCGGCGGATCCGGTGGAACACCTCAGCTCTCTTCTCTCTTCACTATCTTCACTTTGCTCCATTTCTCTTTTGCTACGCCGCTTTGATATTTTTGGTTCTTTCGGCTTTGATTCTTCCAATTCTGGCCCGCAACGCGTTCTTTGGTCTTTGACGGGTGTCGTTTACTGCATCAACCCGCCCACTTTGCTGTCCGCCCATAGATGTCGCGTTAAGCACGGCCTCCTATGATGCTCGGCGATGCTCAGACGCCGCAATAAGTTAACCACCACTCATCTGGCACAACTGAGATTCAATACTGGTACGCCGAGCTTTCCGTTCGTTCCCCTCCAAATTTATTCCCACGCTTGTAGTGCTATGCCTGCGTCGCAGCCTGCCAGTGCCCCCTCTATCTCCACCGCCATTCTTCCCCAGATAATGAGCTCCAGCTGCTACTGCCAGCTGCGAGTAATGGGATGGCGTCGCTAAAGCGAGCCATGAAGCGGCTGGGCTCAATGGCGAACCTCAATTCGATCAATACTGACGTGCAACATCTCCCCTCACCAGCTTCCACCCAACCACCCCAAGTGAACCTCCCACATGTGGACACCCAATTGAACATGCATCAAGTCAACGGTTTATTCGAAGACGGTTCTCCGGCCGCCGACGGCCTCAGAGGTCGGTTCACCATGTCCATGGCGTCAGCTACATTCCCCCGCGCATTACTTACCCGACCCGGGGTCATCCCATCTACAGATTCCCACGGCTCCCCCACACAACCCCAATCACAACCACAATCACAACCACAACCACAACCACAATCACAACCACAATCACAACCCCAACCTCCCAATCCCTCCTCCGGCAATCCGACCTCCCCCGCCGATGAAACACCCACAGAATGGTCCGCCGTCGGCCACGCCGCAACAGGCAAATCTGGCCGAGTAATCCACAACCTCCAAGAAGAGATCGCGCGACTCCGCCGTGAATGCAGCGTCTACCGATCCCGCGCCGAAGAAACCCAACGCTCAAACGAGACCCTAAAAACACAAGCGCAGAACATGTCCGAGCGCCTCCGAAACCTAGAACAAGTCAACGAGGTCAACCTGAACTCGATCACGCGCAAAGATCGCAAAATCGAAGACCTCCGCGTGGAAATCCAAAACGAGCGCAATAAGCGGAAAGAAGCCGAATCCGCCGCGAGCAAGACAAACGACATGATGCGCGATGAGCGGGAACATCATAACCGCGAACAGGCGGAGGCGCAGGAATTGACGAAATATCACCAGACGCAGTACGAGGTTCTGGCTAGCGCGACGAAGCGCGAAAAGACGGATCTCGGGAGGAGGGTGAAGGTGCTGTTTGATGAGCTGAAGAGTCTTAAGGGGGCGCATGAGAAGCATGTCGTTTCCTCGGATCATTTGGAGGTCATTGCGGAACAGAAGAATCGGGAAATTGAGGGGTTGAAGGAATTGCATGAGAAATTACTGGATACTCATGTGCAGTACAAGAAGTTCAAGGATGATGAGCTTCGGGATACGCTTGAGCAGGGTCGGGCGTATAATGCGCAACTTGAAACGATGGTTGCCTCGATGAAGGAGACGGAGGGGAAGATGAATTGGGTTATGCGGCTGCAAGAGATGCGAGACCAGGAGGGAGAGAGGAGGACCGAGAAAGAGAAGGCATAATTGGGTCCAGGTATTGGCATGGTCAATACAAGGATTGGCTGGTTGACCGAGTATACTGGCCCTCTCTTCTCCCCTTTTCCCTTTTCCCTTTCACCATCGCATCACATACTATCACATCATTGATTTCTTTTGTACAGAGTCATCCCCCTGGCGTTTCGGAGGCACGGATACCCTTAGCCATGGAGGCGAAGTTCGGTGTTGTATCATTCTTTTAGTTCTAGATTTTGTTCAGTTAGATCTGATGTATGATGACTGCATTTGCATATCTACTGTCTACTCTTCTACTCTTCCACTCATCCGCTACCACTCATCCACTCTGCCACTGCCACTGCTACTGCCTATAGTATATTGCCTATACACATACTGCCTATTTAGGCCACCCCCCCCTAAACCCTCCACCGCAACTTCCTCTCCTGCTTCCTCTGCACCTTCCTCACCATCCACGATGATCCGCAATCGCCCAGCTTCTTGCTGGATTTCCGTCATTCCCTCCCTTTCTCTTCTCTTCAGACATTCAAAATTCACTCACTCTGCCCCCCCTGCCGAATATCACCTTGAGCATGACCGTTGCAGCTGACAAAAGCCTGGATTTGACTATCAGGGTACCTTCTCCGAGACGTGTTGGACGTGACCGACGTGGTGGACGTGGTGATGCTGCCGTGGGATCAATCTACGTCATTGAGGCTCTTGGGGTGAACTTTCCATCTCTCTCTTTATTTTTTAAACAATTGCAATCGTGGATACCGCTAACACTGCCATTGTGAAGGTTGACGAACTGACCGAGCGAATTGAGTATCGCGTGTGCCCTGCCAATTTGCTAGCTGAGGTTCCATTGACAAGAGACAGAGGTATCACGTCCCGAACGGATGATGCGCAGGTTGGCTACGATGATGGGGCTCATGTTCGTATTGTTTGCCTTTCCTTTCTCTCACTTTGCTTAGTCGTCATGAAGCTAATGCCACCCATTCATTCACAGATTCTCCTTCTTCGAACGCCTGATCGAATGGTTCACACATCTTGTGCGGCGACTATGAATGAGTACTTCAACCAGCACAAAGACGATCATCTACTTGATGTACGTACCTTTACTTTTCACACTGGCATACCTTTTGGAATCCGCGCTGACGATAGATTCTAGCTTCCTCGCATGCACTCACTCATCCCTACTGACCTTCAAGCCATGCCTCCGCCTCCCAAGCCATCATCCTCCGGGCCCGCGGATCTTCTAGATTTTGGCCCAATGGACGTCAAACCCCACAGCCGGTCAACGAACAGGACTTGGAGTCCTGGGGAGCTTGGTCATTACTTCCTGACAGATCGATTCAATATTATGTTCCGCATCGCAGAAGATACTCACACCGATATCTCTATCGTGGCGAACTCCGATCCCCTTCAAATTCGTTTGGCTGGCCTGACTCCTGAAGATGTTGATGAAGCATTAGACAAACTACAAGGATCGCTCGGCTTCATTGTAAGATAAATTTCAGCTTTCCTTTTTGGCTGGCACCTTGCTCACAATCTCTAGGCTTTGCTCCAGGAACCGCCAAACGATATTGCTGTCCTCGGTTCGAACGACGAAGTACCCCGATACCGGATGAAGAAGTTGATGGACACTGACCGAGCCACCGGACAACGTCTTGTTGAAGACCTCAGCTTGAAGTACAACTTGAAAAACGTGATGATACCATACTCTCAGGCTCCCGCCATTGTCACCATATCTCCAACGCCACGAGTTACCACGGCGCCACGCCATCCAACCCCTCCGCATGCAGGAGCCAAAGCTCCGACAAAATGGGACTCCGAATTCCCAAAGCTGGACACTCCTGCCCAAAAGATTTCTCCACAGAGTTCTTCTGCATGGCCTGCTTTATCGCCACCAACTTCCGCTTCACGTTATCCAATCAGGTCACCACCCCCTCCAGCCAGAACGACACAACCTATGCAACCTAGCATTGCACCGCAGGTTAAGATCCCCGTCGTTCAACAGTCTGAAATTGGGAAGCTTGCTACGCCGAGAATCCCGAATGTTAGAAAGACTCGGAAGCCTGCAAGTGTGACAGATGAGAACATAGCACCCAGGGCATTGTCTCTCTCATCGCCTCTAACTCCCGCTGCCATTATCAAAACCCGACAGGAGCGTAGCCCGACACCTGAAACGACTGTATCGTCGCTGCCTAGTCGTGAATCTGGATTGAGTTCCCCATTGTCTTCTCCACCGCCGCCTCAGACCACCCCTAGCAGTTCCCCTCCTACCTCCCCGCCAACGCGTTACATTTCTCGACCCGGTAGCCCGGTGTCGCTTTCAATTGTCAAGAGGCCGGAATTTAACCCTGGAACTCGGGATCGACCTGCAGGCATCCGGTTTCCGGGAGGTTTACCTTGCGATGCTACCCGCCCGGTTGCTATCTCTGCCAGCCATGCAGCACTTCAAGATAGCCTCGAGATGGTTGGAAATGTCCCTCACCCATCCAGTCCGATAGCTACTCCATTGGTGAGACGACCTACTGAGTCTCTTGCATTGACTCGGCAGAAACTGCTCTTCGGGTTGCCAATTTCAAGTATCCCAGAGCGCTCCAGTTCAAAACGACCGCCGGTTCCTCCAAAGCCTCCACAGCTTCGCATGACCTCTAGCAAATTATCAACTGTTATCGAGGCTGTCCCTGAGTCCCCAAATCTTGTCGATTCCAACCCGATGAAAGATGAACCGAAGCCAGCCAACCTCAGTTTGGACGGTGGGGAAATGACTGGCAAAAAATATACAACAGAAACTGTGAACAGTAACGACTTCCCATCATTTGAAATGCTATTCGACTTGGGTGAGATATCAGTTTACATTGTTGATGACCAGCCAATTATCCCATGTATTGAACTTCCAATATTCGGGCTCCAGGGAACTGTGCCTACAGAAACAATGAATACAAATCCCCAAGAACAGGCTCCAGACAGGAAACAGGAATCCAATGTGCAGGCAGCTATGCAATTCTTGTGTCGCGAGATTCAGATTAACGAGTCAACCAGTCTATCTGAAATCGCCGAAGCACCCCAACCACGAGATCCAGCAGATGATTCTATTCATGAAGCCCAGGTTGCGGTGTCTGAATCAGAAACACGGGAACTCCACAGTATCATGAATCAGAAGTCCGCTCGGCCTGTTGATATCGATAAAGAGAGTAAGATCCAAGCAAGGGCAGACTCTAAGGCTCGACATACGGCCAGAAAGAACGACATGTGGGGATTGACTACTTTCCAACGCGCTCGGGGTCACAATAATGTCGCCAAGGCCATTCTAGAACCAACAATGGAGCCAGGTGTTGGGGCAAAGGAAAGATTGTCTTCGAGGAATGATACAATTAAGCGGTCCAAGTCGGAAGATCGCGCAAAAACCGTTTTTCATATGCTCGAGCCAGTGCTTGGTGCCGCGAAGGCGTTCCCTGGTCGAATGACTTTGGAGGTCCAGATAGGCCTGATCCTGGTCCCTCCCACGCAACCATGTGGTCCGATGGACTTGGCCGAACTTCGCAAATACTTCAATCCCAACACTGGTCTTCCGCCTCCCAAACCATTCTTGTACAACCGGCTGGCCATCAGCAAAGCTGATATTGACAACCTCATTGGTCTTCGAGTTGCCGGCCGCCGTGTTTTTGACCAGGAGCCCTACGAAGAAGCTGTCGACTGTGAATTTCATTGTGTCTTGCCAAAGGGCAATACCGTGGAATCATTCCTCGTCACCATATTCAATGATGAGCCTGCAAGAACCACCGGACCCAATTTTCCGCTTGGAAACATTCATTTGAATTTTCCGGATAACAACTGGGATGCCGCGATTGTTCTTACCGGCCAATCACCGTATGTCAAGCTAGGTGCAAACATTAAAGATGATATCCTGGAAATGACCAAAAACTTTCGCAAGGTCTTCTCAGGGTCGGACATCCAGATCGAGACAACTGTGCCCCCGCCGCCGTTTGAGATTGAGAAAATTCTGATGAAGCGAGTCTCAAAGTACCGCTACCTCCGTGAAGGTGAAAAGGACAGAAAGGAAGATCTTTACATGCGAATCACAGAGATTCAAGACCTGGTGATCTCTTACTCGGGCTTTCAGAAAACAGATATCAAAGCCTACTGCCCCGACGAATCTGACAAAGTCGAACGACCGCACCGCTGGTCCGAAGTCTCACTCATCAGCTCGGGAACAGAAGATGCATTGGAATCAAACTGGAAACTGGAAGTTGGTTCCCAAACATCTAAATGGAACACAGCTACACTCTTTGGACAGGGCACGGCACCTGCATCTTCTTCGGCCGCGAGCTCCCCGGATGCCCTTATTGATGCCCCGGGCCTGTGGTCTCTCTTCGGTCTGACCGAGACGGTTGTCAAGAATATCGATGAGATTGGATCCCGAAGCAAGGACGCATCTGCTGCGTCGACAGAAGGAAAAATATCGAAGTCGTTGGTTTTGTCCGGAACCTCTTCTTCCAAAGATCGAGCTGCCCCCTCTGGCCAAGTTAGCCAAGTTAGCCAAGATCGAAACAAAAGCCTTGCGAACGTGGCTGGTAGCTCTCGATTGAGAGAGCATGAAGAGAACCCACGAGAATCCCGGTACTGGTGAAGATGTAGCAGCGATGATGATTATCAAGATTTTGTTAAATTGCTAGGTCTGTGTCTGTGTTCTTGTTACTGGAAGCTGTTTTGAAATCCAAAGAGAAGAAAATTACATGTTCGAATTTTGAGAAAGTGGAGTGGGTTCGGTGGCTGTCTTCTTTTCTGTTTTGTTTCTCTATTTTTCGAAGAGACCCCGTGCACTTGATATTGTTTTGATGTTACTTCCCTTCATTGTACTTTGTCGCATATTTTGTCTGCTGAATCATTTTTTCCCAGTTTTATCTTTCTGGGCAGCATTCATACTTGAGCAGTTACACGCGAGGGGGGCGCAGGGCCTAGCAGTTTCATTCTTAACTAGCATAGCATATCCATTTATGCGAGTTTAGATCAATTTGACTGTGTTTAATTTCGATTCATCCTATTGTACTAGTACGAAGCTACCAATAACCAAAGGAGAATAGAGAGAAATAAATAAACAAAAAGCACCAATACCCCCCCCTTCAAGCCCTGGAGGTTATACTAAACCAGATCCCTCAATTCAAAAGTCGCCGCATTCCTAAGCGGTCGTTCCCTCCTCTGCCTCGGCGAAATCTTATGCCAAAACTGCCAAATAAGCGTACTAACAATCGTCGTAGGAAGAGCAAAAGCCCAATAAATCCAAATCTCCCCACTCATCGTAAACCCAGTCCCATCATCATATTTAAAAAAGCTCATGCTAAATATTGACGAGATGAATGTTGGCGGTAAGAAAACGAAAGTGACGAATGCGAGCGTTTTGAGTGCCGTGCTGTCGGACATCATTGCGTGGCTGATTTTCACGGAAAGACTTGCGTCGTGTTGGGCTACTGTGTTGAAGGCTAGTTGGATTTCGTGCGCGAGGCGCTTTTCGTTGGCTGTGCTTCGGTGGCGGAGGCTTGTTAGGCAGCTTTGGTTGAATTCGAGGCGGGATTGGATTGATTGGAATGTTGATTGGGATAGTGCGCCAGCACTAGTGCTACCAGTAGCAGGAGCAGTAGTAGTATCATCGTCATTCAAGCTTTCTGTGGAGATGAGAGCTGATGATGGAGGTTTATGTGCGTAGCGCTGGTGGTGTCGGAGAAGCTGCTCAATGGTCTGCACAGCGACATCAAGGGATTCCGTAACGTGAACTGCGTGTCGGCCTATATCGTGGAGACGGCGATAATCGGGTTGGGGTCTGCCGGGGGGTTTCTCTGCTTTCTCGAGAGCGCGGACGTGGTCGCGGATTGACCAGACGGCCGAATCTTGTAGTTTGACAATTTCCTCTAGCATGTGGGCGTAGGTCCAGAAGGGGTCTTTTAGGATGTCGGGTGATTCTTCTTCTAGGTCGGGGGTTTGGGTTAGTCGATGGGTTGGGTCGAAGTAAATTAGGGCTGTTTGGTTGGTGTGGGTTATCCAGCGTGTGAAGGTGTTTGCTTTGGACCAGTCGTATTGTAGGTCTTCTTCTACGTGTTTGATTTCGAAGTAGGCCCATGTATCTGATTTTGTTGTTAGTTTTGGGATTGGGATTTGAGAGGTAGGTGAGTAAGGAGATCTGATTGATTTGAGAGTCTCCGTGGGATGGTAGAATAGATAAACTCACTAAATCCCGCGACGGAGTTGGTATCGTATGTTGCTTCACATCCGAAGTAGCCGTTTGAGTTGCGGATTGACGGGGACCAGAGGGTCTTGGGCATACAGAATGTGTTGATGAAAGTTTTGCGACATTGTTGGCATTGCACAATTGTTTCCGCGTTTGCGATTCTTCGTATTCTTAGTGACAATCCATGATGTCAAACTTTCTATTTCACCCAACTTACATGATGTATACTTCAGTGTCTTCGGAGATGATCGAGGGAACCTGCCCACGGCCTTGGACACGCAGTTCCGATGTATAAATCTCTTTCTTCGTCCAATTATCGCCATCGCCTGCCATAGTGTAAGTAGGGAGTATGCCGATCAACCCGGGAATGGGTGCAATTTACCTTGTCTCCATTGCAGGATCGGAATCTTCGGGCATAACGCTTTGCATTGAAGATCGAACATATCCAAATAAACACTTTAAAAAATCGATGATCCAAGGTTCAGTTCCCTACTTGTCCAATGAGCGGTCAGATCTATAGTAGATGATGACGATCCGTGAATAAATGTACCACTTCAGGCCTAGGGGATTCCAGGGCAAGATATAAGAGTTAAATAAGGCTTGGCTGACAGCAAGGATGGGATTGACTGCCTGAAATAAAAGCTCAGTCGAGTCGATCGCACAAGAAAGTGGCTGAGTAGTCTGATTCGGTGCGGGGCAGCCTTGCCAACGCATCACGAAGGCTTGGCAGAGTGAGTTAGATTGACGAATGAACTAACACACTCTAGCGCCCGGGTGAGAGGGCGCTTATGCAGACTGTGTAGGCAGCTCACGTATGCACCCGGGCAAAATATCCTTGTCATGCGGATATGACCCGATCAGTGGGCTGGAAAGTTGAAACACTGGTCTCGTTCTTGTCGATCTTATGTGCTGCATGCATGTACGGAGTATATGGGAAAGCAGACATGACTGAGTGCAAACAATTCCCTCTGCGGAGACTGGGCTTTTCAAGCATGGCCCCGAGGAGACACAGCCGGGGTGAGGAGGTTGCAACTTGCAGGGTGCTTCGCCCCATTCTGATCTGGCCAGCAACTACTCTTCGCGGTAAAAGATCATGGTAGTTTTCCTCGTAGAAAGCAGGCGAAGTAAAGCGAAGTAAGTCATGTATTCTGTTTGAAGTGGAAACTTCAGATATTGAAGCAGATTAGTTTGCAATTAAACCGTTTCAGCCCTCTTCCCGCTCATTCCTCTGCGCCAAATATCCACAGCTACCAGCACCGTCCCTTAAATGCCATCGGTTTGCTCTTCTCGCGGCTGATACGGTTCAAACGGCCGAATTCCAAGGACTGCTGCCTGGTACTGCGCAAGTGAAAGGCCGAAAATACGGCGGTACTCGTCTGTTTTAAGGTATCTCAGATCGTCCCATCTTGCCCCATCTTTCAAGTCCAGCATGGCAAGTCTCCTCGCGGCCTCGGATATGCCTGCACTGCGTCCAACAGTGGTTTCATAGCCAGAGGGGCCGAATACAGGCAACGGCATTGGGCTGGGTAGCTGTGTAGATCTCCAGAAACGCAGCAGGATCGAATCGGACGTCAAAGAGATATTGGTAAAGCGAAACATAATTCTCAACATCAACGGGAACCTTGGTATAGACTTGCATTCTGTGCTGGTAATACCCTTCCGGCTCGTTGAATTCCTGAACCGTACACAATCGTCCGAGAATCGCGAATTTACCCTCGTGGTCCAGGTACTGCCGCTGATGCCATCTCGGCCGTTCTGCGTTGCGCCGGGCAGTCTGTGCTGATCTGGGCATGGCTCTGCAACTCACTGTGTAATCCAAAAATTGACAATTGTCAGAGATGGAAAGCTTGATCGCTCCACGATTCAAGATCTTGGTAGGTATTGGGGCGGATTGCCCGCTGACTAAAATTCGTTTTGATATCTGTACCGTTCCCTCCACTATCACCCAGAATCAGTCCCGGATTGTCAGGCGTTTGCCAATAATTATTTGCCGAAATGGCTCAGTTCTTTGGATATGACCTTTAAATAATGCATCCCCTTCCTTCTTTCTTCAACCATCAATTGCCATTTTCGACTTCTCCCCTCCGTAGCATCCCTACGAATATCATGATGACAATTAAGTATAGGAGTATCTACTCAAGTGCCTACTTGGGTATCTAAATAGCTTCCCAGCTAGTAAGCTACCTAGAAAGAAGAGCTTTCACATATCACTAGCCAGATACTATAGAGCTCAGTTGTGGTTCAATGTCGTCACCGTATATGAATAGATGAAGTAGTCAATACCCGAGGGGTCTGAGGAAGGAGCTAAGCGGTAGTGATTATAAAGCGTACTTGCCCGTTCCCTCTTAATCCATGCATGCCTAAGGTTGCGTATCTGGTATCTGGTCGTACTTGCCTATTTAGTTGAGAAACACGTAAACATACCATGTCAACAATCAACATTCAACACCCGTCGAATTCCAGTATCCTTTGTAAGCTCCCCTCCCTACGTGGACATTCAGCAAACAGGCCAGATTTTGACATGGAATGGTCGAACCAAAGCCAATCCTGTGTCGCCAAGTCCACAGACACGCCAGCATCTTCGTTTGAAACACTAGACACGCCAAACGACAATGTCGTTTGACACTGACACAATATTTATCGACGATGCCTCGTCACCATCCGCTCACTCAAACCTGCTTATCTGGTCCTCATCATTCAATCGCACTCTCAAGAATTGAGAAAACATGGATCAATTGGTATTTGGATGTAGCTAATATGATGTATAAGCCCCCCCGTTAACCTCGACCCCCAGCCCGGAGACCCTCCGCCCTCGCCTCCGCTGGCCAGCGCCCTCAACACCATGGCGAGCTTGTTTGAGCGTCTGGAATGGACGGGCATAATTGCCATCCCCCTCCTCGCCCTCGCATCTTGTACCCTGTACCGGGTGCTGGACGCCGAGCTAAGCGTCCACGAGCGTCGCCACCGACGGTATGATAACCACACTTCTAGACATATATACAATAAAGATTACACTACATCATGACAGAACGCCATGTATTGCTCCTTGGCCAAGGTTACGGTATATGCTAACTTTACACTATAGCGCGTTTCCAGAGGCAGACACCGCAGCCGAGGCCGCTCGGAGGGCTTCGTTTCAAGAATCGCCGTGGACAGACCACCAAAATCTGCAGTGTTCGGCGAAGAAAAAAAATGAAGCATGTACTCGATATGTGTGTCCTGAAGTCAGCATAGGAATTCCAAGACAGTTCCGTTGGCTCTGCAAAATGGGAAGATTGTGGTGCGAGATGCTCCAATCCAGTTTGTTCGACAACGACTTGCTTTCCCTTCTCTTTAATTTGTGTCAAGAGTGTTGGCTCGGCACAGGGCTCCGAGGCAGGACCTGTGATAGTCTAGGCAACCTATAATTTGGAAACGGAAATGAGCATAAAAAGTTGCACAAGGACTGTGTTCGAAAGAGTGACCTGGAGGTCCGGGAAGCTAAATGCGAATGCAGCACTTGCTCTCGCTGTGCCATATTTCTACGAGCAAGAATGGTGGCTTTCTGGCATTGCTTGAACTGAAAAATGGTATAGATTTGGAGAAGAGAAGTCCAAGAAGCGATAGATTTCAATATGACGACTATCCAGTTGCAAATCATACTAGTACTTTACAGAGATCGCTGGTAGCCACAGAGATAGAACACAATAATTGACTCATCGGTGATCCTCCTCAATTCCCGACGGAGACCCTGTTCAATTCAAGATATTTGCGGGACTGAGATCGCTATTTAGTGGTAGCTTCTAAGATTCATAATGCCAGGCTTGCTTTACAGCATCACTACAAGATTACTACCAGAGAATAAGTTTCTCTAGTCTGTATGCGCTTTGAAGTAAAGTAAAAATTGCTCTTAATCAATATAACATGACATGCAAAACCCCGCTGAGGCATCAAATATGCATCTTTTCTTTTTTTTTCCCCAAAAGGAGATCAAGACCTATCAAAGACCCCCGTTGCATTGAGATCACATCTTCTCTAGTACTATCAACTAGGAATCCTTGGCAACCTTCTTCTCGTTCTCCTTCGCCGCCAGTCTCAAGATATCAATTTCGCTCGACAACCAACGACGGAATGGCTCAGCGTGAAAAACACCTTCTCCAGAGAACCATGTGGTGAAAGGAGCCTCGCATCGCTTATCCTGTAGTACCTTTCCAGTGGGAGACTTGTATTGCACGCGCAGCTTGTATTGTTTGGAGAACTTCTTCGAGGATGAGGAAACGGTGATCTATTGAGGGAAATTTGTAAGCAAATGAGTCCAAAATAACTTTCATAGATGACGGGCAAGAGAAACACGAACCGTCTCTCCAGTCTTGCGTTTGCCGGCAAAGACCTCGCCGGCCTCGACGGCCCAAAGCCAGAAAGTCAGGATACTGTTGAGGGTGAAGTATGAGACGACTGCGGCGATGATCCAGGGGGAGCTTGTCGCTTCCCAGCCTAGCGTTCGGTCTGCGTAGAAAGTGAAGCCTGCGATTGCGATGGCGCTGTAGCCCAGAGCGAAGCGGATGTTGCTCTTGGAATGGTCGACTTTGAAGGCATATGGTGCTGGAAGAGTGCACAGGTATGGGAGGAGGGCATCATCGGTGGTTGACTTGAGGTCTGTATAAGGCGATTTGGTTAGCTATAATGTTCATTATTTGCGGAATTCGCTATGTAGTAGGTAGAGGTGTTCTATGAAGGAGTAGAGCTGACCATTTGTCGAGTAGACAGGAACCTTGGACGCCATGGTGGAGTTGCAAATTAAAGTCGCGAAGCAAGATGTGTGATATTGAGTCCAAGTTTGAGAATTTGAGCGTGTAACTCTGGAGTATGTGACCCTAGGGTTGGAGAGTGTTTATCGCGAGGACACCGTTGCGGGTTGAAGATGGGAACCTCAGGAAGGGAAAGCTGGAGCTCGCGACGGACCAATCGGCGGGAAGACCTCCACCTTTCCACTTCCACTTCTTCCCTCCCGCAACTGCAACTCCTCCTCTTCCCATCCACCCCCTTCTACCTCTACCTCTCCCCTCTATCTCCATTGATCTATTCCGGTTCAACAACAGACATCTGTCTTTCTGATCATGGCAGTTCAAGGGGTGGAGCAGACCATCCTTAGGGATCCGGCCCTTTTGTGAGAAACCACGTCCCTATGAATGTCGAATCCCCTCCCAACCGAACTGACCATGACAATCTAGCTACTGGATTCTCTTCCCAATCTCGGTTGTTATGGTATGATTGAAATCTTCTGTTCCTACTGTGTATACAAGCCAAGAACCACCGAAGCCCTAACTCTTACGTCCGAATAGATTCTCACCGGAATCCTGCGCCACTATGCCACCGTCCTCATGAACACACCCCCAAAGTCCCCCTCGACTCTCGCCGAATCGCGCGAGCGCCACGCTCTTCTTCGCGGTGTTAACTTGCGTAACCACGCCGCCGCCGTCCTGGATCAGGAGTCCTTCGAGGCTCGTCGGAACTACATGGTCGCCGGTTTCCGCAGCGGCGCGTTCTTGAAGGACCCCAACAACCGTGGTCAACCGCCCGCCAACCCAATGACCGATCCCCAGGGAATGGAGGCCATGATGGGCATGTTGAAGGGAAATATGATGATGATGATTCCCCAAACTTTGATCATGAGCTGGATCAACGCCTTCTTCTCGGGTTTCGTTATCCGTAGGTTTTCCTCTATTTCTCTGCGAATGCTTTGTCTTGGTTATTACGGTCTGCTAACGAGAGTTTCTAGTTAAATTGCCTTTCCCTTTGACTATTCGTTTCAAGTCGATGCTCCAATCTGGTGTTATGACCCGTGACCTGGATGTGAAGTGGGTGTCCAGTCTGTCGTGGTATTTCCTGAACTTGATGGGTCTTCAGTCGGTTTTCGGATTCATCTTGGGAAGTGACAATGGTGAGTTACTCCGAACCTGCAGATCGCCCGGTCCTCTTTCGAAATTATTGTATGGAAGATGGAAACTGATTCCTCTTTACAGCTGCCAGCCAAATGGCCCAGCAGGTGGGTATGGCCAACCCCGCGGCTATGATGAACCCCATGCAGCCCGGCCAAGACCCCGACAAGCTGTTCACCAGTGAGGCTGAGAACCTTGAGGTTATGGAGCACTTCTGCATCCTTGACGGAGTGGAGGAACGAGTTCTGCGCAACTTTGCGCAGATCAACTAATTTAAAGTTACATAGAATGTGATAATTTGGTACTGGTTTAGGAGTCTGCGTGTATATATATACTTTACGGAGAGGAACCACTAGTCCTAAGCAGAAAATATTCGAGAACTTGAAGCTTTTTACTTGACGATACTACTACTAGTACTAATAGTATAATGGATGACCAAAAACCAGTTCCAAATGTCATTAATTATCGTATATCATGAATAAATCAGTCTTCAGCGGCTGTAATTGATCACCTTATTGAGAACCCAAACCTCACCATTGGCAACTTTCTCCGCAACATTATCTACTTCAATATCACCCGGTTGAATCTGATGCCGATGGTTAGCCAATTCCCGGCACCTTCCAAAATATTCCCATATACACACCTTAATCTTGTCACCCTCCTTAACCCACTTCAACTTAACCCCACCAAGCGTCTCGACCTCCTCCCCTTCAACCCAAGGACTAACAGGAATAAGATGCGCCTCTACAAAACGGCGCAAATTATCCCTCGCCCGGTCTTTCCCATCTTGCCCCTCGTACGCATTCACCTCGCCAAACTTGGCATAGTCCTCCGGGTCCTCCCACGGCTTCCGGGGTAGGGCCTGGACTGCGCTGTTGCGCGGGGCGAGGACGGTCAGGTTCTTGGATGCGTCGTTTAGGCGCTGCGAGATCGAGTCGAAGTCTCGGGTCAGTTGGGCGAAGATGTTTATGCCTTTTGTTTTGGGAAGGACATCGGATATTATAGGCTCGTCCGCTTCGCCGCCGTTATTGGGCGCTGGCTTGGGGTTTAGAATTCCGGGGATGAGTCGGTCCATGATGGGCTGGTGCTGCTGGTGTTTGTCTTGGTTTTGGAGAATTAGGGGCCGTTGACGGAGGCTGTTTGGAAGGGCAAAAGTCCAGATTGCTGTGCTTGAGCTGATGAATGTGAATATTATGACCAGAGACGAGATGAGATCGGTGGCCCGCATCTTGATTGTTTCTTGCTTTGCTTGAGTTGGCGATGGCCAGAGGCCCGCCATGACGCAAGGGGTGCACGTGATGTGGCCAGCCACTTCCAACTATGGCTGATGGTGGACTAATTTGGTATAGTACAGTATAAGCCACAATATAGTTCTATCCAACACAATCCGAAATTCGGTTTTCAAATATGCTAGTAATAATACTTGAAGTGCATGGAAGTATATTCGTATTCATTTCGCGTTTATCTACATAAACTCCTCAAAGCCAGGGTCAACAGCTACACCATCGGCCTGGTACTCAACTGCCCTGCCCAGGTAGGTACCAGCGTGGTACTGGCAACAGGTACTACTGTAGGGACGATGAAGATAATCTATTCCAGCCCTGAGCCCTCACAACTTGATCCAGCGACCCATCCATGTTTCCACAACAGACTTCGCCTCATCAACCAGTCCGAGATCTAGCAGCAATTGCGTCGTACCACGGACAGCAGAGTCCAAAGCCGAAAATATCCACGCATGGGTATAGCTAGTATGTTCACCGATGAAAATGGTCTTCATCTCGGTCTGGTAATAGGCAGGCAAGTAAAGCTCTTGCTGTCCAACAAGTGGGTCAGCCCAAGCCCCAGCTTGATGGTGATCGAACTCCCAGCACTGTCGATCATAAACCCCGGTGAACTGTTCTGCAGCAATTTCGCCGTGGACTTCAATCATGGTCCTTTGAATAAGCGCAACATGCTCCTCGGGATTAAGTGCTGCTGCAGATCGTGCAGGGGTGCCAGAGATATACGAAGCAAGAATAACACCAGGCCCGGTGCCGTTCATGTTGTATGATGGATAGCAGACATTTCCAACGCCGGAAACATCTACTGAGCCGCAACCGCCAAAGATTGGCTCCTCGAGGTGCTCCCAGAAGCGAGTTTTATAAAGCAGAGCCATTTTGCAGGCTGGGTCATAGTTCAGTGTAGAAATCGCTCGACTCAGGAGAGACGAGTAACGCGGCAGATCCCATAATCTGACCTTGCTGAATGGTGCTGCTACAACAGCGTAGTCGTATTCCTTTGTCTCGGGCGCCATTTTCAGTGGGTCCTCACGCCACGCTACTGCAATTTTGCCGGTAGTTTCGTTGTAAGCTAGACCCTGAATCGTGCGGTTGAAGGTGACTTTGTCGGCGACATGTGGGTAGAAAGCGCGAGGAAGTGATTCTAATCCTTTGTCAATGGTGCGCCATTTTGTGGCAGCGAAGTAGACCTCGTCATAAAAGTCGCCCCAGATGGGAGAGTCGGTTGTACCAGCCACATAGTCGGTCACATTGGCGTCGTATCCCAGCGCATACTTTAGATAACCAGCTTCAGACCAGTGAAACATGCCATCGTCAACGGCTTTCTTGTGGGCTTGATACATATTTGTTGCAATCTTGCGGAGGGTTTCGCGGTTGTCGAGAGTCGTATAGTTTTCATATGCGGCCTCTGCATCGGTGACAGCGGTTTCATTGGAAGACGCCGCAGTGTATACAAGTGACACATTTGCCGCAACCTGGGCGGCTGTTGGAATGCGCCCATTAGGTAGACGGTTACCACCTGAAGCTGCAGGGACATTTGGTCCATTTTGAATCCAAGGAATAAAATTGACTTGTAGCTCAGGTTTGTCGGTATTCATCTTATTTAGCGTCTCTGCGAGCTGGAACACCATACGATGGTCTTGAATCTCAAGCGTCTCATTCGTGTCGGCGTATGTGATGCTGACGGGGAAACGCATGGGACCCATCTCTTGGTACTGATACTGATCCGGTGAGGTGTTGTTGAGATATTTTGTTCGAATTCGACCGCCAACTCGTTCTGAAGATTCATAGATGTGCCAGTCGTGGATACCGACAGACTCAAGTAGCAGACTGGTCATAAGGCCAGACATTCCACCTCCAAGAATAGCGACGGAGGTATTCTTTGCCTTGGTGACGAAACTCTTTGCATTCTTCTTCGATTTCATGTATGCCACCCCGTCAAACCAAGGTCCCATAGAATCCGCGACATCTGCAATGCTCTCTCGCTTTTTCAAATCTGGAGATGAGATTGGGATTGGAGAGGAGCGTCCGACAAGAACTGATTTGGAGAATGCATGTAGACAATGCGAGTGGGGTGCATCTTGGGGGGTCACCCAGACAAAACGTTCAGGCTGAGCGTCGCGTTCCACAAAAACGGTCCCGAGATCGTGGTGGCTGTGTAAGGGTGATTCGATGTCGCACTCGGCATATACAAGTTGTAGTTCTCCTTCGAATGACTTGTCGATAAACTCAATGTGAATGTTGTGCAATGAGTCAGCTACCACGCTGGTGGGTTGATTAATGCGAATCCTCTCGAAGTCTCGTTTGGCAACACCTCCTGAAACGATATCAGAGAACAAAACCAAGCCAATGGCCTGATATAAGTGGGCTTTCATTTTCATTCGAGCTAGCCAGACAGCGTCTAGAAAAATGCCTTTAAAATGTGTGGAATTGCATCATCTTGGTGCACGATATCGAAGACTTTATAAGTAAAAGCCCAAAGTATAGACCATTAATATTGGGTGGTGTTACCAAATATCTACCGATTTCTGTTCATAGATAATAACGATTCGGCCTTGTTATCTTTTCTGGAGATGTTTACACCGGATCCGGTGGGATAAACACCCGCTAGCGGTTCTCGAGCGTCGTGATTGTCGGAATCAAGCATTGCGAACGACCAAAACCAGTACGGAGTTTAGGTCTCGGAAGAAGAATAGGAAGGTCCATTGCAATCGAAGACCACGGCCGAGATTGAGAAGTTCAAGTTCATGATAGGATTCGCTGAGACGGCCGAGGAATAGTTATCGCGGCAGAGAAGAGTTATGACAAACCCGAGCGACTATCTTATCAGAGAGGAGCATGGGGCTATCCGGAGAGTCAAGCGAAGGGCGTAGGGCGTACTACGCTCATTAGCCCTGGGAATTCGTAGGCGAAGCGATAATGAAGTGTACATTGTATAGGACATTGTAGCTATGATTATTCATTGAGAATGACCACACTCAGGGTCTACGGTGTTAATGTCTCGAATCTTTGTGGAAGCCGTGACTGAAACGCTTTTTTTTAACTGACGCTGGCTTGCGGACTTGCGGGGTGGAATATCCGGGGTATCGGATGCTCATACGCGTAGTGTCTGTACGTCGGCTAGGCATCGTCGGTTGAGAGGGGATGGCAGCCACCTTTCCAAGGAGGGTTAGATCAAAGAGATAAGAAAGCAAAGGATTGCCTATTTGGAACCACTCGTATCATCAAGATATATCCAATCTCCAATCACCAATAAGACACGAGTCGACAATAGTCCGGCAGTCTTGGCGTTGCTGCTTGGCGTGGTTGCTTATCGCGGCTTAACCGCACGGTTATTCCGGAGGCATAAAGTGGGGGTTTGTCCGGTAATAGCGGGTTCCTGGGAGATGATCTCAAACAGTTCGCATTGGTTTTGTACAATTATGTTATAAGCGACACCCTGATATACATAAATCTGGATCCAAGGCGAATCTGGGAATCCTGTTGCCCGGCCTGGACGATGAGGTTGCCCTGAGGATCAGGGATCAGGATTTGGAGGGCCTTTTGGGAGAGTTAGTGGAGTGTGAAGGGAAGATATCTAGGATCTCTTTCAGAATAATTGAGCAAATTCCAAACGGGCCACTCACAGCTGCCTATTACTACCCAAATTTCACCAACATCAACCCTAGATGACTAGATTATTGAGCTCCTTGCCAACAGTCCCAATTATGGGCTCCTTGGATAGAGTATCGTATAAGAATCACCATCGTCATAGCTTCAACATTTAAGCTTTCCTGCAATTCATGATTATTTTATGTTTTCAGTCCTGTAAACATGCAAAAACCTTAGGTATACAAAGTCTTGGCGCTGCCCCGTGAGTGCGGGGTCACCTGACTGTTATCGATAAGGGCCGCAAGAATCGAAAGTGGCACTCACTCGTTGCTTGCTTCCTCTCGTCGTTACTTCTCTTGCACACGCTTGGCTTGTCTGGTCGATCAAATTGACAATCATGTCGGCCCTACAGACTTTCTTGCTCGTGGTGGACCATGACAAAGAAGAATCCAAGCGCATTGCCGACTCCGTGGCCCAAGGTAAGTCACCGCAAATGCACCCCGCATTCGCCCACCCGCATTGGACCGATCTCATGACCTTAACCGAGGCCTTTTCATATAGACCTCGAAAGCAAGAAGATTACCCTAATCGAGATTGTTCAGCAACTCGGTGAATACATCAACGATGAAGACCCAATCCTGCGCGGAAAGGCGGTCTCCTTCCTCACCTCCGTTATCAAGTCCCTCCCGCCTAAATACCTGTCGCGACAGCAGATACAGGTCTTGACGACATTCTTTTGCGATCGGGTAGAGGATGGGGGTGCAATTGCTGGCCTGGATACACTCCAGCGGTCAGACCGCTTCACCAAGGACCTGGCCATTAATACCGCGCATGCGTATGTTCTTTTGAGCTTCGATTCATACATCCCTAGAAATGCATGATAGGGAGAGTAATGCTGACGTTTGTATAGACTGTTCTCAAACTTCCAGGATCTCCAATCCCGATCTCAGTCGCAGCGATTCCAAGTTTACCAACTGTTGAATGAATTGATGCTGAAGCACCGAAAGGGTGGGTTGAAACCTCTTGCTCAATTGGTGAAGGCTTGACTGACAAATTCCAGCGCTTCGTGACATGGAAGAAATTTCACTTGTTGGTGTGGTAGACGTCATGACTGGAGAGAAAGATCCTCGCAATCTGATGGTGGTGTTCTCCATCCTCAAGGTGGTCATGATGGAATGGGACATCTCCCACTACGTCGAGGTATGATCTCTTGACACAGAGCTTGAAATCACCGCTAATCCACTGCAGCTACTATTCGACTCTGTCTATAATTACTTCCCTATTACTTTCCGGCCTCCACCGAATGACCCTTACGGAATCACCGCGCAAGACTTGAAAGATCGACTACAAGACTGCCTTTCTTCAACCAGTCAGCTTGCCCCTCATACCATCCCGGCATTACTCGACAAGTTGGACTCTACATCGCCTAACGTCAAGGTATGCACTCATAAATCCAGGCTTTACAGCTGAACTCTGCGTCTGACTTCTTTCTAGAAAGATGCTCTCAACGCTCTTATTGCGTGTGTGCACTCCTACAGCCCCGATACCGTGTCGCGATATTCCATCACCATCTGGGAGGTTTTGAAGTTTGAAATCCTCAATGCTCAAGAAGAGTTCTTGTCCGAGTCATCCCTGGAAGCCCTCCACGCCATTGGACAACGACTTTCCGAGGGGGTTACAGAGATCTCGCAAGATCTGCCTCTCGCTCAATATCTCCGCCCCATCACCAAGGAGTGCAGCGAGCAACTTCAGGAACCCCAACAAAAGCAGGCAAAGCCCGCTCAACAAATCCTCAGTGCGCTCTCGTCGTCCTCACCGGTCGCTTTCACACTTATTGTGCAGACGGTCGTCGCTCCTATTTTCACCATCTATCAAGAAGCTGATGGGATCGTCAAGCAAAGGGCTCTTCTCGAAACACTGTCGGTGTTGTTCGAGTCTGCCATTGAAGTCTTTGGGCAATGGACAACTCGAGGTGGCGAAGCGGCTATCGAGAACCCGTTGCTGGAATTCAAGGATCAGTTCTCAGATGTCTTCGGCCAGGCCTTGATGGGTTCTGCAAAGGAAGAAGTCTCATTCCGGGTATCCGCGCTGAAAGGATTCCTAAGGCTCTCGACTTTACGAGACTTTTTCCAGGACAACGAAGTTGGCTTGTTTGTTCAGTACTTGGACGAAATTCTTTTGAAAGAAGAGTCAGTTGGTCGGGACGACTTGAAAAAAGAAGCCATTGCAGCGCTTGCAGAAATTTCCAAGTACAAGCCACGTTTGATTATGGACATCACATTCCCTGCCTTTGTCGCCACTCTGCCTGATGAGGACGATGATACCAATACGACATACCTCTCAACCTTGGATACATTGGCCAAAATCAGCGTTGAACGGGATATCTTCGAGACTCTCTTCCGTCGGCTGTTCAGCAAGCTGTCAGTACTCCTCCAAAAGGAGCAATCAGGATCTGTCGCGTATCCCCGAGCCATTTTGATGACTCTTCTCTACGTGATGGATCAGAGGCAAATGGAATCTGATCCAAATCTTGATTTGTATTTTGATAAAATTGTCGTGGGTCTGTCTCGCAACGTTGCAGAAGCAGCATCTGGGAAAGCGAAGAATCAAATCTTGAATGATCCTTCCATTTTGGAAACTCTCGGACGACTGTGCAATCTTCTCGTGCGATCATCATCAGCCCAAAAGCAACAACAGGTCGCAGAAAATGTCTATAGCTTGTTTGCAACGCCATCAGACTTTTCGCCTGTGCCTTTCTCACAGAACACAACCGCCGACCATGAGCGAACTATCATTCTATCAACCTACCTCCTTGCAGGCTTGTCTAAAGACTGCAGTAATAGCCTCCCATATACCTTGCCCAACATGTCTGATCTGCTTTCGGACTTGGTGCGCCGCTCACTCTCCCAAACCACTGAGTCAGCTACTAGTCTCGCGTTCCTGCGGCACCTGGCATTGCTCACCAACAAGTTCCTTTCAAAGCAGGACTTGAATATCGCCGAAAAGCTCTTCGACACATTGGTTTCCCAGGATCCCCAATCTCTCAGTCCGGCCGCCATCCGTACTATTTTCTGGCTCGCTAAATCACTCGTCCTTCGCATTGCGCCAACTACCACTCATATTCTGACCTCGCTTCTGGGACTCCTTTCATTGCCAAATCAGCAAACCAGCTTCTCTGCCGCACGCGGCTTTGCGATTCTACTCGGTGATGACGATGTACTTTCTGTGGTGAACGGAGCCCAAGTTCGTCTGCTGGCCAAACAGCGCGTCTTCACCACAGTCATTCCATTGATTTCATCTCGTATCCGTGATGTCAATGTTGCCGGTAACGACGATGCCTCTCAGGCTGCGAAAACATCTGACCACATCAAGCCCGCTCATCTGACTGCTCTTGCCGGCATCCTGTCTACCATCTCGACAGCTCTGGTTATGCCTGAGCTCCCTACTCTACTCCCTCTTCTTCTTCAATCTCTCGATTTGCAGACTGCCGACTCGGTTGCCGTCCGCGCAGCAACTCTGGATACTCTCGCTGTAATCATTCGTGACAATGGCGTTGCGGTTATTGATCAATGCGGACACGTTCACAGCCTTGTCTTGAGACTCCTGAAAACGACGGAGATCAAGACGGTATCTGGAGCGGTCAACACCCCTCGTCTTCGCGTGGATGCCCTCAAATGTCTGTACCTGCTCGCCACGAAGCAAATAGTTTCCGAGGCTGCGCCCAACGCTCGTGCTCCGGCATCTATCTCCCCACTTCTTGCCGAAAAGACCCACGTTCTGCGATCTTTGCGCTTTGTCTTGGATGACCCTAAGCGTGACGTCCGTAAGGCGGCCGTCGACGCTTCAAGTGCTTGGCTCCGTGGAGTGGACGATGCGCCAGAGGACGAGGATTAAGCATCGCCAAGTATTTCCTCTCTATATATGCCTTGGCGATTTCGACCGGTAGCATAAAGTTTAGCATGCATCATGATTAGAATAGAAACGTCCATATTCGATCCATACAACTTTCGGTCATTTGAAACAGAAAGGGTAGTAACTACTACTAGTGCTCGAGAGCGGATGCCTGAGAAATAGGAATTGGATGTCCAGCTATACACAGCTCTGCTACATACAGAATCCAATAGACCCGAGAAACTCATCATATCGACCAAACAATATAACCAGATATTGATCGTTCAAGTTCTCGGGCTGAAAATCCTCCTTCCTCGGACAAAAACTTGAAGTTCCTATTTCGGCCCACACACTTTCTGAGTCCAATCCAGAACACCATCCACCGCAAAATAACCACAAGTAAGATCACCACAGCAATCTGAGCTAATACCGCAACCACTGCCCACTATAACATGCATCAATTATTAGTCTTCGATCCTGGTAAACGTTGAATCACAACCATATCCCTCACGTACTTTTAAAACAGCTAGTTTCGGAAATAGGCGCCGCGGTAGTCAAGACCGCGAAAGAACCGAGCAAGAAAAGATTAAGAAACTTCATTGCATCGTATTTCGTTTCGGAAATAACTTTTTTTGTATGGTAATTGTGAAGTGTGTTGGAAGTGGTGATTGATTGATTGATCGTTGGGGCTGTGCTGTGCTGCGCTGCGCTGTGTAACTAAGAAATGGAAGCGGCCGTTCGAACCAGTGGATATCGGAGAGTCTGGAGAATAGAAAAAAGAAAGTGAAGAAACTCGTCCAGCGAAATCAAAAATGAACTTTTATGGGCGAAATGTAAATCGGCGAGAAAAGCAGAAAAAAGGAGGGTGTAATTAAATCGACCTGCGATTCAAAGAATGGACTGCAAAAGAGCGTCGAGTCTGAAAAGGAATAAATTCCGGCCCCCGGCGACGCCCTTGTTATATTTTAAGGTGGCATTTATTGCTGCGTCGGTTCTGCCTCCTTGTTGCATTTTGATTGGTTCGTGGGGCTGGGCTGCTAGGGGCGAAGTGTCCCTCGGCGTCGCGTTGTTGTTTCAGAATGAGCACCACCCCTTATTACTTTCTGTATACCCCGAACGCCGGCTGTTACGGGGGCCAGAAACCATTTATTCAATGTCTTGAATGCATTTGGAGCCAAATTTGAAGCGGTTATTACCTCATAAGCTCAGGGTAGTTTAAATTTTTCTAGATTGGCGCTTGAGTCGGTCGCTTCGATACAGTTCGTCAAGGTGGCGAGTGTGGGGGGGCCAGGATCGCCAACTATTTTTGTGATCTGCCAAGTCCTTCATTCGTGATCTACGCAGCTAAGGGCTGACGACAGCCCCCGATCACACATTAATCAAGGTTTTTGGCTTACCCCAGCCTTGTGTTGCACTGGTGTTTCTGCCCGGCATCTCAATTATTAGCACCGAATTCACTATATTGATGCATGGCGCTGGTAGAAGACGCTAGGAGCAGCAGTTCACAGAAATTAGAATCGACCGCATGGTATAACGTGTTTTACCTACGAGTCGGCCACCCTAGAACACCATATTAAAAGCGATACATGAAAACTCAATATCTCCACAATCATACCTTTTTTCAGGCTATATTCTATCACATGCTTTTATTTCAAGATATAGATCAGGATTTCTTAATTTAAAACAATTTTATCGACTGTTTTACTAGCTTACCAGTTAATACATTGTAATTTATGTATTTTATCTAAAATTGGTATATTTCGCTACGTGTATATATATGTAAGCTATTTTCAGTATGTTTTTATGAGAAGAACATATCTAAGTTTATAGAACTTCAATATTGAGCTTCTTAATACCATGGTTGTTGAGATATCGAATTGTAATTTATCGTTTTTAATATGGTGTTCCAGGGTGGCCGACTCGCGCGGGTGGCCGACTCGTAGGTAAAACACGTTTGTACTTCCTGAAACTGGTGTCACCACCTACACTCTTTGATCCTTTCTCGAACCCTAATGCATGATATACTATACTATATTAGGGTTAGACTCGGAATATCGATATTCCTGTACATTATGTATACAGTATTTTACTCTCTAGGATACTTCAATTCATGTATCATCACTGTATAGAGTAGCCATTGTAGCTAGAACTTTGCATGAATTCAATGAAGTTAACATGAGGAGCTGGAGTGGGCCACTAAATCTGGTGAGGTGTGCCATTTCCCACTCCCACTCCCGTGTCCAAATGACAATATAAACACTTATTCAGAATCAGATAGCACGGAACAGATAGCACGGAACAGTGAATTACAATACCTTGCTTACAGATTACACTGTAGCCACATGACATGACTTATCGTGAGAATTCAGTTGAATTCCGTGGAGGCCGATAGTGGGTCTCTGTGAATTATATGTCTTCTGTACCCTTCCATTTCAATCTCGGCACTTCGAAAGTCTCCTATGCATCGAGCAATTCTAAGCATGCTTGTTCAATAGCTTTTGACCTTTTAACTCCGATCGCCGATGACTGCAACAATGAGATTTCACATAACGACTACACGGTCGCGTGGATCTGCGCCTTGCCATTGGAAATAACAGCGGCCAAGAGGATGATGCTGTACAAGCCCCATCTGTAGGTTGCGGCCCCTGCGGCCCCTCATGGCGCATGGTCCGTAACAATAGGGCTAGGCGTTATTACGGTTATAGAATAAGCTATTGATTATAGTAATATAGTTCCTGTTTAATTCAACGTTAGCATAGTTTGGCTTCTAGGTTCAACAACAAGTAGGTTCAGTAAATAAGGGCTGTAAGTTAATATAGAGTCAATAATAAACGTATTATAATAAAGGCCCTATAAGTTCCTTTCTTTTTTAATCTGTGTATTTTTATTTGCTATCCGCTTAGATCTGCCGTAGGGGTTTGGATAAATATTGGAATATAAGCTAGAGAGGTAGCCAGACAGCCAGGGGGGGGGCGCTACCGCCGACCTGCATGGCCCGTCATAAGAAGCATTCCGCGGGTAGCCGAACTTCGCCCTCGTTGACCCGCGGATCCGTCACATTCGACTGCAACGACATCTGGACATTCCCCAACGTCGCACAGCGTAAAATCCACAGATCATGCGATAACCCGGACTCCAATTGAGGAGAAACCCTACCTGTGACCAAGTCCAGAAGATGCACATACATCATGGTCCGTTGTGCAGCCCCCATTGATGGCATCGTCGGAGCATACACGGGCAACAGCTTCGCCGTACAAGCCACGATCGCCAGCCTCCTCGGATGCGCTATCTTCAGCTCGTTAGAGCTGATAGTGCTGGTCTTTTCCGTCTTCCGTGTTTATCGCGGCCTGTATTTCTGGAGCCTGCTAGTCTCGGCTTCGTTGGGCGTGATTCCCGATGCGCTAGGCCTGCTCCTGAAGTACTTCGAGCTCGCGCCGATCTGGATCCCTGTTACGCTATCGACGGCCGGGTGGTGTATCATGGTCACGGGTCAATCGCTAGTGCTGTACTCGCGACTGCATCTGGTTGTGCTCAACATGACGGTACTGCACTGGGTGCTGGGTATGATTATCTTCAACGCGATCGCGTTCCAGATTCCACAGATCATTGCCTCGTATGGCGCGGTTTATGACTGCCGTTCTCATTTTACACACTTTTTCAATATCTGGGAGAAGGTTCAGCTTACTGTTTTCTTTGTGCAGGAGATTATCATCTCCGCTTTGTTTATTGTGCAGACCATTCGGTTGCTACGACTCTATCCCGAGCGCAGTAAGCGCAGGAACAATATCATGTACCAGCTGCTTGCGATCAATACGATTATTATATTTATGGATATTGCGCTGCTGTCGCTAGAGTTCTCGGGTCAATTTATCACGCAGACGGTGTTGAAGTGCTTCTTTTATACGGTCAAGCTTAAGTTGGAGCTTGCGGTTTTGTCGCGCTTGACCTCATTTGTTCAGTCGCACGTCGAGCAGGCGCCATCAGGGTTTAGCTACCAACAGTCTTGAATGTTGAGTTGTGTCCAAAGCATCAAAAGGTTAAATATATCTAAATACCTAGTTCCCATGCGAACCTAATATTAAGAAGGCAGCCGAAATCCCGAAATCTGTGCAGATGTACGGGGGGAAACCAAAGAAAACTCGCCAGCCAGGAGACCGCAAAGAAAGAGACAATCAGAAATGCCTTACAAATTGAAATTAACTCAAAGGATTCTCAAGATCATACACATAATTCCTTAACGCCCGGCGGCTGAGCCGAAAGGGCCAACTATCACTGATCTAAATGTAAATGCCTTAGCTAATGCTGTGCCTCCTTGGAGCCCATACAAAACTCCTGTCAGTGTATGTCATCTCAGATGTCAATATCTTAGCGGGTCCTTGTGGGTTAGTGTTAGTTAGTAGACCTGCTTGAAGGCACTTCTCCAAGTCTTCAACATCCTAACCCTCGGCAGTTGAAGCGCGTCTACCTGCTTTGGCACAAGGTAGTTAATTAGGGTTAGTGGCGTCATTGTGTTGGTCGACATGGTAAGGTGGCGTCGAGTCGGCCCGTGGCGATTGCGAATCGTATCGAGGCTCGCTCGTACTGCGTCCAAATTCGGCTTCTAGTTTTGGTCATCCAAAGGCGATCTACCGCCTAGGGAAAAGATATATTGCCTAGGTGAGTATAGGTACATTGCACCGTTTCTGTCTGGTATATGGCCTACCTCTGACATCGAAAGAGGAAGTGCTCTACGGTCTCTTTTGTTTGTCTATATATATATTGATCTGACATTAATTCGATAAAGATATCTATTTAATCTAGCTATGCTAGTCCGGAGTTAGGCCAGTACGCTTGCTTCTTTCTATAATAAATAATCGTATAGCTTCCGGGTATGTTTCCCTGGGAGAGCTATATCTATTTTTCTAGTATATCTTCCAACGTTTACTGGTAAGCCTTTACTGGTGGTTGTTTAGGACTGTATGAGGTTTAGGGTGGTTAACTTCATTCTTAGGACCTATACTTGAGAGATAGTATCCTCTTGTATCGTAGCTCTGGCCTGCTCTTTTGCCCTACACAAATTAATTCTAGGATAAATTTAATAGTCCCCTGCCTTTAATATCTAATTTCTGTTCAATAAGTCAGAAGTACTATGCTTTATATTGTATAGGGTCAGGGTAGAAACCAAGAAAAAGCAAAACTCAGACTAACCTAAGTACAGTAGGGCATAACCTCTCTGCAGTATTTTTAATACTAAAGAGGGGTCGTATATATAATTTATATCTATAGTACCCTTAATAAGGAGATACAAACTATACGATAATATAAGGCAACTTAGATACCTATTATAATTATCTTATTTATAGTCAGTCAGATCGCTTTTTGCAGCAGAGATTCTAAAACCTATAATTAGTAGTTTTTTTGCTACAGCTATATTAGTTTAATTATGTCCTTTAAACCCAGAGAAAGAAACAATAATAAAAATCTATCTAGATTATAACTTACTTAGTTTTTCTTTTTCCTGTATCTAAAGAAAAAGAAAGTAATTATCTAAAGGATAATAACTTAAAAGTATATACTGTACTCTTAATAAATATAGTAACTTACTGCCTCTAAGCTATAGTAATATAAGGACAAAATAGGTAATATACCCCTCTCAGACAAAGCGTCTGTGTATCTTAGCCCAGCGCCTGCTTAACGTATCTTATAGTACCCGTATAATTCTAGATATTGAATAAAAGAGAAGACAGTCAGTACAGACTTTTACAGTACTACTGTAACTATACTCTTCTATAGTACAGTAGATCTTAGCTTAGGGATACCAGCATTTGAAGATATAAAGCTAGTCTCATATTAGCTACTGTAAGATGGGAAAGCTCGCTGGCAGTCTGTCAAGCAGACGGGTCGATCACAAGAGGACAAAACCACCACACTCAAAGAGTGCAGGAGAGAGAGTAGTAGACAAAGCGGTGCCCTACTGAGAAAACAGCATTCAGAGCATTCGAGCAAGGGCTCGAATGCTAGCAATCCGAAATAACGCAAATAACATTGGTGACCCGAAAGGTGGATGGATTGTGTAAGTTAACTATCGTCGAGGGCTTATATACTGCATGAAGGTAAGGCCTAAGGCCTACAACGTCACCTGACATTGCCAGAGCGATTCCCCCACTACACTACTTAGTTAACACTAGAGGCAGACTAAGGGCCGGTTTCAGTGATCTATTCTTACTTTTGACTTTTATAAGGCAAGACAGTAAGTATTGTGTTTGTAGTCAGACAGAAGCTATAGGTATAGTTAACTAATTTTTATACAGTAAATATAAATAGAATATATAAACTCTGGCTGGAATCCTAAAGCTCTATATTCAGCCTTGCCTTAGCCCCGCTTACCCTGTCTTTATTGCTCTACAGTTTATAATTTACCTTAAGGTTAATTACTATAGTAAGAGTGTTTCCGTCTACTTAAGGTTAAATATATAAAACCGAACTATAGTATATACATTATACCTTTTCTCTCACTATATTCGTTCCTAGGCACCGTTAGCAAAGAAGTTGTACATTACCTATATCAGATTTATATGCTGCCCCTAGCCTGGTTCTTGCCTTATCAGTCTTCCTTTAATTCTGCTGTATATCGCTGCTTTTTAAGGTAATTAGTATTTATAGGGTTTGTATAGAAGGGACTAATATAAACTACGCGTGCGCTATTATATCCGACAAATATACTATCGACATATATACAGGGCCGCTCGAAATCAGCTTTACCTGTTTATTCTTTTTAAAACTTTTTGAAACCTTATCTTGTATAGCACTATACCTGTTTATGCTAGATTACCCCTGACCCACTATCCGGCAGTATTCTCATACCAGCGTAAAGAAACGAATAAAAATAGTTTCCGTATCACGCTGTACAGAAGATTTGCTTTCTAGAACCAACTCATTACAAACAAGTCAAACAATATAGTAGGCCACCATCAACTGTCCCAGCCCAAATCCGACAACTCGAGTATCCTTGGGATCGCATGAACTCGTCAAACAGGGAGCTTTAGCAAAAAGGGGTAACTATCACCTACACAGAGCCCCCCCTCCCCCCTTTCACAAGAGATAATTGGTCAAAAACCTATGTGCCCGAGTCAACCTGAAAAATATAACCGAGATCGCACGAATTTCAAATCTCATTTTCTTTTACTTGCCCAGTGGGAAGCTTTTGGACCATAGGCAGTGCCGAGATCTGCCAGCATGGAAATTTGATATTTCCAAGACATTCATGAGTTTCCTTCATTGAACCTATGCCGTCCTGATCTTACTAGAGTTGTGGACAAAACCGAAATTGGCTGAGTATCTATCAAACAGGATACAGTCGAGGCAGGAAACTAGGAGCACAATGGAGACTTGGCACATAATTACCAAAAGCTCAGGTGTGAAATGGAGACTTTGGGCGGTTGGGTGCGAGGGTCCGATACATCCTCCGATTTTTGTGCCATCTTTCCGGAACCGGCTTCAGAGAACCCAAATCAACCCGAGCACTTTCAAGCAAGGCCTGCTTTACTTCGGTATGACCGAATGTTTCGGCTGCACCCAACGGGTGGCATCCCCTCTTACACGTATGGTTCGGATCTGCGCCTGCCTCCAGCAGCATCTTCACCATCGCAAGATCTCCCCTTTTGGCCGCATGCCAAAGCGGAGTCTCACCTTCTAAATCCCTTGGATCCGGATGCGCTCCGTGCTCGAGTAAAGACCTGACGATTTCACTCGTTCCCTGGGAAGCTGCGAAGTACAAAGCGGTTTCATTTCGTTTATTGTAGTGGTCAACGTTAATTCCAGGTACACTGAGAAGCAGGTTGGCAATATACGGGGATTTGAGCGCGGAGGCGAGTAATAGAGGGTTTCTTTGCTTTCGCCATACAACGCACTTGGGAACAGCACTGCCCTGGATATTGAAGTCAATTTCGAAGCTAGGGCGATTGATAAAGCTCCTGACAGTTTCGAGGGACTCTGAAACAACCGCGTTGATCAAAGGGGTGCGATCAAATCGGTCGTGCGCGTTCGGTCGTATCCCAGGAACATCTAGCAGTATATCGACCACTGCAGCATGGCCATTTCTCGCAGCTAGGAAAAGGCAGGATGTTGCGATCAGTCTGCATTCAGAACTAGCTTCTTGGGCCCCAGTATATTTTGGCGGAAACAGAGGGACGAGGAATTCCAGATTCATGCGATCATCTTCCAGCAGAGCTTTGACGATGTCCACATGTCCTGCGCTTGCTGCTAATTGAAGAGGGGTCATTCTTTCATTTTTGTCGTTTAAAACATCTTCATCGCTTTCAATGATGTTAAAATTGACCTCTCTTTGTGCCAAAATCAAAGACACCAACGTAACATGTCCATTCCTGGCCGCCTTTGCGAGAGCCTTTCCAAGATTCTTCCTTCTGGTTTTGCAGAGAGAACTATTGTTGATTGATCTTGAGGCTGTTTGAATGGAAACATTGTTTGACGCCCACCTGAGTGCGCTCATATCATGGAGCCAGGCATCAGTTTGATACAGAGATGCAGTCAGATTGTTACAAAAATAACGGCTTGCCCGAACCAATGAATTGATGTCTCGAGTGTCCTCTAATTCATTTGCGATCGCTAGCAGAATTTCCGCTGGTAGGCTCTCCAGGTTGGGCATTTCTTTTGGCGAAGGTCTATGATACAGTACAAATATTTTTTGGCTCTAGCGAACATTAACGTCTGATCTCCGGACGCTAAACTACATAAGTAAATTTGTTAGCGCGCTTACGTTATATCATACCGAGCACTAAAATACAGGTAGTTCTCTACTGCGGGATCATATCGTAGAAATGCTCGTGCTTTGTAGGGGCTAGGTTGGGTGCTACTCCGATTTGACTTCTTGTGATTGACTGTTATGATCTCCCTGTACAAAGGGACGACGATTCTCAAAGTGGGGTATCGAGGTGTCAGATGTATGTATTAGTGTCACAAGTGAATACACCACGCCATATGTTCTGGTTACTACGCGTAAGAACCAATACAGGTCACTGACAGGGGTGCTCCGGAGACACTCCCAATGAAGACTAGTCTGCATTGGCAGGTAGGGTTTGAGAAACAATCGAAGAGTATAAGTGGTGAAACCAGTTTCGGGAACTACTGTATACTGCAATTACCCAGAACGAGGCTCTCCCACGGTATGCAGTTTACTACTATTTAGTAGGTATCAGGGTCTCGTTGAACACGGTTTCTTACAGTAGGGGTCAAATCATTGGTAAAAGAAGCCCCCAATCCGGTTTGAAGGGACTGAGGCTGAAACAAATGCAATATAATTCGACCAATCACAAGCCGCTACAAGCGTAACGTTTTACAACAGAACTGAAAAGCCACGCGACATTGATCAATTCGGACTAGCAAAACGAGTATTCAATTGCGGGGTTCTTCAAGTTCTCGAGGGGGTTTGCATGCAGTAAGATCCATTATACATACTAGTATTTTCTTATCTCATGGAATAACTCGGAACTGCAGAACAAAAGGTTAAAATGACAGAGTAAATAGTATGTCTTTGATAATAATACTAATGATACATGGATAACCTTAGGAAGCCCGACGATGGCGGGCGGTCCCTCCAGAGTCATACCAGGTTGTCCTGCCTGTGCGCTCATCCCTGAGTTGAGCTTTATTTGCCCGTACTGACCGAGCTTCCTATCTACACCATTCATCTGGTTCTGAAATTCTTTTAATGCTCCTGTTACAGCAGCCTTCGGTATACAGTGGATATACCTTCTCTTCTCCTTCTTATGACATTCGTCATGAATGCGATCGAGCCCCTCCCCCGCGTACGCAATGCTCATGTACGTTTTCCAACGCCTCGCCTCGGAGGCATCCCCGGTGCAATCCTGCCATTTCCATGTATGGCATACAGTTCCTGTGTACATAACTGTTCTCCTCGCCATACTTTTTTCACAACCCTGCAAAATTCTCTCAATGCAGTGCATATTGCCTTTTTGGACCTGATGAAGGCCCAAGACTTTTTCAGGTTGGTGTACGCCCAGCCGGTTCGATGGTCCTTTTTGGATTTGACCATATTATTGCTTGTGCAAATCTTTTCATCACGTGTGGCGGTAAATTGGAGGTGAATCGAAGGCGAGTTTAGAGGTTTGTGAGAAGGGCGTGACTCTGCGGCCACGGAAAGGATTGCGAAGCATATTGGCCATGTTACCTTGCCGCTATGAAATTCGGATTATGCATGAAAGAGTAGCGTCAAAGTTTCCAGAGAGAGTGGACCATAAATCGTATCTGAGTTTTCCGTGGATTTCGTATTGACATGGGTCGTTTCAAAGTGTAGTCTGACTCATTTGCGTCGCCTTGCGAGACCTATGGTTGAGGCACAAGCAGATTCATATCGTCCAAGAAGGCGGCATATCCTGCTCTCTTCTCCCCCTCCTGTGCGGATCCATGGATGTATCCATTGTCCGAGACCATCGGGGCAAGGACACCCATGGCCAGGCGCGAGAGGAGCATCTTACATGGAAGCCGGAGTCACTCTTTTCCTTCTCCACTAGTAGGATGCGGTACAGTACTAGCAGTATCATGATGCCAACTTGGAACTAACTATAACTGGTATCCCATTGTTCCTTCCGTCTTACAACCTAAGGCGAAACAACTACAACGATAGCCGCTTTGGGATCGTTCAAAAATTGCCAAACTACTACTTGCCAATATCGACTAACTGCATCTCGCAGACGGGTTTTATAGATGAAAAGAGTCTCCAATTAACTTCTGGCAGGGAAGAAGAACAAACGGAAAATTATATGGATCGGCTGTAACCGTGGAACTGAATTATAGATTCCGTACCCATCTCCACTATTTACTAATTTAGGAAGTTATAGTGAGTGGGGCGGCATTCTATAACAACCGAGATCACTTTCCAACTTCGACTTGGGATTGGTCAGGTCGGGGAAATTTTGCATCGGAATTGCTATTGACTCATTTTTTCAATACTCTAATCTTTTACCGCTTGAGGCTAAATCCCGAAGAACACCCTATAAAGAGCGCCTCGCCCTTGATTTGAGTTGAGGCTATTTCTACTATACGCTCAGGTCAGTGTCTGACTACACATACTCTGTTATTTTCGATTCAAATCAGTTCGATCAAGTTTTTTTATCTTTCTTTTGCTGCAAACTATGGTAAACAAAATGGTTGCCGAGAAGCTGCTCCAAGCCGCACACGTGGCTCCTGAAATCTTCGAACTACGACCAGACTATCGAGCTCTCTTGCTGATCGTGGAGGGCATTCCTCCGGGCCCTAGCGACGAGACTAGCGAGAAGGTCCTCAAAGAAGCAGAGAGTCATGTCAAGGAGATGGTCGCCAGCACTCTTATCACCGAATTCCCCCATATCGCTGCGTGGAGAGAAGCCTACAAAGGCTTCGGGGCCAAGCCGAACAAGACACGGAATAGTCTGGAGGCCCTGACTCGTCGCGCTGAAAATGGCCTACCGCGCATCAACCGATTGACGGATATCTACAATGGTATTTCTGTCAAATATCAGATCCCGTTTGGTGGCGAGGATTTGGATAAATACGACGGCTCCGCATTCCTGCTACGCGCCACCGGTAAAGAACCCTTTCAAACCTTCTCGGGCGGAGAGCCCCAAACAGAGCTTGCTACGCCTGGAGAGCCTATCTGGTGTGATAACACGGGCATCACTTGTCGACGCTGGAACTGGCGACAGGGCCCTCGGACAGCGTTGACAGATGACACTACGCGGGTGTTATTTATTCTCGACGCATTGAACCCACTTTCGGACGATACTTTGACCCAAGCCGCAGATGAGCTTGAATCTTTGTTGAAGGGACTTTCTCCTGAAGTTGAGACGTCTAGGCGCCTTATTGGCCCTTCTATCTGAGGCTTTTCATTACTTTTATGTGGCGCGTTTTTCTGTTCGATCTCAGATGCATTTTTCTATTTTCTTGTCATAGAATAGACTTAGAACTGTATACAAGGAGCTTCCAAACGATATCCAAGCTACTTATTTTTCCAAGTTGACTACGCCGCTCCATAAGCGTAGGGTGGTCAGTTGTATACAGTGGTATTTTACAGTGGTGCTGCAAAAGTTTGAAGCCCCCTATTGCCCACTATCTTTGACTGCCTTCTAATGGTAGACTAGGAGGCGCAGCCCAGGCCGGTCAACAAAGACTTGGAAACTTTGCAACACCACTGTAAGCTTGAAATACCCCTATATACAACTACTGACCACCCTGCGCTTATGGAGCGCCGTATCATGATGGCCGTAAAAAGGAATCATAAGTATCCAGTTTATGCTTCCACACCGTCTTCCTAGTATCACTCTTGCGAAGCTCTTGAAGCGATGCCTTGTTTAATCCCACAACAGACCACTGGGGCAAGGGGGATTCGATTACGGCTTCTTATTCTTTGAGGACAGGCAGTGTAAAGGAAAGAATTGATAAAGTTTTGTCTCGGGAACTCGATATTCGTCATTCAAAATTACACCCACGGTAATCCAAGCTTGCTTTTCAAGCCCGGGAGCTGTCGCTATCGCGATGGAAGTTGATATAGCATAGTACTTTGCACGTATGTCCGCATATATGAATAGACACATAACACGCCAGCCCTGCAAAGAGGGGGAAGGGAGGGCAAAAGTAGATCTTCATCGCTATGGCCTCTCCTAGGCATGGATTGGGCCCCCCTCGTCCTGGAGGTCTGAATAATGAGACCTTGCAGAACACAGCTTGCCATCCACAACCCTGATTCGTGTGCTACCTAACCGAGGTGGGAGGAGATAGCTCGGACCTCCATCTGCAGCTTGGAGTACAGCTCAGGTAAATCTTATCCCAAATGAGGTACATGGGTTCGTCTTTGTCTTTGCCCAGACGGCATCGCAGCTTGATAATTGGTGGAACAGTCAATGAGTCAATACATGCATGACTTGGACCAATGAGATCAATCGGGGAAAGGAGGAAAGGCAAACACAAGTGCCCGCTCATGGGATGCCGCTATCCGTGTGGCCTTTAGTCTTAATTGGCAGTGCTGTTGTTTGAGGGATGGCTCTGGCGCTTGGGTACTAGACTAGCCACTTCTCATGCATCGAAATGGGAGTGGGAGTGGGAGCGCGAGCGGGGTGTTTGAGAAAATGAAGATAAATGAAAACTGCAAGATCTGCTAATCTAATTAATACTTAATGCAAATGTCCCACAAACACACAGAGTGACAAACAGAGAGACTTGAAGCGTTAATTTTTGCTTTCGTATTCCCTCACTTCGACCCTCGTTTCGTCATGTCGGGGAATCCCCTCAACTCAAACCGACCGCTTCGAGTCATTATTATCGGAGCAGGTGCTAGTGGCCTCCTAATGGGATACAAGCTCCAGCGCAATTTCGACGACCTTTACTTCCAAATCTACGAGAAGAACCCCGATGTCGGCGGGACCTGGTATGAGAATCGGTATCCTGGGTGCGCGTGCGATAATCCGTCTCACACGTATGTCTGGTCATTTGATCCTAATCCGACGTGGTCGAGCACATACGCCCCAAGTACCGAGATATACGATTATTTCAAGCGATTCCAGTTCCGGAGTAACCTAGGCGAGAAGACTAAGGTTTCACATCAGGTTGTTGGAGCCAAGTGGGATGACGGGGCTGGTAAGTGGAATGTCGAGATTCGAGATATTGTGAACGGTGTTGTTTTAAATGATTCATGCGATGTCCTTGTTAATGCGGGCGGTATTTTGAATGCGTGGAGGTGGCCTGCTATTCCTGGCCTGCATGATTTCAAAGGTAGACTTGTTCACAGTGCGGCGTGGGATCAAGATCTCGACCTTGCTGGCAAGCATGTGGGATTGATAGGGAATGGGTATGCTAAAGCCTCTTCCGTTCCTTTGATTGGAATATGGGAAAGAAAGGCAGCTCACTCGCTAACAAATAATCTCTGATAGCTCATCGGGGATCCAAATTCTACCTGCAATCCTTCCACAGGTATCCAAATTAACCACCTTCATTCGTGAGCCATCATGGATTGTCGCTGGTGTCGCGGGATTCGAACCTCGGAAATTTGAAGAGAATGAGAAGAAGGAGTTTGCCAAAGATCCAAGCACATTGCTCAAATTCCGTCGAGGGATCGAGCAGAATATGAACAGAATATTTCCCCTGTTTCTTGCAGACTCTCCAACTCAACAGCGGTCGCGTGAGAGCTTCAGCGCCTCTATGCAGGGTGTTTTAAATGACCCTGCGTTTGTCGATCAATTGATTCCGAAGTGGGCCGTGGGGTGTCGACGTATCACGCCTGGAGTGGGATATCTAGAGTCGCTCACGGATGAGAAAACAGCAGTCATATATGGTGGAATCGCGAGAATTTCGCCAGAGGGTTGTGTCACGGAAGAAGGGGACGAATACGCAGTCGACGTTCTAGTCTGTGCGGTAAGGAATCTATACCTTCGAACGATTCACACCGGTAAAGAGTTCCTAACCGAATCCATAGACTGGATTCGATACTACCTTCAAGCCACGATTCCCCTTGGTTGGCTCTCAAGGGCGTCAACTTGCGGAGGACTGGAAAGATGAGCCTCGAAGTTATCTAGGCGTCGCAGCTCCTGGTTATCCAAATTACTACATGTTCCTTGGACCAAATAGCCCAATTGGAAACGGACCTGTCCTTATTGGCATCGAAGGTAAAAGAACAATTCAGCATGCAGAGAATGATTTACTAACCTTGTAACAGCACAAGCCGACTACATCTGCCAGCACATAACCAGAATCCAACAACAAGGCATCAAATCAATCGAAGTGACCAAAGAAGCAGTGGACGATTTCATCGAATTCAAAGATCAGTATATGAAGCAAACAGTTTGGGACCAGGACTGTCGATCCTGGTATAAGGGTAATACAGCCGATGGCAAAATCGTGGCACTATGGCCAGGAAGTACAATTCACTACGTCGAAGTCTTGAAAAACGTGCGATACGATGATTTCAAAGTCCGGTATTTTGGGAACCGCTTTGACTATCTTGGGAATGGGATGACGAAAATTGAAATGACCCCCGATGCGGACTTGGCGCAGTATGTCCGCAATGAAGATGACGCTCCGATAATTGGGTCAAAGTTCACTTATGTGAAGGCTTCTCCGGAACAGCAGATTCCTGCTGATGTTATAACTGCGGATTCGAGGGCAAATGGAAGCGCAGGATCATGAATTGATTTTGCAAAGGCTGAGAATTGGAAGTTCTTTTAGGAAATTATGGAGATAATTTTATTTGTCAACGATTTTTGTTTGGAATAGAAGCGAATTTGGAACAAAGTATGCAAAGACTGCGCATTGATGACATGCGTATTCACAAGATGCGTATTCAAAAGCGGCGTATACAGCAGAGGCGTATTCAAAAGATGCGCCAAGTGCAGATACCAGTTCCGGGGCTTGGTACCACTTCCATTTCTAGTTTAAGCATATGCGTGCACTCATAATTTGTGCTATACAAACGTCACACCTGAATCATGTTAGCAGATCCCTAGACACTGCAAACCAATGGATGAAGAACATGAGATGGCTCCCCCGCTTTGTATATGCTGGCTCCACTTCGGGTGATCAGACCAGGCTTAGACCAGGCTGCGAGGATAAAAGTCTCCGAAAATGAGACTTGGGCTTCCAAGAGACGTTATTTGTGACGGAATGTTGTGAGCTGTGTAGCGATTGATGTTATGTTGACGACTAGACATGTCAAGCCCGGAGCGCCTTTTTATTCGAACGATCGATATCCTTGTGGAAAGCAAAACGCTAGGCTGACACCACACCTATAAAAGAGGACTTAAGGTCTTAACCCCGCCAGGCGCAATTCATGTGGAGCAAAGGTTAGACCCATGTAAGCATGTGCTGTGCATTGCAGGTTCAGTGGGCACATTACCTCGAATGCTGCATCATCCCCTCTTCTTGGCTCACCCAGCCACCCGGAAAAGAGGAAAGTACAATTATTATTCGTAATGCTCATGGACATGCATAAAACTGACTTATAAAATGAGTTTGACTTAGGACCTGTCACAGATTTAACTCAAAATTGATTATCGAGACTACCTTTCAACATGACCGGAAACAAATATCCCCTCTCTACCCGGTTGTGCATCAACGGAAAGGTGAGAAATATGATTATCGATGTCGACCGGAAATGCCATGATACTGACATGTATTAAAAAGTTGGTGGACAGCCATTCATCCGAGAGATACTCTCTTTTCAACCCAGTGGATGACTCGCTGTTCTGCGACCAAGTTCAATATGCAGCAGCTGAGGATGTGGAGGCCGCAGTTGAAGCAGCAGAAGCGGCCTTTAAGGGGCCTTGGCGAAAATTCACAGCTACCCAAAGAGGAGAAGCACTTGCAAAACTATCCGCTTTGATTTTGGAGCACAAAGAGGAGCTGGGATATTTGGATGGGACTCCTATCGGAAAAACTCAGGCTGCAGCCACTGGGGAAGCCGAGTTCGCCGCGTCAATTCTAAGCTGTAGGCGTCAGATACCTTGTCTTCATAGAATCTAGCAAAGCTGACTATTTGCAGACTATGCTGGCTGGGCCGACAAATACCCTGGCGAGTCGTACCCCGGCGAGGACGGTTTCGTCAAAATCGTGCGACAGGAGCCTCTGGGCGTATGTGTCGGGATCAATCCTTGGAACGGACCTCTTGCAATTATGGCTATGAAGCTTGGCCCTGCTTTGGCAATGGGAAACGTCATCATTCTGAAGCCAAGTGAGAAAACGCCGTTGGCGTCAAACCGACTCGCATTTCTGGCCTCTGAGAGTGGTGTTCTCCCACCGGGCGTGTTCCAGAGCTTGTCTGGTGCTGGAGCAACTGGGGCTATGCTTGCAAACCACATGAGGGTAAGAAAAGTCAGCTTCACCGGCTCGATTCCCACAGGAAAAAAGATCCAAGAGGCCGCCGCGAAGAGCAATCTAAAGCGAGTGACACTTGAGCTGGGAGGGAAGTCTCCATCTGGTATCTTTGAAGACTGTAACTTCGACAATGCGGTTTGGTGGTCTGTATTTGCCATCACCCAGAATACCGGCCAAGCATGCTTCGCAGCGAGTCGAGTCTATGTGCAGGAAAGCATCGCAGATAGATTTGTCGAGGCATTCACCAAGGGAATGTCAGAGAAGCTAAACGAGCTTGCCCCTCTTGCGGATAAGGGCCAACTGTCCCGGGTGTCCTCATTCTTCCAACGAGACGCAGGAAAGACAAAAATACTGGTTGGTGGAAAGCAGCACGGCGACAAAGGATGCTACTGGGAACCAACCGTCTTCTATAACCCGGAGAAAGATGCTCAGGTTTATAACGAAGAAATATTCGGACCAGTGGCATGCATTAGTACATTCAAGGATGAAGAGGAATTCTTGCGCCTCGCCAATGATACCGAATATGGTCTGATGGCCGGTGTTTTCACTCAAGATATCAACCGTGCCATGCGAATTTCCTCGGAATTGGATAGTGGAGTTGTTGGAGTTAACTGTGTCAGCACAATTAGCTTACAGACTCCTTTCGGAGGCTCCAAGCAGTCTGGAATCGGAAGAGAGATGAGCCACTATGCTCTCCGAAGCTACAGTGAGCCGAAGACCGTTCTCATAAAGTAAGTTACATGTCACTCCAGTTATCTTCACTTTGATGTGCGTCCAACTGATATTATTATAGCATGAACTATTAGGTTGCAATTTGATGTTTCTTGATACAGTTTCAGAGTAATCAACTACGGCGTTCCATAAGCGCAGGGTGGTCAGGAGTTGTATATCAGGGGTATTTCAAGCTTACAGTGGTGTTGCAAAGTTTCCAAGTCCTTGTTGAACGGCCTGGTCTGCGCCTACTAGTCTACCATTAAAAGGCAGTCAAAGATAGTGGGCAATAGGGGGCTTCAAACTTTTGCAACACCACTGTAAAATACCACTATATACAACTGACCACCCTGCGCTTATGGAGCGGCGTAGTGGCCAAAGCTGATGAGCTTTCAATAGGCTTTTCTTGGGTATACAATCTTCTTAGGTATATAATCGTAATACAGTAATAATTATAGTGTCTGTTATGAGGTCACCCTCTCTCAATTTGCATACAATACAGACCATCTAGCTCTGTCATTCAGCCTCAGTGAACTAACTTGAAGCAATCCAAATTTGATTTGCGACCCGCCAACATAGAGTGAGATAAATGGAAATCCGTCTGGCCGGGCAATTTTTGGCTTCAGGAAGACATCTCCAAAATGTCCCTTTCTCAAATTGGGAATGTGGAAAGCCAAAAGAATGTTCTATTCGCCACTTTCTGCTTCCTCCGCCCTTCTCTCTATTTATCTACACCAACCAATACCATGACTCCTAGTCTTTCTCGAAGTCTTGAAGCAACATCTGTTTATCTCCATTATTACACGGATACCAAGGAGCAAGAAGGTTTGCCTTCAACATGAAGTAAAACTGCTGGCGCTTATTGCTAGAGTCCAGTGACAACGTCGAGGCTCTTTAGCATAGCTTGCCTGGCCTTAGATTCCTGAGCCAATCCCAGGTGAGAGCCGTCTGGGGGCTGTCGGCAATGGCCAAAAAGTCGATCAAGCGTCAGTTACTATGAGATGTCAGCATCATTCAAAACTGATCTTCCAAAAGAGGCTCCACTGTTTATTTACGGGATAGCTTCCTCGTGATTTTACCACGAACAACTGCAGTCACCACAGCGGGTCGTTCACTTGCTGTTACCGTGGTTGCATGTGTCTCATTTGGCTGTGTGGGCGATAATATCTGCGAACATCGAGACTACTTGTGGGAGTGGTCGCTCGCAATGTCTACAAGCTTAGGTCGTGAGCTCAAAGATCTTGCATCGGCAGTTCGGCCAAGTATTCGGGAAATTTGGACGCCTGTTCAACTCCAAGGCATTATAGAAGGGCTGTTTGAATGTACTCAAGCTCGCTTCTGGTATCATCAGAATGATCTAACACAGTCCGAGGCTCATTATTTCTGGTTGGAAGCTCTTGGAATAATGGGGCTATGTCGTAGAAGGGGGGCCCGAAAATGATCGAGATTTCAAGTTCAAAGCCAGGTATCGGATCGAATTAGGGTTGCTATTCCAGAAATGGAATCGGAGTAAAACGGTCCCATGGGTGAACTTGCGGTCAAATTAAAGATCTCTCCAAATTTATTCCATGTTTCCAGGGTTGGGGTTGTCGGCCTACCATTTATGGATTCGGCGATTCTCATTGCTCTCTTTCTTTTTTTCTTTTTCTTTCTTCATTACTACTACCGTCGACTTGGCTACCAGCACCTTTTCCAAGCATCATGGAATATCTAAGATCTTTCTCCTATCTTACAGGCCCATCCATCGCGGTCTCCCCCAAGCCCTACCCCATGACTACACTACCCGGTCTCTCCCCAAAGATCATACTGGATATCTGTAATTTGCTTCCATCTGCTTATCTGACATGCCAAGTTACCTCTCAAATAAGCTGAAAATCTATCACTCTTAGCCATATTGGAGAGAGACCTGGAAGAGTTATTTTCTTGCCATATTTGCAAAAAGCTTCATCGATACGACGGTTCTAAAAGTTTCGGGCTTAGTAGACTAGCCCATCGCAAAACTTGAAAGCTTCCATTTGACTATAAGGAATATGCGTGGAACGATGAACTGATCGGTGATGCAACAATGAGGATGAGAGCCCATACTTTATTTGACCTTTCAGAAAGTCGTCTTTCGAATCATCAGCTTAAGCTTGCGATGAGGAGATACTACCATGATAGTAGTAAAATGTCTGGTATCAGTACTGAATCTCTATCATACACACAAATTCGCAATTACTGTCACCGCATCCAACACCCAGACCGGTTGAGCTTTAAACGTTTGACTTGGTCAGAAGTTCCTACACTATTCTCGAGGGAAGCACGAATATGCCCCGAGCCTCTTGGTCTTTATATCCGCATGCAGGACATATTGATATTCCCAACATGGGAAGATTTGAAAGACATTCAAGGCCCAAACCCCATAAACATTTATGTGATATGTTCCCACGCCACACTTTTAAGCAGAATCCCTGATCGACTCGGAGTATACAGATCGAAATATATCCGCTGGGAACAATTATCTTCAATTTCTTCGGCATACACCTGTCCTAAATGTGGAACAGATTGCGTGATTGAACTGCTTGAGCTTGATTCTAAGATCACCTTGATTATGACAAGATGGGTCAACCTTGGCCCTGGCTTTGATTCCGAGGACCCGTTATGGAAGATTCATGTCTATGGTAGGCCTGTATGCCGGCCTGAGCGACTTGACGACTTGGTGGCTAGTCCCCGCCTCTACTTCGAAGAGCAGGCTCCTGACTGGTTTGAGGAATTGCGAGACCGCAATCTGTCCTATCTGAAGGATGAGCAATACAAAAAGGATGGGCTTTTTGAGGAATACCCGTTTGAATACCCGTTAAATCCGAGTACCTGGCACATTTCATACAAGGAGCCATCGAAATTATGAGGGATTAGATCTCTATGGTCTTGCTTAAATACAAACTCCAGGGGATGTGATTGACTGGCAGAGCAATGTGGAAGTGGCTCGGATGAAGTTGCCGACACGAGAAGCTACCTGCATAAGAAGCTACTAGTAGATCCGCCCCGAAACAGAAAGGCCCCAATGAAGATATTCCCTCCAATTCATGCAGCATAGGCACCCACATATTAAGGAGAGAAAAGTATTCTGATAAAGTAGTGTATAGTAGTCAAGTAAAAGATAAAAACAATTCAATCGGTCAGGCTATATCCAATTCAAAGGGGCTAAAAGTAAAATAAAAAAGCGATCTATACTGTATTTTCCACATAACAACCTCGTAACATCCATCAATCCGTTTTCTTTTCTCAAAATACATTAGTAACAATCAATGTCAAATGCTTAAGAAGACGCCTCAAGGGTGCCGGGACGCTCAGTGGCTGCGGCGGGCTTGACGTCGTCCACGCGCTTGTTTTGGATAAGACGCTGTACGAAGTGTTAGTAAAAAGGTCCATCATTGCAGTGGATAGTAGTTCTATCACGAAGACGGGGAATTGGAAAACTCACCAGCAGATTACGGAGGAGGACGACAATGGTCACCTTTCCGATGGAGGGGACGAAGATGGAGGCCTTGTCGCGGACCTCGTGGGGGAAGTTCTAGCGAGATATAAATTAGTACCGAAAGCCTTGCCAAATGAAAGGAAAGAAGGAAGACCAACCTTCTCACTGGAGAAGTTAACGCAAACAGCACCCTCCCGCAACAAGCTAGTATCAAACTTATACTTATCACCGGGAACACCCGAGATAACAACATCACAAAGCGGCGCAACATCCTTAATAGTCGCACCCTCCATCTCATGAATCTCATGACGCTTCTTCTGCAACCCCTCGCCACGGGTAAACTTCTGCACGCCGGTGATATCAACGCTGTAAACGCAGGCACCGTCATTAGCCAGCAGTGCCGCCAGGGGCCGACCCACGACCTCGGACCGGTTAACCACGCAGATAGTGTGGCCGAAGAGTCTGTTGCCGTAGGGCAGGATGGTGTTGTAGATGTTCAGGTATTCCAGGATCTTGACGATCGCGAGGGGCGTGCAGGGCAGTACGCATTTCTGGCGCTTGGTTTCCTGGTCCAGGAAGCGGATGTTTTGATACATGTTGAAGATGTAGCGATGGCTGAGGCCTTCGACATCTTTGTGCACGTCGACGATTTGCTGCAGGTATTGGTCTTGACGGTTGTTGAAGATTGGGTAGTAGACGATTATGCCGTCGACGTTGTTGTCGTTGTTAGCGGCTAGGATTGATTCTTCGATGTCGTCGCGGCTTACTTCGCGGAGGGAGTAGTCGAATCCACTGTTTTATTATCATTGTTAGTATAGTGCTTGAGGAGGGGAATTGGGTTCTTTTTTTTTGGACGAGTCACGATTTCAATGGAGGGGTACTATGATTCATAACTGGGGAATCTACCCCACCACAACCACCCACGACAAGACCATTGAGAGCCAAAACCGGGGTCATATCAGAGATACTCACTTCTCCTCGCATGTCTTCTGCGTCCATTGCGCATACATCAGCGCAGCGGGGTCATCGTTGGCCAGGAAGCCGACCAGGTGCGGCGGCTTGTCGAGAGTCTTGATGCCTTCTTGCACCTCACCAAGCAGGCCATTGGCCACATTCTTGGACAGCATGACCTTGCATGAGGAAGGAGCGGCAGTTTTAGGAGCCGACATGATGACGAGAATGGTATGAGAGGGCGGAAAATAGAGGAGAGGCCTTTGAAACGCTGGTGGTTCTCGCGATGGGATGAGTCGAGGGGAAAAAAGATTGTTCGCTTATCGATAAGAAGTGCCGCTTTCGGCCCAGCAAAAGTCACTCACTGCCGATGCGTGTCCACAACGTCAGTATGGTATAACCAGTGTATGAGTAGTGGAGCGTATAATACAGAGCAGAGTAGAGTAGAGAATAGGCAGGTTCAATTAAGAAATACTCGTGGTGGACTATGTAGAACCCTCAGGCAGAGATGGGATACCTCGCCGATGTCGCCCGAGTCTACCATGCAGTATCGGTCACTACAGTGTCTACACTTCACTACACTACACTTTACTACAGCATAACAACCATTTGAACAAATGAAATAAATTGCGGATCCAACATGGAGAGTCGCATGGAGACCAGACAGAAGTAAGACTGGTCCTCCTCCCATCTCGCGCCCCCCGATGCGCGGAAAAAATCTAAACGTACAGGATATAATCACATTTTGGCAGCACACCGAGTCCGGCTCCGTTCATATTATTGCCGGCTGTGTGCCACAAGGGAAAGAGAAGACCGTCCTCATCCCCGGACCAGTAGACGCATTACCATCGCTAGTCGATCGCTACATCCAAGGACAAGAGGACAATCAAAACGTATTCGCCAGGGCACTGGCACTGCAATTAGGGAACAGAACGGAAACAATGGGCTCAAAATTGTACAAACTATCTTGTCTATACACATAGAGTCAGGAAAACAGAACGACCAGCCAGGGATCACTCGCGGTGTTTTCTAGCTCACCTCTATGCGCTGAAGGACTTGTTGAAGGCGACAATGGTCTCCTTCAGCTTGGTCTCAGTCTCCTTGGAGACCTGGCCCTCCTTCTCGATGGTCTGCTGGATCTCGGGGTGGGAGCTCTTCAGGTGGGCGAGGAGGTCAGACTCCCAGGAAAGGATCTTGTTGACGGGGATGGTGTCAAGGAGACCGTTAACACCGGCGAAGATCAGGGGAACCATGTCGGAGACAGCCATGGGGGGAGTACTGCTTCTGCTTGAGCAGCTCAGTCAGACGCTCACCACGGGCAAGGGTCTGCTTGGTGGAGGCATCCAGGTCGGAACCGAACTGGGCGAAGGCGGCGACCTCACGGTACTGAGCCAAGAACAGCTTCAGGGAACCGGCGACCTGCTTCATGGCCTTGACCTGGGCAGCGGAACCGACACGGGAGACGGACAGACCGACGTTAATGGCGGGACGGATACCCTTGTAGAACAGCTCGGACTCCAGGAAAATCTGGCCATCAGTGATGGAGATGACGTTGGTGGGAATGTAGGCGGACACATCACCACCCTGGGTCTCAATGATGGGCAGGGCAGTCAGGGGAACCACCACCGTGGGTCTTGTTGTTCATCTTGGCGGCACGCTCAAGCAGACGGGAGTGCAGGTAGAAAACGTCACCGGGGTAGGCCTCACGACCGGGGGGACGACGCAGAAGCAGGGACATCTGACGGTAGGCAACGGCCTGCTTGGACAGATCGTCGTAGATGATAACGGCGTGGCGGCCGTTGTCACGGAACCACTCACCGATGGCGCAGCCAGTGAAGGGAGCAATGTACTGCAGGGGGGGCGGCCTCGGAGGCGGTGGCAGCAACGACAACGGAGTACTTCATGGCGTCGTTCTCCTCAAGGGTCTTGACGAGCTGAGCGACGGTGGAACGCTTCTGACCGACAGCAACGTAGATACAGTACAGCTTGTTGGACTCGTCGCCGGTGTTGTTCCAGCGCTTCTGGTTGAGCATGGTGTCGAGAGCGACGGCAGTCTTACCGGTCTGACGGTCACCAATGATCAACTCACGCTGACCACGGCCAATGGGCACCATGGAGTCGACACACTTCATACCAGTCTGCACGGGCTGGTTGACGGACTGACGGGGCAGGATACCGGGGGCCTTGAGCTGGGCACGGCGCTTCTCAGTGGCGTTGATGGGTCCCTTGCCATCAATGGGGTTACCGAGAGCGTCGACGACACGGCCGAGCAGCTCAGGACCAGCGGGAACTTCAACCTATAAGATAATATAAGTATATGTTCAAGAGAAGGAGGGGTGGGAGTGTAATGGTAGTAGGCGACCCGATCGGTCCGATCCGGGTTCCCAGGGGTTAAACTCACAATCTCACCAGTACGCTTGACGGTCTCACCCTCCTTGACGAGACGGTCGGAACCGAACAGGACAACACCGACCTGACCGGCCTCGAGGTTCATGCACATACCCTTAACACCGGAGGCGAACCTGAAGTGTTGTTAGTTTACCGGAAGGGAGGTCGAAAATGCCAAGACTTTTTCGGGAGGAATTGCAACGTACTCGACCAGCTCCTCAGCCTGGACATTGGTCATACCGTGAACACGGGCGATACCATCACTATTCGATAATCAATCAGTTTCATGTTTGCGTGCAGATTGGTTGGATGGCAGGCGTGGGCGCGTTGAATGAAATGGTAGCCGATGACCGAATTTTTCACGACCCTTTAGCCGCTCCCCCAGGGTGGAGGCTCAAAGACGTACCCGACGGACAGGACACGACCAGTCTCAGCGAGACCAGCCTCCTCCTGGACACCACGGATGCGCTGCTCCAGGATGGAGGAGACCTCAGTGGGCTGGGCCTTGGCCTCAGCAGCGTAGGAACGGACCTGCTTGGAGGCACCGGCGATGGGGCCGGGGACAGCCGCGCGAACCTATAGGGAGGGAAGAAAACCTTGTTAACGACGATGTTCTGAAAGGGCAATGCGATCAAGGCATGTTGATAATATGGACGAAGGGGTTGGAGGAGGTCCTTGGACCAATCGAACTTGGAATTCGAGATGGGAAAGGTCGGGGATGGCGATGGACGACGGGGTTGAATGGGATGGCTGGGAAGGACAGAACTCACAGCGACACGGCCAGTGGCCGAGGCGGCCGCAACAGAGCGGCTGGATTGCCGCAGAGCGTTTCTGAACATTGTGAGAGGGGAGGGGGGTTCAGAGGATGGGAGGAAGTGTTCTCTGAAAGAGATGTAGTGAGGGAGGAGTCGGAGAGAGGAGAGAGAAGGTTGTGGACGGGAAGGAGCTTTCGTCGGGGGGGGGGACGCCAGGATTCTCAGGACTCGCGCTAGTCCAATCCGGGCGAGGCCTCTCCGAGGTGGCCCTAGTGCTGTGCTCTGCTCCACGTTGGCCAGTGTAGGTGTTGTGTTCTACAAAATACAGGCCTTCACCTAAATATAATATTCACTATCACTTTACTATCCTATTTCTATACTCCTCCTACATACCCAATATGTTAGACTCCCCCCCATCGCAGTCTGTTGTGTGTGGTCCCAGCAAGTGCTCCGAGGCGGGTCGCTGCTTCCCGTTTTTTTCTCTTCGGCTCTCCGGATCTAGGGTCAGGTGACGCTTACCTAATGCCTTCGTCACGGCAACGCAGTATAGCTAGTAGCTAGGAGTATAGCTACGAGTGCATATATAAGTACTCCATAGACTTATTACCTAGCATCTACACATACCTAGCCCCTGGAGGTGCCTCGCACGTGTATACTTATACTCTTACTACCCCCTATCTACACCTACGCCCACCATAGCTATATACTACGTCGCATAAAGGAATTACCCGGAATCATCACCACCGGCTCAACAATATCAAAATGATAACGAAAGAAAACACGCTAAAATGATCACCTCGTAAGAGGAACAACAACAGCAAGAGCAGAACCTAAAGAAACTCTCTCAATCCCTCACTCTCTCCATCAACAACCTTGGAACCTGACACCTCTCCTCTCTCTCTCTCGAACCACCCGGCTCCACCCACACCCCATCAACCCGAAGGACACGAAGTCCCTATTTACTGGGCACCACCACCACCACTTTTCTTCACCTCCTTCTCCCTGCGGAACTTCTCAATCTCCTTCTCGACACTCTTATCCATCCGCTCCTTCAACTCAGGCCGATACCCAAAGAAGAACAGAATCTCCATCCAAACAAACAGCGGCGCAAGCAGCAACGCCTGAACCAAATTATCCAGCAACGCCGGCGCGCGTCCCTCGAACTTGCCGTGGCCGACAAACTGCGCCAACCACGAGACAACATGGATTCCACCAGCCCAGTAGTTCACAACCATGCCGTGCGTTCCGAGAAGGTAATTCCCAGCGGCCGCGGAGCCGATCACCAAGGGCGCGATCAGACCACCAGCGACCGGCTCGAGAAGGACGTAAAAAAAGGCGTAGATGAATGCTCCGATTGTGCCTGCGTTGGCGGGGAGGTATTCGAAGCGTAGGGCCTCGGGGGCTGGAAGGAGTGCTGGAGAGTTACATGCCTAGTAGCGTAAATGGTTATCAGCTTTTCGTAGCTCGGGTGAGAATGAGATGGAACGAGATGAAAAAAACGCGGGGTCACGAACCAGGACGATGCCGGTGAACAGCAGGATCGGTACACAAGTGATGTGAATTGCGACATTCACCTGAAGTTTTCATCAGTGGGAGGTCTTTCAACCGGAAATTGTTGGATATCCATTATTGCGGACACATACAGGGTTGTTGTGGTAAGCTCCATACTGTGGATAGGATGTCAGCAGGGGACCCTTCTCTAGAGTCGGAGTCAGATCGGAGCGAGAGAACTCACGAAGAGCAGCTGCTTCTCAAGATTGAGTGCCATCCTGGATGAAGGCCGGTGCAGGCGGTTCAAAGCAGAGGCGAGAAGCCAGAAAGCTGGGGTTGGGGAAGAGAGATGGTTGCCCACTACATCATCAATTATGGGGACGCTAAGTGGTGCAATCGTCCCTGCACATCCAGGCATGTGTTGGTTGGGCCGAGGGTGGTTTCTGGTTGGTATTGGTGGTGACTTAGTATGGGTTGTAGTGGTAATTTACAGTATTATGCCGTATGCTGTATGTATGTACCAGCTAGGCAAGCACGATTGTATGTGCAACGGTAGACCTCAACTAGGCCAATGCCACAATTGATTCCACACATTACTATTAGTACATATACAAGTGTCATTTCCATTGATGATAAGCAGCCAATTTTGGATACATCCAGCCTACCGCCTTAAACACATATTTTACCTAAGCTTGTCTTGAGCTGCGACAAGTTGAGATTCAACCCCAATTTAAATGATTAAGGTTGAACTGAGCATTCAAGTTGGTCTCTCTTCGAGTTTAAATTGGTTTTCCATTGACTCCAGGGCTTCGATGTAACTTGTATCATGTTACTTAAAACTTTCCAATGTTACTAATTTTAGGTATCTCCAACCAGGTGGGTGGGTATACTAGTAGCACAGCGAAATATATATCGTGCAGCATCCTGCTTAAACTCCTTCAAGTTGAATTTGATAAACGGCCTCGGGTGACCCCAAGGTAGATACACTATAGTACCCAAGTACTATTTGATGACCTTAGGCTTATCTATGTAGCAACCTTGGAATACTAAAATCCACGTATTTCAAAAAATCCAGTCACTCTGCTAGGGTAGCTCCAATGACAACCCCGGAACATGCCAAATGTCACATGACCCAATCCTCTCCCGCCGTGGAGGGCCGACAATCTCAAGCAGCTCTAGCAAGCGCGCTCGCAGCATCGGTCTATCTGCCTTTACCCGACATTCCAGGCAGATACCGTATCTCCAAACGAGTCTCTCTCCTGAGTCTCTTACACACTCTTTCATCGCGCAACTCCTCACCCTGCGCCTCACCGACAGGCCATGAGCTAGCAGCCAACGACATAATTCACACCAATTGACACCCTCCACCCACCTCACTGCGCACAGCCTAGCCTGCCCGATCTCAGAGCTCGAGCGATCTCCGCGATACCTTGCGCCCGTTAATTGAAACCACTTTGATCACGTCACCGACAGCGCTCTTGTGTTCCGGAGCTGCCTTGCCCACCACCCACCTCGACGAAGTCCCAAGCCTCGCAAAACCATCACGATGTTCTTCCTTAAAGAAGAGACCAAGGTCATTTCCTTGCATCCGTCATTCTTCGGACCCAATATGCGAGAGTACCTGATTACCCGACTAAACGAGGAGGAGGAAGGCCGGTGTACGGGTGACCACTTCGTGATTTGCGTGATGGACATGGTCGATATCGGCGAGGGACGAGTGATTCCGTCCAGCGGAAATGCGGAATACACCATCAAATACCGTGCGATTATCTGGAAGCCATTCCGAGGCGAGACGGTACGTTGGAAGGAAAGAAAAGAAATACAAGCTCCACCAGACGAGTGCGGAGTTGTTTTTGCTGGACTTTGTCTGACTCGAGATTTCTAGGTCGATGCTATCGTCACATCCGTGAAGCCTACCGGTATCTTTACGTTGGCTGGACCTCTGTCTGTATTCATTGCGCGAAAGGTATATACCACCAGGCAAAACTGTAACCCGTGCTCTGATCCTATGCTGACTGCTCCCTTAGAACATTCCTGGCGACATCAAGTGGGAACCGAATACCGTGCCCCCGCAGTATACCGATCATGCCGACCAGGTGATTGAGAAGGGGACCAGTCTGCGTCTCAAGATCCTCGGTGTTAAGCCCGACGTGGCGGCGATCAACGCCATCGGCACAATCAAGGAAGATTACCTTGGGTGAGTGACACAGCAACAACACGGCACAACCACGTTTGCAAAAAGTACCATTACTGACAAGACATCTCTTCTCCTTTAGACCCCTATAAATGAGATACGAGCCGCATCACATACCCACACTCTCACACCAAACCCAACCACCACACCCCCTTTCCAACATTTCGAGTTTACTGGACATAGCGATCCATTGGCGAAGCGAGTTCTACCGACGATTCCCAACCTTGCTTACAAGCCACAAAAACGAAAAAAGAGAATTTATTGTCGATTCGGCGCTTCAGGGAGTTTTACAAGGATGGCATTTCCCCGGACTCTTTGCATGTGATTTGATATTTTGGCTGGGCTCCTTCTTAAGGGAATGGAAATAGGGAATGCACATAGACGAACTGGCTGATTTCAAAAACACGGCCCCAACCAATCCTTTCAAGGCTTTTTCATCATAACATACTTCGCCCCCTTCTCCCTGTTCCTCTCGCCCCGGAGATGGCTTATTTCCAGGACCTCGACTGGAGCTGATGTTCGGGCCCGCAGGAGCAAGGATCGACGGTAGTGCGCGCGTGGCAGAATTGCAGATTGGCATTGCGCATGATTGAAGGGGGAATTTGTGAGCTGGGAGAGAGAATATGTACCAATATAAGTTCAGTTACGTCCAGCCTATTTTTATTTATTTGCGCCAATAAAATCCTCATGAAGTGGAATTCCGCATTTTGTGTTGAACTTTCTGGGGGTGAAACATTTGAAGTTGCCGGAGAGACGTGGGAACGGGTTTAGGGCTACTCCGTACACACCGGGGCTCACGGCCACTGGTGAAACACTGGCGTGTTTTTGGGGGCCCCTGCGTTATTTACTAAGTTTACTCTAGAGGCACTGAATAGCTAACTAGTACTGTGTACTCCCTACCTCCGTGCATTGTATACCCCGTAGTAATGGCCAGGCCCGGCCTCGGCGTACCCGGTTTGGTTCGTCGCGTCTCCCCTACCAAACAATCAAACAATCAAACATTCAAACATTCAATCCTCCCCGTCTTCTCTCCTCCTTCTCTTCCCCCCCCCTTTGTATCCTCCCTCCATTCCCTTGGATAAACCGTGTTTTCTTGGATTACCACGGCTATCATGACTTATCTCAAGGACGCCTACTCCAAGTTCCGGGCTAACCCCCGCAATGCCCCATTGGCCGCCAATGTGTCGCTGATCTATGTTCCCTCCACCACGCGCATCGATGGCGCTGACGCCGTTGCGTCGCATACGTCGCGCCAATCCGCGCACCTCAAGAAGAAGTCCGAGAAGATCATTAGCGAATTCGAGAGCTCCGACTCTCTGTGTCTGGATATCGAGACCACCATCGAGTTTCTCGAGGGCGGCGGGGCCTATCTCCCCTCGTTCGACGATAACTTCCTGGCTGATCGCGTCGTGACTTTCCCCACGGTAAATTAAATTCCCCGAAACCCTGCATGACCAATTGTGAGACGTCGTGGAACACGATCTAATGCGACTTTTCTTTTTTTCCCCCTTTCTAGCTCCACATCGTTCACTTCAACGCCGAACATCAGATCCAGCAGGTGCGTATCTACTGGGATCAGGGTTCCCTGCTTAAGGAGCTCGAAGTGATTGGTGCTCGTGGCCGCAATTGGCCTATTCGTCAAGCTCAGGAGCAGACTCGCCTGCTCAAGACCGCTGCCATTGACAAGGACGCTGCACCCTCATTGGAACCCTCCCAGGGTGACCTGCCCGCACGCCCCTCCTCTCCCGGCAAGCGACACATCAGGGACCCTTACGCGGCCGCTTCCTTGACCGACCTTCTCTCGCCTACCAAGAACGGTCCTGAGGAGCAAGAACCCGAGACACGCAGACCTTCTTCTCCCAGCAAGCGACACACCCGCGATCCCTACGGTCAAGGCTCCCTGACTGAGATCCTGTCTCCCACCAAGCCAGAAACCAACACCGTCATGCGCCCATACGGGGGATCCAACCAACCTGCGCGACGTGATCTGGGTGATATCTTCGTAGCCGATGACGGCGGGTCTCCCACTACACCTTCCAAGGCCGAGAAGGTGATTTCTCCCAAGGGCGGATCCCGACACCAGGGCGGCAACCGACTCTTCGGAGGCGCCGAGGATCACGACGAACACCGTTCTTTCTACAAGTCCGATCCTCGCAAGTACGAGCACTTCGAGATCGGAGCCAATGAAGGACATCCCGAAGACCGTTCTTTCTACAAGTCCGATCCCCGCAAATACGACCACTTCCAGATCGGAGCCGACGAAACCCCCGAGGCGAAGAAGGACTCAAAGCCAGCCAAGACCCGCAACCAATCCCAATGGGACTTTGGCGACTTCTCTACCCCAGCTAAGAGCACCGAACCAGGCGCAAAGGCCCGAGGCTTCGGCTACACCGACGAGGACGTTGATCCCAACTCCCCCCCACGCCGTGAAGCCGTCGTCAAAGCCCGCCCCGACCAAAGCGCCCACTTCAAGATGACCGACGACTTGAAAGAAGAAGACGGCCGCATCATCAGCTCCTTCGGCGGACGCGGCCAAGGCCTGTACGAGAATCGTCTCTACGACGAAGACGAGGCCACTTCCAAAAAGCGTGATGGTGAACACGAAGAAGCCCTCGGCGTAACAAGCAACAAGGCGAACCTGAACAAGACCTTCAGCTCGCAGTGGGAAATGCACGACGACTCGCCTGGACATAAACCCACCCGCTCAGATAGCGAGAACCCCAAACCCCTGGCCGCTGATCGCAGCAAGGCCGTTAAGGCTCTCGAGGCGCACTGGGATTACTCCGATTCGCCCCAACCCACGCGAACCGCTACGTCGCTGTACAACCCCAAGACTCACAACCAGCCCAGCTGGAACATGGAGGATGAAGCTTCTCCAGTTAAACCGGCTACCTCACTCCGTAACATTCGCACCCATAATCAGCCTAGCTGGAGCATGGGAGGTGAGGAGTAAGCGTGGAGAGGAAGGGGTCTGTTAATTTGCTTTTTTCTTCTATTCCGCTTCGCTCCGCTTCCTATTCTTCCTTCTCCTATGACCATTTTGTACGGCCTCACCTGATCAACGAGCAATGTGTACCGATACCCATCAATCAAACGCCTTAAATCCGGGGATGTACTACCATGTGCCGGGGGCTGCTTTGCTTTGCTCTGCCTGCTCTGCTCTGCTCTTCTAACAATTCCCTTTTTTGTCTTACGTGGAGCTTCGGTTGGATTATTCATCTGGCGTCCCTGTCAACGGGTGTTTTTCTTCTTTCTTTGTTACTATCTTTTCTTTTTTCTTCCAGGGTGCACTGGGGTTCCGTCATGCTTGTCAGACGTGCTGGATTGGACTTGCTGTGTATCTTGCGCCTTTTTTTCCTTTCTGTACAAGATTACCATTATGAGTGTTAGAACTCTTGTTTCTTAGTGTTGATATTTTCAATTAATCGATCGGGTTATTTGAATTCCTTAAGTTTCTAGTATTCAAGTTCTTTCCTGGAGTTTTTATATGGTCTGCGAGATTGGATTGTAGGAAATACCTTTGCCCTTGTTGCTCTGCTTTCAAGTTGATAACACACAAAGTCCACTTCTTTTTTCCCCTCCACTGCTGCCAGTGACGTGCGTTTGTTTCCCAGGTTGCCTTACTAATAAATCATTTGATTGTACATATTTAATTATTTTCCAAAACCGTGTCACCACTTTCTCTCTTCAATATTTTCTATATAACTTTATTTTACAGTAGTATAACTTAAGAAAGTGGTGCTACTACCTGATCGTAGTGTCATATATATATCTTCATATAATCAAAATCACTAAAAGTACCTACCAAAACCAAAACATCTCAATTTTTACCGGTCGGAAAAGCTATAAATTTAGAAATTAAATGATGTATATTACAGTTATTTAATATATTTAGTTTAAAATAAAAATAATAAGATCTAGGGTACTAGATCATAGCACACATTGCACGCGTTGTACCTGCGGTGGAAGTTGAAAGTTGAAAGGAAGGTAAACTAGTATGAGGCTGGTAGTCCTAGGGGAGGTCCCACTGATATGTCATCTGCAACCTACACCTGTATCTGGCTTTCGTCTCTTCTGCTTCCTCTACTCAAGCCATTACTTTCGTCGAACCGCTACTAATTTTCATTGTCTGATTTGATACGTCATACTTCGATCTCTATGAGTATCTGAGCATCCTCGCACTCATCTCCGTCTATCCACCATACACAAATCCACTTCTCCACTCTCAATCAATATGAATAACTAATGCATGGCACGATCAAGAACGCTTCAATATTTCAATGTAAATTTCGACCAGATCTTTTCGTAGATCTTTGGTTCCCTTTCAATTGCCCTTGGGAGCTTTCTTATTAAGCCTGGAGGACGGGAAAATGAGAAGACGGTCTATCCATGCCAGCCTACGGCTGACGGACAACTAATAAGAGAGAGGGGGTTACATTATACTCCGCTTGCTAGCTCCCCAAGGGCTTTCCCGTAGTTAGTTACAGTCACCACAACTTTGCAGTTGAGGTATCATATCATGTGCAAGTCACATACTGTCAGTAACCCCCAAGTTCACTTTTGTTAGGCTACATTCCTAAATCCTTACCACATTCCAAATATTCCCTACATTATTAGGCGTCTCTTCGGTCCTTTCATCGCGAAGACTTGCCTTGCCGTAGCTCTCTGGCATTCTATCTGACTACGAAACCCTATTATGGCATCAATGAGTGGACGGAACTAAAAGCAGAACTATTTCAACACTAGACAAAGATCCAAAACAAAACACCCGATTTGCCAACAGGCCAGCACTAGAATTTATGAGCACTATAGCACAAGATACAGCGTCTCTGATGACCCTTCCATAACATTTATTTAATACCCTCCATGCCATACAGAAGCTGTTTCTGTTCTCTGGATTTGGATTATACACTCTGCTCCAACTTTACTGGTACCAAATCACCTTGGCTAGCATCATTTAAAAACTGCGACAGTGGCTATGGCGGCGATATCTCTTCCTCCCGGTTTCCAGTTTGAGGCGGTCCAATTCTCAGGGTCAACGCCGGCGCCCAGTGAACCAGTGCAGCTGGGTGTGCTGGCGAACTTCAATGGAAGCTTTACGGGGTCAGGCTTCAACACAATTTTTCGCCCTAATAGCGGACCTCCAAACACGACAACATTTCCCAGCGACAACATCCTGGAGCTTAATCTCATAAAAGACTCAATAACGTTCTCCGGAGATCTTGGCGCCGTGCCTAACCGCGGGCTTGCGTCGCAGAACGATATCTATCTCAATGGCATATCTTATGTACAGGCTGTCAACGATGTGACAAATGAGACAAGCGGAAAGGCAGATGGTTCTCCTACGGGCATTCACTTCGAGGCTGGGCTGTGGATGAATGTTCCGTCAACGAACAATACTCCAGTGCTCGGCGAATCGCTCGTGCGTATGGCGTCTATTCCACATGGCACAACTATCAATGCTCAATGCCTAGCGCCTACCTCGAATTTCTCAGGTCCTCCCGTGATTCCGCCAGCCAACTTACAGCCATTCCCTCGGGGCAGCCATACACGATTGGCGCTTGACAGCCTAAATGCCTCAATGATTTCCACACTTCGACTGCCACAGGATCTCTCAAAATTCATTGCTGCTGGCACCATCACTCAGGAGATGCTCAATGATCCAAACTCTGTTCTCCGCAATGCCATTGAAGGACAGAATATTATACAGACCACCACCTTTACGGTGGCTACGGCACCTTTGCCTCCGGTGTTCGGGGGTGGAACAGCGAACATCGCATTCTTGGAAGGCAACCCCGCCGTTACGACTCCAAATGCCAATTCAATCGAAATGAATGCTACTTTCTGGATCGAGACGGTGCAATATAAGCTCAAAGTTCCAATCTTCAAGCGTGGACAAGGCCCTATGAAACTCACCCCGGCCTCACGAGGACATCATCCCGGGCCGGTGTTCCTCGTCAACCCCCCCGCATGATATCACTGCACCCAGAACGATTACTGTCAATTCAATCCAGATTCAGTATTCTCAGGTTGTAAATTTGTTATTTGATAAGTTGGTCTGGCCGCATTTTTCGGTATCCACGCTGACTCCGTCGGAGCCTGTGACTGTACCAGACTCAGCCTGGAATTGATAGACAATTGAAGCTGCAACGGGCGTGTATTTTTTTTTTTTTTTTTTATCGTTAGTTTGTGTTCCACTAGGTATTAATACAATATTTCTTTTCATTGAATAGCGAGAACTCCATAGTCTTTGAACCTTTTAATAATCATAATAGTACCCATAATGACTGGTCTACGCTTTCGTTGCCCACTCGATCTTGCGTGGTAGCAGGACAAATACTGCTATGATGACTGTAAGAGAAGCAGATGCTAACTGTTTGACCTTTTAAAATTTTCTGGCTGAATTCTCCGATTTCATCCTTGCGTATGCCCTAGATTCTTCCGTCGAAGTTTAGATTCCACTATTAGAATGTTAGTCTAAGCACAAAGCTGGTACCTGTACCTCATTTCGCCTTCAATCCAAGATTCTTACAGGGAAAGGGATTCATGTTCGTTGCTTATTCATAATTAGCAAGTCGAAAAAGCCGATCATAAACATATGGTCCTGTTATTATCAACAGAAAAAACATGGTCTTCATAATGTTGAAGAGCGACCTTAAACCGAGAATCAAACACACCTTTCTCGGTCAAGTTTGCCCCCCCTTGTCGCGTAACCTGAGAAACTCTTGCTTTCTATAGAGATTTAAAATACAAAATAGATACCGGCCTCTCATTCCGGACAAATCAATCAAGGATCGGTTAATTCTGCGTCAGAAAGTCTAGGGTACCATCTAATTAGCTGCTCCCACAGAGATGTGTTACGGTAGTTTTATAGTATCTCGCCCCTTACATGATTTACCATTATAACACACTCTCTCTACGAAAGTCCCTAGGCGATCGAAGATACGACAGTCACTAAGTATGGGAAAGTTACTAAGAACAATTTCCTCGCCACAACCTACGGCGCTCCATAAGCGCAGGGTGGTCAGTAGTTGTATATATACTCGTATAGCGGTATTTTACAGTGGCACCGCAAGAGTTTCCAAGTCCTTGTTGTGTCTTCGCCTACCTAATGGCAGACTAGTAGCTACCTGAGATGGAATAGATTAGAAGGCGGTCAAAAACAGTAGGCAATACATAGGAGGTCTCAAACTTTTGCAACACCACTGTAAAATACCCCTACATACAACTACTAATCACCCTGCGCTTATGGAGCGCCTTACACAACCTCCACTATTTGGACCAGAACATTTGAATGCCTAACAATTAAGCTCGAGTCAATGTGATTAAGTCTATGTGATCAGGAGTAGTGTGCCCCTGCAGAATTCGGAAGGCAGCGCGTTGTTTAAATCGACGCTCCGACGGGGGAATGATCCAAATAGTCGCGTAGTGTTCAAGTATTTGGGGAGGCAATCGATGCGGAGTTGCATATAGTTAGGAGGCTCCGCGAAAGTGGAGTATTCATGGTCAATGTATGAGGTTCTTTCAAAGTTCCTCGGGGCTTTTAATAAAATTTCCGGCCTGAGGCCCGGGCCAGATAAACTGCGTGGATTTAACGGTCATGTGGGCCTGTCATACTCCGTAGGAAAATAACTTTATTGCCCAATTCCCCTACATTCCACGCGGGGATTTGTCATATTTGCAGATTTCGTACTAGCAAGCCGAAAGTGAACATTCTATGCACATTCCATCCCGCCGGCAGAGAGGTGGAATGCAGTGCATATAGATAGACAATGACTGTTTTCCTCTAAGTAGTTTATGGGCATCATAATTTCCATAGTGTGCTTGGTTTGAGAGTCTTCACTTTCTTCCGTTGCTGCCAAGATGGGGCGTTTATTCTGCGTCTTTGCTTTCCTTTTTTTCCTGTGCATACACGGCGCCCAAAGTGCCATTGACCCCGGCACTGCTCGCGCTCAACTTTTCCGTGAGTTGATATCTCGCGCAGGAGTATATAACCAATTTCCTCCTGGTCCTCCGGCATTACCATGTGATCGAGACTGTCAATCCCGGTCACCACGGCTAAAGGTTGGCATTATTGGTGCAGGTGCTGCGGGGTTGTATTCAGCTCTGCTTCTGCAGAGCCTGGGTATTGAATTTGAAATTCTGGAGGCAGATGGACGCGCGGGCGGAAGAATCCACACCCATTATTTTGACGTGGAGAGTTGGAAGAAGTCGACCCCACTGGAGCCTGCGTATTACAATTATTATGTAAGTGTGAAGTTACAGCAGCGGTTGGATAGGGTATTGTTTGCAATACTGATTAGACATTCAGGACGCGGGTGCCATGAGAATTCCCAATATGCCCTACATGGACCGAGTAACTGGGGCTCAAAACTGGTCCGTCGTCAGCTACGTGAATTCGCACGTTAGGGACCCAGCAGATGCAATTAATCTGATCCCATATATCTTCTCCACGAACAATACATTCCAGCTATACAACAATATATCTGTTCACTCCAACGTGATCCCCTCTGCCACAACGTTCCACGTCCTAACAAATGAAGGCGGGAATATCCCACCCTCCGAGTTCGCCGTTCTCAATCCTGATAAGATATACAGCGACGCCATTGCCGAACTGGTGGATGCACTACAGCAAAACATCGATAAAGGATTTAATAAGCTCATGGAATTTGACCAACTGTCCGTCCGGGCATACCTTTTACAGAAAGGTTTTACCAACGCGCAAATCAACTGGCTAGAGACTATTGAGGAAGGAACATTGTCTTTTGATAAAGCATCCCTTGCCCAAGCTGTCATCGAACAATGGATTTTCACGGCTGCTCCTCTGGATTCTTGGGTCACGGTCAACGGCGGATTCGAGCGACTAATCAATGGACTTCTGAAAGTTCTACATAAATCGCCGAAACTGCTCAACCGCGTTACCGCCATCAAACCCGGACGAGTGGGTTCCCTAACGGTTGTCGTCAACCATACATCTGAGCATTCTTATGACCACGTAATCAGCACAATCCCACTTGGAGCAACAAGGGTCCTCGACACATCCACTTTGCCAGATCTCTATTACAATACCACAATGGCGTGGCGCACTCTAGCCTACGATGACGCAGGCAAAATTGGCATTTGGTTCAAAACGCGGTGGTGGGAGAACCCTGAGGTATTGGCTGCTCCTTTCATCGGCGGACAGTCATCGACAGACCTCCCAATCCGACGCTGCGTGTACCCATCCTATGGGCTTGGTGTCCCCGATGCTCCAGGAACAATGATCGCCAGCTACACATGGAGTCAAGATGCTGATCGACTAGCTTCCTTCTACCAAAGTGCAAAACAGGAAGAATTCATAACGCACGTAGTCTTGGAGGATATGGCACGTCTACATAATGTTTCCATGCCATTTCTCCAGGACCAGCTAGTGGAAGCACATTTGTGGGACTGGTATAGCCAACCATACTCAGTCGGTGCTTATGCTCTATTTTCACCCGCGCAATTTTCGGATGTTCTCCCGCCCTTAATGCGGCCTAGTTGCCACGGAAGACTACACACCGCGGGTGAAGCTACGAGTAGTGGTCATGCGTGGGTTGTTGGGGCTTTAAACTCGGCGTATCGTGCTGTTATGGAGGTCTTGGCTGTTGAGGGCAGAACAGATCTGATAGAGAAAATGATTGACAAATGGGGTTTGATAGATGAGGTGGATATGGGCTGGTTCGAGTCGCCAAATGCTTAATTGAAAATACGGTTGGAGAGGGTTAGAAATCGAATTCATATTGTTTGAGACATCCCTTTAAATCCCCCTGTTTTCTTAGACACCGTACCTATTAGCGAACCGAACCCCAAGAGCGCATCCAAGTTGAGGACTAAGGCCGGTGAATCGCTAGGTCTGCGGCTTGTAGGCCTCACACCATGATGCATCTATATATTGACTCTAAATCGGAAGTTTCAACGTCATTTTTTATACAGGGGAACATAACAAAACTATCTATCCTTCTCTTGCAATGACTAGTGGCAAAGCTTCTTCCGTAATGTTAACCAACATCGACTCTGGGTCAATTACCTCTTTGATAACTTGACACGTTGAAATAAAAATGTCCCAGAGGCCAGGTAATTCCGCCGCGGTGTCATCAGAGCGACGGATAACTAATAATGACCTTGTATCTCAGCAGAAAAAAACAAAAGACAAAATAAAACAAAGCCGAATTCTCTTCCTTCCTCGCAAGGTCATAAAATCGTAAAACTAGTGCTGATGTCCTCTCTGGCAGTACGTCCCTATTGCGAACTCGTCGACCGCCCCGTAGCAGATGGTTAGGTTGTCGGTGGAAGGTCTAAGCCAATGCCGGAATTATACAAGTCCAAGAACAAGCATCCAAAGTACGAATCAGGACAAGTATGCGAAACAAGAGGAGGAGAGGTTGAAAACGCCGCCCACCAGGGTGATCTGAAGGATCCTATCTCTTGGATGAATCGCTTATAGCTTAGGCCGAGGTAGGGAGCCACGGGCCAGGGTGATAAGAGCTGGCTCGAATGAACTCGTCTAGTCAGACTTACGTACATGATCGAGCTGCATTCGAATCGACACCCTCGAATCCCAGTTAGGTATTCTTCGCGGGTTTGCTGGATTCGAAGCAGTACCTTCTCGATAGCGGCTACCCGGGACTTGTTCATTGCTGCTGTGAATAGGTCAGAATTCCGAAGCTACTTACTGTTTTGGGTCAATTCAGTAACTAATTCTTACAGATGATTAAGGCGGGGATGGGAAGTCCTCCGGCGTTGATGATAAAAGCGACGCTGTTTGACATAATAAATTCCTTGATAGTTTTGAACTTAGCAGGGATCTGGAAAGCCCAAGAGATCCATAGTCAGAGGATTAGGTCTCGCAGACACACTGGTGGATACTGTTCATCGAGAGACCGGATCCAATCACCTTTCGGGGGTCAAGTACATCCTTGCACTTGTAGTAATCTGCAATGGCCCCGATCTTGGCCAGCATTTCAAGCGTCACCTTTTGTGGAATTCTTTCTTACTGGTGATGCATCGCATGTAGAACAATAAGAAAGGCGTCGAGGTCCCAGTCTTCAGCATCAATCTCGATCCGGCCGTTTCTGAGGTCCTGAGTCTCCCTCCAGCCACCCGTGAGGGCCTTTGAAAAGAAGGAACATGCGGCAATCGCATGGGCTGCGGAGATCTGAATGTGGATCTTAGGCTTGTCTGCTCTTTCTTCTTCGGGGCGGTCATTGCAAGCGGTCCGCGAGTTTGAGTTGTGGAGGACAATAAAACTTTGCCGCCTGGGTAGACGACATGGGTTGATTCGCTCATATTTCAGTCTGAGGCCAGCAAATTGTCGTTGGTGGTGGTGGGTAGAGGGAGAAAAATGAACACATGGAAGCTGGGAAAGTGAATACCAACTGAATACCAACAGTTCCCACAAGGAAATTGCTGGCGGGCCACCACCAGCACATCATAGTCTAGTCTCGGTGTGGTTTATACTATTACCATGCGTCGTTAAATTTAATATAGGAATATATAGCAATAACCCATATTCTTCCCCGGCATAGACTACATCAACCCACCCGTTAGAGCATTCCCGAAGAAGGAAGATGCAGCGATAATATGGGCTGCGGAGAACTTGATATGGATTTCAAGTCCAAGCCCTGTGCTATCTTCTTCGGGTTCGCTCTCTTCAATACTATCCTCTGCTGCAGAGCCTTCGGGTTTGTTCCCGAGTACCATACTTCCCATGCAGGCGAAAGGAGAGTTTGCATTGCGTAAAACGATTATTGCGCTACCATCCGGATCTGTGATGAGGGCTTAGTTTTGTATTTTAGGGATATGATTGAATGCACTCCGAGTCGTTCGAGAGACTGGCAGGGTGGTCATGTACCAGATATAGTAACCATATCCTATCCGGGCGGTATTAAACTGCGAAGCAAATTCTAACGAGAAATTCATGCATCCTCTGCCGTGCGTCCAACTGTCTTTGGTCGCGAGGTAGTTATAGCTGACGGTCATGTGGACCAGTCCAAACTCAGGGGGGGGATCTGCCCATTTTTCCTAAGTCATTTAAGCTCCAGTTAGCATTTCTCGAATAAATGTACGAACGCGCAAGCTCTCTGACATAGATCTCGTGAAAACTGCCGTCTCGTATCTGTTCACTTGGGCTCGAGAGAGGCCACCGTATATCGGGAACCGTGATAGGAAAAGAAACAATGCCCCCCGACGGTCCGCACAAACATGCCCAGGAAGAAGGGCATCAACAATTGACCATCTAGCTAGATATGACGTTGGGTTAGTTGAGTTGTCCACTGGTATTTTGGAGATCTGACTCTAGGTAACCTTATGCACTCGTCTTGTTGGTGGTTGAGTTCAAGGGGAGAAAAGAAAAGAAAAGAAAATCCTTACCTGAAGGGCAACATTAAAGAATACCACGGGGCTAGGGTAGTGGCTTCCAAGGCTCTAATTCCACGGCGAGGGGCAGAAGTGTATTACTACAGTTAGTATAGTTAATTATGGGGCACATCGAAACCGGGAAATAGAAGTGAATGAACAACACCTGTTCCCACAAGGCAGTTCCAATTGCGGGCGGCCAGAAGGCACCGGCACCAACCTTGGAACGGGCGTGACACAATAACGAAACCAGGGGCTGTAATATAATGCCAAGATAGTTGTATGATCTAAGCATCAGGTGTCATCGAAGTTAACCTCGGGATAATTGGATATATGGTAACGATGCATATTGTTTCTCCATAGACCACATGCTGCCCAGGTGTGCTGTACCAAACCAGTGCTATATAAGGCAGCCTAATAGTGAATAGGATGAACAGTAGCCCCCCGACTTAGGCTATCCTAGAGAACCTATTTGACTTGTATGGCTACATATACTTAACCTCAATGACTCTTGGTTGCCCTATATATATAAGTCAAGTATATTCCTGTCGTCTTAGCTGTATTCAGTTGTTTTCAGAAGTTTTACTAGGCGGTATACTGAAATCCTTATTTAACTTATCAGTTATAATGCTTAATATTCTGGCCAGTATATCTTTTGCTGATGAATTTGTTCCCTTGATCGGAAGAGTGAGAAAACCATCGTCTATACCAATGTTACCCTGCACTCTAGACTCGGACAGGGCAGACTTCTCGGTCACAGAAACGACATCGATAGTGAAGAAGGAACGCCCAAGAAAGGCTTGTTTTCCCCCTTATCCACTGCCGGCATCCAGCGAGCTATTGAATTGATTGGTGTCAAGCGGACTCGAGATTCTGCCTCGGAAGTATGTTATTTAATTCGATGATCCGCGAAAAACCTTACCACAGCTTGTATAGCAGTTATGAAGAATTGTTACAAGCGCTGCAGGGCTGTCTTTAGTTAATGTCGTGAGATTTGGTGTCCGGTGGTTGGTCGCTTCATTTGGGTTGGAGATTGTTTATGTTCGAATCATAATAACCTGATATATTATATAAATAAAATATATATTTCACAATTTGATTAATATTTTTAGACACCGATTTTAGGTTTATATCTATTAGTAATTATTTCTTTAAATAATTAGATTAACTTTATTAAGACTTTTGGATTAAAATTTTTTTATTTAGTATTAAATTATATTTTCATATAATTTCTTTTTTTTTTTAAGATATAGAATAAGGAAGTATCCATATTTTAAATAGATACCCTACTATGCCACAATTAGTACCATTCTATTTTGTTAATCAAGTAGTATTTGCCTTTGTAATATTAATAGTTTTGATATATGCATTTACTAAAATTATTTTACCTATAAATCTTACAGAATATACTGTATTTAATGAAATAGCAAAGATAAACAGCGCATGAACCTCATTCTTGAGCGGCTGCGCAGCAGTGGCATTATATGTGTATTGGAAGGGATACGGCAGGATCGTAGGGCTACCTTCGGACCGGACCCTGATATCCCCTAAAAGAGAGTCTAATCATTGGTCGGCGACCTTAGGGTGCTTGCCGGGGTTGAGCAAGTGGTCAAGCGGGATTGCTCAATAACCCGTCCATGTATCTATTGAGGGCGTCCTAAGGTTGGTCAAAATATTATTGTTTAAGGAACCTCTTTTGGTTAAGAAAGAAGTGTCGGCCCTGACTGGATGGTCCCTTCTATGCTAGTATGAAAAATCCACCAACGGGCGAAGCTAAACATGACGCAAACCATTAATGAGAAAACAAGATTGTTGCAACTCAGAGGTATGAATTGTTATCATTTTAGAGGGAAACATGAGGCTATATATACAGCGAGAAGATCAAGTTGATTTCCAATCAACTTGGTTCTTCGTATACATACTTCGGGATTGATTCCAATGGTTCGGCTTGGTTCCTGATCTACACCAGCGTCATATCACAACAAAAGCCAATGGGATGAGTTGATTCGACAGCCCTCGATATCACAGTTGATAATATCACACAGGCTTGTAGCGCACCACGAAAGCAATATAGACTGAGGGCAGCAATTAGGCCATGTCAGATTTTGACGAGGTTCGAATATTGTTTCCAGGAAGTGGTGCCCTCAAATTATACTATATAAAGATCTATCTGGTTGTCTCCTGCATATCACAACCAGTTGTGAGGGGCCAGGGTCAAGGAAAATCATCCATCCATCATCACATTACAAATATAGCCCACAAAACACTCACTCACACACACACTCATTTTCAAGAAGGAAATATGGTATTCCCAAAGCTCATTCCCATTTATGCTGACTCTGGGACTTGCCATAGATTAGAAATTTGAACTGGTTGACGAAAAATATCGATGTTGAACTTCAGTCTAACGGCCATACCAACTTCATATTCATAGAGAACCATGTCGCGAACAGGACTCTTATATAGCTCATAATCACCTCCCTAAGCCAACACATATTCAAACTGAGACAGCAATGAACCTTTTGGCTGGCACCCAAGTACATTCAATTGATTCAGCACGCAATCGGGATTTGAGTGTCTGATTTGCTACAGTAGTTTTCGGAATCAGTTATACTTCCACACTCTTGCCACTTCTCCTCTGGAAAATAATACCTGGTTGCGTTAACAAAACGCCGCTATAATACTTGGTAATGGAGGCATGGTACTGCTCCGTGCTTTGCAAATAGATTATGACTTGATAACTCCATCCAGTAAAAATGGGGTTCTGGCGTTGCTCAGGCATTTTGCATGGGCCCGTTCTTCCTATGCGGTAAAAGGAATGCACCTCTCGAGTTATCATCTCAAGTTTCGCCAGTAGAATTTAATTTCTTTCTCAAGTTACATATAAAAATCCCCTCGTGCTAGAGCGGGCAGCCACCGAGGCTAGGCAATTAACGGTCAACATGCGCGCCTACACGAGTCTCCGATATCCTGAGCCAGAAATCTGGCTTACATAGCTCACGAATACACCTGGCAGCGAGAAATAAGGATAGGAAAAGCGTGAGAGAATACACTATAATACTATCATTAGGAAGGATAGATGATTATGCAGATTATTCACAACGGTGTACAAGGGAAGGAATGAGTGCAAAATGTTGTCCATGATGAAACTAGACTTCAGCTGAGGCAATACCCAAAAAAGGTAATATGCTGCAGCTTGTATACACGATGATCAAGGGGAAACACATGAAGGGTCGTCTCGAGATCCTCCATCTTTGTACTTGTGGAATTCTCGAACACGAATTCCTTTTGCATAGAGCAAATCAATCTCATCCCTGGTGAAGCCTTGCAGCTCGGGAACAAGGAAATATGAGCCTATCAGGAGAACGATGGAGGAGCCCATGAAGACGAAGCCCGTGCGAGCACCCAGATTCCCTGAGTCGGTGTTGTATATATAAGGCACGGTGAAGGTGAAAAACCAGCTGGCAAATGCCGCTGAAACAACCGCAATAGACTGAGTTTTGCCCCTGAGACGGTAGGTGGAAATCTCAGCTGTGATCACCCAGCCGATGGAAGTCATTGTCACCACTTGCCATGCAATAAGAACATTCCTATCATTGTAGATCAGTTAGAAAATCACACATGGAGAAGAAGGGAATGAAAATCATACATCAAGATAGCGATCGCCCATAATGCCCCATCACTCTTAGAATAATAAAGTCCTCCAATCGCTCCCATAACCAAAATATTGCCGACTGTGCCGATCAACCACAGAGAACGTCGCCCAAAACTTTCCATGTAGAACCAGGACACAATAATCGCCAAGAATGCGAGCCCAAAGCCACCTATCGCGATATCGTACGAATGGATAGGCTCGAGGCCAGCGATAATGAGAAAGTAAACGTTCTGGGAGAGGAGTACACCGCCGTTTAACCCCACACCCACAAACAACCAGACAACAGTCAAGCTTCGTTTGCGATTGGAACCACTAAAAGCCTCGAGGTAACTGCCTGCATCTCCGCTCACAGCCGACTCGCGTTCCCGCTCGATTTCTGCCTGCAAAACTGATAGGCGGGTATCGACATCGTCTTTACTGCCGTGAATTCGAGTCAACGTTCGCTTTGCTTGGTCCAATTTGTTGTGGAGAATCAGGAAAACGGGGGATTCTGGCATGATGAAGAAGATGATCGCAGTTGCCACAGGCCAGACAAATTGAATCACAAAGACCATGCGAAAAGAGTGCTCTGTCATATCGTCGGCGTATGTTCGGATAACAGCGAGGCCGATAGCCTGCATAAGAACGGTAAAGAGAACAATGGCCGACTGGATGGGGCCACGGAGTCGCACCGTCGAGATTTCCGACGCCCAGCTTGTTGAACTAGCCGTCAGACAGCCGATCGCAAGGCCATTGACCATCTTGCCACCCAGAAGCAGACCGCGACTCTCCGCTGCGTACTGCATGCCGACACCGACAACGGAGACGAGACAAGCGAGAATGCAGCACCATTTGCGACCAATTTTATCAGACACCACTCCAATACCGAGGCCGCCGAGGGCTTGAAGCAGAGCCGACATAGAGGTCCACAGCGCGGTCCACAATGATGGAAGATAACGAGATCCATCCTGAGCCTCGGCGCCGAAGTAGATAAGAAACGCTGGCATCGAAATGGAGGCTCCGTTGACAATGGAGTCGTAGCCGAAGACCATTCCAGCAAAGAAAGCGGCCGTGCAGTGTAGGAGAAGGGTCTTGTTTGACATCGCTGCTTTCCATAGGCCAACGTGACGTTCATTCTCAAGTAGCTGATGCTCGGGGCTCTCGCCCTTCACATCATCCACCATGGCGATCTCCGGCTGGCCGTCTTTTTCACTCATGTCGGGGATGATACCTCAAGGCAAAGCAAAACAACAAGGAGTATGGATAATATCGAAGAAAGTCCAGGTGAGCAAGTCCTCCACACTAGGTAGGCCCCCTGGGTCTTTTGAACTTCACAGCGGCGGAAACCCGGGGAAGCGGGGACCCCATATGTCTTAGGTGGACACCCATTGAAAATCTGGGTGGACACTCCACAAACCTCGGGGTAGTGGCTTCCGAGACGGGTATGTTATTATCTTAAGGACGAAGCAAGCGAGCTCCCACTCGGATCCTCGCGATTCACCCTTGATTTTTTTGGGGGGACTTCTACTTTCTCACTCAATACGCTCTCCATGGTTTCCCTTCGAGCCTTGGCGGTCTATACGGGATGCTTATCCTATCTGGTTGCTGGATCAGCTATTATCCAACGCGATCCCCATGGACTAACCGGCTACCGGGTAACCTTCCGTTATCGACCTCCACATGGCTCGCCGGCCCCAGCCAATGTCAGTATGGGCAGTGGATTCCTATATACGGATCCTTTGCACACTACGTCTGAGACCGCCGCCGACTATCTCCCTTGGGAATGGAAACCAGGCTATATCAACTTTGGATCTTACTCGAACCTGATCTCGGGCGAATCCCCGTCCCTAAGTATGGATCTAGATTCGAACGGTGACTGGGTATTGACGGTGCCTTTTCCGTCCGGTACATTTGAGTATAATTTCCTGGTCAACTGTACCCCCCCCCACCATCTTCTGCGAGAGCACCACCGATGCCGACAACCCTCCCATTGAGATGTTATCTGGGGAACAAACAATGAGCATTGTTCAGGTGCCATTTGACAAAAAATTCCAGAATATCGATAATACCTGGCAGCTGCCTCTTGAAAACTCCAAACAACGCGGTCACGTTCGGTTCTATAATTACACTAGTCCGGGGTCGACTTATCCCACAAAGAATGTTCATGTCGCGGGCGTGTATCTTCCCCCAGGTTACAACAAAGCACACCAGTATCCGGTACTCTACTTCCATCACGGGCGGGGAGGGAATCACGCCGACTGGTTTAATCAGGGCCGGCTGCACAACATCGTGGACAGGCTAATTGACAGCGGCGAAATGCCCCCTGTTGTTATCATCACCCCGAATTTATACAATTTAGGATTTGCACCGGAGGACTTTGCCACAAATTCCACCGACTACCACTACACTACCTACGATCAAATCGGTATCTACGCCTTCGACGCCGCTGTCCGGGAAAACTACTTTAAGTACCTCATGCCCTGGGTGGAGAAGACTTTCGCTGTTGGAACATTGCCCGCAAATCGTAGCTTTGTGGGGCTATCGATGGGAGGTGGGCTTGCCACCGAAATGCTTTACAATGCCACCGACTACTTCGACGCATACGGTATATTCTCGCAGGTCCCGTTCGTTCCTCCTGTCGCCGCGCTATCGGTGCCCGCATTCAAGACCAAGAAGTTGCTATTGGGCGCAGGTCTGTATGATTTTGCCCTCCCGAGCACCCTCAATGCCGAGTCCCTTTTAGCGCAAGCAGGTGTTAAGAACATCATGAGCCATATCTCGATCTGTGGGGGTCATAGCTGGTGCGTATGGCAGGAGCTGGCGAGAATATTCTTGAAAGATGTGAAGTTTGCGAATTAGATGTCATCTACATTCTCGTATTTGACTTAGAAAGCGGTAGAGGGCGAAGGGGTTCTTGAGAGTTGGCATTAAGTAGAAACCCAGGGGATTTGTGGAACGGAGTATAAGACACGAAAATGACCAAGTTTTGAATGAAATAAGCTCAGCTTTTTATAAAGAATAAAGTACAAAATTAGGTGCAGAGCACTAACGTGGAATACCCCCTGCCCGTCATCCCCCCCAAACACCATAGTTAAGGCAATAAATTACAACTCAATATCTCAACAACACTTACTTTGTAATAGGATTCTGGATAACATAGCATTATTTATAATATTACTTCCAGGGTTATATGCTTGGATATCCTTAACTTAAAAATTTAGTGTCAAAATATATATTTATGATATATTGAGCAAAAATGCTCTGTAATTTTTGGTATTATACATGAATAATAACTTAAATGATCACAGAGAATAATATATTATTACGTCACTTGAGAATAACCGCTATGCCAAAATTTAAACCGAATAAAGGTGTTGTTGTTGAGATAATTTCATTTCTTAACTATGGTGTTTGGGGGTGGCGGGCAGGGGGTATTCCACGTTATCAAATCACTTATAAATTGTAGTCTTCGTGATCATCTCGTTGGCAGACCGACCCAGCTCGATTTCGTATACACCTTTGGTGACGGCCCAACAACGTCGTTCAGAATCCCACTGAGAAAATGCATTTTTCTCAAGTGGAATCGAAATCTCTTGTGTTTCCCCAACCCTTAGAGACACCTTGGTGAACGCTTTCAATTCTCGGGCAGGTGACTTTTTTTTGGCCCCGGCGCAGCTGACGTATACCTGGACAGTTTCCTTCCCGGCAAATGGCCCTTTGTTCGTGATTTTCGACGCCACTACAAATGATCCAGAGTTCTCTTGCTTCACAGAGACTGTATCGTACTCAAACTTCGAGTAGCTGAGTCCATGACCGAAATAGAATTGTGGCTCAGGGCTGCCCTCCTTCAAGTAGTGGCGATATCCCATGAACACGCCCTCGGCGTAGTGGACGTTATGGCTCAGGTCGGACTCTGGGAAATTCCTGAAGCTTGCCGTATCTTTCAACTGTGCGGGGAATGTTACTGGTAGACGGCCGGAGGGATTAGTACGTCCGGTGAGGATGTCAGCGATCGAGTTTCCTGCTTGTTGTCCGGGATACCACGCCTGTAAGCAGCTAGAAACCTGATCAATCCAAGGCATCTCAATGGGTGAACCAGTCATGTTCACAACAACTGTTTTGGCGCCACCAATCTTGGCCACAACTCGAGAAATGAGCTGGTCCTGGCCTGGAGAGAGGCGGATGTCTTCCCTATCAAATGACTCCGATTCGTAGTCCTTCGTGTTCCCAACAAAAACAATCGCGGCATCTGCTTGCTCAATCTCATCTCCTAGCTCGGGTAATTGCTCAGCAAAGCCCACTTGTACACTTTGGGGGCAGACTCTGAATCCCGGAGGTGGTGTTGCAAAGGTAGACAGGGCCTCGACACGGAGCGAGTGCGCTCTGCCGGCATGCATCTCGACGCCTGTACGACGCTCGTAGGTACCGGGGTCGAGAATGTGACTCGGCTCCATAACCTCAAACCCAGGAAACTCGAGAACCAACTCATTATCGAAGTAGACCCTAGTGAGCCCAGAAGCGGTAACACCAATCAAATGGATACCGTTGCGCACAGGGGTTATTGTGCAAGACATGCGAATACAATGGTCCTGTTCAAGTCGGGGATCCACATTATCAAAAACATGGGTTTCGGTTTGATCAATAGTTTCCAATTTCAGGTGCTGAATCGGATCAAAGTTGCGCCCATTGAACCAATCTACGGAGACGAGTGATGGGCCGAGGAGGTTTGCGGAAGGAGACGGAAGCTTTTTAAATATGTGCACCCCAGGGTGATAAATCAAGTCAGGATATTGCACTCGGAGCGCATCAAGGGGAGACACAAGCTCCTCTTCTGCGACAGTAGCACTCCCGCCACCCTTGATGATTGGCTTCTCCGCCGGGAGCCCAATCACGGCTAGTCGTTGGTTTGGTTTCAGAGGCAGGAGCTGAGGCGAGTTTTTCAAGAGGACCATGCCGTCTGCTCCGAGTTGGCGGATGAGCTGAGAGGTATCGGGGTCCTTCCGAACCGCCTCCGGCGCTCCGGAATCTTGACGAGCGAACATTGAGAACCGGAGCACACGACAAACCTTCTCATCAATTTCGGCCTCCAGTACTTCACCGTTACGAACGGCAGCGAGTAATTTCTCCCCACGGTGAATTGTCGGCCCTGGCATCTCAAGATCCACCCCGACCTTGGCCGCAGCGACCGTCGAATAGGTCCCATGCCAGTCCGACATGACGAGCCCGTCAAAGCCCCATTCAGCGCGAAGGATACCATTAAGGAGTTCATCATTTTCTGAGCACCAGATCCCGTTCAATTTGTTATATGACGCCATCAGTGCTTTCACATCCGCATTTTGGAGCAGAATCCGAAACGGCTGTAGATAGATTTCTCGCAAGGTCTTCTCGTCCACCACGCTATTTGAGATGGTCCTATGGGCCTCGACTTCGTTGCAGACAAAGTGCTTAGGCACAGCTAACACTTCTCCGGACTCTTGAAGTCCATTAACCCACGCGGCACCAATCAATCCTGAAAGCAGAGGATCCTCGCTGAAGCATTCAAAATGCCGCCCCCACAATGAAGATCGATGCAAATTCAGCGATGGCCCCAGAACTGCATCGACATTTTTGGCTTTGGCCTCCTCGCATATCGCTTGACCGACCGCATGAATCAGATTGGTATCAAAAGTGGAAGCCATACTCACAGCAGCAGGAAAGGCAGCTGTTTTGGTGGAACCATGCATTTTTTCCCCTCGAACTCCACTAACTCCATCGGAAACCTGGACAATTGTTAGCCGTGTGGTGCCTTTTTGGCCATAACAGATGCTCGTACCTTGATTGACCGGACAACTTGTGCCGGAAGTTCGAGCGTCTTCCACATTGAAGATTCACATAGTAGGGCCACCTTCTCCTCCAGAGAGAGATTTGCTATCAAGGAATCCAAGTTGTGTATAGACATGTTTGTTGATTGTGTCGTTCTTCCGAAATTTCAAGTATACCATCAACGATCTTTGGCACGTCAGTTTGGATTTTCAATTTACTTGAATTGACAGCAAACAAAGACAGCATCTGAATCAATCCTCCTATTTTCACTAGACCAGCAAATATTTAGCTGGTGATGACAAAGTGGACAACTCTAAAGCTTGGGATCGATGTTGGAGTGGATGTGGCGAGTGTCCACCCGTGATGAGGTGGACGGCTACAAGCACATAGGTGGACACGGGTGGATTTTGTCCACCCGCGATAAAAATGTGGACGGCTTCAAGCAGTCAGGCGGACGCAGGTGGTTATTTTACTCCAAAAGTGTTTTTGCTTCGGTCGGTGATATTAATTCTTCGGGCTTTTGATTGACCGAGGAAAGCTTTTTAAAACATAACTGCGAAAACTATTCTTCTGAACGTATGATCAGAAATTTGATGATTTCTTTCCTATCTAATTTCAGAGGGAAACGATTCCAGCCACAATGAACCCCACCACGCCCTCGATCGAGGCGGTCCTGAGCCAATTGACGATTGATGAGAAAGTTGCTCTCCTCTCTGGCGAAACAAACTGGAGAACGCCTGCCATTCCCCGTCTCGGGATCAAAGCTATCAAGGTGAAGAAACGAAAGACTGCCCAAGCAAGCAGATGCGAATTATTGTCCGGCTAACTTTTCTCTCAAAGACCAGTGACGGACCCAATGGCGTCCGAGGAGAAGCCATCCATGCCTCTACAAAGTCCAGCTGCTTCCCTTGTGGTGCGTGTATGGGCGCTACCTTCAACCGCGACCTTTTGCACAACATCGGCGAAGAACTTGGGAAGGAAGCCAAGCTCAAGAATGCTGGTGTGATCCTCGGTCCCACAATCAACATTCACCGACATCCCTATGGTGAGATAGCCGGCACTGAATCTTCGAGCACTCTTTTGACAGGTCGATAGGCGGTCGCAATTTCGAATCATATTCCGAAGACCCAGTATTATCCGGCGAACTAGCCGCCGCCTATGTCAACGGATTGCAGTCCCAAAGGATAGCCGCATCACCGAAGCATTTTGTCTGCAACGAGTGCGAAGAGGAACGCCACCAGTCGAACTCAATCGTAGACGAGAAGGTTCTCCGTGAGCTCTATCTGGCTCCATTTCAGACTTGCATCCGCAAGTCCAACCTTTGGTCCTTGATGACGGCTTACAACAAAGTCAACGGGAAATGGTGCTCTGAAAACCCCTTCCTGCTGGAAACCATCCTCCGGTGCGAGTGGAAGTACGACGGCTGCACGATGTCTGATTTTGGCGGAGTCTACACAGACATCGAACCTATCAAATGTGGCCTGAACCTCGAAATGCCAGGACCATCTCTCCACCGCGGTGCAAAGACAATCGAGGCTCTCAGCCAAGGCAAATTGAACGAAGCAGATATTGACAACAACATTGCTCAAATTATTAATCTGTCCCGCAAGGTCGGTATGGATGATGAAAATGCCTTGGAAAAGGCAGCTCCGGATGCGCAGACCTCAGTCATCATCAGACAAACTGCTACGGAGGGCATAGTGCTCCTCAAGAATACGAATGACGTTCTTCCCATTCCTCCCAAGACTTCATTCAAAATTGCAGTTTTTGGTGCGCCGGCAGCCGTCCCCCTCGTCCACGGCGGAGGTAGCCCATCCTTATCCTCTCATTACGTGATCGCGCCCCTCCAAGCTCTGCAGCAGACGTATCAGAATGTCGAATACCTGTATGGAGTGCCTATCTTCCGTAAAATACCCAGCGCACCATTGGACTGCATGACTTCATCCTCGGGCAAGGCTGGAGTTGACTGCCATTGGTACAACGGCTCGCGGTTTGGCGAGAACGAGATCTTGCATGAGCGCCTGGATACCACTCGGACACTGGTGATCGACTCTCGCATCACAGGTCTCGAACGTGAACACTGCTCTCGCATGGAGTGCACCTTGGTACCCAAGACATCGGGGTACCATACTTTTGGTGTCACCGCATGTGGAGAGACCCATATCTACGTGGATGACGAGGAGGTCGTCTCTCATGAAGGGTTCATTAGCACAAAAGTCCCCCATATCATGCAGCCCTGGCGGTTTGAAAAGCGGGCATCGATCAAAATGAATGGTGGCCAAGGCTACAAGGTTCGTATTGACACGTTCTCCACGGTCGCACCGCCACCACCGCCGCCTGCTCCTCAAATTCCTCCTCAAGCAACCCAGGTTGGCTTCTTCGAGAACCTGGGCACACAGGACCTGAAGGAGTTGGAAGCCCTAGCCAGCAAGAGTGACGTTTCTATCATCTTCACTGGCAACAACAAAGAGTGGGAATCCGAGTCCTTTGACCGAAAAACATTCCACTTGAGCTCGGAGCAGGAGGAGATGATATCAGCAGTCGCAGGCGCCTCGCAGCGAACGATTGTTATTAACCAAACCGGCGCCCCTATCGCAATGCCATGGCTTGACAAAGTGGATGCCGTTCTCCAGACCTGGTTTGCCGGTATGGAGGTGGGAAACGCAGTCGCAGATGTGCTGAGCGGGCAGGTTTCACCGAGCGGTCGTCTCCCGACCACTTTTCCAGCATGCATCAGCGACGTGCCTTCAGATTCCAATTTCCCCATCGACAGAAATCTTGACATTCGGTACGCTGAGGGCCTTGCGGTCGGGTATCGTGCGCTCCAATGCCCAGGTGCGAAGCCGCCATTGTTCCCTTTCGGATATGGCTTGTCATACGCCAAGTTCGATTATTCCGATCTTACCTTGTCCAAGGGCGATGCTCCCTACCTCTACAACACCTCGGTCACTGTGACGAACGTGTCTCGGGTGCCATCCAAGGAAGTTATCCAGGTCTATGTAGATGGAATCTTGAAAGCTTTCGAGAAAGTTTTTATTGCTGCCGGAGACCACACACAAGTCCACATTGGATTAGAAAAGTATGCGTTCAGCACTTGGAATGCAGAGGCTAAAAGCTGGGAGATTGAAGCCCGAGACTATCAGGTAGAGATCCGACGTGATGCTCTGACTGTCATTACGTCTCTGACCTGTACAGTCCTGCCTCAAGAGGCCTTCCAATGGGCTGGTTTGTAGATTCAGAATCCTGATATATATAAAGCAGAAAATAAATCAGTTTGGGTATATATCCTATTTAGAAAATACTTCCATTGTTGGCTAATTAGTGAAATAATGGATACAATGCCCATGTTCAACCACAGTATGTGTTGGGTTCTTAGCCAACAATCATATGACAAGTTAAAAATTCAAGTATGGCGTAGTAACAGCAAAGAAAGACTTAAGGATGCACCCCACGTCTTCATTTTTGCCAACACTGGCACAGCATGTCGAAGGATGGAGCGAGCCTCCTCACTATCCACCTCTATCGCCCGCTCTAGGGCAGGTTTCATCACACGTTGCAGCTGCTGACCGACTTGACTAGAAACGGACAGCTGTTGTAAGAGCTGCAAGAATTCCAGTTTCAAGTCATCTGGTGCGGTGATCGAGAATGTCCAGAGAATCAAGTATGAAAGGAAGACGAGGATGATGCTGTACGGTGTCGCATATTGCTCCGAGGAGCCACTCAAAATATTTACAATCACGGTTGCCGCCTCTGCCGCCGTTCCGACGGCCTGGGAAACCACTGCCCCATCGGTGATATCCCCTGGCCATGACACATATCCGAAGCCTTGGATCTGGGACCAAGCTTTAAGGCGGGGCATTACCGTACTTAGCCCTTGATTTCTAGCCTCCCCAATTGAATCTTGTAAGTCGGATATGGACACATGCAGCAGTATCCGCGTTAGATGATAGACTTGCAAAGCCGCCTCGCCAAAGGACGCTTGCGCCACAGGGGATTGCTCAAAGTAGCCGACACCATGGCGGTTCCCGTGATGTATATACCAACGCTCTAAGGCTCCTGTGGAAAGGAGTCAGTTCGGTGGGCATGACTTACCCAAAGAATGATTCCTGGTCGCTAAAAGGCAGCGAAGGCTTACCAATTATTTCCTTTCTGTCCTCCGCAAGAAGTCGATATTCTCCATTGTCTTGTCCCCTGGACAAGGCGTCAACCATTTCGTCTTCTTCGGTCGTCAATGAAACCATAGTCACAGCCAGATCCCAATCATGCGCCCATTCCAGCGCCATATGAGAAAGAGACAAAACTACCAAGAAGCTGCTCCACCGGTTAATCCGCGATGGCGGGAGTCCACGGAGAGGCGTCCTCGACCACAAGTAACACGCAAAAGGGGCGTAGGCCATGGCAAAATCGGGAGCTGGCGGTGACGGAGCGGTCCCAAGTAAGTTTCTCCAGGCCAAAGCTGTTGGTGCGGCCCAGTATTCTTCGTCGCACGGACATGGCCATCTTGCTATCTCAGAAATAGACAGCATACTCTTCATATTCAGCAGCACAGGAAACTGCGCATCGATCATAAACACAGCCCACTTTAACCGCCACTGCGTCTCAGCTCGTATCCAGTCAGACCAGCGATCCTTAAGGTCCAGAAGAGGATCAACAGCATTCCGGTGTTTCGGAAAGCGGCGAATAAACGTGACCAAGGATCCGCGTAGAGTCTCAGCAATCTCAAACAACCGCCTGTTCCCACACCAAAGACATGCATAGCAGATCAGAGTATAAGTATAGAGTGTCAGGGGATCATAGACAAGAGTACGGTCAGTCTCGATAGCGGTTTGTGTGTTAATTCGTGTCTGTTCGAGAACAAGCATCGCAAGGGGTCGAGTGTTGCGTAGTTGACTATGAAGTGCGCCGATGGCCATCATCACCGTTAATAGGGCCGGAGGTAACGAGTTTGTATCAAGCGTAGATTCGTGAAGGACAGGACATATATGGGCAAAGCGTTTGAAGAAGAGACCGATGAAGGCATTGGTGACTTCAAGGGATGGCATAGTAAAGGGCTGATTAGGAGTAGAAGAGGAAGCTAGACCCTGCCTCATAGTAGTCCAAGCACATTTACCGATATCAAATCTGGGGTTATGATTTTGCAGTAGAGGGTCATTCTCTTCCACAGATATGGGCTGTGCCTGTGTGGATGGTGATGCGGAAGCGAATGGACAGGGCTCTTCATTATTCGGCTGACTAGGTGGAGTAGTATTTCCAGAGGTGTCCTGGGCGAGGTTGACAGATACAATTTGCTTTGAAGCAGGGAACTCATTTCTTCCAACGCCGAAGACTGGTTCTCGGGAAATACTGATATCTCCGTCTTCGTTGGAGTGGGAAGCGGCAGCTTCGTACAAGATATCAGAAAAGTCATAGGCGTCCCAGGCATCTCGACTCAGACTTATACCATCCTGGGAACAGAAATATGCGTCCGTGAATGCCGTCAAATTCGAGATCTCCGTATCATCTCGCTGGCAATTTCTTTGACTTGCATTAATTTCCGCAGTTGATGGAGGCGGGTAAACTAGGCAATCATCAGGAATGCTACCTTCCCCTCGATCTTGTCCATTGAAGGGATGTTCTGCCGATAAATTCAATGAGCGTTGACGCAAGGTAGACCCATCATCTACAGACATGGGAAAATCGATATCGCAGTCCGGCGGTATCTGCTCTTGAGATACCAATTCGGGATGATCTTTGCGTTTTTGATGGAGCAATTCATGTTTCCGAACTAGATCGCTCCTTGAAAATCGCTTTTGGCAAACACTGCAGCGATAGGGCAAGATCTGAACATCTTGGGAAGCTCTGAGCGGAGGAAACTTTTAAAGTAGGACTTAAGTGGACTGTACTTACGAGTCTTCTTATGGCGAGAGAGGTTCTCACGGCGTGAGAATCCTCTATCGCACGAGGGGCAATCAAAGGATTTCATGGTCCATTCTGATCTCGCAGCGGATGATAGAACTTGAAAGAGGTGAGGATGATCGCGACGGCCGCGCTCGGGATTAGAACTTGCCTTACCGCTTTGGCTTACGTGATCTTTCGGAACCTCGAGAACCAGCCTATAACTAATGAACGCCTAAACTAGTTACCAAGCCCATTCTACATGAGTCATGCCCGGAAAATAAATAGGCGATCCATGGTAGCTAGGACTCTCGGAGAGAAATGCAGACAAATTCAAACACAAATCGCTGGCGTTGAGGATCTGGCAAGAATTCCCTCAAATTACATCAGCCCTTCTGGAGCTTGTATGATAACGATTCTAACCGCAGTTTTGCCTTAGAGCACTTCAATATAATAGGAAACAGCGTAGATCATATGCACAATACGTCTGTCAGCGCGATTTCATGGATATTTCGTGTACTGTGAGTTACAGTATTGTACGTAAAGTAGTCGTTCTAGAATTAAAAATGTGTTTCTTCTTACGAGTAATTTATTATGCCATATCTTAGTACGGATTACAGAGTGTCTAAAGGGTGCGCTGATTTCGAATTCTGCTGTACATACAGAATGCGTTGCATTCCCGTATCTTGTGGCTAGAATGTAGAACATGTTCTCTGTTTCCTTCATGAAAGGCGGACCTGGGCGGGTCTGGAGATGAAAAAGCATTTCCACCAACTCGATGACCAGAGCTCTCTTAGTGACTTCGAAAACCTCAATTTATGCCCAAAAAGAGAGCTTGAAAGCTCAATTATAACACCTGACCTAACTAAGTAAACATATTACTTCGAGGAGTAGATGGCCCGTAATTCCTTTGCTTCGAGTCTGTCGTTGCAGCAGCTCAAAGACGCATGATTTCAGGATGGCGTAGGTGCCGAGAGCAGGAACTGCTCAGCAAATGCCTAGAGAAGTGCGATTCCAAGTTTTGGAATTTTTTCTTCGTTTTAATTTTTCCCGGAATATCGGTTTAAATGAAAAGTAACATGGCAAGAGGATATAACAATAATCAATTTCATGGCGAATTTAGCACGTTCATTTATTTTCGCAGTTGGGTTTTCGCAGTTAAATTTGAGCAGCTTGATTTGAGCACTGCTACTTTCTTTTTCATTTTATCCCAAAATGACCGTTTAGAGTTATGTACTGTACTTAATAATCGTTTACCTATCTTAGAGCCACTCGTTGAGTCCCAAAAAAGGTAATCGGTTACAAGTTCAGCTCCTTCGGCTTTTTCGGACTCAGTGCATTTTTTTTTCTTCTTTGAATTTCTGCATTCTTTCCATAGGAATTGATTTAGATCTCAGGCTACAATATCGTGTTAATTTGTGAATATCTATTCTTAACAGTACACTATTCGACAACAAAGCTAAATAATTTCAAAACAAGGTATTATACCGCATTTAGGCACCTTTCCGACTCCTGCTCCTTTGGCCTTAGAAATTGAAAACGTTGCGTATTGTATACATGTACGGTTGACTACATAAATGACTGGCAAGGGTACTCCTTACTGTATGATAAATCAAGCAAACTGACGGCCGATCCGTTTTCAGGTGATAACATTGAGTACACAACATTTCAATTAAGGAAGACGTTTTCATGCTATTGTGTACATCAGCTGAGGAGATGGCAAGCAAACGAAAATGTCGAAATTGGTGACGGCGATTCGTGCGAGACAGTCTAGCAATCTGGCGTAATCCATATTTGTGGGAATTAAGCGCGTGGATTCTACCCAGACCTCATTCGGCGTCGCATGATCCGAGACATACTCCCTCGATTCGAACCTAACTCAGGGTCAGTGCCGCTGCTTTAAAATTCATCAGGGCGATGGCATGAGTATCTGCTTGTACTCTTGTGGCACCTCCAGATTGAAGTCAGCCACGGTCGTTAATACAGCCCCACCCAGAATCGTCTTCCATGTTTTGAGTACTATCAAAAGGTTGAGGACTATAATAAGCGACTCACAGTAATGACTCAAGCTCTGGAGCCCGCCTATAATATGACCACAATCCAGGATACCCCAATCGCGCAGAACACCAGGATATGCTTTCATCCGTGTCACATAGCTCGTTCTAATCTCATTGTGAAATATTTTATGTTACCTTTGATCGACTTTTTATCGAATCACTGACTAACCTCATGGAAGTAGACTGATACAGTAAAGAATTAATGAAGCTGAACTGGGCTTCTATGGCATCCCTGGTGGACAATCCCTTTCTTACAAGCATACTATATCTCGGAATTGCGTGGTTCGAAGATTGCAAATTCACCTCACCGATATTTTTCAGTTCCTCCAAGTAATCAGGATTGTTGCTGCAATCCCCCCCATAATACTGTACATACTGTGTGCATACTACTCACGAAACAAATTATCATAATACTCAGCCTGCCAGCCACAGCTCTCTCTACTTGATGCTCTATATACACACTTAGTGGAAGCTAACACACAACCATTTTAATAGGCTCCTCGGTGGCATCTTCTAACTTGAGGGCATGAATTACACTCCTTTCAACGACGATGATGCTTACCGAACTGATATGTCTGATCTATGGGAACGAACTTCTCGTATGCCCGCATTCCTGGTTACCCGGACCATCAGTAATCTGCCCTTCGGCCGATCCCGAAACATAATTGTTGAGGTACCACCTTCCTCGCATGAAAATACGCTGTAAACCGTCAAACGAGTAAGAATCGTCAAACGAGTAAGTAATGTATTTCAAATCGACTCACTGCAGGTACTTCAGCATATACTAGTAGGCGGGAAGATTGCCTTGACACACTGGTGCCTCTTGAGTGGGGCCTTGAGAGAACATGGAAGAGATTTGTTATTTGCCCACCACTCTCTTCTTCTTCTTCTTCTTCTTCTTCTTCTTCTTCTACAATTGATGCCGCAAAATGGCTTGGTTGGTCTCTTGAAGCTCAGAATAAACATAAGGATGCAGAGGAAATGTTCCGAAGGGCTCTACAGGGAAAAGAGAAGATGCTTGGCTATGATAATGAAGGCACTCTTGACGTTGCCTATTGGCTTGGTACCTGTCTCCACCGATGAAAGAAGAACGAAGAGGCTGAGAAAATGTTCCGAAGAGCCCTAAAAGGAAGAGAGAAGCTGCATGGCCATGATGCTGCAGTTACCCTTGACGTTGCCTGTTGGCTTGGTATCTCTCTCTACTGCCAAGAAAAAAACGAAGAGGCAGAGACTTTGCTCCGGAGAGCTCTAGAAGGGAACGAGAAGCTATACGACTATGATGCAGCAGATACTCTTGAAGCTGCAAGATGGCTTGGCAAGACGCTTTACTCCCAAAAGTACCACAAGAGAGCAAAGGAACTTTTCGAACGATGTGAGAAAGGGCTAGAGAAGCTAGTAGGTCCTGACCATGAAGATACAGAGAGTGCCCGGAGATGGGTCGTCAAGGCGAAAAACAAAATCCCGCCTGGAAACGTATCGGACTGATTTGGCGCTCAGTATGTTGGGCCATAAATACTAGTATATTATTGACTTGGATCTAGTTTCATCGAGGAAATGTGACCTATCTGGATTTTTGGTCCGTTGCATGTAGTCTATACTGCTGAAAAACCATAGTATTGAGCCTGATAGGTATGGAACATCAATGCATAAGTTTCGTTAACAAAAGATGTTCAACCACGAACTTAAAGAGAACTGTCGTCACCGCTACGTATAGACGTTAGCAGATCCCGAGCTCTGTTTCGGAACTCGAATCAAGATTGTTCCTTTCGCGCGTTGGGAATGTAGCTTTTTGTATGCCTAGATAGGAGAGTTCAGTGAATGACCGTATATAGAGAGTCGACAGCCGAAGAACCTACCTCCAGAACATCTTCCATCTCCCACTCCGAATCTATCATAGGAGTCAAAAGCCCCTTCTTCGCCAATTCCCCCAAGCGGGACAAAGTAGATTGATTCGGCGTCGCAGTAACCATCTTATACCAGCGCGGCGTTCCACCCAGGATCTTCGGCCATAATAAGTTGACGCACTGCGACCACATGTACCCAAACAGACCTTGCAAACCAGACTGGACCTGCATAGCGCCAATATTGACAAATCGTCCATTTTCACGAAGATATTCTGGTGAGTGGGCATAAAGATCTTGTATCCCAACCGTGTCCGCGATGGCATCGAAGCGAGTTTCACTGTGCTCTTTGGCAAGATATTCATGGAGGGGGTCATGTTTGCGATAGTCGATTGTCTAGATTGGTGCAATTCCAGTGTTAGACCACAGACGTCCACAGTATTCCGAGGCTCCCATGATATCATGAAATGTAAAGAAAAGGAGTCAGTTAATTCTCACCTCATCAGCCCCTATTCTCTTCACCATCTCAGAATTCCCCTCGGAGCAAGTAGCCACAACACGCCCACTTTCGCCAACAATGGCCCTAGCACACTGAACGAGCATGGTTCCCGTCGCACCACTACCACCGTTGATAAGGATTTTATCACCCTTCTTCAATCCAAGAGCCTCAAGCACCTCCACAGCCGTGACGCCATTTCCAGCTAGCGCAGCGGCATCCCGAAACGAGATGCTACTAGGAATAACAGCAACTTGCACCGCTGGGCATGGGCAATAATCCGCCAAGGCCCCATGCCCTTTTAAATAAAGCTGTGTAGATGTGGTACCGAATACTGGGGCCCCTATAGTAAGCTCCGGACGTTTTGCCGCAACATTAGACCCCAGCGCCGCGATTGCCCCAGAGAACGCGAGCTCCGGGACTGCCGGGAGAGTGTGAATCCAGTTTGGAAGAATGGAAATAAGAGCGCTTGCGCTGGGGGTGAAGGCGGTGTATTCAATTTTGACTAGGACGTCGTTGGGGCCGAGATTTGAGGGGCTGGGCGTGGTGAAGTCGGAGGTGAGGTTGAGTACATCTGCCGGTTGGCCGCGACCTTTGTAAGACCATGCGCGCATAGTTGGGGGGGATAGAGCTTGTCATCTTGAAAGCTGGAAGCTTGTAGGAAGCTTGGATTATTTGGTTAGCTTTCCAGCTTTCGAATCAGGTTTTAGATGGCTTTATATTAGTATGCGACAGTCGTAAGCTTTTCGTAGCCTGGAGACGGACGAAATTGGTCCGTTCCCGGTTGATTTATAGCGCCAATTCATCAACCAGCCAATCAGCTGTCCGTTTCGCTTAGTGTTAACATGAATATTTCCAAGAAAGTACTTTTGACTTTTTGGGGGCCAGAGATGCGCTGGTTATAATTCTCTGAGATTCGGTGGCATTCCGGAAGCGTTGTTTACATTAATTGAGACACTTATCCCTCACTCTTTCGAATAGCACCTCCCATCAAGGGAAGTCTAGTCTCTCGATACGAACTGAATGCAGATATGCATAATAATCCTTAATTTGGTTATATACCCCGCAAAGCACCAATAGCCGCATCAATATCAACCATATCATCCACCCGCACAGCAGCCCGTCCCCATCGCACATAACCCTCCGCATCAACGGCCCAACTCCCGGCAGATTGCCATCTATTCCCACTCTCAGTAGGCCTCTGCCAGATCCCGTCCTCTCTGCCCATTTTCCAAATCGATGCCAGGCCCGCGAGATTCCAAAGGTGGCCCCAGGAGACGATACCTAGCCCCCACTTTGCGTAGATTTGACGGTCGGCATCGACGACCATGGTAACTGATGATCCATCCCCGGACCCAGACCCAGACCCACCTACGGCGTTTAGCCATTTTTCTGTAGATTGCTGGTCGCTGTGAGATACGGTTATGAAGTTGATATCAGGGTGTTGAGCCGAGGCGGTGCGCATTTTTAGGAATGCTGCCTCTGTGACTTTAGACCGTGGCCCGGGGGTGGTTCAGTAAGTTTTTATTTTCTTAGAATGCTTCCTCGCCTTCGGAGTTTTTATTTGATACGGAACGAACCTGGACATCCGCAATGTCGGAGGAATGATATGATAGTTGGTTTTCCATTATCTGCTGGAAAGGGTAACTCTGGACATGACGGGGCTTTGGCTCCGATTTCGGGAGCTGGGGAGGTTTCCACATGAGATGGAGAGAAAAAAGACGATAGTTCTTGCGAGATAGTCATTTTTGCCGGAGTTGGTTGATCGTGGATTGTAACAAAGTCCCTTGGAAGGTGAGGTTGAGAAATGATTGCAGTTCACCTCGAGCGGGGCCACGTCATTCTATGAAGAAGGGAGATCAGGGCGCTAACTGATCTGAGAGACCGCAAATTGCGTGAAGAGTCCTGACTCGTTGCATTTATTTGTACGAAAAGAAAAATGGGATGTAAAAAAATTATATCTAAGATTGTGCTCATAATATAGCTAGATTTCTTCCTTCAAAGAACCAATCTGTTCCAATCCAATCGAATCATCATACCAAAAATGAAACAAAAGTCAATCAATCATAAACCGAAGATGAAAATAATAAAAAACGCCAATATTTCGTTTCGGTTCGTTGATTTCTCGTAATGATCATAATAATTTCGCGTTTTCTCAAATGACCACTTGCCAAGAAGTAATTAGATGTCTCAGTTCATCTCGAGAGGATGACCTAGCTGATGGTTTGTTCCTCCTTTCTCCCTTCCCTCGTAGATTCAGATTCCAAAAGTAAATGCCAGAGCCGAAACCAGGTAATCTACGAGAACTTGTCAATCCTACCATGTTAAATCTCACCTAGATATAGAACATGGTATCCTTAACAAGTTCATGCGGGCGATACTTCTTCGAATCAGGAAGAAGCGGGTCATTGTTCCCACTCCTCTCCGTGCCCGCAACACTAGCAGATGGAGTCGACGGATCAAAGACATCCTGCAAGTAACATCTCGCCCGCGTACAGACAAGGTCGGCATAATACGCCGGCGGACAAACAGAAACTGCCTTAGTCGCTCGACCAAAGAGATAACACATCTTGTGCGTCAACTCCTGCAGCACGTCCGCCGCGCCAGGCCCGTTCGCATTGCTGGGGTATTTGGGGTGGAAAATCTCGTCCCAGACTGTGAAGTAGTGTGCCGGGCGGGCGGTTCCCTGCAAGCAAGAGTGAGCTTGCTGGTACCAGTCCCAGGAGCGGCCTTCGGAGATTCCTCTGTCGACGACGGTGCCCGGCTGTGGGTTGTTCGACCTCTCAGCGTCGCCTGGGTTGGTCGGGTAGAAGCGGGTGTTGTGTCTCTTGCCGACGATTATGATTGCCATTCTGGGAAGACCCTTTGCGGTGTCCTTTGCCGGGTACACGGTTTTGCATGCCTGTTTGAGGAGGGGAAGTTCCTTGTCGATGACGAGGCTGTATTGGCCTTCGCTGACACCGTCACGGTAGACGACGATGTTTTCTGGGAATGCGCCCTTGTTGCGCGAGGCCCAGACGCGGATTCGGGATTGCAGAAGCCGGTCCAGGTCTGAGACCATTTCGTCGCGGCGCCTTTGCACGACGATGTCCGCGGGCCATTGAGCGAGGTCTTTGTCGACTGAGGCGACGATGCCGGCGACGCTGGGCGCGTTGTCTGTTGAGCCTGGAGATGGGTGGGTGACGTCTAGACCGACGAGCATGGTCTTGCCGTCACCGAATAAGCCCATGTTCTTGAGGCTTTGGTTTGCGCCGCCGAGTTTTAGGTTGATTTTCAGGCCCACGTTGGCGCAGTATTGGTCGAGGCCTCGGTCGGATGTGAGCTTGCTTGCTTGAACGTTGACGTTCTTGACGCCGTAGGTCACATCGCAGGTCTGTTTTATACTGTTGTAAATACTGGTGTCTGTGCTGGACATGATACCAAGGATCAGATCGAGTTTGCCGTGTTTATCAAGAAGGCCCTTGATCTCCTTCTGAATATTTCCTGGCTGCGGTTGTATAATCCGGGCGCCCTGCTTTGGTGCCTCAACGGCAATGCCTGTCCTCCTGAGATGACCGGCGAAAGTTGACAACAAGTCGTTGACTTCTCCGCTGCTCATTCGCTCGTACTGTCTTCCAGGGAAGAAGATGAATGTCCAGTTCCTCAGGGCGCCGGACTTGCAGAACTTGATATCTTGCATGTTCCAGGAACCTCTGGCAGGAGTGAAAGATTTGTCATTTTTGTAGTAGACTGTCGGCGCAGGCAGGATACGGCCCTTGACAGTGATAAGATCCGGGTGCAGCCCGATGCCAAATGATGCCTAGTAATTGAGAGTTAAAACCTTTATATCCATTTCATGTCATAATCACTTACCAGTGTACCGTTCGGCGGATTAACTCCTAGAATGCTCACACCGTTGGTCGCGATGGCCTCGGCATTCTGAGCCGGGCTACGACCTCTGACTGCAAAGTTGAGCATGTTCTTTGTCTGGTCTGGCGACAGTTTGTTGGCCACTGGCTGACCAACTGGGACATCGCATGCCTCAACGGGTAGATAGCTAGGCTCGGCCCGGCTGCCGACATTGATCACAGGGAAAGTATTGTTGAGCTTCATGCCGTATGCTAAAAGAAGGTAGGGTCAATATGTGGAAGAAGAAACATGCCAAACACGCACCCAAACTTACCATCCAAGAAGTATTGTGCAACAGTCACGTATTTCCCTGCCTGAGGTGGACCAGCCGGAGCTGGGCCCTTCTTACCCTTCTTGCCAGCACCGGCTGCTTTTGGCGCTGCTTGACCAGGGGCTCTCAAGAAGAACTGCACATCATTGGGACCAGCGCCATCACGAGCGACCTTGGGCGGATTTTGCGATGATCGACCATCTTCCCTCTTGGCCAGACCGGAAATAGTCTTGGGCGGGGCAGGTCGGGGCTTCCCACTGCTTGTCTTGCGCTTGATGTGGTTTGGCGTGATGCGCATACGCGTCAAGAATTTAGCAAGAAGGTATGACTTCTTGCCATCGTATGCATATCTGTACTCTGTACCATTCTGGAAGTCCTGGATGGTCTGGGCTAGAGAGCCTGCCTTGTAGCAGGCCACATACTTCACCTGGACATTCAGCAACACTCGAGCGGTAGCCGCGCGGACACTTATGAAAAACCCGCGAAGAACCTCGAGACCACCGGAGAGATCCTGGCGGTCCATGAGCTGGCTGGAGACTCCGAAATGCTTGTTGGCTCCGACGGAGACCACGTCGGTGCTGGTCTTGGGGTGGTGGCCTATAATGATGTTTAGAGCGGCGATGAGCTCCGGCTTGGTGGCAAGCATGTCCCCGGCTTTGGTGGAGGTTAGGTAGTTGATCAGATCGACGGAGTCGAGATGGCGGACACTGGTACATTTGACTTGGTACACGCGAGGGTCCTCGGGGTATTCATCTTCGCCTTCGGCCTTGTATCTGACGTTGAAGGCCTGTCCCTCAGTAAGACTGAGGTCGACAGCCGAGATGATTGTGGAGCGATAATCAGTCGCGACGTGGGATTTCTGGGCGGCGAAGTGTTCGTCAACGAGGCAGGCGATGATCTGGCGAGCTTTCTTTCCAGCTGGAGGTTCCCGACCTTTCTCAGCCACGATCTCGAGATTATATCGGTGCAGAGGCTTCCCCTTGGCAAGGCCTGAGAGCGAGAGGTAGTTGGCGTACAAAGTCACCTCTTTGCCTAGGGTTCCATATCCCGGGCGCAAGGGATATGCCTGGTCGGCTTGCTTGAAGCCCACGAGGGATTTGGCCAGGGCATTTTCGGTCTTGAGAACGTTGGTATCGGGGGCGAGGACGGATTGACCTGCACTGGAATGAAATCTTTGTTAGCTAGCTGCATTGTCATCACTGGGTCGGACACGGATATACCGATAGATGCTGGGACCCTGTGGTCCAGGTTGAAATCCACCACCACGACCACCGCGACCACCACGGTCGCCTCCACGACCGCGATAGCCGTCGTCTCCGCGACCACGGCCTCCTCCACGACCTCGGTAGCCGTCGTCCCCTCCACGACCGCGGCCTCCTCGATCGCCGCCTCCACGACCTCGATAGCCATCATCTCCTCCACGACCTCTTGCTGGGCGGAATGGCATGTTGGTATCACCACGGCCATTGCCGTTGCCGTTGCCATCACCACGGCCGCGTCCGCGACCTCCACGATCTCCTCCTCCTCGGTCTCCACGGTCTCCACGGCCTCGGCCTCGACCACGATTATCAGACATGATGGCAACACACTTCAATGAAATGAAAGAAGGAGGTGTCTGAGGAGGAGAGTCAAGGTCTTGGGTGGAGAAGGGCCTTTATAGGCTCAATGATGGGGCTATCGAGTGGGCATTGAATGGCATTGGGTGCATAAGCAACCTAACTGTTCCGTTTCTTTGTTGTGTTTGGCGCTGTGGGGTGTGGGCCCTCGAGCAGGGTATAATTGGGAGTTGTTTGCTTCGGAAGAGAATATTGTATGGGTCTCTTTGAGGAAATGGAGCAATCAAAGCAGCGGGGATGAGTTGGTTGGTGCAACCGGGAGGCTGAAGTTGACGTGTATGATGTGGTGTGTTTGCGGGTGCGGCATACGGCGTGGGTGTGGTTGATTGCCATTTGCCAGCGCCAGTGCTAGTACGAAGTACTGCTAGTATAGTCTACACCACACTGCTGCACTGGATTTATCTATTAATTCTCTGAGTAAATAGGTAAATATGGGTGTATAAATAAGTACTAATATTCATTGTTAATATACTCTGTCTAATACTAGTATGCATAACCCTTGGGAAATACCTTGTTGTCTTAGCTGTGTACGAGTATAGTGGCAGCTTATACTAGTACAACTTATAGTTAGTGGTCGTGCTGGCATGAGTCATAATATACGAGCTTAGATCTAGACTAGACCAACAATATATATTACTAACCAATAGTGACTCGTGCTAACTAACTAACTAACTAACTATGCTGTGTATGTACTGAGTAAGTGAGATCATCACATGGCGATAAGCACCCAAAAACGGAGATTAGCGGTGATTAATCAGCTCAGCCAGTGGCAGCCTTCCACTCTTCCTCTTTCTCCTCCTTCGTAAACTTTCGTTTTTTCTCTTGACCTCCTGTTCCTAGAGGCTTCCACTGGAATAATCTCGGCGCCTTCTCTCTCTGCGCATCTTGATGTTGGTCTGCGACTTGGTTCAACCCTTCTTACACAACCAGCCCAGCGGCGTCATACGAGTACAATCCACCCCCACCCAACGGCTGAGCTCCAGCACATGCTTAGCAGCCCGCGCAATCGAATCAAATCGTCCTAGACAAATCGGCGCAACCCTCCTTCTCCCCCACTATCGCACCCCGTGTTTTAGCTTCAAATCGACCTGTCCAATTCAATCTCTGAAAATACTCTCGTACTGGTGCTGCGCCTGAACGACCCAAAATCCAGAAACTGCCCCCATTCAAGTGGTTCCTAGTGGCGCAAGGCTTGCGCATATTCTCTGTGGTCAGGGGCGAGGAGAAACATCGCTTTCTGAGCACTGCACAATATATTCACCGGTTTCCCGAGCTGTTTTAGCAACCGAGGCGGTGACTCGTTGCGCCATTCGGAAACCGTTCAGGTTGAAGCCGCGTGCCACTATCGCGAGTCCGCACTGTGCGAGAGACTCCCTTCTGCCTAACGAGACGGGCGCATAAACCTCGCATTTGGAGAAGCCACACCCACCGCACTGCCCAAACGACAAGCGAATCTGCAACTTCCCCCGCCTACACCACCCACCACCCATCATGACTCCCACACCGCCCTCTACAACATCCTCAAGCGGCCACTCGCCAGAGTTTAGAGTGATCCGGAAACGAAATCGAGTCCCGCTTTCATGCGCCCCTTGCCGACACAGGAAGTAAGTTTTCAAATCCCCTGAGTTACCCGAGGCCTCGATTAATCAAACGCCGCAGGCTGAAATGCAACCGCGGACACCCATGCGAAAACTGCGTCAAACGGGGCGATGGCCCCTCTTGCTCCTATGCCCAGACCGGTACCCGGAAGAAGAACTCGTCTCAACAGGCATCTCCAACGTCACCAGATGACATGCAGAACCGAATCGATCGCTTGGAAGGCTTGGTTCTCTCCTTGATGACCAATGGGACACAATCGGACGGACCGGCCGCTGCTATGGCTGCTATATCGGGCGAGAGCACGACAGGGTCAACTGGTTTGTCAAATGAGATCGAGTTGGACGATGACGAGGGGCCGGAGAGTGATACCGAACAGGTCACCAAGTCCTTTGGTATTATGAAGGTGGACAACAACAAGTCCTACTACATCAGTGAAGCTCACTGGGCATCCGTCTTGAATGATGTGAGTGGACATGTTTGGCGTGAACTACCCCGTCTCACCATCTTTCAATGGCTAACCAATGCTATGAACTAGATTTCCGAGGTAAAGAATTACTTCGCCACGCATAAGAAGCAGTTCGAGGAGCAAGCGGAAAAGGTCAAGGCTACCCGCCCGCGGACCGATGTCCCTGAATCCACATTGCTCTTCGGAGCCATGAAACCGTTGAGTCGACCCGAAATTATGGCTTCATTGCCGTCAAAGTATACGGCAGATCTTCTCGTAGCTCGCTATTTCAACACGTACGATCCGGCTACCCACATTCTCCACGGTCCGACCTTCCAATCGCAATATAATAAGCACTGGGAGGATCCGTCGCAGACAGAGCTGGTTTGGATTGCCATGCTGTTTGCTATGATGAGACTCGCAATGCTCTCCTATTACCGGGAGGGTGACGAGCCTCCGGAGTTTCGTGGCAAGGCTATGGACATGGCTGGATCTTTCCGCAATTCTGTTGCCCAATGCTTGACCCTGGCAGACTATACCAAGCCACACCCGTTCCTCATCGAATCGCTGGTATTCCATCTCCACGCTGATTATACCCAGACCTGGGAGGCCGATATCTCAGTGTGGGTGTTGACAGGCGTGATTGCCCGTCTCGCTATGCGTATGGGATATCACCGCGATTCGAAGATGTTCCCCAACATCACTCCCTTCCAAGGTGAGATGAGACGACGCGTCTGGTCCTTTGTGGCAACTGCAGATCTGCTCTTTTCTTTCCAAGTTGGTATGCCGAGCATGCTCCGTGATGCCGATATGGACACGGAATTGCCTCGCAATCTCTACGACGATGACTTTGATGAAAATTGTCTAGAACTTCCACCACCTCGCCAGCTGAGCGAGCCGACCCCGATTTCCTACTTGATCTCCAAATGTCGACTGGTATACGCTTTCGGGCGGGTTAACGAGCAGATGTCCTCGCTCTCGTCGACTTCCTACGACAAGGTGATGGAGCTTGATGCAGACCTGCGCCGTGCGAGAGAGCTGATCCCCGACCACTTGCACATCCGACCGTTCGAAGAGTGTGCACTTGACCCGGTCAATCTTATTACATCGCGATTCTCTGTGAGTACCCCTTTGAAGGCCCCTCAGGAAATTCCCACTCTAACAGGTCCAGGTCGCAAGCATTTATCTCAAAGCACAATGTGTGCTGCACCGACCCTATCTGGTTCGGTCCCGGGAGAACCCCCGGTTCACGTATTCCCGACGCACATGCATCGACTCCGCTTTGGAGCTGCTCAAGTTCCACGCAACCTTGCAGTCAGAGGTAGGAAACGGACGTCTACGCGGCCGCTGCATCGCCGTCACTCCTATCAACGCGGCCGATTTCCTCCTGGCCGGCACGATCACCTGTCTTGATCTCTACCACACCTTTAACCTCCAGAACTCCGGTCGTCCGTCTGGCGACACCTATACCTGGGGTCAAGAGCGGCGCGATGAAATGCTGGCTGCGATCAAACGCTCGAAAGAGATCTGGGACGAGACGAGCGACAAAAGCATGGAGTCGTTCAAGGCAAGCAGTGTTATCGGCGTCATGCTTAAGAAACTGCAAATCGCGAACCCAAGCTCCGAGAATGGCACTGGAAACGTCCCGTTCGAGCTTCAGGATGAGAAGCAAAATGCCGCAATTACACTTGGCCTCCTGAGTAGCGGAATGAGTCCTATGAACCCGGGCCCGCCTCCATACTCAGATCCTATGTTCAAGATGTCCGACTCGCCCATGCCGACTGTGGGTTCGGCTGAGATGCCGGGCGCCGCTTCGCCATTCAGTAGCATGTTTGGTCAAATGCCGGACATGCAGGTCAACCTTGATTGGGTAAGTTCATTCATCCAGCTAGCAGGCCCCTTTTACTGGGCAATAAGTTCCCCAGCTAACGCAACTCAACAGGACGCATGGGACACCTACCTTCAAAATCCAGGCTTCGACACGAACCCAACCCCATTCTGGCCAATGACAAACCCTGGTATGGGCGTCCTACCACAACAGCATCAACAGCAGCAGCAGCAGCAGCAACAGCAGCAAGCCATCCCAAACCCCATGGTGAACTCGCGGACTCCTTCAATCTCGAACAACGCTCCAAGCGGCCAACGCGTACCCAACATGTTCAGCCCCAACTCCAATAGCTCCGACGGTGGAAGCGGGTCAATACCCGGATTCACACCCATGTCCCAGCAAAGTACGAATACCGGACGGAGTCAAGGATCAATGTAATGCTGAGGAGGACCTGGTTTCCTTTCGGCAACCATGACCTAGACCTTTAGGTACGAGACTGACGACAATGCTTTTTGGATTGGATTGGAGTTACATTTATTCTTCTTCGGCCTTTTACTATTACCCCTATGCCCTGCGTTTCTACCTGCGAGCGATGGATGCCTTGCGTTTCAAGTTTTTGATTGAATTTGATTCGGTGTCGGGAGATTACTAGAATTTATTAGTTAGTATCTTTTTTTTTTGCGGGCGATATGATGATACACGGATCTGGACGGGCATGGGCATGGATTGGATATAGCCCTTGTTCCCATGGGTGGATATTTGACTGCGATAAAAGCCTCGTATTGGTTATATGCTTTTGCGCTGGATGGGCGATTTGCCTGGGTGATTGGTTTCTCTTCTCTTTCTCTGTATCATACCATGATCTTATTAGTTTGGATATAAAATTAAGACTCCTCTCTGCATACTACATACCCAAGTACCTACCTGAGATGGAATAGATTGGGGATTTCAAACTTTCAAGTTTGCAACGCCACTGTGAAATACCCATATATACGACTACTATCACTGACCACCCTGCGCCTATAGAGCGCTGTACTACGCATGGACCTTCGCTAACTTAAACAACTTAAACTTGATCCCCAAATTCTTTAAAGCTTCTCCAAGAATCGATCTTCTGCTATTCTTATAATATTACGTTCAATTAAGTCTGTTTCTCCTCCGTCTAAGCTTATTGCCTAGTTAACCCTAATTACTATTACATCACATCATTTCCACATCGGACTCGACGTAGCTTCACAAAATTCGTTGCTAGAGCGCCCACTCGCCCCTTCTGACGGGTATGCAGGCTCTGTGGTAACCTCAATAGTGGTTTCCTGGTGCACCTTTCCAATTGGCGCTAATTCAAGGTCTGATCGAAAGATTCTATCCTCTGAACCCCCCCCGCTCCGTAATTGTGCCATTCATAGTACCTTGCTTCCGGCTCTTAGGCTCGGCTGTGATGGTAGTTAGATGAGTTTTGACATCACGTCCACGGCTGCCTGGGAATTTGCTGTAGGAGCGATCCTGACTAGGTTCGGAGTCGATGATGAGGTTGCGGCGTGTGAGAGTATATAAAATAACGTCGACAAGGCCGGAGCTAGTAATGATAGCACCTTCAAAGCAATTAGCAAATATTCTAATTCCTATCGAGAATGGAGTAACAGAATATGACGGAGCTTCTACTCACCGGCACTGCAGAAAAAGGCAACAGAGGGCATTTTGCCACTCATATTTGCCATACGTCCGGCTGCCAAAGGAAGGGACAGCACGACGTAAACAATAGGATAAATGGTCATATATCCAACGACACGGCGCAGACGCTTCAAGCCCTCTATGTGGCTATTGCCGAGAATCGAGGAGGCGGAAATTTGCCGCCGAAGCTGAGTGTACATCACTGCATAGAGACAAACAGTGCCGAACTCGGCGAGAAAAATCCAGAAATAATGCGACCAAAGACGAAGGGCTTCATAGTCTTCCTTGATCCAACACCAAGCGCCAGAGGGAACAAAAGCATCTGCCCCATGAGTTGCTAGAGGGATGATCATAAGAATAAGAACCATTGACCAGATCCCACAAACGAAAGTGACAAAGGTTTTGTGGGTCATCTTGTATCCCCAAACGATAAGCAAAAAGGTATGGAAGGCAATTCCGAGGACGAAAAGACCGCTTCCTGGATTTGCCATTTGGAGCCACAGGCCCTGAAGAAAACAAGCAGCGGTACCAGACTGAATCTTGTCATCTATTATCCATTTCAAGCAGATGAGGTAGGCGATAGATTGTAAAAAGTCGGCAAGAACCAAGTTGTAGATGAGAATGATGTACTGATTGTAGCCGATATATCGTTTGAAGTGTAATTTCCAGAAAATAAGGCGATATGTGATGAAACCTAGGAGAGATGATGTGGCGAGGAATGAAAGAAGTGCCATTATCGAGACGGCAATAAGGCCCCTCCGCTGCTCGAGGGGCAAAGGATTGATGTCTAAATTTGAGTTGCTGGTCGAGCGAATCATCAGCTCGCCCGCTGAGGGCCAAGACGCCTCAGTTGATGTGTTGAGAGAAGACATTGTCGAGGTTGTCCTTTCAATTATCAAGCCTCGAGCAATATTCTGGTATCGATGTTTGACTGAAAGGCGAAAACTTGAGGTGCATCGAGATGAGGTTGTTAACGCTGCGGAGCGGGTCGAAAACAAGAAGAATCTTAGAAATTTAACATTTCCAAAAATGATACAAGGTTTAACATGAGCGCGAACCTGCCAGGTAGCTTGGCGGGCATCAAGAAGGGATATACGGAGTAGAGGAGACTAAAACAGAAGGGAGGTGGACCTTCTAGATATGCAGTACGAAGACCATGACGTTGTAAACGCTCAAAGAGCAGAACCTGGGTCAAAGTTCAGGTGGACACATCGAAAGAACTCTAAAGCCTTTGGAAACATGTGGCCGATACCAAGGCTAGCCACTCCTCTTCAAGGACAGCAGGGATGTGTGGAGACCAAATTAAGCTTTACAACTATTGGATTGAATAAATCGGTTTGCTCTCAGACTCCGTAGAATCGTTCCACTTGTTTTGATCACCATGAGCGTTCATGTAACGAAATACTCGTATGAACATTTGGAAATCGCTCAGAAGTGTGAGGCTAGATAGACTTGCGAACAGCTCCATGCAGAGCAACCGGAGATTCGTGTTTCTCGAGATTCTCGTTAGCCTGATTCACATTGATGCCGGAGAACGAAAGGCTCCGACATCCGACGCAAAGGCACTGTCCGGGAAGGTTTCTGGGGGGGCCACTCAATAGGTTTAACTATACATAGGCCTTAGAAAGCGAACAAATTTATTTTCCATCGGTTTTAGTGCTCATATTTGCCTGCATAAAGTGAGAGCCACGTTGTAGACTTTGGAGAAGCACGTTGGCGAAATATGGCAACTTGCCGTCTTTCCTCGGTAGTAACAGCATATCCAGAAATTTCATGTGCTTTTGAAGGCATTGAAATCCTGTACGGAGCAGGGGCCGAAAAAAAAATGGTTTCTAGCTGCAGTGTGCTGATCTCATGAACGTGCCGTCGGGGGTGCGAACCAAGCTTTGATGCGCCCGACGGTGTTCGATGCCGGGATTGGGATGGAGTCTAGTGAGCCAGTCGCCCAGGGGTGATTGGCAAAAATGGGGTATTCGAGGGGCGATTGAATTCGAGGATCGCGTGCAGGCGAATGTTCTGACGCGTGTCGCAATACAATATTCTCCCGTAATATTGAACTTTGAGATAACTCCATCTGATAGAAGAGTGGAGAATGATGCTTGTTGACGTTGCATTTGGTCCCCAAAACCACACAGTGTAGATAGCTCTCACAATCCCCCCTAAAATGACAGGATTCGAAGTTACCTAAGATCTGCAAGTCTTCGAGGCGTCCAGGGCGTCGCTCGTATCATTGAAAGTTCAGAGTGGACCAGGAAGGTTATTGCAAGAAGGCTGGCATGTAACATGCGACGAGCCGAACCAATAGGAGTCGGTTTCTTCAAGTGTTTCAAACTTAGAGCCCCAGAATCCGGGCACGCTAGGGAGATCAAGCTTCTATCCCGCGTGCTTCGATTGTGGAGAAAACTGCCGCCCAGCTTGCTGTTTCACTGGTGACCCAACATAGCGTGTTTCTGCTAAGGTGGCAGCGTCCCAAAATTGACAGGGTTCCTACACAAATTTGGATACGGAGTACAGACCATTGCATTCCAAATTGTGTATTGGAATAGCTTAAGAAAACCTATATTCGGGGCCAGGAACTACTTAGTTGATGCTGGCATGTCAGTGGTATCGTAGATAACTAGCCACTGGCAGTAATAGAGATGTAACAATTCTACTACTAGTTACTGCTTGGTATCCTACCCAGTTATGTACTCAATACCCCGAATTGCTAGGATCCAACAATTTGTACAGGTAGTATAATTGCTTCACTGAGGGAGGGGGAAGGGGACAGAGCCATAGTATAGGGAACACTAGTGATTTTGGGACGCTGGCAGAGAAAATGGGTCGATTGCCACCCTTGAGAACTGTACATATTATTATCATGAACTAGTCCACTAGCAGTGCAAGTCTCGTGTGATCCAATGCTGATGAAAGTTTCACCGAAACTTTGCACATGTCATTCAAAATGGGATTCATTGGCATTGCGATGCTTGAACAAATCCTTTGTGTCTCACCCAATAAATATTGTGGCTTGAAGCTCTCCTCGCACCTGCTTCGCCCTGCCGATCATCAAGGATCGTACGCCGACTATATGCCCGTATGGCACTAGTCGGTCCATTCATATCCACCCCTGTGCCAAGTTAAACTTCGTTGCAACTTTCCTTGGCTGCAAACCATGTTTGAGTTTGTTATGTAGATCAATTTTTTTTTTCTAGCGTGATATTTCTTTCTCTCAGGAGAGGGAGGTTTTGTCTTTGTCTTTGTCTTTCTTCAGCCCGCTACAACGTCCTGCAAACCAGTTACATTAGTATCCTTTACGCTATGGCTGAAGCGACAGTCAAGGGAGGTGTCATCGACAATGTTTCGCGACTCTCTGATCCGCAGAAAGATCCGAATACTCTCGGAGAGCGAAGATTGGTTGATTTGGAAGATCCAGACGCGGACTTGAGCCAGGAAGAGCGAGAGGCAATCGTATGCGAGACCTTTTATTCTTTCCCACTTGCAATTTTCAATCCATTTTGATGAGCAAGCACATGCAGTTTCTAATCGCCAATTTTGCATAGGACCGTCGCCTTCTGTGGAAGTTGGATTTGCGACTAGTTCCATGGTTGAGCCTGCTCTATCTCATTTCGTTCCTCGATAGGTGAGTGAGTATCAAAGCTCCGCCATGATAAAATACTAACAAGCTACTTTCTGAAGGACCAACATCGGCAATGCAAAGATTGCCGGTCTGACCAAAGACTTAGAGATGACCCCCAACCAATACAATACAACGCTCACCATTTTCTTCGTCTCCTATTCCGTCTTTGAGCCCTTCACCAACGTCCTTCTGAAGCGTCTACGCCCGAGCATTTTTATTCCGCTAATTATGGTGTCTTGGGTGAATATGAATCTAATACCTTGCATACTCACTTGAAGTCGCTAGCTAACCGGTGTTTGCCTCCTAGGGAATATGCATGACATGTATGGGTTTGGTAAAAAGCTATTCCGGAATAATGGCAGTACGCTGGTTCCTCGGCCTAAGCGAGGCAGGGCTATTCCCCGGGGTGGGCTATTTGTTGTCATGCTGGTACAAGCGATCAGAGCTCGGTGTGCGTATGGCAATTTTCTTTTCCGCCGCCGCACTGGCTGGCTCATTCGGTGGCCTACTGGCAGCAGCGATTGCAAAGATGGATGGAATCGGCGGAAAATCAGACTGGTCGTGGATTTTTATCCTGGAAGGTCTTGCCACAATTCTCATTGGTATCGCTTCATTCTGGTGTGTTTATGATTTTCCAGACCAGGCGAAGTTTCTGTCGCAGGCAGATCGTGCACGGGTTCTCCGTCGTCTTGCTTTGGATCAGCAGTCGAGTGCAACGCATGAGCATTTTAAGATGGATTATTTCTGGACCAGTGTCAAAGACTGGAAAACCTACACTGGGGCTATTATCTATATGGGGGCAGATGGTGCACTGTACGCCTTCTCTCTATTCGTGCCGACGATCATTAGTGAACTAGTGAGTGACTGTGAACAAAACCGTCGAGGATATCAAAGCTAATTTGAATGTCAAGGGTAAATACTGCACATCGTTATGGGATGCAAGGTGCGGTGTATTGACTTTTTTTTATAGGCTATAGTTCGATCCGCGCTCAGCTTTTGAGTGTTCCCCCATATGCAGCAGCAGCTGTTTTGACGGTGGCTGTTGGCTTTATCGCCGATCGCACACGTCAGCGAGGTCTTTGCAACATCGCCGTGTCAACCATTGGTATGGCAGGCTTCGGCATGTTACTGGGCTGCGAGTCAGCGGGTGGGCGCTACGCTGGCATTTTCTTAGGCGCAATGGGTATTTATCCAGCGATTGCAAACACCATTTCTTGGGCTAGTAACAACACTGAAGGTCAGTTGGTATCTATCAAACGGTCATAACTTACTATTGCCAGTTCAAGAGCTAACTTGATTTTAGGTGTCTATAAGCGTGGTGTGTCTTTAGGCTTCATTATCGGCTGGGGTAACCTGAATGGTATCGTCTCCTCCAATATCTATCGTGATGAAGATGCCCCCCGGTTTTACCCTGGACATGGTGTTGTGCTCGGCTATCTTGTGATCTTTTTATTTGGTGGCTCTATCTTGCAGTACTTTCTACTGCGTCGCGAAAACTCAAAGCGTAGGCGCGGAGAACGGGACACCTGGATTAAGGGCTTGGATGAAAGCCAGATCGAGCTACTGGGTGACAAGCGTCCTGATTTTATCTATACCTTATAGATCTCATTCCAAGGTTTTCCAGGGAGATCGTGAAGGTGGTAGAGCCAACCTTAGAATATAGATTGTATTACTACTAGTACATAGACAGAAGATTTGGCCGGACCTCGACCATGTCAAATTTCAAGTTGAAGCGGGCAGATTAGCCATGGGCGATATAAATTTGAATCTGGCATAAAAATAGTATATGCCCATAATAGCATAGCTGTTGTTAGATTATGCAATCCAATTGGTTCATCCTAGCTGGAAATTCAAGTCCCGCGATAAAATCCGTTTATTATGGTAGAAATTAAACATTAATTAGTTGGATTGGCTGTTTTCGATGTTAGATCTCCGAGTCTGACGCTCATGGTACTGAGTTTCCGTAATGGTTGCTTCCACTGGCCACGCGGGGTAGCAGGCGCGGGAGGAAACATTGTACCCGGGCGGACAAAGGAACACATCTTCCTTCTCGACAATTGAACAACGTCCATCTGTATAAATCACGTTCCCAGGACGTTCCATCCCCCAATCCCCCCCATTGTTGTTCCCTGGTCTGGAGATCCTCACAATAGCTAGCAAAGCAGAAGATATCTATAAGGCAAATTCTAAGCGATCCATCGTAGAACTCCAAGCAATCATTTTCCGGGTCATTAGGGTCAAAGTCACAGTCGATCACATTGACGTATCCGACTAGGCCAGAATCAGACTTATCATCCGGCTCTGAGCTCGCCAAAATTGACCGGATAGAGCGGTCATTTAGAACGAGGCAGTAGTCAAATCGAGGTCTACCCATTATATAAAAGTAGCGTCGCCCTTTGGCCCATTCGACATGTCGCGTTCAAATGGTATCTGTCGAGGCATTTTCTAGGTTGGGATCCTCAACAATCACATTTCGGTAGCCTTCGCGAACGAGTTCATGGATATTAGGCTGAAATTGGAATTGTTCAAAAACGCCGCAAGTTTCAGCACTCGGCATGCTGGCGTAGCAGTACCGATCAATCTTGGCGATCACGGCGGCCCAGTCCTGGTCAGATATAGTTCCAAAACTCGTGCGATAAATGACAAATCCCCGTCACCTAGTTCGAGGCTGGCGTCTTGGCGATTAATGCCCAAAATCTCAGGCCAGAAAAAGCATATCAGCCACCCCACGTGACCTTATCGAAACTTTTCGGCGCGCGCCCCGACGGATATTAACATTGAACCAGCTCGACTATTTGGAACTCTTCCATACCCTGCACTTCACATCTTGATTTCTTCCCTGGTGGCGTGTTTAAGAATAACCCACCCTGCTTTTGGATCAACATGTATGCTCCCCGCCCGGCTACTGAATCTATACACATCTCCACAGCACCCTACTCGCGCATATACCAGATCAAATCACTAACTCGAGCAACAGGCATTGTCTCCGTCAAGCCAGCTCAAGGCTACTGAGCTCTTCTCCAAGAATCTCAATTTCTAGATCAATTCGCCCCGACATCCTCACTTCCTCACCTCGCACCCCCCCGCCTGTTCTCCGCCTACCAAGCCCGATGCAATTCTTCACATAATGACCCGCGCATGACGCCTGCCCAGCCTTTCAAGAAAGAGGTTGACGTCGCAACTGAGGCCCCAGAACAACGGACACAGCCGGGTGGATTAGACAATGAGAGACCCGTTGAAGAGGCCGCGGCCGAGTCCGTCAACCAAGCCTCTGCGGGCCCCAGCAAGCGCGAAACGCGCATGCATAAACTCAACAAACGCATGCAGGAGCAAGCCGAGAATTATTCACCGCCGGAGTCGGAGACGGTTTACGTGGGTAATTTGTTTTATGACGTTGAGGCGGAGGATCTACGGACGAGGATGGAACAGTTTGGAACCGTCATTCAGGCGTTGGTTGTTTATGATAATCGGGGTTTGAGTAAAGGGTAAGTTTCCACCATGACCCTCAATGGATTAACATATGCGCATTATACGCTCTGCACGCATCTTGGTCCGTTTTACCTTTTCCCACGTTGAAGCTAATTCTCGTTTCCGTTATAACAGATTCGGCTACGTCCAGTTCAACACCACCGAAGAAGCCCGCAACGCTATCGAAAACCTGCACCTCCGAGTCTTCGAAGGCCGCCAACTCGTTGTGCAATTCTCGCACACCCAGCTCCGACAAAATGATCAACGGTACGAGCAGTCAAATACCTTATTTATCGGCAATATCCCGTACGAGTGTACGGACCGTGATGTCCAGGCTATTTTCGCCGATATTAAGAATCTGGTCGATGTCCGTTTCGCGGTTGATCGGCGGTCTGGAGCGCCGCGTGGATTCTGTCATGCGGAGTTCGTGGGCATTGGTGCGGCTGTGAAGGCTATGGAGAAGTTGAGGGTTAAGAGGCCATATGGAAGAATGTTGAAGGTTGAGTTTTCCACAAGGAAGAAGGTTTCGTTTATGGCGGGGGAGAATGTTAAGGCACAGGAGAGGAGGGATTGGGAGAGAGAACAACAGGAGCAGGAGGCGGAGAATAGGGATATCGAGAGTCGGATCGACTTCCGAGTTTAATTTGATGGTGGGAGGAGTGTACATTATGGAAATGAGGGACTTTTAAAGCAGTCCATTGTATGATATTGAACTACAACATAAATCTCTATACTACTGTGTTACTACTATAACTATACTTCTACTGTTAACTATACCCCGAGACTGTAGGTATCCGTTTACTCCGCGGCAGTTGATACCACGTGACCCCGGGGAACCTCGGCTGGCGGAAAAGCGGCCTGAAGTGGGCGAGCCCCACGTCGATTAGTTATCCGGGGCTTCTCCTCTCTCTCGCATGTGCCCGCTACTCTTCTCTTTCCCCAAATGCTTCTTTGAAGTTTGGGTTTCGACTTTTATAATCATCACTCTCACATTTACACACTCACAATGTCCTTCCTCGGTGGCGCGGAGTGCTCCACGGCAGGAAACCCTCTGACACAGTTCACCAAGCACGTCCAAGATGACAAGTCCCTCCAAAGAGACCGGCTGGTCGGCCGGGGACCAGGTATGCAAGAAGGCATGAGGTCACGAGGGATGATGGGTGGACAAGACCAGGTCAGTGAACAATTTCCAATTTCCAACCGGGCAATGCAATGCAATGCACACCGAATCCCCCGCCTGGCATGATATACGCTTTTGAAGAACGGGAAGCTCACTGAAGGCCATAACACGGCTGCTTTATCACAGATGATGGACGATTTTATGCAACAGCCCGGACAACAAATAAACGGCCCCTCCCCTCAGCCCTTCGCCATGGAACACATGCGCCGCGAGCTGGAGAACTTCCAGACCGCTCCCCCGCGCACGGGATCACCTGGCTGGGCCGCGGAATTCGATCCCGGTGAGCAGGCCCGTATGGAGGGTGCTTTTCCCGGACAGCAAATGAACAATACTTCCGGCTTTACGCCTGCCGAATTCGCTCATTTCCAGCAGCAGAGTCGCATGGGCATGCCCCAGAATTCCAGCCCGGCCACCACCGCCACACCCCCACAGATGGCGGGGTACCAACGACCCATGGGGATGGGTGGTGGATATATGGGCGGCATGGGCGGTATGGGAATGGGTATGGGCGGTATGGGTATGCGGCCTATGGGTATGCAGTCTCCGATGGCGCAGCAGCCGGTGGAGGGCCAGACGCAGGATAAGGGCAAGGGCCGGATGGTTGAGCTCGATGATGTGAACTGGGAGGCGCAGTTTGCCGAGATGGAGACGGCGGGTAATGAGACGCGTACGGATGACGAGGCGAATGCCGCTATGGAGGCGGAACTGAATGAGCTGGACAGGTCAGTGCCCTCCAATGATGCCTTCGAGTCTGTATGGGAAAGGATTCAGACTGAGACAGCTGCGAGCAGGAAACTGGCCGAGCAAGATGACTTTGAAGTTACTGAAGACGTTCATGTGGGCGATCTGGGTGATTGGGAGGGATTCGATAGTTTGAATACCCGTTTCCGCGATCCTCAGCTTGGTGATTACATGTTCGAGGAGGATAATGTGTACCAGGCTATCAACAACCCGTTCGAGGAAGGTGTCAAGATTATGCGCGAAGGTGGTAACTTGTCTCTCGCAGCTTTGGCTTTCGAAGCTGCTGTTCAGAAGGACCCGCAACATGTGCAGGCCTGGACAATGCTGGGTTCTGCGCAGGCTCAGAACGAGAAGGAGTTGCCAGCTATCCGTGCCTTGGAGCAGGCGCTGAAGATTGATGCTGGTAATCTGGATGCACTTATGGGTCTGGCTGTCTCATATACGAACGAAGGCTACGACTCTACTGCTTACCGGACTCTTGAACGCTGGCTGTCAAACAAGTATCCTTCCATCATCAACCCGAGTGAGGTTTCCGGCGACGCCGACCTAGGCTTCACAGATCGTCAACTCTTGCACGACCGCGTCACAGAACTATTCATTCAAGCTGCACAGCTTTCTCCATCCGGTGCACAGATGGACCCCGACGTCCAGGTTGGCCTGGGTGTGCTTTTCTACTGCGCCGAGGAGTACGAAAAGGCCGTGGACTGCTTCTCTGCCGCCTTGGCCTCAACTGAGTCCGGCAGCACCAACCAGCAAGAGCAGTTGCACCTGCTCTGGAACCGTCTCGGTGCTACACTAGCCAACTCTGGTCGTTCGGAGGAGGCCATCGAGGCGTACGAGCAAGCGCTTAACATTAACCCCAACTTTGTCCGTGCTCGCTACAACCTCGGAGTCTCTTGTATCAACATCGGCTGCTACCCGGAGGCCGCACAGCACCTCCTTGGTTCCCTTTCCATGCACCGCGTTGTCGAGCAAGAAGGCCGTGAGCGTGCTCGCGAGATCATCAGCGGTGGTGGACCCGATGGCCTGGACGATGAGCGACTGGAGCGGATGCTCCACATCAGTCAAAACCAGAGCACCAACCTCTACGACACACTGCGCCGGGTATTTAGCCAGATGGGCCGTCGTGATTTGGCAGATCAGGTTGTTGCGGGCATGGATGTCAATGTCTTCCGCAAGGAATTTGAATTTTAGTAATATCCCCATGAGCATGGAATTGCATGTCGGACCTTGACGTGAAGGTTTATCTTTCTTTATCTTTTTTTCTGTTATTTCTTACTGGGATGCCAGCAGGGCCTGGCTGCATTGATGATGATATCTGTACCGAAAGTGTACGACTGGAATCATTCGGGTTGATTGGATATGCTCGAATAGAATTCTCATGACAAATCCACTCACGACCTATTTCATATTTCATAGGACACGAAACTCGTAGTAAAAGCAAAATCACACGTGTATCTAATTAGGCGACAGGATGAAAAGGAGTCTTGTTCATTAGTTCATCAACAGCCTTTCCGACAGCAACTGCTTTCTCCTCCCCAAACCGCCCTCCAACAATCTGCACACAAATAGGCATTCCATCTACCAGATCAATGTCATCTAAACCCGCGACTAGTCAGCATGTGCACCATTACCATACGAATGCAACCAAAAAAATACTCACATTGCGAATGATTAAACTCATCAGACTCATTCCTTCCAACATGACCCTTCCACCCCGCATCGCCACCATCAATCTGTTTATCTGCTCTGGCAACAGGAACAGTCACAGCCGCATAATCAAGCAAATTCCACATAGCCGTATATCCCAGCCACTGGCTACTCTTCACCCACGTCTTAGGTTTATATCCAACCCAGGGCAAAACCGGCATAAGGAGGGCATCGATACCCGCATCAACCCACTGAGCAAGCATTTGCGTCTGAAGGGCATATTTCTCCTCTTCCACCTTTTCCCGTTCCACGAACGACAACATATCTTCCTCCGTACCCACAACCATACCTTCAATCAAGGGCTCGTCGATTATAGCGCACAGCTTTCGACAGTGGGCGCCGCCGTCGCCGAGGATGGCTTTTGTCCAGAGGTTGGTTGCTGGTGTGTGGAGGGTTGTGTCCCATTCAATGACTGGTCGTCGATTAGACTATTTCGTATCTTACACCAGTACATGTCTTGGTTGCGCGCTTTGAAAACATACCTTCGTGCCCGGCGTCTCTTAATGCTTGCACGGTTTCCCGCATGGCGCGTGCAACCGGAGGCTGCGGTTTGACGACGCCGTCGTCGAAGACAACGCCAAGCTTTAGTTTGCGGTCAGTTGGGGGCGTGGCCAGCTCTTTGCGCCAGGGAATCGGAATTGCGGCCGGGTCGATATTCCAGGGCGAGGAGGCTAGGAGTCTTTCCATGAAGTATTCCGATGTTGATAAGGATGTAGACATTGGTCCTGCGACTGGTGGGACGAGATAGTGCTGATGGAGGCTTTTGAAGTTAGTATGGCCCAGATGAATAGCCAGATTATGATGTTCGTGTTTCCCTCTCAGGATTCCGATTGGGAAGGCTTGCGACTGGGAGAATTTCTTACATGGAACAGTCCCACGGCACACGCCCTGTTGTCGGACAGATAGAGTATAGACCTTGAAGGTCTGAGGGTACTCGAATCGAGCCACCGATATCAGTGCCGATTCCTAGGATACTACCGCAAGAGCCGATGAGAGCACCTTCGCCGCCAGAACTCCCGCCAGAGATGAGGGCGTGATTGAATGAGTTGACCGATTGGCCGAAGACATGATTATACGAGTCGGACATCTGGGACTGTCAACGGCTGAAATCACATACCCCCAACAAGTGGGGAGACAGAACCTTATAAATAATAGCTGAACTCACCATTAGTGACTGCGGAATATTAGTCTTGACATACATCACGGCACCCATCGACTCAAGAAGTTGAACAATGGAGCTAGAAGTTTTAGCCGGCTTATTGATAAGACCAACCCAGCCTGCAAGTCTCAGCAAAACATGGAAATAGCCATGCAAAAAGTGCAAGAGATTCTCATATATCTTGTAGCTTACCGACTGTCGTATCAGCCCCCTTAACATCAAACCGATCTTTAACAGAAACCGGAATCCCATGCAAAGGTCCAATAACCTTCCCAGTCCTTTCCAGATACTCATCCAACGCCCTCGCATTCGCAAGCGCCCTTTCGAAGAATATTTCCGTAAGACATTTAGTCACCTGCTGCGCAATTGCGGCGCGCTTGCAAAATGCCGTCGTGAGCTGCTCGCTGCTTACGCGACGCGAGGTAATGAGCGAGACCAGGTCACGGATATCAGTTGTTTCAGTCCAGGACAATTCATCGGCGGTTAAAATGCCGCTGGATCGAATGACCTGTATGCTTGAAGTGGGTAGGTTTTCCAATACTGAATCTGGGAGGCGCCAGGATGTTGGGATCGCGTTGATTTGGGTGTTGCGTTTGGTGAGCACGGCGGGCTTCCAGTGCGGGCCCTGGGGGTCTAGATTTGATGCCATGTTCGTTTGAATTGTGGCTTATTATTAGTACTAGTAGTATTTATAGCTTTGCGGTAGACAGGGATGGAATGTATCGGCCCTGGCAGAAATGGGAAATTGTTGGGAGAGGTCATTGATATCCTGTCTAAAACTTGGCAGCGTAACCCCTCTTGTTGACACCCTCGGGTCTAACGTGAGGGGCCCGTGTTATAGTTAGTACCCAAGAGAACCACTGACTACTATATAACTGGGTTGAATGCTGAGATAGTGAGTTTTGTTATCTGATCAAAGAAAGATCGCTAGTATGTCATTACTAGTACTAATAGTGTGGATACCAGATCAAGTTACTACTATACTAGCTACTAGGTATCCTATCCAGTCATAGACTCGGTATCTGCAATTGTTAGGAATATTCCCTTGAGCAGTTTGCATACGTATTATAGCTTCACTATGGTAGATCGATAGTCAACGCCCTAAACTCCAACACCACTATCCCTAAACCCCTCAAACCGTAAATCTTCCACCTCGCACTCAAGATTCTCCTTTGTCACCCACTTTCGATACTCCTTTTCCCCATAGGTCCCTGCCCGGGGTAACTCGTTCAACTCTGCCTTGCCAAACTTTGCACCCCTGCTGAGCAATAATCTGACAGTATCACTTGCTTCCCTGGCTTCATCGCGATACTTGCTTCTGTACCTTCCATTTAAAGCGTAGACCAGGGGTCTCAATCCTCGACTGTCAGATGTGTTTACATCTGCGCCTCTTTCAACGAGGGAACGAACTTCTTCCCATCGATAAACGGATGCTGCTGTCGCTAAACGAGTGTTTCGTTTCTGGGATCGGGATCTATGTGGGGGTTTCTGGTCGAGAGGGTTTGTGGGGGGATTTCCTATGTTGACTGTTGAAGGTTCTAAGGCTAGATCGTCAATACTAGTACTTTCAAGTAACCCCCCGGGGGGGTTGGGGGCGGGATATAGGTATAGAATATACCTTCTTCGACAGGAGGAGCCGGGGGAGTACCTCCGACAGGAATATCTCGATCTTCTCCTCCGGGTTCATCTGCAGTCACAGATTGCTGACTAGAGTAATCAGCACTACCGAAGAAACCAGCTTAGTATCGATTCTCTCTCCATACGAAACAAAGCAAAAATCTGAATTAATCCAAATCCATATCCCAAAAAGAAACCATGGATACATACCCTTGCAACAACCTCTGCACCTCACCAAGTTTCCCCCTACAAATACCCACCCTCCTCCTCTGAAACTCAATATCTTCACTAACAAAAGCAAACTTCTCCTTCGACGTCGGCCTCTGCGATCTCAAACTCGAATAACGCTGCAAAAAGCCATGGACTTTCTTCAAAATCGCATCGCAATCCGCTAACAGAGATCGAATACCTGAAATTCGCTGCCCGGCGCGTCGGTGGCTGTTGTACTGCTCTGAGACATTCACTGCAATCTCGTAGCAGGATTGATAGGTCGTGTTCAGGTCTCGGTAAATGCTCACGGAATTGGGGTATGCGTCGCGGATGCTGGATACGCGGTTTATTATGCCTTTTAAGCCGCGGTTTGGTGGGGGGTTGGAAGTTGGGATTGGTGTAGGTTTCTCCATTGTGGTATTGTGTGAACTTGAACCTGTGTTTGTGATCGAGAAAGGGTTTATGTTCGTCAAGTTTGTGTTCTGGCTGGCGATGGCGGTTCATGGGAAACCAAGAACTGTTATATAGACTCAGAGGGAAATGGAATCGAGACTGCCCAGAAGCCCAAGGATGCGGGACCGCACGGATCTGACGGGAGTGAGCTGGCCATGCAGATGGCGGCGAACCATTGCTCGAGGAACGACAGGGTGTTCTCTCAATGGCCAGAGAGCCTCAACGGGGCGATTTGACAGGGCGGGCCATAGGATAGGCTGTTCTGAAAATGCGGTGGCTACGTGTGTTTGACTTCTATGCGGCTTACTATTGCTAGCCCTGATGTGAAGGAGGGGAGGAGGGGGATGTGATCAAAGCTGGATTGCCCCGAGGTAAGAATACTTCCAACATTCCTTGTCGATTTGAGACTAATGTACATGTTTTGCCTCTCTCGGTGATATTTATACCGTCATCAACATATTGGCGTTCTTGTACCAGAACAACAGCGGATTCTCGCCATTCCGTGTCTCCGTATCTTCAATATACGCCCAGCGATTCATGAAATCCTCATGAGTCGTAACTTGTGTGAGTTTGCCAGTAACGGCTCGGTATACATCTTCGAACACATTGAAATCAGTTGGGAAGAAGATATCAAAGTATCCTTGGTGAACCTGCGGGGGAGAATGTTAGAATTAAGCCCCAGTATACCGAGGAAGAAGGCCAGAAAGGCCAGGGTACTCACAAATGGTGTCGACACAGTCACCGTCTTTCGCTTATACCGAGTCTGAACGACCGGCGCATTGATACCTGGCACGGCATCAGGAAGGACATTGAAGTCACTTGCCACAAGGCGGTGCGCAGGGAAGTACTGATTCAGAACATCAAAGAACTCCATCATCCGTGTAGGAACATACTCAGGCAGCGTATAGTCACCGCGGAAAGGTGACATGGAACGCAAGCCACGGAGATATGGGTGGCCGAGCGGACTGGGAAAAGGGCGGCGAGCTGCAGCCTGACGAACACGCATGAATCGAGCCGCCACGGGGTCCAACTTGGCATTGTAGTACTCGTGGAATTCGCCGTCCGCGTCGATAAGTACTCCGCCTTGTTGGGGAAGCCCTGTGTTCCAGTCGTAGCGAATGGTATCGTGGGAGAAGTTGTCGAAGACTTCGAGGGCGAGGAAGAAACAAGGCGAATGCACGTATGTATTCCAGTCAAAAATGGACTTGTTCACAATCTCGACACGGTCTCGATGGCCAGCTGTCTCGAGGGTGTCCATCAAGTTCTTCATCTGGATATCGGCTAGTGACGAGGAGATCTCAATGATCTTGTACTTTGTGCGCTGGTACACTTCATAATCCGTATCACGAATGAAGTCTAGGATGTTCAACATCATGGTACCGTTACCGGCACCCATTTCATAGATGATCAAGTCGTGATATGGGTACAGGGTGAGCTTGTAGTTGGAGACTAGGTATCGCGCAATCGACTCGCCGTAGTAAGGTCGGAAGAGCTCCGTCGGGGTATGCCACAGCTGTCTTGATTCATCTGGCTTGACCGCATCAAGCTTATCCTCAAACTCAATGTACCGGTCGCCCAGGAGCGATTGGAAGGCCGGACCATCTTCTATGGTATTGAAGTCGAACGGCTCGCCGGGGGTAAAGATAGTCGCATGTTTGGAGAAATAGCCGTAGTGCGGATTATAAAGGCTGTCTACAATCGTCGGGGTTAGTAACAAAGAAAGCGACGTCGCATCGCGGAAATCCGCGATTGAGACTCAACTCCAAACGTACCATCGATGAATTCGCGCGTCAGCATTTTGACCTGCTTCGGCCGTTGGCGGCGATTTCGCAGGTCATTCGCCGTGACCAGTGGATATGTCTGGTACTCATGATCTATATTCTTCGGGTTGTCGCCACGTTTCGTCCACAGCGTGCCACCATCCTGGACCTTGCGCTTGGCGACACTGCGGCGGGTGAAGAATGTACGCGATTGTGTTTGCCTGGAGAAGGTGGATGGAGACTGCCGTAATGATTGGCAAGCCGGATGCCTAAATAGCTGTCTAAACAGCTGGTTGAGGACGGGCGAGTCCATGTTTTTTGCGCGGGTTGAAGCAGTCGGGGAGCTTTGGGGGGAGCTTTTGCGGAGAGAAGAAGAGGATGCGATGGTTGTTGGCCTCAGGCAGAAGGCACGTGCTTTTGTCACTTCCACTTCCACTTTGACTTTGATATTCCACTGCTACTTCTACTTGCTATTTGCATTTGCATTTAGTATTAACTGCTCTTGTTGGACTACTCAGCAATTGTTTTTTTTTAATCTAAATCTTCATTACCCCTTTTCAACTCCAATTGAACCCCCGGCTATATCTACGCATGCAAAGTGGCCCAAGCGTCGACATCAGACTGCGCATCGATATCGCACCAAATTTCAATGAATTAAACGACGGCCTCGAGCACTGAATATGCCGGACCATTCGGCTGTTTATATTGGCACCGCATTTATTGCGGGTGCTGGTCTAGCCTTGATATGCAAAGAGGCACTCAGTACGCCGCGCCGCGAAAACCCAACACCGTCCAACCCCGAGCCTGAGGGTCTTGTCGCGCGACCAGGACCTCCGGCTATTGTCGAGGGTATTGAAGGATGCATTGGGAACACGCCACTCTTCCGGATCAAATCCCTCTCTGATGAGACAGGGTGTGAGATTCTAGGTAAAGCCGAGGTGGGCAAGCCCAGTTCTCTGCTCATTAAATGAGGATAGCTAGATATAGGCTACTTATATGTATGAATGGGGCTAACATTTACGCAATGCAGTTTCTGAACGGAGCCGGCCAGAGCTCAAAAGATCGCGTGGCTCTAAGCATGATTGAAATCGTATGTCATTCCATCCAATTTTTCTTCAAGATCTTGCTTGCACATATGACTCTCTATTGGCACCGCTGGAGGAGTTGTATCAATATGAATATCATGATTTGCTAGATATTGACTAGAACCCAGGCCGAAGAACAAGGAATTCTAACCCCCCCACTCCGGAGACACAATCTACGAAGGCACATCCGGATCAACGGGAATCTCACTAGCAACCCTAGCCCGAGCAAAAGGCTACCTAGCCCACATCTGCATGCCCTCAGACCAAGCAATCGAGAAATCTAATCTTCTCCTCAAACTCGGGGCAATAGTCGACCGGGTCCCGCCCGCTCCCATCGTGGAAAAAGACAACTTCGTCAACCGCGCGCGTGCCCTCGCCCAGACACACACTGGCACAGCATCATCGCAAGGCCGCGGTTTCTTCGCAGACCAATTCGAAAACGAAGCAAACTGGCGCGCCCATCATGGCGGTAGTGGTCCTGAAATTTTCGCCCAATGCGAAGGTAAGATCGATGCCTTTGTCGCGGGTGCAGGTACTGGCGGAACTATCTCTGGCGTTGCGCGATATTTGAAACCGTTACTTCCTAATATTACGATTGTGCTGGCTGATCCTCAGGGAAGCGGATTGTATAATCGTGTGCGGTTTGGCGTCATGTTTGATCTCAAGGAAAGGGAGGGTACGAGGCGACGACCGCAGGTTGATACTATTGTTGAGGGGATTGGCATCAATCGCGTTACGGCTAATTTTGAGGCTGGGAAGGAACTTGTTGATGATGCGGTTAGGGTTACGGATGCGCAGGCTTTGGCTATGGCGAGGTGGTTGGTTGAGAAGGATGGGATCTTCATTGGGAGTAGTAGTGCTGTGAATTGTGAGTTGTTATCTGCTATCAGCTTTTTGGTGATTGATCTTCTTGATACAATATACTGACTATGGGTACCAGGTATTGCGGCAGTCAAAACGGCGCAAAAGTTAGGCCCGGGTCATCGAATTGTTACGGTCTTGTCTGATTCCGGTTCAAGGCATCTGTCCCGGTTCTGGGCGAAGGCTGGTGATGTTGGCGGTGCCGTTGATACAAAGCTTGAAAGCGTTCTTAATGCTCGAGATGAAGATTTTGAGTAGACTTAATCAATTGGTGGTGATACATGTTCTAGTTCTTCTATCAATAGTCCAATTCGGGGGGTTCCCTTAATCGCTGGACTAGGGTATTGGCCAACTAATACCTTTGACAGGCCTAGCTCCAAGATGGGAAGTATACGAGTCAGGCAGTGGAGGATCTGAACTGACTTCTTCGACTTGGGCCTCTGCTTCATCACTGAGTGTACCAAGATCCTCTGTATCCATTGCATCCTCTCCATCATCGTCATCCTCTCCGTCGCTAATCAAATACACAGTTGGTGTCTGACTAGCCGAGGGCGTGTCAATTCGAGTAACTGGTGGTGTCTGACGAGTCGAGGGAGTGTCGAAGTGAGTGACAGAGGGCTCTCGATCACGGACGTCTATTTCTAAACCATCATTTTTCAAAGGTCGGCATTGTGGGTTAACAGAATGCCTCTCTAAGCCACCGCCGTCATTATTCAACTGAGGTAGGGAACTTCCATCGCGATTCCAGACCTCATCTCCAACCCAACGGCGCATTAGCTCAAACTCAATTTCAGCCTTGGATCGGTCGGGCAGCTGGACTTGAAAGTCCTTCCAGGCAAGGAATGGTTGATCCTGCAAGCGATCGAAGGTTTCAAGTTCGCTTTGTGACCAGGGAGCTTGGAGTGGAGATGGTTTCGCACGAACAGCAAACCAATGATTTGAGTTCCACATCTTAAGATTGTCCAAGCTGCTGTTAGGCAGAAACGGAAGTATCTCCTTCCATCTTTTACCTTCAACGTGGCGCTTGCGGAGCACCAGTTTCATCTCGTCGGGAGTCATTCTAGTGCGGGTCCTCGGTGATAAGGGATCCGACGACAGTGCAGCAGGTACTGGTGTAGATACAGGGATGGACACAGGGACAGGGCTCGACGCAGGCGCGGCGCCATGCCTTGTGGTGGTAAGCGCAGGTGAATCGCATTGTACATCGATAGAATTTGTCACCGTTGCCCGTGCGTCGCCTTGTTCCACGTGGCTATGATTCGCGTCAAAATGTGTATCTGTAGCCGATTGGTCATGAGGGGTGGGTTCAGCAGGTGTCAACAATTCAGGATTTAATTCAAATCGAATTTCTTGATTAGAGTCGTCATGGGCCGTTATGCGCATTCGCTTCCGACGAATGTTCGCTGCGTTGGATGGGGTGGGCGATGGCTGATACTCCTGAAGCGGGTCGTCCGATTCGTCGCCTTCTTCAGCGATATCCGCGAAAGACCAGTCGAGCGCCTCCAGCGCCACGGGGCTGGAATGATACTTGCGTTTCGCCCGGGGTCGGGTTTTGCTCGGCGTCGCTCTGGGCTTCCCCTCTGTGCGCGGGCGACGTTGTCTTGGAACACTCCAAAGGGATCTGGAGCCTGGTGGCGATGATTTTCTGTCCACCGTCGGCAGCCGTGGAGTAAATGGCACTTTTGCGAACCTAGTCTCGGTTCTAGGCGTCGAAAAGGGGCGGGGAAGCTCAGGGACTTTCCATACAGGGTCTATTGGGCCCAGTTCTTCTGGATGAGGTTTCACGTCCAGCTCTTTTGGGGCCGGCCTGGCTTGTGCGTTGTCGGAGGTCGAGATCAATGCAGACTCTCTTGAATGGGAAGGGTCCTCGTCGGGGATGGGACCTTTCCATTCCGATCGCGTGAACTTGAACAAATCATCCGAGTGCGCGCCTGGATCTTCAAACAAAAGATTATCAGGGTGATGCGGTGATCCGACAGGCTCCTTTTCATTCTCAGATTCAAGACCCTCGTTTTCCGCGTCATCCTCGCCCTCCGCGCCCTCCTCGGCATGCCATGCCTCGCTCTGATCGTTGCGACCCTCTTCATGCAGGCCCAATAAATGTCCATTGTCAACGACAATATCTCCCGTTTCCAGGTCGATCTCATCGCCAACTTCCGTAAAGTCCTGACCGTATTTCGCAAAGATGTCTTCGAAGATGGATTTCAACTTCATATCATTTTGGGCGCGTGCTGTTTGTAGATCCCAGTCGTCAGAGACTTCTTCCTCCGGGGGGGTCTGAGGTAACCGAGAGGCGAGGCCTCTTAGTAGGAGGCTCCATTATGTTTGTATCGTCCGTGTAGACGTTGTTGGCCATTTGTAGCGGGCGTTTCGAACGCGTCCGCGTCTGTGTCGCGCGATCGGGGCTGTCAGGTTGAAACTTGAGACAGCCACTGGCGTCAAGCAATCAATAACGTTTGCGCATTGCAGTATTTCGTAATAATCGGAGGTGGGCCACTCCAAACAAGTGGCTAAGCGCGCGCAGCAGTAGAAAAAGTAAAGGTGTGGTTGAGTGACGTGCGGGAAGGGAAGCAAAGGAAGCTCCAGCCGCGCAACGTCAACGTCGACTCAACTTCCTCCCCGCATCCACCGGCATCTCTGCTGCTCCCCCCACAAAACATCATATTATATCACATCATATCACATCATGAACTTGAACTTCAACTGAGGTTCGCACATTCGTCATGTATTGCCAGAAGTGTCGCACGCCCTTGACTCTCGATGGCTCACTGGGCTCGTTGAACCCCACAGCTTTCGAGCTGCTCGTTAGTAAGTGTCCACTCATTCCCATCCAGTCGCAGCGACTTGTGTCTGACCCCAAGCTTATCGCGAGAGTAGACTCTACAGGCAAAACAGTCTCTGACCAAGGAGCTACACCGTCGGGAAATCGATCCTCCAACCCTTCGGAACGTCGTGAAAATTACGAACGAAATGCAAATCAATCCACGGCCCCCTACTACCGGCGTTCTCTACAAGGCCCGCGGGCCGTGGCCCAGCCTCACGCACCAGGGCTGACACGAGGGGATAGCGGCAGCATGTCTTTCGTCATGCTCACAGAGTCCCAGTTTGGGCCTCCTGCAGTAGACACGTCTTCGCCGTCCCGTATCCACCGGAAGAGCTCTCAGCCACACGACCCTAGCCATGAGAACGGCTCATTCGCAAGTCAGGTCGAGAAAGCCACTCGTCTCTTCGAGATTGTCTCTGCGCGATCGGATATCGATCATCCTATCTGTATAGAATGTACTGATATGCTGGTGAATGGGTTGCAAAAACGATTGAACGCTTCTACAAAGGAGCGTGATGCGTATATTGCATTTCTTCGGACTTTGAATGCTTCTGTTCCGTCAAGTGAGGATATTGATGCGGCCGAACAAAGTCTCCAAGAGAGTCTCCAGGCCGAAGAAGTAGCCTTTGCCGAACTACAAGCCCTTGAGCGAGAGAAGGACTCACTAGACGAAGAAATCGCCGGTCTCGAAGAAGAGTCTCGGCAGCTCGATTCGGACGAGGAAAGCTTTTGGCGGGCCCGGAACGGCTTCTCTCTCACGCTGGGGGAGTTTCAAACCGAACGGGATGCACTGAACATGCGCTACGACCATGATTCGCAACAGTTGGAGCGATTACAACGGACAAATGTCTACAATGACGCATTTTGCATTGGCCATGATGGCTATTTCGGGACTATCAATGCCCTGCGTCTTGGCCGCCTGGCCAACCCCTCGGTTGAGTGGCCCGAGATTAATGCGGCCTGGGGCCAGACCTGTCTTTTGCTTTCAACTATTGCAGACCGGCTTAATTTTCAGTTCCAAGGATATCGCCTGCGACCACTGGGGTCCACCTCACGAATTGACAAAATTGAGTATCCTGTTCAGTCTGCTGGAACAGTTGCTACTGACCGTAGCGCGCCCAAGATCACCCAACTAGATCTCTTCTCCTCGGGTGATCTCCCGCTCAATCTTCCCTGGCTCCACCGTCGCTTCGACAGCGGCATGGTGGCGTTCTTGGAATGTCTGCGCCAGCTTGGTCAGTTCGTTGAAGCGACCCCAGCACCCATGGCCTCGCCACGGCGGGGCCAGCCTGGTACCACTGCTCCCGGTGTGAGACTGCCCTACGAAATCAAGCGGGACCGCATCGGCGATGCTAGCATCAAGCTTGGATTCAACCAAAACGACGAGACATGGACGCGCGCGTGCAAGTATACCCTGACTTGCTGCAAGTTTCTTCTCGCGCACACGAGCAATGTCGCCAGCACTGGCTCTCATTCGGCGGCCGTCGCCGCGGCAGCGGTAGCTGCTAGTGATCCAGCAGCTCGACCATCGTCAACCTCAAGCCCCACCCCCGCCAAGTCGCGGCCATGAACAAAGCCGCGTCAAATGCTCAAGGATTAGAGGACCAAAGAATGAAGGATTCAGCCAGGAGGCTACGTGCATGCGGTGGGCATCTCGTGCATGTCATCCTGGTCGATTGATTTGGGGGCGGGCGGCGCACTTTGCTGTTGAATGATCACTTTGCTAGGCGTGGTTTTGCGAGGGACTTTTTTTCTCAGGTAGTAATGCCAGCACCACTCAGGCTTGGTTGACAGGGCAAGCCTAATTGGGCCATCCCGGGTTTCGATCGGCAGAAGCTAGGAATCGCCAATCTCCCTTGTCATCTTTTCGGCTGGTTGCAGGAGACCACTCGTGGAGCGCGGAAGACGCCGTTCTATTCCCATTTGGCCTGCGCCTCAACTCCTCATGGCGGGTCAAAGGAATCCACTTCTGATATGGTGCTGCAGTCTCGTTGCGCGCCGCCACGACTCCCTTCTGATCCGGTCTGCGCGCTACATCCTAGTACCTGCATGCGATCCGAGCCGGTGAACGGTGGTCCGTGGGGCGTATGGCCACGGTCGCGGCAGATATCTCCGCCGCCCAGGTTCGGCGTTTGAAGTGTGGGCCTGAGCTCGAGCCAGCTCCACGCGGAACTGGCCTGCCGTATGGTTCTTTTCGCTCGGACTCCCGTTCTGGCCCCTTTCCCCCTTCGGCCTGGAACCTCGTTTTTGCCTCAGTCCGTGCTGGCAAGCCGTCGTCAATGCTGCTCAGGATGTGAAAGAGTCCACTTTGAGCCCACTCTAGGAGGGGCCGGAGTCCACATCGAATCCACTCGGATACCGTTTCTTGTCGGGTGCATAAGTACTAAACAAACTAAATGAAGAGGAGGAGCACTGGCAACAGGACCGCGCGCCCCGCATTTCGCCTCGAACCTCAGATCGATACCTGTTCGAGGAAGGGCGCTTCGGAGCCTGCATGCAGGAGGGACGGTGCCCGATTGTTCAGTCTCGTACTTGTGTCCTGTGCCTCACTCTCTCCTCATTTGCCACGTACTTTTCAAACAATACTTCCAGACGCCTCGACCAGTACATGAGCCAGGGCCAAGTGTACCTCCGTATAGACAAGATCGATCTCCCTTGTAATACATACATACACCATTGACGCAGTCCCTTCGTACTTTGTTCGTCTCCCTCGGGGACTGGGGGGGTTGTCCTCCCCGACCGTGTCGATCAATGCAGCCATCGATGCCTTGCCACCTGACACACTGATCGCGTTCTAGATATTGGCATCCGGGCTAGGGATGTTGTTCACTTCTTTGTACTCTGTACTCGGTGCCCAGGCGGAGTACGTCGAGGCCTTTCCATTCGAAAGTACCGATCTTTTCCAGTTACTATCCCCGAAATACGATGGCACCACCCATGGACTTACTGCGCATGTACTTTGTACCTCTCGCGGTGTACATTACAAAAGGACGAATAATTCCAAATGCGATCGTAATCCTCGCCTCTTTGTTTCATCTCACTTTTTTTTTTACCCATTATTATTTTCTCACCCCCTCTCCCCTTTGATTCTACACTCCTACTCCCACGTCAGACGCATGAGTCAGGACCCACGAGAGGTCTGAGTTTCGGCCGGATATGGTCAAGGGCCCAATGGGTTCAGAGACCAAAGCGCAAGGAATGCGAGGACTGAGACTCGCCCCTTGAATGGGGGAGGAGTGACACATTGCCCATCCTGGGTCACTCTGCCTTTTGCGCGTCTATTTTTGCAACATTCTGGGGAGGGGATGACACTGTCTAACGGCGAGGCATGTCTAACGGTTTCCCCCCCCCCCCACACCTTGCGTCCACGAGGCAACTTGACAACTTGACAAAAATGGCAAAAATGCGTGGGATGCAAGACCACCACTGACCAGCAAAACAAAAATATATTAATAATCCCAGGTATCATACAGCTTGCGCTGTAACAATACGAAATGGAGTGGCTTGTTGACCCAAAATGCCGGGAAGTTGAGTGAGTCCAAACAAAGGCTGTCACGAGTCTCGGGCCGCTCCCGGTCCATCCTGGATCCATGGTCGAAGTGTCCGGGGTATTGAACTAGTATCAAGGATACTAGTATCAAGTACGGACTATCCTGGTCTATATTGCCTTAGGGCAATTCATGCATCTATTCACGAATTGGTATCGCCATGAAAGAAAAGAGAGGAGAGGAGCTCATGCTCACCCGGGGATCTCCAGGACCTCCTTTGTCCCATCATGCCAAATATCCAATCAACGATCCCAACCCACCCGGCCTCCAGTCTCCTGTGGGCCAGGCAGCGGAAAATGCATCCCATTTGCGGCCAGTGCACTGCATGTAATAGTTCGGTTAGGCTGCGCAGTAGTGCAAAAGTACCTCAGCTCCACCGAGAAAGGCAATAGCCTCCAGCGAATAAGCCCATTTACTTTCAACCAGGCTAGAGCCCGGCCGGAGATCTCTCCCAGCATCCCGTACCGTTGGCGATCATGACAGTGACAGTGCACCTGGAGCCCCCCTCCCCATCGCCTCCATCCTTCTCGCTCGCTGATTTGCCCGGGGAAGCCAGGGGTCGTGCGTCCGCCGCAGCTCGCCGCAAAGAGAAATCGAGAGATTCCTTGGCCGATACTCAAGTTGCCTGGTGATCCATTCTTCATTACTGGCTTCTTTTTTTTTCCATTTTCCCTTTTTTATTATTATTAAGAAAACCATTTTATTCTCTCGCTTTTCTCGCTCAGCTAATGGGTTTTTATTGCTTCCGGTAGCCCTTTTGATTTGTATTATTTTTGCTTTGCTTTCTTTTCTCTTCCCCTCCTCGCCCTGTCCCTCTCCTTCTGTCGACCTCGCTCACATCGGCTCTTCGCCTCCCACGCTCTTGCCCCATGGCAAGATGGATCCTTTCCCCCCGCCATCGTCCATGACGCTCTCACCGCAATCGCCAACTCCGGCTCCGAATCCCACCACCTCATCAATTTTTCGGCCCCGCCGATCCGACGATTGGCACGAGTATCGCGACATTATTGAGCAGCTCTACCGCAATGACCAACTGAAGCTGCGCGATGTAAAGCGCATTATGGAGCGTGATTATAAATTCCAGGCCTCGTATGTTTGATATCAGATTTTCTTTCTATTATTGTTCCTATTTTGTCCCTCATTCACTTCCATCGATCTGTATCTGCAACTCGGGATTCTATTTTCGAGTAGCCTGGTACAGGTCGATTATACCTACTGCCTCTGCCAACCCGTGAAATTAACAAAATCCCAGAGAAAAACAATACAAAGATCGCCTTGCTGCCTGGCACGTTCGCAAGAATATCAAAGCTAAAGAGGTCCACCTTATGATTCGGAAACAGCAAAAACGTGCCGCGAGGGGCAAGCAGACGGCTTTTCGGGTGAACGGACAAGAGGTTGACAACAAACGCATTGCTCGTTTTCAGCGTCGCTACGGCGATAGTTGGAGCGAAGAGAAGGACAGGGATATTCAGCAGATGAGCCCGGAACCCAGTACGCCGATCTCTTATCATAATTCTTCCCGTATAGATGTCTAATATCATCGCAGCAACCCCGTCCGACATGACTTGCTATACTCCAGAACCCGCCGACGAGGCCGCCACGCCGATATCACCACCAGAGATCCAGTCTCCATCGCGTGAGCCCTCATCTTACCCTCTTAGCTACGGTAAGTACCATCATTTTGCGTCTGCCTCTGCATTGAGGTGACACCCACGGTCATGCATTACACTCGCTTGTCCATATTGAACCCCGCTAATCTAAACAGACCCCAATCATATTGACTCCATCCCCGACCTCATCATAGATGACGACTCGCCATTCCCAATGAGCATGCATCATAATCCAACTCGACGAGCGTATCATCATCATCAACCCGAATCATTAGTGCACTCGCCCCATACCCAGACTCAACACCCACACTCTCCGCACGCACCACACCCACATGCACATCATCCGCATCCGCACTCACTTCCGCCTCCTCATCTACCACACCCCCAGCACACTGTCATGCCTGCCACTGCAGGGTCTATGCCGCCAATCCAAACCGTGGTGCCCGCGATTCCACTGCAACCCGCCGCAGCCCCTGGACCGGCGTCTTCACATCGAGACTTTATGAACGCAGGGGGTATCGTGCCACCCTCTGCAAATATAGTCCATACGAACGAGTGGGATCGTCTTGATAATTTCCAGACACGGCTCGAGCTGCTAAACACCCGTCTAAATGATTCCATGTCAAGGTGGAATCGGGATCAAGATCCAAATGAGGTCCCTCACCACCCTCATCATGAAGGACTCGGGCTATAATCGGTTTCTTTATTCCCTATCCTTCTCTTCCTTTTCTTCTCTCTTCTCTCTGTGCTATGTAACTGGATTACCTCTTCACTATTTTTTTCCTCCTCCCCTCTACTACACCTCCCTCCTGTCTCATCTCTTGCCTCTTCCCTTCCTCCTATCCCCTTTCCCTGTCTCTCCCTATGGTATCAATCTCGCGGTTTCTTAGGAGCGTGCTCTTTTATTCGTCCAAGTATACATGCATCAGTCAGGGAGAGCGAGAAAAATCATAGCAAGGCGTTTCTTCATGACGGGTCGTTTCGTTTCGTTTCGTTTCCATCGGGACTTTTTAGATCGGGCTTGTGCTTGTCCCTGTTTACCTTCGACCTGATCATGATGGCCTAGGGTTCTTCTAACCTTCATTTCATTGTTTATATATTACATTTCACCCACACACATTTCAAGACGTCAACAGCAAATTTTATAGAAAATGCATTCATCTCAACAATCCCCAGCGCGGCTATTGAGTCCGAGTCGCACGATTGTGAATTTGAATCCGGTCATCATCACCACCTCCTTCACCACTCTGTACCAACACACCAAGACGAACTTGACCTCGAACCCTTTCACCACCGGCACTCTCCTCATCCTCCTTCGAATTCTCATCCCCCTTCTTCTCCTCAACCACCCTCCTCCACCCCCATCCACCACCCCAACCAACCCAACCCTCCTCCTGCGGCCCTCTACACCCTCCCAAAACAATCGCCAACCCTGCAAATCCCACCGCAGCAACCTCAGTCACCACCCACCCAAATCTAACAAAAAGCATCGGCCCCAAACTCGTCCCAAGAATATTCCCCCCCGAAAAGAAACAATACAAACGCCGTATTCACCCTACTCCTCGCACCAGGGGCAGACTCATAAATCGTAACCCGACAAGCCGTCAACGCAACCTGTTGTCCTAAATCAAGTAAAATGCACTGAATAATTGGTCCAGCGATATTTCCCCGGGGCCTGCTGTCGAAGTTGGCGTTCGTGTTGGTGTCGCTGCCAACAATCCCAACAAGCGCACCAACCAAACAAAACAAAACCCCAACGAGCGCCGAAACAAGCGGGACAGACCTCTCAAGAACAAGACGCGAGTACACCGGCCCAAATGCCATGGGGAGTATACCCACGACGGCGAATAAACCAATTACAAGCGTGGAGTAGGAGTATGGTTCGGCCGAGAGGAGGAATGTCAGCGTCGTCCAGAAGGATGTGTATGGTACTGAGAAGCAGAAGCCCATCAGAGAGGCTTGGATTAGAGTTGGATTGCTGATGAAGAGGGTAATGATACTCCATAGTATCGATGGGTATAGCATGAGTCTTTTCTGGAAGGTATTTTTCCTTTTCTTCGAAGATCCACTTGTATCTTGTGCCGTTGATGTCGGAGCTAAATCTGACGCTGACGCTAATGCTGGCGGGGTTTTGGTGATATTCATAGTAGCAGGATAATCCGGCATGAAAGCCCACAACATAATCGTGATACAAACCTGCAGACCCAGCGCGAGCCAGTATATATTTCGCCAGGATGTATATTGTGATATTATTCCTGCCAGGACGCGGGCGATTAGTAGGCCGAGAAGTAAGCCTGATGAGACAAGGGATATGGCTGTTGCGCGGTGTGAGGGCGGGGCGATGTCGCCGATTAGAGGGAGCATTATTTGCTGTGGAGATACCATGGTGGTTAGTATCAAGGGTAGTATGCTTCTGCTCCGTCTGCTAAGGTCTCTTCCTGGGCTATTTCATGTTCATGGTTGGCCCTGTTCAATTTATGTCTTGGATGTTCGACTCGGAGTCTTCCAAGTCCTTCTTCTGCGCCTACTAGTAGGTACTTAAATACCCACTACCTAGCACCGCTTTAATTTATAGAGTAGGGACTCTGATCCGAAAGAAATAAATGCCTCTAGTACATACCGGCGTAACAGTCGAAACAGCAGCAACAAAACTAAGCGCAACAAAGCACTCAAAGCTATCCGTCAAACAGAGTCCCAACCAAACAACCGCCGTAAAGCTCGTCAGGAGTAAAGTGAATGGTCTTCTTCGGACAAGATCGCCTAGCGGGCAGAGGAAAACTAGGCCTACGGCGTAACCTGCCTGCATGACTGTTGGAATTTGCGTGACGCGTTCGTAGGGGACGGTGAAGTCGGATGCGAGGAGGGTTAGGAGGGGGGTGTTGTAGTAGAGGTTTGCGACCTTTTTTTGATCAAGAGGAGGAAATGGTTAGTGGTTCCTGGTCTGGGGATGATGGGTTCAAGTTCAAGTTGTTTCAACTTGATTTTTTGGGGAATGGAGGTATATCATGTACTATTAGTTTCGGATCCGCATCCAAAAATACCGATGTAAGTCGGGAAACCCTGGCAGGGACTCGAAAAGATGTAAAGACCAGAGCAAAATCAAACCAGCTAGGTAATAAAAATGGAATCTTGAATAAGAACTCACCGTAAATGTCGTCGCAAATCCAAACAAAACCGTCAACGCCCAGCTGAATTTTACCGGATTCGATGGATCCCAGCGACATCGGTGCGGTGTGTAAGTGACCAGAGACCAGATCCTGTACAGCAGGGAATTGGGACACAATTGTGCTGATCTTGCGATAGACTCGGATTTGGATTCGGACTCAGGTGCGAATTCGAAGCAAGGTAACTCCGTGTCCTCTTTGCCTTGTTTTTGTTCTTGCGAGTGCTGTGATCTCTCTTTCTGCGTGGGAGCAGAAGTAGAGACTTGGGCACCGATATCGAGTTGCGTTTCATTTGGGAGGTTGTTTTCCTCGGCTGGGGGGCAGGACATGCCAGTGGTGGGTTTATTCAAAATTTTGAGCTTATACTTGTATTGGATTTTTCTTTCTCTGTTACTGTACCCTGTTCCCGACTATCACGATCCTGCATGTGACGGGGAAGAGGGCGAGGGGGTGGAGGGCAGGGGAGAAGTAAACGGGAAGCAAGAAAAAATTCGAACTGGTAAAAGTGAAAGAAAAGTGACAATTTTTAGAGCCGGAAAAAAACAAGGCTTGCATTAAGAAAGTTTGATAAGCATAGGCTAGCTCGTTAATCCTTGTCGATGGTGGTATTCATAGAGGAACCTGACCTCGTGTATACTAACTAGTACTAACGCAATTTTGCGAAAGTCGCTTCAGGATTCTGGCCCCAATCCAATGTACTGTAGTATTCACCAAGCATTGCCGGGGACAGCCCTTTCTATCATGATCTTAATACGACTGGTGTTTAGTCTTTAGTGTTGTTGCAAAAGTTTGAAACAACCTACGATATTGACCGCCCTGATCTCTGCCTTTTCAAGGGGAACAAGTAGCTACCTAAGATAGATTAGATTGGCCAATTTATTCAATCTTAGTAGCTACTAGTCTGCGATCAGAAGGCGGTCCATAATGGTGGGCAATAGGTGATTGCAAACTTTTGCAACACCACTGTAGAGCTACGCTGTCAATTAAAGGAATAGGAACTTGAATCAAATAAATCAATATGCACGTGCATTGCACTGGTAGATACTAAATACAATACAGAGTCATGGAAATCGCTAAACCCAGTCCAACCCCGTCCGGAGATAACCAGAGAAGAAAAGAAAAGAAAAGGAAAATAAGTGGTGAAAAGATAAAAAAGAAAAGAGGTGAGCAGATGACATATCCCCCGCTCCCAAGGGAAATTGTGGGTAAGAAGGAAGCGGGGAATTTGTCAAGGCGGAGGAAATGTGAGCCTCGTCCGCTTATGCGACGTGGGACAAGATCAGAATCAGATCGTTGGGTGTGATATCACTTATAAGATCGGAGGGAGAATCCTGAAGGATCCAGCCAAATCCATGGATTCAGTCCCAAATGAGGTGGAGGAGGGGGAGGGGTGTCAAAAAGAGAAAGAAAAGTTCAACCGTAAAGATTCCGACAGGCTTTTTCTGCGTTTCATCGCGTCGAAAAATCAATTCCGGTCCCAGTCCGGTGCGTGCAGTCTAGTCCAGTCCAGTCTAGCCATAAATCTATAAGACTCTCAAGTTCAAGAATAGAAGGTGCTCTTTTGGAAGCTCTCAGGCGAGATATCGCCCATCTTCCCCTTCAGCTCGGGAGGCTGATCAGGCTTGGACAGAGCAGACAGACTCTGAGTTCGCTCAGGAGCACCATTGGCCGGAGAAGCGAGAGCACCCGCGTCAGGACCCTCGATGGCCGCCTGATTAGGACGGCGCTGGATAGTCTCCAGGTACGGGCCGGGGAGATATCCGACGCCACCATCACGAGCACGGCAGCGCCACCACTCGGAAGCATTACCCATAGGATCAGACTTGCTGAGGACGGCGACGATATCGCCCTTCTTCACGGCGAGATCGATGCCGTTGCTCTCCTGTGTTTTGGGAGAGTAATCGTAGAGCACGCGGCAGAAGTCTAGCTTCGTGGGGTCGAGCGAGGCTGCGGAGCCGGGCTCGCCGTTCGGTCCGACGAGTTGTTGGCGGCGGCGAGCTTCTTCTTCTTGGGAGCGGGCAAGTGCTTTGATGAGTTTGCCCATTAGGTAGGGGAGGCCGAAGACGGCTACGAGGAACATGAAGAAGGGTTTCTTGGAGGGTTTGGCTGGGGCGGGTGAGCCGTCGGGGAGACTGGCGGCGGATGAGCGACCGCCCATAAAAGCTGCGAATGCCCCAGGTGTGAGGGCTGTTGCGTCGGCTGGGGGTGGTCGGCCGGTGAGTTTCGCGATGAGGGTGCGGAACCAGCGGATTATGGTGAAGATTCCCAGGGCTGAGCCGAGGGTGTTGCGCAGGTTGCCGAATTGCTCGGCGACCGAGACCATTGCTGAGACATTGTTAGTACAATGATGTCTTGGAAAGATGATAAATGGGATGATGATGGCAGGGGTGTTGTTCGAAACTCACCAAAGAATGAACTGTGCGTGGCCATGTAGGTGCTCTCGAGCATCTGGGCGAATCCGCCAAAGGCACCGACGATGCTCTCGATCATGTGGAAGGTGGCCTGGGTGCTTTGGCTGAAGGAGTTGGTCAAGCTGTTGGGGTCATTGGGATCCTGCCCAGGCATGCCCCCGTACATCCCTCCCATACCTCCCATACCGCCGTACATGCCTCCTCCCATGCCGCCGTAGCCGCCGTACATGGAGCCCATGCTTCCCATAGAGCCGAAGCGGGAGTAGGGAGAGGAGTAGCCGCCCATACCACCCATGCCACCCATGCCGCCATATCCTCCGTAACCGGTGGATCCTAAGCGGGAGGCGCCATATGGGGAGTAGTTGGAGGCAGTGTTGTTGACGACCGAGTTGAGAGTGTTGGGGCGGGAGGGGAGGTCGGGGACGGAGGTGGCTGAAGTTGCGGGGTTTGCCGCGGAGGAAGTCATCGCGGTGGCCGCTGGACTGGGTGTGGTTGTGGTTAATGAGTTTCCTGGACTGTTGTTAGCTCGAGGTCAAGCAGTCGATGAGTGGACGAGTTGAAGGGTGAAGGCCGAGGGACAACAGTAATAGTCACCGTCACGGGTATCAAAAGACTCAGACTTACCGGTTGCAGCGCCTGCTCTCTCCCACGGTTTAGGTGGCGACACCGACGCCATGATAGGACTTAGCGACCTTGCATTAGGTCTGGGTTAAAGAGGGGAGGGGGAAGGCGTAGAGGTGGATGGTAGAAGGTAGATGGTGGAAGGTGGAGAATGGAGACTGGAGAAAAGATGGGGGAAGAGTGAAATCGGTCGCATGTGGCCGGCAGTGGAGAAACCGAGGATGTCGGCGTTGTCCGTGTTGTGCTGAGAGATACGCAGGTGGCGACAGTGGAGCATAGTACAAAGTATACTAGTATAGTATACTTATTCTTGATTTTATGGTACTAAGGAGAAGAAAAGTATTCTTTAATTATCTTTAATTACTTCCTTCTACTTTTCTATCCCTATTGTGCCCAGGTGGGCAGCCCTTTGCTTATCTACCGTGGCCGATCTCGGCGTCGGTGTCCGAGGCGGGAAACATCCGAGGCAAGTATAAGTATACAATATACGAGTACAGAGTATACAAGTATCTTTTAGGGGCCAGGTACTATATATATCCTTGGAACTTAAAGTAGCCAATACCTAGGTACAACAGTATACTGGTACTTCTACAAATGGTACACCATCGAGTAAACAGCCATTTCTACAGCTCATCTAACTCTATACAATAAACTTCAAGTTGAACCAAGGTGATCCACCCAACGCCATATGCTATATACAATCATGCAATCCCATTACAACGCCAATCCCAATGCATTGGCAATGCCTCAGAGCTCTTGTTGGTGCGGGTTAGAGACAACATTCGGGTCTGACGGCGCCTGCAACCCCCATTCACGCGGAGGTACGGCCACTCCAAGCCAGTAATACCACAGACGCTGCGCTTCCATACAACCGATTTCATACCTAAAAAGAAAACACTCATATTAGTCTCAAGAAATCATTTTTGCCCGCGAGACACGGATACAGATACAGATATAGGGGAGAAAAGGTGAAACTTACAAAGTTCGCGGAAGATCGGCCCACGCGCGTAGCACGTACCACGTCGTGTCCCGTACCATCTGCCACTCGGTCATGATATCGTCCATAGTCGTCGCGTCCGGTTCACGAGGAGGTCGAACCCAGGGGTATCGGTGATCGGGACCCGGTTCATCGGGCCCGTGGTAGTATTGCACATTCTCCGATTCATAGTACAAGATACCACTTCCGTCGTGCCTCAATTTGACGTGTTTAGGATCGCTGGAGAACTGTTTCACCTTGGCTGCCTTGGGCGTGGACGGGGCGGCGAAATGTTGAGGGAAGGCATTGTCATTACCGGCTTCGATGGCTTCTTCGAAACTGCGCGCTGCGGCGATACTGTGCGAGATGCGGCCGAGAGTGTTGACGAGGGAGACGAGTTCGGTTCGGCGGAGAGGCGGGTTCTCGCCGTTCTTCGTCTCGTCGTACTCGAATAGTACCTTTAGTGCGGTTCCGTAGCCGTTTACTTGGAGTTTGCCCCAGAGTCGGCACTTGTCGCACCCCACGCAGTCCATTAGTCGACTGACATTACGGAAGCGGTTGCGGAAGTCTTCCTTCAATCCATCGGCGCTGGCGTCCTGGAACATGAGGTTCTCGTCGAAGATTTGAGGGGGTCGGGAGAGGATCTCGGTCAGCTCGCTGACGCGCTCCTTGGTGTCGAGTTGCTGGGTCGGGTCGCTGGTGCAGAAGGTGTAGTCTTGAAGATGCTTGCGGAGCTTGGCGACGGCGCGCGACACCAGGGCGTAGTTAAAGTACATGTTGGAGATACGTTCCGGATGCTCGTGGAGGCGTTCTTTGAAGCATTGCATGTTGGGTTGCCACTTGCCAGTCGTCTGGTTGAGGTAGTCCCAGCAGAGGTGGGTAGAGATAGAAGCATGCATACCGCTGATAAGACGGTGGAAAACACGCTTCTCCAAACACTCATTGTCCAACGGAAGTCCGTCCAATCGAGCCGACTCCTTCTGCAGCACATTGCGGAAATCCGAGAACGCCTGCAGTCCGCCGCCGCCCATCGGCACGCTCAGCGACTGCTGCTCGGCCAATTCCTCGGCATCGTGCTTCACAAAACAGTTCTCGCGGTAGATCGCGTTCCAGACCTGGTGTGCGCCTTCTCCGGAGTATCCGGTGAATCGCTCCGGGTTGTCGACGAGACTCACGTAGTCGCCTTTACCGGCCGATCCCTCGTCCTCGGGAACGCAGAAGTCTCGCTCATCGCATTCATCGTCGTACTCGACCACGCAACTTTCCCCGACACCCTCGCCGAGAGTTCCTTGGAGAGGACGCTCTTTCGGCCGCTCGGCTTGCACCTTGCGGGGTGGGTGTTTCGCCTTGGGGCCTTCTAATTTACTCAATTCTTCGGCTCGCCACGTCAGCGGAATATCTTCTTCGGATTCGATTGTGTTGACGGAGCAGGCGATGTTGCCGCACATGCTATTGGCATCGGACCAAAAGGGGCATTCTTTGTTGAATAGATTGAGACGGTAGTAGGAGAAGAAATCGGTTTCTTGTGTGATTGATTGGAGTAGGGTGTAGACTTCGTCATTGAGTTTGTTGATGGTACCGTAGGAGACACACGCGTCGGTGACCATGGCCAAGGGGTCAATCTAGTACAGCGGAATCGTCAGTCACTGAGAATTGTAGGAAAAGGGAATCTGGGGCAAATTTACCGCGCATTTCATAGTGTCCAGCGCGCCGGAGTCATGGCTGCTGGTGTCGGCATCGGCGAGGCTCCCAAGGGCAAACACTGCCGCGTAGAGCAGCCTGGCAGCTCCGCGCATCTTGTCGGTGGTTACGACGGCCGTAAAGAGAGTGCTATCGTCACAGAGGGTAATGGTGACAGTGGAGGACGAGCAATGCAGGGGAAAGATAAAGATTGCAAGGTGGCGTAAAAGTTGGAGAAATCTCCAACGCTCGGTAGGACAGATCGAAAGATGGGAAAGGAAGGACCACCTAGTTAGCGCGACAGCATGTCCAGAATATCGATAATCAAAAATGGAACTTGAAAGCAAAAAAAGCCAACAGTGATGAAATGCAGGGACGCCAAAGTATAAAGTGAGCAAGTGGAAGTGGACAGGACAGTCTGGCCTCGGTGGCGATCGGCCGATCGAGTGCCAAGAAATGCGTGGGCTGACAAACACGAAGATGAGCAGTTGGATTAACGTACGGAATACTCGGAATTCATCAGGAGAGAGATCATACGAGTGGAAAGAATTGTTGCATAAATATGCTAGTACTAGGAGTATACTAGTACTGGCAAATAGTAATTAATCGGATAGTTGTGGTACTTCAAGTTGTTACTTGTACTACTACTAGTAGTACTGACCACCCGGGGCAGCCGTCGGATATAACGACGATCGCTCGGAGATAAGCTAACTAACTAAACATACTACTACTCCATCATTATCCCATATACTCTTAGTACTATTTATGTTCAAGTTCAGTTACAAGGTTGTCTAGCCATTGGGTAGTTATGAGTAATCCGAACTTGAAGATATAGTACTACTAGCAGTACTACTACTAGTAGTATTTGCTTCAATTATATATAGATTCAAGAAAAAAGACCATTTCGCACCGAAATAAAGTCAACCCTGAACAACCTTGGGATAAGACACAAAACACCAAACCAACTTGCAATTGAACCAGATAATTTGAAAATGAACTCCAGACTTCAAGTTCTCAACGGGAAGAGAACAGGCGTATTGAATACCAGCAGACCTCGGGGTTTTTAGTCCCAGGTCTTCTGTCACATCCTTTATCATCGGGAATCACATTTTCTGCACCATTTGGCTGACCCATTTCCCGCCCATGGCGTCAATTGGTGAAAATAAAAGCGGCTACAAATCAAAAAGATGGTTCATCAGGTGCTTGCTTGAATGTTGAAGGGGGAAAATAACTCCCAACTTTAAGTTGGCCCCGAATCACTATGTGTGCCCTCTTTGCTAGAAACATTTAATCTGGACTATTTATCTTTTCTGCAGGTGCGGGGTTTTGGGGCTAAATGCGGCTGAAATGCCCAGCACGGAGTTTTACACCTCACTTGGGCATCTAACGTTCTGTACCATAACTAGCACTCGTTCGTTTTTCACGAGAGTTTAATATTTTTCTGAAAGCTCATCCAATGATTTTCCGAAAAAGCCCTACCACTAGAGTTTAGGCTTCTGCGTAGATTACTACAAGACTTTTGGAGGGCACAGTTTGCGCCTTGGTTTCTTGGAACCATGCAAGGATAGAACCGAAGCGCTTGTGGCCTTTCCTCGACGATACCTTGACATAGCCCCAGCTCTGCGGCACTGAATTGGGATTTATTAGCTATCATGGAAGTTCGAAACTTCGATTCTGCTGTTAGCTGTAACTTGATGTCATTGTTCCCAATGGTAGACCCCATTCGTAGCACACGATCTCTAAACCGGTAAAGAGTCTCCTGCAAATTCCATAGTTAGGACCAGAAGCGACGCTACCAGTCGGTTCTATTTCAGAGATTGATTAGAAGGCAAGTAACGTGTTCCAAAATGGGGGCTTTAAAGCTTAGGTAGGAAGATGGTGGTATATTTGTCATTAGGAAATTGCGTGATATACTAGTAGTTTACAGCCGGACTGAGCCCCCCCAAAAGATAGGGCTGAACCGTTGAGTACTTTGGTAATAGCCGCATAGAAAGCTTCCTCTGAAACTCTATGTCCATTCATAACAATACAGAAATTGCATTACCTAAATCCTGGCTCAGAGCTCCGACTCCGAAAGTGCCCCACGTTTCACGGCTTCGGAAAACAAGCACGATGACCCCAACGCAAAAATCACCTCACCTTGCGCAATGAAATTGTCGAATTAGATTTCATTCCGAGAAACACCAGTCCTGCTGAAGGAAAGGCATACGACTGCTTAGAGGATCATATGAATGGTTCTTAGCGGCCGGTTTGCTGGTACATCTTTTTCTATAACTTTCGTTTTCAAGAATCCCCGCATTGAATCAACCCCGCACTGCAAAACAGCTCGTCGACCCATTCAACTTCCAAAGTTGAACCTCGTGCATCTCCGTGGAAAACCTCAATCCTTCAACATGTCGTCCCAAGCCAGCCATCTCCCCACCCTAGACCATCTTGTCGTCCTCGTGTCTTACAACACTCTGGAGAGCTTAACCAGCCGCCTTAAAGATTTATTCACAGTCGCCCCGGGTGGTAAACACTCCAACGGGCTTACGTCGAACAAACTAGTCCTCTTCCAAGACGGGGTCTACATTGAATTCATCGCCTTTTACGACAACATCGACCCCGAAAAACGTCGAAGCCATCGCTGGGGAAACCTCCGCGAGAATAGCATCATCGATTGGGCATTCACATATCCCCCCAACAATGACTTCAATGCGGTCAGAGACCGCGTCGCAAGTACAAATACACAGATATCATACGAGGAGCCAGCGGAATGGAGTCGAGAGAGAGATGATGGCGTGATTCTCGAGTGGACACTTAGCACGGCAAATGGGCCACCCGATAGCCCGATCTCACCAGGCCAGCTACCATTTTGGTGCCTCGATACAACGCCCAGGTCGCTGCGTGTTCCTTATAAAGAGTCGCCTCGGTTGGCTCAACACCCATCGGGCGTCCAAGGTGTTGCTTCGCTAGAACTGGCTGCCGACTCTGGTGATATCGACCGTCTGACAAAGGTATACGAAGCCTTGTCTGTCCCAACAGCACCAGGTGGTCGAACTTGGAGTTACAGTGTGCCCGAGGGCCAACAAGCTGGTACTATCTCTTTGGGGGACACTCTCGGGGAGTGGTCAATTACTTTGACGTTGAGTGGAATCGACTCCAGGCAGATTGAGCCATTGCCTGGACTTGTGTTTGAAATTAAGGAGTAATCGTACAGATATTCACATAATGATTTCCTGAATGGAGAGCAAAGTGTATTCCAAAAGGACATAGTGACATAGTTAAGCTTAGTAACCAATTCACGCTCAAACGTATCAATTCACAATGCTAGAGCCCCATATGATGATTAATTATTTGAAACGAATTCTCAGCGGCATAATGACCTAGCCCTTCGAATCCATTTCGCGAGCCACCTCTTCTCGTGCAGGCAATTCGGCCGGGGGTACGTTCTGTCCAAGCGCGACACCGCGATCCGATCCCTCAAGCTCTGGTCGAAATTCATCCGCATGCAACTGGGGTTTATCATCCATGGGAGGTTGGCTATCGGAATTGCTGTCCTTGATTTTTCGAAGCCGCCGGCGGCGCACAAAGAAGGTTCCAAGCACTGCTATGATCGCAACAGCTACTACAGGCACCACGACGGCGGGCGCAATAGTAGTAGCATTGGAGCTGCTTTTACTACCCGCGATATCCCCCGAGCCACTCCCCGTCTGTGTGGCATAAACGGTAACCGGGCCTTGCGATCCCGATGTTGTTGTTAAGAACGTACTGGATTGTACCGCGGTTGCGGTTGCCAGACTGGAATTAATTCCAAGAGAAGCAATCTGGGAACTCAGGGACAGCGCGGAGGCAAGTAAATCTGATTCTTTGGCGAGGAGGCTTTGTACTCGTGATTGCTCACTACTGCTCGTGAGAGTGGTGTTGCAGTAGTCTAACCATTGTGCAAACTCCGAAAACTGACTCTGTAGTGTACCATTGAACCCCTCCAAGGAGCTATTATCAACGCATGTACTGCAGTTTTGTAGTGGCTTCATAAAGAGTGAGTCGACTCGCAAATTTCAGGCTTCTTTCCTGTCATTTGAGCTTCCAAAACAGCATCGTCTGTAAGAAGCGCTCGTTAGCCTATGAAAGCTATCCTGAATTGATTCGAGCCCACGTACTGCAATCCTCATAGCATGCAGCGGGAATTTCTGAGGTTTCCCGTTTCCAAAACCCGCTGAGAGCATGCGAGATTATCTGGATCGCCATTATCTGAGGGTCACATTGTTAGCAAAATGGGATTTAGCCTGGGCGCTGAGGGGTTTTCTGCATTTAAGGAAGACTAAAATCCGCCCCCCAATTGTCAAGCGATGATAGAAAGTGCTTCATTCCTATTTCGAAATAAACCCTGTCAGCTTGCGGCCCATGTCTATTGCTACTAGATTATCATTGGATAGTCATTCTCGATATGCACCAGGAGCTGATTCTTTCCTATTGGAGCCGCATGTGCCTTGGACTCTTTCAGCTCCGCACTATTCCCTCGTGATTTTTTTATTGTTATTATCCTACCAGTGTTGGCTAAGTGTGTTGGAATGAAGCGTGGTCTATAATAAGGACGCATTTGGCCCCAGGCATATTCCTCTATGAAAGAAAGGCTATTCAGTAAATTCATCGACCTTTAAAGATTTCTTGACCCCTAGTAAACCTGGGAAGGCAGTACAATGCCACCCGGTCTCACTGGAGGACGCGTGGAGAGTTTGATGCCCCTGACACCGCTGTAAATGGGAAAGGTACGCACGGAGACAAGCTAGTCCTACATCAACCGGCTTGTTGTTTATAGCCTACTTTATCTTTCTAGGCCAAGTATTATAAGCGAAAAAGTCCCATAGGGCTGTAAACATCAACAAAGCATTTACTATTTCCCCGAAACTCTTAGATAAACAAAAAAAATGTACCCAGCCGACTCAACCAACAAAAGAAAAAGCCTCTACCCTCGCTCCCACACCCCATAAACCATCTCATTCAAAACCCTCCCCATACTCGCCTCACTGTTAGGCGCACAGTCAAGTACAACCCGAATAGCATTTTGCGTCGCCATAACCGAATCAACCCCCAATACCCTCTTATCGACAGCATTCATAATATGAACAAGTAATTTCCCCATGGGTATATTGCACTGCGCACGAAGGATACGGCTGGCAGCGTCATCCTTTTCTTCGTGCAGATTTGTCAAGATCATGTCGACCAATGCCAGTCCGGCACTTTGCCATTTCCCCGCGATTCGGAGTTCTCCTGTTTTTGGGTCGTTGTAGTTGATATCTACTATTGGACGATTCGCTTCCAGGTCCCAGAGTGGAGAGTGGGATTCTTGGGGATGGGTTAGATAGATGGGTTGGCTCATTTCTAGTGACGGCGTCCACTGGTCGCCCGGTGGCATCCTACCGGCATCCCACCGGCATCCCACCAAAAGTCAATCGATATCGAACAGTGCCGATGAAGATATGTCAGTAGCCGTTCCAAAGTTTCCCTGTAGAGATCCATGGTAGTGTTCGTTAAGTCAATCGTAGAGCGCGTTCTCTTCTCAAGAGCCATATCGGATGGAGACAAAAGATGTCAAATGTAAAGTGTGATTAATATCAAGAAAGAAATAAAGAGACTCAAGGCTTCGGCTTGCACAATTGTACTTGAGAAAAATATGGCATGCATAAGAGATAAGAGTCCACGCAACTAGGAAAAGGGGCATTATCTAATTACCCAGGACTAAATGGGCGACAGGAAGTTTACTTCGTTATTTTTATGTGGGGCAAAAGGGGGTTCTAAGATGCCCGAAGCGGAAATCGAATTTGCGGATGATTCACCGATTAATAATTAGCTAATTACCCTGAACGAATTTATCAGCCTACTATGCTGTAACTGGGTGATACCAGTATTCTGCAGATTATATAAATACCACAGTAGCCACGCTGGTCTTATACACTAGACCCTATCCTCATAACTATTTGCGTCTTGTTTCATAGTCGAGCCCACCACTTGAAAGCGTAAGAAGGAACATCTGCTATTTCATCATGAAGGAAGCGATTGTTAGGACTGACACATCAGTCGACATCATTGATGCTCCCATCCCAAAGCCGGGGCCTGGCCATGTGTTGATCAAGGTTATCGTCGCCGGTAGGTACTAGATCTTAGAGGACCTGCATGGACGGCGTATACGCGTCAAGGTACCAATTTTTTGATCGGCAGCTAACGCGAACTATTTAAAGGTTCCAACCCGAAGGATTGGAAGCTCCCCATCATGCGCGGTCCTGATATGAACACTGGTGACGATATTGCTGGTACCGTGGAAGCCGTGGGAGAGGATCTCGTCGGATTCAACAAAGGGGACCGCGTGGCCGCGTTCCATGAGATGACGACCTCGCACGGGGCCTTCGCTGAGTACGCCATTGCACCCTACTACACTGCCTTCCACATTCCCGACTCAACTACCTTCGAAGAGGCTGCCACGATTCCTCTAGCCGCCTACACATCCGTCTGCGCACTCTTTCAGGAGCTCGAGTTACCGGAACCCTGGTCGCCACTCTCCAAGGCCGCGGGTAAGGAGGGCACTAAGCGTCCGCTCATCATTTACGGAGCCAGTACTGCCACAGGAGCTTTCGCTATCAAGCTTGCAGCGGCCGCCAATATCCATCCTATCATTACCGTTGGTAGCAAGAGAAGCGAATTTATCAAGCCCTTCCTCGATGAGAGCAAGGGAGATGTCCTCGTTGACTACACTGCTTATGGTACTGAGGAGGAGTTAATCAAAGCTATACAGGAGGCTGTCAGGAAGGGAGGTGCTCCCGACGGCCGCTGCTGGAAGGCTTTTGATACCGTTTCCGAAGATGACACGGTCAGACTCGTCACTAAGGTCATTGCTGGCCCGCCGGATGCTGCTGGTCGGAGGCCAAAGGTGACTAACATCTTTCTCAAAACCGAGGTCGAGGGCTCTGACCCGAGTGTTGATATCGTCTTCTCCATGGTCGGTCAGGTTCACTACAAGGATGAGAACGACAAGCTTATTGGCGTGACATGGGGCGCAGCGTTTGCCCGGGGTCTGCGCGAAGGTTGGCTCACAGGCCATCCCTACACTATAGGCAAAAACGGTCTCGAGGGATTGTCTGAAGGTCTAAAGGGTCTTAAAGACGGAAAGATTCGCGCGCAGAAGTTCTTGATGCGCCCCAGCGAGACACCAGGTGCAAGCGATTGAGCTAAGCAAAGCGAGTTAAACGCCCACCTGGCCGGAGACGTGGTAGAGTTGCCTTTTAAGGACATGTTTAGAACTGACAATCTTGTATTAGACATAATCTGGAAAGTGTTTCATATGTCATATTCTCATTTTATTCTGATGACAAATGACCTTACCAAACCTTGGCATTTCCTAAGTGGCTGTAGCTCTGGGTAAAGGAAATTAGACTTGGGTATAAGGTCTTAATGACTATATAGCGCCCGAGCATATCACAATTACTCTTTAACTCTAATCGTATCGCAGTTTTGCATTACCCAACGGGCAATATCGCTAAAAACCGCTGGGCGGCTCCTGCTTTGACGCTGTTTTTGACAAAAGAATCCGAATCTTGATCTTTGTGGATTTGCTTAAGGTCCAGGAACTAATCCAGTCATACATTCCCCTTTCGAGCTGTATTGAGTACATACGACCATAGGGTGTGGAGAACAGGGCTTCCCGTCCGCTCAGCCGTACTTAAGCCACACGCCGGCAGGTTAGTAGTATGGTGGGTGACCACATGCGAATCCCTGCTGTTGTATGTTTTATTATTTATTTTTATCTCGCAGACGGCGTCGTAGAGGGCCCTGAAAGGCGTGCAGGGCAGGGCAGACTCACTGTTTGACAAAAGGCAATGACGGGTGGGGGTTCAAGATAGGGCGATTTTTCTTTATTTCCTGCATCCCGGGGCTTTCCGTAGCTTCCACCTGAGTAATAGATTCCCTCTCTCATAGTCGAATCTGTTCTCTGTCTCTGGGAACTCGACTCTGCTCCTTGTCTTGGGCATAGACTCGGAATCGTTATTCGGAGGCGAAGAGATCAGTGAGCAGGCGCGAGTGAAATATGAACTCCTTCCCGTCTTGCTCGTAGAAGAGTTAATGGGGTATAAGAGCCGTTTTCTTCATTTGGTATTCGAATATTTTCGAGGCGCTTTTGCCAATGTGCCGAAGGTCGGGTGCTCCGTAGAATGACATTCTGGCCCGAGAGTAGAGGTATCTTGACAGCCTGAACATAAGACCATCAGTATGGGTGAGAGCGGGACAAGCTCGACAAACGCAAGATGAAAGATGAGAGGGAAGAAATCCTCATTCCAAATTTGAACATGGAATGATGATACCTACAACCTTGGGTCAGGCACAAACTTAGTTGAGGACTAGTAGTGGCTGTATTCGAGCCGTGGTAAAATAAGCTCTGAACCGTGCCTTTCCCGAAAAGGTTAGTGGAAAGACTATCCGACTATCAGACTAGCTTCTCGCCGCCACAATCGTGCGGGGTTAGAAGAGGGGTATCTTACCAGCTGACCAGATCAGACGACACTGTAATGTGAATATGGCGAGGGATGAGATGGGAAAGGAAGAAGTGAAGTGAAACTATCTACAATATGGAAGGCGCGGCAACCTAGACGTCATGGATGCCTGAGGCGCCCACGCCGCAACATATGGAAGTGAGGTGACAGACAGTTCAGTAAGAAAATTAAAAGCTACCAGTAACTAGTACTACTGAGCCGGCTGTCGCTGTGTAGCGCCGTTCCAGCTCCCTACGGTGTACAAGTAGAAAGTAACTCGAAGGTCCGGGTGTATAGAAATGACGGGTGATGATGAAAAAAAAATAAAACCGTCTAGATACATAACGAATCCACTCGTCTATAAAACATTTAAGCAACACGAGTGGGACGAAACCGAAGGAAAACAACCCAAGAAAGAGAAGAACACTCCCGCCCAAGAAAAGAAGAGGGATAAAGTTGAACAAGAAGACAATACAAAACTCCACACTGACTCCTGGTATCTCGTACAACCATTAACCAGGTATAGTCGAAAAAGGGAAGAAACCAAGCCCCAAGAAGAAAAGAAAATCAAGAATAGTCATGATATCGTAAACTCGTCACCGATCCGATCACCGATCATGCCGTACTCCGACGCATCTTGTTGCGCTTCAGACTGAGCTTTTTCTTCAGTGTCGCGAACGGGTTCAGAAGAGGACGATTATAGAAAGGATCATTCTTGAAGTCATCGTCGGTGAATTTCTGTTTCGTGAAGGTCAGCGCAAATCTTCAACAATGGACGAATGACAAAAAAGCCTTCTGCCAGAGGAGAGAGAAAAAACAAACCTGGCCAGGAGTCCTCATGAAATTCCCATAATCATTCATCATATTCGTCCCCTCCTCATACGAATAGGTCTGCCCACACCGATCTGTCTCGCCAGGTGGGAAAAAAGCCACACCATCCAGCGGCCGATGCGAATTCAGACAGTCGATGATTTTGTCACGAGGCGTTGCGCGGAGAGCTTCCTCGTTCGACTCGCGGACTGCCTCGAGTGGACTGCGCTGGCTGATACGGTTGCGCTCGGGACAGACGGCATCGTAGGGTCCTTCGTGGTGGTAGGAGTAGTTTGTCACGTCGTCGAGTTGGTCGATTATGTCTGGGTTGACGAGTTGGGAGGTACGTGGGTACCGGTGTGTGCGGCGGCGTGGGATCGAGCTTGTGCTGTTTCGTTTGCGCTCGCGCTCGGCTTGGTGGTGGGTGTCTGGGGACCAGTCTGAGAGGGAGATGGGTGTGGAGCGTCGGTTGTAGGTGGTGGTGTTGTGTGGGGAAGAAGTGGTGAGGCGAGCGTAGGGGTTGTTGCTGCCAAAGTGGGAGGTGGAGTTGGAGGAACTCGAGGAGCTGGAGCGTCGAGTTGATGGGGTATAGGTGTAGGTGTAGTTGTAGGTATAGTTGGAGGGGTGGTGGGGATGGTGGCGCGAGGCCATGGGGATACAGTCGACTGCCATGGATGGGAGAGTAGTAGGAGTAGGATGGGATATAGGGATGAGAGGGAGAGGGAGTAGGGAGAAGAGGGGGATATAGTGAAGGAGTTGAGTAAAGTGTTAAGGAAAGAGGAAAGAGGGAGTCAAATATTCGGCAGGAGACGGCATGACGTGTACTTCTACTCTACACCAGCACCAGCTACAGAGTACCGAGTAGCAGTGCCAGTACCAGTATCCTCTGGGATTTTCATGTGGCACTATTAGTACCACTATTAGTGGTACACTATCAGTGCCACTGCTTCTGCCGCGCGTAAGGCGTTCCTTAGTGACCCGGTAGTCCCGATCGGCCCCGTTCGGCTAGTTGGTTGATGGGACTAGTGGTCTGTCAGGGCCTGCAATGATCCACAGTTCTCCAGCATCTACTCTGCATGTGCTCCTCCGTATATCTCTGTAGTGCGACATTGACCACCTCGAGTAATGGATCCACTTCCGACTCCACTCTGCCCCGCGAGGGATCGTCAAGTGATATCATGGGGCAAATGATGTCAATCTCACAGTTATCACCAGGCAGTAGAATAGAATATTCGAGATCTATACCAAGTAGTGTACGGGAACAAGATACAGCAAAGTAATCTAGTCAATAGATCCCAACTATACAGATACCACGAGAGCCTATGTACTCACAGTGAGTACCTGCACTTACTATGTACCTCAATTTCTGCCGTTGCATCCACCACATCCGAGACTTCCACTCTTCCACTCTTCCACCTACTCTTCTTCCTCCCTTCCACTCCCTTCCGGGCTAATGATTCATTCCCCTTGCACCCGCAAACTCTGTTCCTTAATCCCACGCCATCATTTAAGCTCACCGACTAGCTAATAGTCTTCTCCTCCCCCATGACGCAAGGAGGTATCCCCTCGTTATGCATCTGCACCTGCACTGCAGTCTAGACCTCCCCCCTCTCTGAATTCAATTCCAATACTTTCTCCCCTGCTCTCTCTGTGCTTATTTTTATCCCATGGCGTACAATAGTTCTCAAATCATCGCTTCCCCGTCAACTCTCACAATTTGATTCGATCTGATCCCTGAGCTGAGGGACTTGGTGGTTCACCGCCCGGGCGCCTTGCACACAGCGATGTAATATTACAGTATTGATCGAATCGTCAGCACTCGCCATTTACACCTCCTTGGGCATACTTCTAGGCTTCTAAAAATGTATTCATTTCGCCAGTGCCCTTGCTGCCTACCTGCTGCCCAGGTCTACTCTCGTGTCTCACAATTACTACTTACTACTAGTATGACAGATCACAGCCTAACACCGCCTCAAAACGCCAAGCCCATGTGGAATGTGGCATTGCGGCGCGTGGCTTGTCCATCCGTCGTATTAATATTCAGCTATTGTGCACGGTATTGGATCGCATTCCAACGGTAATCCTAAATCGTAAAATCGACACATCACGTCATGCCAAAAGTCTGCCAACTCAGTTGATTTGGGCCGAATGTATCAGCTATCATATCAATTCAAATCCCGTCTGATGCTTTTCGGAGTAGTTCTCTCCCACAAGAACCTGTGCTCTAGGATCTTTCTCTCTCTTCTTTTATTTCCTGCATCAGCTAATCTATCAATATGTTTATAGCTTATACCATATCAATTGGAAATTAAAAAGTGGTTTCACTTTCATGTAAATTTTAGCATCCGTATTCTCAATACCACATAAATTACACCACTGACACTTTCGCACGAGTAGCAAGGTTCCAATTCTAAAACACTTTATCTATTCTTGGAAGCAGTCCGGAGACAGTTAGTTTCGAGGAACAGGGGTTGACAGTCTTGTTACTACTCCGCACAGGCGTTCGAGAACTGCTCTGCTGTAGCCAGCTCATCTCATCTCACCCTTACATTACTCAATCTAACCAACTGGCCTAGCTAACCCGGCCCGACCCAACACAACTCTTTGACCACATCATTGCCATTCCATTCCGACGAAGATGGCTGACATTGTCAGATCGTTCGCATTCCCCGCGTCGGTATAAATTCTCGACACCTCCGCCCCGCGATGGGATCGCTAGCTCCTCCAATCACCGCCACTCCGTCGATCTTACCCGGTCCAGATCGCCATCTCGCATAGACCCTGCAGGTAGATTTGCGAGCTGTCGTGCCAGATGAGTCAGATGCTCGCGGGTCATCGGATGCATCGCGGTCTAAGATATGTGGCTCGTGATTATTTGGTAGATAAATATAGAGTAGTTGGGGCAGAATGGGACCAGGGAGGTACATAGTAGGTTACTGGCTGTTCTGATGGTTCTATTGCGAAACGGATACTTTGTGCGCATTGGGGTTGCACCACTGCGTACTATTCATATAATTGCTTCATTTTATTTATTTTTTTCGTCGGAATTGCATCCTGAGTAGAGGTAGACACTCGATACACCTCATCTAGCGAGAAGCCATGCCTGCATCACCCGCTCGACAGTTCTGTATACAGCCGCATCCACACAAGCTTTCAAGCAGCCAAAATTAATTCCCCGCGTCCTTGAACCAGGGCCATAGTGAGCGTATTTTGAGTAGGACTAGCTCAAAGTTTCCTTTTTCTTTTTGCTGGTGGCTTTGCGGCTAACAGATACGCACCTGAGTTGACGGGTACACGCCTGAGAAAAGAATGAGGCACGGGAGTGGGGTCTAGAAGATATGCTCAGCTAATATGGTCTAAGGAGCATAGCATAACTCCAACTCAACTTGAAGTTAACTTAGTTTGGCAACAAGGTCTGGTCTACAATAGTACCTGGGGTATGTACGTAGCATAGATAAGCAGGTGTGAACTTCTGGGTTATATACATGAACTCGAAAGAAGGTTCTCTTTAAATCAATCAATGAATGACTATTGGAAACTTATGTTCCAGGTTATGCAGCTTCAAAGTGAAAAGCTAGTCCTACAAAATCTAACAGTCAAATTTGACCGTACACGAAGAGCTGACGCCAACTGCAATACCCCATACCCTAGAGTCTTTGCTGGGTTTTTCACCCTTGATATGGGTCTGAGTAGCATAAGCACCATGGCATTCACTGAAAAAAAAAAATCAATATGGTTAGAAAATCATTCAATACTGTATTCAAAGGGTGTGAAGGAATTTCCATACGTAAAGTGATTGATATCGCAGCTCGAAGCCCAGGCAAATGTGTCTTCAAGTCCATCGCCTTCAATTTTCATCAAGTCGGTGCAAACGCCCGGCCAGTGTCTGTCTTGTTTGGCCTCGCCGATTTTCTTGTCACCTCTGAAGAGCGTAACGCCTTCATCGTTTGGGGTTGAACCTTTGACGGTTGTCTGGGACTGCCAGCCAACGGCCCTGCACTCGTCCTTTGCCAAAGCGGTCGGGAGGCAGGAGGCCAGCAGGAAAGCAGTAGCAGCGGACTTGATGTTGAACATATTGGTGAGATGTAAAGGTTGATTGGAATATCGAGGAAGAAAGCTTTGGATAGAGTTCTGATCGATAGATGGTTTGAATTTAGATTGCTAGATTCTAGAGAGAAGTCACAAAGGTGATTTGTAGTCTCTTTAAATATCCTTTACATCGCCGGATTGATACCTGGAAGCAAGTACACTTTGCATTCAACTTGGAGGAGTCTTGAATCGATCAGGTTCCTTTGCCCGTGACGCACATGATATAAGACGATGTTGCATCTCAAGTTAAAGGATTCAATCCTTCCATACTCTCCGGGCCAGTAAGATATGATACCCCAGATTGACCCGCCAAGATTTGGGGCCGCCAAGATCTAGGTCTCCGATATTGTTTGCATGAGATCTAGTAAATTTGACTATCCCCCACAATTTCTAAAAGAAATCGTGGCAATATGACGTTGTAGTTTGGGGTCTAGAGAGCCCTGGAGGGCTAGTAAAAAAGCCCCTCAGCATAGACTGGTACATAATAACGGTTTCGCCTATGCGGTGGTTGGGGTCGGTTGCGTTTGGTAGCCAAATATGGAAGAAGCGTCCCGAAAAACAGGCTGTCGATGTGTCCGTGAGAGGCAGTGATTTTCGGGTGGAACTATCATTTCGTGCAAACTTGGAGTATATTGCAGATTTCCTTGCTCGAGCTACGCATGAAGTTGCTAATGAAACCACAACACTGCCCTTCGAAGCAGTTACCGCCCAAAAGTTAGGGCGTCACCTCCAAGTCGCCAGAAGGTGAATCGACAGGAAAAATTGCTATCAAATTGAAAAAAAGAAGAAGAAAAAGTGAAGATAGGCCACAGCCTCAAGTCTTGCCGCATGCCATGAGCCATTTGAACGCCCTATATGGCAACTCCGTTTTCGGAGCTTTGAAAGGGTGCTGCTTGGCTTTCATGCAGGGATATTCCTTGGTCGTTTCAGTGGGACCTTGTCTTCTAAAAATATATATCATGGTGGAACTTCTTATACCCAGTACGTACCAAAAGTATAATACTAGGGTTGGCCGTAAGATATAGCATTAACTAAGGTTAAGGTTATACGGTATTTTTTGTTATTGGCCTGTATTACAGAGCTCTGCTTATAGATATTTATTAATTAGATAATGATAAAGCAGCAAGATTGATGATAACGATAATTAAGTACAACAGTATTTGATGGTAGGCAAAAGAAAGCGATCCTGTAACGCTAGGGCTGTATATTATAACCTGAGACAGGGTATATATAGCGGGATATACAGTATTAATACTATACTAGTAATTTATAGGTAAGCAGAAAACCTACAGAGCCCTAGACAAAGAAGGCTCATAAGCAGAGTTAACCCAGACAGCGTTACAGTAATATTCGAAATCGGATTTACCTCTACACTCTTAGACTTTCATTCCCAACCCTTATTTTGAAACACACTAGTCTAATTCCTGGTCAGAATGTATTGTATTCCATTGTATCAATTGGTGGGCCATTGTTATAATACCGTATTTTCCTTGGAATTAAATAGAATCTTTTATGCAAAGAAACCGAGCAAAGGGTTGATCTTAACAATCTGGCAAGATCTCTTTCCCCCGCCCTTCTGATTACACCTTGCTTTCTTTTTGGTCTCTCTGCTACACGCAACCTTCGCTCACACTCCTTTGACATCAAATAGAAGGCTGCACTGTCTACATAGAAAACTTAATCTGGTAAGCAATGATCCTCGCCCTTATTGTAAGTTTCGAATTCCAGACCGTATAATGTCCTAGTCATCTCTTGGTAAACCCCATAAAGCTGCTCCAGAATAATCTCATCTTCGGTCAGCGGCACATCAACTTCTTCGTCATCGGAATCGGAATCCATGCAGCCCGGCCAGGGGAATCTCCAAGCTAGGACAATGTCAAATTCTCTAACCATTCTATCCAATTCATCACTCATCTGGCACCGCTGATCTGTAGCTCCCACAACCCTCTGCTTGATATCAGTAGACAAGCCCTTCCCGATATAAATCGAGATTTCGGATTCTTCAGTTCCATCGAATAGTGGACTGACAACCCAATAAAACAGTGCTTCCATTTGGAGACCGTTTGATTGTTCTGCAGCTTTTGATTGGCTCCAAAATGAGCCGGCTCTCCCAGCCCGTCCGCTGAACCTTCCAACTGTGTATAGAGGCGGTTGGTGCGTCAGCATACGCCGCCAGCTTGCTTCAGGGCGTATATACTGTTCTTGCTTGCTTGGAGATCGTAACAAATCTAAATTCCTCAGTTTGATGTCTTCCCACTCGTGTCCCCAAGGCCTCCAATTCCAAAAGCCGGCATTTTGGTCGTTGTTCAGATTGACCAGTTGCTTGAGGAATGGAAATTTCTCGGCAAGCAATGGATTGCGATATCGGGGCTCGTCATTGCCTTCGTGGCTACTCGGTAAGAAGTAGAGGTCTTGTTGGAGGGTCTTTGATCCGCGGATCAAGTCCGCCCACATATGGCAGACTCGTTGAGACGTAAGCAAGGTGGCCATGTCCATTTGATGTAAGATTAACAGCATAATTTCGGGTATTTCCTGCACCCTCTGCTGATGGGAACCATTCGCGTGCATGCTTTTTTTGAGATGGATTTCAGTACTAGTATGGATGATGAAATAGTTTGTTTCAAGTTCTTTGTATGATGAAGTGAATTTCTGTGGGGACTGTCGTTGAGTCTGAGTTATATTGTTGCTTTGTAAGTAGTATCTTGGCATTTCGTGGGGCCATTGCAAAGCAAGGTCAGCTGAGCAACCGTCACGTGTATGATTTTTAATATGATTCGACCCTTGAAACAGAGGTAAGTCAAAACTATACTAGTCTGTTTCATAATAGGATTCAAGAAAGAATCTTGTGTATAAGTGGTGAATCTGATTTCGATCTATCCTGTATGACTGAAAATCTGACAGATTATAGTGATGAAGTTCTCGCAAATGGGCATTACGCTCCTTTGTTTGCTGCCGAGCCGTCTTTTCAGACCAATATTAAGTAACTAAGGCTCTTCTGATGCTATAGATTGTGATCTTTGTATGTAACTCGTCCCAGAGGAAGACAGCCATGTCATTGAGGTACAGGATCGGTCTTTAATTGCAGATGTTTAGTCTATAACATTGGCCAAACCTTTGACTTGAAATATGCAAGCATATTGCTTTTCGGCCACATCAACAGCTTTAAACAACACATCTACGCATATCCCAAGTTTGTCGTAAACAACAAAGATAGACCGCTGCTGTGCTGCAGAGACAGCATGTTAAATGTAGGACTACAGCATATGGAGAAAGCAGGAGGTGCCGAAACACCAAAACTGAATTTAAAGGTAGAACTAGATAAATGCTTGATAATTGCCTCTGTTCCCGCGGTTTGGCCCGGAAGGATACATGGCAGATACGTAGACCAAGAACCGAGTGTGCTAGGGCCGATCCTATCACTCGCTCTCAAAGCCTACCAGCTCGTTCGATGCCTTCCAAAGCTTGCTTGCAGACTCCTCGTCATAAATCCACGGGGCATATCCAACCTCGTTATTCAACCAGTCTCCCGTAGTATCCGCCGGTCCCTCGTCGACGAGGTTGCTGAGGTACTTGCCGCCTCGACCTTCCCATTCCCTACTCAGCCCAGCATAAACAGCCGCGACCGCTCCCTGGGGTTCGCTCTTTATGGTCTTGTGCCTTGTTTCATCCTTCAACATCCCCTCTACTATCTCCTGGCTGAGATACTGAGAGAGATTGGTGGCGACAATACCCGGGTGCACAGGGAGGGCGTGTAGTCCCTTGGACGCGTACCGTCTTTCGATCTCGTTGGCGAGGTAGATAGTGGCCGTCTTGGATTGGCCATATGACGCCCAGGGGTCGTAAGGGTCCTTTTCGAAGTTGAAGTCGTGGAAGCGGACCTTGCCGTAACGATGGCCGGCGGAAGCCACAACAACTACCCGCGATTGGAACTCAGGCGTGGAGGCTGCGAGCAGATCGGGCTTTAACAGTTGGAAGAGGAGGAAGTGGCCCAAGTGGTTCGTGCCAAACTGTGTCTCGAAGCCATCCTCGGTCCTCCCTTCGGGCGTGGCCATAACGCCCGCGTTGAGGATGAGCAGATTAATCTTGTCGCTCTTCTCGTGGAACGCCTTGGCAGCTGCTCGCACCGAGGCGAGGGAATCCAGCCGCAGCTCTATGCCGTGGACAGGAGCATCAGATTTGGGGCCGGGTCCGTTCTTGATTTTGTCGACGGCTTGCTGGGCCTTGACGGCGTCTCTGGCAGTGAGATAGAGAGTGGCACCGGCGGCGTGGAGAGCTCGCGCTGTTTCGACACCGATACCAGAGTTTGCGCCCGTCACAAGGGCGACCTTGCCGGTGACCTTGCCGATGAGGCCTTCGTCCTCAACGACCTGAAGAGCCGTGGGCCGCGCATCTCCATGACCCTGGGGGTTAGCGTGGGAGGCGCTATATCTAGACATTGCGATGGATTTCTTATGGAGTCTGGCCTGTGCAGTAAGAGGATGGGATGGTGTTGTTGTGGTGGGGTTGATGATGTGTGACTGTCAGTTTGAGAGAGGAAGCAAGTCGTTTTATACCAGCAGTGTGTGAGCTCCTACAGAGCGGTTCCACTAAATGCCGGATTTATAAGCTCAAGCTCACACATGCCTGGAATCGGAAGCCTCGAAGCGCATGAAGTGTCTGCGTCATGTCTATGAACCGAAAATTAGGGGGGAATAACTCAAATCCCACTGCCATGGCGTGTTCTCATCAACAGCCACTGGTGTGGGGCGCCCGCGACGGTGACGCTCTGCTCTTGACGCAAATGCACCGATACGATGGAGCTGTCGGTGTTAGATAAGTGGGTATGGAAATATTGGAACACGTCGTTCTAAGGCACTACTAGATTGAACGGAGAAGCTGAGGTCTGCACTCTGCAGACACTATTGTGTTCAGGCTCCCATGGTTGAGAACTTGAGACAGCTGGCCTTACCTTTGCCCACAATTTTCACAGTTGGCGCTCTGCCACAGCTCAGTCAAAGTTGAACAAATTAACGACGAAACAGAGTGATTAAGTCGTACTAGAAAGACATCATCTAATTGCAGAATTTACATTAGCGAGATACTTTTCAGTATAAGATCGAAACCGCCCGCCTGCTCAATATTTACAAGGTGAAAAACAAGATGGACCTTTGTCTTGCATGCTTCTATGCCTGGATTAGACTAACTTAGTTTTGCCTTAGCTTACACCGAATATCCTATCCTTATTAAGTAAACAATCCAAAAACTCTACCTGCGACTAGCATTTTGCACTGAGCATGGCACTGGTTTATAAGCTCAGTTGATTGTTTCCCTAAAACGGTAAGAAGCTATTAAAAATCGACGGTGCCCAAGATCTGCGTAGTGGCTGCGTCGCGGGCTGCAACAGAACTGTCACATACAAAGATATGTTTGATCTGCCATTAGATCCTCCATCCCTACAATACCCTGAAAGGTAAGTTGCGAAGTACCCACAGTGGAGTGTCGAGAAGATACTGCAGCAGAGGTTCGAATTCTCTACCATAACCTCGTAGATAGTCGTTGGATCCAGGACATATATTATAGGAAGCCTTTACACCATAATTAAGAGAAGGGCTTTGCATAGCCGGTACCAGAGAGTAAGACTTGAAAAGTTTCGAGTACGAATAGTGCAGCTAAAGAGCTTTGCTAGAGAACAGCTCTGACATAAGGAACATACTAGATTCGCAGGGAGGTAGATCCGAAACCTTCGGGGTGGTGGCATAGCGTTTACGCTAAGGCCACAAAAGGGAAACAATCTGAATCTTGGTACGCCGGTGTTGAAGTCCCGTATCTCTTATCTCCGGGGCTAACTAAATATCACAGCAAGGATCTTCTGTATTTCTCCGCAACTTACCTCCTTCAATTGTTTCCCTAATTCGGACGACAACCAGCCGAACATACCGCCACCCATCCCATCGCCATTTTTATGCCGATATTTGGCACCATATACATTCTCCATACGGACAGGAGCACGCTTGCAGCCCCACCTGGGCAGATACCCGTGGTTTCGCTTCCATCTGAGTGATACTGGCACCTTGGCAAACTTACTTCTTGCCGGCAAACAGCCTTGCAACGGTGTGCCCGGGTAGATTCTGTCCCCGTCCAAAGGTACCGGTACATTGCAACGGACCGATGCTCAAAGGACCACGAGCGGCTAAGGGGTTTGTCTTTGTCACCGCCGACGCCTATGGTCAGGCGGCTGCTGGAGATCGTAAGCTCATACGGAGTCACGTCATGCGGGGGAAGAATACCCGTACACGAGCTCTTCCTGGTCGAGTGAAGGGCCGTTCCCCGGCTACCGCTGTGGGAAACCAACGGCCGCAGCATGCTGCAGGAGACAGTGGTTCTTTTGAAGAGTCCCACGGAGCTCAGACACGAAGTGAGCTGCTCGACTCTGACGAGGATGCTCTGGCCCGCATCAGACATGCAGAAATGGTCCCCGGTGCTGCCGACATGTTCACTTTCATCAAGTTCACTGAAGACATCGATAGTAGTTCGCGTAGCTTGCTATGGGCATGTACGTCTCTCCCCTCCGACCATGAGCACGCCCTGCCCCTGACGCCTTCTGTCGTCCAGACTTTTCGTACATGAAAGATGAAATGTACCCGATCGTGAGGTACTCTCGCCCTGACACTCCCAAGACATACTGGTTTCACTGGGCCCATCTCGACTTGGCCTACCTGCACTCCATCCTTTACATGACGTCTTTTTCTTTAGATAGTTTGAGGGGGCAGAAGAGTAAGAGAGACGGAGTTTCACGCCTACAGGATGATTCACGAGCTTAACAAGCAACTATCTGATCCGAACACTGCACTGACCGAGTCGACAACCATTGTCGTCATAGGCTTAGCCTTGATCGCCGAGTCCTTTGGAGACGTAGAGTCCGCCCACATGCACGTGATGGGTCTCAAGAAAATCGTCGACCTGCGTGGTGGCATAGAATCGTTTGCAAGTCACCCTCTGCTTCAATCCAAACTTCACCGGTAAGTCGCTAGTTCTCTCTTATATTCAGCTTCTCAGGCTCCGGCCAATCGCTGACCTGCCAACGCCGGAAGGACTGATCTAGTCCACAGCATCTGCACCGGCGCGAATCTAACCTTTCACCAAGATGCTGCGTCGTTCGACTCAGCTTTCGACAGTTCATCTGAACTTGCCCGGCTCAAGCCATCGGACGCGTCCTGCTTCTCCCGCTCGCGCTCTGTGGTACGGACTTTAGAAAGGAGGCTCTATGCTGTCTTGAAGGATGTCCAGGACCTCTCACAGCTTATCAACGATAGCCACGATTCCGGTCACAAGATACGGGAGATGTCTCTCGAGGATCTCATAACATACATTCAATCCCGGCTGCTCATGCTCGAATTTGAGGACAACGACATTTTCCCCGAGCTTCTCCGGTTATCACTCCTCGCTTTCTTGACAACTACCTTCTGGGGTTTTCCTGGTGTCAAATTCGAGTACCCACGTCTAGCCAACCAACTCCGACAAGCTTGCATGACCTTTACGCCCAGCACCGCTGGAGAGAGCTATCTCTTCGCCTGGGCCATGATGGTGGGGGCAACGTCTGTGTCCCGAGGCACTGATCAGACCTGGCTTCTGCAAAGACTGCGCCCTCTGATCCGGGACAGTCTAGGGAGGACGTGGTTCGAAGTAAAGAACAATTTGAGGCAAGCCATGTGGATCGATAGCATTCATGACGGCCCGGGGATAGAGGTCTTCAACCAATGTCTTGGGAAAACAGGGGACAGAGGTATTGTTCCGATATAGTAATGGACGAGATCTACCTAGCACTCTGTTGACCTCTATACCTACCTCTAGGATTGATCATGGGTACTATGCACTGACGCCCTTGTCGAGGTACAGATGTCCTTGCATGACCGAAGCCAAAGGTCCAGTCGTTGATTCTGTGACGGAGACGAGAAGTAGACTAGGCACCGATTTGCCATCGCAAACACATGCCAGCGCGACCAACAACCCTTTCTCTCGCTTCGTTCGTTTCAGGGCATACTATCCAAACCAGTATCATGGAGTTCAGCTTCACCTACCTTCTTGGTGCCCACCTGAGCAGGCGGAGCGGAACTCTTCCGCCCCACTCAACCTTCGAACTTCAACTTCCACCACACCTCACCACGATTAACCACCTGGGCACACCACTCCAACCTATCTCATGTCCCTGGTACAATATTCCGACAGCGACTCAGAATCAGAATCCTCCTCCCCGCCCCGCAAGAAAGTCGCCCGACCAGTCCCAACAAGTTCAACCTCACTACCCCCACTCCCCACATCTTTCCACTCGCTCTACGCGTCCTCCACACGCGTCAGCACCAAAGACGACCCGTCCCTCCACGCCGGTCGAAAACGCGCCATCCCCCACGTCGAGGGAAACTGGCCTACACACCTGTACCTAGAATGTGCGCTTCGATCTCAGCTCATTGTCAAGCTTTACTAATTGGGTTCTGGTCGCAGGGGTTCCGGGTAAGGAGGATGTTCACCTCCTTGCCGACTTGATTCAGGCAGCCGACGCCAATACCAGGAAGACCACTGCTTCTTCCTCGACTCAAAGCGATAACGACGCAAAAGTGTCCGAGGATGACTCCACCTCGACTGTGCACAGTCTTCTCCACTCTGATCTGGGCGCCCAGTTACCCCTTCATATCAGCTTGTCGAGGCCCGTGATACTGCGCACAGAGCAGCGCGCATCATTTACGGAGGCATTCTCGAAGAGTGTGCTCTCATCTGGTATTTCTCCGTATGTTGTACCTCTCCCATCCCCCTGCCCCCTGCCTTGCCTCCTCCCCTGCATTGGCAGGGGCAGTGATAGTGACGGTGGAAAGAACCATTACGACCATCTAATCGCGTCGCTAACAACCAATCCAACATAACAGCTTTCATGTTTTCCCCGAAACATTAAAATGGGTCTCCAACTACGAGAAAACGCGCTGGTTCCTCGTCCTCCGCGTCTCAAAACCAAAGGCCGATAATCTAAACCGTCTTCTGGGACTATGTAATGCGACCCTGCGTCGCTTTGGTCAACCGCCTCTCTACGCTCGGGCTGACCCTATGTCAGAGCGAAGTCCAGATTCAGGGCCTGCTCCAGGATCTGCGCCAACAGATGATGGTGATTTCTCTGGCTGCTTTCACGTCTCGATTGCCTGGTGCTTGAATGCGCCGGATTCTAAAGAGCTCGAGCGTGTGAATGCTGTGAAGCTGGATAAAGTCCAGGCTATTGACGTCCCCTTTCCATGTGTGAAAGCGAAGATCGGGAATTATGTTGAGAGCTTTGAGCTTCCGGTACGAGCATGAGGAGGTGGGTTCTGCTGCATTTGAGCAACTTCGGTGATGCCTGCGCCGAATGAGAAAACGTTCGTAAATCGGATTCAATGGCGAAATACCCGCGGCTTGTCTATATAATCCAATATATGATAAAATATGACCTCCGTACTATTTTATATCTATCATGATTTGTCCCCCCTATCGCGTCACATGCGGGGAGGCGGAATCTCTGACTTTCAACCTTGTGCATAGAAATTTAACCTCAAGAGCTTCACTTTCTATATTCAAGTGAAAACGGCGGATATACTCTCTAGCAATTTCTAGCTCTGTCGTACGGTATACTACCGTGATAGCGATCGCGTAAAGAAATGTGAGTATTTCAGTAACACTTGCTGTGATCGAGAGTCCGCTGTCGTCACATGAAAGAACGGGCTGGCAGCTCGAGTTAAAAGCCATGGCAATAACTGAGCAAAAAGGTGAAAGCTACTAGTAGATGCGAGTAGATTGCTTCGATTTGTTTACAACAGAGGCCTCCTGCCCTGATTCAGTTATCAATCTTGGTCGGGCGATAGGGTGAGGGGAAAGAAGTTTTGCACGGCGCGTATTCAGAGGGGTGCATGCAAGTGTGATAAGCACAACCATACAGGCCTATGTACGCACTATTGAAGGTGATCTCATACTCTATACCCAATAGCATTTATATTAATTTCGTACTCGCAGTTCAGCTGGAAGAGATCTCAAAAATACACACCTAGCCCTAATTTGACCAAAAATGAAGCTGTAGTTAGTAACTAGTTAAGCAATGAACCTTGTCGCCTGAATTTTCGGGCGGCGAAACTGCAGTACCGTAATCTTTATTTTCGACTCACGCGTCCGCGTCGCCGCAACTCAACCTCCTCCACTCCTCATCAGCATGCAAGTCCCAACTGTCACTCTTGTGAGCACTATCACGATCTCTTGATCATTCTCCCGCTAACTTGTATGTCTCACCCAGGAAGACTTACAGGCTTTCCAAGCCTCACATTTCCCAGGCCATCCTCAAACAATACATCCTCCCGCCGCTGAACCTGCCGACGACGACACATATGAAGATGGAGAGGAAGACCTGGGATACTATCCCGATGGTGTGAAACGTACTCTCACGGATGAGCAAATCCGGATCTTTAGACATAGCGAAATTCACGCACTACTCCGTGAGAGGCAGCTCCAGCAGGATGAAGCTGATTACGAAGCGAGGCGGGAGAAGAGCGAGGACGAACCACATCAAACAGTCGGAGTCAAGGAGAATGCGATGAACGCTGTGGCGGAATCTCCATCTGTACAAGGCTCTGCGACTATTGCACAACCATCTTCGCGGCAGCAGCCCAAGGGGCTGTCCAGGCCCGTGCCGACGGCTGCGGAATCTGAGTACCTCGACTACGGGGAAACCGACGAAACTTCGACGGATAAAGGACTGACTCAAGAGCCTCAAATCATTCACCCGCGACGGAAGGTTATTTCTTATGATGATTGAGGTGGTACAGTTTGCAACGATTTCAACCTCCGAATCGGCTTGACGGCAGAACTGGTGATAGGTGCTGCCCAAGCTAAGGCCATCGGTTACTCCAAGGACAATCCATCACTGGTAAGAAGAATCCCCCCTTTCACCCTTCTCTACACTCTTCTCCCCGGCCAATATGATGAAATTATTTTTGTCATCCTTAGACGGAATGCCACACCTTCAAGCTTCTCCCGAAGTGTGAGGCTTTGACGACTATAATCTTCTCTCTGACAGGCTTTCTTCATTCACGAATGTCATCATATTCTCTTAGAAATCTCAAGCTAATATATTGATAGGCCATTGTCCCCCGAGGCTATCCCAGCGAGTCATTATCGACAAGCCATACCCCCAACGCTGATCATGCGAACGAGCCAAAGACGACCATGCATTTCCCGACTGTGATTAAACAACTACAGCGAGGGAGTCACTGTCCAATTACTTTCTATGTCAAGGACATTCGCCATGGCTACACCAAGACTGGCCTCAATGAGCACCACACCCTCATCCGAGCTCCAAGCACGAATGGCAACTTGCAGTCTTGATCTTTTATGATAGACTGGCATCCATTTATCGCCATACCAGTCGCGATTTATGTTGAAGTCTACGAATAATGCTGGGTAACCTGCTGACACTCATTGTTTCTTTCGTAAGTTGTAGACTAACAACAAAGAACTAAAATTATCTTCAAGATATACCCTCTTCTCCTCTGAACGGATACCATCGAAGTTTTGTGGGATGGCTGCTCATTTAAGCTGCATCTTATTGCACTTTCCTAGTAGTCACCAGGAAGTATCTATTGGTCTTCCGGTGTTTGGCCATTGTTGAGGTATGAGTGCCTCAGGCCGCGGGTTGCGTACCTGCCATGAGGATGGGATGTGTATAGCATGTATAGCATCGCTATCCCCGTCTCTCAACCACTACCTTTTCATTCTTCGTCTCATCCTTCCATCGGTTGTTATTTCAACTCAAGTCTGATCTATTCTTGACGACCTCAAATACCATTTGTATATTTATTTTACTCCAAACGTGCTGCCTAGCGTATAATTGGTGTATCATGGCCAGATTGACGATACACGAAGACTCCTACGAGTTGCAGGTCGTAGCTTCTTAGAGTACATACTACCCTAGTTAGTACCTGCCATTTTGCAAACCTTGGAAGCATCGACCTTTTTCAGTGAATCCCAATGTTTGAACATCATCACCTCGCAAGCAACCCAAGCGAGCTTTTGCTCTTTTCTACAAGTCGAGAGATTATCAATACCATCATTTTTGATCCTGAAACCTGTCCCGATATATCAAAATCAGGTACCTTGCCTTGTTCGATCTCGACTTCCCTCCAAAATGCCCGCCCCGCATAGTGACGCCAGTGTTGAACTCGACCACATCCAGAGAAGCAATGCACCGCGGTGCATCTGCCTTGATCGTACTATTAAGATATGCTCAGAAGCCACGGCCTGGAGTAATGAGGAGAAATGAGGGAAAGAATTAGAATTTGGCGAGAGATCCAAGCCAGTCCTGGAAACCACTGGCACATGGCAAGGCCAATCGATCCTGAGTCCATTCATTATTCCAATCGGTTGCTGCCACTGGCATGATGGACAACAAAACACGAGCTTCCGGGTTATATACATCGACCATCACAAATCATCTCAACGCCCTCCGTGAACATCTCCGGATAAGGTTCGAGGTGCTTCAGCGAAATCTTGATCTATGAGGACGAGAAGAGGATACCGGGAGTAGTTACTACGGGGGCTTCAGCAGATATAGGACTTGGCATGGAGATCCAATATACGCGATACGGCGAGCCATCCACCTATTGGGCACTCCCCAGGTCAACCCGCATTTCTCAAAGATTCACCAGCTTCCTCTCCAGCTTCATAAACCTTACTTTGCCGTCGACCCGCAGAACTATCGTTATTGGGAACCTGCAGATACCACGAAATCGAAAACAAGTCTCCCTAACCACCCGGCGATAACAGAAGCGATGAGTCTCTGGACTGCAGTGACTCGCAGGGTATTGATCCCTCGAGCCGATCCACAGCGGTTGATTCCGGGGACAATAATCTGGTGATAATCCCTGTCCGTCAAAGCGACAAAAGGACGGACCTGCAGTCATCACGAGCAGTAGCTTAGGTCAAGGATATTCATACTTTTCAGTGGACGACTAAGACTGGACCAAACCAACAATAAAAGCCGCTGGAAAGTCCGGGAAGCTTTGCCCGGGTGAAGATGCTTATTACAAGACAAAATACACACGCAGATAATTCTCAACATAGGTGCCCCTCCCTTGAATCTCCATCCAATCGATAAGCGTGCGTGCTAAGTCAAGATCATCCTTCTAGTAGTTCTGCATTGGAAGGTAGATCTTAACGTATGGGAGCTCGTCATAAGGAGCAATATCAAAATAGTATAAATAATGTGCGGTTCTTGGGAGGCCTAGAAAGTTTTTCTTGTTGCTAGTTGGAGTCACTGTTTCGCTCTCCTCAGTGAATACAATTGCTCACGGGATGTGGAATGAAAATTGAGGTAACCAGTTCGGAGTAAGCTTGCAAATAAGTCCGCCGTGGACTTGAACTCAGACAGATATATACTAGTATCTCTAGCACCCCTGCACGAGGATCTAAAGCTAAACAATACTAGTAGTATAAACTACCCAGTCTATTATCTGAGACATTCTATGAACGCAATGTTATTTCTTTGAAATCTAGCTCTGGAACCGCATGGCTATGGATCCTAAAATTTCTACCGGTTTCAAACCTTGCCCCTTCATGCAGCGAGAGGGGTCGCAGACGGAGAAGAAGCATCCCCCATACACCGACTACCGACTACCGACTCATCGACACACTATCATCTTTCGACAAAGAAAAAATCCCAGAACGAGCTGTTCATGCAAAGGGCGCAGGCGCACATGGAGTCTTTGAGGTATATTCTTACTCCCACCAACCATGCAATATCCAAAATTCTAACGAAAGACGGTAAATGTTGTAGATAACACACGACATCTCAGATATATGTGATATTGACATGCTCCTCGGAGTAGGGAAGAAAACCCCTGTACTGCCCGATTCTCTACAACGACCTTTGAGCGTGGTTCCGCAGAAGCAATCCGCGATCCCAAGGGAATGGCCGTGAAATTCGTCACAGACCAAGGCAATTGGGACTGGGCTTGCCTTAATGTTCCGATGTTTTTTATCTGTAATCCTATCAATCGTTCCCGATACGATGGCGGCTATTTCAAGGGCATTGTCTGGGTCAGCTAGGCTCTAAGGATCGGATTTTATTCATAAAGCGAACATAAAGCTAGAGGAAGTATAGTAAATTGAGAACTAATCCAGGCATACGTTCCCCTTTCCAGCTCTATCCAGTACTCCAGTACATACGACCATAGGGTGTGGAGAACAGGGCTTCCCGTCCGCTCAGTCGTACTTAAGCCACACGCCGGCAGGTTAGGTATGGTGGGTGACCACATGCGAATCCCTGCTGTTGTATGTTTTATTTTTTTTGTTTTTTTTTGGAGAATTTTCTGCTTTTTTCGTGGAAACTCAACAACATCGATTAGGTGCTGACTCAATATGGGAGTGTTTATGAAGACATAATTCCGGTATGTGGACGCATCAAAGTGTCTCCACCACGACCTCCAATCATGTCGACCATATTCAACGGCTGGCCGTTGTCTGCCGAGGGCAAAAGCGGTGAATTAAGTGGGCCCTCCGTCCCGAGGGGCGATAAGGAAAACCGGTTATCGGATCTGATCTGACAACGGCACCCCCCGCCTCACGGAGTCAAACCTGCCATTCTTGTCAATCTCAACACGCGATGTCTAGTACATCCTAAGCCACCAAACTACAATGACAATAGACTCTAGGTCGATCTGTCCCCGTGAAATCAGGTGTGACACGGAAGAGGATAGAATTCGCGATCTCTCAAGGTAGGCTTTCCTTTCTCCAACCTCGCCGATGGCGCATGCTGATTTTGAAATTTCCCACTGTCTAGATACTACTGTACATTCGAACAGGATTCCCAATCGGCGGACAGTCCCCGTATTTCTCCTGATCCTACATTGACTGCGCTCACGCAACTCGGAGTCCATCGTTTTGGATGTAACCGTTCTTTTGTTTCAATAATTGATGGCCAACAGCAACATCTCATCGCCGAAGCAACCGCCTCGGTCTCTTTACGAAATGAAGACACCCACCTTCCTCATGACGGAATATTCCTCGGCGTCCGGACCCTGGATTTGGAATGGGGTGTTTGCCCTCACGCCATTCGTCTTTTCACAGGACAGGATACATCGAAGATAATGGACACGGAAAACATCACCGCAAATCGGACCCGCAATATAATCCGTGATTTTACCTCAGAAGATTTCTATAAAGATCGTCCATACGTCCAAAACTGGCCATACTTCCGTTTCTACGCGGAAGTGCCCTTGTACAGCCCATCCGGTTATGTGCTAGGCTCATATTGTGTCGTGGACAATAAGACACGAAGAGAGTTCGGAGATGAGGAAGTTGCCGCTCTACAGGAGATTGCAGATGCCATATCCCAGCATCTTGAGAATGTTCGGGTTGTTCATTATAACCAACGGGGAGAAAGTTTGGTAAAAGGCTTAACCAGTTTCGTCAAAGGGAGCACGAAATCTGACCGCGTTAATATTTTCAATCGACTTCGAGAGACACGAGAAGAACTGAGCTTTCGAAATATGAACCCCTCAGATAGCGGCATTCACACAGATCAGGAAAATGCATTTCTTCCAACAAATAAATCCGGCGGTGATGAATCGGTCTTGGATCAAGGATCTTCAATGACGCAAGAAGATGGGGCTTTTTCCCTTTTCTCAGATGCAAAAGACTCGAGGATGACACAGCCTACTACTCAACCATCCTCGCTTGCTCCGGGATCTCCAGAATCAACAGAGCTGTTAGCACTTGACGAGGATTGTCCTGATACATCGATGGACGACGTATCCATCACTGAACATTTGGCTGCGATCTTCTCTCGCGCCACTAACCTCCTCAAATCAGCGATGGATCTGGACGGCGTAGTATTTCTTGATGCTCGTCAAAGTGACTCGCAATTGTTAGTTTTCTACCTTTTCCTCTACTTAAACATCCACTAATATGATGTAGTGACCTCTCCGATAATGCTGCGAACCAAAGCCTTCAATCGACCTCCAGGCATTCGGATTCTCTGAACGACCCCTGGCAATGTCTTGAAGGCAACCGATCTACCGAACATCCGCCCGATAGTTCGGAAAACCTCTGTCGGCCCTTGAACCATGATACAGGCATTCCACCCATTGATAAACTTTGCCCAGAACCTCAGCTCGCTCTACCGGAAGAACTTCTTCAAGATTTGATGAAAAGTTTCCCAAATGGCTACATATTCGACTTGAAAGATGGGACCGACACTCTGCAAGACAAAGTTTCTCGCCTGCTTGCACATAATCTACCAGATGCGAAATCAGTACTTTTTATGCCACTGTGGGACTGGAATAAATCACGTTGGTTAGCTGGAACGCTAGTCTGGACGAATGACCATCGCCGCCCATTGGGCATCGAAGAACTGCATTACTTCAAAGTTTTTGGTGATTCCATTATCTCCGAGGTTTCACGGGTGCACTGGGACGCAACTGAGAAGTCAAAATTTGATTTCGTATCATCTATCAGCCACGAATTACGCTCTCCGCTTCACGGTATACTTGGAACCACAGAATTGGTGCAATCTTTGCCGCTCCAGCCCTCTCAGCATGATATGATAAAGATGATAGAAATATCAGGCCTTACCTTGTTGGACACGATTGATCACCTGTGAGCTTTCCTTATTAATATCGCGATGGCTCTTTCTAATATTATTATTTTTAGGCTTGAGTATTGCAAGATAAACGACTTGGCGACTAAAGGTTCGGGTGATCCCAGAGCTATGAAAAATCGACACTCCGACTTTGACCTTGGCGTACTAGTCGAAGAAGTAGCGACCGTTCTTTGCGCTAGCCAGCAATCGCAATATGACACCAATATCCCTGTTGTTCTTTCTTCCTCTGGGTCTAGCGCAGACGCTCATTACCGATGTCCTAGTCAAAGTGATCAAACTTCGGTCATAATACGAATTGAACAACTCGATTCCTGGGTGGTGCGATCCGCTGCCGGTGCGTGGAAAAGAATACTGATGAATATCATTGGTAACGCAATGAAATGGACGAAAAGAGGCCTCATTGAGGTGACACTATCGAAAGTGAGGCAAGAAAGTCACATAGGCTCTTCTTTTGCCAATGTATGTGTCAGAGATACCGGCTGCGGAATCTCACGCGACTTTCTCAAGGACATGCTTTTTTTCTCCGTTTGCTCAGGAGGACCCACTATCGCCTGGTATTGGGCTTGGCCTCAGCATCGCACGCAGATTGGCCATGTCCCTTGGAGGCAATATCGAAGTCAAAAGCGAAATGGGTGCAGGCACACAAGTCGACATTCTTATACCCGTTAAGATTGCTCAATCCGTCGAAATAGCGGATCCTCGTTCATCAACCACAGAGACTCCCGTTCCAGCACCATTGATCAAGGCATCTATTCTTGGATTACAGCTTCATCCAGAGGTGGATGAAGTGCCAACGGGGATTTTAAGCGTTAATGCAAAACGTAACTTATCTATTCGCAACGCGCTCATGGACGTGTTCACGACTCAACTGGGCTGGCAACTGTCACCACGGAAGTTTTCCGACAGAATGCATGACAATGTCGCGATCATCGAGGAAGCAGACTTAAGCCACATTTTAATCGAAGGCTTACTACATACAACTGAGTCTAAGCACGATCAAGATTTCTTTATTGTCCTCGGCGATAAGACATCGCTGCTGACTGATAATCTGCCTGCAAATATCATCCGCGTGTCACCACCGTGAGTTATACGCATTTCTTTTCTTCAGTGATGGTACTGCAAGCTGACTCTTTATCAAAGGTTCGGACCTCGGAGTCTCTGTGACGCCGCTGAAAGATTTCTCAAAATTTTCAAGGCACCGATGCACTTGGACCGGACAGATCTGGCTCCCATTTCCGCCTTGTTAAAAAATCAACCGGAAATCTTAACTCCAACGGTAGACCAAATTTCTATGGAAATAGTTGACTGTTCCATAACCGGGAACAACTCTACCCAATCTCCTCCTCTCGATACCCTTAAGTCTTTTGCCCCTCCCATAGAGTGTTCACAAGAAAGCATACGTGTACTGGTTGTGGATGATAACGACATCAATCTCAAGGTAAGTATGCAGCATCAAAATTTTTGCGCAATAGCATCCACCCCATGCTGCTGTTTGAACTCCCCAAGCTTATTTTTGTTCCTTAGATTATGTCTACATTCATACGCAAAATTGGCTTCCACTACGACACAGCTTCGAATGGTCTCATAGCTCTTGAGAAGTATATGAACTCTAATCAACGATATGCCTTCGTTTTGATGGGTAAGCTTGGATCTATTTTGAAACTCCTCTGCCATTTAGGTTGGTCTATTGACAATGACAGATATATCTATGCCCGTGATGGACGGATTGGTTGCTACAAGGAAGATACGGGAATACGAAAAGAGCAACGGATTCAATTCAGCCTGCATCATGGCTGTGACGGCTGTTGCCTCTAATGAGACACGCGAGGCAGCATTCAAGGCAGGCGTCAATGACTTTTTGGTCAAACCGTTGTCCCTTGCGAGACTTCGTGAATTGATGCACGGTTGACCTATTTACCTGTTTCATAATTCCCAATCAGTTCGACCAAATAAGCATGCCATCCCACAGTGCTATGGAGACTCATATCGGTCTCCACACGAGCACCTGGGCAGTCCTATGTTGGACGCTCTATAACTTGAAGGAAGCAAGGGCAGTAAACGCAAGCTTTGTTTAATATTATATTAGTAATTTTACCAACTGGGCTTTGATAATTTCAAGGCTACAAGTTCAACATAATCATTTCTTCGTCCCGAGAATCAGTACATGAAAACTATCATAGTATCATGCCCAGCAATGTGGATCAGTTGTTGATTGCTGTGAAAAGTTGAAAAGTACGGAGCCACCGAGCTAAACGCCAATATCTGAATGTCAGACGGACAAAACCAAAGATAATGGTGTATGGCGTCCGTTCTTAACCCACACACGTTCGGCAAGGCGGGGAGCCAGAGTAGGCGTAAGGATCGACTCTGTCTTATTAACTTTAGACTAGCGCCTTGATGCATTTCTGTGTACTAAAAAAAGTGACACCGGGATGCGCATACACTAGACCAAATATGGTAATCTAGAAGTTCTACCAATGAAGGGCCTTGGGATAACTAGGAGCTGACCAGGGGTAGGAGGCTCAGATGGTGGCTAGGTCTACAAGAGGCCATGCAATCCAAAAATCGCCCCAATCGCCCCATGGACCCCTGGCTGAGCAAAGGTTGTGAGAATGCGTCATAGCTCGCCTTTGGACCATTCTTGGGCCTATTTATTTCCCTTCCCACGATACGGAATGTTCCTGTCTTCATAGAACTCATTTATTAACTATCAAATTGCCTGTATTCCAATCGATCCATAATGGCACAAAACCTCGACTCTACTCTACCGAATGGGGCCGCATTTAACACTCAACACGTTCCAGAATTTTATAACCCTCAACAAGCACTAGGTGCTAGAACACCCCAAGGCCTCTACCCATCAAAGGTAAGAACTCCGGTCAAGAGAGTTTGGGACCCTTGCCTTTTTGTCCTGAGATCCTGGACGTGCGACTGAAATTCAAAACCAGCAACAGCCAGGTTATGGACCAAATCCGGCCGGGAATAGCCAGCAAGAATATCCTGTTCTATCCAACGAGCAACGAGTACCACAAAACCAATTTGCTGCTGGGCCAGGATATGGCACACCTCCAAGCAATCCAGGGAATTTTCTATATCCTATGCAACAGCCGTACGCACCGGTAGGTGAGAATGCCTCATATTACGGGACTGCGCCTCTAGACCAGTATAGAAACCCTATCGGCCCTGCTGGTCCGCAAAACGAGAAAGGTCTTGGTTCGACTGTCGTCGGCGGTGCTGCTGGTGGCTATGCCGGCCATAAAGTAGGAGGAGGATTCCTAGGAAGTACAGCTGGGGCAGTTCTGGGTGCAATTGGCATGAATGCGGCAACACATCAAGTGTAAGTCAAGGGTCCATCCAGTTTGCTTCTGTTTTATCCTGAGGTCACCGACAGCTAATATGTTTCTTTATCCGTGATAGGAAAGACCAGAGCAAAAGGGATAAAAAGCACAAACATCACAAAAAGCGTCACGGATGTCACAAGCATCGTAGGCGCTATTCCAGCTCATCTTTGAGCTCGTCCAATTAAGTCGAAGTGATTGGCTTCATGGGAGTGTCTGCTAGTTTCTGTTTGGGCTTGACTGGAAGATCTGTCGGACACAACTGGGACGCGCCTGGGGGGACTCGGAGTTGGTTTTCTTTCATATACTATGTAAACACCATTTCCGTTCGGGAAATATAATGTGGGAATTCCAAGGTTTCAATATCAAGTCTTTCCGCCCAGGTGCGTGTGAAATAATAGGATTTCTTGGGATGAGAAAAGGTGAAGACGAGAGCCCTCTGGACGCAGAGAAAGGATGTGCTAGAGATATCCAGGGCTTACAGTAAGCGCATTAATTTAAATTACCAAATATAGAGAAGAAAGTGGCGTTCACTGAGCACTCGCCATTTATTACTACTACTAGTACTCGGTAAGTGCTAAATATGCGCAAAACGGGGCTGGCTCTCAATGTTTACTCATAATTTTTGGCGGTGAATACTGGTAGTAAAGCCGGTACTTCGAATAGGGTATCACAGATTAGTACAGTCACTGTCTCCCATTTATGATCGTTCAAATCCCATGTCATCGTCGTCATATACGAACAGCCTCAAAATAGCCTTGGCAACCTCCACGCCATCATGCTCCAGATGCGCTGTCTCGCCTGCGCGATTCGCATGTTCGAAGTCTTTGATCCCACCACCATCGACCCGGATCTGGATCTGTCTTTTTACCATATCCTCGTCAAAAGCCAAGTGTGCCTGCGTGGTGAACAGCCGATTTGCGATATATAGGCCTTGAATAGGTGTATGCTCAGTGCGTCCCCAGCAAGCGATTTCCGTCTCCGGGGACATCATAGTGGGTCCCGCAGATGCAGCAGTAGGTGACAGGACCACTTGGTCCTGGTGCATCTGGTGCAAATGTATATGCTTTTCGCGTGTGCGGAACAGCCGTTGCCCAACAGGCGTGAGGTTGATTCGGCAGTGACCTAGTTCCCAGTCTTGCGAAGGCGCGGGCCCGATGGAGCCGCCAAGGAGGCGAGCCAGAAGCTGATGACCGAAGCAGACTCCCAGGAAGTGGAAATCAGGGCGCTGGATCCAGAGACTTTTGAGAAGCTCTAGGAGATCGAGGATCCATTGATTGTTCCCGTGCGCGTCGTAAACGCTGCCCGTGATCAGCAGCCCGTCAAAACGATCAAATTCCTTTACAGTTGGAATCCGACCGCCGGATTCGGACACGACAAAGACTTGGTCCGTCTCCACGCCCAGAGGTGGATGATGAGCACCGCCAGCTCTGGAGAAGTGTTCGTGGACGATTCGGCCAAAAGATCCTCGCGCCGAATATGTGTCTGGATGAGGTTCGTCGGTCTCGAGGACCATGAGACGTACAACAGGCGCCGATGGAGTGGGCTTGTAGGTCTGGTCCATGCTTTATGCTTGCTTTCTGGTATGCTTTGCGAAGTGAATGGGAATGTGGCGACTTGGGTTGCGAAGTGAGAGGTGGGTTTGAAGAAAAATGAGATTTACGGAGCAAGGCAGCCAGCAACGTAATGATCGCTTCTTGCCAATGCCTATGCCAAGTGACTTGGCACTTCCATTTGGTAAGAACATCTGGGTATAATGTCATGAATCTCGACGATCGGAACCGACCCACTACCAAGGTCCTGTTGAGGACGTCTTGGCCTCTGCCTTTTTACTATGATGTCATGGCATCCTTGGGCGACATCAACGGTCTCGTCGTAATTCGCAAGGGCCATTCGGATTCATGATATCTATTTTGTTGAGAGGTGTCATATGAATAAGCTCTTTTTCTTCTTTAATTTCTGCCTTACAAGTTCGCCTTAAGAATTACAGTTTGATATACACTGCTGAAGAATTTTTCATTGGTAGATCGGCGTAGCAGGCGTACCTTGAAAGGAACCTTAACAAACTTGAAATTTCACATCCTCGACAAGATTTAAAAATGATTCCCTTCCAAAACATCCATTTGATACTAATTCGGAGAGCAGTCGAATGAGTTCGAACCATCTCCTCGCCAAGGTATACCGTATACAGTAGCCTTGGCAAATTCTAGACCTGTGGCCCATGAACAAACACATGTATCTGAAATCGAGATCGATCCGACGATTGTGTTGATTTTTTTAAGATGTAACCAGGAGATTGAAATAATAATTCCAAGATATTTAATGGCCCAAGGAGCCCCTTCTCTTCCTCTGTAAAGGGATTGAGGTCGTCATCGAAATGAGTGGGTCGTGAGAAAAAGTCGGATTCCATTTCAGACCAAGAGAATCGCCTAATTCTAACTCTTCAACGAGAATTGTAACCTCATAATTTGCATGTTTACTTACCTTCCAGAAATAATATTTCAACTCGCCCGTTAACATCGGAAGATCATCGGGTCAAAATATTCTATGCAAATACTGCTCAAACGGCAGGCATCCGCTTATCCCAACTACTAGTACTAGTTTCGGTACTACTACTTTGAACTAGTACCCCCCCAGAGCTACTACTAGAATCTGTATAGGGTGCAGTGGTCCAAATTGCAATTTTACCACACAGACGTTCGAAAGAGAATTTTTAAAATGGTGGCCGGCATGCAATTGCAACGTCATATAAGAGATATTTCAGAGGCCGGAGGTCGTAAATATCGCGGAGGTTGTAAGTCAAGGTTGTAAAGGTCATGATGGAAGTTATACTAATAGTAAGTTTACTTCCCTGTTATAGCCTTGGAAACAAAGGTTCACCCATGTTCCACTCCATCTAACTATTTTCTAACATAATCATTGGTACAATTTTGTATCCCATCTTTCGCATGATTTATCAGCAGAGCCCCAGGGCACATACAGTCATAGTAGTACAAGGATTTTACTCTGGTGAGGGCTTTTCGGGCGTCCCGCAAGCACTGCCAGGGGTCCAGTGGGAGCTCAAGGCCGAGTCTCTGGAAGTCCCACGCCTCTGAAACGGATTGTTGCCTAATGGATGGATATGCAAACTTGCTACAAGGTGACCAGGTGAGTATTGGGCTTCAAGGTTTTTACTAGTACGCGAGAATCCGTCAAGGATCAACCTCAATATATAATAGCCCCAACTGGGTTGGACCGACCTTCTACAGACACTTTCAGGCCAATAACTAGCTCACTCATCGGTAATGCGGGTCATACTACCTTCGTGTTGGTAACCTAGGGAACAATAAGTAGAAAATCAGACGCTAGAGCCCTTGAGGGATAGATGCTGCACCCTGCCGGTCGCCTGAATTTTGCTTTTCTGAGGGCGGAGGCGACCGGTAGGGTGCAGCACCATTCTACTAGATTCAACTTGTTCTCGAGTACTAAGTATGACCACCTGGGTAGGCTCATTTATATTGCCTAATAAACAACCTTGGAAATACTTTAGCTTTATCCTATCTCCGTAAAATTTCACAAAATTTACTTACCGTCATGTTTATTGTCATTGGAAGATTTATCATCTCCGCCATTCGCAATTATAAAAATTTCTTATATCAATTGTTTTTCTCCTCTCTGTCAAGCATTCCAAATGCAAATTGGCTTTCGGCAATCACACCTATATGGATGCAATGGAAGATATTTCAAGGCGAAGAAGTACCTGCCTTCCACAATGCCTTCGTGACAAAGGGGCCTCTTGTCAGAGTTGCACCGAATGAGATTGCCGTGAATGACATGGACGCCGTCCGTGTAGTCCATGGCTCTGCACAGAACAACTGTACAGAGACGAGCTGGTACTCGGTCTTCATGCACAACGGGTATGCTTCAGGCTATGTTCTCATGGTCCGTCCTTTGACTTTTCCAAGTTATGATGCTTATACAACGTTAGCGCTCGCAACTTCTTTTCCTCGCTTGGCCCCGATCATTCCATGCGTCGGCATCGAATCAGCTCAGTTTACACCAAGCCCTTTGTTCAATCATTCCCTCATGTCCGCAATTTGCTGTCTCATATGTTACAGAAACATCTTTTGCCCACTCTTGAAGCACATGCACAAGGGGACACCGCATTGGACGTTCTTCCGGTGAATTTTGCCTTTAGTCTGGACTTTGTTTCCTCATTTATCTTCGGTCTTCCTCGCTCTACATCAAATCGGACATCCTCACTTACCCTCCACCAAGGTCCTCAGGCTCGAGTCGGTCTTTTTATCTTCGGCCTCCCCCGCCGCTTCCTAGCGCGACCGAATCATTTGTCCGCCGGGATTGGAGCCCGCTGCCAAGGCTTGGCATCTGCATATATCCATATGGTTTTTCACTTGAAATTTTCTCCTATGTTGGAAGATTTAATTGAATTCCATTGGAATCATGGTATCAGAGAAGCAGAGCACCGTTATCCAATATATTTCTTCTGATGGCAGCGAGGACGCAGAGTTATCGTTCGAGTTCAGCAAACAGGAACACGCTCTTGGCTGGTGGGATGCCATGCGTTTGCATTACCCCGCCATAGGCTGGGGAATTTTCATGAACCTGGTCAGTGAGGTTATTTCTTATGGAGACTATTGCATACTCATGATTTCAGGCAACTGTTCTCAAAGGCATTGACGGAGGAATCGTTCGTAGCCTGGTCGGACTTCCTGTCTTCAAGGAGACATACGGATATAGCGCCAATGGAAAATACACGATTGCAGCACAATGGCTATCCGCATTCAATTATGCCAACCTTCTAGGTGCTATTGTCGGGGCTATTTTGTCTGGAATTACCTATGACCGCTTTGGACCTCGATTGATGACAGCAAGCTGCTGTGTGCTCTCGATTGCGTTCATATTCGTGCAGTTCTTTAGCCATACCCCGGCTCAGCTTTTCGTCGGTGAGCTTATCAACGGCTGTATCATTGCATTCTACCCTATTTGTGCATCGGCATATGTCGGCGAAGTCACCCCCCTCGTACTTCGTGGGTTCGCAGCAACTATGACTAACCTTGCTTTCTCAATTGGCTCTCTGCTCGCTTCTGGTATTCTCAAGCGTACAGAGTCCATGGACAGCAAGTGGTCGTACAAAATTCCTATCGCAACCCAATGGGCCCTACCATGCGTTATGCTTTTCCTGGTGCCTCTGTGCCCTGACCCACCGTACTGGTTGTGTCGCAAGGGTCGTTATGAGGACGCTATGGTCTCGCTGCGTCGTCTTGGGACCTCAACTACGGATATACCGAAGAAATTAGCACACATAAAGGAGACTCTCCGGGCGGAAAAAAGTCATCAGAGGGAACGGCCAAATTACATTGATTGTTTCCGGGGCTCTAATTTTCGTCGCCTGGTCATTTGTGTTATGGCATATGATATGCAAGCGTTTACGGGCAATGTCTTCTTTCTCAGTTATGCCGTACATTTCATGGAGCTGGCTGGGCTTGATGCTTCGGATGCATTTTCTATGAATATAGGTCTCACCGCACTGGGACTACTAGGGACTTGCATATCGTGGTTTCTACTCTCCTACATTGGTCGGAGAAACGTGTATATTTTTGGATGCTCCACGCTGGCCGTGGTACTATTCATCATTGGTGCCGTCGATCTTGCCCCACGGCAACCATCTACCACGTGGGCGCAGTGCGGCTTGATGCTACTCTGTACTTTTGTGTATGATATGAGCTTGGGACCATTTTGCTACGTTCTATTGGCCGAGGTATCTTCTGCAAAACTCCGTGGACTTACAATCGCACTCTCAACTGTGAGCTGCTTTATCTGGTCGATTGTTTTTGCGGTTGTCATACCATATGCCATGAATGAGGACGAGGGTAATTGGCGTGGCAAAATTGGATTTTTGTTCTCAGGCCTTAGTTTCCTAAGTTCTGTCTATTGCTTCTGGTGCATCCCCGAAACAAAAGATCGTACATTTGAGGAACTGGATATATTGTTTGAGCGAAAGGTCCCAAGTCGTAAGTTCAAGTATTTCAAGATTGATGTTAATATTGGCGGGAGGCGTCTGGAATGATCCTCTCAGGGTATTAGAATTTCATAGTGTAGAATCCATGAAATCAACTTGAATTTCTTGTGCAGAGGAGTCGATCAAGGTCATGGTCGGGATATGGTAACTATTCAAATGAGTGACATGCATGATGCTAGTAGTAGTATTCAATCATATATCTGATACGCGGATATTGAGGGAAGACAAGGACTGGAGCTCAGGGCATCATACTGTTTCTAGTCCAATAATGGTCAAACTGTTCCAAAGTTGCTGTCCATTCACTTTGCGTGGAGCCACTATTGCCTCAGGCACCGGTATTTCCTTTGCCTTCCTTCCTTTCCACCTCGTCTTCCGGCCACCACCGCTCACAATTTGACATTTGCATCCGTCAGTATCGGTGAGCTCTAGTTCTTTGAGCAGTGGCCAGCTGCAACCGCGATCCGAATACTACTGAACCTTGGAATCAATATGAAAAAGGCTTCTTGTGTTCTAAAGCCTCGGGCTAGAGTTATGCCGCGATGATACGCTATATATCTCGCCAAGAAATCGAGGGTGACAAAATGCGGGGTGAAGTTACACTTCAGCTCTTCAGCTCTAAAAAGCCTCCCGCTGAATGATTGATTAAGGAAAGATTGTCGGATTGAAGTCTTGGCGATGACCTCGGGAGGGGATCATCGTGCCTTTCGGTATAGCTTGGACCGACCGCAGGCGGGAAATTCGATCTTGCCTTGGTCAATATGCCCCGGAATTTTGAATGCGGGGTTGGACCACATACTCAGTGGCTCAGACAATGTAATGTGATGATCTTGAGCAGTTCCTATATAAAATGGCTTCGAACACCTACACATGGATAGCTAGGCATCATGGCTCTTTCAATTTCTCAGGTCTCATTTGAGCACCATCGGACGGCCTTGGGTATATCGGAGACTTCTCCCCGGGTTTCCTGGCGATTCAATGGACAAGTCTCGAATTGGAATCAAGCATCCTATGATCTTGAAATTCAAAGGCCAGGAAAGGATGCAGAGACTTTCCACGTGGATTCTGCGGAGTCTGTTCTCGTTCCATGGCCGAGCGAACCCCTAGAGTCAGGAGAGGAAGCGACCGTTCGGGTTAAATCTTCCGGGAGTAGAGACAAACCCAGTACATCATGGTCGCATCCTGTGTCCGTCGAACCGGGGCTTCTCAGCCCCGAAGATTGGAAGGAGGCGGTTGTTTTGGCGTCAGACCGAGCTACCGAGGTCAACGCCACCCACCGACCTATCTACTTTCGAAAAGATTTTGCCCTGGGCCAGGACATTGCCTCTGCAAGATTATACATTACCGCGTTAGGACTATATGAGGCTCGTTTGAACGGTCAGCGAGTTGGTGATCATGTTCTTGCCCCAGGCTGGCAGTCGTACACGCATCGCCATGAGTACAATACTTACGATGTCACCGATCTTCTCAAAAATGGTGAAAATACTATCGGCGTGACTGTTGGCGAGGGCTGGTACTCAGGACGGCTGGCGTGGGAGAACAATCGAAATATCTACGGGGATACACTAGGCGCACTTTGTCTACTCGCAGTAACTAACTCTAACGGCACAAAGACGTACATCTCTAGTGACACAACATGGAAATCTAGCACGGGCCCCATTATCTCTTCCGAGATTTATGATGGGGAGACGTATGATTCTAGGCTGGAGCAAAAGGGATGGGATTCTCCAGGCTTTGATCAGTCGAGCTGGCTGGGAGTCCGTGAACTCGACTTTTCCAAAGATGTCCTCGCTGCCCCGGATGCACCGCCAGTGAGACGTGTTGAGGAGCACAAACTTGAGAATGTGTTTTCTAGCGCTTCGGGCAAGACAGTGTTGGACTTTGGACAGAACTTGGTCGGCTGGCTGCGCATCCGCGTCAAGGGGCCGAGAGGACAAAACATTAGTTTTGTGCACACCGAAGGTATGATATTATGGCGAACAGTCACCAGTCCTTCAGCTGAAAATTTTCACCAGTCATGGAAGATGGAGAGGTCGCAACGCGCCCCCTTCGTACTGCCAAGGCAACAGACAATTTCACACTTTCTGGCGGAGATGATGAGTGGGAACCATCGTTCACGTTCCACGGCTTCCGATATGTTCAGGTCGAAGGCTGGCCAGATGAGACTAAACTTGACACTGATTCAGTCACTGCGATCGTTGTTCATACGGATATGGAGCAGACTGCATTCTTTGATTGTTCCGACTCGCTCCTAAACCGGCTTCACAAGAATATTCTTTGGAGCATGCGTGGCAACTTTTTGAGCATCCCCACGGACTGTCCCCAGCGTGACGAACGCCTGGGCTGGACAGGTGACATTCATGCATTTAGTAGAACTGCAAATTTCGTATATGACACAGCCGGATTTCTTCGCGGGTGGTTACGGGATGCGCGCTCTGAGCAACAAGAGAACAATTGTAAGAAACTTGTTTTCTCTATCACACCCATTGCTGCTTGCTAATCCAGCCTATAGATGCTCCGCCATATGTTATTCCAAATGTTCTAGGAGATTCGTCAGCAACATCAATTTGGGGAGATTCAATCGTGGCTGTACCTTGGCAACTTTTTCAATCTTTCGGAGATAAGGAAATGCTTAAAGAACAGTATGCAGGAGCTAAAGATTGGATTGATAAAGGAGTCCTTAGGAACGAAGTCGGGTTATGGAATCGTTCGACCTTCCAATACGCTGACTGGCTGGACCCTAAGGCACCCCCAGACGATCCAGGGGATGCAACAACCGACAAATATTTAGTCTCTGATGCATATCTGATCCACAGCACCGAGCTTGTGGCTAACATGTCCACTCGCCTCTCTCTTACCGAAAACGCCGAGAAATATACCAAGGCTCGCGCTAAATTGACCAACGCGTTCCAGGATGCCTGGGTGTCTCAGAATGGAACTGTGGCAAATGAGACGCAGACAGGCCTCACATTGCCATTATATTTCCGATTGTTTTCTGATCCAACGCATTATACATCCGCTACGAAGCGACTTGTCAATCTCGTAAAGGAGAACGAATACAAAGTTGGAACAGGATTTGCCGGGACTCATATCCTTGGACATACACTGTCCGAATATGGCGCGGTAGATTCTTTCTATGGCATGTTAATGCAAGAGGAAGATCCGGGCTGGCTTTTCCAGGTGGTGATGAATGGAACCACTACATGGGAGCGTTGGGACAGCATGTTGGCAAATGGAAGTGTCAACTCAGGGTCGATGACCTCTTTCAATCATTACGCGGTCGGGTCGGTGGGGAGCTGGATCCATGAAAACATTGGTGGGTTAACTCCTTCCGAGCCTGGTTGGAAGAAATTCAATGTCGAAGTACGACCTGGCGGTGGGTTGACTGAGGCCACAACCAAGTTCACAAGTGCATATGGCCTTATATCCACGCATTGGACAATAGACATGAGCAAAGAAAACGACAAATGTTTGAAGGAAGAAAAGGTCTTCCATTTGACTGTTCAAGTGCCTCCCAATAGCCAGGCGACCATTCAACTGCCGTCTTCTGGCTCCGAGAAGAAGCCAATCGTGGTGGGATCGGGAGTGCACGAGTATAATAGCTGCGTGGTATAGTTAATGTCGTTGAATTGAATTTGTCGTTTACATTTTGGGTGTCGGTAAAGTTGAAGGAGAATTCTAAAAACGCTACCGGTTCTATGCAACACCCACTGCTTCTTCATTCCGACGTCATCAACTGAGCTCTTAAGACAAGGAGTTTAAATTAGCTTCTAGCCTCGAGTGAGAGGATAACAGCATCTTTTCACGGATTATAAAGCCCTGTCTGATTTAACTTAGTGTGCAATGGAAAACTAAATGTACATTATACCAGCTTATACAAAATTTCGAGAGATTTCATATCGCGCCGCCCGTCACCCACCTCCAATTTTCAAAGGGTATTTTTAGTGGGCGGCAAGTCCGTGTCTTTCAACCAACTTCCAGTAGGGTTTGGCAATAGACGTTCGAGCCGCTTTTCCAATTTTGATCCACAGCAAACAACCACTCCAGAAAACCATACCCAGCACTGCTATCAGAATAAATGTATTCTGCAGCCCCATGTTCGTTATCATGGGATTTACCGCGTACGCGAAAGCAAAACCTAGCCAAATTCAGTTAGCATATTTGAGAAAAATGGTTTATCCACAGGGGAATTTTAACTTACCGATTGTGTTACGGATCAGGATAACAGTCACAATTGACTCTCCTGCCAGTTCCTTCTGACTGTCAATAATGTAGGTGATGGCTAGGCCAGATCCCATTGGCAAAGTAACGCAGATGAATGCCATTCCAATGACAACTCCAATCCATGGAATGTGGTGGCTTGCTCCAACACCGTAAAGAAGGCACCCCAGAGGATGGGCGAGGACAGGAATCAAGAACATCCAGAGTCGGTCCTCAGGCTCCTTGATACCGTGTCTTCTTCTAGCTAGCCTGATCGCGAGAATATCGCTGAGCCAGCCGCTGAAGTAGCAACCAATCGACACTCCTATCACACTTGCGAAGTAGGTGAGACCGATCGCCTCCGTGCTAAAGTTATACGGCGCCCCGCCCAGAACCTCCGCCAATGAGCCACCCAAAACATTGTACCAGGCCAGGATACTTCCAACTAGAAGACCAGAAAATATAATTGTAGGGAAGCACAGGAGTCGGAAAGACAGTGTTATCGACCGAAAGAAGTTGAGTGGCTGGGAAGGGTCTCTGAATCCCCACAATTTCAGTTTCTGGACGTATGTTTTCACTTCGTAGGTTTCTTCAGCAACGGCGGGAAGAATACTGGAGCTCTCTGGTTCTTTATATTCGCACCCCATCTTGTTGTCGGGGTTATGCGAGGACTCAAGCGTGATAGCATCTTTGGGGTCGGAAAATATCGGTTCTTGGATATTCACTTGGCGGAAGAACATCGTCTCTTCAAAAGTAAAGAACGTTCCAATTGTGAAGCAAAGACAAATAATGGCCAGGATATACTGGATCCATCTCCAACCGAATCTCTCGGCAACGAATCCACCAGCGATAGGCGACAAGAAAGCACCACACCATAAAGTCCAGTTATAAATACCCATGTGGAAGCCCCGATCATGAGCAAAGTGAACATCAGCAATGCAGAGCTCGATCAAGGCTTCTTGGGGCGAAACAAAAATGCCCAGAAGAATTCTATTGGCATACCATTCGCCTACCGACGTGATATAAGCAGACCAAATCTGCAAGAGCGATGCCCCCAGCATGCCAACCAGAAAGACTGGCCGACGACCAAAGTCCTGCGCTAGGTTTTGGGTTAACAAGGTACCCCACCCCATGAAGAGATACATCAGGCCATTCCCTGTGCTAAGGTCTGCCACGGAAATGCCTGTGTCTTCTGAGATAAGGAGGTAGGAGGATGACAGGCCACTGATTAGGGCGGCAGCGAAGAAACACCAGGCCATTTGGCAGGTACTGCTCAAAGACTTGCGGCAGCGGGACCAATTTAGAGGGTCATCTGGATGAGAGCTCGGGCGAGGAATCAGGACGATATCTTGTTGCTCTTTATTGTGTCTCACGCTCAGATTGTGGTCAACATCCACCTGCTGGACCGTTCCAGGGATGGGAAGAGGATCATCCATCTCTCTGTTAGGGCAGCGGAGAATTAGTTGCTTAGGTTCTCAATATATCTGGCTCATCTGGTTTGTTTCAGTTCCAAAGCTGGATACCTCGTACGTACCCTAAGTCAAACCGGGGGCTTCTGGCGGGTAATTTGTGTGCTGTGTCAATGGAGTGAGTGATATCGCGAAAAGGAGCTATATAACATCTGTGCATACCCCAAAGTAATCACAAGGCGTCTGGAAATGGCTTATCATAGACGGGTCGATTCTGGGGATAACCATAAAATATCCAACCAATGCGGATTTTGGGGTAAGTAACAAGAAGAGCCTTGACCATATTGCTGCCAGTGCACGCTGCTAATTGATACCCCGCAAGATAGGGCCGATCTAATGCCTTCCCAACTTAAGTTATCACCATAAATATGGGTGTCATTGGCTGAACATGGAGTTGGGGTAGTGAATTGGAGTCATTCTTGATAGCAAGAGTTTAGTTGATAAGATAGTTACAGGTTAAGACGGGGCGAGCTGTCCAATCGGATTGCCCCATCTTCGGCTCGACCCCAAACGATATTTCCTCTGGCTGCACTTTACTGGTAACAACCAAGCGACCATCAACCTCCACGGATGAACTTGGAATTTCCGACGAGATTCACTCGCAACTTATCATCGCATTGATAACGATCGGGTTGAGACAGGAACATTCAAGGGTGGTTTGATTGAAGACCTCGGGACGCCTTTGTGGATCAGTTGGGGTAGTTGGAGTAATGGAGAACATTGAATAATTTACGCTAGTTAGCTCACGGGTATCGATCGTCACGAAAAGAGCTTGGAACAGATCGAGCACAACATATACGAACATCTATGAATACTTTCTTTAGAATGTGATCATAATACTATAAATACTAGTAGTTATCATAAATCTGCTGCTTTCGCTGACAATTGATTCGAACGACCTTTTCGGATTGACCTTTGGTTGATGTACAAACTAGTAACTCCCAGGTATATATTTACTTGCCAGGGAAGTAAGCCTTGTTAAAAATATCGACAACGGCTCGTGTTTCCTGGACCAGCTCCAAGCACCCAGGAACGTCAGAATGACAGCAAATGGAGATGGGATGATCCTTAACAGGTAAGTCGCAGGTTGATCCGTCAATCGCAACAGCAGTGCATGTTTCCATCTGCTGTGAAACACGTCTTCGGACTTCAGCAAGATCCCAAGCCCTGCAAAAAGCACTTTAGAAAACACGAGCATCACCAAGGGAGAATAAATTACTTACTTCTTCTTCCGCTCAATCAGAAGAGACGCATCCGCATTGTACTTGACATCCGCATACAATTCCGCGACAAACTCGAGCCCTAAATCCTTGGCCGCTTGTTCCATGAAAGTTCCTGGAAGCCCGAACACTTTGACACCCTTGGGCACGGCCTTGAAGACGGCCTTGGAAACCTCGTAGTCTCTGCAGCACATACCATAAAGTGACCCATGGGGCTTGACATGATGAAGAGGGACTTCCTCCCGGTCCAAGAACCCCTTGAGCGCGCCAATTTGGTAAACCGTGATTGCGGTGAGTTCGTCTTGTGAAAGTTTCATTTCGCGACGGCCGAAGCCCTGGAGATCTGGTAGGCCGGGGTGTGCTCCGATTTTCACGCCGTGTTCCTTGCAGCTGCGAACGGTTTCCATCATTATGAGGGGGGTCACTAGTAGCGGAAAGATGTGAGTTTAAACTTCCATCTTCGTGCAATTGTTTTGCATAATATTATTCGTAACTGATAGGGCGTTGCGATGCTGGCGATCGCACGGAGGGGAAATAGAAAGACATACGAGGCATGGAAACCACAGGCAATATTAGCATGATCAATGAACGGAAGCAAATCTTCATCTGAAGTGATTGTCCAATTTCCAAACCCTTCTCCTAGATCCACGTTGATGAGGGCTTTGTGTTTGATAGGTCCCATTTTGGCACTTGAAAGCTGTCTGTGAATTAAATATAGCTGATGATAGCCGTCACGAGAGCGCGAGTGATGTTGAAAGACTTCCAAGCGTTGACTTTCGATAAGACAATCGGCTTTAAGGGAGAACCCGTTGGAGGTATTTGAAAGATAGCGGGCAAAAGGATAATAATTCAAGCTGTCTATCAAAACTACACAGCTCGGATCTTGCCTCAAGTGTCTGGCTGATTTGCTTCGCGCGGACCTGCTAATGACCCCGCCATGCGGAGCTGGTTCGGTTCGGAATCAAACCGCTTTCCTGCACTACCCGGGGCGTACCGACTCGATAAACCCGAGACTCTTTGTGTTTCCCCTCAGGTCAGGATCCACAAATGCGCGCCCGTTGGTAGGAATACGTCATTCAGACTTGTATGCAACGGAAATGTCTCTTTTTATCTGCTTTTTGGAAACTAAAATTTGCTGTTAAGGCAGACTCATTAAAGACACGAAGAACATCCTTCACCAGAACGAAATGGCAGTAATAGGAGTCAAGTTGGTCTTCATTGGAATAGCCAGGTTGGATATTATACAAGCAACTATATAATTTCACTTTAAATTGCGATATGGAATCAATGGTCAATGATCTACTAGACCAGTACTTCCGAAGACACCATCAGCTGCATCGCTCGAGAACTGATGATCACTTCCACCCACGAGGCCCAAAGTGGGAAACCATGGCATGTAATTGAGGTTCACCTGGGAGAATTGATCATCCCACCACATTGACCAGGCATCAGACTGTGTGTCACATTTAGCATCTCCCGAATTCGAACGGTTGACATCCGAAAGATTGTTGTGTGCAATATGGGCATGAGTCTGTAGATCTTGAGGGGTATGGTGTATTGTTGATGGTTGTATCTCGTGGGTGACCCGAGATGTTTCGGTTGTGAATGTCATAGTAGACGCTTTGGGCGTGGCTGGTTGGGCTAGGCGCGACTCTAATCTACTGGCGAGGGTTTCGAGAAGGTCGCCCCATCGACTACTCAGGTGAGTATCATCGACTACAGAGTTGCGAAGACCAACAGCGACTTGCCGCACTAGATCGAGAGATGTGGGTACATCAATCTCACTAATGCCGGCGGCGCAGCACTGAGTCCACAACTTAGCACGGGAAAAAGAAAAAGGCCCTCATGAAAGCGAACGACTCACCTTCAGCAGAATCAAAGTTGCACCGAGAAGCCTGGAATATGATCGCACGGGGATATACTTCAGGCTTCCATGAGGAAGTAGATCGTTAAGGACTGTTTTAAGTACAGCCCGAGCGGCTTTAACAGTTCTCGTGACATGCTTTTCTTCTTCCGTTGAAATGTCTTGTGACAAGTTTCCTGGTGTGCTATTGGTACGATCACGGGAGTTTCGGCTGATTGCAGCCTGTAAAGCAAGACCGAATATGCATAGCTGGGCATATTCGTATTCAATATTCAGGATATACCGTGTCTGTTTAGCCACTAGATTCGAGTGAGCGTGGATTCACGGAGCAGGAGGTCTGATACATACACTTTGCATCGTCAAATTCAATAAGTGATTCATTTAGTGATGGTTCAAGGCCCCGAACAATCTGAAGGTAGTGTCCATTGGAAATTATTTCACCTGTATATTGAGCTGACGGAAAGAGAAGTTCATTTGCATTCTTCATAATTGTTGCGACGCGCATCCAGCATTCCGTTGCATCGTCATTCCTAATGCCGGGGCTTTTTATAGGAGTGCATTGTGTCGGATTTCTTCGTCCTGCAATATTGAGACCCTTATTAGGTCCAGTCGTTCCAAAAGGGTCGCGTAAGATCTCCTCATGGAGGAATTGCATACCTGGTCGGCCTGGCTGTTGGGTCGCGTAAACCCATATCAAGCACCGAATACGGTGGAATCTCTCATATTCACGAGCGATTTTCAAACTATCGTTTCCAGCTTCATTCTGCCAAAAAGAATTATCCTCTGAGAAAATACCCATCTCAGCTGCCAGCATCAAAACGGTAGAAAGCATGGATTGGCATAGGCGATCTGATCGAGCGAGCCAGTCATGTCCGGACCCGGGCCCGTAATACCGGCTACCGGCGCTGGTCCGCGGTTTATTCGTCTCCGGAATCACGATCGAAGACATATCTTCATCAGGTGGTGGGAAGTGGAGAGCTCGAGGATGCCAATCTAGCAACAATAACAATGCCTCGCAAGTCCCCAACGTGCGGAACCCATGTGACCAACTGTCTGTATATGCCGGACGCGGCCCATTGAGCGAAGGGAATTCACCAACGAACAGGTCCTCCGACCAATTTAATCGCGAAATCATTCCTTGTAAATATCTCCAAATTCGATCGTGAACAATATAAGAACGTGCGACCGCGGCTGGTCCCGTCCATTTTCGATATCTCGACCCTATCATCAATATGGTGATTGTCAAAACGGGTTCCTCCTCAATCAGCGTTGCATGTTGGGAATGACTTCGGAAGTAGTCCGGAACAACAGGGGAAAAAGCAGAATGGAACGAATAGAAATGATCAACCATGTCCAGCGCTTCCTCTGCTGTGAATAGGCCGCCACGGACAAATCGTAGGTTGGACCAGGCGCGTAGGGCATCATTGGTGTGTTTGTTGGCAGTTGGCACGGTTTGGATGCCGAGATGTGAGTCAGCAGAATGTTCGGTGACGTTCGGATGGTTTGACGGCGAGCAATCAATGGGTTCCTTTCGAGCCTCACTGTGCTCACAAGCTTCCGACAGCAGTGTCAATGCTTCATGGTAGGTTCGAGGATGACCTTCAAGCAAAGCAGCTGCTGCACGTCCATCTTCTGGCAATGGCCGACCATCCTCTTGTGTAGGATTTGAATTGCCGGGCGACAAAAGGATCGAATCGGGAGAAAAGGTGGCAGGTTGAGGCCTGGGCTTTCGGGGAAGGGGTTGTGATTTCCGATTGGCGATCTTCCTTGACCGCAACGCGGAAAAAAAACATTCTTTGCTCTCTCTCCGACATCGCGCACAGGGTGGTTTACTGGGAGAATCGGCTGAACCCAACTCGCAGCGTACTTTCTTCTCCCTGCACGGCTCACAAGCCTGGTTACAATGTCAGAGGATCGACAGAGGGGGAACTGCCGGAGGTCAAGGGCCCATGGCCCACATACCTGGTAGACTCGTCTGTGCTCTCTTGCATGAGACATGAGAAATGAGAGGTGGAATTGGACGAAGGATCCGAGCCGGAGATATCCAGACTCTTTATGAAAGATCTCCGAAGTAAGCGGTGGTTTCCAGCCAGTCGGATGAGCGCAATTACTCCAACCCCGTGACATTTCCCCGCATCCGACGTTGGGGTACTGATAAGCTTATCTATTGGACTCGGCTGAATGGAACTGGGGTATCCTGGGATACTAATAACGATTGCATATCTGCAGGACTTCCCGGAACTTCATGAGTTCAAGAATTTCACAATGGAGAAATTGAAAACATTATTGATCGCAAATCGCGGTGAAATCGCGGTTCGAATTGCCAAAACAGCCAAGTAAGAGACCCTTAAGGATCGACCCATTGCCGAGCTTGTTAGCAACAGCCCAACTAATACTTTATTCGCAATAGAGAGCTAGGTGTCCGCACAATTGCAATCTACACTTCTGCTGACGCGACATCACAACACCTCCGAGCGGCCGATGAGGCAGTCCTACTACCGGGTGACGACTCTACTGCATACATTAACGGGTTAGTCCCTTGCCATTCCCAAACGCAAACTCTATGAAACTGAGACGATGATCCACACAGAGATGCAATTATAGAGATTGCACGCTCTTATAATGTTGATGCCATTATTCCGGGCTATGGATTCCTGTCCGAGAATGTGGAATTCGCCCAAGCTGTCGCCAATGCGGGAATGGTATTTGTGGGGCCTCGCTCCGAAGCGATTGAATCATTCGGATTGAAGCATCGAGCTCGGGACATTGCTGTGGCAGCCGGAGTTCCAATTGTACCTGGGACAAAGGGGCTACTCGTAACAGAACAAGAGGCGGTGGATGCGGCAAATAGACTGGGATATCCTGTACGACACCATGGCCCTATTCGTGGCAGACAACCCCCGCTGACAATATTTTGCTATAGGTAATGCTGAAAGCCACCGGTGGCGGTGGTGGTATGGGATTAACGATATGCAAATCAGTGGAAGAGGTCCGAGAGTCGTTGATGCAAGTCCGGTCCAGAGGAGAAACCTTGTTCAAGAACGCCGGCGTATTTATGGAGCGTTACTACCCTGAAAGCCATCATATTGAGGTCCAAGTATTTGGCAATGGTCTAGGAGATGCCATTCATATTGGAGAGCGCGAGTGCTCAATTCAGCGTCGTCACCAAAAGGTTGTTGAGGAGTGCCCCAGCCCTTTCGTGGAAAGGCACCCAGGTTGGTTGCCACCATTCCCCCACGTGTTTTACGTATCACCTACTGACGGTTTTAGGTCTTCGCGAGAAGCTCACCTCTGCGGCGGTTGCTTTGACCGCATCCATTCGATACGGATCTGCAGGCACGGTCGAATACCTAGTTGATGACGCATCGGGTGATTTTTTCTTCCTGGAAATGAACACTCGTCTTCAAGTGGAGCACGGTATTACCGAACTCTGTTATGGACTTGATATTGTAAAGCTTATGCTCCAACAAGCCGACCGAGAGCTATGTGGTCTTGGAGGTCTGGAAAAAAGCTATATTGAAGCCTTACAACCCGACAAGCCATCGGGTTGCGCAATTGAAGTTCGTGTGTACGCAGAGAATCCTGCACGAAACTATGCCCCGTCTCCTGGATTGCTTCAACATGTTGAGTGGAAGGAGTTGAGCGGCACCCGAATTGATACGTGGGTTGCTACCGGAACCCGAATTTCCACATATTACGGTACGTCGCTAAATTCAAGCTGTCATGTGAAAGGCTAAGCTGACCTAATAACCTTAGATCCTATGATTGCGAAGTTGATGGTACATGACACCAACCGAACAGCGGCTATTGACAAGTTGGGCGATGTCTTGTCGCACTCCACCCTCTGTGGACCACCCACGAATTTGGAGTTTTTACATGCAATCGTTGATTCCAGAGAATTTCGCTCGGGTCATACTCTGACTAACTTCCTGGCTGATTTCAAGTTCACACCTGCTGCGATTGATGTCATCTCACCCGGTGTGTATACAACAGTACAGGACTATCCAGGACGCCCAACAACTGGGCGCGGAATTCCACAAGCAGGACCCATGGTTAGTTGGACTCTATCTCCCTTGAAATTATACATTTTCTTACACCTATATATCAGGACCCTTTGGCATTTAAAGGTATGCAGTTTCCAACTAGTACCTACTAGTTGTAGTACGTTTCAAGAAGGAGGGAAACCCACTAACGACCTATTATCTTGTTTGCAGTTGCAAACATTTTGGCCGGCAATCCGGTCGGTACAGAAGGCCTAGAGATTACATTGAAAGGACCAGAGCTACGATTTTTAGCACCTGCAGTGGTATCTGTCTGCGGAGCTCCAATGGAAATGACAATTAATGGGACCATCGGTGTGGCTATGTGGACACGACTATATATCAAAGCTGGCCAAATCTTATCAATTGGAAAGCTTAATGGATCTGGAGGCTGTCGAGGTAAGTTATTATGCATCGTTCACGTCTACCCTGCTAACTTACTATATTAGCATATCTCGCTGTTCAAGGAGGATTCCCAGGAATGTAAGCTACTATTCATGGATATTCCTTCCTGAGTCTTGAACTAATCACATAAACAGTGCCCCATACTTTGGATCAAAGTCAACCTCCCCGCTACTTAATATTGGCGGGTATCAAGGAAGAGCACTGGCTCCGGGTGATATGTTGGCCATTTCAAAGCTCGATGCAGCCAAAGAAGAGTCCGAAGTCTCATTGCCGATTCATTTGCGCCCGAACTACTCCTCTCATTGGGACATTGATTCCATGGTAGGGCCATACGACGAGGGGTACATTGTATCCGAAGATGTTGAAATGATATACAACACAGTTTGGTATGTTCCGTACACGGAAATTGCGGGAATAGATATAAAGACTTCATTGGGCGCGGCTAACTAAAGATTTCCAGGGATGTTTCGCATAATGCCACTCGAGGCGGAATTCGTCTTGTTGGACCTGCTCCTAGATGGGCAAGAGAAGATGGGGGCGACGGTGGGCAGCACCCGAGCAACGTGATTGAATACGGATACCCGAACGGAACCTTGAACTGGACAGGAGACAGGCAAGTCGCCATGGCGAATAAATTGATGTTCATTATGCTGACTCGAATGGCCCTTTCAGTCCTTGCATCTTCCCCGTGGATGCCCCTGATCTTGGCGGCTTTATATCCTCTACTACCATTGTGAATGCCAGCCTGTGGCGTATGGGCCAGCTTAAATCCGGCGACACTATTCAATACCGCAGAGTATCATTGAAGGACGCCCTTCAGGCTCGTGAGAAATTGGAAAGGTTTTTGGAAAATGTGTCCGGACTTGTAGCCGGACAATGCGATGTGGATAGCATAGAGGCAATCTCCAATTCCGAATCGCCAGAATCAACTGTTTCTGGCACATGGGGGAAGGCCTTGATCCACAGAACTGTGCTGGGTGAATCTGGAATTCCTATGTCATTCAGACAGGTAAGAAATACTGAATTCCACTTCGCCTACCAACTTCTGACCTTACCTGGCAGGGTGGAGATGACTTTTTATTAGTCGAATTTGGCGATGGAAAATTCAATTTGAATCATCGGTGCCGAGTCACGGCATTGAACCAAGCCTTCAAGAATTCTCAAGAGTCTGATGAAGCCGTGAGGCAAGCCGTGTACAAGACCACCGGATGCTGCAACTGTGAGTATCCCTTTTCAGCTCCACCATATTTGAATTCAACTGACAGGCTGCCAATCAAAGCGCTTCTAATTCACTATGATGGTTTTAAACTCCCCCAGGATAAGCTTGTCCGGCTTTTGGTGTCGCTGCAGCAAGCGGTCGGTGATCTCAGTAGTACCCATGTTCCAAGTCGAAAGTTTCGTCTTCCCATCTGCTTCGAAAGCCCAGCCCAGCAGGAAGCGATCCAACGATATATGGAGACACAAAGACCACATGCTCCATTCCTTCCCAGCAATATGGACTTTGTGGCCAATATCAACGGCATTACGCATGATGAATTAGTGGATATCTTTCTCTCGGTTGAGTTCATGGCTATTTGTGTCGGGTTCTTCTGTGGCGATACAATCTGCCTCCCAATTGATCCCCGCTATCGGTTGAAATGCCCCAAGCAGAACCCCAGTCGTGTATACACCCCGGAAGGAAGTGTCAGCTGGGGTGGATCATGCATGAAGTAAGATTTTCTCCATGCTCCCGACAACGCAGATAAAATTCAAATGCTAATCGTAACAGCATCTATCCCGTTGACTCTCCAGGTGGATATCAAATGACAGGCCAAACCATTCCCTGCTTCAACCAATTGGGAGTCAAGCCCGACTTCTCGCCAACTCAGCCGGGCCTTTTCCGTGATTTCGATCAGATCACCTTCTATCGAGTAGAGAAGGACGAGCTGGAGAGTGAGATGGCCCGTTTCCGGTCCGGGAATTATAAGTTCCAGTATGAAGATGTCGTATTTGATATGAGCGCCCACAATCGTCTCCTCGATCAAACCAGACAAGAAACAGCGGCATTCAAGTCTCGCCAAGCCAAGGCACAGGTGAAGATGCTGGCCCTGGAAAAGGAATCAATGGACAAGTGGATGGAGGAGAAAGCACAGAACAACGTTCCCGCTGATGAAATTGAACTTCTGAGAGAAGGTAAGCTAAATTATCGCGAATGATTGCTAGTTTCAGCATGCTGACAGAATATTGCCAGACCCTGACATTTTAACATTATATGCTCCGCTTGATGCAAATGTTTGGAAGGTCAACGTTGAAAATGGTAATGTCGTAGCCGCTACTCAAGCTGTCGCCATCCTCGAGGCAATGAAGATGGAAGTCTCTGTCTCCTATAATGGGGATAAGAAAGATGGTGTTGATCAGTCCTTCAGAATTGAGAAGGTACTCGTCCAACCCGGTGATACTGTAAAGGCCGGGGACTCGCTTGCATTTTTGAGAAATGTTGACTTAAGGTATTGACATACTGTCAGATTCACATGTTGGCTTCGGACAATTAGTGATCAATATATACGTTTTGTTAGAAACCTCTAGTACATACGACCATAGGGTGTGGAGAACAGGGCTTCCCGTCCGCTCAGCCGTACTTAAGCCACACGCCGGCAGGTTAGTAGTATGGTGGGTGACCACATGCGAATCCCTGCTGTTGTATGTTTTTGTTCTAGGGATTTCTTTTTGGATTCGTTGGGGTCTTGTTTTGCCTCATAAATCACCCCCGCCCAACGGCCCTCCATGAGCATGTGACTGGAAATATTGTTTACTATTGAACCTTGGAAGAAGGTTTCTATTGCGGCTGTGTCGTAAAGGGCTAGCTAGACTGCTAGAGTCCGCATTTAAGGGCAAACCCTTCACAATTTTTCATGGATCACTTTCAAAAAATATTCTTTGGGGTCTTGTTGAAATTTGGGTTTAGAGTGCAAAGTTTGCCCTATGAGTATATATAAAGTCTACTTCTATTACTACTAACTAGAAGTTTTGAGTCTTTCAAAAGAGTTAAATTTATGATACCTAGGTATTCCAAGGTTTACCCTAAACTTCACTTTATGGGTAGTTTTAGTTAGGATTAATTCTAAATCTATGTTTATCTAGATATTGTAATGGGGGATTCCGCTCTCAACATCGGTATCCTGTAGTCATGTGACTAAGGCCTTAGCAACAAGGCTGCTATTTTGTTTCGTGAGATTAAGTTAGCGTTCGTTCGATAGTATCAATAACAACATGCATGTTCCCCCTTATGAATTATTCTTTCTGCGGAGTCTACTGAGGCTGAGGTTGCGGTATCGGTATATCGCATGTCAATGAAGACTCGAATGTCCTATTAGTCGCATCTCGATAGCGTCACGCTTTGTCTACTACTCTCATGCACTCTGCGAGTGTGGTGGTTTTGTCCTCTTGTGATCGACCCGTCTGCCAACGCAGACTGCCATTGAGCATTCCTATCTTACAATATATATATTTTTAGTAAGCCTTATTAGGCCAACACTGCGAGTGAGTAGTAGACAATATGGAGGCCGAATCGATAGATATTTGTCTAAAGCTAAGCTAAACCAGGCTAAGAACTATACTCCCGGGCATGAGGTGGAGAGACCCTAGACCACATCTTGAAAGGCCAATTTCTACCCCATCTCTTCTAGCCTCTCCAGGGCATTACATGCATGATGTATTATATATGGTAGTACTAGCACATCCTTTTTGCCTCGGTCTTTGCGAGGAACAAACCTTCCCAGGTTTTGCGTATCCTACTACTGGCATGACACCCTCAGACACCCAAGTTGCCAGTGATATGCTGATTTCTTGTCACGTCCAATGTTGTTCCAAGCCCGCTACTACAATGTCGTTGTCGGCAGGGCTGTTGCTGTACTGAGACGCCATAATGTAGGTAGTAGACTGAGGGATGCCATACTTGGCTTCGCCGGCAAGACCACCCTGGAGTATACAAGGAAGGTGCACTAACTATGTTTAGAGAGCACTGGCACCTGCCTAGGCCCAAATGGATTGTTTACTTTCTCTCCTTCTTACGTTTCCTCTTTGTTTACATCTTCCTCTCTTCCTCTCCATCTCGTTAACCCCAGCGCTGCATCGTTGATCTCAAAAGTTGACTCCTATTGTCATGTTCAAGTTGAAAAAGGAATATTGAGCCTGCTAAGCGAAAAGAAAGAGGCAAATGGGTCCCCTGCCTCTCCTTTTACAGCCCCAGGTCCTTCCCCCCCTTTCATCGCTTGAATTTCGCGACCTATAAACCTTGGTCCACCGATTATTCTTTGTTGCATATTTAGGTCAGCGTTCCTTTCCTGTGTAGTACTAGTATATTTTGGTATTACTGGGTGCCCGAGGCAGGTAGTTACTACTATATGATCAGGCTTCGATTTGCTAGTATATGATTGTGTTAATCTGCGCTTCGTCTCATTCAATGTGAATACTAGTAGCCTCGGCCCCCGTAAACATTGATCAATGGCTCCCCCTTAGCCAGTCTATCCAGGTTCAGCTTCAAGATGTCAAGCGATCGGGGAAGATATTCTCTGCCAAGACCACTCAGATGGGGACTGATTTGCACATTTGGAGTATCCCAGAGGGGGTGGTCTTCTGGAAGCGGTTCGGGGTCCGTAACATCCAGTGCCGCTCCACTGAGCTGACCAGCATTCAATGCGTCAATCAAAGCATCTTGATCAAGTACCTTTCCTCGGGAGATGTTCGTAATGTAAGGCTTAGCAAATCGGCTAGTGCTGTTATCGGAAAGTAGAGCGAATTCTTCGGCTCCAAGGAACTTGGTGGTCTGAGGTGTCAAAGGGAGTGAAATGACTAGATGATCCAGCCCCAAGGAAAGGAATGACCGGATCGATTCCTTGTCTGTACCATGGTGCCATGAAACGGGGATGGAGCCGTCTGCATCTCCTGTTCCTGGAACGATGTAGCCGGTATCCTTTTTAGATTCGGGGGTCTTGCGGGGCGAAGCAGTGTATGCGTAGACAGACATCCCCAGTGCTTGGGAAACACGACCAACTATATCTTGTTAGTCACGTAGATCACTTTCACCGTTTTGGAAAGTGGAATAAAATCACGAGCAGTACATACTCTGTCGCCCAATGCTGCCATAACCCAAGATTCCGACCTTCTTGCCGGCCTGGTCATGGTTGCCTTGCATATATTTCGTTTTATCATCCCAGCGATGAGCCTTTTGAGCCTCATACACTTGGAAATGCTTTCGTCCTGCGAGAATCCAATTCATGATGGTCCATTCCGCTATCGGTGGACCGTGAATCCCGGAGCTGGTCGCAATGGGAATCCTGCCTTCTTTTAGAATAGGATGGCTCATGAGGTGATCAAGGCCAGCAGAAAATGTATGAATAAGCTTCAGACTGTATGAAATTGATTAGGCAATGCGATGTCAATAGGATGTTGTGTTTGAGTACTTATGCGAATCTTCAAGTTCCGGTAGATCCGTGAATGTCACTAGAATGGTCGCATTGCGATACAGCTCTGGAAAACCTCGAATTTAGTATGTTTACATGAGCTCATTTCCCATACAGCCACAACACATACCACGAGGCACTGGTTCTCCTGGTTTAGACTGGTAGAGGGTGACCTCCGAATCGGCGAACTTTTCTCGAATCACCCCCTCAACTTCCGGTGAGAAGACTTGATAAAATATCACGAGCAGGTGCTCTCTGGAAACCTCGACTGATCCCATTTTCGACAACACAGATGATCGGTCTTGCCTTCTTCGGTGGTTGAATATTCAATGCTTGCAGTTGCAGATGAAAGAAAACGGCCCGAGATCTGGGAAGTCGCTGGTTGTTAAACGATAGGGCGTAAGGCGCTGTTTTCCCCACATCGGTCGGAAGGACGAAGGCCGAGGCTGTTTGAGTGGTTACCGATGAGCAAGGAATGATAAGCTGTTTGCTCACTATCGAGCGAGAAAAGGTATTTTCGCATGGCGAATATGCGGAGGATTTGTAATATCCAATCTAGATACATTCTCGTTGTGCCACAAAGGCGCAGGATGACGACAGAATTTCATCCGATGAGTATAAGTCGCAATGTATTTGGTAGATACTAGCTCATTTCGGGTTGAACTTGAAGTCAACCATCCGAGCATATTGAGAGGTACGGAGTAGAACTTGAGATAAATACTTCAGTTTCATGCGATTCCTCGCACCTGCATCCATGCACGTTGCACGTTGGCAACCCCACTTATGTGTTTTTTCTAGTCGGCATTCTTGCTTCCATGATGCCCCTTTAAAAAAACAACTTGTTCTCGAACGTGAGTTTGATCAGCTATTTTGGGTCATTTCGGGCACGAGAGCAATTCCTAAAGAAATATTGTGAACAGGATCTTCAATCGTTTTGATTGTTCCACGCGGAAGAGAGTTCTCGAACAGACCTAGCGGAGATAAAGGCACGAACAAGTCGATTGTCTTCTTCAGTCTGAACCACGCGCCGATCTCAAGCTGCTATCTTTATATATCGAGTAGGAACCCCAATCATCATTCACGTTTGATTCCACCGGAGATCTGGGAGCAGAATTCTAATAATGTCGTGCACATGGGCCTTTAGCGAGAAAGCTTCGGCTAGGATCTCCGAAGCCAATGGAACCCCAAAAATGGTCTGATAATCACATGTTAAAAGACAATAAAAACAACTGGGACTTGGGATCGCGATACCAAACTGCTACGGCTGTTTTACCACTTGTCTTCCGCAACCTTCACGGCTTCCAAGGGTCCAGTCGTGATTTTTTAAGGATGATGCACGACAGGATAAGCTCAAGCCATACTCGTACAGAATGCAACCTGTTCAGCTCGCCACGAAACCCCCTGAAATGTGGACGAGGTTCTCGCACTATCCCACAACCAATCAATGACCGCGAATGGCTTTGAAGCATGTCGCACACGAGCATAAATGAAAGACCGGGGCCGCTGTGACCGGGAAATGAGTGCCGCTGTCTCCATCGCATTTCTGCAGGGGAGGATCCACCTTCCACTGTCAACAAAGTCGCTTCCTGCAAGGCTTCCTGCAGCTACTGCTATCTCGACATGATGCATCAACCTCACAAAGTTCGCTCGAGGTATTAGTTACTCCGTGCTCCCCCCCCGCCGATAGCCCATCCGAGCGATCTAGATCGCTGGGACACTCCGATCGCGTAGGCGCACTGATCCCTTTTTACGGGAACACACGAGGGTAAATCGGCATTTCACGCCATCGCGCTGGAGCCGTGTGCCTCTGAATTTGTGTGGAGCTGCCATCCCGTGCAAAGCAGCTCCACCCAGAAGCAGTTCGCCCACTCAATCTTGAGACATCTGCAGAGCACCAATCTCAATCATCCAACTGGGACAGGGTTTCCTCGCCTATCATGCAGGCCAGGCCCCGTAGCCATTTGAAGCAATGGGGCGGGGAGGATCTCCATGTGGAATCCCCTATTCGGAGGTTTTTTACACTCCAGCTAGAGCAAGTGTCATCGATCGACATGCCTCTGAGAGGCCCCTATCACGATCCTGGGCCGTGATTCCCCCAATCATCTAAACCCTTCCCCACCGTTCTTGACTGCTTCGCGAGGATGTTCCGTGCGACCCCCACTCAATTCGACGCCAACTCGACGCCACGACCACTTCGAACCCATTCAGGGTCATTACTGTTCGTCCTGTCCATTCGCAAACTTCAGCCCGCGCTCGCGGGACAGCCGTCGACACCCGCTCCCTAAAGCTACCGGTCCTGTCACGATTCAGATTGGATCATTAACATCCACCGGTTGCTAAACCCTGCAGGTTTTGCCTGCCAGTCTTGCCGTTTCTAGTAGGAACTATGATCATCATGACTCGAGAGATACTGAAACTGCACTTAGCTCTGGTCTAGCCGTGCGCCCCAATCTACATCAAGCTTACTGTCATCTGCACATGCACGGGTACTACGCAATGGGTGTAAAAAGCAAATGAAAAAGAAAAATCAAGGGAAAAATAGACGGATAGCCTCGCCGACTGTTGATCCCGTCGCTACAAATGAAGACTTCCCCCCCTCCTCTGGCGTAACGCGTTGTTTTTCTACTTTTCCCCCTCCATCTCCTCGTCACCGGGTCCTTCCCTCAATGGCTGCCCAGTCTAATCCCAGATCGAACAGCCTATTGCGGCGGGTGATAACAGCCGCTTTGGATCGTGAAGAGAATTCCTATCCTCCGATGGCAGCCCATCTTGCTGCCACGCGTGGGGATGGAAACAGTACTCCTGACCTAGAGCGTGGACCATCCAAACGTACAACCGGTCTCACAGTGTTGCCAAACGACCCTGATAGTCTTATCCCATCCAACGATAAGCTGCTGATCTTCCGTGCCTTGACCGGTATTGACAGTGTCCCGGCCCTCACGTCTGGCGGACATCTCCTTCGAAGCGCACCAAATGTCGGCATCTATACGCGTGTTATCCGAAATGAAACCAAGGCTGCTCGTGCCTACAAAATCTTCAACCTCCTCATCAACACATGTTTGGGTATTCAAATTGTCGTCGCTGCTGCAATTACTGCTACTGGCGCGGCTAGTGGACCTCATGCTGCCATCACTGCATTTGGCGCAATCAACACCATCATGGCGGGCATCCTCACCTATCTCCGTGGTTCTGGTCTTCCCGACCGTTTGAAGGGCTACCAAAACAAGTGGAAGAATATTCGAGAGTACGTTGAGCAACGTGAACGAGAATTCTGTTTGGTTGGCTGTACCCTCGACGTTCAAGAAGAGGTCTTTATCGTGGAAAGCATGTACCAGAGCATCAAGTCGGAGATGGAAACGAAAACGAGTAGTGGCGACAATAGGGGATCTCAACCAGATGACCCCCGAATTCGTCGCTCTCTTCTACCTACCTCGAATAATCTCAGCGGCCACCGAGCCTCCACGACTCCCGTCACTCGCGCTGATGCGCATCGGTCTGACTCTGCCGATGATCATGAGCCTGTGAGCCCAATCAGCTCGCCGGCTCCTGTTCATGAGAAGATTTGATCTTTCGTCTTTCTCCCTGAAATGAGTTTCGGGCCCACCACACAAACCTCTCAACAAGTCACCGACAGTGCTGAAGAAGTCCGGATTTCATCCGAGCCAATTCGACATTTGATGAGCGCGAGCAGAAGCTAAACCATGGAGGATAATCGCAACATATCACCTTTTCTCCGTGGGCCATCAATCACACATTACCTTCCTATACTTTGTCGGAGGTCGGTTTTGTTTAATGTCTTTACTTATACCACCGGGCGCATACATATTGACGGCGTTCATACCGGTCATGTCATGATACAGTACTAGTATTGTCTCAAGACCATTAATGTCACCTAATGTTTACCAATTCAAGTTCCTAAAAACTATTGCTCTCGTGCACAAATGTTTTAGACTAGCAGCTGTAGGAGGTCTAAATTCAGCATTGATCGCCAGATACCCAATTTTCAATCTCGGTGGATCTTAACTAAACAAACCTAAAGGCAGACCAAAAACAAAGCAGTTTTTACCTCACTGTCAATGAAAAAGCTTTATATTGAATGTTTTGTTTATCTATGTACAACCAACTAGAACTCAGGCCGGAGTCGGTGATGGAGACCCACTCCAAACTGAACCCGGCAACCCGTAGGCGGCAATCATCCGCAACCAGAAAAATTTACAGCCCGCCCGCCAAACAAACGATAATAACCGAACAACGCTTTAAAATTGATTTACAAACACTCGAAGACTATCCAAGAAAAATGGCCTTCGAAGTCCAAACAGCCTCGTCAGGCGATTCGCTCAGCCTGACAGAGACATTCTTCTCCACATTCTCCGACGACTTCAACAGAACCATGTTCCCCGTCAACCCGGAAGTGCGCGCGTTTCTAGCGAACACCATTCTGGAGGTAAACTCCGAGCACCAGCATGAGATTCTCCTCAAAGTAACCGATCCTTCCAATGCCGACGTGGTGGCTGCTTTTGCAAAATGGATACTCCCAATCATGTCTGCAGATTTAGCTGCAGGTGCAGGTGCAGATGCCGATCAGGATCGACACGAGCACCCTGCAGCCCAGGCTATGAATTGGCCTGCCAGTAGCGATGCAAAGCTCTGCGATATGTTTTTTGGAACGATGGAAAAGCATCATGAAGAACTGATGGAAGGTCGGCCTCACTATTGTAAGTTATTTTTCTCTCTTTCCCTTCTGCATGATAGCTAGTTTGAGATCGTTGGCAATTATCAAATTCTATTAAGGATTGTCGCGTTTCATTTACAGTGACCCCCACACCTCGGATTGAGCTGCCGAACTGACGTGTGATAGATCTTGAAATCCTGGGCGTGCATCCGTCTTACCAGGGCCGGGGATTAGCGTCCAAACTGTTGAAGTGGGGACTGGCGCGTGCAGATGAAGAGGGGGTTGAGGTTTATCTCTCTAGTTCTCCGGAGGGGAAACCTCTGTATGAGAAGAATGGTTTTGAAGAGACGAAGTATCCAGGCCGTTTCTCGCCCTGGCCTGGATACGAGCAAGTCGACATGATCCGTCCTCCTCAACAATAGTCATCGGACTTTTCCAGGCACTGCGTTTGCGTGTTTGTCAGGCCTGAAACTTGAAAAAGGCATCTTGGAAGGGTTTTGTAAATATCAATGTTTTTTTTGGTTGGTTAAAACTTCACATGCTAGTAGGTTTATATTAGAGACCGGGAGTAATCCAGCGGCGGTTCTTGATTTTTTGGTTGGAAACTTGATGCCGGTGTCATTGTGTTATGGTCTTCCGCACTAGAAGATCAGACTAAATTAATGAAACTCTTCAAAATATGCAATGTCGAGAGAAAATTCCCCAGAATCGCCGCGGAGCTCTGAAGATCACGAATTACCCCACGAAGTGCTTACAAATATCACCATGGGGTTCGTTGGAATCGCGGGGCAGCAATCGAATAGAATTCAACATAACCATTATATCAATTGGCAAGAATTCAATTTACTTAAATTTGTTGTTTTGCTGAATTCAACTCTTGGTCTCAACATAGACAAACCCCCTCCTTCGCAAAGAACTATCAACCGCATGGCCGGACGGTCTCTCAGTGGTCTGACGTCAACGCTCTCCCGTTTGCTCGCAACAACCTGAAGAGTCTCCCAACACCAACACCATCTACCGAGAGACCAGAAAATGACCAAAGTATTCCTGTGAGATTGAGTTTCCCCATTGAAAATGGCAAGGCAAGATCTAACGTCGCAACAGCACCGGTGCAACGGGCTACATTGGCGGCGACGCCCTGGCTACGCTCTTCGCACGGCACCCGGAGTTTACCTACTCCGTTCTCGTGCGCGATTCAGATAAGGCAGAGCAAGTCAAAACTCAATACCCGAACGTCAAGATTGTTCTGGGTAACCTTGACGACTCATCGATACTTGAGCGAGAGAGTGCGGCGGCGGATATTGTCTTGCGTAAGTACAAATCCCACAAGCACAGATTACGACCACAACTCCCCGGCCGCTGACAAATGTGAGAACAGACACTGCCGATGCATCTGATCATGTAGGTGCAGCAAAGGCAATCGCAGCTGGTCTGGTCGCGGGTCACTCGAAAGAAAAGCCGGGGTACTGGTTACACACGGGCGGGACTGGAATCCTTACCTTCGATGATACCGACAAGAACGAGTACGGCAACAGGAGTGATAAGATTTACAATGATTGGGAAGGGGTAGATGAGCTGTTGAATCTCCCCGATCATGCCTTCCATCGCAATGTCGATCAGCTCGTCCTGGAAGCTGGTGCCAAGCACGCAGATGTGCTCAAACTTGCTCTGGTCTGCCCTCCAACGATCTACGGTATGTCACGATCTTATCACGACAAGCTACAAGCCCCTCGCTTACTTTGAAATCAGGCAAAGGAAGAGGACCCGTCTCAGGACGCGGACGACAAGTCTACGAGCTAGCGAAAGTGACGCTGCAATTGAAGAAGGGACCAATTATTGGAGCTGGGCAGTCCATCTGGAACAACGTGCACGTTCATGATCTGAGCGATGTATATGCATTGCTCGTGGATGCTGCAGTTGCAGGCCGGACTGATCCGGGACTTTGGGGTGCCGATGCCTACTATCTCACAGAGAACGGGAGCATATCTGGGGAGAGCTGGCGCAGTCTACCGCAGAAGCTGCAGCAAAACTGGGGTACATCCCAGAGGGCAAGACCGAGGCATTTGACCTTGAGAGCGCGAAGAAATATGCAGGGTTCGAGTCAGTCAGCTGGGGCCTGAATTCTCGTGGGCGGGCTCAACGTGCGCGCGAGATTCTGGGATGGCAGCCATCGCGACCTAGTCTGTTGGCTGAATTACCGGAGATTGTTCGGAGTGAGTGGGAGCGGTTGCAGGAATAGGCAAGGGGTGATTTAGGTAGAATGAGTGGACAAGCCTTGTTAACCCCAACATTTGAACTATCAAGAGAAGATCGCCATCAAATTGACCTTTCATTTACTCTCGTTGAAAGACATCAATGAGAAATCTGTGTGATCGGATTGCGTCATTGATCGCATTGGAACCTGTGGTGTGAGCTCGTTTGTATTCTGCGAGTCTCATAGTCTTATACTCCCAGGGCAAGACTCTAGCCTGATCCAGCAATCCCGGAGATGACAGTTGATATTTTCAATGTGACCGGCATTTGGTTGCATCCAATGAAACATCAATCCAAAGCAAATATTGAGAATTCTTGTCGCAGAGCAACGTCTCCTGTCCGCGCTCCTTGTCCGCGGATTCTGTAAATGATCAACTCCACTCCGTGTCCGTAGCTCGTATGACAAAGTTAGTTAGCTCCGATGCGAGGGCTAAGCCTTTCTCGGGTGATAAATCAACAAAAAGAAATCCCCGAAAAGCCCCGTACGGGTCCGCGGGGCTCAGCAGGACCTTAAACACGATCTCAAACACGAGCTCATTGAGTCATTCACATTGTGCCAACGCAACTGATCGCAATCTGACTACGTAGAAATGCGCCCCGAGTGGCCGCCGCAGTTATCATGACCTCCACCGAAGATATTGGGCCGACCCCGGGCTGAGTGGCGCATCGGTGAATCGGCCTGGAATTGGCCCGACTTGGCAATCTCTTCCAGAATGTGCGCACTTTACCTACGAGTGCGGCGTCGGTCTAGGTTTGGAATGGATCAGATAGCGTAATGAGCCTAATATGATGGGTTTTATGATTACTGCGGGCGCGCGACGGCGCAATATTTCGCCCTGTTGAAAGCTAGACACCTGCGCAGCCTTGTGTCTCGGACCCACATGGTCGTTGGATTTAAGAATTTATACTTGTTTATATGCTGCGCTGCCACGCGGTTTTCCAAATCCATAGAAGAAACAATCATAGAATTGCAAAGCAGGAAGATCCAATTTTCAAATTCCGGCCTCGCTCTGTTTCTTTGTACTCATTGACACTCCGTCCTACTTGATCATCTTCGACCACCTTCTTATATCGGCCTCTCCCAACTATCCATTTTAATATATTCAACATGGCTTCAGAGCCGCCTAATGTTGCTGCTGAAAAGCCTGAATCACCTCCCCAGGCACTTTCTCTCAGTCGACATGCATCCGCCGAAAGCGATGATACCCACACCGACCCAGATGAGAAGTTTGCCCTTGGACGAAAGGGTATACTGGTGGTGTTCACTCTCTGTGTGTTGACTCTCATGGCCGCACTCGATGGGACTTCTATTTCAGTCGCACTACCGGTAATAACTAGCAACTTTGGATCACTTCCAGTGAATTGTGAGCTAACGCATTGTAGATCATGGCCGAAGAACTCAACGGCACCGCCATCGAAGCCTTCTGGGCAGGGACTTCATTCCTGCTTTGCTCCACAGGTACGACATGGCATAGAATATAACCTAGTAACAGCAAGCTAATAAATTTGATAGTTTTCCAACCCAGTTTTGCGTCCTTCTCGAATATCTTCGGTCGCCGTCCGGCGGTGTTGACTTCCATTTTATTCTTCTGCGTTGGTGCTATTGTTTCCGCCGTTGCAAATAACTTCACGCAGATGCTGGTAGGTCGAGCGATTCAGGGCATTGGTGGAGGTGGTGTGATCGCTTTGACCGAGGTCATCATTACAGACCTTGTTCCCCTACGATACCGGGGACAGTATTTTGGAATATTTAGTGCAATGTGGAGTATCGGATCCGTGACAGGACCTATCCTCGGTGGTGGATTCGCTCAGAATGTCACTTGGGTGAGTACGCTTCAACTAAAAGTTGAATAATTTCAAAATATCTAACAAACATCTCCAGCGGTGGATATTTTATATCAACTTCCCATTCATCGGGGTGGGGACCGTATTCGTCGTTTTATTCTTAACTCTGAAGCTAGCCCCGAGCTCCCTTCTCGACAAGCTCCGTCGCATCGATTACACTGGCACCATCCTATTCGTCGCTAGTCTCTCTTCATTCTTGATCCCGCTCACATGGGGCGGTGTTTCCTACGACTGGGATTCTTGGCACACACTCGTTCCTTTGCTGGTCGGCGTCGCTGGACTGGCCGCTTTCATATTCTACGAGTACCGCTATGCCGTCGAACCGATTATCCCGCCGGCCATTTTTGTCAATCGAACTGCAAGTGTCTCATTCCTGGGAAGCGTTCTTCAAGGCTTGATCATGTGGTGCACGCTGTACTACCTGCCGCTTTATTACGAAGCCGTCAGGGAATACTCGCCTATCCTCTCCGGCGTGGCCCTTTTCCCACAAACATTCACGGTTGCCCCGTCCGCAATTGTCATCGGTATTTTGATCACAGTTACCGGTAAATATCGCTGGGCTGTGTGGATGGGATGGGTTCTCTCCACCATTGGACTGGGTCTGATGTGCATCATCAAGAAAGATACCAGTGTAGTCGGGTGGGTTTTCCTTAACATTGTCCCTGGACTGGGTCTGGGATCCCTGTTCCCTTCCCTCGGATACGCAGTTCAAGCATCAGCAGATCCCCGCAATCTTTCTATTGCAGTTGCTATGTTCAGCTTCTTCCGTGCCTTGGGACAGGCCATCGGCGTTGCGGTTGGAGGTGTGGTCTTCCAGAACCAGATGCACAAGAACCTGCTCAAGTATGATGCCTTGGCTCCCATGGCTAGCGCATATAGCAAAGATGCTGCCGGGCTTGTTCAGGTTATCAAGGACATGCCAGATGGCATCAACAAGATCAACCTCAAGGATGCATACACAGATAGTCTGCGGATTGTGTGGATTGTCTGCTGCGCTATCTCTGCTGTAGCTTTGGTATCCAGTTTGTTCACCGAGGAATACGACCTTGACCGTGCACTTGAGACCGAACAGGGGCTGGACAAGAAGGCTCGTTTGGAGTCGGAGAAGGATTTGGAACTGAACGCTGACAGGACAGTCAACCAGGGTGCACCCATGGCATCGTAAAATGTGCGTGCTATGGGATAACAACTTGATTCATTTCGACGATTAACGACACGATCTTCTAGAATTAATAGTACATTTCTTTTGGATAGTGGTTTCATGGTGAGAATATTTACAGCCCCGGTCTCATCGAGAACATATTTGCCTGTATAATAGTAATAATCAACTCTCCTCAACTTCATATAACAATTATCCCACCTCGTTCTTACAAGTATTGCAGGTCATTACCCATCAATAAGAATATACTCGCTCCTCCCCCTTGAACTCTCCTCCCTCCTGCCAATACCAGTAGACATAGGCGAAGCACCACTGGCAAGGTCACTCCCATCCGAAAACCCCACCCCCCGAATAAGCGTCTTAATACCCTCCCCACGTCTCTTCGTCTCCCAAGCCTCAACCGCCTTCTCAAACGGCACAACCTTCGTAATAAACGATTTAAGCTCAATCTTTCTCAAAATAGCCAACTCCAACGCCATCCGATAATCACCAGGCCCATACCGAAAACACCCCTTAACGCAAATCTCATTCTCCGCCACGACCGAAATCGGAAAATCCACCACCCTCTTCTGCCCCATACCCGTCTGCACAAACGAGCCACCAACCCGGAGCGCATAAATCGCCATCTGAATACAAGACTCGGATCCGGTAGATTCAATCGCAATGTCAAAGCCGGGATCGTCATCCAGCACCGAAGACCGATGCACAACGCGAAGACATTGCGCATTTTCTTCCGCTGATAGTGCGGGATTGGGAATCGCTGTGGAAAATCCCACCCTGCTGTGAACTTGAATATTATTACCTCCACTGCTGGACCCGGGAACAAATGAATGCGCAAAATCAAGCCTCTCCCGACGCAAATCCACAGATGTAATCATCCTAGCCCCGAACTCTCTCGCCACAGCCGCACAAAGTAATCCCACCGTCCCGGCCCCGAAAACAACAACCTTGTCACCAGGTTGCACACCAACTTGCCTAATAGAATGCACAGCCATGGCCAATGGCTCAATAAGGACTGCTTCATCCAGGCCGAGCGGCGGTAAGGGGGCGGTGTTAGTCGGGATCTTGTAGCAGCAGTCCGCGGGCAGTTTGTAATATTTTGATAAAGCGCCATGGGAGTACGGTGGAGCGGCGGCGAAACGCATATCCGAGCAAAGGTTATATTTGCCTGATTTACAGTGACGACAGCGTCGGCAGGGGTAGCCTGGTTCTATGGCGATTGGATCGCCTGGTTGGAGGTGTGTGACTGCGGAACCGACGGCATAGACGATTCCTGATGCTTCATGGCCCATTACTAAAGGGTGTTCTGGTGACACGTAGCTTTTTATGCCGCCGTGTAGCCAGAAGTGGACCTGGGGTTATTTGTTAGCCTGGTCTTCCAAGGCTTTCTCTCAGTCTTGTTGATGTACGTAGCGTCTCGGCGCACGGGCATATGGATAGGGGAGGGACAAGAAAGGAAGAAAAAGCCTAGCAGCATACATCACTTCCACAGACGCCGACATATGCGATGCGAATTATTACATCGTAGGGATCCTCGATGGTTGGGAGTGGGATATTTTCGAAACGAGCGTCTCCAGGCCCATACAGCAGACACGATGGGTTCTGCATGCTGACCGTTGAAAGTGGAGCGCGAGGCTGATCTTGTTGCTGCTGCTGCTGGTGCTTACTCGTATACTTCCGCTGACTGGTGGGGTGAATTATACTGCGAGTCGCCGATGGATGATGAGTTCTTTGTCTAACAGGAGGTGTGGTCCCCTTCACCCTTGAGGCTACCATTGGGAGAAAGTGGCTTGAAGGAGGACAATGCGAGCAGTCGGGGAAGATGGATGTTTCCTGGTGGGGACAGCCCCCACTGGACAGACCAAGGCCAACTAGCAAACAAAGGGTTCCGATTGCAGGGCGTTTGTATAATGGTTCGTGATATACCTACTAGGGATCTAAGCCTAGAAAAAATATTTAAATTTTATAATATTAAAAAGGGAGACGAGAGGAAAATAAATAAACTCGATTCAAACACCAGGCTAAAAGAGTCTGGCAGCCTAAAACAACAGCAAAAGTGCCGTATTTTCCCGCAGATATCCTGGTCCGTTCGGCCATCTTGAAACCCAGGCCAAGAAATCCCCGACCAAACAAAAACTAAACAGAGAGAGGGGAGAGAAAAAAAAAGCAAAAGGTCATCACGTCGTTAAAAGAAAACAGAACATGGAATGGCATAAATCGAAGTTTGGGTAATCATCATCACTCGCGGCCCATCATCCGCAATCGTTCCCGGAGCACATCCATCTCCTTGTCATGGTCCACCACACCGCTCATTCCTCCTCTCTTCTCCAATCTGTCGCGGTCGCTATCTTTCAGCATCACAGATCGATACTCTCCATCGCCATCCGGTGCTCCAACAGTAACCCAAACAAATTTGGTTCCATGGCCTCCGGTTGGTGTGCGTTCCTGCGTTCCCTGCCAGAATAACTCAGGGGCCACGGAGGCCACGGAGTCTGCCCCGGAAGGAGTCTTATTGCTGGATGGACGACCACCAAGTCGCCCGTATTTAATCCAGCCTTTCAGAACTTCCTTCATAAAGCCAATCTTCTCCATGAATGAGTTGGCGTCCAGGATCTCGCGGATGCGTTCCTCGATCGAATTACTGGAGCTGCCATTTGCAATGCTGATGAAGGTCGCAGCTTCGTCAGACGCAATAGCACGTGTATCGAAGCCGGACGGGTGCATTTTCCCCTTGGCCGTGAAATACCGGGCTGCCGAGGGCGAGAGGTGATAGAAATCGATCCAAGGTGAGGAGCTGCGGGTGCGACCAGGGGATATAACGAGTTTGGTATGATCGGGGAAATTGAACTGGAAAGCACCGTCACCGAAGCCCCAAATTCCCACATTACCCAGTCGCTGGTAGAATTTTATAAACTGCCCGCTTGTCTGCCGGGACGCGGGCGCGTCTGCAAGACCGTCGTCGCCATGGCGACCCAGCGAGCCGATCATATACTTTCCAAATTGATCAACGAGTTTGACACGCTTGATCTTCTCCGCATCGCATCTGTCTGCATCGGATCCTGAGTTCACTCGGATCTTCATGACCTTGGAGCTTCTGGAGTCGAACAAGGAAGGCGACACCATGCCCCTTCGAATGCCGCGGCAGCCAAGCAAATCATCATCTTTATTTTCGTAAAATTCGATGGCGTTACCGTGACGAGGGACAAGCTGCTCAGACTCGGAGTAAGGAAGTCCTTTGGCCTCTGGGCTGTCGACACTTCGCGCTTTGCGACGAATATGTCTTTCGCCATCTCTCACCACCACACTGCTGGCGGGCTGCCCGTTTTCTCCCTTGAACACACACCCCACACTGCCATCATCCAGGACGTAGCCAATACCATAACGGTTGGTGTAGTCCACCCACTTGATCACGTAGGCATGGGGTTGCTTCCGAGGCCCACCGCGACGACGAGCTGGCGCGTGGTTGACAAGATTTGACAACATCAGTCGCAAATCAGTGTTGACTTCAGTGAGCGAAGTTCCAGGAATCATGTCGTACGGGTCATCCTGATGGAACAAGGGGCTGAGTCCCAAACTCGAGCGAGCTCTAGTGCCCGAGGATGTCTTACTGTTGGACCGGCTGATCCCATTCGGTGTGGGTTGGATTTGTTGTGGCTGAGACGACATTGGAACAAGCTCTGGCGCAGGCCTTTGTCTTTCCGCCATGAGCTTCAGATCGGGTCGAGATGTGGATCGCAATGTTGTCGAGCGACTTACGGTCCGGCGCTCTTCCGGAAGTGCCGCCAGCTTCTGTTGTGTCGTCGGTGCCGTCGTGGGGTAATTGACTGCCTCTCCAGTGGCCATTCGGCGCGACTGGGATCGAGTTTTACCGATAGTCAGGCCAGATGGCATGCTGGTAGACTTGGAAAGTTGGGGTGCAGCGGCGCTCCTTTCAGTCTCACGCAAGGTCGGGGCATTCGATGCCGACGCCATCCTCCGCGTACGAATCGGACGCTCTGCCAGTCCACCAGCAGATGGCTCTTTATCAAGTGCCGGCACGGGCACTGGTGCCGGTGCTGATGCCAATACCGGTGCTGGCTCGGCCTCCTTGATATCACGATAAGGTCGAGAGGCTGTCTCTGGAAGTACATCGACTGATGGGATATGTCGAACGGTTCGAGTTCCCGGTCGAACTTGTTGTCGGAGGGTAGCGGCGTGGTTCTGAGTTTCGAGTCTGCGTTGGTGCGCGGCAGCGAGTGCCGCATTTGTTCTCGAGGTCGCGACAGTGCTGTTGCTGCGAATTGAGGCCGTACTGCGCTGAGATAGAGTACTGCTTTCGAGGCCGGGATTCTCTGCACGAATTGGTCTCCGAGCAGCTTCCACTAGACACCAATCACCTTCCAAGTCATGTGGCCATTTATATACGAAGTCCATTGGCAAAGGAACGGCTGGGCGTAGGCCGCGGGCGTCCTCGGTCTCACATTCCGAATACGCCGATTTCGAGCAGTTGCGACCAACAGACTTGCGCGCCGTTCCGTCGGGCTTTCGTCCGACTCCACACAGTGAGTAGAAAGCAGCCTTGCAAGAATGGTACCTCTGCCCGGGATCATCAACCTGGTATACATATGATCGTAGCTTCTCATCAGAGTCCAACCCATATCCACTCATCATAGAGTCTCCACGCGGCGCTTGGTCCTTGAGCCAGACCGGCTTGTTGGAACGGCATGAGGGATCGAGTTGGCGGGGAATACAACCATCGTACATGTCGAAGAACGGATGCTCGACAATATCGTCGGGGTCGGGGCGTTCCTCGTCCACCAGGTTTAAGCAGGCGCTGACCAAGTCCTTGGCCTCCTCGGGGATAAAGTTCGAATGGTCCGATTCCTTCGGCCAGACATATGCCAAGCTCCGCACTTTCTTGTAAATCTCCTCCTGTGTTTTCGATTGGAAGGGGGGGTAGCCAGTTAACATGGCAAAACTAGGGGACCTCAAGTCAGCTGAATTCAACACATGGTGTGGGAGGATTTCCTTACAAGATGACACCCAAGGACCAAATGTCGACTTTCTGGGTATGTCCACCTTTGCTCTTATCAAGGATCTCCGGTGCAATATAATTTGGTGTGCCACATAGGGTGTTTCGTCGCTTCGCATCCTTATCCGACAAAATCATTGCCGCCAGTCCAAAGTCTCCGACTTTGATGTTCATGTTGTGATCAAGAAACAGGTTCCCCATTTTCAGATCTCGATGAGCGACAAATCGTTTGTGGAGGTATTTAACGGCAGCGCAGAGTTGAATCATGAACCGTCGTACTTCGGGTAGGGTGAGGGACCGTCGTTTCTTCACCATATCCATAACTGATCCGTTCGGACATAGCTCTAGAACAACGTAGGTGCTTTGCTCGAATGCGAAGGCTCGGTAGAATTGAACAATAAAGGGATGGCGCATTTTGGAATGGATTTGAAGCTCTGTTCGGAACTGGGTATTGTCAGCGCAAATGATTCCCTCGCCAGCACTGCGTTAATAGTTGTTTACCTTCTCCTCCATCTTTTTCTGGGGCATTTGTGACTTGACCACTTTCATGGCAAACAACCGACCATTCCGAGCGAGTGTCCCTTCATAGCAAACTGCAAAACCCCCTTTCCCCAAAAAGCCACCGATCGAGTATCGCTCTCCACCCTCCTCCGGCTCCGGTACGAAAGATGGAGGCGGGTCGGCATGGTTCTTGGAAGACGAGGATTTCTGCACGGGACCAGCCGCGGCATTCTTGTCGGTCATTTTGCGCTCGGGAATAGGTTTGGGCCGAATCATCTGGTTTGTCGAGCGCGGGGAAAGAGCCTCCATTATGAAACTTGCGTCGGGTTGGCCAGCGTCACGCGACGATATTAGGACCGTCGCAATCGGGTTCTCGGGGGCAATAGAACTTTTTGTTTAATAAAACGGATATCAAGCATCAAAGTCATGAAAATAAACGAGGTATTAGGCGGAGCCGCAAAGGGGGTATCAGTATTGGGTGGTGCAAATTGGTATCCCTGCAACGATCCGTTAGTGATGAGCAACCTAACTCCGGTCGGCAAACCGAGGCCGATGAGGACCGGAGAGAATAGATGGTAAGACGTGGGAAGCTGAAGTACCAGAACGCAAAGCGCTAAATAAAACAAAAACTGTACAAAGCTGCTGCGAAGCCAGACAGCGCAAAGCCGGGGAGGTGAAAGCGGGGAGTGAAGTTCAAGTGGAAGAGAAGAACTCGGGCCATAATAGATTTCCCCTTTCGGCAATCGATAAACAGTGACAGTCACGTGATATTGTCAACAGTGCCAGGGCTTCTATGGTTACAACAAAGAAAAGTATTACTACAGTACGAGTACAATTATTGCAATTATTTATTGGATTGAACAAATCAAAGAGGTAAGACGAGCTTTACCTCATTTTAATTCAACCCACTGGGGAAGGAAGGAAAATACATTGTTTACTAATCCAAATTCCGATGCCAACTGAGGTATAGATTTCATCCCCACATTCAAGTCCGCTTTGGTAGTGCCTAGAGGCCTGGGGTAAGGGACCTGATATTTTGAGTCCTCTGCCAGAAGCGCTCTTTAGAGTGCATCTGGAAGAATATCATGAAAAGCCCTGGACTGCCTGCCCAAAAAACTTGAAATAGTCACGGTGCTGACTCGGATCTCAACTTGAAGAAAATATATATAATCTCGGGAAGTAATACCCCCACTACCACCTGAATATATATGTCAGTGCCAACTCCGGAGATACTACTAGCGATAGACAATTATCCACGTTAGCCCTAGAGGCCAGAATGAGTTTCGCAGCCCAGTAAGAGTTTGAAAAAGCAATATATAGTAGATGCATAATCTTTAGCGGGTTAAAAAGGCTTCAACCACTTTCCAAGGTTATCCGCCCCACAGTCACTTTAGGTACAAACCTGGCCGGGAAAGTGAAAAGAAAGCTTAAATAAGGAGATAGACACCCGATTGAGAATTTGAAGCGTCATGCCAGCTCTCCAAAAGGCAAGAGCTGTTGGCTTGTCCAGCGATGACGAGAGAAGAGATGCAGGAGGAATGCGGAATTGGATGTTCGATTCGAAAAATTACTACTGAACCCGCTGCTCCGTATGCCACTCCTTCAACATTAGGTTTTAATTTTCATTGTGGATGCAGTCGATGGGTGCAGAGAAAGGTGGTTTATAGCGAAGCTCCTTAAGCTTGTATCCCAGTCTCAAGATACAGGGGCCTTCGACTTACTATTTGCCTTTTTACAAGTAAATTCCGCAACATCGGAAAAAGCGATTGGCCCGGAGATAGTACCATTGGCAGGCTGGTAAAGAAAGCAAGCCCGCTGTTTATTGTCGCCTCAACTATATACTGATTTGTTGGCGATGAGGAATTGGACGAAGTGGAACGCATAATTATGATTCTCCAGGACAGATAGCCTTATGATATACCGGCCGCCATGTACTAGAAAATTCTGGATCAACTGCCACTCTTCAGGTTCGTCCTTTGTAAGGATTATCAGGCTTAACATCTCGGCAAAAAAATCTTTAGACACCAGATTCCATCTTAAAGAAGTTGATTTCAAATACGTTGAACCGGACACAGCTGAATCCGAGGACAGCGGATGGGACCTATGTTCTATCTAGGACGAATGAAGGCAAACTTTCCAATCTTGATATATGGCCTACATGGAGGTTAAAATAACTCTTTATTTTTTGGGCCAAGAAAAGTTCCAAGGTTCTTTTGGATGAAAGTTGCCCAGTAGTATCTGACTTTCTCTATAATGGCTCGGCCTACCTATAGTAAGTAACAATACTAGGTATTCTAGTTATCTTAAAACATTCTTATTCAACCCTTAGTAGTAGTATGTATATTTGATGTATATTTATCATTCGCCTTTAAATTTCCTTAAAACCTCGTAATTCGTGTATTTCATGCCACTTTGCATCAAAATAGAATAGAGTGCCACTAATTACTAGTTTTAATGGCGGAGAGGAGGTTGTGAGTTGCTGACTCACCCGTTCCTGAGCTGACAACGTCACAGCCGTGACTGACTCAAATTGTCAGCTTTAATTTCAATTTTACTCCTTACTACTACACCCATAGGAATCGCCATGTCACTCACTCTGAAGATCTCCTCGTTGGTCATCCGCACCCTCTCCAAACCTATCGCCGTAAGCCCGTCCCCCGAACTCGCCCCTTGACCCTTCCCCCGCCAAGCTCCAAGCTAACAAACACCCGGCAGAATCAAATCAAGGGCCAAGCTCGCGAACATGAGCGCTTCCGCAATGTCTGCGTCTCAATGGCCCAAGCCCTACATCGCTTCGACATGCGCCTTCGACTAGGATCCATTCGCGACACTACCGCGTCCCGAAAACAAGCCGCCGCCGAAGCCGAAGCCAAGAAGCACCTCGCCAAAAGCCCGACAGTTAAGACCGAAGCCGCGACGAAGGCCGAGCAAGATGCGTTAGACAAGGCCAAAGCAGCAGCTGAAGAGGCTGCGAAACCCCACCACTACCGAATCCGACCCCTCTCCGAATCCAAGGCCATCGAGTCCGGTGCCAACTTTATTAGCGAAAGTTTCCTGTTCCTCGTGGCCGGAGGATTGATTGTATTTGAATCCTGGCGATCACGGAATAAGGAGAGTACGCGCCGAGAAGGGGTGGAAGATCGTCTTAATGCGCTGGAGAAGAAGCTCTCTCTCTACGAGGAGAAGCATGGCAAACTGGATGTTCCGGAGGATACGCCTAAGGCCCAGCCTGAAGACAGCCTGTGGACACGACTTACGTCGTACATTTCTTTCAGCAAAGAACCGACCGGCCCTCAACAGACGGCGGCTGCGGCGGTGAAGCCAGAAGAGACGACCGAGTCTAAGACTGAGGTCTTGAAATCGACAGCGCCTCCGACTGCCTCGTCCACTGTTCCCGTTCCCAAAAAATAGTCTCCTCTTCCATCAACAACCAAGGAGTTACTAGATACTCCGCTCTCCTTCGATACATACTTAGCGCGCCGGATGGTTTTTTGAGTTATTTTGTTTGGCGGATAGACCCGCGATCTTGTGTTGATACCCTCCACTCATACTTTTGAGATATTTTGTTATGGACCGTACATAGACCATTCTTAATTGACCATAGATTAATTTTCTATTATTTTTGTCTCTTTGGTCCTTTTGCAGGCTTAGACTCTTCATAGTTAAGTGGTTGAAGTGAAGTTGTCTGATCTATACTATAACCACCTCTATGCTTTAGTTACTAATTATATTCCGCAGAAAACGGTGTTCTCTTTGCTTACATCTGAGATGAATTCTATGACCTACTATATATTAACTATATTATGCAGTATATCTAGTACTCATAGTACTATGTGAACTGCCAAATATACTCAGTATACTATAGGCGGACAGGGCAGCAATGGTAGGTACCACCCGACAACTCCAAGTCCGAGTCCCGGCCCGAGTCCGTTTCCTCTATATCCGTTTACAACTTCCTCTTCACACAATCCCTCTGCCTCTGCCTCTTTCATATTTTCCCGAGCTTGCCATCTTCTAACACCTGATCAAGTTCTGCTAAGATTTTCATCAATCCGACTTTCTCTTTGTTTAACCTGGATCTATCCCAGACTTCGCCATCAATCCAATCCAACCTTCTGTATCGCTGAATGCCAACTTTCACCAACACTCCCTCTCCATATTACCCATCTGACTCTTGCAATTCTGAAACCTTCTCGAACACTCTATCTCACTAAGCTAAAAAGCAACATCAACATCAAAATCCTCAGCTCACCCTTTCAATCACCGAACTGCGCCAGCTTCCAAAAATATCAAAATGGTTGTTTACGACATCCAGACCCCCATTGACCAGGACCTGCCTCCGCGTTGGTCCCAGCCTAGGCGCCAGGAGCTGCGTAGGCTGGACGAATTTGAGGACCCTATCCTCGCGAACTACATCCCCGCAAATAGCATTCAAGGCAGAAATGACGGTATGCAAACTAAACAAGAAACGGACTATCCAAATTCACTTTGAATTCAAGACTGACTCCTCTCTAGCGGAGGGAAACCTCATAGAGCCATTTCATTTTCGATTCATGACTCGTGTGCCACCCAGGCCAGACTTCCGAAGAACCCCAGGCCAGGGCCAGACCGAAGCCCAGACTGACCCTGAACAAATCCCCGTTATCCTTGAGGTCTTTGTGATCGGCCCTCACTGTCTGCTCTTGCCGAATCTTCTGAATACTAGGAGTATGATGCAGGATTTTATGATAAGGAGTGATCAGTATGACGCTCGAGGGCAGGTCGTTGAAAAGGTTATCGCGTTCCTTATGATCGAACACCCTCTCGAAGGTATACCTGGAACGGGTCTTCTCAACAACATCGCAGCTCTAGAAGGAATGTAAGTTGCTCTTACACTGATCTTTCCCCCCTTATCCCTCCCACCCTCCCTCTATCTCTTTACTAAATATTCGTTCCCTTGCAACAGACGGATCGAAATGCTTCCACACTACGTTCCAATCCTCCCAATCATGGACTCGAGGAACCTTTACGAAGAACTGGTTGGATACCTTCATCGGGCCTCCCTCAGTGGCGATCTACATCCATCACGTCCAGACCTATCACCTAGTCGACCCGACTGGGCCGAGATAGAGTACGGAGAAGACAGTCCAGACAGGGATGTGATCAACGAGGACGATTCATTCCGGAACAATCTGTATGCGGCCATTGAATTCCTCGATCGGTCACTGGATGATCCTGGTACATTGGCTTTGGCTCGGCAAATCCTGGGTCGCTCTACGGCGAGTCGTCTTAGGCAACTCATTCACACTGTTGCGCCTGTCATTTAGATGGAAACTGATACGAAGATTGAAAGGAGGAGAAGATTGGAGTTGCTATGCTGAAGATGATTTTCTCATGTTTGATGGTCGAAGAATGCCCTTGAGATCGTGTGTGTGCGTCTGACGTTGCTGATAAGTGAGCTTGTTATTATTGTGTCCATGTCTGTGTTTATGTCTGCTAGATGGGGAAGGACCTTGACGGTTATCTTCTAGAATTGATTTTTCGAGTGTGATTCTAGATTACGAGTCCTTTGTCTGTTTATTTCTGTTCTCTGAGGTCTTTGAAGAAATGTTTTATGTTTGTCGGTGGTGGGAAGCCCTTCAGGCTTGTCTTTCTCTTATTCTTATCTTTGAAATTTATTCTTAGCCATCAAAAGATTGCCGATACTCAATGTAGATGTAGATGTAGATGCAGCTATATCCGTGCCTATTTATAGCCGAGTCTTTCCGCAAAGACACACTTGGGCAGATAGACAAGTATGTCCGAAGAGCATGTTTCAAATCACATACAAGATAGCCCAATAATACAATATAGTACATACTATTAAAATCACAGCCGTGGAAAAGGCCAACTTCCGAGTCCGAGTCTTCTAACCTTCAGGACTAGAATCAAAGAATTCCCTGCCCCTTCATCCCCTCAACCTTCCCCGCAAGCTCGGGATTCTTCTCTTTCAAATAATCCACAAAACTATCCATCATAGCACCCTTCATAGCATTCCGCTCCTTCCAAGGCACAACCTGACTCGGCACCGTGGGACCCGTATAAACCATCATCGGATGATCGCGGGCCCGCATATTGAGAGTCTCAAGATTGGCAGATTGAAGCATGAGCATAGGGTAAATCTCGCTCCAGACTAGATTTCCCAGAACGCGCATCTGGCCGGTGTATTTCGTGGGGTCTGCTTCTTTGCTCGCACTCGCATCGGTGGTGGTCGGGGCAGGAGCTTCGAAGTCCGCGTCAACGGCGAGGACGTGGCCCTGGAAATCACCTTTCAGGAGTGCTTCGTCCTTTGTGGGGGTCGGGTGGAAGTTCTCGTCGGTGTATGAGCCCACGGCCATGGGGTCGATGGCAAGGAAGAAGGATGGTGCGATCTTACGGCTCCATTCTTCTGAGGTGCGGATTTGCTGGAAGTGGCTATATTGGAAGAAGAGGTAGTTAGTGAGCTGTCCTTTATTGCTCAAGTGTGAAAGTAGATCTTTCCAACGAACCTTCTCGCTTCAGTTATGGAGTTAGCCGCGTCGAAGCCCAGCTCCTTGCAATCGAACCAATGCAATTTGAGAAGTGGCTTAAGTTCATCGGCGCGCTCGACCTCATCACCCCATGCCGAGAATTGAGTTTCCAAATCTTGCTTTAGTTTGTTCCACTGTTCATCGGAGACATTTCTATGCGCCGCACGGTAAATCGCCAGTCCAAAGCCAAAGTCGAGTTTCTGCCCAGGCTGCAAACCGCTCGAGAGCATCTCGTAGGCGCGAAGATGTTGCTGAATCCAAGGTTGCACAGGTGGACGGGGCGAGGGTGTCGGACCGCGAATCTTTTCACGTATTTCATCCTGAACGAGTGTGCTGATCGAGAGACGTTCACGGCGCGCCGCATCATTATCGATCGCGCCTTCGCCTGAAACACCAGCAGCCTCGTTCTGACGCTTGATACACTGACCAAGACGTTCAAGCAAGAGTTCCGAGAAGCCGTAGTTGGTGTCTTGATTCTTCAGATCGGGATTGTGTAGGCCGGCGATAACCGAGGTAGGTGTTTTGAAGCCGTTATACCCTTCCATGGAAATCCAGATGTTGAAATCAGCCATCGAAGTCACGGACAGAAGCTCGCTCCAGCGCTGCGAGAAGATGGCCATTTCGGGAGATTCTTCAGCGTTGGGCTTGGCTGTGATTTCGCTGAAGCTGTCTAGGGTGCGAGCGCGGAGGTCGGTGACTCGGGCTAGGACCCAGCTGTGTGCGGTGCTGGTCATTACTTCGTAGACGGAGCGTATGTATTCCTCCCACAGGGCGGTTAGGTTGAGGTCGGGAGAAACGCCGCCTGCCGCTTTGCGCTGGGCATTTAGGGCTTCCTGCATTTCTCCGAAGTCGCCAGAGATCTTGTTGAAGGTGTCGCGCATGTTAGACCGGATCTGAGGGTTGTTGAGATACTCGAAGACGGCAATGACGGAAGTCAGGTACTCCTGGGCAATGGCGAAGTGATCTGGGTTGTTGAGGTCCTTTTCGAGCCATCGCGATGCGGGCACCGGGGCGAGGCCTCCCCAAAGACGATTTTTGATGAACTGAATGTTCTGACCAACAAGGCACAGCCCTGTCAATTCTTCTGCGTCTGTGATACGCTTCATGGCCTTTTGCACGGATGAGAGGGTCTCATCTTTGTTGAAAGGCGCCGGCGCCCATTGCGAGCTCGGGGTTAAGAATAGAGGGAATTCATCGTGGTTCAGCAAAGGCAGATCGGTTTTCTTGCCATTTGGTAGAAAACCCGACGTGATGAATTCAAGAAAATGCAAGACAGCTTGCGGTTCAATCAAGGGGTCGGCTAATATATCGCAATGTTAGCGAGGTGGCCATAATGAAGAATCGGAGTATCAAATCAAGGAGGGCTCGGTCTGGGCCGTGCATACGTACCAACTGGCAAATTCTGGCTCGTCCAATGCTTCTCGGTGATGTTGGATCCTTTGAAGGTGGTCGCGTCCGCAATGACGGCCTTTGGCCTTCCCGTTGAGCTAGCATCTGTATGCGCATATCGCAATGGCACGGCCATGCTCTTCGCTTGTGTTGCGCGGCATGTCCAGGGCGCGAGGTTCCGGGTGTTGCGCGACGTCACCAAGCCGCAACGGGCACTGGTGTTCACAAGGCGAGGGGTCGCATTGGAAGGTAAGCTAGCCCAACCACGGCGGTTGAGCAATGGCAGGTGACGCGAAATCCTGGCTGCCATTGTGCTAGTAAATATATGCAGGTTTGGATGAAGTTGAAGTTGAAGTTGACCTGAAGTCCGGGGTTCCATAAAACTTGACGATAACAGATAAGCTCGGCAGCCTCGGGGATTTCTCGGAGTCCCTTTTTACTACTACAGAACCTTAGGAACCCTAACATATTAATCACGAATCACATTTAACAACTGCACCAGTGACTTCGGGTCCCAAAATAACACTTCATCCTTAATTTTAGCCTTACGGCGGCGGCGAGCCCTCCTTTCCCTCCTCTTCTCTTTCTGAGCCTCCAACTTCCCCTTCTTGGATTCCTTCTTGGATTCCTTCTTGGGCTCCTCCTGCTGCGTCTTCGAAGATACAGTATTGATTGCAGTAGACATATTTTGATACTTCTTGCGCCAGTAATATCGACGAAGAAGTGGTCGCACATCGGTTTTCGCGCGTTTTTCTAGCCCCCACGTTGCCATGTACTCGGCTCGTTCTAGCTCCGTCTTCAACTTCTCAAGTGGGATATCATTGCGAGTATCCAGGCTTTTGAACATCATTCGGACTAGTTCCTTGCTCCCTGTTTCCGAAACGTGCACCAATGGAGTATCTCCCTTGCCAGATTTGCCGCTCTTTCGTAGAGGGTCTGCCCTTCGGTCTAATAAGAGTTGAAATAAATCAATCCTATCATGGAAGGCATAAAGGTCATGTAAAGGCGACTTGTGTAGATCTTTGATCTCCATTGCAATGCTATGTTCCATAAGCATGTCGAGGGTAGCGGCTATAGCAGTCTTTGGGAGATCCCCATTTCGTTTAGAAACCAACGCCATGACGCACTTCTCATCGATTGAAACCAAATTTCCAACCAGCTGTCTCTCAAGAAGAAGAACCAAAGTCGCGGTATCTGCTTTGGATAGCACAATCTCCAAGGCTTCGGCTACTTCAAGGCTATCTTGGATAGCCGGATAACGAAGCTTAGGCCGAAGAAGATATTCCATCATCGAAACTCCACCGTAGGCGGCTGCTTGGAGAAACGATAGTACAGAACGGGAGGTAGCCCATGGTGTTTCTCTGAACTGAAAGCGGCGTAGTAGAAGATCCACGGTACTGATATTCCCCGCTACCAGTGCCTGCACAAAGACCGATCCTTTGAAAGTGATAGAGGGACCATCTGCCCCAGCCCCCAGCTGAGGGTTTGCTCCCCGATCGAGAAGTACCCTGAGGATCTCTGGTTTGTGGATGGCTTTGAAAAAAACCGGTGTAAGGCCATCGGTCATACAGTATTTCCGGAAATCGGTGTCACCCCCTACACTCTTTCATCGTTCACCAAACCCTATATGCCAAGATACACTAGACCTTATTGACCAAGAAATAAAAATAGTAAATTTCCGGTTTTTTACAAATATAGATACTTGCGGAATTAAGTTACATACCATATCCTTATGTATGTATGGCAGATACGAGTATTGCTGGAACCTTCCGGAGCAATGCAAACAATTAATTTAGCTGTGGTCACGGATCATATATATTTTCTCCCAAGGCTAAATTATCATCTACGCACAACGCCTTCCTCGACTGGTAAACGGAAGCGTGTTGACCGTTGGTCCCAAAGGGCTATCCCTCTGACCCCGACTAGATCGGCGACGAGTTCGCAGACCGAGCCACTCCCAATAACCTATCCTGGACTGTATTCCCCTGAAGTGGACGCTCTTGATAATGAGGACGAGGACCACACAAATCCCATGGCCAGAAACGGCCGACGAAAACGAGCCCTCTCCAGAGGTTAGCACACCACCTCCTGAGAGGCGTTCTCAACGACGACGTAAAACATCCTATACCGATATACTTGCATAATCGAAATACAATGGCTGATGAGCACATTCCTGGTTTTTCTGTGTTCTAAGATGTTACAAGTATTGGCCATACTACATGTCTTCTCATTGGTCAATGCTTATTTGTATTGTCCAGTGTCAGTGTCTCAAAGCAACCTCCCCATTTCCTGATTTTCTCGTCCCTGCCCTCCCATTTAATCGTTTCATGGCCACAGCGTGCACAGCGCTCGTTACAAGTTGTCGTATACTGCATATCGCTTCGGCAGTTGGATCCCAGATCACGTGGTGTTGATGGTTTGTATATGAGTGTAGGGCAGTTGCTGTGCGAGGTAGTGTTTGTGAAGGGATGTAGCTGTATTGATTCAACTAGGCTAGGCCAGCATGCTCTTTACAACAATCTTGAGGAAGAAAAAGTTATTGATGTGAGCTTCCACCTCAGTTTCCTGCAGGAAAAGATCACGTGCCCTCACGTGATATCAAATCGGGCCCTGGCCCGTTACAGTATCGAGACACCCACTGAGTCTGTAAGTGGTCATATTTGCCCTTGGATAGAAAAGGGGCACCACAATTGTACTTCAGTTCAGAGTCTCAACTTTGGTGAGGGGCCTATATAAATGATACCTATTACTACTACTACTACTACTACTACTACTACTACTACTACTACTACTACTACTACTACTACTACTACTACTACTACTACTACTGCTGCTGCTGCTGCTGCTGCTGCTGATCATTCCGAGGCTGTGATTAACTATGCCACCCACAAGTGGGCCTTTTTCCCGAGGATCTCCTTTCGGTTCTATCAGAATGAGCTCCAGAGAGCTATTGAAATATGACGCCATCTCGAATAAACAATTAACTCATTTACAGCATCAGATAGGGAGTTTCAAGTAAGTAAAAGTGCCAACCTGAGATGGGGTAAATTACCACTATCTCAGTATCAGTGGGGTTTCAGCGCCTGCCCACATTGCCATGATATTTGTATGGTAAATCGAGGCATGTCAGAAAAAACTGTATTGTAACATTCAGCATAGATCTGATAGATCACATTTTCAACAGGATTGTGGGATAGACACTCTTTTGAACAATGAACTATTCGACTCTCGATAGGTGATGCCTAGTATGTGCCAATACGGATATCATCGAACTTGGAATTTAACAATTAAATAAAATGAATTCTAACTTAAAACATGTTAGATTCTGGATCCCCTATGACTGCAATAATATAAATGGAATGGCTCCTCTTCTCCCAAGTCCCCATTTTTTCCCATACTAAACATAACCCTAAATAATGGACCCGGTCAGAAAACAAATCTCTGATCAGATACAGTTATGCTAATGATCAAAAAAGGTTTAACTTGTCACTAATCCGAATACAGTTAGCTGTCGCCGAAATTATTACGTAACTTCAAAAGGTCCCCAACTTCGACACCTCTTTTGGCTCACCCAGAGATGTTGGAGAAGTTTCAATTGTAGATTCCGACTTGGGGGGGGGGGATCCTCTTTGACTTCCGTAACTGAGGCCAATTTCAATTTTCTGAGACCCATTGGGTGGCTCTAGTTCTAGTCATAGGTTGCCCCGTGGATGTGCGCACCCCACAGTTCTCGCCAATAAAATTCCATCTCTCACCGTCAGTTGCTGCGCCCCGTGTTGGACAGGAAAGCTGAACTCCTTGCGGCTGAAAATGATTTCTGTTTGCCTTTCCGTGCCCTCCCAAATTTCTTCTCAATGGCATATCACAGGTATTCTCTGAACATCAACAGACTTCGGCTTCCTTGTAATATTAAACATCTCCGAGAAAGCTTCACTTTTTATCTTGACTGTAATCGATCTCTAATATGGCCCACCCACCGCTCGAAACATTCCAAATCGGTTGGCTATGTGCCCTTCCGATCGAGGCTGCCGCAGCTATCCAGATGTTAGATGAAAAGTTCGGTCTTCTTGGAACCCAAGAAGCATCCGACCCAAATACCTACACTCTGGGCCGAATTTGGCAACATAATGTTGCGATCGCCTGCCTTCCTGCGGGGCAATATGGCAATACTTCGGCCACCACGGTCGCAAACAACATGGTCCGCACTTTTTCAAAATCTCTCCGCATTGGGTTGATGGTTGGTATTGGAGGAGGCATTCCATCTGCTGCGCATGATATACGACTTGGCGATGTTGTGATCAGTTGCCCAGAAGACACATCCGGGGGCGTTCTTCAGTATGACATGGGGAAAGTTGATGTGGGTGGAAAATTTGTTCGAACTGGGTCTTTGAACAGTCCACCCAGGTCAATTTTGACGGCAGCCAACTTAATGAGAGCTACCGAGCTTACAGATGATCCCCGATTTCCAGAATATATCGCGAGCGCAACCGAAAGAACACCACGAACTCGGAAAAGCTTTGGCCGACCTAAAGCACAGCAGGATCGACTGTTCAAGCTGGAGCATGTTCATCCGTTGACTGTAAATAGCTGCGATGGTTGCCCGGCAGAATGGGAACAGACAAGAAGTGAGCGCGAGAGTAGCGATCCACAAATGCACTACGGAATCATTGCATCTGGGAATGCTGTCATCAAACATGGATGGACTCGGGAGCAGCTAAGGCTGGAGACTGGGGCTCTGTGCTTTGAAATGGAGGCTGCTGGGTTGATGCTAGACTTTCCTTGTATAGTTATCCGAGGTATTTGTGATTACGCGGATTCACACAAGAACAAGCAGTGGCAAGGATATGCGGCATTGGCGGCCGCATCATACGCGAAAGAGCTGCTAAGTTATTTGCCAGAAGGCAGTGTATCGCGGGAAAATTTGATGGTTGATGTATGTAGTAAGTTGACTTAATTTCCACTGGTTATATCTCAATCTATATATATTCACTGACCTGATATTTCACAGAAGGTTTGAAGGAAGAAATAAAAGGCACCAACCAGCGTATTGACCGAGCATATGAACAACAAGAACAACACCATCATGAGCAGAGAACAAGAGCCTTGACGGATCAGCAGCAGCGCTGCCACCAAGCTTTCAAGATAGGAAATTACACGAATCAGAAAAATATCAACCCCGAACGAGCCGAAGGAACCTGTCAATGGGCTCTACAAAGTCCCGAGTACGTCCGTTGGCGGGAGAGCTGTGGAAATGAACTCCTCTGGGTGTCCGCCGATCCAGGCTGTGGGAAGTCTGTGCTAGCCAGATCAATTATCGATAATTTTTCGGAAGCCTCCAGTTTTTCAGTGACAATAATCTACTTTTTTTTCAAAGACAACGATGAACAGAACACTCTTTGTTCAGCACTATGCACTATTCTTCATCAGCTCTTCAGCCAGCGTCCCCATCTTCTACAACATGCATTGCCATCTTGGGAAAGGAACAGGGGGAAAATTCGACAAGAGGTTGACGAACTTTGGCGAATCTTTATAACGGCAACATCCGCTGATTCAACATCCAAGACCATTTGTATCTTCGATGCGCTTGACGAATGCCGTGAGATTGACCAAGGTCGGCTGATGGAGAAGCTCAAGCACTTTCGCCGTCAGTGGTCTCCATCAACACATACTAACTGGTTGAAATTCCTCGTAACCAGCCGTCCCTATAATCACATCAAGCATTGCTTTGAAGCGATTGCAGATTCATTCCCGCATATACACTTGAAAGGGGAGGAGGAAAATGATCAAATTCATGAGGAAATAGACCTGGTCGTAAAGATCAGAGTGGAAGAGCTGGCTAGAACGGCTCGATTGTCATCCAATATACGACAGCGACTTGAGCAACAGCTTCTTCAAATGGAACACCGCACGTACCTTTGGTTACACTTGGCTATGGATGACATCAAAAATACCTTCGAAAATAGCCTTCGGCCTGCCGAGGAATCAATTCGACTGATACCGGCATCTGTGAATGCGGCATATAACAAGATTCTCAGTCGAATTCCGTTTGAGCAAGTGGATACAGTGAGAAAGATCTTACAAATTGTTGTCGCAGCACGTCGTCCTTTGACAATAAGAGAAATGGCTATGGCATTGGGTATCGCCATCTGTCCACAATCGCGAACTGCAGCAGATGCTGAAATAGATCCTGTTCACTTGGATCAGAAACTACGACGGCTATGCGGCCTATTTGTGTTCACCAACAACTCCAAGATTTACCTGGTCCATCAGACAGCCAGAGAGTTTCTTATTAGAAATGAACTTTCCCACCCCCCAATTTCTGCATACTCTTGCAATCTCGAGGATACCGAGGAACAAATGGCTCAGATTTGTTTGCGGTATTTATCCATGGATGTTTTGGAAAACAATGAAGAGAAGACAAACGTTGATACTCAAAGTTTCTTGAACTATTCTGCGATATATTGGGCTGATCACGTACGAAGTATGTCTCAGACTGCGGACCGCGAGGTAGACGACCTGGTACTTCAATTGTACAACCCCACAGGACAACGATTTTCGCTTTGGTTTCCCATATTTTGGGAGGCAGTGATTCCATGTGAAGAAGCACCTGCAATGAATGCCATTCATCTCGCGGCATTCAATGGGCATGAGCAGGTACTTCGCTGCCTTTTTGCTAGAGAAAATGTCAATCTGAACCAAGCAGATAGTACGGGGATTTACCCGGTGATCTGGGCCTCCAAAAACGGACATGAAAAGGCTGTGCAAGTGTTGCTAGGGCACGGAGCGGATGTGAATGCTCAATCTGATCTCTTTGGTACCGCTTTACAGGCTGCTTGTTTCAGCGGGCACAGCAAGGTTGTACGGGTGTTGTTAGAGCACGGAGGTGATATCAATCCCCAGGGTGGACTTTTTGGCAACCCCCTACACGCTGCTTGCTCTAGGGGAGATGACAGGATTGTACAAGTGTTGATAGAGCACGGAGCTGATGTCAATACTCAGGGCGACGATGGCGGCTATGCTCTCCAGCGTGCCTGTTCTGGAGGACATGAAAATATTGTGCAAGGGTTGTTGGAGCATGGAGCTGATGTCAATGCTCAGGGTGGACACTATGGTAACGCTCTTCAGGCTGCTTGTTTTGGAGCACATGTGAAGGTTATACAAATGCTGTTGAGGCATGGAGCTGATGTGAATTCTCAGGCTGGAGACTGCGAAAATGCTTTTCAGACTGCTTGTTCCATAGGATTCGCTAGGGTCGTGCGAGTATTATTGGAGCATCGAGCTGGTCTTAGTATTCAGTGTGATGATTATGGAAATGCTCTTCAGGTTGCTTGTTCTGGAGGACATGACAAGGTTGTGCAAGTGCTATTGGAGCACGGAGCCAATGTCAATGCTGAGTATGAGGACTACGGCAATGCCTTACAAGCTGCTTGTCAGGAAGGACATGAAAAGATTGTGCGAATTTTGTTAGAGCACGGAGCTAATGCCAATACTCAGTATGGGGACTACGGCAGTGTCCTGCACATTGCTTGCTTGATGGGATTTGATAAAGTTGTGCAAGTGCTGTTGGAGCACGGAGCCGATGTCAATTCTGAGTGTGCGGACTACGGCAGTGTCCTGCATATTGCTTGCTCGATGGGATTCGATAAAGTTGTGCAAGTGCTGTTGGAGCACGGAGCCGATGTTAATTCTGAGTATGGGGACTACGGCAGTGTCCTAAGTACTGCATGTCAGAAAGGGCATGAAAAGATTGTGCGAGTTTTGCTAGAGCACGGAGCCGATGCTAATACTCAGTATGGGGACTACGGCAGTGTCCTGCACATTGCTTGCTCGATAGGATTCGATAAAGTTGTGCAAGTGCTGTTGGAGCACGGAGCCGATGTCAATTCTGAGTATGCGGACTACGGCAGTGTCCTGCACATTGCTTGCTCGATGGGATTCGATAAAGTTGTGCAAGTGCTGTTGGAGCACGGAGCCGATGTTAATTCTGAGTATGGGAACTACGGCAGTGTCCTAAGTACTGCATGTCAGAAAGGGCATGAAAGGATTGTGCGAGTTTTGCTAGAGCACGGAGCCGATGCTAATACTCAGTATGGGGACTACGGCAGTGTCCTGCACATTGCTTGCTCGATGGGATTCGATAAAGTTGTACAAGTGCTGTTGGAGCACGGAGCCAATGTCAATTCTGAGTATGAGGACTACGGCAGTGTTCTAAGTACTGCTTGTTCGATGGGATTCGATAAAGTTGTGCAAGTGCTGTTGGGCCACAGAGCCGATGTTAATACTGAGTGTGATGACTCGTAAGGGAATAGACTACAGCAATACCCTACAAGGTGCGTGTTAGGAAGGGTATGAAAAGATTGCGCAAATGCTGCTGGGAGGCTCCAATGAAGGTAAGAGGGGTAAATCAGACACTGTCTTGCGTGCTACAATGGTCGATGCCGTGCTGGACTTCGCTGAGGCGTCAGCGGTTTTGTAGTCATACACCACGAAGGCAGCTGAGCAATGGCAGCGGCAATTGGGCTACAAGGGGCTCTGTTGAGGCTCTCGGTTCGTTTTTAGGGTACTTATACATATTCGGATATTTTCTTAAACTTGTATTTTTAGCTGTGCCAGGATTCGTACGAAAAAAAAATATTGCGAACAAATCAGTGACCGATAAGCTTGAAACTAATCTTGGGAAGCTTATCTTATGAATGGGAGAAAACTGTCTTCATACCAATCAAACGGGGATTTGGGGCGGAAGAAGACGGGACCTTTGCCATGATGCGGGATCTAGTAATTAGGATAATATCTCTGAAAGGAGTAGGAATATGACATGATGAAGAATTGATGTACTGACTAATACTGAAAATGTCCAATAGATCTCAGAGGTCCCTATAATCAGACCATGGCGTGTTATGGCACCATACTAAAACCAAATTGGGTGGACGATGAATAAGCCTATCCCGAAGGGTCTTAGTGGTATTTGAACATTTCTTCAGTCTGTCAGATAGTAAAATTGGTTTCGAGTAGCCCTATATGTAACTACCGAGATATGTAGAATATACGATGTAGTTTGGTGAAACGGATCTGATAACCGTGATCCTGCTGAGATGTCTATCTTGAGGCCTTGTAGAGCGTCTTATCAGTACCTTTATCCTGTAGTGTATGTAAAACAAGGTTGTTGGAGGCGGCCGGGAAGCTCCGAGTGTAGATAATAAGGGATAGTAAGAAACTTGAAGACCGAAGTGGGAAAGGACCATCCCTATACATTATCAAGTGTTATTTTTACTCGGAAATCTCTGGGCCAGAGCAAAGCCACTTTTGACTTACTACAAGCTTACCTAGTGAAGCGGAAACAAGCGCTAGGGCTTAACTAATTTCATACATTGGCCACTTCTGCAACTGCGCTGAAATAGGAAACCAGCTAAGCGTTGGCCTACAGATAAACTAAGTACTGTAATGGGGAATTCCGCTCTCAACACCGGTATCCCATAGTCAGGTGATTGGGGCCTTAGTAACATGGCAGCCATATCGTTTCGGAAGAATAAGTAGCGTTCGTTCGATAGTATCAATAACAACATGCATGTTCCCCCTTATGAATTATTCTTTCTGTGGAGTCTATTGAGGCTGAGGTTGCGGTATCGGTATATCGCATGTCCATGAAGACTCGAATGTCTTATTAGTCGCATCTCGATAGCGTCACGCTTTGTCTACTACTCTCCTGCACTCTGCGAGTGTGGTGGTTTTGTCTTCTTGTGATCGACCCGTCTGCCAACGCAGACTGCCATTGAGCATTCCCATCTTACAGTACTTAAAATAATTTCTTTAATGCCTACATCTAAGCCGTCCCACATTTTGCAGGGCCAAATGTTGCGACCAGATCAATGCCCAGCAAGCTTGGGGCATTGAGGTGACAGCTTCTGGCCTCATAGGTAATAAACATCTTTCCCGCTAATATGATAGTCCGGTAATTTACAGTACAATGTCAAACCCAATGAGGCAGACATGGCTTCTTCTAAAAGTAGCTTAGTGTATCTTGACATTTAGGGTTCGGGAAATAATGAAAGAGTGTTGGGGGTGACACCGATTTCCGGAAATACTGTATGATTTGGATCAAGAGAGCGAATTAGCAGCGAATAAAACCGTCTGCATGTTTGGAGGAGGGAGTTAAGGCAATATTCGTCGTTGAGATAATCCGCTATGTATAGCACAAGCTCATTTGGCAAATCTAGCAGTTTCATCTTCAATCAAGTAACTGGCAGTAAGCCTGAGCCTGAGCCAGAGCTCGACACAATGATGGGGGCTGGATGGGTTGAAGAATTCGTGGAGCCGGGAAGCCGGCGGTGCCTGGTGTATTTGGAGCCGATACTGACCCTTCACGAGCCTCACAGGCTTTTCCTTTACCCCCAACTCTTCGCATTGACGTAGGGGTGGCCCCGGGAAAGCTAGTCACAACCATCCATCGCACTTAGGAAGGAATAAATGCCTGTGAGGGGCTGAGGAGTGTTCTCGAGCCTGGGCGGTGGAGCGACGTATCATGTTGATGTCGACTTGTTACTAGATTTTTTTTTTTAGTATTATTAATATATTTTCTCGCACTAAAATAATTGCAACTTGAATCACTCTGCAAGAAACATTTTGGAAGCTGATGAACAAAGCGATTGTCGTATATTTTGCTGTTTAGCTCCAACTTGAACCTTCACAATCAAGTAGGTGCTCGGATGAATTCGGCCGAATCACCTGCGAAAGCTCGGACAAACGACTGGCGGCTTTTGCTACTGTGGCAGTTCGTCCGCAGCTCGGCCCGAGTATACTTCATATATTAGATTGCCCCTAGACATTCCTATACAAATGGCCTCATGGATAAAAATCTCTCTATTTTTCTCAATAACTCGACCTTATCTTCATATTTCCAATGTCCCTCCAGACTTCCCCCAAAAAGAATATTTTGATTCTTGGCGGGTCCTACGGCGGCATCTCTACTGCGCATTACTTGCTCAAAAATGTTATCCCAAATTTATCCGGGGCAAGTCAATATGAGGTGATCTTGGTGAGTGCTTCGTCGCAGGCCTTGTGTCGTCAAGCTTGTCCTCGAGCTTTAATCTCAGATGATTTTTTCCCCCAAGAAAAGCTTTTCGTCGACATACCCCCAATGTTCAACCAATACCCCGATGATCGCTTTCGATTTCTCCACGGAACAGTCGCCGCTGTGAATCATACAAAAAGAGTGGCATCCATTAAATTGCCTTCCGGACAAAGGGAAGAAATTGAATATCATGTCCTTATTATTGCCACGGGGGCTTCTACTCCATCTCCAGCCCTCGGTCTCAACAATGATGTCCCGCAACTTCGCAGTAGCTGGGCTGCCATACGAAAAGCACTCCCTACCGCAAAAAGCATCGTGATAGCAGGCGGTGGCCCCGCGGGAGTAGAGACAGCTGGGGAGCTCGGAGAGTATTTGAATGGACTTCCTCGATGGGTTAGCTTGAGGTCGAACCCGCCCAAAGTTGACATTAAAATCGTTACTTCGACGCCGAACATTTTGCCAGTACTCCGTTCGGAAATCGCTCAAGCGGCTGAGAAATATTTGGCCAACGTTGGAGTGACTGTTATCAAGAATGTTCGGGTGAAGAAGGTCGAGCCCTTAAATTCAGACGAGGACAAGAACGACCAAATTGCGGCTCCTACGACGGTGACATTGGATAATGGACAAATCCTTGAAACAGACCTGTATATCCCTGCTACAGGCACCACACCCAATACCGGATTTCTTGACGAGATACTTCTTGCCCCGGACGGACGAGTTGAGACGAACAAGTCAACGTTGCGGGTCGAAAAAGCAGGAATGAGGGTGTACGCTATTGGTGACGCTGCGTCTTTTGCCCGCCCGACAGTGCATAGTATCTTCAAAGCAGTGCCAATTCTCTGTGCCAACATCAAGCGGGATCTGCTGCTCTCTGATGGAGCCACTGAAGCCGAAGCTGGCGAAGATTGCGTTTTCACGGAAGATACACGCGAGGCGCAGTTGGTGCCGATCGGCCGGTCCAAAGGTGTTGGAGCTGTGATGGGCTACAGGCTCCCAAGTTTCTTGATTTGGCTTATTAAGGGCCGTGACTATTTTTTGTGGACAACAGGGAAGTTATGGAGCGGCGAACAATGGACGAAATAGTTGGTCACTACTGGTTTTTCCAACTTTGATAGTAGTTTACTTATATCTGATCCTTTTGTGCATTCTTCCCTGGTACACCATTCATACTTTTGGGTGCGCCGAGGAATTTGAAACTAGAATAGAAGGCCTCCGACAAGAATTTCCATTCTGAATTCTAGAACACTGCTACAAATAGTGACGACGATAATAGCCTTGTAAACTTGTAGCTAGTAGTTAACCCTTAGGCATCATACCAGAGCATTCCTTAATTCAACAGGATCCCTTGTAGACTTCCCTATCTTCATCCATTAGCTACCATACTTTTGAAACTCCACCACATTCCAATTTGTTTTGAATTGAATAGTATACTGTTTCCCCATTGCACGATGTTGTAGTTAACTATCCTATGTTACGTCTGATTGGTAATCGTGATTTCCCGCCCCCACCCGCCCAAGGTGAGGCTTGAAGCCCGACTCGACTCCTTTGTGTCTGTCCCTCTGTCTTTATTCGAGCCCTGGAGCGGCTGTGCTGAGATCTATATTACTCTCTGCATTATTGAATACGTTTTCCATATCGAAGCGGTGGCATATATATGTCCGACTTGCCAAGGGTCACTGTCACTGATTCCCCGACTTCCCGGACCCCGGATCGTCATCATGTCCCAGAGATCTGCGATGAGCCCGACTGGGCGCAAAAACAAAGTACGAAAAGGAACTCATAGTTGCAGAGAATGTATGTTCGTTATGTATTCGATTTTTTGACTCGGTCGCTTATCATTTCCCAGGCCGGCGCCGCAAAGTACGTTGTCGATTTGCGAAGCCAGATGACATTGTTTGTGTTACCTGCACCGCTAGGGGAACCTCTTGCTATAGCCAGGAATCCATCAATCCCTCAGCTTCTCGCTTGCCTCAGAAACACCAGCAGGATGGCGAGGTGATGGATCGACTGCAAAGACTAGAGGCGGCTATGGAGAGCCTGATTGGGGAAATTCGACTGTCCAGGGAAACGAGCGGAATGCATTTTACCTCAACAACCGAGTTTGCAAACCGTTTGCCAGTGTCTTATAAGTCTCCAGCTATCAATGACATTTTAGTTGGCAGGACTGTGGAAGAAACACCCACGGCAGCCATTTTCAGTATCCGCGACATGCTAGATCAGCACTCTAGAGGCTCCTCGGCTTCCTATCAAAGATTGAACATCAACAAACTGACAACTAGCTTTCAAGACCGAAGACAGAAAGATGTTTGCAAAATATTATTCAGCCTTTTTCCATCCCAACAGGTCATGAGCGATCTGGTATCAGCAAGTCCCGGATCGAACTTTGTCTCAACCTTTTTCCACTCTCCGCATGAAATCTCGCAGGGGAATTTTCAGAAGCCAACGGACCTTGCTATACGACCCCAGGAAGACAGCAATCCTATAGTTCTCGCTAAACGCCTCCTTCAACTCATGATTTGCGTTCAACACCTCCAGCCCGGTTGCAATTCTTTGACCCTTGAAACTCGAGAGTCTCTCAAAAAGTCCGCCGAGAATGTGGTTTCCATAGTATCGGAAGTTGTTCATTCTACGGATGATACATGTGTTTCACTCCAGGGTTTGGAGTGTCTTCTGCTGCTGGCTATCTTCCAGCTCAATGCTGGCAATCTGCGACGTAGCTGGCTGACGGTTCGTCGAGCTCTGAACATCTCCCAGATCCTAGGTTTGGATAATGGGACTATTACAAGCCTCCAAAAATTCGATAAAAGGATGTCGCCAGAGGCCAATAACTCCCATCGGTGGCTCTGGCACCGCGTGACATTCTTTGATCGCTATCTGTCACTCCTCCTTGGTCTGCCGCCGGGAACCAAAGAAGACCCCTTTGCAAACCTCCCAGACTCGGAGCACTATACGCCCATGGATAGTCTCGAAAGAAACTACACTGTTCTTACTGGGTTCATTATTGAGAGAAATTCAATAAAGAGTAGCAACGAGGCATTCGCATCTACACAACTCATAGACTGCAAATTGGATGCGGCAGCTGAAGAGATGGGCACTGATTGGTGGGAGCCAACTCGCCTACACATGGCCGGCTCAACCTTCGAAAAGATCAGCAGCATCTCTAAGACCTTGCTGCAAATTCATCACTACACACTGAAGGTCTTTCTGCATTTACCACACTTATTCCAGCGAGAATCTGGTCTCAGATCTCATAACCCTCGCTTTAAATATAGCCGGGACATTTGCGCAACGGCCAGTCGCTCGATTTTGCGATTATTCATCCCATATCGCAACCTCAATTCATCGGCGACTGCCTGTCGGCATGTTGACCATAGCGCTCTAATCGGAGCCATGACCTTGCTGATGGCATATCTAGCGGACGAACCGCCCCACACCGAGGAAAGTCTTACGCCTACGACCCAGCGGCAAGAGGATAGCCGACTTTTGGAGAGTGTTCAAGCTAGGTTTCAAGTCCTTGCAAGGGAAAATGAGGATGCAATCTGCCACGAAGCGTCAGAGGTTATTAGTCGATTGATGCCTATCGTTACTTGGCCTGAAAAGAGCGCACTTGAAGGACATGGAGATCAGATCTCGCAAAATACTCCACCTGTCAAACTTGATGTGCCATATATCGGAGTCATTACGATTAAACCGTGGGTCCTTGATGCAACTAGGATAAATATTGAACGACCAGTGTCATCAAGCATACAGGGATGGGTTCCTGAACTGAATGTCACAAATGACGAAAATGAGCCGCAAGGGGCAGATTATTTCTCTACTCAGCAGATATCTGCTTTCCAGGATGTTCCGACTACGGCAACTTCAAGTTCTACACTGATCTCATTGAACGACGATCCCATAGTTACTACTGAATCATCGATGTTCCCGAACGTCGCTGCGGATATGATGGAGTGGTCGTTACAGGGGATTGATACAAACTTTTGGAATTTAGTTCAGGAGGGAATTGAGCCTGAGGTGTTTCTATAAGTACTACTAGTATATAAAATCTATTATTATTAGATTCGTGATATTTACTAGTACCTAGGTAGTACAACCTAAATGCAAAGCTAAATTTTAAAAAGACAAGATGTAGAACTGAGATAGATATTAAATGGAAGTCATAGAAATATAATTATTTAGTAAATTTTCAAGGTCTTTTATATATTCTATAGATTACCTTGGTAGTATGGAGTGAGCGATCAGGGTCCAGACTTCACGGGTGCTACGGGTGCTCGCTCTAGGGGACTTGCTAAAGCTGGGCTCGGTACCGTCATATTTTTTTTACTTCTTATATGTATGACCCTAACTGTCAGTCCGAACCGGGAATAGCCTTTGTCACAGGATATTAGGCAAAAACGAAAAAAGAAAGAAAACTTTGATTGAGCGGGCTTACGCAGTGCATGCCCAATGACGTCGGTGCTGCTATTCTTGTACGCACGCGCCACATTGCGGCTGTTGTCAGTACAGTACAGTACGAGTACTGAGTACCTGGGCAACTATAGAGATGGTATACTAGTATAGTAGTTACTCGTACTCGTGCTCATACTCTGTATGCCCAATCTATTACTCTGTAGTCCCGGTAGTCCCTGTACTCACTGCCCAACTGTATTTGCCCCTGAAAGGCAGCAGTCAAAGTGGAGTTGGAAAGTGGCGCAGTGATTTGCCCCATTTTGGTTTGGTTTCTGTTTGGTTGGTTTGATTTGTTGTCCGCCTTCCCGACACTCTGGACTTTGGACTGGACTCGGAGGCACCTACAGTATTCTCTCTCAATTCCTCAAGACTTCTGCTATATCTGATCCTGGGCAATACTCCCTGGATCATTTGGCAACATGGTGAGTCTCATTACCATAATCTGCCATTCACTTCCTCCCCTTCCTCCCCTTCTCCCCCATCCCCGCCAACCTGCGACTGCCGCTGACCCCGCGCTCCATCTAGGGTCAATCACGCCGTCCCCAAGGCGGGGAAAAGAAGAGTCGTTTTGGTCGCTCCAAAGCTGTCGCAGACGTCGGCGATGGCCGTCAATCGGGCAAGGGACAGGTCAAGAAGGCCGCTTTTGAGTCCTCCAAGAAGAAGGAGATTGGTGTCTCCGACTTGACTCTCCTCAGCAAGATCTCCAACGAGGCGATCAACGATAACCTGAAACTGCGATTCGAGCATGGCGAGATTTATGTAAGGGACCCCGTCTTCCACGCACGCGACACTCCCCACCCTCCCCCCCGGCGCTGCAAGACTCCCCAGGGTATATGCTAACGATGTCATTGGTAGACCTACATTGGACATGTATTGGTCTCCGTCAATCCCTTTCAAGACCGTAAGTCACCAGCGGACTTCTGATAGAATGCGCTCCTTCAGAGCTGTCTCATTCTCGCGCGCGCAAGGCGCCCCTATTACATCCTCACTAACCGATGATCTCTCCCTATAGTCGGCATTTACACCGATAAAGTACTAGACTCCTACCGCGGCAAGAACCGACTCGAAGTCCCTCCCCATGTATTCGGAGTCGCGGAATCGGCATACTATAACATGAAGTCCTACAAGGACAACCAGTGTGTCATTATCTCCGGTGAATCCGGTGCCGGAAAGACCGAAGCCGCCAAGCGCATTATGCAATATATTGCCAGTGTCTCGGGTGGCAGCGATTCATCAATTCAGCAGACCAAGGACATGGTGCTGGCCACAAACCCTCTGCTAGAATCCTTCGGTAACGCCAAAACCCTGCGCAACAACAACTCCTCCCGATTCGGAAAGTACCTGGAACTCGAGTTCAACACCAACGGCGAGCCGGTCGGTGCCAACATCACCAACTACCTGCTGGAAAAGACCCGTGTTGTTGGGCAGATTCAAAACGAGCGTAATTTCCACATCTTCTACCAATTCACCAAGGGTGCGCCGCAGAAGTACCGGGATACTTTCGGTGTGCAACAGCCGCAGTCCTACCTCTATACCAGCCGTTCCAAGTGTTACGATGTGCCCGGAATCGACGATGTTGCCGAGTTTAAGGATACCCTGGATGCGATGCGGGTGATCGGTATGACCGAGCCGGAGCAGGATAATGTCTTCCGCATGTTATCCGCAATTTTGTGGATTGGTAACATTCAATTCGCCGAGGACGACTCCGGAAATGCGACCATCTCAGATCAGTCGACTGTCGACTTTGTCGCTTACCTGCTAGAGGTGGACGCCGCCCAGGTGAACAAGGCTTTGACAATTCGTCTGATGGAGACTGCCCGAGGAGGGCGCAGAGGTTCCGTTTACGAGGTGCCACTGAACCGGACACAGGCATCGGCCGTGCGTGACGCTTTAGCCAAGGCCATCTACTTCAACCTCTTCGACTGGATCGTGGAGCGCATCAACCAATCTTTGACAGCTAGAGGAGCAATCAGCAACTCGATCGGTATTTTAGATATTTACGGATTCGAGATTTTCGAGAAGAACTCTTTCGAGCAACTGTGCATCAACTACGTCAACGAGAAGTTACAACAAATTTTTATCCAGTTGACCTTGAAGGCAGAGCAGGATGAATATGCCCGTGAGCAGATTAAGTGGACTCCGATCAAGTACTTCGACAACAAGGTCGTTTGTTCCTTGATCGAAGACAAGCGTCCTCCGGGTGTTTTCGCTGCTTTGAACGACGCCTGCGCCACTGCACACGCTGATTCCGGTGCTGCGGACAACACTTTTGTTGGTCGTCTCAACTTCCTTGGCCAAAACCCCAACTTCGAAGGTCGCCAGGGTCAATTCATCATCAAGCACTACGCTGGTGATGTCAGCTACGCAGTTGAGGGAATGACGGACAAGAACAAGGATCAATTGTTGAAGGATCTACTGAACTTGGCTGGATCTAGCGGTAACCAATTCGTGCATACCCTCTTCCCTAACCAGGTCAACCAGGATGACAAGCGTCGTCCGCCGACCGCCAGTGATAAGATCAAGGCCTCGGCCAATGACCTCGTCGCGACACTGATGAAGGCCCAGCCCTCTTATATCCGTACCATCAAGCCGAACGACAACAAGGCACCCAAGGAATATAATGAAGGAAACGTGCTGCACCAGATCAAGTATCTTGGTCTGCAGGAGAACGTTCGTATTCGTCGTGCCGGTTTTGCCTACCGTCAAACATTCGACAAGTTCGTTGAGCGATTCTATCTCCTTTCACCGAAGACCTCCTATGCCGGTGACTATACCTGGTCAGGCGATGTCGAGTCCGGCGCGAAGCAAATCTTGAAGGACACCCGAATTCCCGCGGAGGAGTACCAAATGGGTATCAGCAAGGTGTTTGTCAAGACACCCGAGACCCTCTTTGCACTGGAAGCCATGCGCGATCGCTACTGGCATAACATGGCCATTCGCATCCAACGTTCTTGGCGCAACTACCTCCGCTACCGCATCGAGTGTGCCATTCGTATTCAACGATTCTGGCGCCGCACGACCGGAGGCCTTGAGTTGATCAAGGTCCGTGATTCAGGCCACCAGGTCTTGCAGGGCCGCAAGGAGCGTCGGAGAATGAGTTTGCTCGGCTCGCGTCGTTTCCTCGGTGACTACCTTGGTGTGGGCAATAAGGGTGGACCCGGTGAGATGATTCGCAATGGCGCGAACATTAGCAGCTCCGACGACATCCTATTCTCCTGTCGTGCGGAAGTACTGGTTTCCAAGTTTGGCCGTTCCAGCAAGCTTGTGCCTCGTATTCTGGTTCTCACTGGCCGCCATGTGTACATTGTGGCTCAGAGCATTGTTAACAACCAACTTGTCATTGCATCCGAGCGAACTATCCCAGTTGGCGCTATCAAGGCCGTCAGCACCTCCAACCTGAAGGATGACTGGTTCTCGCTGGTTGTCGGTGCCCAGGAGCCCGATCCCCTTGTCACCTGTGTCTTCAAGACCGAATTCTTTACCCACCTGAACACCGCTCTTCGCGGCTCCTTGAACCTGAAGATTGGCGAGAGCATCGAATACAACAAGAAGCCAGGAAAGCTCGCCTATGTCAAGTCCGTCAAGGACCCCCAAGCTGGAGCCGTCGACAGCTACAAGAGTAGCACGATCCACACCAGCGCCGGTGAACCTCCCAGCTCCGTATCGAAGCCCACGCCGCGAGCGAAGCCCGTTGCTGCACGACCAATCACCAAGGGCCGACTTCTCCGTCAAGGAGGTCCCGGTGGAAATGCAGGAAAGCTTTCCAGTGCTGCTCGCAAAGCTCCCCCACCCGCGCAGCCTTTACCTGTATCGCATCAAACGACTTCCGTGCCAGTGGCCCCAACTCCAGTCGCCCAGTCTCGAGTCGTTCCTCAGCCAGCGGCCGTTGCTGCCGCGGCTGCTTCTCACATCCGCACCGATTCAAGCGGTTCCATGAAAGCTCCTCCTCCACCTCCACCCTCCGCACCTCCTGCTGCCTCGAGAAAGCCAACCGCCAAGGTCCTATACGACTTCAACAGCGACCGCGCGAACGAACTCTCCATCCGCACCGGCGAGATCGTACAAATCGTCTCGAAGGAAGGAAACGGTACGCATACCCCCTCCCCTCCTTTCCCCTCCCCTCCGTTCCACTCCCCTCCCCTCCCATTTACCGTATCCATTTCTAACATAATTACAGGCTGGTGGCTATGCATGAACACCACAACCTCAGCCCAAGGCTGGACACCAGAAGCATACCTAGAAGAACAAAAGTCCGCACCACCCCCCAAACCAACTCCACCCCCACCACCACCCACCGCGCCCCGCGCAACTCCCTCCCCCGTCCCCAACGGCGGCGTCGGCGCAGCAGCAGCAGCAGCAAAGACGAAGCCCGCACCACCTGCACCACCCGCAAAGCGGCCCACCGTGGCCGGCCGCAAACCAGCTCCACCCCCAGCTCCACGGGACAGTGCTGTGAGCATGAATTCTGGTGATTCGTCTGGTGCCAGTGGTCGTGGTACGCCGAATAGTACATCCAATGCTAGTTTGGCGGGTGGTCTTGCCGAGGCGCTTCGGGCGAGACAGAGTGCTATGCAGGGGAAGCACGATGATGATGATGAGTGGTAGGCAAGGCAAGGCAGCTGTTGATATTGCTGTTGCTCCTTCTGTTGCTGGTGCTGTTGGTGATGTGTGATTGTGATTGTCTACGTGTTCAAGGTGATGGAATTGTTTTTCTGCGCTTAGCGTTGGACCTTCTGTTCTGTTCTGTTCTATTCTGCTTTCTCCAGCTTCTCTTTTCTTCTTTCCCCTTTCCTCTTTTGTTTTCCTTTTTCTCTTGGACTGAGTTCCCCCCCCCCCCGTTTCAGCTATGTATTCACGAGAACCCCGGCATGTCTGCATGGCTCTTTTGGTTTTGATCTGCTTTTTCACGGTTCTTGATTATAGGTTTCATTACTGCTTGCTGGCGAGGTCATGGCATTGTATGGATGGATGGCATGGGCACTGGCATGGTGTGGTTCAACTTGATGTTCATACCGTAGAAAATTGTTGTTGAATATATACCGCTACAAGTGTTAGATTCAAGCTTTTTATATATTCAAGGTAGTACCCCTGGAAGATGATTTATGGGATTACCTTATCTAACATATGAGGTCAAGGTGAGAAATCATTGTAAGATTTCATCTTAAAATTGTCTATAGATTTTAGGCTTGCCATGTAGCACCTCATTCGCAAAGATCTCGTGACCACAATTCGATATCTCCCGTGCCAGACAAACGTTCAAGTTTCGTTCGACCAGTTTTTTTTTTTCATCTTTGAAATACTCAAAACCAATCTTATTATCTCTTTCTTTTCTCTGCCGTGTAAGCCCCAGTAGGAGCTCATATATCCGCTATTCCTCCACAGGTACAACGATCAGCTTCAAAAGTTACTCTATAATGGGGTATCAAAACTCAAGACTATCTATCGTACTAGTAACCACTACCATTAGGCTAGTGTAGCACTATTTTACCCAAAATATGTACTACTATTTTGCCACCAACGTGGCCGATCCACCGAAGTAAAACCGATCCATTCGATCTCCCATTGACTCCACAGCCCCGCCAAGTTCCAAAGAAGAGGGGAGTTACAGCCCACCTGGCCAGCTCAGCTCAGCTCAGCCCAGTCCAGTCCAAATAAATACCCCTCTTTTTTTGTTTGTCTTTCTACCTTCTTCCTACCTTCCTCCATCTATCCATCCACAACTCTGATATCCAATATCCCGTCTCCTATCACCACAATGTCCTACAACGACTACAACTCCGGCGGCAACTCCGGCGCCAGCGCCAACTACTATGACCAAAACGCCGACTTCCGCGACACACGCTACAACGGACCCCCCTCCTATTCCAACGAGAACCAACACGACGACTTCAGCAGCGCAGCCCACCACGCCTCGCAGGAGCACAGCAGTGAAGACCGATCCTTCTTCGACAGCGCACTCTCCTTCATCAAGGAGCGTAAGGGCGAGTATGCCGATACATCCAAGTACGAAGTTGACGAGGCGCATGCCATGAATGCCCACCAGGCTATGTATGGTGGTGGTGGTGATGAGCGCAGTCATGATTCGGGGACTGTGGGTGCGGGTGCGGCGATGCAGGCGCTTAAGATGTTTACTGGTGGTGGTGGTTCCGGGGGTGGTTCGGATGGGGGTATGGATAAGAATAAGTTGATGGGGTTGGCTATGGCGCAAGCCAGTAAGCTTTGGGATGAGAAGAATGCTAGTGGGAATGTGGTGAGTTGAATTGAAGTGGCCCTGTTCTATGTGAGAAGGGACGAGGTTGGCTAATAGTCCAATAGTCTGGCGATAAGCAGTCCGCGGTTAACTCTGCTGCTGAGATGGCGTTGAAGATGTACATGAAGGGTGGCAGTGGTGGTATTGGTGGAACTGGTGGTGCTGGTGGTCTGATGAGTTTGGCCAGCAAGTTCTTGTAAATGATGGATCTTGTCTAGGCGAGCTTACTTACGACGTGATGTGATGTGATTAGTCTAGTCTCGATACTGCTTGCACTGTGAGTAGTGTAGCTTGCTGCGTCCTCGGAATGTCAACCTGGATGTTATCAAATGGATGAATACAGATCAACCTCGCATATCGTATGATTTATTGATATGATAATGTAGATATGTAGAAAGCACTACGCACTAGTACTAGGTATAGCTTGTAGCTTTTTGCTACCTATAGCTATAATTAGCTCGAGCACGAAGCTACTAGTAAACCTACGCTAAAATAGTGCAGCCTAGTACTTCCCCCGATCTTCGATGCCCACTGGCAGTTTACTACTCCAGGGCTACTATCAGTACCATAGTGAATTAGGCATTCTACTCCAGATCCTAAGCAAGAATAGTACTAGTCAAGACATATCCATTCTTCGATATATGTGATACACTCTATGCAAAGTACATATAGCCAACAACACCAGAACCCAGGGTATCAAATGCCGCAAAAAAGGGAACAGGAAGAACGCAAGGACAGACGAGAAGAAAACAAAGAGGAAAGAAACGAAGGGAACTGCCGGCTCAAACTTCAATCTGATGGCAAATCAGACAGAGGAAACGCAGATGGGTCAGAGAAAACCACATCCCATCCCATCCCATCCTAAAGAACAAACAAATCATGTTCCTCATCACTAAAGTTCCTCAAAAACCTCAACCCACGCTCCCTCCTCCCCAAAACACACCTCCCATCCTCATCAAGCCCCTCCTCACCAACAAACTCATTCGCCAAATCCAATACCCCAAATTCCCTCCCCCACTCCCGCCGCTCAAACGACATAAACCCGCCAAAATGCGGATCGGTATTAGCAACCCACACTGTACCTCCATCAGGCGAGAAATCCGCCCCGCCAATCTCGCCGAAGAATTCATGCACTTGTCGAGACTGGTAGAGCTGCGCGTCGATGATGGATATTCGATCCGCTGGCTCAGCGCAGAGAAGTGTTCGTGGTCCACCGCCTACGGGGGAGAAATGTAATGATCGATACCCCGCGACGTCAGAGTCGATTGTTTCGAGAATTCGCCATGTGCGCGCGTCCCAGATGATGACTTTTTTGTCTTGGTTACTTGTAGCTATGTGGCGCATATCGGGGGACCAGGCGCAAGCGAAACCGAAATCTTCGTGCCCGCGCAAAGGGTGCACAGGTCTTCCGGTGTCGGCTTCAATGACCCAAGCATCGGGGGAATCACCAATGACGACGCGGAGACGGCTGTCCGGAGATGTGGCGGTGCAATTTATCGGGCGGGAGAGTTCTTGGTCGGAGAGGAAGGTGTTTGTTTCGCAGTCGAGGATTCGGAGGTGGCGGTCATTGGAGGAGAAGACGCAGATTGGAGAACTGCTGGTCCGATTTGGAACAATGTCCACATGGTTTGTGATGCCGTCGTTCGGGTTGGGCGTGACTAGGCCCTTGGCGCCGGATCCTGTGCCGTCGGAAGCTTGAAGGGCGTATTCGCCGCAGAAACCACCTGCAATGGTGAGACCGAGCGCGGTCTTCATACTAGAGATTTTGACCGGGCCTAGGAAGCCACTTTCTGGGTATGCTCGTGATAGGTCGATGAGGACTCGGTTCTCATCGAAGGATGGGGCCCACGAGTAGACTTTTGAGCGGCTGGCGAAGTTGATGGTATTGTAGGCAGGGACTGACATCAAGTTTCGCAGTTGGAAGTGTTCGATCGTTGCTTTGTGTGCGGTGTGCATTGACTTTTCTTGGAAGAACAATTCATCTTGGGGGAGATGGTTAAGGCGGCGGCTGTGAGAGTTTTTGGGGATATTGTGGTATGATGTGTACCATGCATCGCGAAGGGCGCGCGCCTCACTGGGTTTGACTTTCAAAGTTTCTGCCCAAGGAATTTGTTGAAGATCATATATGTCATCTTCATATGTATGCGGCCGGTACACATCACGGTGAGGAGTCCAGCTCATCAATTTCGATAGCGGGCGTAGCTGCGGGGGGGGATTCTGTGCTCCGAGTGGAACCCATGCGGAACAATATTGGTTTGGAGAACCCACCGCTGGATGAATTCATCAATAGTAAGGTTTCGTTCATGGGTTGTAGTGTGAATGATAGAGGGAGGATGGGCATCAAGCTCATCGACTCCCGGAAAAGGACCCATGGGTGGAGTGCCCGGCGCCTGAGGAATATCCACATCTTGAGTGTCATAGTTGATTGTGTGATAAAACTCGTCCAGGTCCACTTCATGCATACCAGGCTCCAGAGACCGCGTCTCATTTTCCTCGCGGTAATATTCCTCCTCGTCGGGGTAAAAGCGAAGGAAGTCTTCAAATTCATCGTCCGGGGTAGTCGACGGCGAGGTGTGGTCCTCGAATTCAGGATCGTAATTCATCACCATATCCTTCTCGATATCGCTCTCGTTCACAATTGTCGCGATGTTAGGCCATGTCGCAGTGCGCTCGATTAGGTCTTGCACAATCCCCTCCATGTCGATATCGGTATCGTCCTGCGAGAGTGGCGAGAGAGCATTCGATCCAGACAGCACGCTATTCCCGTCGGACGCTGGGGAAAAGGATAGTGGCGAAAAATTACTTTCAGGATTCGAAGGTGAGAGCACTTGGTCGCCAAGGGTTGCATGGGAGTTGTGGTGATGGTACAGTGGCATGGACCTGCCTGTCATCGCATGCACCACCTCCGACACTAAAAGAGAACTGCTCTCCTCATTCACGGCATGCGGGTATTGCGCGATGGCAGCGAGAGCCGCGACTCCCACATTGTGCAGCCTTTGATCCCCCTGGGACGCCATATCTGTATTTGTCGCTCGTGCATGTGAAAGTGTAGATGTGGGTGCAAGGTCTTGCGTCGTCGATGTAGCGCCGGCATTCTGCGGCGCGGGAGGTCTGTCCCCGTCCCGGGGAAATGCAAGGTGGATGCAGCGTTATTCATGACTCGTGGATAAGCTGATACGCAGGCGGCATCACATGACTCATGGCGAGGAGTCGTCAGAGAAGACGTTGGATGACGGGAAAGGGTGGATGAAGGCGTATGTGCGGCGTGGCTCTCATCAAGCATTGCCCGTCATGGATGGGGGTGTAACAGTATCCGCAGGTCGATCCGGGGAATATCGAATCGAAATCGCGGGGAGGGGCAGGCGAAAAAGCCGCGCAAGTCGGATCCGCCGATGGGATGTCGAAGAATGTCAGGCACGAGAAGGAGAACGGATGATCAGAACTCGAATAGGCAGCTGGTGCAAGGATGATTGGCAGCGACAGTTACACGAGTTGTTGCAGAGCTAAGTGTGGTATTCTTGGGGACGCTGGATCCTGGAATATGCAATATTCCAGGTGACTTGGGTCGGGCGTGGCGCAGGTGTAAGTCACCAATTGCGGGCAACGGGGAGACAAAATGCGGGCTAAACAGAAATGCCGAGGCGACGGTTGGACTTGGATATAGGATCGCGCCAGTGGTAAGGCAACCGGGAAGGAGGGGCAGTGTAGGTAAGAAGCCCACGAGGGGAATGTGGGACTGCCGACCGTTAAAGTGTGAGGGTGAGTGCGAGTGTCAGCGAGAAAGTTGGGATGATTGGATAATCAGTGAAACCCAAGGGTCGCTTTTGTGTCTCTTTCTGTGACTGGTCTGCTATAGACCAGGGGTCGCGGTCAACGCCGCGAAGAATTCACGGCAGGTATAAGTGTGGATGAGGGTGGAGGTGAGATGGTAAGGAGTTAGAGCCGGCGCTCGCGGGGCGAGGTTTCAAACTTATGATCGCCAACCCTGAAAGGTTGGAACAGAAAAAGAAAAATGGAGATCTGAGGTGAGAGGACTGAGCGTGGGCCGTTTTTTCCCGTTCAACGCCAAGTCGAAAAGTGAAAATAAGGAGATGGGGGAGGCACTGATCCACGTTGTCTGAGGGTAATTTAGCACGGCGAAGGCGGGCAGGATATGACAGGTGGAAAAGGGAGCCAGGTGGAGTAGAGTCGGCGAGGGTTCAGCGGATCATTGAATGAAAGGCGATGGCAGTGCTTAACGCCGAGTGGTGATCAGATCCAAAGGATGAGAGAAAGAGGCTGATAGCGGGATGCAGGATGACGAAAGGAGGAGAGAAGTGGGGTGCAGCTGGAGTCGAGAGATGGCCAGTGCAGGGCGCGGTTAGTGTAGGCAGCTGAGACGAATTGGTGATGTGTTGGCTGGACGGGGGATTGCGCAATATAGAAAAGAAGCAAAGAAACGATTCAGGAAATGATAAGTATGGAATTGTAGTAATAAAAAAGTAGTATTGGAGTTGGAGTGAGGGTGAGGGGAAGAGGAGGTGAGGTCGAATTGACGAGTCGATCACGGAGTCTTGGCGTTAGTCAGCACAACACTATACAATAGAGTAGAGAGTTGAGAGTATACAGTGGAATGGGAAACTAGTGGCTACCTGAGATGAGATAAACTGGCCAATCTATTGCATCTCAGGTAGCTACTAATTTCCCATTACAAGGCGGAGACAAGAACAGTGAACAAGGGGTTTCAAACTGTTGCAAAGCTACTACGGAGTATAGTACCTAGTACTAGGTATGTTGATGGATTACCGACACCTTTACGGAGAACGAGTACATAGAGTAGGAGTATAGTACATTAGTACTCCATTGAGACAGCCCTGGAGTATGTAATATCGGAAAAGGGGTGCGGATGTAAATCATCCCTGCAGGAGTGACGCACCGCAGATCCGTGAACTCAGCCTGTGACCTGCGCTTGGGTCCATTGGGCACTCCCTTGGGCTGACAATCCTTGCAAAGATCCCTGTCGCTGGCACAGTGTGGGGAACCTATACATCAAATCAAATACTGGCATGGCCCATGGGTAAGGTAGTAAGCATAACATAAAGCAGAAGCAGGGAACGCTAGTATCATCCAGTTCATGTTCATTATCAACACAGAGCACACTTAACTCGCTGTATAAATAAGATACACATCATAACTTGAAATGCCAGAAAATACAATAAAT